TCCACATCCACCTATTGATGTGCATCAGCCTGAGAAGTTTGAAGATCAAGAGGGAGAATAATTCACAGCATGTAAGTTGTGAGAATAATGATGTTGAGAGGTCAAACAGGGGAACACAGACAGAGACGGAGCCGTAGCTCCCCGAGGATTATCTCTGCATGATGGAGGAAGAAGATGCAGTCCCTCAGTCCCCAGGCTTTCCCATGTTTGTCCCCCAGCTGTGCCCTCACCAGGCTGGGGGATCGATCCCTGCCTGCTCGCCTCCACACCCATGCTTTGGGCTCTTAATCAGGCCCTGCCTCCTTGAGTGGATGCTCTAATTGGCGAGAGCCACTGAGAGCCAGCATCCTCGTCTGCTGCGCTCTCAGAGAAAGGGTCACCAGGCATCAGCCGCTCTCACTAATCTTACCCATTATCCTCTGCTCTACCGTGGGAGCAGCAAAAAACAGGCAGCCTGTGGTGTAAGTGTATGGAGCAGGAAGTGTGTGCAATATTCAAGCATGTTTTTGTTCATGCGCGAGGCAGTGTAAGATTTGTTCTTTTTCTTTGGCTAATGGGAGCACAGGTCTGATCAGATCATGTGAAAAAAACAGAATAACATCCATCTGTAAGCAGCTTACCCATTTAGGGTGTCTTTTCCAAGTATGACTCGCCTTTATCCTTTTTTACAGGATGTTTTTCTGATGGACTTACTTCACCATGTTGCACTGTACTTCCTGTTTTATGAACAAAACCTCTGATACAATGATTAAAAGCTTTTATAGCAAAATATTCTCCAAAATCTACCTATCTGCTGTCACCCTGATGAACTACTTCCACAGTTCCTCCAGTGATTCATGCTTCTAGTTGATCCAATTTTGCAGTTTAATCATCATGATTGAACATTTTAATTTAGAAATTAACGTAATTGATATCATGGCAATAATAATTTACAGGGTCAGTTTCAGTCTATAGCAACCCTAATAAGAAAGTGATTAAGCTATTTTTACACGCCTCCTCAAGTGTTGGTGTGACGACTTCTTCCGGGGCGGGGCAATCATCAAAAAAAATTGACTCAAGGCTCTGTAGCCACCAGGGTAATACTCAGAGGAGGCACTAGGAGGGGTGAGGCGCTGTAAACGGTTCAAATGTTTGTTTTCTATTGACAAGGATTCCTTTAAATTGTGAGCGGTAACATGAAATGAAAGTCATAATTAATCTGCAGCTCATTACCTAATTTGAGCATTAGATATAAGATTGTATCCCCATCATTTTCTGAACTGATTTTAGGTCTTTCAAGTTTAAGATGAAGGTAGATTAAAAACTCGAACACGAGACCTGTACATACAGCAGTTTGATATACTCTCTGATATGATAGCCATAACCATTGGCCATAACCTTTCAGTTGTTTTATGAGGGATTCTACAAATTAAATTATGAAACTATGATGTTCATGCATAAAAATTAATTTGAAGGTGTGACAAACCTGCAAGAGACCACCTCAGAGCTAGAAAATCCCACTGTCCATAAGGAGGCACTGTTTGGTCCTAAATCTAAGCACTGGACTAAGTTTGAACATAAATAGTTACCAGAGAGGGAATGTGTCAAAGTTCAAGTTTGCTTTCTAGTTTTTGAACATGCACAATGGTGTCCCACAACGGTTTATTATGGGTCACATTTTATTTTTTATTCATATCAATAATTCATAAAATAATGCTACAAATTCAAAGTTTCATTTTTTATGCAGATAATACGATTATATGGACATCTTTATTAAGTTAATAACCTTCAAGATACTTCTCATGTTTTCCAGAGAAATCTTTCTAAATTCAGTCGGGCTCTAAATACCAACAAGTCTAGATGACGTACTTCCTATTGGAGGAAAATAAAAGCTGAATTTCAGATTCTTACTTTGAACAAGAATTGATTGAATGTGTCCCAACATGGAAGTACCTGGGTTTATTCCAAGGATAAATTCTGTTCTTCAATCATCACATTGAGATTCTAACAAAAAAAAAACTGAGAATGAAATTGCTTTTTTTCCCTTCTCTTGAAATAGACACTTTTTTTTAGTACGTCAGTTTGTCTTCGTTACCCAGCAGAAGGCTGAGGCATTGGCATGTCTTTCTCTTAAAGGCCTTGCTACATGAACAGCCTTCTTATTTATGTTCTTCACTGAGTCCTAAATCTGTCAGTGGCTATAACCTTCGGTCTCATAGACAAACTCTGTTTGTCATTCCTCTAACCTCTGCTGTCTTTGGCAAAATTGCTTGCAATTTTTTTACACCTTACTCCTGGTGTGAGCCACAAAGGACTTTAAAACTGGGATTTAGTTTTATCTGACCTGTAAATGCACATGTTTCAATGCTGACAGCTGCTAATTTATTTGGTTCAGTTTTTGTCTGTTGTTTGGTCTGTACTATATGGTTGTGATCGGCACTGTTAATATGATATGAGTGGAATTAATAACAATCAGCCACAAATAAATGGATATATTTGCCACCAGTTTTCTTGATCTATCCAATAATAATATAATAATGACTTTTTCTGAAGATAAATAGAAGTAAAAGAAATCAAAGCACTGATCAGCCTGACTGCTCATCAATAAAAACATCTTTGCTTTCACCTGAATGTTTACATCAATGTTGCCCTCTAGTGGAGAAATTTCAAAGTACAGTTACAGATTCTGACACAGCATTTCAATGAAATGAAAAGCTGTAATCCTCTTTGAATAATAGTGGTAATGTCTGTTGTTGGAGGAGAGTTTGGATGTTGAAATTGATGTGAGGCTTGCATCCGGATCCAGATTTATGAAATCTTAGACACTGTTTGTGAGGGGAATAGAAAACTCAAGACATACGGCATGTTTGGTTCTTTGGAAGAAAAGTTATTGCCATATTGTATACAGCAGGTTTTAAACAGCATAGATCCAAGATCCAAGATGCTTGTTGTCACACAAGTAATATTGTGAAATTGTTTTTTTTTTCTGAAATGCTCAATTTAAATTAAGTAAGTATACAAAATATAAACGAACTATGATAAAACAATGTATTAAAAATAAACAGAAGACAAAATAATACATTTTTAAAGGTAAAATGTGCATCTAAGACAAAGAATGTACAATTAAGACAGAGAAGTAGGATGAATCCGTGGGTACATCCACTAAGTAGAAAATGACCCGGAAATGTACTTAACTTACTTTTATCAAAGCAGATGTAATAACAAGAGAAAGGTTGTAGTAATCAAAGCGTCTTCTCAGTCTTATTTTTTGATTAATCATTTTGCAGATTTTACTAACAAGATCATATAACAAAGTAAAAATATAAACAATTCAAAAATGGAAATTGTCAACAGACAGAATCGTTTTCAGCTGGATGCACAATTAACCTAAGCATTTCCTATTTCATTCGCAGTGGTGACATAGTTTGTTTTCAGTGCATTATGAACTGACTATAGCACTATTCATGCATGTTTTGTATTACCTCTGGACCTCTGTTAATTTGTTGATTACCCCTCTAATTTCAGTGTTTGGTTTGAGTAATTTGCAAGCAAAGTTGGTGATTCACTTAAATTTACTTATATAATAGATTGAAATCTCAGAGACACCTCACAAGATCCTCCATGTCTGTAGGGGCAGCATCACACTCTTAGCCCACAACCTGCCAGAAGAAGTCCACTGCAGTAAAAAATACTTTATGTCTTTGTCATTCAAACAAATGGTCAATTATTAATCCCAAAAAGAATGTTCACAAAACAAACACTAATAGCCACTGTGTCAGGTTTGTGATAAACAACAAGAAATTGTGTTGCCAATCACTTTTAAAAAATTCAGCACCAAGGACAGCGCATGCCACTGAAGGAGGGTACAAAGCCAGCTAAGAAATACTCATGTTTTCTTTAAGAAAACTGAATTGAAGCTCATGAAACTGGTTAGGAACCATTTCACTGTTTACTCAGGCTATCAGACTGATATAAGAAGAAGAGATGATGCTTTTTAACCTGCTCAGAACAGGGCCACTGGAGTACAGGTTTGCTTCTGAGGTTTGTTTTTGTAGGAATGGTGGTCACACACCATCTCCAGAGTTATCTTGTAATCTCCTCTTTCTTAAATGTTGATGTGTAATGGAAATTAGTCTAGTTCAAACTCTGTAGCACAAAAGAGGACTGGTCCATCGTGGGCTCAGATTTGTAATTTGAGCTAGAGTCAGCCCAAGAGATGTTTTAAAACTGGAGTTTTAAATGCTCAGAGTGCCTAAAGTTCTCTCTTGCAGGTTTGGCCGGACTGGCAGATGATGTGATAGTTCTCAACACAACTGCCACCACCACTTACACTACAACAAGGCAACTACAACAAATAAAACTTTATACTGATACCACCAACTACTTAATGCTTTGGCATCTAGACGTACGGGATTAGGTATAATTTTACAAAACTATGGAAACACAAATAAGAATATTTGAGACGATTTATTGCTTCATAAACAACTCTCATAAAAATGTACTCTAGTCGACAAACAAACTGATCAAGTTGTTGTCCAGCTCTGAAAAACAAAATGTTGAGGCCAGAAAATCACGTTGGCTACTTCTGGTTTAATAATCTATTACAACAGTTACTCACCAATGACTTGCTGACATATTTAACGTTTTGGATGGGCTCTATGCACAGCTCTACTACTAGCTGATTAACCCAGGTGTTTCTGAGTAGTCACAATGATCAGACACACCTGGGTTAATCAGTTTGTACCAACTGATTAACCCAGGTGTGTCTGATTAGTCACAATAATCAGTCACACCTGGGTTAATCAGTTTCTCTAATAATATAAGACAGGAAATAAAGGAGCTGCCTTTAGTTCAGAAAGTATTGGAGCTGTGCATGAAGCCCATTAAGACATACACAAACTATTTTTCAGGATTAAAAAGTTCGAGCTCCTTCAACCCAACGCCAGGAGAGTTTTTTCAAACAAACAGTAGTTTCCATCGGTGACGTTGTGCGTCATGACGTCAGAAGGAGGCGGAACTCTGGACCGTGGGGCGGACAGTATTCAGGCGAGGAGTACTGCTGCTGCCCGTTCAACGTCTGTGTCAAACCAAACTGTTTGCCCTCGCTCGAGTAAGTGTGAAATTTATGTTAAGTGTCGTCTCAGAGGTTGTGTTATCGTCAGCTTTTGCGTATTTGGTAAAAACCATGTCTTTGTGCTGTGAACAAAAACTGTTTGAAGTGTCGCTGTAGATATTTCATCGTATTCGCCGCAGCTGTACAATGACACACTAACGGGACTGTCAACCTGTGTCCGTTATCTCACTGCTGCTACTCACTGACAGCACTTACACACATGAAATTGACATTTGAGAGACTTTTGGCGTCATTTATTTTGCCCCAAGTAATTTCATGGAACGCTTGAGGGCTCGCCTATAACTACTTTTAATTCATAGCGGATAAAGTAATGTTAGTTTTCAGAATTGAATATTAGATTATCTCTTGTAACGGTTGCTAAGCGTCTTATGACATCCTGTTGGCACACGCAGGCATCTGAAGTGAGTAAATACTGACATAACAAGTTTATTAAAATGATATAGAATATTGCATTTATCTAAAGAAGGTTAGTTAAATTACTTAAAGTAGGTAAAATCCATACATGATGAATAAATTCTACTATTCTTCTCATAGACTAGTTTTTCACAGTTGTATGCACTTGTTTATTTTCTGTTAAGTCATTTAACATTGTTCATATTTACTATGATGCTATCCTATGCTTCTTAGGCACAACGTATTGACCAATGCCTACTGCTTGCAGTCTGCACAAGTTAAAATAAACATTGAAAAGGCTTTCTCGAAGTCCTAACTGGCTAAGACAATTTTTTGTTCAAGAAACATTTAATAACCTGATAAGGATAGGCCGACATCTGCAACCTCATTAAACCTGAAAGCCTGATTTTCTTCACAGAGGTGCAGTTGATTATAATTAGTGCCTGGGAGACAGGCAGAGACTTAGGTACTTAAACAACCAGCAAGCAGGCGAAAAGTACAATGTGCCAAGGAAACATTGAGAGAGGATTACAGTTTCAATCTCACTTTCTCTCCTCTATTTTGAAGACCCGAGGGCCTGATGTTGCAGATTGCCATCCCCTCTGCGCTGAAGGAAACCTGCTACACCACCATGAGGATGGACTGAAGGTTTGTTTTCACCACCTCTCATTTCTCAGTCATTTTAAAAACTGTTTACATCTCTTTTGCCCAGTTTCTGAGCGATTTTGGAGGATGTGACACTGGTCTGCATGCATATGCACGTGATGCACATGAATAGAGCCGGATGAGTCCTGTTTGACACGGTGTATCCTGATGTCTGTTTAGCATACTCTGCTAAATGGCTGAGAGCTTGGCTGTCCCTTCAGGGCACTGCTAACACAGCCATTCATGTCTCACTCTGACAGTCAGACCACCATGATGACGCTGCCCTCCTCCACCTCCTCCTCCCCCTGTTCCCGCTACACTCACGTTGTGCCTTTCCCATTAGGGCTCAGAATTGATAGTCTTTGAGTGAGTAACCTGTAATGGTGTCTCTGTGCGCATTTTCATGCTCGTGCCCCCATAACGGAGCTAAGGGGTTTGCAGAGATGGAGCTGCCACAGACTCATTTTGAAACACCTCAGCATCAGATGTCGTAGAGATGTGCTTATCCAAGATTAACACAACTTGACATGTACCGGCAAAGCTGTAACAGTGGCTGATTAATTGGCTGTGTTTACAAAGAGTAAGCATTTCTCACAGCAGAACTGAAGCCATCAGGTTACAGAGATAAAATAAAGTGAGTTGTTATAGAAGTTTTACCTATTATGGTATGATATAGTTAGAAGATGGAGACTTCTATTGTAAGAAAAAAGACAGAAAGGCTTCAAAATTAATTCCTAATTTTTATGACTGACTTAGACACTGTATACTGTATATTTCTGATTCATTATTTTGCATTAGGCTGTAACATTTTACAAGGAAATGTTTTAATGTAACAGCTGAATGTCTTGCATGAGCCATTGCTCTGCCTTAAAGGGTTTTTAACAAACACTGCTGGGCCATAAAGAAGTTATTTTTTTAATTTAAGTAAAATGACTGTTCGTTTTCTTTTGTGTGACATAAAAGTTAATTTAGATAACTTTTCATCTCTGGATGTTCCAATATTTCCCATCTTTCAAAGACATGTAAGTTACCTCAACTAAAAAGTTTCAACTGCAAATATACGTTCATAAGGATAACCTCCATTTGTCCAGTATCTGCTAGATTTCTTCTAAAATGTATGCCATACAAACCCTTCATCTCCCTGCATTCCTGAATAGTTCAAGCAGAAGAGTGGAATGATAAATGCTGTAAGGGTACATCATAACCATATATGGTAATACAGAAAATAAAATGATTAATTTAGCGAAGAAGATATGTACAAGGGCTTCTTTTACATTTCTGCTGTGTGAATGGTTGCTCCTCTCAACTGCAGATGAAACATAATCATGTTTTGTGTGCTGCTAGGACAGAAGGATATGCTAAAAAAAAAGTCTGGAGTTGTTTTCTTGGCAATGGTACCGTACCTCAGGCAGGGTTTGTGAGTGGGAAGCTGGTGCATGATCACATCTATGTTGCTTCAATAATGTACTGCTGTTTTGAGAAGGCACATAAACAGGTACATGTAGCTTAGGATGGACATGGCAGTGTACGTGCATCCTGTTGATAACAGTAATGAAGTGAGGGTAAAAAGAACATGAAAACTGTGGTGGCTGTTAGCTAAAGATATGTTGTGGATCATGGGTTTGCTGACTGAATCACACAGTTTGCAGTTTAATCAACACCTCCTCATGTCTGTCTCAAGCATACCCTGTGTAGTTAATAGCTGTTTTATCCATCTGCAGGGAACTTGTTTAAAACATTTCGATGAATTTGTAATTATGTTCATTTGGAGACCTAAAGGATTCAGATTGGCTCATTTTTTGCCCTCTGGAGTTCAAATCTCAGCATTTGGTCATGATCTCAGACTCTGTTTTAAAGGTCAGCTGTGACTAAAGAGGAAGTTTTGTATCTCTGTCTTTCCTCTCTCTTTCTCTTGATCTTTGTATCTCTGACTGTCTTTCCCTTACCCCTTTCCTGTTCCTGCAGAGTTTGGCTGTTGAAAGAGTCCACAGTGGTGCAAAGGTGCCTGTGCAGCTTAATATAGATGTATCAGACTGCAATCATTTCGAATCCCCTCTGCAGCCAGACTTAATCGAGGAACAAGAACAGTTGAAACATTTTGTTTTACCATCCTAACTGTGGACAGACTTTGTTTCTTCGCTCTAGTAGGACTGACTCCCACACATCCAGAATGAAGGTGAAATTCCTTTATAAAAGCTGTGGTTTCTAGTGGCAACAGGCTGCCTGCTTCCCTCTGATTCCCTTCCTGTTTGAAGACAGAGAGAGAAAAGAAGCAAGGGTCATTCAGCGTCACAAGAGCTTGCACTTTAAACAGGGCTCAGGTCCAGGTTTTTAGTTTCACAGGATAAATTTACAATTTTTTAGGCTGTCTTAAAAAATAATCCCTAAATGAACAACCTTATACACAAAAAAGCTAAAGTTCGATGATTTATTAATGTCAGTTTTTGTCACTTCTTATGTAACTGCAAACTTCTGAGAATAGTTGGTAAGGTCTGGAGGTCAGGTGAAATCAATCCCTCCAGTTTAAATCATCGACTAGTTTAGAGTTGAAATTGTTGACCCAGAGCGTACGTGTTGAGCCCAATACTATGTTCATAGTAAAAGCTGTAAGACTAGAGTTTGGATGTGCTGATCCCTACTAACCCCCCCGACTGGGTTGTGGAGGTGTCTGGTTACCTGAGCTCGGAGAACTGACTGAAGAGTTATTTTAATAGGTGGCGATGTGGATGATTTACATCTTGCCTGTGTAAAGTTTTTCTCACCTGCTGGAACCCCAAAGAGCCAGGTGCCCTCTGGCCTGATAACCTGGTAGGTGTCTCTCTGCAGGAGCACAATGTATCTGTTGACCCCAACATGCATTCCCCTCTCGTTTCTAATGACCATGCGCCTTTTAACACACCCTCCAGTATGAGATTTCAGCTGGTGTGTAGGTGGTTTCCAGTCTGGTGACAGAGCAGGTGGAATATGAGCTATCTTGGCAAAGTTAGGGGTCCGGTCACAGTTAAACACCTTTCAGTTCAGCAAGTGAGGAGCTACTTGACAGAGTTTAAATGTGCCGCATGCGCTACAAAAGTATCACCTTGTCCACTCAAACTCTATTTTCAGGACATCTGCCTTACTATGAAACAGCAGGGGACTGAGATCCTCAGGATCACAGTTCTCTATTTGCGTTAGTGTAGTAGTGGGTAACATGGGTCAGTGTCACTTCCATGCTCATTGTAAATAATTCATTAGGACACTTGCTGTGGAGTTGAACACAGATGCAGAGGTGTACTTTTAACATGGCCTTCCCAGATAATGTCACACCTTGTCCCCCATATTGCATTAACCTTGCTTTATGTGATACTCTTTTTTTCCCCCATATGTTTCACTTAAAAGCCCGGCCTGCACTTACACACTTACCTGACTTGTCTGTATTGCAGAGATATGTGTGTTACCTGTAGCCTTGTAAAACCAAAATACTGCAACAGAGCAGTTCTTGTGTTTCAATGAATATCAAGTCTTACTGTTGTGTTGTTTACAGCCTCCCACCTCACTGACTCTATTAGATCCAGTAGTATTAGTTGACCCACACCCACCATACACTCAGTGGAGTACCTGTTTGTTTTGAATGTAAGAAAGGGCAACTGGGCACATATAAATTTTCTAGTAGTTTTTTTGTGATTACTGCTTTTAATGGTTTTACATTTATAAAGCAGGGTTGTAATAGATGTCTTTTCAGGGATAGTAGGATCATTTGTAGGAAATATTTGGTGAGACAGGCATCTTAACTAAGGTTTCTCATTTTTAAGCAAGTATCAAGAACAAGATTGTTGAGAAAAGTTTGAAGCCAGTTGAAGATAAAAAGTGAAAAAAATACATTTTTCATTCCTCCACTTTGATTACACGTCTGTGGTGTTAGACAAGCAACAAATGTGTGTGGGTTTTTTTGTCCTCTGTGTGTGAGCTAATGATTGTGTGTCGTCTGGTTTATCTTGTTCCTGGAAAGCTGATCACAACTTTGGCAGCAGGGCCTCCCTATGGGTTTCATCTTGCACAATAGGACGTTGTGCCTGCCTCTGTCAAGGAACTACCTGCCATTCACCTCCTAATTTAGACACGCTTGATGCGAAGTGTCCAGGCTGAACTTGATATTGCCAGGTGAAAAACACACTCTGGACAGGTGCTTTTGATCCAGTCTGGCTTCTTTCACTCCCTCGTCAAGTCTCCGTTTCTCTTCTCTCACTTACCTGCCTTCTCTGTCTGGTGCAAAGAGTTTTGTCTCTTATCAAAAACTTGGCAGTAAGCTGAAGTCATCTCCTGCACTGTCAGAGATGACACAACTGCGCTATTCTCCCCTGCCCTATCCTCACACACATGCGCACAAACACACACATAAATACAATAACGATTGTTCCTGTTTCCTGCCTATGCTGTCATTGTGCAGCTGCTGAATGAGATACGGTTCATTTTCCATCGGTCAGAGACAACACACGCACACATGCTGTATGTTCGCATATTCATGTTTCCATACAATATAATTCCAGATATCTCTCTCTGCCTCTTTCCCTCTCTGTCTTTGTCTGATAAAAAACAAACACTCACATATTGGTGCACTCACACACAAACAGCGCTGCCAGAACTCTCTGGCCTAATTCCCCTCTTATTGATGTGTGTCTGTCAGTGAAAGAGGCGCAGCACAAAGAGCAGTGATGGGTCTGTGTGTGGCTCGAGGGAACAAAGAGTGGTCTATTCCACGCCAGCTCTCAGACTCTTCTGGAAACACTGCAGGGGCTTGTTTAAGCTAAAGCCATGTTTTGAGTTAAACGACTGTATGTTCAGCAATGAATAACAACATGGCTGCTTCAGTGTCAAAGAGCAGTGGCCAGATTGGCCTTCTTGTGTTGCTAATGTCTGCAACTTCTCTGACACACTCAGAAAAATCGAAGAGAGCAGCCAAGGAGGGACAGTAATGAGGCTACAGTGGAATCAAACACTGGCTATATGACTATGGAAACATTTTCATGAAAAGATGATAAAAGTGCAGATTGTCTGCTTTTCTGTGGACTTTCTCAGCAGTCTGACCCTGAGGTGTAATGTCCTTAAAAATAATCACCTTTGATCATCATTATTGTTCAATAATGATAATGGATTTGATTCAGATCCCTGCAGTGCCACATCCTTATTAATATAATCTTTCCACCTGAATGAATCTGCAGCTGTTTACCAACCAGGGAGCTGAGGTGAACATTTATATAGAGCTGTGACATGAGCACAGCTTGTTCAGATGAAGTTAAGAAACATAGAAGTAAAAAAAAAATCATGAGCTTTTTGTATTTGTAGTGATTTTGCACCATTACAGTAAACTACATCTTTAGGGATGGGAGAAAAAATTGATACAGCATAGTATTGCAGTATTCTGTCCGGTGATATATCGTATCGTCTCATTTACCAAGTACTGATTTTTTTCAAATTCATTGTTAACATAAAGTCAAATCTATGATAATAGAAAAAATAAAATCAATTGTTTGTCCGGTGAGGTGACATCATAGAGCAGGAGAAAGTGAGTACAACAAATATATAAAAGGTTTGCAAGATGTGCTACATGAAAATAAAATATAGCCTAATTAAGACAAACATAAAGGAAAGACAAATGCTGAATTAGCTAAACAATTGAAAAAAGTGTACAAATTGCAATATATGGTATCGCAATACTCACTATTGCAAAATGTTAAAAATCGCAGTAGTGTCGTATCGTGATAAAATCGTATTGTGATAATATCGTATCGCGGGGCCGCTAGTCTTTCCCACCCCTGTGAATCTCTGAACCAGCTTATAACATGCATTGCACATGCTTGTCACTGTCAATAAAGTGATAAACTGCTGGTAAAAGCTGTTTTGCCCCTGCCAGTGCCACAGTACTGCCAAGGTTTCACCATCTCTGCAGTTGAGATGGCTCGAGACAATAACAGCAACACTGAATGACCAGCAGTTCAGCTCAATGGCATGAGCCACAGAGTAAAGGACAAGGACATGTGTATTTATACAAGAGAATGAGTGACACGGCCTCAGAGGCCTGTCCGTGCCATCATTCGTGATTCACCTTTGACAGTGTTGTGAAATTTCTCCGAAACGTGCTGACTCACTGAAGCTGCTGCTGCTGACCCCGGCTGTCACTGACACCTGTTAATCACTGATGATCGCTGATCTGTTTCTGTGGTGGACAGGGATTAAATACACCAAAATAAATCCATCCGCTGGCATGTTTATGAGGCTGATCCCAGGAACAAGTGCAGAGAGAATTTGCCTAAGAGGATCACCAAAGTATTCCTTTTTTATTTATTTTTGTTCAAACTGTCCAATGCAGACTTTGTTAAACATTTCAGCATTTGGGAAAAAAAAGCGGTAAGCTTGAGATACATTTGCTTTATTTGTTTTCCAACATGAAGCACTTGTATTATGTATTATAAATATTTTCTTGGATTTGCGCAGTCATCTGCGGTGGTGTTTTTATCGCTCTGTCAGATTAGAAAATGAAGTGTTTCTTGTCAAAACAGGACAGTCACAGTCCTAAGATCCATCTAGTGTTTGTTCTTTTGCTTTATCACTTCATCAAGGTGGACCCACATCACTAACAGACAGATGGAGGGCCTTTCACACATCACACCAGCACACACACACCAGCTCTGACAATAAAGCTCTGTTCTCCAAAGGCTCCTGAAAGAGGATTTAGTTTGAATAAAAACCGTAGGCAATCAAGAAAACATCCAATCCTGTGTTGGGATCAGCCAGGGGATGAAGCAGAGGATTTACAGACACAGGGAGGGATGGGCATCGGGGTCGGAACAAGGCTGCAGGTTCAGATTCAGCTTCAGAACAGGATTACCTTTGCTTTCAGCAGCTCCTGAAACAACACAAGAACAGAGCTGTAACATAGCCAGTTAAACTTTGCTGTGACGGCCTGAAAATACTACTTGCTGCCTCAGTGGAAGGGCTCTTGTATGCATGAATAATCTAGTGTGGATCTAGATTAAATGTATGTAACTGCTTGACGGGCTTACTATTCATGCGCTTTGGTCACACAGGAAGTTCACGAAAAGCTCATGGGAGAGAAAAAGAGAAGTGATGAGTAACTTAAAATTTTTAGTATGTTGTACAACAGACATTTTCCCCTTATTTGATATTGTATGTTTCTGTTTTTCTCTATATATCTTTACTGCCTGATCACAAACTTACCGGAACAATGCTTGTGCCAAGAAATTTCCTATTACACGCAGATATTTCCTGCAGTCACGAGAACTTTGTTAGTGTTTATGAATGTGCATGTCTGACCGTCCAACTATGTTCTTCCTTATGAGCTGACAGTGCAGCTTCAGTCATGTAGTTTGAATATGTAAGCGTCCCTCCCCGGGGCTCTGAGTGTTTCTGCCTTGCTTGTTTTGCTGTCCTCAATGGGAGCCTCTATTGATGCTGCAGTGAGGCTTGGGCTCCTTGCCTGCCTGTCTGTCTGTGGTTCCATCTCTGAGGCTCCTTCTTGAGGGAGACAGCTTGTACATTGTCAGGTGACCACTCTGTTGATTCTATGGCTAACGTTCAGTCTATGCGCGGTGTAAGGCCGTTTGAGGCAGTAATGCACTGTGTTTTGTGTTTGTGACACTGCAGAGGAAACCCTTGTCTCTTGATACCACTACAGGTTAAGGGTGTCCTTTGGGGGTAATAACTGAGCTCCTGAAGACGACAAACAATATACCTAACAGTAACAATATCCAATGTATATCTTGTATACCTTTTAATGTTCACAACTCAAAGTAATAATTATGAATTGCAAACAGAATCTTATTTCTAATTGAGATCATTGAGTACATTTGAAGCTTTGAATCTGAAATATTGTTCTGTGTTTTTCTCTCTCTGGTTTTCTCTCAGGTTATCCACAAGAGTGAGTCACTCGAGGCTGACAGTTGGGCTGATGGTAGGTGGGTTTTTCTCGTCTTGATGTGAATCACTTGCTCTCTCCCTCTTTCACCACTGTTTACATCCACCACTTGCCTCTCTGTGTCTGGGCACCCCTCTATGCTGTTGTTTAATCTTATAGCCTGCATGTATCTGCTTTTGCAATAAATTTAAGCTTTATTTTGGAATCTTTTTTATTGTGCTCGCTTATCTTAATCCAGTTTTTCGCTTTTAATTTATATTTTGTAAAGCAAAAATTCTAGTAGCCTTGCAGCATATCCAAAACCACCCTGAACTGATGCTACAGTATTTAACACATGGTGATTTGATAAATATTATGCATTGCCATTTCAGTTTTGAAATGCAAATGAATGCTGACAGCCTGCAGACTGTCAAACTCCAGTTTGATTGCTATGCATTCACAGTTTTTTCCCATTTGCATAACATTTATAAGTTGCAAATGGTGGAAAGTGGAGATTCATGATTGGATTTCTCTAGATTGAGTTAACATTTCTGCCTCTCATATTCCTTTCTTTCTCTGTGCTAGACCAGCATGGCTGCTTGTTCCTGAATCAAAAGATGCATGCTCCCTCTTTGGATTCCTCTCTCTGACTGCCACTGAGCTGACCCCCCTCCATCCAACTGTCCCATCTCCACTCCCATTGTTCTCTGTTGTACTTCACTGTTTACAAAGTCTTCTGTACTTTATTCAATGCCCTCTTCTTACCCTCTGCTTGTAGAGAGGGGGGTATTAGCCGCCACTTTGATTGGACAGTTTTTCCTTGATATTTATCAGAAGTCGGCAAGGCCATATGCAGCAGGGGGATGATAGTCAACAGGAGCCAGAGGGGGCAGGCCCCGGCTCAGGTTCTGGAGTTAGAAAAGAGACAGGGAGGTCACAAGGCCAAGGGCTGAGGAGGGCTTCATCCCAGTCAGAGCACCCCTCTTTCATTAAGATGAGCCAGAACGCCAGGGAGAGCATGGGGGTTTTTGGCCAGGGACTGAAACATCTGTTCCAGCAACAGCGTAAACGACTCTCCCTCTCTCGCTCAGCCACTCCCTCCTCCTCTTCCTCCTCTTCCTCCTCGGTGGTGTCAGCAGGTGGCACCATCCCCTCTGCACCCGAGGAAGCCTCTGGGCAGACCTGTCCTGATTCTGACCACTTTTCTGCCCCTCTGGTTCCCTCTGCAGCTGGGCAGGGCTCAGCCGCCGTGGGCACGATGAGGCGCGGGACCAGCCTGCAGAGCCGGCGAACTAAAGGCTCCGGGTCTGGATCGGGGAGCGGGGAGCGGGATCCGCTCCTACGAGGAAGCCCTCAGGTCCCGCACCGCCGCAACACCCATGACCCCCAACAGCATGTCAGCCGTCCACGCTCCTCTTCCACCACTGAGACCACGCCCAGCAGCCCCACTCCTGGACAGGTGGGGAGCGATGTGGTACTGTCATCAGGATACCAATCTACGGAGGAGACAGACAGGGTAGGTGACAGCAGCTGTAAATCATATTATCCCGACACAGACTGATCGATGCGCCTCTGTAACCTTTTACTTGTGTCAGGCCTTGTTTGTCAGTGAACTGTCTATTAGAAGCTGAAGTTCACTTCGCTGCTGATGTAACATTCCTTCTGTCTTAGCTGTGAACAAACATGGCCTTCCCTGCCGTCTGCCATCACTGCCATCTGGTTTCACACAGTGCTGAAAAAAGACTGAGTTAAAAGACATTTTGAAACCCAACGAATAATTATTAAAGATAAGGATAGATACCTATATTTAATGTGAAAGGACAGCCAAGGTTGAAGAAAACTAGGTCTGTGTTCTATACTGTCATTGTTACCAATATACATACCAACACAGATTGCGCTTGTTGCAGTTATTTCTCCTTTTTGGCATTAACATGCATCTCAGGTGAGTGCAGGTGTAACTGCACTGAAGATAAACAGAAAGCATTGAGAGCCAGTCAGTTACACCACATACAGGTGGTAAGTGCAGTATAGGGCCTTGTCTTTTTTTTGAAGTGTGTCTCGGGTCACACTGTAGAGCTACCCACTCAATTTACTATTTACTATTTCCCTGTTAAAGCCAACCTTCCACCTTGTAGATAAAGCAGTAATGAAGATGTTCTCAGTAGAAATCATTCTGCACATTATTACTGTATTTCTGTCTTAAAGCACACTACAAAATGTTTTCTAGTTGGATTCAGGGCTCCTGAATTCACAGAGTTATTTTGCGTATTTAAATGGACATGCAGTTGAATGAATCACCTTTTCCCTTTTTTTCTATCACATTGAGGCATCTTTGCATAAACAGAAGCTTCTTCTGTTGGCCACCTTTCCTCTAAAACTAACAGTATTCATAAGCTGCAGATTTATCCCTGAGAGTTAGCAAATAACCCCATAACCTTTTTCTAGGCTGCTTGCCATTTTTTGCTTGGCACTTGGTGGTGAGCCTCATCTGAACCCGTGATCCTCACACACCATAGAAATTTCAAAAAATGTTTTATCTTAGAAATCAGATGATGTTTTTTTTTAATACACATGAAGAGTAAAAGATCTGTGATCACTGAAAGTAAAACTGTGGTGTTATCTTTACAAGCTATCTGTACTAGGCTCAGCTGTTGAGACACAGTCAGGATGAGAGAGCTGGAACACTGAAGTCCTTATCTTCTTATTTTTACCTCGGTTTTTAACCACCTCAGGCATTTCAGACTTTAGTTCATTCAGTTTACCACCAGAGGTCACTGTCAGATCAGCCATCCTGCTGTGAGCTGCGCTGGGCTTGGTTCATGTAGAGGTTGGGTTTGCATTCTAAGCTTTAAAAGGTTGCAGGTTTGGTCCTTGCCTTAATCAGATAAACTCTGTGAACCTGTTTGTAAAAGACAAAGACAAACTAATAGTTGTCATTTCAATGGTAGGTTTGCTGCCATGACCCATAGGTGCAGATTTTTACTTGAACTTGCAGTATTAACCTGTGAGTCAAATTTGATATGATCCTTTGTGCTTAAAATCAAGTCACCTTCAGTTCTGTGTGAATGACCTCACCTGAGATGAAAGACCAGGACTGAGAGCCAGACATCTGTGCTCCATTCATCCTGCTGTGATGGACGACCATCAACCTTTTCTGTATTGTCACTTGCCCTTGGCGGAGACAGTAACCTGTCTTCCTCATCTCTAGTGAACATCTCAGCGCTGTCTCTGCACAACAACACAGCAATGTCATTGAGGTCATGTGAGCGGTCGCCGTGGTTACCCTGAAACTTGCGGCAAGCCGCCTACAACTATGCCCTGCTTGCGTTGCCATGGTAATGGCGTGGTCGACCTTGGGAAGGTGTGTGAGATACCGGTTTAAGTGGAGGTCAAGGGGAAGATTTTTGCTGTGCACCATGAAAAAAACAACCCTTTTGTTAAACCTTCTTCTTTAATTCATCTTTTCTTTCTTGAACTGTTTTCCTCTTGCCCTCCTCTTTTCCTCTATTCTGTATTTCTCTCTTTTCCTCCCTGTACCCCTTCCTCTCTCCCCTGAGAGACTTAGCACAGACAGTCAGCTGGTCCCTCCTCCTCTTCCATACCACCACCACCACCACCACCACTACCCTCCCCCTCCTCACCCCACCCGTCGGCACACTGACAGGAAGCAGGAGGCAACCTTGCCTCGTCCTAAATGAGAGAGAGCCGAGCATGGGCTGTGTGTGTGAATGTGTTTCAGGAGAGGATGTAGAGGGGCGTGTTCATGTGTGGTTACAAGATCTTGTTTTTGTCTATTCATTGTTTATGTGTGTATGCTGTAAATCATCCGTGCATTAGCAGCCATGTGGTGTGGTGAATTGTATACAAGAGAGGGAGACAGAGCTCAGGGATCTCTATGAATTGAAGAGGAGGGCAACACAGCTGAGCAGCCTTTATCTTTGCTTGCTCTCCCTCCCTTTTTTTCATCTCCCTCTCCCTCTGTCACCCTCTCTCTCTCTCTCCTCTCTTGTGTTTGCATAGTAGACGAAAGCGGTGTGGACTAAAAATGTGTGTGCACATGGCTGTTTGGAGAGGAGGGTAGTCTGTGTACCTCCAGGATGTGTGTCTGTGAATGTACAGTCTACTCCATGAGGCGGTGTGTACTTATGAGGGATTTCAGTGGAGAGGAGTAGAGCTGGGGTTCCAGCTGTGGGTTCAGCAGTCAGTCAAAATGGTGCAGCGCTTCAGCCTTCGTAGACAGTACTCCAAGGTAAGCTTAAATCAAACAAGCTTGTTGAGTCACTAAAACCTTGTCTGTGTGTTTTCCTGTCTCTTTGCTGCCACTTCATTCATGGCTGGAGGCACAGTTGTGTTCATTTTTTTGCTGCTGGCAATGCCTTGTGTTTGGATTTTGTGCGTCTTTTTACACCCCTCTTTCTCTCTCTCTCGCTCTTTCTTTCTGTAATTAGATGAAGAGTTTCTTTTTGCTGCTTATTTAGTGCTTCCTCTCAGCAAAATGTTATTGATCAGTTCTCTAGTGAGCTAAAAAAAAACAATGGACAGTACATCAGTAAGCTGAAAATTGGACCCCCAAACAAGACTTATTGCTTGTTTTTTTCTCTGGTTTTAGTTTTATATTGGAGCACACAAAGATTTTCCTCCGAGTTCTCATCCACTTAAAGGTTTATTGATTCATACAGTAACAAAGTGGTCCATCTCTGCACTTTATCTCAACTCCTGTTAAACAGTAACTTAAGCCGGAGCAGCGAGCGCTTCAGCCCATAAGGTCGATTTGAGCCGTCACCAAGGGGAGTAATGATTAGTAAATATTTTGTCTGGTTATTGCTGATCGGGGAGCATTTATGACTCAAATGCAATAACAGTTTAGCTTAGTATGACACTGCTTTACGGCTATCCATGAGAAAGATAAATCACCCCCTGATGGCAGGGCTGCTAAAGAGGGTAGGGGGGCTGGTTTCAAATTCAGCATTAGGTCTGTTAAAAGCCCGCTGTTCTGCAGCTGGTGCTCAGCCTGTGGGATTAATTACAATTAGCTGCTGATTAATTGATTGACTAACTACGCCCACCCGATTTATCTTCAGCTCTGTGCCACAGTGCCGGTGAATGTTCATCTGCCTGTGAGCATCAACATGTGCGTGCACATATGCACACATGCGGGCAGCCAGAGGCACAGTCTCACTTTAAAGCTGGAAGGCCTGATCCTAGACTGATCAAAACTCATCTTGTCTGGTTTTTCATTTTTCTTCTCAGAGGAATAGGGACACAAACAGAAGTAGAAACTGATAGAAGAAGGATTTGGCTGCAAGGTGCAAAATTTTTAGTGTCACGGTGTCAGGCTTGTTTGGGGCTGGAGATATGGGAAATAAAACTGGGTAAAAGCTCCAGTGGGATATGAGCTATTGAGCTGAGATTGAGAACAGGAGCCAAGCCCTGAAGCTAGTCCTCTTACAGTGTAAGATTTTTGTGTGTGAAAGAGATTTAAAAGATTTGTTTTTGGAGAACAAAACCTTCTCCAGAGCCTCTCTGCGATTGGTCACTGATCTACCCTCCATCTGATAGATGACCCTGTCTCCTTACTTCAGGCTGCATCTCCATCTGTCCACCTTTCTCTGTGCACACTTTCCTTTATCTTTTGCTGTTCATGTCAAATATTTCATTGTGTGTTCTCCTGCAGTAGTAACTGAACAAGCATTTTTTTTCCTTTTTGAAAAAATGTAATCTTTTTTGACTTGACCTTTTAGCTGCTCTCAGATGCTTGTTGTATTTAAATCCACTTTTTGCACCAAAGAGATATAAAAAGAAAACATACTGATAACCTTTGAAACAGGTCAGTTTTTTTAATAACATATTTGAGCAGCATATCAAGTACCATTTAAAAGAGTTTGAGGGTTTATATTCCAAAAAGATTGAAGAGTTTTTTTTTCAGTATCATTTGATGAACCAAGGTTGATTTAAGAAAAGCAAATTTGTTTTGAGTGTATTGACTAGGAATGTAGAAACTTCTTACTCTATCATACTTTTGGAGTTATAATCCTCAGCAAAAATTTGTTTGTCCTCTCTTACAGTCTCCATACATTGTACAGCCTTGTGTTGTCTCAGGGATTGTTTTGTGTGCTTGACTTTAAAAGTCTTTCTTATGCACTTGAGCCTGTCTCTGAAAGGATTTGCAAAGGATTTTGACAACAGACTCATTGTGGAGGATTTAGATTTCTTTTGTCACTCCAACACTGTCCTGTTAAAAAAAAACGGAAGGAGAAGTGTCAGTGGGAGGCACAGAACATTACCTGCTCCCCTGAGGCTTGTTCCTGCCTGCTAGTTCAACATCCTCATCAGTGTGCTCTCATTGTCTCTCACCTCCCCAGGCTACCGGCTGTGCTTTGATGAAAGCGTTTGTGCCCTTTGCGGCAGGACACCATCGCTTGTCCTGGATCTATTTTGGTGACATTGAGTTATTTGAAAATGTCCAAAGACAGTCTTGGATACGACAAGGAATCAGTCATTTATCTACAACAGATACTTTCATCAATTGCTGTAAACTGCTACTGTTACTATTTGTAATTATCATATTATTAAAACCTCAGCCACGACAGATTTACCTCTCATAACCTAAGCCCAGCCACCCGATCATGTAGTCAAACTTGTGTCTAATCAAACAACTCAGTGTAGAATGACAGTGAGGGAGGGAGAGAGAGGGAAAGACAAGCATGAGCATGATGAAGCATGTGCTCTTACTCGATGCAGATTATGTCATCCTACTACTGTTTGTCAACTGCCAATTGGTAGCCAATAGTCTTTCTAGCACTGTGTTGTTGCAGACGTCAGCATTTTGTAATGAATCTTTGTGGTCCAGGGTTGTTGACATCGGCAAATTTGTAGGGTTTGGCAGATGTGTGAGGTTGAAGTGTTGAGGCAGTACCAAAAGTTGATTATTATGTGTTTATGTTCCTTCTTTACTCTGTAGTCTTTCCCACTATCTTGTCTTTATGCTTTTATGCACACTTTAGTGGTTTCTCCTCTCTTTCTTTTTTCACTATCTTCTATTCCTCTTCCCAGACAAACAAAAATCCTCCTGTCCTTCGATTTTCTTTGCTTATTAACAGCAAATATAAACATGGCCTTTCTTACTTTCCTCCACTGGTTTGTGATCTGTCCATTTGTACAGCATATTGCAAATTTACACAGTATAGCATGGGTGTAAGTGTATGCAGGGAGACAGTTATTGATTAGGTGAACAAACACTGGTATTGATTGTGTATTACACACAATGGCTCTCCTGTTCTATCTTCTGCTGCCGCTGGCTCTCTACTTACTAACATTACTTGCCAGCAATGGGATGGTGTGTTTATGCGTGGGCGCACTTAATGTGTTTTTGATCATTCAAATGGGTGTCGAATTAGGCAAAGTGTTAGGCCACCATGAGGTGCCAGACCAGCTCGAGAGCTACTTGGCACTCTTGATTCTGGCAGAGGGATTAAAAATCATTCTCCCCGATATTAGATCTTAATTTAATGACTAGATGGTGCTGATGTTGAGAGCTATGTAAGAGCATCATTTGAAATCAACAAGCAATGATTTCAAAGCGTTTCTCTCAGGGTAAGGGTAAACTTTTGCCTTCTGCCCTCCCCCGATCTAATTTGTGCGATAAATTATATGACCCCAACAATGTCTCATCAAAATGTAAAACTTTAATATCACATCGCGTTTTTCATTACAAGTCATTTTGTGATTCTTATGTCCTGTCTCATGTATTTTTCAGGGATTGGGAAGCTCAGTGTCCTTACCAGGAAGTTTGCTTCACACACATTAAAATATATCAGACCTTACACTCAGGTTAAGTCATAGGCCAAATCACCTCTGCTCAACCCAGTAGAGATATTTAGAAGCTTAGAGGTGACAGAAATTATGTCCATTACTCTGTTTTTTTTTTTTTTTTGAGAAGTGGAAAACTTTTCAAATCTATCATTCAGCACTTCTGCTTCAACAAGCCAGAGATTTCTTATGTATTGAAATTTGAGCCCACAGCATACCAAAAGGTTTCACTCAAACAGTGATGTAACTGTTGACTATAAGTAAAACATAAATCCCCAGTCTCTATGAAACCAGGAGCACCGTAGATAAAGTATATAACATTTCAGGGCTACATTTCTACCAGAAATCAACATTTTAATCTCATGTCAATGACTGTGTTGAGTTGATAAGGATCTGTTTGTTATTTAAGGAGTTGTCACTTTTAATCATTCTTTAATCTTTTTTTATTCAGTCCTGTAATTTACAATCCACCAGAAGTATACTTCAAAATAAAAGCACAGTTTGATAATGCAAGAGATAAAGAAACAAAAATGCATGAGGAGAGAAATGTCAAAATAAAAGCACAACAAACAAGGCAATGTCTTCTCCAAAAAAGTAAAATAAATCATCACCACATTGGAAGATTATTAGAAATAGATGATTTTATGTAAGTTAATTGCATTTTATAGAAAAGTTAATGAAGTAATTCCTTAATTTAAATTGTTGTGTTTTTTTATTCTCAAGTTTATTGTTATAATGTCATTATTATATTTTATGGCCACGGTATTCATGAGGTGAAAATCTGATTATGCGACAGCTCTAATTTAAAAATTCTCTCTCAGATGGTCTGGTTGTGAGTCCAAGACCTGAGTGATGCCGACTGAACACCTTGTACCTTCTTTGGCATTTTGCTGTTGAAAAGAAACTCTTGGCCTGATGGTATTTTGGTCTGAACTCGAAATGCCAAGCACCAGATCCTAGCTGAGAAGCAGCTAGAATTTGTTTTTGGTTCAAATATTAGACATCTTTGTATAGATTTCTAATTATACACTTGTACATTATGTACTTATGTTAGCGGGCACATGTACGTAGCTATGTGGAGGATCTCTATTCAGGCTCATTTTCCTCCTTTTAATGTTTTTTTCTTGTTCAACTATTTCTTTCCACACCCTCTTTCCATCCTTTACCCCCTCACTGTTTGTCTTTCTCCGTATCTCAGGTACTGTCATCCCGTAGCTCTCACCCTCTCTTCATCTTTCTCCCTCTCATCTGTGTCCACTGCTCAGACAGTGGAGCTGGTTGCCCATCTCCATGGTAACAGGTTGATGTTCAAAGAGGGCCATAGCTGCTTTACCCAGTTGAATGCTCACAGGTCTGCTGTCTGATCTCACAACCTCCCCACCAGTCTGTTTGGGTGGAAAGCAACCTTTTAGAGCTGTGCAAAAGCATCTTCTAAAATTAGACTCCAGTGCAAGTTCACCAAACATGCCTAATTCTGTCAAACGTGGCTCTTCTAAACTTCAAAACTAGGCTGTCTTGTTTGTCAAGCTTTGCATATGGCACGGCTCCACAGGAGACGGGTTGGAATGGCAACCTATCTCTTAGATCTCCATGCTCTAGATGCTCGACTGTTTCCTGTCTCTCTGACAATGCATATTTAAATTGAGTCCTCAGCATGACGTACAAAGAAAGCTGTGAATTGTGTTGCAGTGTCAGTAAAAAAAAAGTTTGTGCTCAACAGTTAACAGTCCTCGATGGGACTCCTGTCCTCCTTCAAAGAGAAAGAACCAAACAAAGTAAAGAGATGCTATGTAAATGTTTTGTTGTGTCATGTGAAATCCAGAGAGTGGCATTAAATCAGATTCTTGTGTTTTGTGTGCAGATCTGTGTGTGTCTGCGTGCGTGTGTGTGTGCGCTTCCTTTGTGTGTGTGTGAGCTCCCCACCCTACTGTTTGTGCTCCCTTTGAAGTGGTGCCCCAGCCTGTTTAATTAGGCTGCTGAATATTCATTTGTGATTACACATATAGGCCGACGCCCTTATCTAGGGCTGGTTGCTATTAGTATTAACAACATTGGGAACACCTCATGCTATTCCACAAACACACATACTCTCTTACACACGCACACCTTATGACATGAAAAAAGGTTACAACAGGGATTCAACTAAGAGATGAGGATGTTTGAAAGGTTAATACATATAGGTGTATTTGTGTAAGGGTGGTGTGGTTTTATTTGTTAGAGAAGTCAGAGTTTTGGAGGGGAAAGAGATAAAATAAAGATATGAGTTTCAAGCCATTCTTCCCTTTCAGTTAGTTTTATAGGCTCCCAATCTGGGTCTAAATGAGGAAGGAGTCTACTGCAGCCCTGCCTGTTTCTCTTCTGCTATTTATAGACAGATGTCAGAACCAGTGCTGGTCAAGTTCACTAATAAAGGACATTTTACTGTATTAATATCAGCAGAAAAAAGGAATAGGTTTGTTAATAATTAAGTGACAAGAAATCCATTTTCCGAACCACTCCCTCTCTGCATACAAATGACATCCCTCAGTCGTTTTTGTCATCGGATTGTACCATTTGATTTCTGCATTTATCCTTTCTTTAATTATTTTCAGGTAGTCCGAAATTGTTTCAGGATAGATTTCTTTTCAACTTGGAGTACTTTTGAGATGATTTGGCATGTTTGTGCAGGAGGTCATGTGCATTTGTGTACATTCATGTCAGCAGTGAGTCACTATGGGTCATTCTTTGTGTGTTTATTTTTGGCCTGCAGCTGGTCCTTCCTCTTTCAGCTTTGTGTGTCGGTGTATAAGAGGGGACATAAGTGCGAGCATGCACGTGTTTTGCTGTTTTCTCAGCCGTTGCACAATTGCTACATACTTGGCCGGTCTTGGGATGCTCTGGTTAACCTTGACCCACATTTCTCTTCTTCAAACACTCTCCTCTGGCTGGATTTTTTTTCCTCATTCAACAGAGTGGGCTTTGACTGAGGTAGCGTCAGTGTAAGATCTGAAAATAAAATCATGTGCTTGTGAAATTATACCACTCTGTTCCTTGATGAAAACTCACCTGGTTGTATTTCTTTTTTCTTTACTCAGGGTGGTCAGTGTGTTGTTTGTAAAAGGAAATTGCTCATTTTGAGAGAGAGAGAGGGAGAGAGCGAGCAGAGAAAAAAAAGGCAGACAGACTCTGGGGGAGCACGCTCCCCATCCCTGCCACTCCCTGCCCTGTCTATATCATTTGTGTGAATCTGATGAATTATGGATGAGGCTATAGATCGCTGAGCTCAGCTCTGCTCCACTGACCCACTTAGAACGCACATGGGCACACATTTCAAGTCTGGTCACAACCTCTGGAGAATGCTATCATATTTTCCCTCTGCCATTATTCAGAACCATTACACTCATTCTTATGTGTGTCAGGCAGAAGGAATCATGAGAATCAGTTATTCTTTTCCTGAATGCATCCCTTCAGAAAAGCTCCTTTCCCTCTGAAAAATTTTCTCAGTAACACTGACACAACATTTAAGGATTATATTTCTCCAAATAATTTATTTGGTTGAAAATGCACCATCAGAAAACACAAAACTATATCTGTGCAAGCTGACATGCTTACGCTATTCAGTATCTGCTCTTAACATAACAAGTTGTTTTCTTGTGAATTTCTACCCTAAAATTTTTAATGTATAATACCACAGTGTGAACCGTGTGGTTACACCCTTCTCTGCTCTCAATTTTACTGCCTGCTGTTCATCTCATGACAAATCCTGCCCTCCTTCCTGTTCTCAGAATCAGCCCAAAGGGCACCTATGTGCCTCTATGTCACACAAGGTATGAGTTATGTTACATAATGTACTGCATGTCTTTCTGGGGGAGGAGTGATAATGAAAGAATGTAATAAAATGGAAAGGCTTATTGACAGGAAACATGTCAGGAAATGACTGCAGTCACAGACAGACCTGTAACACACTCAATTGGCCATATAGTAAAGGAAACACACTGTGGAGTATATTTTGTGCTCTTACTCCCTCTGGTGGATTGATGTTGAAGTTAGGTTAAGTGTTCGTAATATTTACATCCACGTTTTCCTCTGCTTTGCTGTTTTAATGGTATAAAACATTCCTCCCTGGGACAGCAACTCACATTTCAGAGATCCTCCTATGATTTGATATCTGTTTAAGAACTGAAAATCACTGAATCACCTGGTCTTGTTCTGTGTCAAAACAGACAAGTTACATCAGACATGGAGGTAATAGCATTTAGTGTCCACACAAAGCAGAGGGGAGTTTGGTCAAGTCTTAACCCTAATCTTCGCTCTCTGGCATAAATCAGAAGAACCAACCTGTGTTCATCAAAATCTGGAGGTTTTGAGTTTTTCAGCCGTTTCCATTTTTATTACAGGCTGTTTCATGTATAAATAATCTGTGTGGGATTCAAAATACCTTCTGATTTTCTCTCTGTGCAGTAGCTGTCAAGCAGGTGAGTTCTATTAGTAAAACACCAATCCTTGTTACCAGCCCTCTTGTGAAGTCTATTCCTCGAGGTGGCCTTATTTGAAGGTTTCTAAAACGAGCTTAACAGCACCTATGACCTGAACCATCAAGTAAGTCTGCCTCAAAGTGGGCAGTGGGTTCAGCCTGGGGCTACAATGTGTGGTATGGGGTTTGAGAGGACAAGAAAACTTGGATGGGGCCAAACTAAACAAACTTTCTGGCCCATAAGGCTGGGACTGTTTGTTCTAGATTCTTCATCTTCCTGCTTATGAATAGGCTGGCAGTGTGTTTGGGTCCGCACACTGCTCCGTGGTACTCTGGGTATTATACATCATTCAGCCAGACCAACTCTGCATATTGGGCTGGTGCCCTTTCTGTTTCAATGTTGCATAACCGGAGTTTGAGTATGAACAGAAGTCTAAACAGAACCAGCTCCAACAAATACCAGCCACCAATGGACAAACATTGTTTCTGCGCACGTACCCACTTTGTTCCCCTTCATGTACACACATTGCTTTCTGTACATAAACAAACAGCCACTGTCCTTGTACCCCAACTTTTATTTATTTATATCAAATTGAACCTCCGTATACATATCCACATATACCATTAAATAAATCTTAACAGAAAAGGTCAAAACATGATTGGGGACTGCCAACGTATAACACAAACAAAGGATATCATAAAAAAAATACATTTGACTCAACCCAAAACCCCATTTTTGTTTGCAGATATGGAGTAATATGCCACCAGATGACGTCTGTCATTTTAGTGTACCAACATTTATTGGTTGAGCTGCACTATAATTAAATTAGCAAAACCCTAAAATTTGCAAATGCATTGGCAGAATACTAAACTCTTTGCCAATAATCCAAATATCATACCGTACCTTTCCAAAGTGACATACTGAAACATTCACGCCTGGCTGTTTCTTTTATGAACTTTTATATTTACAACATGTTATATCCCTGTGGTGGTAAATATGGAGGTAAGACATGCCAGCAAAATCCTAGTCAAAATTTTAGCAATTTTGGAAAACTTAGTCTGCATAGTTGGATACTGCATACTCTGCGTATGGGTGAACAGAGAGATTGCACAGGACAAATTTGCAATAACCCATCTGACAATTTTCATGTATCCACCAGTCTATAAGTAAATGAATTCAGGTTAACAATGGATTAAAACAAATGGAGCTAATGTTTCCGGTCACTTAACAATCTTCACCTGACTTAAAAAATGCAAAACATTTTAAAAAAGATGGTTTTATAGTTTCAATCTCAGTAAGACTTACTCTGAATGTGAGGGTTTGGTCTCTCTTGCTGTGTGATGTGTCCTGGGTTAGATCAGGAGGGTGCACTAACACTGCATTGTCAGGGCCTTTCTTTAAGTGCAGTCAGACTATGTGGGTGTCTAAACTTGACTTTCGAGACGGGCTTGCAGAATTTTCAGACATAGCTGGCCATCATTGTCCACGTCCAGACGAGGGATAAAACTGTTAAAAGCCTTTGTTGTTTGTGTTGTTGTTATTGTTGTTTGTTTTCCTTCCTGCCTCGCTTGCCAGTATTTTTGCTGGCTGGAAAGATGTTTCATGCTCTCTGACCGCGCCAGTCATAATAGCCTCTGTGTATAAAGTGCCCACTGGTTTATGTAACTGCTAATAGGCCCATTGATTATACTGGAGCTTAGAGTAGGGAGAGCTGGACAGCCTGGGTTGCACAGGAGGCTTCTTTTTTTTATGGGAGATGGCATTGTTCAACAAGGCCTGAGCCCCGAGTCATGGTTGTCGCCTCTCTCTCAGGCTTGAATTACCCCCAGTCCATGCAGACAAAGCTCTCGCTCTTCTGCCTTTACGTAACCTCTCACACCCCCAAACCACACCACCATGTAACCCCTTTCAATATACACTCACACGGAGGGGCCTGTGGTGTCTGAGCAGGGAACCTACACATAGATATATAATTTAAGGGGGAGCGGGTCGCCGGGGTTAAGACTTCATGTCCCCTATACATGTTTTTATGGTCTACTTCTTCTCCCTATATGGTTAATTCTGTTCATCCCTCCTCTATTCCCCCTTCAGTTACCATCAGGATCAGCCTCTACCCTTCTGTTCTTGATTCTTCCAAAAACTTTCTGGCTGTGTGGTGCCCGCCTGGCCTCAGTTCAGCGCCAGGCTTAGTCCTTTGAATGACAATGAGTATGATGTATTATGAAATTCTTGCCGCCTTTCTCCACAGGCTGGGGAAGAAAAACATAGCCACAAGTTATGTTGGTAAAGCTGACCGTACAGCAGACCACCTTTGTTTTCAAACCAGAGACATGTTATGTGTAAAACATAATATTTTTGAATGGGTAAACATGAATTGTATTACAGTTCTATCTTTAATATTTCAGTAAACAAACTGTGTAATCCACTATAACTTTATTTGTGTAGCATTTTTCAAAACACAAGTTACAGTGCTCAGCATAAACAAATACACCCCTTCAGGGTTGTCAGAAAACCTTTAGTTTCCTTTCAAAATCAAAATTTCTATGTCAAGCTATACAACAAAATACTCCCCCAAATATAGGCCATTGATTGCAAACAAGATTTTTTAAGTTGCATCCCAAAAATTTAAAATCAGGATGCAAAAATGAGTCCATCCCAATCAAAGTTCTGGGAGCAAAGCTAAATTTTAGTTACCATATCACCCTTATTTTCATCTTATGGTGAATAAAATGTCATGTTAAACTCAGCTTTGTCAAAAGTTTGGAAATTGTACTTTTGCTCCTCTAGATATTGACTAATACATTACTTTTAATAGGGAGTGTACTGACTTATGCTGGGTACTGTAAATGTGATTAACATTAAGAATAGCTCAAACAAAACAGACATAAACTAGCACAAGAGGTCTAAACAAACACTATAAAACTTAAACATTAACTATCAGCACTGTAAGGTGTGAGTTTTTTTAAAGTGCTGTGCAGAAAGACAAAGATAGCAACCCTGATCTCCTCCAACAAGTTGTTTCAAAGTCTAGGGGCCCAGATTGCAAAAGCTTTATCACATTTGTCCGTTACAGAACTTTGAACCAGGAGGGACCATGCTGGGGATCTCAGGGAGCAAATAAATGAGCGCATAGCTCTATTAGTGCATTTTGTGTTGAAAGAAAAAGTTCACGTGATGAATGACACGAGTTTGATTCTGGTATAGGTGTGTCTTCATAAATCATTTTAATCTGTTTGGCTGCTTAAAAAAACATTACAGTCGGTGGCCCATCCCACATATTGTCGTACTGTTCTACTGTTGGGTGTGTCAGTCTGTTTTACCAGATAAGCATGCCTGCTTTTGAATGTCCGCATACTTCACCAGTTCAGCGGGTCAGGTCCTTTCCAGACACAAGCGAAATGCACGTGATGTATTCATCAAATGAGGTCATCATTTTGTCAACAAGGTACTTCCCAGTTTGAGTGATGCCACCAAAGGATCTCACAGGGAATGTGCATGTGATCTAAAAAATCATGTTAGATTTGATAAGTTAATTCATAACTGAAGTAAAACAATACGGTTCAAAGATATTATGAGTCAAAGTACCCTATCATGTTAATGCTACAGCTTCTGCCCATGTAAATAACACCTAATATCAGTCCCAGATCTTCACTCTATCCCTCTAAGTTTCAGCTGCTAATGTGGCATTAATAAAGTAAACCACCCTTTGGGGCCAGCATCTTCATTTTATATTTAGCTCTCAAACATCAATCACTTGTCGAGGCACGAGCACATCCCCCTCTGTGAGTTTGTGATTGAGGTGCCACTCTGCTATTTAGGGAATGTTATTAAGGACTGCAATTAGAGAGTTTGTGAAGATATCCTGAGTCACTCTGAAAGCCAGAGTATTCCTGGACAGACAGAAGCTGCTGGGGGCTACATGAACTTTGTAGGGGGGCTTGGACCTTAGGCTGGGATGACTTGCTGAGACCGGGGCAAAGAATGACAGCAATGCATTCCTGCTTGAAAGGAGACGGTTAGTCAGAAGATAGTGTGAAATTCCTCCATGTGACGAATGATCGACAGCAAAGGCATCAGTAAGATAAACATCTTATGTTGTTTGTCACTTTAAGGAGTATTACTGCATGACTTACCGATGATCTGAGTTCAGAAACCAGTTCCACCAGCTGTTCATACTTTAAATCTGAGTGTTGTGATATTATCAGGTTTTGCTCAGTGGAGACTGACACATCAGTGAATCAATGCAGCAAGTAAACAAGATTTTTCATTCTGCAAAATTACCTCCTACTAAATATGTCCTACTGTTTGGCCAGGGGTAAATAGTTAAACAGACTAGCATGCTAGGTTAGTGGTATTTATTTTTGATAGGTATCTCAACAAGAAAGACTTCAGATTTACTTATTTAAAGATTACACAGTGACATCCTGAGTATAATTCTCGCATAGTTTAGCTTAAGTCTGTCTTTTTCCGCAATTAATTAACAACAAATGTGTATTTTTGTATATGATATATTTAGAGATGAAACAAAGCCACACCTTTACTGACTTCTGATCCATAAAAGATGTATTATTTTTTTTATTCAAAATAGTTTTAAATCTGTTTAACAATGCGCAGCTTACCAGTGTTTGATTTGCACTTTTCAGGAGTTCCAGTTTGGTTGCTCTCTCTCTTTGTCACACAGGCATGACTGGTCATAGCATGCCTACACGGGGGAAAGTCCCTGAGACCTGAGTCTCCCACTGTGTTGACTGGCCTACATTCCACTGCCACCTATTTAGCAAGCGTTGTTGTACATCATTAATTGAGTTTTATCCACAGATCCTCGGTGGTTTAAACTCAAAAATAATCTGCCAGTTTGTGTGAAGCCTGTCGCAGTCAGTGTAAATTAACTGCACCTGAATCTTGGCTCAAATGTGAAAGCTCGAACTGAAGGTATTTTGGGGACACTTAACTGAAACAAAGTGCGTGTTATGTTCGGCTTGCCAAGTGGGCCATCTTGTTCTCATCAGTGAAATATGCCAGTCAAAAGAGTCTTTTTACCTCTTATAATGACAGCAGCAGATACTTCCACAGATCTTTTCTACCAACATATTACAGATGTCATTTTATAGTAATGTTGGACCCTTTATTTATCTGGAGAAATTATTATATCCAAGATCTTAGTGATTTTACACACAAAGTGCTGATGCATCTCATTGAGGTTTGTTGACCTCTTACTTAAGTTAAGTTACAGCGCACTTTTAATGAGAAAGGCTGAGACGAAAATAGACAAAACCAGCTTCTAAGTGACAAACTTCCTCGTGCAAGATCAGTACCAGACTCTGGTTTTGAACTTCTGATGCTACCATGTCTCCCCTTGATGAAAACACTTGGGTCAATCCTAGGTATCACACACTTCCATTTCCATCTGAGCAGGTTGGGACTATTCTTACATAAGCAGCCTTAGCCTACCCTCTCTCCTGGTCCCCAAACTCCCTCCCCTCCCTCATTAAAGCCTGTATTCATGCTCTCCTCACCCCCCCCCTCCCTCCTGTCGGCCTCTGCACTGAAGTCTTTAGTAGCCCTTGTCCTGCCTTACCCCCTACGCGCCGTGCTTTGCTTCCCTGCCTAATTGGTTTGTACACTTTAGGAAGTGACGGCTCCTGTGAAACAGGACTTTATCTGGAAAAGCATGTGCAGAGAGAGGAGGCACTTGAATGTAAATTATCATGTGCTTTATTGCTTTTGAGGTGAGCAACACGCTCTTTACCTCTGAATTGATAAAACATTATAGTGTCTACACATTTAAGTTGAGTAATATTATTTGATTTCCAATTTAACTTGTTATATGAGAGGATATAAAAAAATGTATAGTCATATTTACCAGTTTTTCCCACTGAGTTTTAACTAACTTTTTTAACTAACTCAGTTCAAGTTGTAGTAGCCAGTTGCAAGCATGCTGTTGCTGTGATAAATCGGTAAGATAGAGTAAACCAAAGAAGGGATGAAACCGTCCTTTCATTTGTGGGAAAGTAACCCAGTGACGCAGTCTTGAGCTATCGTCATGTGTCCCTACATATGCACAGTTTTGAATAGCAGCTTTGTAATCGTCATATGACTGTGTAATCTGTGTAAGCTGGGTGTTTGCTTGGGTGCAGGATCATTCTTCTCGTTAGACCGAAAAAAGTAAACTCCTTTGCAGCTGTGTGTTTCAGGATATAGATATAATTATGTGCAAAATCATAGAACTTCAAGCTCAGGTCATGCAGTGCGGTGCAGAGACGCTTTGTTTAGCCGGGGTTATGAGTGCACACAGGGAGTAGATGGTGACTCATTACAGCATGATCCCTGTGGAAACTGATTGGCTATGACAATTAAACTGTGCGATAATGAAAAGGTGGAGTACGCGGTTTTCTCTGTTTCTTTCTGCCTGAGCTAACCACTATTTTGGAGCTTAGCTGGCTCCAACAGAAGAAAAGCTTCCCCCCACCCTTCACAAAGCTTTCTCACAACCCCTCTCTCCTTTGCTCCCTCTCGCTCCGTCTCCCTCTCAGTGACAGCTCCTGGTGGGCTCTTTTTTTTCTCCAGTCTACTCCCTCGCTCTCCTCACATCCGTCCTCTGGGTCTCTGCTTCTTTTTTTTTTTTTCTCCCTCTGAGGATTTTATCCCTGACGGACTCTTTGAACATTTAACTTCTCTGTAAACTTTTCCTTCTTTTAACCCTGCGTCCATCGGGCCCTGCCAGCCTTCATCCGATTAACTGCCTCTGCTCTGTCAACCCAAACCCGCATCAGACGGACCCTTTGCTCCAGAGGAGTCTTTGCTTTCCTCCCGTTGAAGGCTGTCTGTGGGAGTTCTGCTCATCGGAGCACACGTGTGCGTTTCATAGGCTCGCTGTCGGTTGCTGTGTACAGTGGAGCGTGTGTCAGCACTGAAGCGTGGTCATGGGCTTTGAAGAGCAGCTGCTCTGTGGACCATCCGCTCAACATTCCCTCGACTCTGCAGCTTTCAATAGTCACGGTTTATTACTGGAGAGACTGAGCACTCTATGGATCCTGTATATTCAATCAGGCTTCTAATTCCAAAGAGTCTCCACTTTCCTGTTGTCAAGTGGAGTCTTTGTCTAGAGGACTTAAAGTCAAGTGGATTTTGTTTGTCCTGAGTGATGAGTGTATTCACGGGGCCTCGCTTTTCCCCTCTCCCCGGACTGTGCTTGTCTCTTTGGGCAAACAAAAACAGATAGGCAGAGCTGACAAAAGCTGTACGCATGCGTCTCACCACCATGGAGGTCATCCTCAACCTGGTTACCCCTGACTCCTCTCCACTTCACACTCCCACCACTGTGAGTCTCTACCTATGCATAGTGCTTGTATAATTTGTCACGCTTGTTTTGAGATTTTATTTTATAGAACGAACCCTCTCTGTGGTTCAAGTCTGTAATTGTTCCAGTGCCTTTGTTTACCTTGACATGCTGGGTGTGCTCACCTGTCGCGGTGTGTGTGTGTGTTCTGTGTGTTGTACATCGAATCTAAATACACTTCTCTGTTAAAACAAAAACTTGGAAGCCACAACTTTGGAGGGAGTCCAATCTCATTGGATTTGTCTGGAAATCATTTGGACTGAAGTCTTTGTTGTCATTGTTAGGCCTAAGCAAAATCCTCCATTTTTTTTCTGCTAAGACCTGACCTCTCAGCTGTTGACGTGTTTCTTTCTCGTGGATGTGAACACAAATGGCTTTTCTCACACTCTCTCAATTCCTTGGGAAATTTGCTGCCAGGCATTTGCTAAGCGTTTGTGATTTTGTTAATGTGTGTGTGCGCCTGTTTGTTGTGCATGGGCATTAGTGCAACTTAGTGCCACGTGCAAATTCGTGAGTGCAAGAGTTGAGTAAACTGAGTCTGGGCCAGCATAACAGGGGGTTATGTAATTTTCTATATCTGCTGAAAAGCGTTCATTGTGGCCACATTGTATCCCCTAAACAGTGACAAAAGTCGATTCTCATTAAAAGAAAAACTTTTGTGCGGAGCTAAATTTAGCATACCTGGCAAATGAAAAGAGGAGAGCAGTTGGATACATGGCAGATTTGTCACAGACACTGATATTTATAGATATAAGAAGCTCAGAAATGCAACGACATGCTTACGTTATCTCCACTCACACCTCAACCACTCACCATCAGGCACAACCTCAGACATTTTATCTGTTTTAAAAAAGACATCAAGATCACCAAGCGCTATCATGTTGTTGCCATGACGATCACTTTCTGATCCCCAGATAGCAGGGTTAAAGATCGAACCAAGTAATCAGGAGTGTGAAGTTCAGTCAGACAGAAATGATTGGCTTGGATGCCTGATGAGTGATGAGGTCAGAGAGCTATAGGAGGTATAAATGGAGAGAAGGCATCTGTAAAATGCAAAATGACTATTTACAGGTGGAGAAGCGCAGGCATTACTTAAACACGACCTCAAACGTATATCTCATACCCACCATGGATCCAAGGCCCTGTCTCTAATGGATTTTTGGACATGTAAACAAATCTGCCGGGGACTGGGGAGCCATAGCTGACCTCTACTAACTGCTGCTAAAACGTGTGTGTGCGAAAACACATCAGCGCTGCACCATTTTTCTCTACCTGAGAGGATGCAATCATGGAAAAGATATAAAGCAGCACAGATTTCAAAGAAAGTTGTCGGTCTTGCATATGAAAGTAGTGCTTCACAAGGAGCACAAGTGGACATGACAGGAAGATCACAGCTTCTTGGCAGGAATGCGAGGTTTAACTATCAGCAAGGTACAGTACTATTTCCTCACACATACAAAAAAGCAAAGAAATCCTGATCTATGCCACGGTATTATGAAAAAAGAAACAGAAGATAACCTGAGTTTAAGACAGGAATGTTTCTATCCATAACAAACACATACTTGCTCAGCGGTGTGCATTACCTTCTCCATGTTTACGCTAAATAATGTGAGACCATTATATAACTTCTAACTCTAATAACGTGTTGTAAAAATACACACATCTTTATATGATAAGCAGCTACCAAGGGTAGAAATTGGGTTCAAATTTCAGTCACCTTGAGCTGGTCAGGGTGTAGATATCGATCTTGGGACAAAAAGCTTAAAATTGTTTCCACTCTTTAGCCATCAGAACATCTGGACACTAACTGGACCTGAATGCACCCAGGTCATCTGATAGAACATGGAGCATCTTAAACAGGCCCTAGGGGAGAGAAAAAGAGATTGCATTGCTGAGAGGCGGGGGATGAAAAATGGTCTTAAAAATACGGAAGGGTCTTATGACAACATAAGTCCATTTTCTGCTCTATGACCTACATTCGGCAGAAAGGAATTTGGGGCATATTTGTGTCCTGTTTAGCTTAGAGAATTTTAGATTAGACAGTACAATATGTTCTTGTTGTGTGTATCTAATTATGTGCGATGCATATCTAACAACATTAACTTGTTAATGCTCTCTAAATGCCTGTTTGTGTGCAGTATATGGCTGTAGGTCAGAGCAGGGCTTGGCTGGGCTTCTCTGAAGCCTGCGGTGGATCTCAGGTAAGTCAGGGATGCTTCTTCATGCTTCTAACCAGCTTTACATGGATCAGAGACTGTTGCGAAACCAGACCCACCAGCAGGCAGACCCAGTTCGGGGCTTGGTTGGAATGAGATTCCTTAAATAGTGTGTTGGTGGTTACATGTAAGGACCCCACAGGGCAGAGGGCAGGTCTATGCAGCCCCCTTTATCTTCCATGCAGATAAAGTCTAATCAGAGTGGGATCAAGCAGCCCCACAGTTACACACACACACACACACACTCAACTTTTCTCATTAGGCTACACAAACGTCAGCGATGCAGTGTCCTTCTTCTCGCTTCAGTGGCTCAACACATCAACATGTTTGGCTGTGTTAACCCTGGGAAATTAGCCTAATCCTTCAGCTCACCATCTTTAATTACAAGCATGATTAGTCTCAGAAAAAAAATCGTCCATTTGGGGATGATACTGATCGTACAGACATTATGTACGGTAACTGGAACTCTCTATCTCTGTCAGAGAGCTGGGGATGAAGCATTTCTTTGCTATGTGTGGAAGCGTAACAGCATGAGTCTGTACAATGAGATCATAAGTGTGCAAGAGCCAGTAAGGGGGACCATCTGAGCCGTCTGTACCGCTATAAAAGAGGACATACTCATGTAAACCACCTGATAGACCAACTGTGTGTGGTTTATTTGCTTACATAAGAGCAGCCCTCTGCTGACAAGGACTTTTTGATCAAAGTATGGGCGGTGATTTGGTGCCAGTGTGTGCAGGTCACTGGGCCCTCATATCTAAACCTTTATCTTGTCCGTATTGCGGGCCACTCTAGTTCAGGGATCATATAAGTTGCCCTTTGTTCTTTTATCTATATGTCTAGCTAGCTGGTACATATTCCATTACTTGGATGCGACAAAACTTTTGAGACGTAATCTTTAGTCCACACACAGTTGTCTAACGGCCACTTTATTTATACCGTAACTCATAAAGCTATTGATATGCTTTTGTTAACAGCCGAGCGCAGGCCAGGTGCTGCTCTGTAACGTCACCTCTTAGTTCCTTACGGCGCCAGCCCAGCAGGCTATTCTAGTCGTCTGATTCATTTGATCGCCTTGGCTGCCTGTCACAAGGATTTCATAGTGATCAGTCTTACTGTAAACAACGCTGACTGGGTCTTCTTGCATTTCACACAGCTGGACAGTAATCAGTACAGTGTGAAACACTTACATTTTAAAGCCGAATTACCTAAATGAACATTTGTAAGCAACTTGCGAAATCTTTTGTCTTCTGATACAGAGGAATGTGCCCTAAACTAAGTGTGTGTGTGTAGTTGAGGGATGTCAGACAGGTTTTTCTTGTCTTTTGCTGTAGTGTTGCTCTCCATTGGTTAGCATATTACCCCTTTTCCACATATGGTAAAATCACTCATCAGGGTCCAGGCACCAAGTCAGCCCTTCATTCTCTCATTCAACCTGAAGACATGACTTGACTTCACATATAAGTAATATGCTACCCATGCTTTTTACCTTGTACTTAAACAAATTGTACAAAAACAAGCAAGGCACATGGTCTATTATGGTTCTATAATTACAGAAAAAAATGTGTATCTAACCTGTATATAGCATGTTAAGTAGTTTTCATGTACATACTCAGAATCAGAATGCCCTTTATTGTCATTATACTGGAGTACAATGAGATTGGCGAGCCTCTCCATTTCTAGTGCAATAAAGAAACAGAATTGAAAGGCACAATAAAAATAGGTACAAAATATATACACACTGTCCTTGTGTTAAACCTTGTTTGAGTTAAACTTGATCTTTTTTAAAGTCAGACAGATATGCTCTGACAATGTCACCTAAATTATGGTTGATTATTCTTAATGTCTTAGAAATGCTGTATGGTTATGTTGTTTATTGTTTGTGTAAGTATTTGAAATGAGCGTTTTACTTTGAGTTAGAGCTGTGTGAAGCGTTTGGTAGTTTAATATACAACACCACACAATAATGTAAATTGATGATAAATATAGTGGAGTTGATTTTACATTTACTCTTGAGGTCAAGACTTGAAGTAACTCACAAAAAAGTAAGAATTTTAATAGGGAGATGAACAACTGCTTGGCCCGTCACTGGTTTTCAACTAGTTATATATATTTAGTTAGTTCAAAGAGTGAAAGATGTGGCTATAGATGTATTTTTGTCAATATTTCAATAATAAACGGTTAAGAAGATCGTCTGTGGCTTTGGAGTTATTCCTGTCTCCCGTGAGGATGATTGACAGCTGCGTGCCGGGCAGCTCAGGGGATGATGTCATCTCAGCTGTGAGGAGAGCGCGGGGCGGGGAAATGGGGAGGGGGCGGGGCTTCCAGCTCAGCCCAGTCGAGTGAGTTTCAGGTGCGCTTTAACTTTCACAACAAAAAAACCCGGAGAGTGAGAGAGACAGGAGTATCTTACGAAACTCAAAAGAAACACCGCCGGGGGTTAGTCTACGAGTGCTTATATCTAAGTGTTTCATCATACATTAACGCCTGAGCTGATGAAAATCGCCAACACGACTAAATCCCCAGGAAAATGCACTGGGAACAGTTTCTCCGTTTAACTTATGGAAAGGTGAGTGGCTTTTGCGCATGGCAAGGTTGCTCTTGAGACCGAGGATGACCAGTATGACACAGACAGTTTTGACTGCTATGTTTTGTGATATTTTTTCCTGCTTCAAATCCTGTAAGAGATAGAAACTTGTATTGGAGTTTGTTTTCCTTTGTATGTGATCAGCTTTGTGTTGTTGACTGTGGTTTCAGTCATCAATTAGTCATGCAGTTACACATGCAGGTGAGGCCCAGGTGCATTTGTTTTTACCTGTTATGGAGTGGTGAGAAGGGCAGTCAGCGGGAGCTGTGTGTTGTTAATGCCAACTTCCTCACAGAGTGTCTGCTCTTACTCTATGCTGCTGTCTGTGTTTCTTTACTCCAAATGACTTCTGACCTCTTTTAATGTGTTGTCCTGTTTGGCTTTAAGTGATGAGAAAAGAGAATTTTTATCACTATCCCTCCCTGTTGTACAAACTGAAGCTCCAGTAGTATCTCGGTGTTCTTTGTGTTTCCCCCCCTGAGGTGTTTGAGGAAATGAATCACAGCAGCTGTCTGTCTGTGATTGAAGGTCTTTGGTTCATCTTCTCTTCAGGTAGACTTGATCTAGTATTAGGGAAATATAGGAATCCAATTTAGATAGCGCCTCAGATTTTTACATTGATGCTTGGTAGCTTCTTGACAAAATCAGGTCGGTATCCGAAAAGCATCACAGATAATGTTTTGTTGAAGTATTGTTACCCAAAATCCAATATCCTGTCAGTTTTGTCCTATAATGTTGCTCCTTAAGCAAACAACAATAAAGATTAGGCTGATATTATTCTCATCCTTCTTTGCCTGATAAAAAAGATAGACTCTGAGATAACTTCTCATTCACTTGAAATAGTCAGTCCTGTTAGTGTGTGTGGAGAGAGCATAGGTATTTGTTTCTCCCACTTTCTTTTCTTTGTAAAGTCGGTAATGTAAAAATGATATGAGGCATCTTCCTCTTTAGAGAAACTGACCGCTAGTAGCTTTTTCAACTGACTCACGTTGCCTTCTTTCCAGGCGCCTGGCTGCGAAAATGCAGAAGCCTCTTCTTTCTGTGCCCGTCAGCAAAATGACCAAGAACCCTCAATATGCAACTCACACTTTTCTTCTCTGTTTCCCCCCCTTTTGTTTTCCTCCTTAATCCCTTATTTCCTCCCCTGGCCCCTTGCCCGTCTCTTTCTCTCTCTCTTTCTCCTCTTACTGTTTCTCAACTTTAGATCGACCGGCTGGAGGTGAGTGGGTTGGGCCAAACACCCCTGTCTGTTTCATGCGGGGCAGACAACTCATTCCCGGCAAGTGAGGATGGCACCCCGGACCCTCAGCGCACCAAGCAGGCCATCGCTCAGCTGCAGCAGAAAATCCTCAAACTCACTGAGCAGATTAAGATCGAGCAGACTGCCCGGGATGACAATGTTGCAGAGTACCTCAAACTGGCCAACAATGCTGACAAGCAGCAGAGCACACGTATCAAACAGGTAACATGAGCTGCTTTTGCGCTTCATTACGTATTTTGTCACCCCATAGTTTGTTGGAATTAATCCAGCGGTTTATTACAGAAACACTTTTAACAGGCTTGTGTTATTATGATTCAATCAGTGCAGTGACTCCAAACCTGTTAGTTCACTTTGTTTGTCCCTAAAGGCAGGGAGGGAGCTTTCTAAATTTATCAAAGTGGAGTTGTTTATTGCAGTGTTGCTATTAATCTCCTCTCAAATTAATAAAAACCTGCTCCATTGTTGTCAGGTTTTTGAGAAGAAGAATCAGAAGTCGGCACAGACCATCCAGCAGCTGCAGCGGAAACTGGAGCACTACCACCGGAAGCTGCGTGAAGTGGAGCACAACGGCATCCCCCGCCAGCCAAAGGACGTTCTGCGGGACATGCAGCAGGGCCTGAAGGATGTGGGAGCCAAGGTCACGGGCTTCAGTGAAGGTGTGGTGGACAGCGTCAAGGGAGGACTCTCCAGCTTCTCCCAAGCCACACACTCCGCCGCCGGTGCCGTCGTCTCCAAACCCAGAGAGATCGCCTCGCTCATTCGCAACAAATTCAGCAGCGCCGATGACATCCCCAGTCTCAAAGACTCTTTGGATGATCCTTCAGTGGAAGAAGCTGTGACTGTCGCTGGTGGACGCTCCCTTGGCAGTACTGGGCATCACCTCCAGCCCAGTCCCAAGTATGGCAGCGAGGACGACTGCTCTAGTGCTACATCAGGTTCAGCAGGGGCCAATAGCACCACGGGGGCCCCTGGAGGTCCTCCTAGTTCTAAAGGCAACACATTAGAGAGGAGCCAGAGCTCCGGCCTGGACATGCTGCTGCAGGAGGTGCAAGAGCTGAGGGAGGGTCAGTCAAGACTGGAGGAGAGCCTGGATGGCTTGAAGAGCCACTATCAGAGAGACTACACTGTTGTTATGCAAGCACTGCAGGAGGAGCGCTTCAGGTACAAAACGAAAGTTCAAGAGTGTGTGTCATACATTCCTACATTGTCAGGCAAAGAAATCCCCTGGAAATCCAACACAGGGCAATAAGAGTTTATTTTTGGAAACATCAAACTAAGTTCACGCTGATGAGTCGTCTCTCTGCACTGCTTTAACATATCAGGGGCGACACTTCTGCTACAGAGAATTGCTTCATCAAAATATCACACATCTTATGTGGTATGCAAATCTGAAGTCGCAGTCTTGTTCTGAAGTATCTCATTCAGACAGTAGAACTGAGCTGGGGGACGTTTTCCATTAACCTCGTTCTTTTTAAAAGACGTGATAAGTGGGGTTTTTTTGTGTAGCAGTTTATGTTAAAATTGAACTCTAAGTCAGTGATTGAAACATCTGCATAGATCACGGGTGACCTGGAAACAGAGATCTCAGACATTTAGCAGCCCTTTATCTGATCTCTACATAGCTAACCTAGATGTCTCTGTGAAGTGTTTGTTTTTGGTCTGTCTGTGGGCAGTTGGCCTTAGAAAACATGCTAACATTCCTCCAGTGTGTTTTGAAAAGAGGGCACAGAAATTAGAGGGCAGAACAATGGTAGAGAAGGCAGCTGAAGCGATCCAGATATGAGCATTTTTCTCCCTAAAATGTCCATCAGAGTTCAGAGCCCACCATGTCTGCCAAATTGAGAACAGAATGGCTACTAAGGAGCTCTTCAGAGGCCACCCACTGGGAATAATAAGTTATAAATGAATCATGCTGCTTAACATCTCCTCGGGGACTAAATCGTTCCCTTTCATATCCAAGAAATACCCCAAAATGCAACCCTCTTAGTTTGGTTTCTATTCACCCAACTATTTTCAATTTGGGTGAATGTAGCGCTCGATCAATTACCTGAATTGTTGTGTTCTGAATGTGATTGAGGCAGAAACATAGAAAAAAATTTGTAGCTTCATTCTTTCATTTTTGTCAGGTATTAAAACAGCTGTTTGGTGCAGTTTTCAAAAAAAGAGGGAAAATACATAAAAAGGTGATATTGTTAGAAAGCCTAGTGTCTGATGACTTATTTTCAAGTGGGAAATCTAGGATATAGGATTTGTACTAAGAGTTTATTGGATGGTGTCCCAGGAGATGTACTGTATGCATTTGTGAACTCAACTGGAAAGATCAGCAAAACTGGAGTAAAAAGCAAACAAACTGAGAGGGGTAAACGTACTTAGAAGTGGTCTCCAATCTATCCTTGCCTGGATATTGTCCATTCAATTGTTTGCCCTTGCTTAAATAAACAGCAGTATAGCTCTCTACCCTCCTGCTGGTTATCGCCCATTGGCTAGTCTCACACTGCTGACCATTTGTGATTGGCCGGTTAGATCAGCAGATGAGAGAACATGTCCTAATCTTGTCAGGGCGAGTCATCAGCCCAGTCAGGTGGCGTGTGGTCAGATGGCTTTGGGGTCTGTTTTTACTAATTCCTGCATGTGTCTCTTTGTCTAAGCTAATTATGGCCCAGACTCTCACGTGTGTGTGTGTATTTCCTGCATGTGCGTTTTAGGTGTGAACGTCTGGAGGAGCAGCTGAACGACCTTACAGAACTTCACCAAAATGAGATCCTCAACCTCAAACAGGAGCTGGCCAGCATGGAGGAGAAGATTGCCTACCAGTCATATGAGCGAGCCAGAGACATACAGGTTTGTCTGTTTGTCAGGCTTCATGTCTGCAAACACACCGCTCATGTCAGAAATAACTGACTCACCGTGAAAACCTGCTCAGGCAAAATGACATTTTCCTTTTCTTATCTTTGTACTCAAAATTGGATGTTTTAAAACCCGGGCGGTCTGTTGTTCAAGGACTGTTAGAGGGATGATAAGAAATTAAAGAGGATAGAGCAAAGTGTTCAATTAAAAACCAAATTCCGTTCCTCACTTGTGACTATTGAAGTCGCTCAAAATTCCTTCTCTCGAATTCAGTAAAAGTGAAGAAAAGGAGAATCAACAAATAGGAAATTGGGGATCAGATCAATTAATATGAGTGCTTTATGAAAGTTTGGATTTACTTTCAACCAAAATCTATTTCTTTTTTCTCGTTTTTTGGAAGAGGTCTTGTTTTGATCCAAAATCCCCCCGTCAGAATTTTGCTCTCATAACGATTCTACCACTGTTTGTTCTTTTAATATTACCTTATCCCTGCTCTCTGGCCTGTCATCCACTGTCATGCATCTGACATCTTCCAATCCAATCCAATCCATTTTATTTAAATAGCATGATTTAAGCAAACACAAGGATCTTAACAAGCAACCACCTTGAGATTATCAAGTAGCTTCTGCTGGTAAAAGCAGAACCAATTCCCATGCAGTTGTTATATTTTAAATCAAAGGTCAAACTTTTTTAAACAAATGGTGAGTTTTTGAGTTTAATTAACTAAGAGCACATGAAAAGTTGCTTTACTGAATAGAGTTTTCATTAAATTGAATTAAATGGTGGTATCCTCTTGATTTAATGTCGGCATTCAGAGTTCAACAGTAAGCACCCTGGCAAAGAAAAATGCCAGCTCGGTCTCCCTTACGGACTGACCTTTACAGTGGCGAGCTGATGCAGGCTGCTCAGACAAGACGTCATGTCTTGAGAGAACAGTTTGGGGTGGTTGTACTCTGTTTCAACAGTTGAAGGCATTATCTCATTGTTCATGTTGACACTGTACACAGGGGAAGAAGGCAGAGAGGCCAGTCTGTCCATCTGTTTTTATGTTGGCTCAAAACACATTTACTTCCTTAAAGAAGTCTCACTTTACACCTGTAGTCCTGCTGTTTTAAAGGCGCCCAGAGTTTGAGTTTTTTTATATGCTCATGAAAATTAAATGTATTTACTGTGAAATTCAAGTTGCCCTTTGGCTTCATATCTCTTCCCCTGCAGCAGAGGGCGGTAGAGGTCTTTAAAAGGTAGACTTAAAGGCCACTCTTCACGCAGAGTGTAGTTCAGGGTAAAATAAACAGCTCAACCCTAATGTCGACCTTGACATGGACAGTAATGTCTTGTTTTGACTTTAGCTTCTTGTTAATTATTAATGCACTGATAGTACACTGAAGTATCTTACACTAAAAACTGTGTCTATTGTTGTGTCCTCCACATTCGTACACAAGAGAGACAGCTTGATAAACACATTTTGATCAAATGGAGACTACAGTGGGAGAAAGTGTTTGGTTTAAGAGGTTCTGTCTTCTTGTTGGTGACTTGACTGAGTGATTTCTATTCTCACCTGTATGTCCTCTGCAGGAAGCATTGGAGGCCTGTCAAACCAGGATTTCTAAGATGGAGCTCCAGCAGCAGCAACAGCAGGTCGTCCAGCTGGAGGGGCTGGAAAACGCCACGGCCAGGACACTCCTGGGAAAACTTATCAATGTGCTGCTGGCCCTTATGGCCGTCCTTCTGGTCTTTGTCTCAACTGTGGCCAACTGTGTAGTGCCCCTGATGAAGACACGCTCGCGCTCCCTTTCCACCCTCCTCCTCATCCTCATGCTGGCCTTTTTGTGGAGAAACTGGGATGCTCTTTCAGGATACACACACCGCGCCCTGCAGCCCCCAGGATGACTACATTTGAGCCGGCACTTGTTGCTCTGATGACACCGAGAAATGTAACTGTAGCTGCAGTCATGCAGGAGATTTGAAGGAGATCACAGTCCGGATTGGCCAAGCGGCTGAGCACTGAAAACTGGACTGAGCAGACTCGGACACTCTGGAATCAATAAAACGAGGAAGAAACAGAGTGAAGTTGAGAATGATTGTCGTATAGGAAGGATGAGACTGTTTACAATTTTGAAAACGAACTGTTGTGTTGCTACCCCTCACAAAAAGCAGCATTGTACTGTTTTTATCTTTAGAGTTTAATCAATTATAATGTTATTATTTCTAATAATATTATTTTTATTTTCAATGTTATTTTATTCAGTACCATGTAGCATTACGCTCCTGTCCCTCCACAGGGAGGGGAGTTTAGTCAGGAAACTGGGTTGGCGATTCCTCATAAAGGCCCAGTCTAATTATAGAGACATGCTAATGTGGTTGATTGCCTGTAGGAAGAGAACTCTGACCTAGCTGTGATCAGTAGATTTGAACCATGGCTGAAAACTTTCCTGGGAGTTGCTCCTTTTTTTTGCCGTGATGAAATGCGTTCAAACAGAATGTTATGAAGGACTGACTATGAACTTTGAGTGTCATGATGACTTGAGAGTTTTTGCGCTTCCTTACCATTTCTAATAGAAAAAAAAAACACATGCTTTACTTATCCCTCCCCCTTTAAGTTAAACAAGAAAAACTATGGGAGATTATCAGTGAAACGTAAAGACAGAATGGCGGGTGCACAGAAACACAGAACATCTGGTTATCGCTTAGCATCTGCCAACAATGCTGCATGTATTCATTTAGAAAATTATACAGAAAGCAACTCTGCTTTTAAAAGTAATGACAAAAGGCCGTTGTCCGAGTAAAATCAATTTGCAAGGATAATTGCCTCCCCCGCCATACTTGATGTGATCAGGTTAGGGAGGAGAGACCACTGCTCCTCTTAGTTGGATCAGGAATGCCTCTGCTTCATATCTACAGTGCAAGTCGTCTCCACTGCTACATGCCAGTCAAATGCACACTGCCTGGATGTGACACTGTACTCCTCATCAGAATTTCTCCCTGCACATTATTTCTTTCATTTTCTTTAGATACACTATCTCATGGTGTAATCACCCAGTGCCAAACTTTAGTCTACCCGGAGATGCCTGAGCATCCAAAGGGTCCAAGGTCCATGTCCTTGGTTGGGTTTGAGTGTATCATGAATGTCTTGCCTGGATGTCAAGGATGTATCTTTTCGAGGGGGCAAACTTTTGAAGGAAAAATCTCATCAGAGAATTCACAATCTGAACATTTTATTGATTTCAGATCTTCCTGCACCTTGTCCTCTTGGGTATAGTCCCTTAACTTGACATCCAGTCTTTCTTTGCGTCTCTCTCTCTCTATACTTCGGTCTAGTCAGGGACTCATTGAGATGACCTTGCACATTGAATAATTCACCCCGCATTTCAAGCTGAGAGCCTGATTTCCTAACAGATAGTGAGAACGTTTGAACTGTACAGCTGCACTTTAGCACATGGCTAGATAACACACGGGTCAGGCTGAGGTTAGAGAAACCTTTGATTGTGACTTAAGAGACTGTCGCTCTTAAGACGGTCGTCCTCACTGCGATATGAAGACTTAATTCTGGATAGGATCATCCTCGTCTCCAGATAAAAACCTACACTCAGAGGAATTTAGTTCATTTCAAAGTCGTTAAACTTGATTCCTCTTAACTTGAACATGCTATCGAAACGTCAGGAAGTAGATCCAGCTGTCTGTTTAAACATTTGACCCAAACCCGGCCTCACGGTTACACCTATGATGTAGGGTTGTGTGCTAAACCACTCCAGTGCCTTCTGATGTCCTTTTCTAAGTGTGGAATAAATAAAGCGCATTCCTGACTCACCCACGAGCCATCATTTCTCCTTAACCTTTTCTCTCTCCAGAGTTTCTGCGCTTTCTTCTCTTGACCCTTTCACTCACTTATGGGTCACGTCTTGCAAAATTGTCCTGTGACCACTAGATGGAGACCTTCTGCCTGGAATGTCCTTGGGATGTTCTTTTAGTTTGTGAGGCTGTGTTTGGTTTGTGTGAATGGACTGTTAGGAGGAAAAGGTGGGGGTCTGAACACAAGGTGGTGTCACTCTTATCAGGAAGGAAACAGGTTGGATGGACGGGCCTTGGAACTGAAGTCTTAGTGCTAAAAGACTGGACCAAAGGGGGCTGCGTTTTCATTTTGAACACAGGAGAATGCACCTCTACCCCACTTATATCAAATTTAAACTCTCCCTCTCTCTTTCTCTTTCTTTCTCACATGAGCTTTAATTCCGTAGTTTGGGTGTTTGATTTCGCAGCAGCCAGTCACAGCTCAGCGGTGATATCTGATGCTGACAGCTTTGACCCACACTGAGTCTTATCCCTGCAGGACCTCATGTACGCCCCGTCACTGCCTGCTGAGGCTCGCGCTCGCTCTCACGCACGCACCCACGTTCACCTAAGGCTGTTGGTGGCTCTTTCATAGTGCCGGGCAGTCGGGAGGGTCATTATGTTTCACTTAATCAGAGCGCTTTCCTCCTTTCCTACGCCGCCAGATTTGATGCGCATGGCTGTGCGCCAAGGTAAACACGGCGCGCACTTATCTGCCCCACTGAAAGCTGCGAGTGGTGACGGAGGGAGTCGAGAGAGAGGAGAGAGTGATTCTGTCCCCAGAGGAGTCCACAGTAAATAGGCAGAAGCGATTCCGCACGATTTGGCATCAACTTTAATTATTGCATGTATTCAGAGATAACACTTCTCGGGCGCGCCGGCAAAACTGATTTATGCAGTGTCTGACACCACTAGAGATCATTCATTTCTATTCAGAGATGTGAGCATATGCACACACCAACCAGAGACAAAAAAATGCTAACCATATTCGTGCATTTTTGAGTGGGGGCGCATGTGTTGCGCTTGAATATTTATGAGCCAGGCGCACAAGAAAGCTATGTGGGATAGATGTGAATGTCAAAGCCCGGAAAGGTGTGCTGATGTGCCCATCTGGTAGCACTTTCACGGTGCTTACCGTGCCGTATGCGCCCAGAACGGAACCCTCCGGATCTGCAGAACTAATCTGAGAGCCGGGAGACTGGGGTGCACAGGAGGTGGGACTGTGACCCGTCATTAACCCTGAGATGAGCGGAACCACGCAGGGGCGGAGATTCATCAAATGGTCCATACTTGAAAGGAAGAGTTAGCCTAATGATCATATGAGCTAACATTTCAATCAAAGCGAATTCACCCTTGAAGTAAATCAACGTCTGGTCAAGTTTAAAGTCTTTTGTGTGATGATACATTGAATTTTTTATAGTTCAACAAAAAAGACGAGATTTGTTGGGCTAATTAACAAGTGCGCATGGATCAATCTCAGCACATGGTCTGAATGGGAGGTGGCACTGAGGGAGGTTGTGCCACTCTTGGAGTGAGTTAACTCCACTGTTTCCAGTACAGTGCAAAATGTTCTTGGATTTGTACTGTAGGATGTTTTATTTATGAATGAATTCTTGAGTAAGCCGGACCACCCCGTGACTCCAAACAATCCTGATCACCCAGAAAGGGCGTGACATTGCCCAGACATTTCACATTTTCGCATTTTTTTTCTCTAATCACTTTTTTTGTGTGTGTGAAAAATGTCATAAAAATCAGAACAAGGTGTTGTGGCTCAGTGTGGCTAAGCAGACAGGCTGCTGAGCCGCACAGTGGGCAGAGAGGGACAAGAGGAGGCAGCCAGAAAAGGAAGCACGACTCGCTTATCGCGTCATTCTGGGTTTAGGCGTTGAGCAGGAAACAGCCTTTCCTCTCGGATTGTCGCAGTCGGAACAAACACACATTTTTGTCTTTGCTCAATGCACCCCTCAGCACAGAACACGCGGAAGCCGGTCAGAAGGAAAAATGCCTCCTTCGATAGAGATAGCTGTTCTGCTCCTCGGCGTCCTGGCTTTGGAGACGCGCCGGAGTGCCAGCGCGCTGCACATCCAACAGGCATTCGCGTCTCCAAATCACACCAATAACTTCGTTGTGGACCCGGTTTCCAGAAAGGTCTACCTGGCCACCGTGAACACGGTCTACCAGCTGAACGGGACCTTGAACATGGAGGTGGAGAGGAGAACCGGGCCGGTGGAGGACAACCTGTTGTGCCATGCGCCACAGCTGCCCCAGGCTCCGTGTGAGCATCTCAAATCCCTCACTGATAACTACAACAAGCTGCTGAAGCTGGACCGGGAGCAGGGGGTCGTGGTGGTGTGTGGATCTGTGTACCAGGGCTTCTGTGAGCTCCGGAAAATGGAGAATATTTCGGAGATAGCGGTGGAGTTCCCACCCCAGGGCGAGAAGACTGTTTTCCCCAGCATGCTCAACATCGCGGCTAATCACCCAAACGCGTCCACAGTGGGTCTCATCTTCAAGAGCCACGGGGGAAACACCCGGCTACTAGTCGGGGCCACTTACACAGGGGCTGGCACCCAGTTTTTCCCCAAGAACCACAGCAAGGAGGACCTGCGCTTTGAAAACACCCCAGAGATCGCTATCCGCTCCTTAAACGTCAAGGATTTATCCCGACTTTTCACTTATGACATTAACCCGTCAGAGGATAACGTTTTCAAGATCAAACAGGAGGTTAAAACAAAAAACAAGCTGAACTTCGTGCACGCGTTCATCCAGAAGACTTACTCCTACATTGCCTTTAATAATGATGCCAAAATGGGCCACAAGGAGAGCCTGCCTAACAGCATCCTCGCCAGGATCTGTTTGGATACCGAGAACCCCCGAAAACCCACCGGACCGGAGAGCAGGAAGCTCACAGAGTCCTACATCCAGATGCCCCTTCAGTGCGGATTTAACGGGAACATTTACAACCGGCTGCTGTCCGTTTACCCCGTAGAGATCCAGGCTGATAACGGGAGGAGCCCGGAGCCATACCTGTTTGGAGTGTTCGCCAAGGCGGATAGAAAGTCCGCTCTGTGCGCCTTCAAGTTTGGAGACATCGAGGAAGAGATCAGACAAGGCCGGAGGAACTGCTCCAACTCCCCCAGCAGCGACGTGCAGGTGCTGGACAGTGTCATCCAGGGCTCCGGGGCCGCTTGCATCCAGAAGGGAAACCTGGTGGTAAGGCTTTGTGGATTCATTTTGGCATCTAACATCACATATATTACATTTAAGATAAGTTCAACTTAATTTTAGTCTGGTTTTTTTTTCCTCTTGAGTGTGCATATTTATCCAGCCACGTGGTCTCTATCATAATTCAGCATAGAAATTGGGATTAACCTAATCTTGCATTTGAGGTAGTTCAATTTCTAGAAACTAGTTGCACTGTCTTGAGGAAGCAAAGGCAATAACCACATCCACAAAAAAGACAAAATAATGAACACAACTGACAGAACTTTCCAGTTAACTGAAACAAGATTGAACACTAATCTTTAATTTATGTTTAGCTTCCTTATCTACACATTTAATATGAAATCCTTTGATTCAAATGAAGCCTTTATTTCCCAGTTGGCCTAATGATGATGCAAATTTCTGTTTTTGACTAATTATTGTATTCCCTACATGCCCTAATATATCAGGGATCCAGATTTATAAGAGCTGAAGGCCTTCATGGTTGTCCCAGCCCTTCAAAATACGATAAACACCCTCATGACTGCTGTGTCTCTCTATTTTTGCTTACAGCATTTACTCTTTTGCCCCGAGGCTCATGACTTAGAGAGAAGGGGGTCTCTCCCATGTCACGAGTAGAGGTCATGATAGCTGGAAAGATGCTGCGGAGCCTCGCTAGGGGTTATGAGAAGGGTGAGACTCCTCTCACATCCAGCAGCAGCTCCCTGTCTCCACAGATATGACGAGGAGGACGGGGTCAATAGTTTACTGTGTCTTTCATTAGAGTGTGTCGTTTGTTATTGACAGTGTGCTGCGAACTATAACTCCACCACGCTTTTACCACAATGTTAAGCAGAATAAATAGCATCTCTGTCAGAGATACGTGCTTTCTACCCATGTACACTAAGACTAAATATTTGCCCTTAAGGAAACTTCATTACCGCACACTGTATTTGTCACCTCTGCAGTGACAGTGTGTGTGGTAATAAAGGCAGGGAAAGCGTTGCGCAATTTCACAGGAATCCAGAGAAATTCCTACTTTTCATTGCGCTGCTTTTGACTGACAGGGTGGGGGTCAAAGGAGGCTGTCCCGCGGCCGCTCTGCTGTCAGGTCATCGAGTTGCCCTCCTCCCTGGCACTGTCTTGTCGTCTGTGGCCCTGGGGCCGCTCCTCCCGTGACTAGTTTTCTGAATACTATCTCAATTGATACAGACAACCGTTCGGCTCAAAGTGTTCCTCAGACTGTAACACAATCTACTTACTACTCGCAGAATAAAGTTAGTCTTTGTTAAGTTTTGCATTTGTGTTGCCATGGCTGCTGAAATGTGATCTTGTTTGTAGTCGACAGTCTGAAGGCCAGCACAGAGGGAAAGCCAGACACAATTTATGATAAGAGAGATGAGGCCGCAAGCAGAAGGGCCCGTGGGAACGACTCTACAAATATCCACTGTGCTTAATTCGACTACTTTTTTTTCTCTTCGCCTGTGCTCGCTCTAAAATATGCAGAGAATTCCCAATAGGTCCTGGTGCTCATCCAAGCGTGGCAATAATGTTTTATCATTGCCCACCGAGGTTTTGACAAAAGCAGAGCCTTATGAGTGTTGAAGACCCTTGTAAGCCTTTTTCAAGCGCTCTCTGAGTTGTCTAAAAAGTGATTTGGAAGAATGAGCAGCATCGTTGTGATAGCTGCTATCAGCTCTTGTTTTCTGACTTCACTTTCATCACACAGGGCTCTCTGTTCTCTCCAGTCCTCTAATCACTACGTACTGCTTCCATATGAGGGCTGGTGATGAGCATTGATCTCCCTCCTTGTTCTGTCTTGTGTTCTAGCTGCAGCCCGAACAGCTGGACTGCGGAGCGGCCCACCTACAGCACCCTCTGGCTCTACGGAGGTCCCTGAGGGCCCTTCCCCTTGTTGAATACTCGGGTCTGAGTTCAGTCGCTGTGGACTATGTGCACAACCACATAGTTGTCTTCCTGGGAACCAGTAATGGACGACTTCGAAAGGTGAGACACATAAGAAAGTCTTCAAACACACACATTTCACACTCAACCAACATAAACTCAGCAGGGGTGTGTCTACAGGGTGGCTCTTTGAAATCTGATAGGCCACCCGGTGTCCTGAAGTGTCTCTTTTTGATCAGAGGTGGGACGCCATTCAAAGCTTAGACTCTAAAAAATATGAGACTCAATGGCTTCTGAAGCGCAATCACAATTATCACACTGTCACAACGAACTCCCTGCCAATGTAGAAACAAGCAAAGTGGGGAAGTTGAGGCAAGCCCCTGAACACCTACCATGTACGGAGTGTGAGGTTTGTTAACAAGTACCAGTTCTAGCCAATTCAAACCATCCACCCATCCATTTTCTACCGGTTATTCCCGTTCCCAGGGTCGCTGGGGGGCTGGAGCCTATCCCAGCATCTTCGGGCGAAGGCAGGGGACACCCTGGACAAGTCGCCAGTTCATCGCAGAGCTGACATAAAGAGACGAACAACCATCCACACTCATATTCACATCTATGGGCAATTTGAAATTTGCCAATTAACCTAACCTCACTTAGGCATGTTTTTGGGATATGGGAGGAAACCGGAGTACCCAGAGTAAACCCACGCAGACACAGAGAGAACATGCAAATTCCACACAGAAATGCCCTGAGCCAGATTCGAACCCAGGACCTTCTTGCTGTGAGGTGACAGTGCAAACCACTACACCACTGTGCTGCCCTCCAATTCAAACCATTAACATCATTTACCTTTATGGTTAACGATATCCTAAATTCACTGTGCCTTGCAAAACAGTTAGAACAGCAACCAAGGAGTGGAGGAAGTAATCATGGCAAATAGAGTACAGGAGCCATCCAAACAACTGCTATATTAAGTAATTTTTTAATATGTTATAGCAGAACAATACGATGTACCATCTTACGGTAAAATCCACTCCCTTCATGAGACCAGGAGCCCTTTCCGATAAACTCTTGATGGGACCGCCAGTACCGTAAACAAAATTAGTGTATTTCCAGAGACTGTCTGCATCCACTTCCCCAAAAATTGAAAATAATCTGTGATGATTCATGTGTACATTTCTGTGAAATATTGCCATTTGTGTTGTTACCTTGCGACTAATCAGAGGCTGCATCTGTGATCAGCCAACCTGAAAAAGGTCCAATCAGAAGCCAGACTTCCCCGTCTCAGCAGGGCCGTGACGGTAATAAAACTCGTAATAAGATTTGTGTTACTGACAAAGAAAACCTGTTCAGGCCTCCTTTATTCCACAGGAAGTGATTTGAGAATCAATGAGGAGTTAGATCGATAATCAAAATTAATGATGGCACTGGTAGCAATAAAACCTAATCAATTCTCACCTCTAATGAGGAACTTGTTGATAGCGAGTGTATATCACACCCAAGAGTTGCTGGTCTGCTCGGTCCCCTTTGTCGAAAAAGCTGTTTCAGAACTGGAACAAGAGCTGAGCAGACAGTCAGCTCCACCGAGTAATTTAGTCAATTTAAAGAAACTCCAAGCTACATACTGATGTCTGAGTGAGGGTGCATTCTGCTCGGAAGTTTTTCAGCGCTTTACTTTGCCGCCCTTTTCTTTCACCTGCTGCCTTCACCTGCTCAGCTAATTGAGTCCATGAGATACGAGTCACTAAATGGGAAAGCAGAACATCTTATTTCTTTGCGTTTTTTTCCCTAAAATTCCTCCTGTAGTCCTTTTACAGTCAAACCATGACTCACTGTGAATTTAAAAAGTCGCTTCTGGTTTGCTATGAATCCCTTTTTTCTTAAATCAACGTGTTGGCAGCGACAACATGCATTAAAATAACTCTATAGACATGATCACTGTTCATGCTGATGGTCTCTAAGCTTTTGTAGGTCATAGTCAGACGCCAGTATTAATATCAGCCTGTTTCATAACCGGCTATAAACTCCTCACAGTTCATTTAAAGTGAGTAGGAATAGTCTAGACAGAAACGGTGAGTTGATAATTCTCAGACATGTGTGCACATCTACTTAACGCCATACGTAAGGGCCCCAGTTTGGCCACCCCTGAACCACAGGTGTGGCAGATAATAAGCAGCGCTGAATAGGGTTAATATTCCACAGTGTGATGGAGCCCTTAGGCGTGGAAAAACTATAACAGGAACAGTTACGTCGTTCGGCTCTGATGTGGCTGTTGGGTCTCTCCATAAATACAACTCAGGTGTGTGATGAAACAGAGTCTGGGCGAAGCAAACAGGAATGTGTGCTTTCATCCGGTGGGTTCCCAGCATTGTCACCCCCTCGAACCGCCTCGTTTATCAATGACCCATCACGGCCCATTAATCCGTCCTAATCATGTGCTCTAATGTTCCTCAGACCTGCTTACTGCCTGACTGATCACCAGAGAGCTGTTTTAACCACACCGGTTGACGACACATGACTCAGTCCTGCCGTGTGTTGTGTTGTGTGTTCTTTGACATCTGCAGACGGTCCGGCTCGTGAAAACCTTTCCCGTCCAATTAAGAGCATTCCTTAATTCTGGCTCAGCATCATTCCCAGTCACCCCTGACTGAGCTCGCCGAGCAGCAGCTTCGCCTGCGAGCGCCGCAAGCTGCTCCTCAGCTGTGTGCAGAAACAACAAAAACTGACTCAGGGAGTGTTTTTTAACTCTGTTGTTTGGTACCTCTCACTACATTAAAGCCATCCTGCTGGAGGTGTGTTACCTTTGGGCCCCTCTCCTTGTGTAGACCTTGTTTTAGCCCCCTGCTGAGCACGCAGTAATGGTTATTTGGATAGCGGGGGCAAAACATTGGTTTGGATGGTGTAAGCAGCTGTGTACATGAGTGTGTTTGTGTAAGTCTGTGCGAGTGATTGCAGGTTTCACTGTGTTTTTAGGTGTTTGACTTTGTCTGTGGGCCCAGTGAGAGTGGTTTGGTGATTTCATGTGTTTACCCAGATGAACCCCGTGATTATGTGCTATATGTGTGCGTCCTCTCAGTCTGTGTGTCAACCTTGTTATATATAGGGCGAATGGCTTTTCTGTGACCTTGCAACTTAGTTTGTGCTTTTCAGCTTTTTGTTTCTTTTATTATTTGTGTGTGTGTGTGTGTGTGTCTACGTGTGTGTTCATGCGTCTGTGTGTGTGTGTGCCCCGAGGATAGAGCTGTTACAGAGGTTAATGGTGCTGTTAGTGTGTGTAATGTGATTCTGACTGTGAGTTTGGCTCCGACTAAACACAGGGGAACAGTGGTTGAGATTAAGTTAGGCCTCTTTTACCGTCTTGGAGAGAGCCCTCAGTGAAGTAATTTGTAATTACATGCATTTTTTAATGAAGTCTCTCCCTCCCCATTACAGCTGACTTCCATTTTCTGCTCCCTCTCACAGTGTCCGCGCTTTATCTCACTCACTCTCGTCCAATTTTTACTCCCTCAGTCTGTCCACTCCTCCACTTCTCAGTTCATCGCTTCATTGTCTCCCCTTTCTGTCGCTCTCCATCTCGGGCCATAAAAGCCCCTTTGATTCATTTGGCAAACAAACAGACTTTATCTCTTTCCTCCTCACTTTATTCTACCTCTCCTGCCCCACCTCTGTCTGTCTGTCTTTATTCTCCCTCTCTCTCACAGCCAGGTACACGTCCGCACAAACACACACTCACGCATACAGAGAGAGCTCGCCGAGCAGCAGCTTTGCCTCGGTGGCTGAATAGCTGCTCCTCAGCTGTGTGCAGAAACAACAAAAACTGACTCAGGGAGTGTTTTGTTAACTCTGGTGGTGCAGCTCTCCTTATTTCTCCTCCCATTCTGCTCCCCGTCCAGGTGTGTGGGCTGCTGTTTACTTGCTCTTCACTGTCACTCCGTGCGTGAGTGTGTGTGTTTGTAGTCACTTGGTTGGGGGGTGAAAACATAGCACAGCTGCTTACTATCTCCAAGGAATAACATCCAATGTGTGTAGATGGGTGGGTGGTGTTATAAAAACAGCAGTGATATTTGTAGGTCGAGATAATGCCTCTCATCCCAGGTTAAGCCAATGGTTTACCAAGCTTCTGTCTGCTCTGGTTCAACATTAACCAGCCCGTCTCAGTGGGTGGCTCAACTTCGGTCGTGTGTGTGTGTGTATATATAAGTGAAAGAAAGGATGTTTGTGTGTTCAGAGGATAGAGAAGTGACACAGCCCCTTCTTGTGACCAGATGCCGGTCACTTGGCCAGTTCCTCATGATGGCAGGATGTCTCAATTGAAAGGACGCTGGGCTGAATCGCAGAAATGAGAGCTTTTGCTGTCTGCGTGACAGGAAGTCTCACTTGACACAGCTTGTTTTTCAATGTGCTCAGTGAATGTGTGTGTTTGTTCAAGAACATATCGCCTTATTATCTAAAGCCGCAGGAAGCGAAAGTGTGTAGATAAATGGTTGCTTAGAAAAAGTAAGATTAGTGATATAATTTGAATAAAAACTCACAAATTCATGATTCAGGGTGACACGAAACTTTTTTTAAAGGGTAAAATGTGATTTTCGGATGAATATATATTCAACTAAACCTGGCAGTTTATTTTGGTGCAAGCATACAGTCATTCATTTCAATAAGAAGGAAGGATTCTGCTGCTGTCTTGAGTCAGGTTCAGAGGGAGTAAAGTTTCCATTTTTAAGAATATATTTATCTTTCTGAAACACCTTACTGCTCGGTTGAAGTCGCCTCCAAGTTCCAGCAGTGATCATGATGTGGATTGCTGGCGCGAGACCGCTGCCAAATAAGGGTGGAGGAAGTGAATAAAAAAGCTGCTCCTTCTGAGGTGTTGCAGAGTGAGACGCCTGGCCCTGAATATGCACCAACTCAGCTGCCTGATCAACAGAGAAAACCCTATTTTTTAATGAGAAATTTCTCTATTGGAAGAGCTCTTTTGTATGAACGTGTGTGAAAATTTTATAGCAACCTTGAGAGAATATTGATTGCACCGTTCTGCACCTGATCCAACCTGTTTTCTTTCTGATATCCCCTTCACAGCTGACCTTCCTAGAGAACATGACCTTGGCCAATCAGTGGATGCTGAAGCTGCCAGCCAGTGAGGCTGTCCACCACATCATGACCTTCGACCCCAACGACAGAAACTTCCTCTATCTCATGACCTCTCATCATGTAAGAATGTGGCCCCGCTCTGAAAATGTCTGTTTACTCTGTCACTGATTTATTCATCCACCATCATCAATCAGACCTCATTTCACATCCAGTGAGTCAGTCCTTACCTGAGTTTTAGCAGAACACTCACATATTTGTGGTCGTGTGTGCAGACCTTCAAATGGTTTCAGAGCCACATTTTAACACCAAAGTGCTTCGCTGCAGTCGAGCTTATGACAGGATGTGGTTAAGTCTCCAGCAGCTCTGATGTGCACTGCAAAATGCACCTTATTGTCTGCTGTGATTCTTATTCGACACCTACACTCACCGGCCACTTTATTAGGTACACCATGCTAGTAACGGGTTGGACCCCCTTTTGCCTTCAGAACTGCCTCAATTCTTCGTGGCATAGATTCAACAAGGTGCTGGAAGCATTCCTCAGAGAGCTTGGTCCATATTGACATGATGGCATCACACAGTTGCTGCAGATTTGTCGGCTGCACATCCATGATGCGAATCTCCCGTTCCACCACTTCCCAAAGATGCTCTATTGGATTGAGATCTGGTGACTGTGGAGGCCATTTGAGTACAGTGAACTCATTGTCATGTTCAAGAAACCAGTCTGAGATGATTCCAGCTTTATGACATGGCGCATTATCCTGCTGAAAGTCGCCATCAGAAGTTGGGTACATTGTGGTCATAAAGGGATGGACATGGTCAGCAACAATACTCAGGTAGGCTGTGGCGTTGCAACGATGCTCAATTGGTACCAAGGGGCCCAAAGAGTGCCAAGAAAATATTCCCCACACCATGACACCACCACCACCAGCCTGAACCGTTGATACAAGGCAGGATGGATCCATGCTTTCATGTTGTTGACGCCAAATTCTGACCCTACCATCCGAATGTCGCAGCAGAAATCGAGACTCATCAGACCAGGCAATGTTTTTCCAATCTTCTATTGTCCAATTTCGATGAGCTTGTGCAAATTGTAGCCTCAGTTTCCTGTTCTTAGCTGAAAGGAGTGGCACCCGGCGTGGTCTTCTGCTGCTGTAGCCCATCTGCCTCAAAGTTCGACGTACTGTGCGTTCAGAGATGCTCTTCTGCCTACCTTGGTTGTAACGGGTGGTTATTTGAGTCACTGTTGCCTTTCTATCAGCTCGAACCAGTCTGGCCATTCTCCTCTGACCTCTGGCATCAACAAGGCATTTCCGCCCACAGAACTGCCGCTCACTGGATATTTTTTCTTTTTCGGACCATTCTCTGTAAACCCTAGAGATGGTTGTGCGTGAAAATCCCAGTAGATCAGCAGTTTCTGAAATACTCAGACCAGCCCTTCTGGCACCAACAACCATGCCACGTTCAAAGTCACTCAAATCACCTTTCTTCCCCATACTGATGCTCGGTTTGAACTGCAGGAGATTGTCTTGACCATGTCTACATGCCTAAATGCACTAGGTTGCCGCCATGTGATTGGCTGATTAGAAATTAAGTGTTAACGAGCAGTTGGACAGGTATACCTAATAAAGTGGCCGGTGAGTGTATAAGCACTATACAAACACAGGAATTGTTTGTAATACTATGTTGTAGTGGCAGATGAAGGTGTATTGTGTAAAAGTACAGATATCCAGAAACAGTACAGATAAAAATCAGCTTTATATTTTTAGTATCAGATATTTTCTGTGATCAGATGTTAAGAATATTTTCTGATTCTGATGCTCTAAAAGTGAAAACAGGTATATGATGCTGATTTTGTCTCTCTTTCTGACTTAACGTCTGCTGTGATTCTTATCCGACACCTATAAGCACTATACAAACACAGGAATTGTTTGTTATACTATGTTGCAGTGGCAGATGAAGGCGTATTGCGCAAAACTACAGATATCCAGATACGGTAAAGATAAAAGTCAGCTTTATATATAGTATCCGACATTTTCTGTGCTCAGGTGTTGAGAATATTTTCTGATTCTGAAGCTCTGAAAGTGAAAACAGGTAGTTGATGCTGATTTTGTCACTCTCTCTGGCTGCATCATGCATCCTGCGTGACCGCGAGCGGTACCCGACTCACGTAATTGTAGTCAACTCATTTGCACCTGACATGCCTGGACTTGACTTAAAAGCTCAACCGCAGCTTTTGAATCTCCTGTCGCACATTTGCATTTGATTTACATTACAAGTCTTCTTCTTACCAGTTTGCATCCTCGGTGTTGCATTACTGTCACCTTCATTTTTTAACCTCTCAGAATCATTCAGTTAGATTTATATTTTCAGAAAAAAATCAAAAAATCATCTCATCATTTTATTTCTCCCAACAAAGATTTTAAGTTGAAATGCAGCAGAGTAAAAGCAGAAGCTGACAGACACATAAAAACTCCAGTAAAGTCCAGATACTTCCATAAAATGCTTAAAGGCATTTTTAATGTTTCTTTTAGTGTGGCAGTAAGAGGTAAATGTCAGTTTTGCTGAGAAAGCAGCACTGAAACAGAAGCCAGGCTGTCAATCCCTGCAGATGGGGTTAACTCTAAAACATAACAAAGCTCATTTAAAGAAACTCCAACACAAATACAGATGTCAGTTTGAGTGAATGCTCTATTTAGACATTTTTCAGTGTTTTACTTTGCTGTCAGAAAGCTACTTTGTTTTGGCTTAGCAGACTGAGTTTCCCACGTATGGAGGATATCGTCTTGTTTGACTATTCAATCAATCAAATGTATATGGAAAAATATTTCACGCAATCAAATATTGCTAAAAGGGATTTGGATTTCTGTATAGCAATGTGAACTTGTTCAGAGAAAAATACATAAGATAGATATTTAAATGATAAAAAGGAGGTCACTTACAGATTAAAGGTCCTTACACACCAGGAACAACGCAAATATACGACGCGAAATTACGAAACATTCAGAGGTGAATTTTGACGCGCCTGACTTTACATATCAAGCGCAATGCCATTTTGCAACTTTCCGTGGGGAAAAAAGATGCATCCTGGGTGGAAGAGAGAAGACTGACACAACACCAGACTGACTGTTTTTCAGTTCTGATTAGACACTAGTGTTGAGATGGCTGTCTGTAATGATGTACTGAGTCGGGGCCAGTACCAGATAAGCACATTAAACTATAATCCATAAACGTAAGGTAACAACCGAGACCTAATGGTGCTGTGACAGAAACGCGATTGAGTTAGAGACAGTGAAAAAACATATGGTATGTTGTATCTGAACAGGTTAGCTTACAAGCTAAAGTTACTTAGCACAGATGAAAGTTAAAACAAAGACGTTTATCAAACTGTTAAAGCACACAAACCATCGTCATATGAGAAATCCGACGCTATGACTCTCCACAAATCGTCCTTCAGGTTGTTATCTTTGTTATGTTTGTGTTTTTTATCAAAAAGCACTCTGTTCTCAAACACGCAAACAATTAGCCAGTCGGCCATGTTGGATATACCGGTGAATCTGACGACGCAACAACATGAAATCTGATCGGTCAGAAGTGGACACACAGTATGCGAAAGTTTTGAAAAATCAACCTTGAAACGAAAAAATAAATGCCCCAATATCACAGGACGGGAAAATGTCGCTGATGTGAACGCTTGTATTGACAGGATATGGGTTCGAAAAAAAATATTGACGTCCGAAGTAATCGCACAAAAGGACCTTAATACTCTGTGCATGTTAAAATCTAATACACATGATTGTATCAGCATGTAACATGTTTGAGATGAATTTTTAATGAGTCCTCAGAGAGACACAGATGTTGGGTTATCCTATAGATTGCTTAACATGTCTTATATTGCTGACAGTAATAACTATTACAACGGAATATAATAATAAAACACTAATCTGACTGCTTTAGAATTGCTTTGCTTGTAAAAGGTGTTTGGAAAGATACATTATCATGGTGATTGACTGATTAATTAGCCAACCAAATACTCAGTCTATCTCTACCTATCAGATCTATGTGTGATTGACACTGTAAAAGTATGTACCTTCAACCACCAGCTTCCAATTTGAGGTTAAGTATTCTGTTTGTTGCTAACAGGTCCAGGTTTTTGCTACTTACCTGCTGCAACCGGATCCGTATTTGAAATGCTGGTCAGCAGCCACTGAACACGTGCAAGGTGATGAAAACAGATGTCATCCCCTCAGAGTATAACCTGCTAGGGAAAAAAAAGAGAACAATGCACTGACTAAAATAGACACATATTGATAGTACAATGTCACTTTAGGTCTTATGTTTCTAAAGTGACATTGTAGTGCTTTGACAGCCATGTACTCTGTTTATGCTGCTCATAAATGCCGAAGATAAGGCGTCAGATTGAAGTGTTGCACACTTATTTACAAGTCTGCAACCCGACTGACCGTACACAAACTGTGAAAATATTATCTTTGTTGACTGTAAAATTTATTTTACTGTTAAAACTTTGCCTGCCAATTTTTGTCATAAAAACAAAATAATACAACTTTCAATTATACACAGAGAAAAAAAGTATTTTATTGTCACTTTTAGGAGCTGAAACTAAAAGAAAATAGGGAAAAATGACAGTTTTAAGATTGCACAGATTTTTACACTTTAGTTCTCCTCAAAATCAAATTTCTTTTTTACCGTTTCAGATTTTTGTACTTGTGTGAATGTTTTCTGTTTGTGTCTCGGTTTTCAGATGCTCAGGGTGAAGGTGGCAGAGTGTGACCAGTGGAGGAGCTGTGGTAGCTGTTTGGGAGCAGGTGACGCCCACTGTGGCTGGTGTACCCTTGAGAACCGGTGAGAGACACACACGCACGCACACAGATGTGAACACACTGTCTAATTAATTGGTATTCTGTCTATTGGTTTTCCATCTTTCAAGTTAATTGTCCTCCTCAGACTTCCTCCTCCTCCTCTGTTGCTGGTAAAAATAATTCAATTTAAACAAACTATTAGCTGCTTTGGTGTCAGGCACATGCAACATGTTTTTTTGACGTGATCTGTTGACATAATGCGGGATTGTCTTCCGCCTGTCTTTCAGCATCGATCCAGCCGAAGCTGTTTATTTGAATGATTGATAGAAATTAATGCTCATTTTGAAGCTTTGAGAGAAAAGATTGATGGCTTAACAAAATGATTCGAGCTTGTCGTTTTAAGCCTTTCAATCGATAAAAACCGCTGAGACTCATGCTCTGGTTTTCATCATCCTCTTTCTCGATTTCAAAACATCTCTCGGCTGGATGAGTCTTGGCAGGAACAGAGTGAGTTTTTTGGGCTTGGAGGCTGCTGTTGGATCGAGTGAGAGTTGATTTGCTTTTCATTAAGGCCTCTGATCGGGGAGCTACATCATTGTTCGGAGAAGTCCCCTGCCTCTCTGGGATGGTTTTAGGAGGGGGGTAACAGGCCAGGAGCACCCGGCAGAGGACTGACTTGGCTGAAGTGATAGTGAAAGCAAGAGAGCGAGGATGCTCTGTGATTAATGTGGCTCTGTCAGGACCGGCTCTCTGGCTCTGTGTTCACTGGCTTTTGGGCAGAATATGTGTGGTGTCGAGTCGTGTTTGTTTGTGTGTGTGTGTCAGTTGGTCGGTTGCTTGGTGATTAAAACAGATCTGACGAGATAGTGAATTTTGTGATGGGTTGAGCTGCAGCTCTGGAGGCTCTGGCATTGCCAGGGGCCATTCAGAGCTGGAAGAGTGGAACTGATGAGACTTGTGTGTATTTGTGTGCGTCTGTGTGTGTGTGTATGTGTGGTCAGACTGTCTCGCTGTCATCTCCCTGTCTCTTCTACTTATTTATCTATCTGTCGTCTCTTTATCCCAGTCCCTTTCTCGCCTCACTGCATTATTTTTACCCTCGTGATTCTCGCTCTGTCTTCATTTTTCCCCTCCTTTCTTGCCCTCTTATTTTCCAGTAGCTTTGAGAATTTAGCTCTCCCTCTCTGTCTACTACTAGTCTTCATCTCCTCCTCCTCCTCCCCCATGTGCCCTTGTCCTCCTCTCTCTCCCTCTACAAAGGAGCGTTGATTGTGATGATGGTGGTGGGAGGGAGAGTGCACACTGGTTCTTTTGACAGGGAAATGTCAAAGTGTGTAAGCCTGTGTGTTAGTGTCAGCATGAGTGTGTGTCGCTGTCTGGCTCTCGGAGGCCAGGGAGCTGATGTCATGAGTGTGTGCGTGTCTGTGTGTGTGTGTGTTTGATGCACTGTTTGGCCAGTCATGCCAGCCGCTGGGCAGGCGCTGTGGCCTCAGAGCCCCGGGGATCAGGGAGGGTTGATGTGTGGGGGTGGATGGTCTTCTCCATCACCACGCTGTCTTATACAACTACAGAGGAGAGAAATAAAGGACCACTAGAAGACTATCTTAACAATCTGTGGGGCCACCACTGTCTCAGTGGGCGTCTGTTTGATTTTATGCATGGATCTGACACCCCCCCAATATGTCTGCATGTAAAGAAAGCACTAACACACGTCTGTTGGCTCATTGTTGTCTGAAATAAAAAGAGCTGGTTCCTCTGGCGGAGATAAAGCCCAGTCCTTGATCACTCTTTTCAAGCTGTAGCCCATTTCATCTCCCTCATGTCACAAGAAGGCACTTAAATATCTTTATTCGAATCAAATTATGCGTCATGTGCAGTCTCTGGTATTCACAAATTATCATGCTGATCTGCATGTGCGTGTCTGACCAGGACTGTGCGTGTTGGTGTGTGTTTGAAGCTCATATGTTCTCCTGCTGTTTAACAGTCTCACTGCTTTGCCACCTTATCTGACACTCAGACACTTAGGAGGAGATGAGTTTTCTCGGGGCATATTTTAGCTGCATATGTTGACTCTGGTTATTTTCAGGAACTGTTTGAAACATTTAAAAGTCGGTGTGCTGTCGAGAGGCAGGTGCTGCACTCGCTAATGTTGTTTCAATTAACAGGAAAACCAGGAGAGAGGTGAAGAAATGTGAGCCATAGACCTGTGCTGTTGGATATTTGTTATCTTTGTAAGAAACTCACCAGATGGCTGCTTTAGTATACACAGATACAATTTATTATTTTCTTATATAAACTATTAAAATGGACAAACTTTAAACTAGGGCTGGGCGATATAGCCTAAAAATCAATATCACGATATATTGAGCAGTTTACCTCGATAACGATAAATGGATGATAACTACTTCATAAGCTGCTCACCCCCTCCCACATTAATTTTGTCTACTTCAGCCGCCGCTCCAGCCACTACAACTTTTAAACCGTCCTCCATCTCCTCACCTGTCTTTCCCTCTTTGTTATGGACTGAATGGGGAGGAGTCACGTCTCTGATGTAGGACAGCATCTTAAAGGGACATGAGACCATAGCCTACCTACACACATCCAAAATTAACTTTTATTTATTTATTCATTTTTTTGACACTGAATAAACTGATACAAGCAAAATGACGTTGGTTATTGTTGTAAACTTCGGTATCTGTAAATTTTCGGTTTATCGCCAGGTCCTACTTTAAACCACCAGGTGAATTTGAAATAAAACGTAGACAGCCAATTCAGCACTAAGTTGTCCATATTCTACCACCAGGAGTTAGCATTTTAAGTGTGAGGTATCTTCAGTCAGGTTTTTCTCTGTTTTTCTGCTTATTTCAGCCTGATAAAGTAGTATAAAAGTTAAGAAGTTTGGCAGGTTTAGAAAAGACAAAAAGGGAGTCTACAGCTAAGCTAACATTTAAACAAAGCTAATTAGTGCTAATATACTGTTTCTAACTGATGTTTACAACCTTGACTTCTCTGGAGACCTTGTATGTGTGTTGTAAGTAGGGTGACCATATTTTGATCACCGAAAACCAGGACTTGGCCCAGCAATGCGATATTGGTAACACTTTACTTGACGCCTATCTCTATAATGCATTATAAATATATGTATCATGTGTTATAATCACGTTATAGCACTGTATAACTATAGTTATAAACACTCATAAATGATCATAATGCTTTAAAGCAATAATCATAACACATTATAGAGCATTCTATCATGACTTACAAGGTCAGGTCTTATAATGTCTTATAACTGTTAAAAACTGTTATAACTTATTCCTTTTAAACTTGTATAATTATCATTATAAACACTTATTAATTATCATAAGGCTTTATAACAATAATCATAAAATATTATAATACCTGACCTTGTAAGACATGATAAAATGCTCTATAATGTGTTATGATTATTGCTATAAAGCATTATGATCAGTTATGAGTGTTTAAAACTATAGTTATACAGCACTATAATGTGATTATAAAGTGTTATACTTATATTTATAATGTGTTATAGAGATAGATGTCAAGCAAAGTGTTACCAGGATATTATATATCTTTAGTTTTCTTCTTCCTCCTAGTGGCCCAATGAAAAAAGAACATTAGGACATTTTCAACACTTTATAAAAAAACAATCAGGACAGGATGTAAAAACAGAACATGTCCTGGGAAAACAGGACGTTTGATCACCCTCGTTGTAAGTCTGTTCGTTGTTTTAAGGGTTGCTACTTATCTTTTCAAAAACATTTTGGGGAATTTGAGCTTGCTCTTGATAGCAGAGCTGAGAAGAGACAGGAAATGTTGAGGAGAAGAGAGTGGGAGGCTAACACGCTGCACGTCAAACCAGCGGGCGCTGTGACAAGGACTTTGGCCTCTGTATATAGAGCATGTGCTTTGACCGCTGCGTTAAACCGGCGGAAGTTCAATCTTCATCACAGTAGTCAACCAACTAATTGGAAAGTGTCCATATGTATCTCAAAGTAAGTTATCAAATACTTCAACTTGCATGTCATACAAAAAGAATAAATAATGATTCAACATAATCACGAAATCATTATATAAACTGTTTAATTCCCAGAGTAGCTGCTAAAGTGATATTTTTGATTCACTGCGGTTTTTGAGTTAACTGACAGTGTGTTTATTGGCTTGCTTTTATCTGGGGGATTTTTGTGGGGCTTAGAGAGACACTTGCTCCTATTTTTAGATCAGACCTCATGGCCCCTCTCAGTCCTTCACTGCCAGAGGGACTGAGAATCTGGACATTCACTCTGTGGACACAAACACTAACACTCAGAGGCATACGGACACACAGGCCCAGGTTTTATTTTAAAACAACCATGTAAGTGTGAGAGGGAAGTGGGATGTGCCAAACTCATTATGTGGCGTGTAAGGATGTTGCTAAATGTGGCCTCTTTGGTTTCTCTTCACTCTAAGGTCACTTTGTCCTCTCTGTCTGCACTGCAGATGAACTGAGCTCTCTGCCAGCCGTCACTGAAGTTCATTAGTGAAGCAGAAGTCAGAGTATGAGGCCACCTTGCTTGTTGAATGCCCTTTCACAATTCCTCTGTCCCAGACATTCATTAGACTCACAGATGGGCACATGCACACTCCCTGCATTGTGTGTACCCACAAAAACACGTTCATGGATGCATGGTGGGTCCACACAGATCAAGAATTGGTTGTATTTTCATTCAACAACCCATAACTGCCCCCTTAGTGCAGGCAGGATAGGTTGCCATAGCAATGTACGTGACCTAGAGTCAAGAAGTCTCTTGTGTTGCGCCAGACAAACTGACAGCCGAGGTCTGAATGTGGCATTAGGAGACAAGAGCACCTCATAAATCAGTGGGAAGCAGACCATGAAACCCAGTGGTGAGAATTCCTCAAGTGGAGGAAAGAAAATGGAAACACAAAGTTTGTCCTCTCCTCCTCAAAGAAGAAGAAAAGGTTCACCTGAAAGTTTGGTCTGGCTGTTCAATGACTCATCTTTGTTGCAGCTTGGTGCATCGAAAAGCAATGAATGTTTCATGAGATAGTAAGAAATTTTGATGGAAATTTAAGTCAAAATATCTTCAAATTTAGTTTAGAGAGCAGACGACAAAAAAATAATGTGTTTGTGAATTTCAGCATATCTGTGTTTTTGTTGTGATCGTCTTTGAATAAGTCTCTCTCTCTCTCTCTCTCTCTCTCTCTCTCTCTCTCTGTCTCTTGTTAGATGTACTATCCAAAAGGAGTGTGCTCAAGGACTGCTGGCACGTTCCTGGATAAGCATGGGTGAAGGCCCTCAGCAGTGTCCGTCCATGACCCTCATACCCCCTGAGATCAGCATCTCTGCAGACATTACGGTACCACCGTCTCCCTCCGTATCATTTGTTGTCCTTCAGACCGATTTCACGAGTCACACCGTTACATTTGTTCACTGTAAAGTTATGTTTGTTATGAGGACAGTGTATTTAGAGCTGTTTAATCTGGATGCCTCATGACCACCTTCACAACCTGACACCTCTTTCTATTTTTATACTCACTATTATTATTGCGCTGCTGATAAAGTCATGCCAACACGGCGCAGTTGCTCCCTCCGCTTTCCCTGTTGTAGCCTCATAGTCTGTGCTAACACCACCACTATGAAGCTGCTGTAGTTCATGAAAACTGTGCACCACCTGCTCAGCACCGAAGAGCAGACAGACGCTAAGAGTGACTAAGTGAGAGCACGTAAATTTTCCTCGCTAAAGTCAAATGAATATTCATTAGGTGGCACATACATAACTCCGAATGAAAAAACAGTTTCCCTATATGATCATCTTTCACATCAAAATCTGATCCCATACATTTGTCCTGCCACTATAAGAAAAGCCTCAACCCAGACACTTTGAGTGGTGTCAACATGAGTCATGCTAGTCGTAAAACAGCAAACCTGCTGTGAAGAAAAGGACAGCTTACCGGTGGCACAGCATGAAACTGCATGCCATACATAGCTGTCGGTGTCTCTCTTGCATGCAACTGAAACTCTTAACCATTTCGTGACAGTGACTCAGGTGTGTTTTGATGATCATCAGTCCCTTTTAATTAATGGTTAATAGATGGGTTTGATAATAACAAACAGACACCTTAAGACACACAACATCTTCGTTGTGTTTGTTTTTATCTATCCTTTTTTAAGCCTGAAAAATAAGATTTGTGTAAGAGTGTTATACTTTAATGTTACCTCTTGTTTTCTGAATCTCCCTCTCTAAACCCTGTGTAGTCCAAGCAGATAACTGTCTTACATGAGTCAGGTTTGGCTCAAGGTTTCTGCCTGTTAAAAGGAAGTTTCTCCTTGACATTGTAACCTGCTAACTTGCTGTAAAAAGACACGTCCCGGGTGGAAGCGAAAAGACTGACGCAAAACCAGACTGACTGTTTTTCAGTTCTGATTAGACACTAGTGTTGAGATGTCTGTCTGTCATGATAGCATGTACTGAACTATAATCCATAAACGTAAGGTAACAACTGAGACCTAGTGGTGCTGTGACAGGAACGCGATTGAGTTTGAGACAGTGAAAATACATATGGTATGTTGTACCTGAACAGGTTAGCTTAAAAGCTAAAGTTACTTAGCACAGATGAAAGTTAAAACAAAGATGTTTAGCAAACTGTTGAAGCACACAAACCATTGTCATATGAGAAATCTGACGCTATGACTCTCCACAAGTTGTCCTTCAGGTCATTATCTTTGTAATGTTTGTGTTTTTATCAAAAAGCACTCTGTTCTCCGACACGTAAACAATCAGCCGGTCGGCCATGTTGGATATACCGGTGAATCTGACGTTGCAACAACATGAAATCTGATTGTCAAGAAGTGGACACACAGTATGTGAAACTTTAGAAAAATCGACCGTGAAACGAAAAAAAAAAGCCGCAATATCGCAGGAGGGGAAAATGTCACGATATGGGTTCGAAAAACAGATTGACATCTTAAATAATCACACAAAAAAAGGACCTTTAAACATAAAATATAAGACACAAAAGTTTTGCAGTCAATTCTAGATTAGACATTTGGAACAATATGCTTTCTATCACCTCTTTAGCTTTGCTATGAGTATCACTTGACAAGATCTTCTTTATTCACACCTTTTTAATTCCTCTGTTGATTTGATTTGGGACACAGAAAACGTAAACACTGGGGGCTACACGTATCACTAACAGTCTGATTTTAATCAAAGATGACAGGATGCTATGCTCTGACACAAAAGAGTGGCTGCATCCTTGTGAGGGTACGACATGTAAATTGTTGTTTTCAATAATTACTTCCAGTCAGTATATCATGTAAGAGAAACCTAATAACAGGATAATTAGCCTCCTGAATTTTGACACTTGGAATATATTTGACCTTTAATTACTGCTCATAATTAGACGAGGCAGAGAGACGACAGGCCATTAATTGGTTCATTAATCGTGGATATTTCCTTGTTATGTGGGTCAGTTTGGCTGTAATAGATCTAACAGCTGCCAGATTCACAGGCATCCTTTTGGAGTCACAGGAAACTCGGCTCAAGGTTGTCTCTCCAAACAGGAAGCAGCAGGCAGGAAGTTAGGGCTTTGGTCAGGAAATGATCAATTCCAACATACAATGGAGCGGATTTTCAAGACATGTTAGCGCATGCCGCTGGCCACTTTAGCTTGTGTCTGCTGAGCCATAGCTGATGCCATTGTGCTCTTCCTCACTGCCTAACACATTTTGTCAAAGGCCCCCCACCCCTTACTTTTCTCGCATTGAATTCATTTAACTGAAATCCAGTCATGTCAGCGAGGTGTTAGTTTTCTCATTATACGACTGTCATACTTCATCACAGATCCAGATTTAGATGTGAATGTAGCGCTCTGCCATCTGTTTCTTCATTGCACATTAGTTTCTCTGTTTCCCTGCCTGAACTCTCAAACAAACTTGATGTAATGCCAGTACTTTTTTCCCCCCAAGTCAAAAGACTAACAGAACATACACTTGTTTTAACAATACCAGTATGTGGTTTGGCATGGAGACTTGACCATATCTAATCAGTTGCCATTTTCAACTGACATCATGCTGAGGTATGAAGGTCTGCGATCATAGTGTCACAGCATGTGCACTATAAATCTACAGGATTCATTATTATTTCACCGCTTTGATATAGACATGTCGAAAATCTGCAGACTTCTTTGGATTTTATATGAGTATGGAGATATCAATATACTCAAAACTGCAGAAGAGCTTATATTCTATCAATAAAACTCAAAATACCACAATTAGACATCCTCTAACTTCAGGTGGGAATCACAGAGTAAGCCACAATGCAGTACTACGAGAGAATTCACAACACAGAGCCTGAGATAATGATCAAAATACAGACCTTCTACCGTAATTGGTGCAACGCAAGACAATCATTTTAATGATACATCAGGATAACTGTCTAGATCAAGAAAGAAAATACCCCTATGAAGGCAATGTGCTGGAATGCAGGCACAAAGCCAGACACTGTAACCATTAGAGGCTAAGCTCAAACCCAGGAGTGTTCAGGGGCACGCTCCACCCCTTAGGGAAAATGTTCTCATTTCTGGCAGGTATAAATGGTGTTTTTCTCGCTGTTTTTAGTAGAAATGTAGATTTAAAATGTCAAAAACCATGCACATCATTTGGGAAAATGGTGAGTTGCCACCTGTAAGACGTAATCCTTTAGAGCCTGGGTATTGTTCTCCAACTGTCTCCATTATTCCGAAGCTATAAAGCAACACATGGAAGAAAAACAAAAGAGACAGGGGAGAGAGAGAATGATGGATGATGATTTTAAGTTACATTATACAGATAGAGCAGGGATTTAGAGCAGAACTTTCTAATTGGCATTAATCACTCTGAAAAAGCAGATGAAAAGCAGATGTGGTAGTTACACATTTATCTCTGTAGCCTTCGAGCTGACGTTCAATACAATATACACCACACTACAATACAAAAAGGCCTTTCTTAGTTTTTGTGCCGTACTCTGAATAATGTGGTTTGATTTTGTCAATTTGGCTCCCAATATAAAATGACTGTTAAACACTGATCTGGTTTTCTAATTATCATCACAAAACCTAGCAACAAAATACAGACCATCTGCGCCCACAAATAAGCTTTTCTGTCCCTTAAAATGATCTGCCAATCATCCCATCCGTATTGTAGGTTACCGCACAATCTGTAATGTGATTGGTTGCCTGGAGCGGTGACGCCAACACCTTTCCGCTCCAGACTGCATCCGTACAGAAGTTTTAGAACCGAGTTTTGCTGATTCTCTTTTAAAAACACTCTGCCCTTCTCAGGTCTGTTGAAAAGTAGCTGGTAAACAGGAAGTGGGGAAATGAAAGCAATTCTCCAACTGGTACCTGATATTTAAACATTCAATCTGCACTTCAACAGCAACCCCTTATAGCTGGATTTTAGCCTTCCACCTCAATAACTGAGGAAAGCAGCCACCCTGTTGGTGTTGTAGATGTATTTTCTTGTCATTATCTGTTATTTATGTGTGTACCTATGTGTTTTTGTCATAGAATGTTGGCATTCTGATAAACGGCAGTGTCCCCGATCTGGTCGGCTCCCGAGTGGAGTGCGAATACGCACCTGGTGTTTCTACGGCTGCCACAGTGCATCTAGACTCCGGACCTGCTCAGATCCAGACCTGCCCCCTCCTCCCACGAGAAAACTACCAACCAATCCTCCCCGGCACAGGTGAGACCGAACAAAAGCATCCGTTTGGCTGTGTGCCATCGCTAAAGCACAGTTAAAGTGTATGAATCATTTTTTTTTCATTAATAAGATCTTGAGCAAATGTAATTTCCCCTCTTGTCTTTCAAAAGTCAGTGGTGCAGCATGAGGATATTTGCTGTCTCGTTTGTGTTATGACAGAGATAAAGTCTGGAATGGTTGACACATGCGGCATTGTTTACTCTCCTTTGTTTCTCTAGATCATCTGACTGTTTCTGTGGCGATAAAAGTGAATGGTACATCTGTGGTATCTGGGAGCTTCATCATCTACGACTGTGAGAGGACTGGAGCAATACACCCCAAGACATCGTGAGTCACACATTTATTGTCCCCAAAAACTTAACTCATATATTTGGTTCTTGCACTCCTCCAAACTCATGTCTAATTTTAACAGCAGTTTGATAATAAAGATGTAAAATCCAATCTAATTTCCTCAGAGAAAGCACCAAAACAGAGAAAAATTCTTCTTCTGTCTTTTCAAATCAATTTTCCCATAACCTCTCAAGTTTTGCCACTGGCCTTCTGGAGAGGCCTGTCATGAAGATTAGAAACCTCTGTGCTAAAACATCCTGACTGTCTGGGAAGCAGTTGAAAGTATCTCTGCCTTGCCCGGCTATTACAGAAAAAATTCTGCCTACTCGTTGCTACATTAGTATTTAAAATATAATAAAGCAATAACTAAAAATATGTCAGTCTGAGGCAGCACTTTTCCTGCAGAATGACTTTCTTACAAGTGCAGTTTGCTGATAATATTTCTGCACATTTCAAGCAGGATTTGTAATGCAGGACTCATACTTAGGATGGATTATGTTTACATGCTTTTACTGCAGCTTTTTTGGCGTCGGTAGTTCCTCAACTACATCTTCGACTGCTGGCGACATGATTTCAAGGCAACCGTTTAAAACAAAGCTTCCTGAAAGGTCCAAATACCAATATATCTTTTCCTAAACAAAGGGTTTCTGTAGAGCCGTAGCAAATGTCAGCTTGAGTCTCTGTGGCATTGTAGATGTGCACACATAGCTGGAAGCTGAAAAAACAGCGAAGCATCTCTGCTCTGTCTCAAAGGCCTTTCCGCTTTGTCCCTAACCTCTTCCTCTCATGTTTTTTTCCCTGTCTTTCTATTTATTCCCCAGTGAGTAAATATTGCCGACACGTCCTGTTGGAGGGCTTATTGTGTGTTTGGCTTGCTCAGGGTTTTTCAGTGAAGGATCAAATGTGGGATTAATATGCTGTAAACGTTAAGCCAGAGGAAATTGGATATGTATGTCTGGCTGGTCATGTTGATGTTTGTTTTTGTGAAGGACCGCGACTTGTATGGCCTGGTCACAAAGAGGGTTTTCTCATAGCTGGAGGCAATCCAGCTGGCTTCCTCCTGCATGTCGTACCATGTCAGAGGATCCACTTTATCTGATAGGCAGATCCACGGCTTTTGGGGGGGGGGCATCAGTGTGTGTGTATGTAGGCGGGTGTGTTTGTTGACTGTGATTCCCTTAGATCGAAAACCATTTGGGTGTGTCCCCTTTTGTTCACTTTTTCAAGCAGCCGGGATGTGTGAACACAGCAGTTGCAGGTACATGTGTGCAAGACTGCACCCAATATGCGCGTGTGGCCTCGGTGCTCTGCGAGGTCCGGGAGTGTGAAATTAGACGGTGGATTGTTGAAGGTGATAATGAGCAAAGTGCCATTCTCACAGGATGAGCAATGGACTGCAAACTGCGGAGCTGCTATACTCTATCTGATTTTAATCACTTCAAGCTGTTTTTTTTAATAATCCCTAAAGAGTCTTACCAGCCACACCTCCTTAGTGAAACTAGATAAATTCTCTTTGTTCAGGGCTTTATGTGGAAAGCCAGCACTTAGGGTTTTTATGTGTCAAAGCTTAACTCTTAATAATGAGACACTGACACCGTTATTGTCTGTGCAAACCATCAAGGTCAGACAGGAGCTATCTTAAAAGTTTCTTCTTGTAAACTTCAGGATAGTGAAATCCGCCATCCAATAGTTCTTAAGCATTATATCTGATTATTTGAGCAGGAACATCCTTGAATGATGTAAGAGGATAATATAACTGATAAATGTACATGCTGGAAAGGAGATAAGGGAAGGAGGTCTATCGGTTTGTCTCCGACAATATTAACCTGTTTACTAAAATAACCGAGAGGGTCCAATTGTGTAATTTGAGCTCTTTCTTTAAAGTGCACCCTGGCATTTTTAGATCACTCGTCTCTGGCTGTGAGTATGATGTCTGAGAAAATAACCCCAATGATGATGTCATGGTGGTGTCATCAGAGTGATCTCAAACTGGGATTAAGACTTCAAACTTTTGTCAGCCGGGGTTTAGAGATGAAAGATTTAACCTGTCAGGGAGCATCTAAAGAGAGATGTCAAGAAGTTGCATTGTGGGAAGTGCTGGATCCAGTGGCGTTTGATCCTGTCCATGATGGGACTAAATTGCTGATATCAAAGTCACCGTTTTTTTTTTTTTTTTTTTTGACAGTTTATTTATGAACATTTTTTTCAAAAACAGTATACAGATTCAATAACAACAATAGAACTACAAATTTCACCCAAACCGGCCCCCTCCCAGAACAAACCCCGTAGGCCAACTCTTACCTACGTCCCTTAAAAAAAATAAAAAAATAAAAAAGATAAATAATAAAATAAAATAATAATAATAATAATAATAATAATAATAGTTCATATATTAAATAAACAAATTATTTAAATAATTAAATAAATTACTTTAAGTGATCTGTGAGAAGTTATCCAGATATATTTTGAAGTCATTCCAGCATATGTCAAAAAGATGAGGTTTCTTTTTCATACTGAACATATATATTTTTTTCAAGGTGTCTCTTGTGCGTCCAACATTCGCAAATAAAAGAGTAAAACTAAACCTCTTGATTACCCACTTTCAAGCTTCTGTTGCACCCTCATTGGACAAAGCAGTACCTCTATTTTTTTGTTCTCTGCGTGCATTAGTGTTGTTGTCATCAAATGCATCACTCATTAAGGAAAATATCTAAAAACCCTTTTCTGTACCTCTTTAAATCTCTTTGTCTGACACCTGCCCTGGAGCAGCATTTTTAGGCATTTATATAAAAAAACATAGACATAATTTATCCGTGCCGATGATCTCATGTGCTTTTGTAGAGCAGATAGAAGCATCTGTATCAATTTCAGTCTGTTTCATAACTACTTAAAAATCCCTCAAAGGAGCTTTAACCAGTAAATCAAGGTTAGCGACACAAAGGAAACATCATCCGCTCATAAATGTGGCGAACGCTGAATTGTAGTCCCAAAGCTGGCTCACCTACACAGAAGAAAGCTCGGATGTGTTTGTGAGTTAATGTTTAAGCGTGTGAGACTGAAAGTGATGAGACAGTTCTCCGGTGACCCGTTCAGAGTGTTAATGACAACCAGACGATTCAGCATTCCAGTCTCACCAAATAGCCCAGTAGGACAACCACCTAACCTGCCCTCTCGCTATGTGTCTATCACCTTCTTTTATGTTTCGCACAGACCCAAAACTCTCTCACACACACACACTCACTCACTCTGTTTGTTTGTTTTATTGTCTGTCTTTCTCTACCTCTCTCTCTGTCGATCAAGTTTTGCACTCCTGTTGTTTTCCCCTCTTTCTGTCTGTCCGTTTGCTCCCTTCTCTCAAAATCTCCCCCTTAAAACTGGTCTTTTCTTCTCTGTGTATTTTGTCTTAGACAGAGACGTGATTGAGGATGTGTATTTTACTGCTGTGTCCACTAAAAGGCCCTGAGAGTGTTAGCCTGACTGTGTATTTAGTGTGTGTGTGTGCGTATGTGTGTGTGTATGGTCCTTATGACTTTGGGTGGGCAGTGTTGAGGGGTATTTACTGTCCGTGTTAGGTCAAGCAGAGAGAAAGAGTATGTGAACAATCTTTATGTGTGTGTGTGTGTGTGTGTGTGTGCGATCATGTGATTGAGCGTGTGTGTGTGTGTGTGTGTGTGTGTGTGTGTGTGTGTGTGTGTGTGTGTGTGTGTGTGTGTGTGTGCGCGCTGTAGGTGTTTTAGTGGGACTGAAAGGGAGTCAGGGAAAACAGAAATGCTGCAGCTGATAAGAGCCTTGAGGGGGCCGTCTGCTTCTAATCAGAACACACACACACACACACACACACACACACACACACACACACACACACACTTTTTCTCTATCCAACTCCCCTTCCAGTCTAAAGACCCCCTTGGAGTGCTACTATCACTGGAGGCGCTATCACTCCTGGTGTGGGACATCTGTCTCTTCCTGCAGGCAGTACAGTGACACACACTCCACTCACACACATGCTGCACTGTGGAGGTGTTCCACTTACGGACGTTTATCTGGGAGACACACACACCCACACACTTACGCACACACATTTGTATTCTATCCTCGGTATAGATAAATACGGTACAATCCATATCCCCCGAACACTGTCATTAATCATCTCAAGTTTACGTCCAAACTTTACTCAGAGCCTTAATCTGAAAGAACAGATCACCCAAATCGCAACAGAGCTGAATATCACAGATATTTATATTGAGGTAATGCCATAAATCTCAAGGAATAATATCTCAAAAGCTTGGAAAACAAAACTTAGACCAATGGAGTTTGTGATTTGGCTTAAAAAGCTCAGTACTGTGGTTTTAAGCAAAAGTTACTCAAACAGGAGTGGTGAATATAGTTTTGACCCATTCCAGTTTGAGATTTGGTGCTACTGCGGTTACAAGAAGCTTCCCCTGGCAGTGCCCATTTTTTATTATTATGATGGTATTTTAGGATTGTGTCATGGTGTGCAGTCGTAAAAATGACATTCAAAAAAAGAAAAAACTCTAGTTTACAATTACGTGACTTTGAGTGGAAATTTGCCTGTAGCATCTTTATACATTCTTGAAGAACAATTGAAATAATTTATGAGCAACAATAGAGCTGTATGGGAAAGAGGCGTGGTTTGCTTTGGTACTAAATGATAAACCGTACTAAACCAATTATCTTCATGATGATCCAAGCATTAAGCCCTAGCTTTATACAGACATCTTAAGCCTTTGTATTTGATATATAAATAAACTACTTATTGGTTTGGCTGTGGAAAAGAGACAGCCTCATAAATCTGTAATGGCTTTAATGTTGCCTTTTTACTGCGAGTGTTGTGTAATTTCAAGTTTTCACACGCTTTCAGACTTTTATTTTGAAAGGCAAGACAAAAGTAATGACAGCCAGGAGGAGCATTAAAATAGAAGTTTAAGGAGTTATCATTGTTATTTTTCATAACACACATACAGCCAATGACAACACCTCACACTGAGGCTAAAGGTCGGTTTCTTCACAAATTGTAAGTTTTAAATACTTTAGTTTCAGCCAGTTTAGCTTTAAATAACATGTTTATCTTTGTTTCACTTTTTTGTTAGTCATTGACTCTTAAATAAATCTGAGACCCATTTTATAATGTGTCAGACCATCTTTTGTGGCTACATGTCTGTCATGGACCAAGCATTCAAGCACAAAACACAAGTTTAAAGTTCCAAAAAAGGGGGAATTATTTTTTTTTAAATGGCTTTTGAAATGTAATTAAAGTTGAAGGGCCCTTAAAAGAAGACAACAAAATATACCTCCACTGAAATTAAAGTTAACAAAACTTGACATCAACTCAACTAACAGACCTGCCTGAATGAGACACTTGGAGAATATTCATAGTGGTTGATCAGATCACATTTAACACACTGGGGAAAACTATACACAATAATGTAAACTAACACTCTTGAACCCTGATCCCCCCTATGATGTAAGAGCTCTTGGTGTAGTCTATGGGAGGGGCTCCAGAATAAAGCCTGGCTCCGCCCTCAGCTCAGTCTTTTGTCTGCCCAAGTAGGAAATGCCATCAGGCAGCCAGGTAACTCAAAGAAGAGAGAAATGAGTTCATACAAATGAATAACAAAAAAAACAAACAGTGTAAGCTAAATATGTGCACTCCATCCAGAAAACAATGTTGCCAAAGTACTAATAAACCAATTTTAAACAAGACAAACTATGTGTGCTGTAACTGCAACTCAGAGTAACTGACCATGTGGTTTGCGAGTGTGTAAATGCTACAACCTCACAATGCCCATGTCATTTTTAACAGTATTTTCCACAGGCTGCATTATCTCTAATTTGTACATTTGGGTGTTTCTCGGCCTAATTAGCGGGGAATGAATGGAGTCTAAGAGCTTATTTTAAATTTCCTTGCCAAAATGTCCTCACTTAAATGGTGTGAAACTCAAAATGATGTTTATAAAGATAGTAACCTTGGAGATAGAGCTCTCACATGTATCATCATTGAACAGTCTGTGTGTTTATAGAAGAGGGCTTTGTTTTATCTCCACAGATTTGGCCCACTTTGACCTCCTGGCCAGCTGGCTGTGTTGTTACTGTGAAATGAATGTGTCTGCTACTGTGACTAATCATTATTTCCCTTTATTAGAGTTAAACTTTGAAGCCTATAATCAGTCGAACCTCTGAGTTTGTATAACACACAGAATTAATCAGACATAGCAACTTTTGAAATGACTATTTATCGCTGCATGGGAACAGATTAAAGGGGAGGAAACTGGCTAAATTTGATGTTTGGCTCTGAAGTCTTTTCATGTATATGTCTTTTTTTTTTCAGATGTGAGAGCTGTCTGAGAACCAGGTGGAAATGTTTCTGGGACCAGGAGAACCACCTTTGTGTTTCCAATAAAAATGAGTCAAAGCCCAACCTGCTGGAGGTGAGTAATCCTCTGCTTTTTAATAATCTATCACCCAAACAGACACCTAGAGGATCTCATGTTATTAAGACCCCTCTAGTCAAAGCCCCAGACTCACTCCAGATTCTTTTAAGTTTGCTGTGTAAGGCCCCAAGTCCAGACGGGTTAGGCAAGAGTCCTCATGTGGTAATTCAGCATGAGGTTTCAATGTCTCAGCTGCATGTAGAAATGTTGCAACCCTCTATAAAATCTCAGGAGGTTTCAGTTTAACAGACTCCTTACAGGGTATTGTACCATTTTAAAGCTCCTCAGACCTCCTATAAAGTTTTGGCAGTTTGCTTAATACCCCCACATGTGGAAGAGTGCTTTGTCCCCATTTTTTAGGAGAATTATTTCTAAATGTCAGAGCCGCTGGTTGCCAGAGGAGTGATAAATCTACACCTACATTCTTAGCTATGCTTTCATACAACCCTTCATTTTAAGTAGGTGACTGTACGAATGGATTATGTAGATGTATGTTTATGGAGCCTCACGAGGGTGTAAACTACTCTGAAAAGCAAACAAACTAAATAGTGTAAAAGGGTTGGCATGAAAAGGCTGTGAAACTAGGGGAAATTATCCACAACAAGAACAGCCTCATTGATACAAATTACAACTCCCCAGACACAACTGTCTTTTGTGCATGTTTCTGACAACACAAGACCATGTCAGGCTTTGTATCATCGCCATCCCCTGCAGAGTTTTATCACTCAGCCAGGTCCCATGACCTGTGCGAGGAGGCTTACTCCCAGCAGACCCCAGCCCTAAGGACACAGGGGTCTGACTGACAGTTCTGGTCCCTGTGAGAGAGGAGAGGATGTGACTCACAGTCCTCTGGTCAGCTGCTAGTTAACTTGTTCTGCTCTGGCGTTGAAGTGTTTTATTGCCAGCTCTATCAGGAGAGCCCCCTGGACAGGAAAAAAGCTGTTTTTCTTAAACAATTGCTGTAATAAAGATATCACTGGATTTCTGAAGCAAATAAAAGCTAGTCATGCGTGCAGTTTGAGATCCCAAGATACACCAAAACAAACATATTAAAGCACAAGAGGCTCCTGTTTTTCTAGTCACTTTTTTGTTATTCAGATTTTAGCTCTTTTTGGATGTGAAAAGACTCCATTAAGTCTTTGTTATGTAGGTCATAAAGAGGAGAGGAGATGAGTTTCCCCCGTTTTTCTGCTGATCCCATCACAGTGTCCGGTGGGTCTGTTTTTCTAATCCCTCATCGTCTCCCCATTTGAAGCTATTGTTGTCTCCCTCAGAGCAAGACTTTACCCCCTCATTTCCTCCTCCTACACATAAACAGGACAGGTATTTTGGGTTGCGGATGTGTGCTGTGGAGCCATTGTTTTCTTTAATTCCTATATGTCACTTCCTGCCCCTGAAACCCCACCTCACCACAGAATGCAGCTTCCTGTCCCAGTCTGGTCGCTTCCGAGGTTCCTCCTTCACCATCAGGAATGGCCCAGGACTTTACCTTATCCCTCAGCAACATCCAGGAGGTACGCCAGACATCCCTACAGCTATGGAGCTGGACTTGGACTTTGTCCAAATTGCATGTTGTGAAAATGATTGGAATAAAACCGAGGCATATGGTGGGTTCGCTTCAAGCTGAGTTAAAAACAGATGGAAATTTGTGTGCTGTTATTTAGGTCAATGAATGAGTGGAACCTGAATGTGGGTGATCTCCATGTTGTGAGACAGATATGAAAGTGAAGTATTAGTGTGAGTCTTTATGCTTATGTTGCTCCCTGCTCAGCTGTTTGGGCCCACCATGCATGTGGTATCATACTGTGACTAGCTGAGTTGTGCCTCTGTCAGCACAGCGTACAGTACAATGTGCAGTGGGGTCTGAGGCAGCACTCACACGGCAGGGGCTTTATTTCACCCGTGTTGGTTTTAAATTCGCCTAGTCCTTCCAGATCAGTTTTTTAAACTCCTTATTCTCATCCTTAATCCATGCTGAGCAAGTCAGACGCTGATCCTGCATCCTTGATAAGGACACGGCTGGGAACTTCAGAAATTCCTATGCTGACTGGTTGCCAGGCGTGGTCAGTCACACGCCTAACCCCGGCTGGCCTCTCCGGCCCTCTCCAAGTGTGTTGCTATGGTGACAGACTCTGAGTCACATACAAAACCACATGAACGCACACAAACACAGTTTCTCAGGACAGCTTGGAAGTGTTTGGCTATTCATACTTCTCTTTATTATGAAAGTTTATACTAGCTGAGAGTGTTTGGATAATGTCTTCATCTTGTCAGAAAGCCAACATGCAGGAAATGTGGTGTCACTCATTTTGGTGCTTTCCAAAAAGTATCACCATCTCCTCATGACCTCTTTTGGAACATGTGGTGAATTTAGCTCTGGTTCCCACAGTTTTAAAAAACCTGCTATGAATTATTTAGACGCTACACTGATAAACATTCATTCCAAAATATTTAGCAACAAGCAGATACTTGAGAGTTTATCCTGCAGTTTTTATGAAAGTGGTTCTCAGCCTGAACAGGGAACATTATAAAGTGTGTTTGCTGTTGAGCCCTCCGGGGCAAAGGGACCTGCCAGAAAGCAAAAAAGATCTTCTCTGGTGTCAAAAAGCACGGAAAATAGCAAAGTCACGGAGAGGGCGATCAAAGTAGACCAATTTAAGCTGGCTGGATTCACAGACAAATGATTTCTCCCACTTTAAGCACTTATCTTTTACTGCTCTTAGCTATCTGAGCTACTTCATGGTCTTCACATTATCCTGGCTCATTTAAACTCTGGGCTCTGATTTTAGAAAGAATGAATTCATATTCATTACCATGGCTCCCAGATGACTCGCCAAGGTGTGGGAGTCCAGATGTTTATGAATATGAATTTTGAATAGATTGCATCTTTCCCTGGCAGGGACAATTATAGTGGGTTCTTTGAGTTTGCTGGTTCTCTTTTGGAAGTTGTCAATTGTTACCAGACGTGTACGAGATAGAATTTCTTTGCAGACGCCAGCTCTGTTTTCTCTCATTTTGGGCGCTAGAGCTGCAATTATCTCATTCTGAGAAAAATATAATATCATATTTGGCTTGCTTGTTGCAACAGAAATGCTGAATACTAGTTTAAAAAAAAGTGATCTGCTCAACAGGGAGAGAAGCTGGAGTGTGACTTTGGGACGGAGCAGCAATATGAGGCCACATGGCTGAACAGCACGACGATCAAATGCAGTGGAGTTACAGTAAGTATTCATACGAGAAAGAACTACTCAAGTAAGTTTTCTAAATTCAAAAAAGACCATAGAGGTCTGATTCAGCTAATGTGCGTTTACTCTTTCAGTGTGCTCATTATTGTTTGGTTAAAACTTGCTTGTAAGTTGTTTTCTATGTAATTATTGTTGGTTAAGAACCGATTATTATCTCAAACAACAATACACGTTAAGGCAGAATGACATATTTCTGACCTGTTTTATTGCTGCCCTTTACCTCTCTGTCTGTGTAGCTGTCTACCAATCAAAGGAGTCAGATTTATCACCTTAACCTGCGGAGAAAGGGGTACTTCAGTGGACAAGGGGAGGATATATTTATCGACAGCCCTCAGCCCATGAGAGGTACGACACCGCACTCATAATAATGTCGACTTGTGGGAAAAAAAAAACAAATGAAAAATCATCTTTCACGCTTCAGCTGTTTGCTCAGCTCTCCTGTATTTGCATCATAATTAGACACTCGCCAAAAAACAAGGGAAAATCTGACATAGCTGCCACTGTTGCTCCCAGAATGCATTTCACCTCTGCACAAATGTTTTCTGATGAGATTGGTGGATTTAATTAAACCTGCAGAAAAATAAAGAACCGCTTACGGGAACAAACAGTGTGAGACTGCCTTTCACTTGCAATAATAGTAGTTGTTGTAATGCAACACATAATTTGCCAACAACTAGCAATTTCCCATCGTATCATTCTCTGCTACTGGCTAATTTCACATAATGGTTACTGAACTTAGGGAGCAGCAATTTAAGGTGTTAGCAAAGGCCCTTGCAGGCCGTGTCCTCATGTATTGTTCAAAATACAATAAAAACTCCATGACAACAGTGAGATAATGAAAAGTAGTGTGCATGTTGTTGAATTTGGCATGTTGTTATAGTGCGTATACAAGCCAAGCCTAGCCTATCCCAGTCCCAGATGTGCTGTTCCTCGTCCATGTGTCTAGCATGTGAACAACAGCCCTGGGCCCCTGCCAGACACTCTGTTAGCTGTTAGCGGACATGACAGTTGCTTCATAACATGCGGAGTCATCAAATTTAAATTTATCACACACATCCAGGCGCACAAAATGCACACACTGTAATATGCACACAAAAGCATGCACAGATGCACATGCAGGGATACAAATGGGACTGCGCTCTGGGAGGCACATTGGAACAAGACTATAATCATCTGTTTCTCGCTGGCTTTGTTCTCCTCGACTCCATTAGCTCTCCTTTTTTTCCTGGTTTATTTTTACAGCTATGAATGTATCACCCTGCAAATGCTTTCATTCAGATCATACACCCATGTGGTTCATATGAGGTTAAAAAAATGTAATTTGGGACTCTGTCTTACCTTGTTTACCAGACAAGGCAAACAGCGCTCAGAGATGCTACTTTTAAGTAATAACTGCCTCCCCGTCTGTCTCACTCTCTCATCTCCCTCTAGTGGAAGTGTACAACTGTAGGGTGGGGAGTTCAGACTGTTCCCAGTGCTGGGGCCGAGAGGACCAGGGCCACCTCTGTGGCTGGTGTGAAAACAGCTGTCGACCAAGGGATGACTGCCAGCCCATCAGGGATCAGTGTCCAGCTCCTGAGATCCACAGGGTAAGATCACGAGTTAAACATGCATGCATGGAGGCTACAAGTGTTTGCATTCATCCTCCAGCACACTCCTTTGCCTCCGGGCTCTATTTTCAGGCTATAAAATGGTGAATCATGGGGTCACTCACATGGTGCAGAGCCCCCGTGCCCTATCTGTCCAGTGTCAGCTGCTGAGGGAGTGTTTGAATGGAGTCTCATTAAAGCGGTTCGCTCGGTAATAACACTAACATTCACTTAGCCGCAGCCCTCAGGGGACACATGGGAGCCGATCTGCAATCACTCAGGAGGCCCTGGGAACACCTTCTGCCCTGTGTAACTACAGTATCTGTGGAAAGCTATACGTGAAGGGCTCTTTGTGTGGAAAGCCACATCAACTCAGAAAAGAAAGCAAACAAGAAACCATGAGGGGTTTTAGATCTGTGACCACAATAAGAGCAAAACCGCAGCACTAAGAAGGAATAACAAAATGTTTATCTAGCATAGGATCTGACTGCGGTCATGTCACAGTGGTCATCTTAATTACCTGTCAGGACCTGTTTACAGAGCTCATTTACATAATCGTATTCATTTGTTCATCCAGCTGGAATGGGAAAGTGTTTCGATGCATCTTCTCTTTCTCCTGTTACTGTATGCCTCTATCAGCATAGCCACGGTAGGCGGTCATGGGAAGCACGGCTCACATGAGACCCAGTCGGCCTGAACTTCCTGTAGATAAAACCTGGTCAGCCCAGGAGAATAAGCAAGCAGAACAAAGCAGGCAAACACACACACACAAACACACACTCACACAGGCAAACTGTGCGTCACACAAATAGGCCATATTGAAGCATTCACGATCATCCCTCTTTCTTTGTAGCTGTCAGCGTAGTGTGACTAACAGGATGCTCTGTGAGAGTCAAACTTGTGTGGACTTCTTATGCGACTGAAGTTAGCTGGGTTGGGATGCCTTTTTTGCGTGGGTTGACCATTGTTGTAGTGCTCTCTCTCTCTCTCTCTCCCCTCCCTCTCCCTCTCCCTCTCTCTCTCTTACACACACACACACACTCACTCACTCACTCCCACTGGCTTTCTCAGGAGAGCGGGCTGCGGAAAGGATACTGGGGCTGTGGTTCTGTGGGGTGTATGATGCAACGCTTTGGCAGCCATGTTTTCCCAGAGAATCCACGGGGGTTTGAGCCCCAGTTCTCCGGCTTACGGAGGAAAAAGATCAGCTCTCCGTAAACATTCGCACACACACAGCTGGCAGACGCTCTTTGTGTTAAAGTCTAAGTGACTGTGTGAACACTATTGATAATTGTGTGCGTTTTTCTTGCTCTGCTTTGTCACATACAATCTCTATTACAATATAGTGGCACCTAAAATATCAATATGATGTAGGAGGGTTTCATTACTCCTTTAACTTTGCCACACACACCATCTAATTGTGAAGGATGTTCCTAATTCAATGCAGTGACGTAAGACAATGGAGACATTTATTATCTCTACGGGCCGTATTCTCATGTTGAGCCGTGTGGGCCAGTCCCCCCGTTTAAAATAACATTGATTAAGGCTGCTTTGGCGACGAAAACAGGAACTGCCAAACATAGTTTATCCACGACTTGAAAAGATAGGGAGAACAGAGGGATCTGGCTGAGATGTGAATGGTCTGGGAGAGAGGATGGAGAGCTATTTGGACAGAGAAAGGGCGGAGAAGGGTACAGTATAGTGAGAAGCCTTTTCCTGTTTTTGTCCTCATGTCCTTCTTGATTAGTGTGATGCAGGAGAGCTAGAGTGAGGAGAGGAAGATGAAAGCTCTGGCCTCTGAGCGATCCATCCAGAACAAAAAAAAGAAAAAAAAAAAAACAAAGCATACAACAACATATGGGTTTTATAAATTTAGGCGGTATTTTTTCTTCAGGTTGCTGCGACACATTCGGAGTGTTTTTGATTGAAATAAAGAGATGTGGAATAAATCAAACACATTTAATGGCTTCGACATTCTTGGTAGATTTTTTTTTTTTTGCAGGCACATTCACACCGTGTGATCTCCCTGGAGGCCTGGCAGAGTTTCTGCTGTAAATCAAGACTCACAGACTTGTAAGAGGTGTAAATGAACAGCATGCCAGCTGATGTTGATGTCAGTGCTCAACAGCACCACAGAGACACACTCGGCGCTATAAGATGCAAAGTGATAATAAATAACTCTGCTTACTGCTGAGCTCTGGCCGCTTTCATGTGCATGTCTGACATGCCTGTGCATAGGTGTTCAAACGTAGATTTATGTTGTGTAAGGGTATGAAAGAATGGGGGTATATGTTTTTGTTAAGGGAAGTGGTAGATGTGGCAGAAGGTGGTAGCACTTAATATCCAAGAGCTTAATATAACTATAAAAAACATCTGCATCACTTCCTGTGGGGTAGATCCCACAGAAATAGTGCAAGTAATGGTTTGGTTTCCAGTAGTTTGTTTTCACATGATATTAAAAGTAATACGCTCTTTCTTTACTCAGCCACATCCCCCCTTTTTAGCTGGGAAATATATGGTTTATTTATTCCTGCTGTCACTCTTGCGGGCTTCAAATAATCTGAATGCAGAGCCAAGCCTTGTACTCTCACCTAGACCAAACAGAAGTGCTGTTTTCATTCTTAAGCTTGGTGTCTGATAGAGCCGGAGCCGGACTAATAACGCAGAGGGGTCACACTGACCTCGGCGCAGTGAGGGGGTCATTCAGAAAAGCACGCACACTGCTGGGCTAGCTATGCTACAGTGGCAAGATGAGGGTAGATTGCTTCTGTCTGGGCAACAGAGATGCTATCTGAAAAAGCTGCGTTTCCGTGGTGATTGGAGAGGTGACAGTCCTCTCCTTTTCTTTCCGGTGCTCCCTGAGTGGAAAGTTAAGGGACCAAAGGCGAGGGCTGAAATGATGCATGAGAGTGTGCCTGTGAACAACAGCAGAAATGGGGCTAAGGAATTTGACAGAGCAGACGCAGGAAAACAGATGAAAGGGAGTAGCAATGTGCATTAATTCCCCTGTTGAGGCTTTGCTCTCTCACCACCACCATCAGCATTCACTCTCCCCTCGACACTCAGTTCCCTAAATTGCCTCCCCACTCATCCACCTTTCTGCTGTGCTCTCCACCTCGCCTCTCCAGCCCCTCTCTCTCTCTCACTCCGCCTGTCTCTTGTGGGATGTGAAGGGGGCTCTTAGCCTGCTCTTTATTTGCATGTGCTGTAGAGGATTAGAGGCTGAAGAGTCTCAGACTGGCACAGTTAAGAGTCTCCTTTGTGTGTGTGTGTGGGTTTGCGTTTGTGCGTACCTAAACTGTGTGTCTATTCTATTAGATCACAGTCTTCAATAGAAGTACACTTACACAGGCCACTTGTCCTTATCTCCCCATGTGTCACACTCCATGTCAACATCAGAGGCACCATCTCCATTCTCTTAATTCTCTGTCACGTTTATTACCAGCCGTCTTTAGTGGAACAGTTTTAGGGTGGTAATCTCCAGATGAGCTTTGATTCATTGTTCATATTACAGAGAGGTTTTTTTTCAGAGGCTTTTGTCTCCCGCTGCTCATTACATCCCTTTGTCTTTGTCAGATTTTCCCCCTGAGGGGTCCAGTGGAGGGAGGCACCCTGCTGACGATACAGGGCAGGAACCTGGGCCGGAGGGCTGAAGCAGTAAAGGTCTCGATTGGAGATGTGCCATGTACCATCCTGCCTGAGCTCTACACAGTCTCCGTAGAGTGAGTACTATAACATATGGTCGCATAATGATCCACACATTTGCACATAAAGGCGTATGTCAACTGGGCACCAGTGTTTGCCTAAGCATAGCAGTGAGCAAGAATAATTTGTTTAATTATTCCTGGGCCTTAATTGATTACATTTTACCACAGCTGTAGGTAATATTATGAATATAATTCCTGTTTAAAATCCTGATAGAATATACAATAATGCTGTAGCTGGGATTGTTGAGAGCACAGCTGAGAGTAAACAGTTATAATAGTAACCAGACGCACCTTCGTGTTAGTGACTGGACAGCGGGCAGAGTGAGGGAACAAGGGGAGCCTTGTCACAGTTAATAAACCTAAAATAAATCCTGTCATGAGCGTTTCAGCCCTGAACACAGTGTGCGACCAAGACTAAACTGAAGAATACCAAAGACTTCACGGTCAGATCTACCTGACTTGTTTTTAAAATGGATGGAGGAAGTTTGCCGACTTAAACTGAAAAGGGATAAATATGACTGAGAGGCGTGCGTAATACTTACAGTTTAGGAGCTATCATCTTTTGAAAGGGTCTCAGCACCATTTAAAGCCTCTTTTACTCATGTCCAGTCTCTGGTTCTATAGGGATCAGCAAATAGCAGCATTGTTTTTTGCTAATAACTAAACACTAACACGAGCATTAGCTTGCTGGCAATGATTTTATCAAGTCCAAACTAGCTAGCTCTAGCATTTCACTTTTCTGGACAGATGTCCGCCCATGTCCCTACATCCATTTCTTCGTATTACCTGGAGTGTAACATGGTGCATAAGTCGCACTGCTATTGCTTTTACTGTTAAACAGTTAATTGCAAAACACACATATGTACTTCAGGTCTCTTTCAGCATCCTGGCAGGAACAGTTGTTGAACAAGACCGCTCTTGACCACACGTGTAGGTGAACACATATTACAGCTCTTGCTTGGAAATGAATGTGTTAAACAGACTCCATAACAAAACTAAAATCAATTTTAAAAAGCCTGTAAGGATAAAGTTAAATAACTAAAGGCATGGTTGACGATCTAAGAAGCAGTTTGAAGCTGAGAAGCGCCCCACCCCTCACACACAAACCTCTCCCGTCTGTGCTCCACGATAACTCCCCCCCTGAACCTGTATCGCCCTCCCCACGACACACCCCCTCTGGCAAAGCAAGGCAGAAGATCCTACGCTAGCATCAAATAGGATTCACCATGTCCGATTGCTAGTGACTAGCGGCAGTAAACGCCAGCTCTGCTAGCGAGCACCGTCTGCAAGTGCCTGGACAGCCACATGTGCCACGATAAAAGGCAAAAATTACCTGTAATAAAAACTTTGCTGTTTCTGCGTCTGTTTTCAAGCCCAAATCCTGGTTGAGCTTTTGCCACCACTCGAAGAATGACCTGATGTTTATTCAAGTTAGATTCCTTGCTTGGTCGCATTTCCTCTTCATCTCTGCTCTTTCTTCTGTCGGCTTGCATTTTCTTAGCACTTTTGGTGGTGGGACAAGAAGAAGTGTTTTTTTTTTCCATCCCTCTCCATCACAGCTGCTGTAGCTAAGCTGCTACGCTACTTTTAGCCACTCCGAACTCCGAGGACGGCCAGGAGAGTGGGAGGGGACGAGTTGTTTTTCCATTCTTTTTTTTTTTTTCGCTTTGTGGAGATCGCACTATAGGACTATGATCACATATAAACCAGGTTCATAATAATTACCAATTTCTCCAATCGTCAACCATGCCTTTAAGTCTCCTCCCCTATTTTGCAAGTCCTGTTACAGTCAGCTAGTTGGGTTTCGGACTGTCACATCACTGGTGGCAGTATCAAAAGTCAAACCAAACTGCTTTGTTTGATTATCAGTAATGAAGGCATGTAAGGAAGGGAATTAGGGACACAGACTTATCTTTTTACTGTCGAGTGTGTGTTTTTAAAAGTTATCAAAGCTTTGAACAAAACTCAACAAAGATACTAAGAAAAATAACAGAAAATAATGAATAAATTCATATATTGGTCCCTGACCGTCTGCTCTTTTCAATAATATCAATCTTCAGTACACATTAATGTGAAGTAAATGGTTCACCTCTGTTTCCTACAGGCTTTGGTATTGTAACTAGTTATATATTTAGAAGAAAAAATAAAATAAGTCACAAAGAGATCAGACACTTTTGTGTTTCCACTGTGGGGAATCTTTTTTCCAGCTTATTTCCTCAGACAGATGACAATGAACACTACCCAAAAGAAAAAAAAGTAATACACTTGCAATATAACCATAAAAAGCCATTTAGAAAATGATTAAAAGCTGAAAGGTAGCACAGCTTTAAACCACCTCTGAATATGTTCAATAAAAAATCTTCCTCCCTCAAATTATATGCTGCTTACTTGTCCACCAGTAAATAGAACATCAGCCATCCCTGCATAGTTTCCTTTTCATGCATTCATGAGGCTAATTTTCACAAATATTATTATGCAGCACACTTCTCATTTTAAGTGACTCCGCCGCCATCCCTCTGTAGCTCAGGGACCATCACACTGTCACCATGGAGACAGCAGGACCCCGTGTTGACACCGGCATAACAGAGCTCAGAGGAAGTCAGTAACTCAACAGTTACATCCAAACTTCTATTCAGTATCTGTAATGTCCCTTGAATGGAACTGTTTATCTGGTCTTGCTCCACTGAAGCCAATCATTGTATTAAGACCAGTTGGAGGGTGACCTGTAGGTCTTACCTGTCACTCCAGCTGCCTGACACATTCCCAAAAAACCCCACATATCCAAAACAGCGAATCGCATTTCACTCTTGGGGTGTTCTCGTTTCATGTCGTCATTCCTCATTGGCTCCTGAGGCTGGTTGTTATGACAGCGAAGCATATCCTGGTGGCTGGTAGAGGCACTGACAAATCATGTCAGTGCCTCTGACATTGTCAGCACATTTGACTTGCAAACACACACACATGAATGCACCTGCATGTTTATGTTTCTCCTTGTGGGGACCTTCTGCAGATTTGATTAAATGTGATCTCATCTCATCCTGTTAACTTAAACCCCTTACATTTAATCTTACCCTGCTTTATCGGAAAAAATCTGCATCTAATTATCCATAATATGTACGATGCATCCTCGTTGCGAAGATCTAAACTCTTGAAGAAATGCCATTCAAACGCACTCCACTTGACAAACACACTTATGCCTGTGACCTCATTTACGGGGACTGTTGAGACAGGTGTCTGCTCGTGCGCTGAAAGGTGAAAGTTCACATCTGTGTGCCAAAAGAAAAATGTGCAGCAGTGGAGAGACGGCGCTCAACTCACCCGGTGTCAACATTTTAATTAATGGCACAGTCAGTCCAGACACACCTCATTTACTGGAGCACTTAAAGCCCAGGTCCTCCATACTGCCCTCTCATTCATTTTAATACACGCCTTGAGTGGCCTAGGCCCTGTCCATTTAGCTGCTCCGTACACAACCCTCACATCCAAACACACACAGACCTGATTACCGCTGATGCTTATCGCCCACTCAAGGGAAATGATCAGGAACATCTTTAAAAACAGACAAAATACTGCCCTCTGAAACCCGTAATATCATCACTGTGGGGCGTTGCTGGAATGTGGAGCAGGGGTCAGATCAGGCTCCGTCTGTGGTATCTGTGTCCTTTGACGGAGCATCAACATCACACACAGTTTACAAACTCACATATACACACATCGGGTCTATTAAAGTCCTCAAAAGTATGGGATCTGGTTTCCTGAAATGGCTCTGTGAGTATCAGAAAGTCTCAAATTGCCTTGATAAAAGTGTTTTTATATCTGAGGGGAGTAATCAGACACTATTAGATTATAGATTTTTCAAACATGACACAATTTTCAACTAAAACAAGGATTATTGCAGCAGCAAATTGGGGGTAAAGAGTGTCATTTAGGGATATTAGACCTACTGCGTGGACCAGCACTAAAGCCAAAACAAAGCCAAAATAAACAGGAGTAATATTAAAATTACACAGACTTTAATTAACTACAGGTTATTGGTTTAAACAGAGTAATTTTCAAGTATTTTTTAAGTGCTAAGTTTAAAAGAGTAGAAGTTTTAATATCAGTTAATTATCAGTTAGCAAAGAGGACATGTCTTTTAATATGATAATTATTCATAGATCAGATTTTACTCACCAGATTCACCAGAGGACCCCCCTTGCTGAAGAGTACTGATAATACAGAACGGCAGTGACCATGTCATTCATATATGGTGTCAGCATTAATATAATGTTAATATAGTGGTGAAACTTGTCGTCTTTACAACTAAAACATCTTAAATCCAACCCTGCAGAAACCCTGACACACTAATCCAAATGCTGGAGGGCAAACTCACTGCAGTCGACAAGAAACATTGGTTTTATGATTTTTTTTTTGCACAGGAAAATCCTTAACATAATGTTTCAAAGCCACATATAACACACTGTGATGTATTGTTGTGGTATCACTTTGATTTGTAGACTGAGTCCACTTAAGCCTGAAGCTACCCTACAGGCTCAGATTGATTTTCTCCAATTTTCTGATGATTTCCCCCAGGCGCAAATGCCTGAATAGTCGTGTTTCATTTTATTTATCCTCCCCTCCTCTTTCTTTTCTAAATCAGTCTATGTAAAATGATAGATTTTCTTCAGACAGGTGTGCTTCTGCCCCAGTGGCACGTAACTGACAGGAGTGTAATTTGGGTGTAACAACATGCTTTACCTGATGAGAAGAAAAACAGACCCTGCTATCAGATGATGGCTGGGACTGCAAGTTATTTTTGGACCATTTTTTCAGGCTTACTCAGATAATTTGTAGTTTAACTTCAGGTTTTGTTGTTTCGGGAGGGATTTAGTATAAATAACAAAGTTCCTACACAGCTGTAATTTCCATACTTTTCCATATTCTACTTTTTAGAATTATTTTTGGAAATAACTTACATTTCTATTTTAGAAAACAATATTTTAGAACTGTGGCAATAGTCTCGAAACATGAATATTTTCCATACTTAAGACCTGAAAATTGATCAAATTTATTTCCATACTTTTCCTTACTTTCCATACTTGCAGAGGAACCCTGAAGTATTATCGAGAAAACATACAGATCTTTCTCTTTCACTGGTCTTAAACTTGACAATCTGACCCCAAATCTGCCACAGCTTCATCACATGTCCCGCCAGGACCGCTTACATTATTACGGCTACTTGCTTATGTAAATTCCCCACAATCCCTCTGCCAATCATCCGATCACTTGCTGAGAATGTCTAACCACTGCAGCACCAGGCACCTGACTAAATAAACCGACAGGGTGTCAAGCTGGAGGGGGATCGTGTGAGGTGTTAAAGGTTGTCTTTCCCCCCGTAGTACTTTTATCCCGGCAAGGCCTCAGAACAGTAGATCCCTGTGCCTCGGTACACTGCCGTGTCATTAATATGAGACGTCCCTGTAGAGCGCGCTCTGATGACATGAGGTTTAATCACAGCCAGAAGGCTGGAGAACAAGCCTCAGCAGCCCCTTAATCTCCTCTGTGGTTTAGCACATCTGGTCTGAGAGGGCTTTGAACTTTACATCTCCTGATATAGCTGATATCTCAAGGCTTTATTGGATTCCACATGTAAATGCATTAAGGCTTGATGAATTGGTTCATAACCACCATCCTCTTTGATTAATAACGAGTCTTCGTCTGGCGGCCATGATCAAGATCTGGTTCCTTTCGTTTTGCATTTTGAGTTGAAAAGCCCCCCTTTTTAATTAAGAGTTAATTAAAATAATAACCTGCATATATGTGTTTACTTATCTGCTATTTCTGTTTTTATCAAATGATCTTTTATTAAAATGCTCTGACAATCAAACAGGGAGGTCTCACTCTTTTTTAATTTCCCAGGTTGCTTTGTATCACCGGAAGGTCCGTCGAGAAGACAGACACTGTCCTGGTGGATGTTGATCAGAGCGGGATAGGGACTTCCAAAGAGAGCTTCTCATACTTGGTGAGTGTTCTCCAGACATCTAACCTCCTGCTGTCCGTCTCACCCTTTGCGTTCTTCTTCATCTTTACTCTCTTGTTCCTCATTCCCCACTGGGAAAGCCCTCCCATGTGTGCTGGTTGAGTGTTAACAGATGCGTTTTATGATTCTCAGGAATGAGAATGTGTGGGAATCTTCAAACGTTTATCTGAACAGCAAACTGAGCGCTATTGTCGTCCTGCACTCGCTGCCAGCAAAAACAAATATGGCGATTGTTGGAATGTCCCTCTGCTGTGGATTCATGTCTGGGCCGGACGAGCTAGCCAGTATTGTGTTAATGGACCTCAACCCACACTCTCCCATTGGAGTGAGAGTATTCAGCCGGTGGAAATGCACATGTTAGCCTTTTGTTTCCTTTGTTTATAGACAAAGGGTTTTTTGTATCAGGGCTGGAACGGTCAATAATTTCTGCAGCTCCTAAGAGTACCTCTGTTTGTGAGTCACCCTACAGAGAAATCACTCTGATCTTAAAACCCCGCTTTGAAACAAAAGAATGGACAAAGTCCAAAAGTCCTCTTGAGCTTCTCTATTTGAGGTTTTTCGCAGGTTGTTGAGAGGAAAACGTTGAAGAAAGGGAAAACAGTTTTGCAGGCAGGATATGCGCTTCTTCTGCATCTCCTTCCTCAAACCTTTAGACGGAAACATCTGCCTCCTTGCACCTACCCTTAGACCAGAACACACAATAGGTCTCCTCCATGCTGCACACTGAGGAAGTGAATCCTGTCAGCGAGGATAAGAGGTTTCCCTTGAGGCAAAGTTCACTGCGGGGATAGAAAGTTTGGTAAGAGTAGGAATGCTGATGCTGGTAGCTGAAGATTTTGATGAGGATATTCATCTTTGCCTGAGGAGCTTTTATGCATGTGCATGTATGCATCGGTATTTGTGTGCAAGTGCATTTATGACAATGCGTACATGTATTTTTTCATACTTTTTTCCTGCAGCATTTCTATCATGCAAGATGGGACCTAAAGACTTGTTGGTTTGAGCTGCATTTTAACATTCCTCAGCACGGCCCGTCTTTGCAGTTTTTCTCCACTAATTTACTCATGTAGTCAGCAGCTGTCTCAGCTGATCTTTAAAGACCGCAGATTTGAGCCTCAAAGGATGAGGAAAGATTTTATTGGTGTCAAGAAAGGCATCAAAGATCACAAAACACATTTTGAGTAAGCCTGTCTTTTATAGTGACAGAAGCTGTCAGACGTCTGATGATAAATTCAAGAACTTGTTAGTCATGTGCTGGATCTCTTGTCTGTATTCAGGAACCAAAACTGTTTTCCATGGAGCCAAGCAAGGGATCTCGTGCTGGGGGAACTCGAGTGATAATCATGGGGGAAAACCTGGACATCGGCTCAGAGATCAGAGTCATGATCAACAACACGCTGCAGTGTACCATCACAGAGTGAGTGCTTTTCTGAGTCCCCCTGAAGTCTCTCATGCAAGCCCAGGTCAAGTTAATACTTGTTTTTTTCCATACTTAGCACCAAGTGCTGGAAATGCGTGGACCTAATGATTAAATATTCAACAGCTGTGGGGCCTTGTGGGGCTGTGCAAGGCCTGCATGAAGATTTCCCTTTGCAGAACATCAAAAAGTCTTTTCTCGGTTAGGTTTAGTTAAGTTACAAGTCTTCATTTTTCTGACTTAAGCCTGACTCAGGTCCAAGTTTCATGTTTGAAGTCAGCAGCTTCCTGTTGCTACAGAATTATGTATAACTAATAAGCTCTTACGCAGAAATATGCCAAACTGCAATAAAGATTACTTTGATTTTTATTGGAGATGCTTTCGTAAACCAAACAAGATGTGCGGAAACAATCGATGTTTACCTCCTCTTTTAAGGAAAACAGATGAAACCATCGAGTGCACCATGCCTCCAGCCTTGCAGCCCCACACCGAGTCAGTGTCAGTGTGTGTGGAGTTTGAAAACCTTCCCTGTCAAAGTGCCGAGCTCAGCGCCACATACACATACGAGAAGAACCCCACCATCAGCTTCATCCACCCCAAAAAGAGCTTCCTGAGGTACGTCAACTGCAACACACAAACAACAAGCAGTAAAAACCCAAATCTCTGAAACATCATAAGCTGGATGACTCTGCGGTTTCCCACCCAGAGCCTCTGACATAAGTCATTACCGTAATGTCATCCTGATGTGCTGCGTTTTCTCCCTATTGTGTGTTAAATAGCTCCGCATGTGTGTGACAGGGCAGCAGCGTGTCTTTGATGACATGTGTGGGGATTTTCGCTGCAGTCGAACTGCTTTGCATTATTATCTGGTCCCCTGTTTCGCTGGTGTTTTGGTGCAGTTTCCCTAAAGTATTAACATACCAGCAGGAATCTGATGTATCTTTGTCACGGCTGAGATTTGACACTCTCTTTTTTGTGTTTTTGTGTTTATGTTTGGTGTGTATGTGTGTGTCACAGTGGTGGCAGGACCATCACAGTGACAGGCCAGGGTTTTGATCTGGTGCAAAGTGTCACCATGCAGGTGCTGGGAGTTGGACAAACAGTAAGTAATCAGATGACTTTTTCTTTTAGCTTGATACAACTGTTTTGGACCCTTTTTCATCGGTATGTGGGGATTTATAAAGCAGGAGAACAGAAATGAAAAGTGTTTGCACTTCAGACTGTTGGATATCTTGGGGGTTATGCTGATTAGCTCTCTTGCAGAGCGTAGGGAACTCCTGTTTTTCCTTTTTATTTTCAACCACTGGTTGTATTGCTTAGCTTAGCATGGAGATTGAATTTGGCATGGATACAGGTAGTCTCACTCTGCTCAAGGGACAGAAAGGTAAACAAAAAAGGCTTCTCCAATAATTCCTTTTTAAAGATTTCCATAAATTCAAACAATATCTAAACTCTGAGAGGGAAACATTCGACTGATTAACAAAGATAAACTTATTGACAGTTTGAAGTTACTAATTTGCAGTTAGATCATGTCTTTAACCAGGTGATGCATTTTGATTTTATCTCCTGTCATCCTTCCTCAGCACTGCACAGTGGTCTCCTCCACCATGATCACCTGTCCATCCCACCCCTCCAGTCAGTCCCAAGAGACCTCAGTGCAGTTCTTCCTCAATGAAGTCCCATACATGGGTGACAATCCTTCCTACCCTGACGGTGAGTTGGACGAAGAGGAGGGGGAGCCTCACAGAGATCACTTCGCGTTGGAGTACGTGGAGGACCCTCAGTTTTTCACCGCCAACAAGGAGAAGCTGATTAAACACCATCCAGGAGAACCACTGACACTCATCATCAACGTGAGTGACACTGCTGAGACAGGGAGTCAGTTCAGATAAGTGCTGTGCTGTTATGTCAGCTTCTCGATAAGCAAAGCAAACGTTCAGCTTCAGTGAGTCCATATAGTACATAGTCGGCTGAAAAGTATAGAACAAGGGGTTTTAATGATAGATGCTACAGTTCAAGTTCAAGAGTACACTCAACCCAGCTGTGTAGCAATAGATTTTCATTAAGATTAAGAGTATAAAGCCACACTCGGTGTTTGTTGGCAGTGTGATACTGTTGCCAAGAAACATGTCCAGATTTTTTTTTATTGGGATGTATTTGAAAAGGTAGCATGAGCACATAAATGTTCAAACACACAAAAACAAACAACATTCCAGTACCCATTCTGTTTCCACTTATCACATTAACTTAAACTGCTATCAACAAAATATTACACACATTTCATTTGTGTAGTGTCAACGCATCAATGTTGCAAGGACTCAAAATTATTTAATTCAAAAAGAAAAGTGCATCATTTTAATCTCAGAATACGCTACAAGCAGCATGTTTTCACACAAATCCTGTTTCTGACATGGTTTTAGTGCAGCTATAGTCAGATTTCAGTGTAGGTCATTGCCAACCCATCTACTACTCTTGACACGCCCTAAGTATTAGCTGTTATAATCACATGATTGTAGTTGCACTGGATAAGAAGCATGAGCATCACCAGAAGATGATTCATCAACTGGGTGAAATTAGTAACAAAAAAACAAAAACAAAAAAAAAAAACAATGGTAGATTTATTGATATAGCACCTTTTAAAAACAAGCCGTTCAAAAAAAAAAAAAAAGGCAAAAAGCAAAAGAAGCCAAAATAATAGCCCAGACCACAGGTGAAAAACTTAAACCCAGAAAAAATGAGAAAACTAAAAAACAAACAAACAAAAAAATACAGAAAAGAAAGTAAAAGCAGTGGAGAAAATTAATGAAACAGGAAAAGATAAAAGTAAAAAAGAAGAGGTAATTGTATTTTTTTGAAGCAAAAGCTAAAAAACCTAGAGCTATTAAACAAAGTGCAGAAACAACAGTTAAAGTAGGCAAAAGCAACAAAATAAAATAAAAGCATCATAGTCAAAATAAACAGAGCAGTAAAAGGAGATTTAATGGGTGGCAAAACCATAGGAATACTTTTATAGAATAATAATGAAAGTTTTATAGACACTTAGAAAGTCAGGTATGATAAAATGTAAGGTATTATAAAAGAGATAATACAGGATAAAAGAAAAAGATGAGCAAAAAGGAGAAAAGATGACACCACATTAAAGCACTTTTTAAAAAGTGAGTTTAAACTAGTGATCTAAAAAAATGTCACTCACTCTGCACATCTTTCTCCTCTGGCAGGTCAATCCAGTGCAGTCAGTGAGGAACTATCAAATAATAGTTACCACAAAGACATTTCTTGTCAGAGCCAGATGATAGTGTCAGGAAACTACAATTGAACTGCCTACAACTAATTGTCTTTAATCTGGGCTTTCAAATACACACATCCATATAGTGATGAGAACAAGTGACGGTGTTTTCTAAAGGCTGCTTGTTTCCTGGCTAAATATAACACCACTGCTGTTCACTGACTGCCCCCACTGTGAGCAAGAGAAAAGGCTGAGCGTTCCTTTATTCATATTCACATAAACCAGAGGCACATAAAACACATCAAAGGCATGGTCTGCTCAAACGTGTTGATTCCTGTTAGGGGGTCTGTCAGGGGGGGGAAGCCACTGTGGCAGCTCAGTGGGAGGTCCCATGTTCCTGCGTCCTGACTGATCAAGGCACCTGTCTGCACGGATTCATCACCCTAAAGGCCTGCTGGCTGTACGACATGCACACGCTAAGAGCAGGGACAGGGGAGTTTGAACCCGGTGCAGCTTCCTCTTGATGTGTTTGTGTGTCAGGAAGAGGCCCCTGCAGGAATCGCTGCCTCAGCCCTGTCTACATGAGCCACTCGTCTGTTGTTTCCTGTTTTCTTTTGGAAGGTGGATTCCACTTGTGGTGGACCTGAAGGGGGGAGAGAGTCTGGAGACTGAATGTGTGTGTTTGCTTCATAGGGAGCTTGTTAGTCAGCCAGATCCTATATTAAGGACTTGAGCTGGAATGTGGGTGGGTTTTGTTTGCTTTCATCCTGTCTTGGCCTTAAGAATCCCTTGTTTTGGTCCAGTGAGCTAAGTGTGAAAATGTTGTGTTGTGTTTGAGGGTTAAACTGTTTATTTTACAATATGCTCAATATTGAAAACAAACTGTACATTACTTGGTTAATTTGGGGCAATGTGCGTCTTTATGTTTGTATGTATATGTGTATGTGAGTGTGTTTAGTCTGTGCTAGGAAGCATTTGTTGACAGAGACCCAGGGGGTGGCATCCTGCTGTAGGGACAGGACAGGGCCCTGAGGGTGTAATCAAAGTAAGGAAGCACACTGGGGATAAACACACACACACTTAGACACACACAAACACACACACTTCCTCACTTTTCATCCTTATAGCAAAGGGAAACCGCAGCTCACACCAATTATTTCTTACATTTTAAAGTTTAGGCCATCATTCTGTATGTAAATTGGAATATGATACGCACCATTTTGTATTTGAATTTGTTTATTTTATTTATTTAGCACAGATTAAAAATAGTGGAAGGAGGGAACGAAGCCAATAGTGAAGGCATAGGGTGCAGACGACAAAGTAACTCGGACATAGACAGGTTTTAAATATACAATGATTAGGGAAAGGTGAAAACATACACAAATTGCCATAAATAGAACATAGACAAATCATCAAACAGTGATAGAGACAATATAAGTATAAATAAAAAGCAAAGAAACATAATCATAACAAATAATGATGCGTTTAAGACATGATCAGATGAAATTTTTGTGATATTTTTAAGGAGTTGAGGGATGATATTGATTTTAGAGATGCATCCAGATTATTCCATAGTTTTGGTCCTCTAAAAGTGATGTTCGACTGATAATAATAATAATAATAATTCATTTTATTTGGAGCGCCTTTCATGTCACTCAAGGACACTTTACAGAGCATATAAAACAATGATAACAGCACACTATTAACAATTAAAATCATCAATCATCAAAATAGTTAAAATCAACAAAGCAGCATAAACAACAGCAAAAGAATAAATAAAGAAATAAATAATACCAATTAAAATTAGATTAAAAGAGTGAGTTAGGGGTGGTGGGATGGATAGGCCAGTTTAAACAGGTGTGTCTTGAGTTTGGATTTGAAGAGAGGGAGGGAGTCTATGTTGTGGATGTGTGATGGTAAAGAGTTCCTGAGTCGGGGGGCAGAGCGACTGAAAGCTCTGCCCCCCATGGTGCTGAGGTGAACAGGGGGCACAGTGAGGTGGAGAGAGGAAGAGGATTGGAGGCGGCGTGATGGAGTGGCGATGTGGAGGAGGTCAGACAGGTAAGTAGGGGCGAGGTTGTGGATGGCTTTAAAGGTATACAGGAGGATTTTGAACTGGGTTCTAAGTGGGACCGGGAGCCAGTGGAGCTGCTGCAGGATGGGGGTGATGTGAAGTTCGACAGGAAGGTAACTGAAGATGGCCATTCTGTCTTGTTGAGTACGGGTGAAGGTCGGATGGAAAAACTTTTGGAAAGTTTCAGGAAGGTCTTGTTTGTTATTGATGAACTTGTGGACAAACAAACAAGAGTGAAAGACACTGAGTTTGTCAATCGATAAGATGGAGTATGCAGGAGGTTCGTGTTTGCTGAATCGTGATATCATTCTTAAGAATCTTTTCTGGATTAATAATATTTCCTTTAGGTAAGTTGGATATGTTGCACACCATACAATATTACAATAGTTCATGTATGGAAATAGGAAGCTATAAAACCATGTCGGTTACAGACCAAAAACATGAAAATTTGGGGTTTAAAACAAACCTCAAATATATCAAGAAAGGAAAACGGAGATGAAATGTGAGAATATTACCCAGACTGTCTATTTGAAACAGATGTCATCATTTGCAGACAGATTTCTGAATAAATTTCAGCAATGTTGTTGCACCCCTCTGATCCCAGAAATCCCAATAAAATAATACAGACTTGTCTCCTTAAAAAACAAGAGACAAATCAAATCCAACAAACTGTCAAACTACTGTAGAATGAAACCGCTGCGTATTATTTTTAGATATGATGAAGCATGAGGATTTAAACTGTAAAAATTAATCACTAATGGATTAATCATGCTTTTCTATTAACTATATATCGTGCAATGATGACTCCTTACCACGTTCGTCCGCCAGGACTTGATGGAGAAAAAGTGTGTTAAAGTTACTCTGCGTTTAAAAGCGCATTAGAGTAATGATCCGAGAAGTTTTTATAGGCAGCCAGAACTTAGACGGGCTGGAGAGGTTGAAGTTCAGCTGTGCGCTGCCAGGTTAATTGATGATACTACCAGTTTTAAATAAATGAAAAGTAAAGAGTCACTGAGACACATCCACAGCATTTAATTTGTCAATTTGTCTTTTTCTCTCTGAAGGACTGAAATGATCCTTTCGCAACTGTGCTTCATCCAGTAACAGGCTTTATTTTGACATTTCAGCACTTGGTTTCATAATGTGGGAGCAATTCCTTCTCCAACTCGAGTGGTTTTACTTGAATGACATGTTGCGTCAAGTATCTCATTCAAGTATTACAGAGATTTAGTTTGTCTAAAGGTCAAATTTGATGCAGTAGTTGCTAAAGTATCCTGACAACATGTTTTTAGTTAGAAGCGAGCTCCCAAAACACAGAGCCGTCCACTGTTGCAACTGTAATTGCATCTTTTGTTAACAAGTGCTCAATGAAAGTGTTTCAAACTCCACACCCACAGGCTATCTTTTAAAAATATTCTAACTCTGATGCCTTCACAGTGAGATCGGGGTCACTTTTTTAGACTTTTAGAAAGCTTGCTTTGAAACCACAGAGGACACTGTGCAACTGTTTGATTGTTTGTGTTTGTTTTGACATTTGTACTACAGGCTGAGTATTCACAGTGACTCATTGTTAGCTGAACTTAACAAGTGAAAAAACTGTTGGAGGGCTCTTTTAATTAAAGTTAGTGTTAAGAGAGGAGGTTTGGATTGACACAGGACCGGGGTGGTAAAATACTGCAGCGTACTCCAACAGGCTCCTGTTAAGGCCATGAGAATGTTATTTCGGGCCGAGGCAGGAATGACTGTCAGCGGGTTTGTTTGGAGAAACTTCCATGGCCATGCGAGAGAGGCAGCGGGAATGTTTGCTGCTTTAAGCTGAACTCTAGCCCAAACTAGATGAGTTTTCTACTGGCTTCCTCTGTGTGACAGCTGTGTGACATGCCTGTGCAGCTCAGTTTCTATGTGTGTGTGTAGGCAAGCTGTATATGTGTGTGTTAAAGCTGCTCCAGTCTTTATGAATGTAATCCACGCCCTATTGAGACCAGACCGTATCACAACTGACCAGCTGATGGCTGTTTTTGTTTTCTATTTTTCCTGGCGCAGAAAGGGCCGAGCGACCTGGAACTAATGCCCGAGGAATACTCGGTGATGATTGGCCCCTATCCCTGTAACATCAGCTTCCACAATGACCAGCTGTTCCACTGCACCATCAACGGGCTGCTCAGCTCCAGCGAGAGAGAGCTGCCTGTCACTGTAAGTGTAAAAGCATGTTACACTCCACGCTAAAATACCAGCATAACCTTGTGTCAAAATCACGGCTGAATAAAACTCTTATTATTCCAGGGTATCACCCGTCTGTGACACAGCGCAACATTTAGTCAGCATCCAGACCATCTGTGATGTTTATTGAAACAGATTTGATCTGCACAGGTCCTTGCACAGTCACCGATTTGTGTGCGTCTCTCCCCATGCATTATGAATGGTTTGCAGTCTCTGAGCGTTGCCACCGTGAATCAGCAGTTTAGTGGGGGTGGCGAGCCGTCACTCTGCGACACACAGCCACAGAGAAACAATCAAATGTTTACCTCTTATCCTTTATCTCCCTAATCCTGCATCTGTCCGTCTATCATCACCTACACAAACACCTATCTCCTCACAGCGTGATCCAAATCTTCTGACTCACTCTCGGTCTGTGTTTTTTGTTTTGTCTCCCGCCTTTTTTTCCATCACAATTAAGGGTCTTAATCAAGACGCGGTTGAGCCCTGCAGAGTCCTGATAAAACCAGACTTTTTCTTACCTCTGCCCACGTCCCCCATCTGTTACAGTCCATTCTGCTCTGTTTTGATAGACTTTTATTAAGAGGGGGGAAGCGTTCATCTATATTTAAATATGAGCCAGACTGTGAGTGGTTTGCTGAAATAGCTCTGAAACATATGTTAGTCTGTCTCGGTCTATCAGCTGAGTTGCACTGTAAGAGCCAATCCTCCACTTTGACACAGAAATAGATAGAGGGCTCTTCTACACCTTTTTTCTCTCTCTCCGTCTCTTTCACTCCTGGTGTACCTGTGGCTCACTCCAGCACCTACCCACCCTCCTCCTCCTCCACCTTCTCCCCCCCGGTCTGTCTCTCAGGATGTCTGAGAATAAACACAGGCAATTAGCAGGGACATAAAAGCGAGGGCAAGGGTCGAATGAGATGTCATAACACAAATGGGTGGGCCGCGTGCACGTGAAGAGTGAGGATGATTAGCGGGCGTATTCGGCGGGTAAAAACAGAACGCAGATTTGAATAAATGCATACATGTTGGGCTTTTAAATCGCTTGTGGCCATTTGTGTGTCTTCACTCATTTTTGGTGGCGTGTCTATTTTTGCATGCCTGTGTTTTGCTTGGCTCTGAAGTGGAGCAGAGCTGCAAAAGTGGTTGTGAGGAAGTGGTAGTTTTTTTTTTGTACCCCGAGCAAACAGGAACAGGGAACAATGGCATTTTCCCCTCCATTACACCAGGCTGGGCTGTTGCAGTCTCTGGAAGAAGGCCGTCTCTCCCTTGGTCTGAGAAGATGAATGCCTGGACCAGAAAGAGAAAGAGGGAATGTAAAAAGAAGTAAGGGGGGTTGGTGGGCCCAGTGAGCCAGATTCCTCCTCAGAGTAAGACCAGCGTAAGAGGGATTTGGTGTATGGATTGGAGGCTTTTATATCTGAGGCTCTTTTTATGAAGTATATTCGGATTGGAGGGAAGGGAAGAGAGATGTGAGGAGGGACCACAGAGACCCTGCTGACTAATCAGAAGGCAGAAGTGAAAGTCCTTTTCTTGTCACATCTGGGTTACTCTGAACCGGGTGACTCCTCCAGCTCGTTGCGGAGAGAGACCATTTTTCAAACGCCGTGCTCTGTTATTTTTTTTCCTGTGTCTGCACCTGTGTCCATGAAAAAAATGATGTGTGCCGGCCTTTGTGTTCCCATTAAGAATCACCTACGTTAGACTGCACAAATCTCTACACTGCATGACAGAGAAAGCACTAAAGTGTATGAATGTCCTCTCACTATCACACTTTCTGCCTCTGCCTTTGTGTTTGTCTAGATGATTATATTTCGGTACATTATTGCCACAACAGATTTACATTGTTTGTGATACTGTTATGCTTATTTTGTCAGGTAAATAACAAGGATTAAATTGCCTGCCAAGTATCAGCTGAGGATTTTTAGACAAGTGTGTGTCTCTCCTCCAACTTGAACTGCTGTTTTTTTGCACGGCTTTGGCTTATGATAATTTCTGTAACAGCTCACCGAAGAAGAGTTACAACCGGAGCTTTTTTTAAATTTTTTTATAAATGAACATCCTTGATTTGTGGAGCGTAATCCTCGCTTGGTTTCGCGCGTCTAAATTTTCAGTACATGTAATTGTGTAGTTGCATTCATAAAACACAAACGCTCCTTATCTGCTAAAATTACGGTCATTAAATCTGAATTATCTCTGATAAAAGAACGATCCTGTAACAGGAGACAGAGTGGAGGACAGCCACAGTTCATGTTTGTTTTATCTATGTTCTGGTTAAATACTGTTGGCTACAGTGAGGGGAGGTTTATTGGACTTCTCGTTATATGATTTAAGTGTGTTTTAACGCTCTTTAAATAATGATATAATGGCTATATTAAAATGTCCTTCATCCCTTTTGACAGCTTCTTGTACGATTTTATAAAAGACTTTGGTTTTGATTTAGAAAGGGAGTCTTTTGTGGTAGGTTTTATTTATAGCGCTGAAGGTGAAGAGACAGTTTTTTTAATACTCTATAAGGTTTTTTTTAAGATGTTATCTCCTTTTTCTGACAAATTTCCTCTCAGCGGCGGCAGAATATTCAGAGTCCATGTGGACTGTGTGGCAAAAAATCTACTACAGTGATGAAAGAGAAGCGAATTCTTGATCAGACAGGAATGAAAGAATATGTATGACATGATGAGACACAAAAGAGTATATATATAGGTAGTAATGACAAAAAAAAAAGATTAATGAATGTTGTAGGAGATGGGTGATGTAAAGTAATGTGTTATTAATGCTTGATTATTTTCCTCCAGGTGCAAGTGGGTAACTTTCGTCACACCATCGCAAAGGTCCAGCTGGGCGGCAGTGAACTGGCCATCGTGGTGTCCATCGTTGTGTGCTGTGTGCTGCTGCTGCTGTGCACTGTGGGTAAGTTGTGTACACTCACGTTCTCCAGCAGATGATGGATGTGTGACTGCTGTAGCGACGGATGCTCCAGATGTGGAACAGATAAAAGGGATTTGGGGGTCATAGTTTCTCTGCACTTGCTTCATTCTTCTTCTGTGCTCAGAGCACAAAGACCTCACTGTTCCCTTCGCTGTCAACTCGAGGTGTGTGTGTGTGTGTGTGTGTGTGTGTGTGTGTGTGTGTGTGTGTGTGTGTGTGTGTGTGTGTGTGTGTGTGTGTGTGTGTGTGTGTGTGTGTGTACTTGATTCTGTAATCTCAGCATGAATGTGTGCAGGGCAGGTGTAGGGGTGAAAATTGGTGCTACTGTTGATGTTCACACCATTTCCTTCATCAGTTCTGATCTCAGAAATTCACAAAGCCTTTTTTTAACTTACTGAACCCTTTCTGGTTGTGACGTAGCTGTTAAAATAATACGTGCACAGATTTGTTCACAAAAAGTTAAGTCTTGAATTTCTCGGAAACTTTTTATTTTCATGCTCTCGCAGTCAGATGCATTCATAGGAATATCTTCCGCAGCCTCACGGGACTTTTAGACACATCTTATTGATCTGATTTATTTTGTTTTGATGTACTGGAGGCTGTCAGTGGTTGAAACGTTTTGTATATAAAACGCATTTTGTCTTTTTCAGCCCTTGTAGTGTACTGCACAAAGAGCCGAAGGGCGGAACGCTATTGGCAGAAAACTCTGCTGCAAATGGAGGAGATGGAGTCCCAAATCCGAGAGGAGATCCGCAAAGGTGTGTTTACACAAGGACCCACACATTCACAGACACGCACACACATCCTCTCCCATTGTATGAGCTCTGATATCAGAGTGATTCAGACCACAAATGATGTTTTGTGTCGATTGACATGAAAAAGGAGCTTGTGGGAAGAAATATTGACCACGTATATTTGTGTGTCTGTTTGCACACATCTGTGTGTGTTTGTTGGAGTTTATTTTTCTAGGCTGAAGTGGGAGGGTGATACAACAGTTGACAGATTTGTGCCTAGTAAGCGTGACTCATGAAACACAGAGTCTGACAAATGATCAGTCACACGCAAGACGCTCTTAGTGGCCGCATTGCCTCTGTTGTGTCTACCATGTAGTAACAAGGCCTGTGTGTGCGTGCGTATTTGTGCTTTCAGCCATGAGTTTTTTTAGCGCACATATAAGTGTGTGCGTTTGTGTGAGTCTAGAGCATTAGAGTAAAGCTGTGTGAAGGCCGTTCCACGTCTGAGCCCTCCAGATTTATGGCGAAGAGATAGGGGGATGGATAGAGAAGAAGAATTGGGGGAGGAAGAAGAAGCAAGAGGGAGAAGCCAAAGTGTGGGAGGAGAGGAGGTTATTTAGTCAGAGGGCGCAGACAGATTTGTGGCAGAGTTCAGGGTGAGGGAGCAAAAATCGAGGAGTAGTTCTGCCTAGACGTAAGATAGTGTTTAAAAAAAGAAAACAAAGAATGCGGGAGTGGAGGGAAGATGGGAAATTGACATTTTCCAGAGAAAGGTTTTGGCATAGAGGAGTTTCGGTTTTCAGGCCTGCTGCTTCCAATCAGCAGTCGATGGTGTGAACATACTGGTGGTTTGAGGACGCTTTCCTGAGCAGGAGGATAAATAACCTGCAGGAGTAATGAAATATGACTGAAATCCCTGAGGTCTAGTATTCCCCTCTTTCTACACAAACAAAGTGTGAAAAAGAACTGGCATTGTAACCCCAATACGTCTCTCATCCTGCAAGAGGAAAAGCGTTTCCATAAAGGGATCTCCAGCGTCTCATTAGAGGAGAACATCATCCTCTCCAAGAACATGCTATCCAATAAAGCGACTGTGGTATTAGCATGCATTTTCATGTGTGTGTCTGGAGATATTGATACTGTTTCTTCAGCTTGCACACACATGTTTTGGATGAGGGCCTTATACTGGATTTGGCTGCTCTCGTTGTTGTTTGGTAAATATTTGCCTGGACTGAAAAGTCTGGCAAAGAGAAAATGGAAGACAAAGATTGGAAAAAGATCAGAGGATCAGCGGCTGATGTATTTAGTATTCAACCAGAACGTTGCGAAATAAGATGATACAACTCTGATTTAACTTTTTCTTTAATTTGATCTTTGATTCTTACAGATCCCAGAGGGTCCTGGGAGAATACGAGGGTTATTGCATTAGCCTGTGAACAGATTTCTGACTCATTTCGCTTAGCAACAAATGAGGCACGAGGAGCCAGAAACAGGGCTGTGATCTTGAACATTCCCATGATTCAAGCCTTTTTGGGTCATGCTGTTTTTTTTCTCTCTTTTTAAGGCTTTGCAGAGCTGCAGACGGACATGACAGACCTGACCAAAGAGCTGAATCGCAGCCAGGGCATCCCCTTTCTAGAGTACAAACAGTTTGTAACACGCACCTTCTTCCCCAAGGTGAGAAAAACCTATTTTTCCACCCGCTATCTGATTTTCCTCTGGCACTCTGACAATACCATTTTTCTCAATGGGGTTTTAATATTGTTTCTTTCCCCCTCCATATCCCATTTCACATTTCCCACAGCTTGTAATATTCCGCATCAAAATTCACCTTGAAACTTTAAACATAGAGTTTAAGCTAAGTGTAGCTCAGTGTGGCACCCCTGCAGGTAACTTAATGTGTTCTCTATAGGTAAGCGCTTTTCTGATGTGTGATCCACCCTGATGCTAGACGGCAGGACTGTCTGATAGTGGGTGTATCATATTTTTTTCCACTGATGCAGACTGACACAACCTAGCAGGCTTTGTCTCACAACCACAGGCATGGACTTTCAAGGAGACAGAACAATGGTGGGCACAGAGACAAGGGAACTTTCGCCCCTGATTTCTCAAAACACTCTCCTGACTCCGCTCGCACACCCACACTCTTTTGCAAGTATAGGGTGTCTTGCGCAACGTGGATACTGGACAATGTTTTCTGCTGCGAAGGAAGTGAGTAAGGAGTGTGTTGAAAAGCTGCACTGAAAGTAACATAAATTCAAGTGTCCCCGCTGAAGAATCGTCTCCAGTTTTTTCCGCTAACGCCAGCGAACGTTAACCACGACCCCTTTTGTGCCCTTGTTTTACCACGAGAGCTTCTGGTTCTCTAAGATTACACACACATAAAACAGCATCAAACACAGACTTTGACACAGTTATAATACAAGACAAATGTGAATGTCTGCCCTGAAATGACACACTGTGTTGAAAGGCTGGCTCTTGGCTCTGGGTCACTTTGCCTCTGAAGCCATTAAGGCTCATGATGCTTGTGTCACAGTGTCATGTTCCCTTTTCATGGTCAGACAGGGCCCAGAAAAAGAAATTCTGCCCTTTGGTTCCAGACTGCTGAGTCCCAAGGCTTGCTCTCTTTTTTGTCTCCCCCTCTCCCTCCCTTCTCTGTCTCTCCATCTTCCTGTGTTTATAACAAGAGCTGACTTTGTGTTACAGTTTTTTCCCGTTTGTGTTTATGTGTGTTTCAGATGTTTTCTGATTACGAGAAGAGTCTTGTCCAGCCGGCTTACGAGAATGATGCCCTGGGCCCTCGAGCGCTGCCAGAGACTCACCCGCTGCTGCAGGACTGGCAGGTGAAGGGTTAAGCCATTAGGAAGTTCACATAGGTGGCTTTATTCTGCCAGAGTGCCTTGATTTGGGTCCTTTTCGCACTCCCTTTGCACTCATCTGGGTCACGCGAAAGCTTATTAAGGTTTCACAGTGGGGCTGCTGTTGATGAGGAGTAAAGAAAAGCACGCGGCGCATTTTTTTGCTTTGTGTGCTTATTAAAGTGCATGTGTGCGGAGAGCGTCAGGTGTGTTAAATGTGCGGATATGAATACTAATGCATGTCATGCAGCGGTTTCTACTGAGTGAGACACGCAGAAAAAATTTGCTTGTCAAAAAACACGCTGCCCACTAAGTTGATGGCAGGTTGTTGACACGCTTCCCACTGGCACTAGGACAACCGAACAGTATGCTTTTCATCAAAACCCTCTCGTTATTTTGCGTGTGCGTGTGTAATGGAGGGGCGGACATGAGTGATAAAGAGGACTCTGGAAAGGGAGCACCCACTTTCACTCACCTCTTTGTGAATGCATACTGCAAATGAAAGCACGTGCGTGTACGAGCACACGGGGAAGAGAGAAAGTAACGATTGCCGTACTAGTTTTGGGTCGGCAGCCGGGGGAGCCTGTCTGAGGGTGATGAAGTGCCTTGGATCCACACCGTCTTCCCAGGAAGTGTTTTCCAGGTCACAGCAAATAAATCTCACAGGCAGGCATTTATCTTAATGGACACCCCTGTTCTCCTTCTGTCAGGCTGCAAACCACACCATATGGCTGCAGTCCAGAGGGAAGACTTCATCACACTGCTGCTTAGTCGCACCCATAGATAGACCATACTCATTAAGTCGACTCGGCACATTTAGAGACAATCACACACAGTCAGGGACCCGAACGGGGAGACACAGATTCAGCTGAGGGAGGGAGGAGGGGACGGGAGAAGCAGAAGTAAGAGCTGTGATGGAAAGATGGATTGTTCTCTAGATGGGTCGCCCGAGACAAGAGGTGGTGAAATGCATTAGAGGGGTGCAGCAGGTGTTTGATTCAGTGTAGGTGGAATCACACAGAGAAATAACTGTTTCATTCCCCATCTGTCATCAGGCCAACAACACCACGAGGCCTAATGTAGAGGAGGGCATCACTCTGTTCTCCACTCTGCTCAATAACAAGCACTTCCTCGTCACGTTCGTCCACGCCCTGGAACAGCAGAAGGACTTCGCTGTGCGAGACAGGTAGATGAATCAGCTGTTATGCGTCTTTGACATAAATAGAGTTTCCTTCACAATTACAAAGAAGCGTGATAGCAAAGTAAGGATGCAGGCTAGGGAATAGGATATTTCCTAAAATTTAAAAACCACCAAATCTCTCTTGAACTAACTTTTACCTGTTATTCTTCTTATAGCAGTCTATTTTTCTCATAAAACGGACAAAAACAAATGTAGATGTCTGTAAATTTACTCTTTCATTTGCTCTCAACCATGTTCCTCTTGAAATAACTCCTGATAAGAAACACAAAAGAGACAGCAACTCCCTCGACCCAATGCTTATTTACAACATATTCAAACAATCTCTATAGTTACTTTGTTATTTCAAAAGCCCCAACAGCAGAAATTACACGGTATGTGTTAAAACAACCAAAGCATGAGCTAAAAAGGTCAAATTTCCTTTATTTAGCATGGCTGTATTTATAGTTGAATTGTTGTATTTCACTGCATAACACTGTGTACAGAAGGTGTCTCCATGTTTCTAGTTTTGACCGCTCCTATTTACTTTCATGGAAGACTGTCTGCATCTGCTGCATAAAGCTACATTTCATGTTTAGAAGAGCGGTAAACCAGCTTTGTAAATACTTGTTCATTTGTCAGCAGAGCTTGTTTTTGTCCTGATGTTCCTCAACTTGCCAGTCATTGTGGAGAATTAGGGGAAAAATCCAAAGGCTAGACCACATCCCTGTCCCAGCTCAGAGTCTGATGTGGCCCCTTCCTCTTGGCTTAAAAGGGCTTTGTTAGGAAAATCCCCTGCACCTCTGGACTTACTCACCCAGACGCTCCCTGCATTAGATCAGGTCTTTATTTGGATCTGCTGTCACAGGTGCTAGGACCTGTTGTTGCTTCTGTTGGGTAGTTAATTCTGAGTCCCCTCGACCACACGCTGACAGAACACGCTTGGAAGAGTGTGTTTTTCCTCATGTGTCCCCTCTGCTAATCCGTTTTCTCGCCCCTTCAGATGCAGCCTGGCGTCTCTGCTCACTATCGCCCTCCATGGTAAGCTGGAGTACTACACCAGCATCATGAAAGATCTGCTTGTGGACCTGATTGATGCTTCGGCTTCCAAGAACCCGAAACTAATGTTGAGGCGTACCGAGTCTGTCGTGGAGAAGATGCTGACCAACTGGATGTCCATCTGCATGTACAGCTACCTCAAGGTGAGGAGAGAAACGATTCAGAGCAGAAATATGAGATCTTTGTGTTTGATGTTTGACTCCACCTCTCCTTCATGCTCCTCAGGAAACAGTGGGTGAGCCTTTCTTCCTGCTGCTATGTGCAATCAAGCAGCAGATCAACAAGGGCTCCATAGACGCCATTACAGGGAAAGCCCGCTACACCCTCAATGAAGAGTGGCTGCTTCGCGAGAATGTGGAGGCCAAGCCACAGGTCAGAAATCTCAAAACACTTTCAGTTCATCTTTCACATCCTCACTTTTGACAGGAAGTTGACTGACAAAAAAACTGCGATGAAAGCTGAATTTCAAAAGTTTTGTTTTTCCGGGAAGTATGACATCTGCACCATCTGTCCGCTTTTGCAGAACATCAATGTGTCCTTCCAAGGCTGTGGCATGGACTCTCTGACGGTCAGAGTCATGAATACAGACACAATCTGCCAAGTGAAGGAGAAAATCCTCGAGGCCTTTTATAAGAACCTGCCATTCTCCCAGTGGCCCCGAGCAGAGGATGTGGACCTAGGTGAGAGCACATTTTCTTCTTGATTATTCTCATCCTTTCCCTTCCCAAGTCTTGGAGATATAGTAATCTCCTTTGCTTGCAAAAGGTCAATTCCTCTCATGAAGCTCAACTAACCTGAGGCTGCAATATAATAAATGACAGAATGCATTGAGGAGAGTGTACAGTCATAATCACAAAGAGTTATTGCCTTCCAAAGCTGTGCAGCCTGCAGAGCTGATTTGATTAATGGCCCAAGAATATTTCCACAGGTCGTGACACAGAGATTTAGAGCACGACTGCTCTCTGTCTCGCATATTCTTTTCCAAATTTAGGATGAAATTGTCTAATATCACGCTCCTCCCTCCTGCGGTCTCATTTCTTTCCTCCAGAGTGGTTCGACTCTGGCAGCAACAGTAAGCTTCTGCAGGACCTGGATAACTCCTCAGTGATGGAGGATGGCAGGAAGAAGCTCAACACAGTCTTCCATTACCAGGTGTGTGTATGTGTGTGTCTGTGTGTGCATGTGTGAAACCACTGCGGTGGGTGTTGTCATGGCGCACCTGTACATCCCTGATATTGTAACAGCTACAGCGGGGGTGTTGGAGGTGAGAAGTCCTTATAAATGGTGTCACTGTCTGTCCATGGGTGGGAGGATGAGCTCTGTGTTTCTATGTGGCTGCACACAGTTAGGCTCAGGTGTTTTTGTCCTTGTTTGTCTGTTGTTGTGTGATGTGTCTGTCTGTATTTGGATCACTTTCTGCAGAATAGCCTCTGCTTTTATTTTTTGTTGTGCAGAGTCCACATTCAGTACAAACAGATTTATGGTTTTTAACAGGGTTCCTACGCAAGTATGTAAAAGTGTGGAAGTAAATTTGATTAATTTCCAGGTCTTAAAAAGTATCGAAAATGAAAAATAAAGTATGGAATAATATTTTATGTTTCCAGACTTTTACCACAGTTCTAAAATACTAAAATACTGTTTTCTTAAATAGAAAAGTAGGTTTTTCCAAAAATAGGTCAAAAAATTTGGGTATCTAAAAGTATGGGAATCCCAACTGTGTAGGAACCCTGTTTTAAATTATGACCTACAATTTTGTGGTGGCAGTAGCTCAGGAGGTAGAGCGGTCGTCCAATATCCGGAAGCTCAGGAGGTAGAGTGGTCGTCCAATATCCGGAAGCTCAGGAGGTAGAGCGGTCGTCCAATATCCGGAAGCCCAGGAGGTAGAGTGGTCGTCCAATGACCGGAAGCTCAGGAGGTAGAGCAGTCGTCCAATGACCGGAAGCTCAGCAGGTAGAGCGGTTGTCCAATAACCGGAAGCTTAGGAGGTAGAGCAGTCGTCCAATACCCAGAAGCTCAGGAGGTAGAGCAGTTGTCCAATAACCGGAAGCTCAGGAGGTAGAGCAGTTGTCCAATACCCGGAAGCTCAGCACGTAGAGCGGTTGTCCAATAACCGGAAGCTCAGGAGGTAGAGCGGTCTTCCAATAAGCGGTCGTCCAATAACCGGAAGGTTGGCGATTCCCCCCCTATCCTGACCGTCTATCCGTTGTCTTCTTGGGCAAGACACTGAACCCACCTTGCTACCAGTGTGTGTCCTCCACTGGTGTGTGATTGTGAGTGTTATGTGGTGGTGGTCAGAGAGGCCGTAGGCGCAAACTGGCAGCCACGTTTCCGTAGGTCTACCTAGGGCAGCTGTGACTACTAAGGTAGTGTAGCATCCCTAAGGTGTGACTGTGTGAGCGAGTGAATGGTGTATCCAATGTACAGCGCTTTGGCGGTCCCTGACAGAGAGCTATCTGCAAAATCTGATGCATTATTATTAGATTGGTTTCTTGTTTATTAACATGCATAATATCAGTAGTAAATCAGAAAAAAGTCTTTTCCGATGTGTTTTTATGTAAAACTATTAAAAGGAGGATGTTGTTATCTTACCTAATTGAGTCACACATAATCTGTGAGTACAGAAAGTGTTAGCATGAGTGGTTAAAGCGGAAACAGCTCCTACCAACACTGTAATCACCACTTTTTTTTTTTACACTCATTAACACAGATAACACAGATACGCTCTAATGGTTAGCTGAAATTGAAAAAATGTGGCTTTTGCACAATTCAAGTGTGATGTGTCAGATATTTATTTTTGTAGTTGTTCGGATAAAAAAAAGAAGACATAGATGTCACACCCTGGTATGCCATTAAAATGTGTTAATGTGTAAATGTCTGTTTGCTTATGTCTGCGCTCAAACAGTCATTCATTGACCCCCGACCTTTGACCCTTTACCTGTACTTGTTAAGTGCTCTGTTTAGTTTTTGCTCAGCCGTTGGGACGGAGCTGTGAAAGCAGCGAACTGCGGCGTGTACTAACGGTTTGGGTTCACTGGCAAGGCTGTTCAATCCATTTCACCACAGGTTGACTTTAATGAGCCCAGCCAGGCTCCTGCAGAGTCACCGCCATTCTAGATGCACACAAGACAGACACGCACACACTCGTACACACCTCTCAACACCACTCTCCCCTTGAGGGCATGCTTAATGATGCTGTTCTAGTGCACCCCAGCTCACCCCTGACCCCGTGCCCCTTGTCCTCTCTCGTCTTTCCTTTCCCCCCTCCTCCTTCTTCTCTCCCTCCACAGATCCCAGAAGGGGCATCGCTGGCTATGAGCATGAAAGACAAGAAAGAGAACACCCTGGGGAGAGGTACGTCACCTTTAAACACACCCACTCCCCTTCGCTTTGTCACACATACTCACCCACACTTAGAAAAACACACTCACTCACTCACTCCATCACAGGAAACTGCACATGCTTAGTTGATCACAAGAACATGATACGCTCGTGTAAACACGCATGAAACCACACACTCTCTCAGCCCCCAAAGGACACCGCGGACATCCAAACACACTCACACCTAATAAATCCTACACTACTGTCGCACTTCAACGTAGACGGACCATACGGCCTCATTCAGAACTTGTCTTCCATTAGTGTGTGGAGGCTTTTGGGAAAAATTGCGACGTGAGTTTTCCAGCCTGTACCAGGACTATAACAACAGCCCTGCCTGTTGACAGATGAGTTTACATGCAGTCTTAAATGGGCTTGTCCGTTAGTTGTCTCGGGGTCTACCTTACATAATCAGTACCAGACCAGAGCTCAGGCTCTGTCCATCAAAGCCTCCCCTCTCATTCATACTTAGCCAAAAATAGGCTTATGCGGACCAAACCTGGCTCCGGCTTCAAAGCACCGAGGGAGTGTTATGAGCCTGTAGTGCTCCCTGGCTAATATAAAACACTATCCTGCCTGCCTGTGATCAGCGGTGAGGGTCTGGCCTGAGGCCCACTGGGCAGGAGCATCTCTGGCAGAGGAGACTGTAATGAGAACACACTCACTATATTGTTTTGTGTGTGTGTATGTGAGTGTGTAAGGGTCTGCCAAACGCCTGCTTTTGTTTTGTTGCTGTGTATGTCTGTGTACAATAATCTACTATATTTGTTTGTGTCTGCTTTCAGTTTGTATTTGGACATACGTCCACATGTGCTCGTCATGCATGTGTATGAGTGTGTGTTCGTAGTGTTTAGTTCTAAATATAAACCAGCAAGGTTTTAATGCTCTTTTCCAGCGCTGGCCGAGCATTACCATCTCATTACACCGGCTCCAGAACCAATCACAGACGCCGTGTGTCTGTCTCCGTTAATCTCTCTCTTTTCTTTTTTTCCCTTCACTCGTAATCTTTCTTTTTCATTCTCTCCGACAGCTCCCCTCCCCTACCTGCCCACCGTCCACCTTAATCACTTTCTCCTCTCGCATGTACTTTATCTCCCCTGCACTCCTGTCAATCTCCCTTCTTTTCCTCCCTCCTATCTGTCACACTCCTCTGTGTCACACTCCTCCTGTCTCCTCTTATTCTTCCAGGTCTCCACCTTGCTGATTGCGCATTGTTTCACACCGTGTTTCTTTTTTGTCTCCATAGTTAAAGATCTGGATACGGAGAAGTATGTACACTTGGTAAGTATCTCCTTGTACGTAGGTAATCAGAATGTTTCTAAAAGTGCCCTAAGTGAGTTGATTTCCAAAGCATTTCCTGTGTTTGCCACTTTTAGACAGCTTAGAGCGGGCTTGACGGCAGAAAGAAAGGGAATGAATTGAGGTAAAAAGGAAAGCTGCTGAGAGGACATGACAGCCCTAATGCTCCTTAAGCCTTTTTATAAACGTCAGCGTAGATATGGGACCTTTGACTTTAGAATAATGAGTTCTTCTGAACACAATTTGCCGGGTGAATAGTTAGTTGCAGGACAGTTCTGTACCCCCACCTTTTGACACATGTAGGTGGATTTTGACTGCTTCTTTCTTCTCCCTGCCCCTATTTAGACCTGTGTGAGCAAGTCAGAAATACGATCTTGTACACAGCAACCACAGACAAGCATGAAAATTTCCCAATTCCCATTTGCTTCCTCATTTCAGAGTATGATTCAGTGCTTCAAAATACCCTGATGTGGTTTCTGGATCATGTGTCTAATGCAAGAAACAGAGAATTCTGTCCAAGCGAGCACAGAGCTCATGAGGGGGTTTATTTTTTCGTTTTTGTTTTTTTTTTGTGGGCAGTATGTTGATCTTTGGCCTCCTCCTCTTCAGGTCCTACCTCATGATGAGCTAATGGAGAACAAGAGGTCACATAGGCAGAGTCATCGCAAGAAAGTCCTGCCTGAAATCTACCTGACTCGTCTTCTGTCTACAAAGGTGACCACAGGACACAATAGACTCTCAGCACACCGCAAAGAGATTTAAGTTTCAGCATTTTATCAAAGTCATCTCTCTACTTCTTGTTTTTGTGACCTGTATTAGCCTCAGAGGCTGCGGCGTAATTCCCACATCCAGTGAAACCATGTCTCTGCGTATGTATGAGCTTCTCTTTTTCCTCCGCAGGGAACTCTTCAAAAGTTCTTAGATGACCTCTTTCAAGCCATCCTCAGCATCCCCCCGGACCGCCCCCCTTTGGCTGTCAAATATTTCTTTGACTTCTTGGAGGAGCAGGCTGACAAACGGGGCATCACAGACCCAGACACCCTGCACATCTGGAAAACTAACAGGTACACAGCTTAACTCTGTGATTAAAGTCTCCTCTGGCCGGCTCGCTCTACAAACACCCGACTTTAAAAACTTCTCCCTCCCTCCGTACAGTTTACCTCTGCGTTTCTGGGTGAACATCTTAAAGAATCCACAGTTCGTGTTTGACATTGACAAGACGGATCACATGGACGCCTGCCTGTCCGTCATCGCCCAGGCCTTCATAGACGCCTGCTCCATTTCTGACCTGCAGCTCGGCAAGGTGAGATTATCTTTTCAGCTATCAACTGCAGGAGTTTTCTCCGTCTGACACTGTGATATCTACTGAGACAAAATCAGGGACTCAACTGTTTCAAATATATTTTTTAATTAGCCGGGTATTTGAAGTGTCGCAAACAGGAAATTGATCGTGCTTGAATAACTGTGTGACCTTGAGGAGTCGAAACCAGTTGTGAAAAAAAATTCACACTCATAATCTTGTTTGTCTATAAAGATTAGACCCAGTTTGGCTCCAGTAAGGACTAAAAATGCAATATCTTCACCTCCCTGTGAGGAGGATTGCTGATGAAGCTCTTCGATAAGGCTCTCCACACAAGTATCAGTCTATACATCCGTTTGTCTATACGTCAGTCTATCTGTCCATCTGTGTTTGTATCTACACTCACACCTCCCAAGTCCCCTCGGTGAACTTCTGTCCCTGATCCTCCAGCCTGTCAGCTCCATCTACCTCTCCTCGTGTTATTTCAGTCGAGTCGGCTGATCCAAGGTCATGAGCACCAGGGATCTCTTTTTTGTGTGTGAGTGCCTGTGTGTCTGTGTTCAGCCGTTTCTCACGTCCACGTGTCTGTCCATCTCCTCTTTTTGTCTGTATGTGCGAATGTGCGCTTGCATGTCAATGTCCTCGCTGCTCACGAATCCGTCTCATCCCTCAGATACTATGACCCTGAGCACGCTCTGCTTCCTGTCTCTCTCTGACCAGCTTCCTCCCTGGAGGGGGGCGAGGACTCATCAAATATAATGCTGTTCTTTCACTGAGAAACCCTCTGATTTATATACTCCTCTCCAGCGCCAAGGAGACAGCAGAAATATTCCCATGTAAATGCTGTCAGGTGCCTTCCTACTGTATGAATACGAAGACTTTTAAAACCTCCGGCGCAGCGATAGTTCCTCTCAGCCTCCTCATTAACATCTCCCATCTGGATGTGCATGAATTGTGGTGTCACCGGCTTCAAGGATAAGGTCTCGTTCCTCCTGCAGGTCAAGGAGACTGGCATGACACACCTCTACATTTCCCTCACGTGTTTACAGGGAATGTTTTTTTGCATTTGTATGAGTGTGTGCGTCCGCCTCGGGACAGGGCAGTGAAGGGTACTGCGTCTGGATTAGCAGAAGCGTAGCGGGGATGAGACAGGGGGGGTTAGAAAAGTAAGCAACGCTTGCTGTTTCCACGGAAACCCTCTTATCTGGCGAGATGCAGACATGGAGGGGCCACGGGGTCACAGTGGGGTTACCAGGCAGATGGACGAGCAGCAGGAAGTGACCTTGCGGACAGGAAGCGTGAGGGTTCCCCATCGGAGAGAGCGACCACGACCTCGACCACGACCCCGGCTTGTCCCCTCCCCCAACACACAAACACATACGCAAACAAACACATATCAGGTGACACAAATAAGTCGTGACACGGAGAAAAATGAAGGTGCTCTGTAAGCACATTCACTGAAGCTGAAAGCTGAGGCTGGCCGTCTCTTTTTGCCCCGTCTTTCTCCCTGTCCTACTTTTTCTCCCCGTCCCTTTTCTCTCACCCACACTCACAAAGCTCACAGGGAACTACACACGCTCAATCGCAACAGTAGTCGCCACTAAAACCAGAGTGTGCCCACAACCTCTCAGCCCTTCTACTTTTCTTTCTACATGAATAAACAGCAGCGCGAGGGCCTGAAGCGACTCTGCAGAGAGTGGCAGAGGTATGAAGGAGGATTGTTCAGTCTGGAATTTTCCTCCTCATGCTCTGGAGTTTTTCACTGGCCTGTTTTGTGGAAAGGAAACCGTCCACTCCCACTATTGTCTCAATTTTCACTGCTTTAGATTCGGTCATCAACAAAAAAACATCCAGTCTGTTCAGCAGCTCCTTATTTGGACAACACAATCATGCTCAAACTTATTCTAAGACATCAAATAGGAGAGTAGGAAATGCGTTAGGGATCAAGTTCAAGTTCAAGTTCCTGGACGCTCCAACCAATCAGAGCAAAGAAATGTGACCTCCATTATAAATTACCCATTTAGAAGTTGATATTGTTGATCTTACTTTGAAGGTATTGTCTTAATCTGAAGTGTTTATTTCCTGCAAGTAGATATAACAAAGACCTGTGCTTTTATTTTGAAAAGAAGCACACCAGGAGTTACTAGAACAGAGATAGTGAGACAATATTTGCACTCCAAACAAACTGTCGTTTAATGTGGATTAATTACCTGGTTGATAGAGTCACAAAGTAGGAATTTATTTGTTTTTTATGCAAATTAATATGAAGTGAACTTACGATGTCTTTAGAGTAATCAGAGTTTAATTCATGATTAGATAATTCCCGACTATTTACACAAACAAAGATGTAATTGAGCACATAAATAAATTAGAGGTTTCTGCTTAGATAGAACTGTCAACTGTTTTGCTTGGTAAGCTTGTTCATACATCAAATTCATAAAGTTTCTAAGGATAACACACTGATCTCGAGCAAGACTTGATTTGGTTGCCAGCACACCGGCAACCATCTTTGTTATTTGTGAAAATGCCTCTCCTCCTCTGAGTCCAGATCCATATTAGCAAAAAGGTTGTAATTTACCCGACCTGAATCAGGTTAGATGGAAATCTGTCTGAGCAGGAGGAGGGCTAAACACATCTGCCAGAGCAAATGAAACACGGGCTTGGAAATGATCTGGTTCCCAGGTTGGATCAGCTCAGACCTGCTGCTGAAATTACACGCACATCACTTGACTACGTGGTTTAAACTCGGGCTGTTTTGACCGATTTTGATTTTTGTTTTCAGGACTCCCCCACCAACAAGCTGCTGTATGCCAAAGAGATCCCCGAGTATAAGAAGAGAGTGCAGTGCTACTACCAACAGATCCAAGAAATGGCACCTCTAAGCGAGCAGGAGATGAATGCTCACCTGGCTGAGGAGTCACGAGTGAGTGAAGTACCCGTGTGTAAAAAGAATTCCTTTATTAAATGGGAAATTCTTTTAGAATCGTATCTAATATGACTTTTTTCATCCTGTAGAAATACAGAAATGAATTCAACACCAACCTGGCCTTGATGGAAATCTACAAATATGCCAAGAGATACAGAAACCAGGTAAAAGGACAAATCTTCCGTTACCTCTCTGTCTTTGCGGTATCAGATAAGATATGTACTCGTGTTGAAACTGGCCTCTTGCTGCAGTCTTTGTTAGCCTTTTTGCTGTTCAGGTTTCTCACACTGGCATCAGAGCATGACATATCAGCGTGGAAGATCGCATTTGGGGATGTTGTACGCTGTAAACAGCTTTACACACTCTCTATCAGTGGCCAAATATCTGCACCAAATAGCTACTTTCCTTTTGAGCAGGAATCATCAGATATGAACTAACTTTCTCGCAGCCGCCAGCATTAACAGCATCCAAACTCCTCCTCTGACCCTGATACTGCTTTCACACTAAGAAAACAACTTTTGTTTACCTTCACCCCATCTACTGCCCCTATCGGTTTAATGAGGCCGTTTAGTCGCTGCACATATCTCCTGTTTCTCTTTGAACTAGCCCTCTTCCAGCCCCTGCTCTCCTCCCCCATGACTCCTTGCTGCTATGACTATTCCCAGGAGAGGCTTTAGTCAGCGGTGACTGTGCCTTAATGGAGCACCCTCATGATAATGCCGTTTAGCTGCTTTCCTCTGTCATGCTACTGTACTGACGTGGGCCAGGGGCTTAGACTCTGATTCACAGCGCTCTGTGAATGGCCCCCTGATTGCCTATTCTCTTGCCTCAGCTCAGTTCTCTCTGCCTGGTAGCACACTGCCGCTAAGAGCCCATAAATCCCACTGACGCGGTGACATCTATTGGGCTTGAATAAGAGAGCAGATGTGGGTTTTGTAAATATGTGAAGAGCAAAGGCTTTTGTGGTGTGGAGGCATGCGTGAAGGCTGGAGAAGCACTTCACTTGCTCCTCTGCTGCTCTCCCTTTCTCTCTTGTTCAACTTTCTATGTCCGTGCAGGTGGCTGATGGATGCATGAATGCTTGACAGCCACTGAAAGTCACCCTTGTTGTGTTTTTTTCTTTTCTTTCCCTACCTTTTGGTCAGGTGGTGAGTGCTCTGGAGTCAAACCCTACTGCACGTCGCACTCAGCTGCATCACAAGTTTGAGCAGGTCATCGCCCTGGTTGAAGACAACATCTACGAGTGCTGCAGCGAAGCTTGAATCTGTCGGTGTCTTTCTCTACTTGCCATCTCTTTCTCCTGCTGACAGCTGCCTCTCTCCTTATCCTTGGGAAAGCTTGGCCGCTAAAGAATAAGCCTTCGTGAGCATCATTCATGTGGCCGTGGACTTTGAAAAGCTTAAAAAAAGCAGCAGAGAAATAGACTTAAAAATTGCCAATCACGTGGCACGCATTTGCTCTCTTGATCTGGGAATATCAAGCAATCTTTTCCGATTTTTCCCAGAGACTCGGACAGTCTGGCTCGGCAATGCTTTAGAGGGAAAGTGTAGAAGCTTGGAGAATGAGCTTTTTCTGGATGTCTTTACTGGAATCTACAGTAAGCCCTGGTGGCAATCTTAACGCACTGAACCCTTTACGCAAAGGGAGGAGCCAATGATGCACTGTACTGTACCATAATGTCCATAGCAATATTTATAGATGTGTTCAAATTCTTTTAAAGTGACCTGTTTGTCAGGATGAGTAGGAGGGACCTCTGTAAGCTCCTCCCATCTCCTAAAGCCTGCAGCGCTCTCAGGTGTGATCGGTGAAGATGGGGGGGGGGACTGGCTCCCATCGGTGCTTTGAACAATGGGACCTTAATGTGCTTTGCAGGCTGATGATGGGTTTAGGAGGAGTGGAGGGAAGAATATAAATGAGTGAAATATATGAAATCAGATGTAAAGCGGTTCACTGGGAAGAGCTGCAGCAGTTATACAGATGTTGATCAATGTGTGCGTGTAAACGAATGAATTTCATGTCGGATTCTGATCAGTTTAAAAGAGGGAAATTTACATTTATGAGAAAAAAATGTGAGCTCAATATAACCTGAGGAGAGACTGTAATTGTGATGCCAAATGACTTGTCAGAGTTTGTGAAATAAATTACTGTATTTAGGATTTTAAATGTGTCCAATCATGACCATGTTTATTGTACCAAGTCTTAAATTGCTTCATTTCGAGATGCATTACAGAGCAGCGAATTTTAACATCATTTGAGAACCATTAAAATCGGGCCTGCCAGAGCCGGCAAACAAGCATCTGGAACTTCTCAGAAAGCTTGTAAAAAAACTCTCATAAAAAAACACAAGTGAGGGGAAAGGCTTGCAGACATTGAGCGTTGTTTTTTTATTGCGGACACAGAACAACTTCCACATCATCTTAGCCTTTACATGACGAACAAATAACTTCCTCATATCGTCTTTGATATACAGAGCGGCATTCTTACGTCCACTTAAACACATAAACATCCACTACACACGGACATGTATGATCTCTCACACAGGAGGCGACTTATCCCTGCAGAGGCTTTTTTCAGGTCCATCTGTTTACACTCGTGTTTCAGTCGAGGCCAAGAACAAACTAACAACCTCGGCTTTGTCAAGAGAGCAGAGGACAGCTTTGTCCGATGCATCTGAATATTCAGAACAAATTTATGACTATTTTCAGTCGAGCGTCATAAGATTTTGAGGCAAACTTGTCGCTGCAATAGTTGCTCAACCAAGATTGGATTTGGTTGAAATCACACAGCATGATTTGTTTAATTAGATTTTTACCTATTACATGTTTTTTGGGGTATTAAGGAGCTTGGAAAGTGTTCAGCTGGATCATAACACGGACAAACACCCCCCCGGCGGAGGACTAAACTCTGTAAAGCCAGCTGAACACTTTCCATGATTAAATGGATTGAAAATACACATGCTGGCTCTTGAGTTCATCAGTCTGGTGGTGGCACTGTGGTGGAGACACATGGAGAGGTAAGTCAAGAGGATTGGCCTATAGAACAGTCGTGCTGCTTGGCGGTGGCAGGTCCCAAGGTGTGCAGGGACAGATGGGATGTGAAGGGGGGATGAGGAGGGAAGAGGATGCAGGTCAAGCAGGGGCCACCTGGCTTGAGGAGACAGATGAAGTCTGAGTCTTGGAGACGGCAGTGGCCGCAGTCTCATCTTCTCCAAAAGGGTTTTTTCCACAGCAGACTGTGGTGATCATGCAGTTTCTGAACTGGAGGCCAAAAAGAAAAGGTCAGAATCCCAGTTGTAATACATATTCACTAAGTGGCGGAGACGTTTTCAGATCCTTTACTTCAGTCGAAGACCCAGTACATTAATTCATATCTGTTAGTCCAATTTATACGAGAGCTGTGGATTTAAATACCCCCTCCAAAAAAAAAACAAGTATATAGAATAATATAAAGCAGTCATGAAAATCCAAATTCAAAAATGAAAATGAGCTCAGGCTTTCAATGGTAAAAGTAAGAATCAAATAGCAAAATGGTCTTTGTGGCAGATGTAGAATTAAATATGCTGCATGTACTGTAAAAAAAAGGTGCATTTAACCATAGCAGACAGTAAAGTGGGCCTCTGGGCTTACTCATAAGGGTCTCATTAAAACATCTGAAGGGCAATTACATGATTAATGGAACAAGAGTAGGGAAAAAAGCATGTACACAAATTTGTACTTATGTTATTATTCATCGTGATAATAGGAGACAAAATTATATTTCTAAACGTGATTTATGTAAGAAGTTCAAATGGTTTTTATCTCTCAACTCTATGAGCATTAAGAATAATATAAAGAAATACCGATAACACCCTATAATACCTTATTAGTACATTTATAAAGCCTTAGAAATGCATCTATAACACTTAATAACAATCCTTATGAGTGGCAGGAGTTCACAGCAGCATGTATTACAAACCGTCCCTTTATAAGACATTGTGCTTACTGTCATTGCTATAATCTTTTATTATAAAGAGGTGGGTTCTTATAAAGTGTTACCAAAACACTTACATGTACATTAACACAGATTTTTCTGCCTTGAATTGAGAATGCTTAAGTCTGGATGTTAGTTTTACGCACCTGTCTGTTCAGCAGTATGTAGATGACGGGGTTGTACAGAGCTGCACTCTTTGCAAAGAAGGCCGGAGCAGTCATGAACACGGGTCCAAACTCGACCCCCTGATTGACAAAGATGTACCAGGCCACACTAGCATAAGGCACCCAGCACACCAGGAAGGAGATCACCATGACGATAACCATGCGTGTGACCTCTCTCTCCGCTCGCTGGGTGGTTTCAGACTCCTGCTGTTGAGCCGCAGCCTGAGCATAGACACATGCAGGTTATACTCACCTATTCAGAGGATAATCAGTGATTTAAATGTAAACTGAAGGTCTGTCCCGTCACAGAGAGAATAAATTAAAGGATTATTTTGACAGACGGATAGTTGATTCAGCACCAGAAAAGAGTGAAATCCACCGTTAGTCATGTTTTGAACATGCTGGTGTTCGCATGTGTTGTAATTATGTTGCTGTTATGCGTTAGGATTTAAGGTTGATTGAATTACATGTGCATTATGAGTCACTTCCTCACAGTATAAACTAAAATAAACAAAAGGCCTAGTTGGGAGTTTTCAAATCACTATCAAGCCCCCTTTTTTCTTGATAACAGAATCAACTTAATTCTTATTGAAACTGTGTTTTATTATCATATTATCAAAACTTTTTCTTTTGTAGTTTGACTTCAGTTATATTAAACTATAATTCTGTCCCTATCAGATTTTTTTTTTCCTTTTTTGTGGCCCATATTCTTTGTCCTACATTTGATTTTTTTCATAGCAAAAATCCAATTATAGCCTCTTAAATGAAGATTTTCAGCACTTTCCTTTAGCTGTTAATGATTGCTAATACATTATCAATGCTGTTTTATTATTATTAATGAGGGCATCACAGTGAGCAGACAGACTGCCCCCCAGCTGGAGAAGCTGAGTCTAAGCCGCCATGTTGGCAGTGATCTGCCCTCCTGAAGTGTCCTTGAGCCACTAAATCCCCTCACATCTCCAGAGACCCTGCTCTGTGATGCTGCTCCACCTCCCTGTGGAGGCGAGGCAGGTAGAAAAGAAACAAAATAAAGAGTTTCTCTGCGGGGACAAACAAGGCATTGCATCCTTATTATTAATATCATGTCTGGCTGTCGCGTTCTCACCGCTCGCACGGTGCAAAGCAGACGGCTATAGCAGAAGAAGATGATGAAGAGGGGGATGCAGAAGTGGAGGACGAACATATAGATGACGAATGAGGTGTTGTTGATCTCAGGCTTAGGAGTGTAGTAGTCAATCCCGCAGGAACACTGCATCCCCTCTGGGATGTACCTGCATCCACACACAATAAAAATCTAAGAAATTCCATCAACACTATCACACTCAGAATTTGATTCAAGATGTTTGTCTTTGAGTGAGGAAAATATAAATCCTTGCTGTGCTTTCAAAACATCAAAACATTATATGTTTCATTTTAGAGTCTAGGCAGGGAGACATAAAGTACCTGGACCATCCGCACAGAGGAGGGGCAGCACAGGTCAGAGCCATGATCCACGTGAAAGCCAGACCAGTGATGGCGTGTTTCTCCCCAAAGCGAAAATTGGTCATCGGCTTACAGACCACAATGTAACGCTCAATAGCCAAAACCACCAGAGACCACAAAGCAATTTCTCCTGGGACATAAAGTAAAGGGGGTGCAAATTTAGCAATCTGGACCAGGCTATTTCAGATTCAGAAAAGATGGTAAATCTTACCTCCTAATGTGGCAAAGAATCCCTCTATGTTGCAGCCTGTGACCCCTAAGCTGAAGTATCCATGCAAGGCCGTGTAGAGGGTGACCGTGAAGCCCCCGATGATCATGAAGAGGTCAGCCACTGCCAGGTTGAGCAGGACGTAGTTCAGAGGGGTCCTCAGCTTTTTGTGCTTCACGGTGACATGTAGGGTGAGGAAGTTGATAGGGAAAGCGGTGATGATGAGGAACAGCATGTATGCAGCCACAAGAGAGTACTTCCAGGGCTCGGCCAGGTAGTACTGAGGGTACTCAAAGGGGCTGCGAACCAAGCCTGTCTTGTTTGACATGGGGACATAGAAGTTAGGTCCTTCTGTGCCATTCATGGCTGCAGCTGATGATGCTTTGTCCTTGACACTGGATAAAAAACAGCCTGTGCCTCCTCTCAGAATAAAACACAGTGAGAGAACCTTGTTGTGCAGCTGGGGTGCAAATGGAAGAGAGAGGATGTCTACAGGGATGGAGCTTGTGGAAGCAAGATGTGCTCTGCAGCCCCCTGAAGTAGTGCTGCACCTTTTTAACAGGCCGAAGGATTAGGGACGAGCATGGAGCAAAGTGTTAGCAGAGATGGAATTAAGACACTCAGTCTCCAGTCAGCCCCCTCTCTTTTAAAATCACACATGCTCTTCAAGGGAAAACTCCAGAAATAACTATGCAGTATGCTAAGCGCGCGCCAGGTGAGAGGTTACAGCGATGGCTATCAGAAACCCATCATTATACTGTCGTGTTCATCAGTGCATCATTACGCTGTGATGAGAGTGGGAGGGAAGGCAGAGACTGAACCAGCCTATTTGTAGTTTGTCCACCCTTAAATGAAATTTTCTTCAGCAATCCAACTTATTTGCATCCGTGAACGCTTAATCCCCAACCACTGCATAATGCAGAGCTCAACTCATAGCTTTAAGTGTAATCAGAACCAGTGGGGCATACCGCTCACAGCGCTCGCTCGCTCTCCCTCCAGCTCTCTCCTTCATGAACAAAAAGTTCAATCTGCTGGAGTAAGAAGTTAATATCAGGGAGCCTTTGTAACTTCATTTACAATCGCCATTTTATTCAAAAATACCAAAACACTTTATTTAAAAGGCTGGTGTTCATTTATAACAAAGTAAAAAATACATTCTTATGACAAAGCCACAGATGACGTCTTTACCGGTGTTGTTTCTGTAGAAGCCTGTGGAACGCACTTTGAGAAATATATATATATCAGATGAGCTATAACTTTCCTTCTATAACTAACTCATGTATTCTCTTGAGATTAAAATAGTGTAATTGAATAAATATCTTCTTACAGTTATATTCTTTTATATTCCACGCCCACAGTCCATTTAAAGTGATGATGCAATCATTACAGCTCAAAGTAATCTGATCCAAATAATCCAATTGGCTTGATTGGCTGATGGTGCACTTTGCTCACTCTCTCTAATGACCGCACTACAGATATTACTTCAGTCAGACAGGGCTGCTTTTAACCTTACAATAAATACACCACAGTGACATTTAAAGAATAATAATGACACAAAAGTTCAGGGATAAAATGAACTTTAAAGAAACAATGTTAAGTTCAGCTCAAGGCTGCAAAATCAGGAATGTTTGAAGAGCTGCTCTGGCACCGAGTGCATCAGTTTGGTTCATCGATAGGTCTGCGACAGTACGGACAGCAGTTGTGTTGAAGCACCAGGAGCTCATAATCCTCACTGTGAAACATCTACAAGGAAGCACAAAGAAAGAAACAGTTAGAACAGCCTGCAAGAAACAAATGACACAACAAAAACAATATGACTTAGACCAGTGGTTCTCAATCCAGTCCTCGAGCCCCCAACACACCTGACTCAAATGATCAGCTCGTTATTAAGCCATTGCAGAGCTTGATAACGAGCTGATCATTTGAATCAGGTGTGTTGGAGCAGGGAAACATCCAAAACATGCAGGACAGTGGGCCTCGAGGACTGGATTGAGAACCACTGACTTAGACATACGAGTGAAAAGAGGAAAACAGAAACTCTTTGTCTGTAGGATACACGAGCAGGGTGTCTTATAAATACTCTACCTTGAAGCAGGTGGGGCACATGGTGATGCTCACATCGGGCAGCAGGGAGCGGAAGTATTCCCATTTGAGCGGCCTCGGCCAGCGTTTGATCAGCACATCCCTCCTGCTCATAGAGCGCAGCGACGGGCGACCCACCTTGACTGGAACAAAGTTCCAGCCTCCCTGCTGTTCGGACACACGCACACACACTTTCTATTTTGAACTCGTCCTTTTACCCTCTCCAGCTGGTTTGCCCAGTTGGTGGAATATTTATCACCTCATCTCCTCTGTCCTCTCTCTTACCTTAAAACTCATTTTGGCCGTAAATGGATCTTCCTCTGCTTCTTCCAAACTATCATCTATCCTCATGGCTTGTGACTCTGGTTGGTTGTAATTACGGACAAACATCTCATATAGCACACACATCATATCATATTTTACTTGTTATAGATGTTTTCTGTGACTTCACATTTTTAAGGCAGGGAAAGCCGTTCTAAAATTATCCCAGTGAGACTAATCTAAAATTGTGAGTGTTCAAAACGCCAATCAGTCGTGCCTGTCAGTCATATGGTGGCTCTGGAGGAACAGAGCAGACCTCAATGCCCTTGAGTGAGTGTCTGTCCGCTAATGCAGGTTAATCCCTTCACCAGGGCTGTGGCTACGGCTCGTGGAGGGTTAGTGTCATTAAGATGAGACAGGAGAGCCTCGCTAACCCTATTAGCATGAGAGCTAAGATGACTTAGCTCTGACAGCTTACCCACCAGCACAGAATCGAGGCCAATGCAGACTAAACAGCTTCTTAGAAGTGTCACAGGGCAGAGGGGGGGTCACGTGCTTAATTTGAAATGCAGTGTGTTCAGGCAAGGGATTCAGACTCTCTCAGGGGCAGCAGAGTGAGGACTTAATAATTCATAAAAAGCATGTGAATCATGTTTCTCTGTCTGGAACTGTGTATAAAAAAAGACCAAAGGATACCACCATTGTCCATGTCCTGCCAGTGTGCATCGCTCCTGTCTGTGTGGGGAACTTCTAGGTCAATTAGAGACACAGCCTCTTCATCACTGATGCCCTCCTCGAGGTAGAACTGCACCAGAGGCAACACCTCTGTACACGAGCAGATACGCTACATTAAAAACACAAATGGCGTCCTCTCTGGGCAACATAATGCACACCATTTTTTTTTTTTGAGTCACTGACCGTATGATGAAGCAGAGTAGATGAAAGGCTGCCTGCAGTTGATGCACGCACTCCCCTGTTTGAACAGGAGGGGGTTGTTGAAGGAGCAGCGGTAGCACATCATGCCCTCACGAAGGTCCTGTAGAAAAATTTAAAATACACAGTAAAGGACATGAGAGGTGTAATAACAAGAATATTTGCGAACGAATTACAAATACTGGCATGTCTGTCAATGTCTAACACACCCCGTTGTCGTTAAAGGGTTTGGAGCGGATGGTGAGGCTGCCCAGCTCTATGGACTCCTGGAAGCGGGAGGGGGTGTGCAGCTCCTGGAGCTTCTCGTAGGCATACCTGGCAAGCTTATACGCTCCCAATTTGCGACTCTGCTTTGCCAGCGCATAAAAGGTGTTACTAATTATCAGGTTAAGGAAAACAAATGTAAGAGGAAGAGGCAGAAATCTTTAAATAGTAACAATGACATATTGGTTTTAGTTGACATTTAGAATTACTTACCTCTATGCAAAAAAAAAATATGTACACTATGGAGCGTTTGAACACAGGCATAACTGTATTTTGCCTCATTTCTCTTAATGAGTACAACAAGAGCCGTGCTGAGCCAGCAGCATTGGCTAAATGCCCTGAAAGTAATACCTTGTTCTGGCTGTTAGTGGGCGGCCGTGCGTGTGCTTATACAAGCCTGTGTGCCTCTTTCTGAATCTGAGTGTAGGAAATTGTTGCTTATTTGTTTTTACAAAGAGACAGATTGTTAAGAGAACAGCTCTGAGAGTGGCAGTAACAGGTCAATGAGTTACAGCTGCAAAGGCTCGACGCTGGCACACCTCCATCACCTCAAACTTAACATTACTCCTCTCCACTCAGCTCCTCTCCAGCTCCGCCCACACACCCTGTTACTGTTCCACTGCTGGGACTGTTGACGAATGCATGTCCTCCCATTGTGCGAATTTGTTTAGTGCACTTCTTTTGTGACAATGTGTTTAATTGTCCGCGCCGAGTCTCAGGCAGCCCGGCTAAGTCTATAAATCTGAGTTCAAAGTTTTTGGAACACCTCAGTTGAGCCGCAGAGGATTCTTGCAGCTCAGTCTCATTTCCTCCTCAAAGGCCGGGCTTTCCTTCCGCATACTCTGCCTCCACGGTGTGAGACCGCATGGATTTGTCTGTGTGGGTATATTTGTGTGTGTTTTTTTCAAATTAAAGCTCATTGTTTCGTGTGTTTGTGTATGTTTAAGTACACGCAAAGTTCAAGTAATCAAAGCATTTGTTTAGACGATGGGGGATGTGTTTCTTGTTGACATCCTCGCCTCCTTCTCATCATCATCCTTCTCTTTCTCTCAGGAGCAGCATGGTTTCCGCTGTGGCGCCAACACTTCCGCTTTCCCTCTATTTCTATCTCCTTTCCACCACTTTATCATCGCAGTGTCTGCCAGTCTTCGTTTCGGATTGGCATGTCTGTTTCTTGAGAGTTTTCCAAAGAGGACAGGCCCCACAATACTTGATTCTAAAAATATTTGCTAAATATCTAGGCACTACGCTAATTCTGCTCGCACGATGAAAGGATACACTTTAGAAATGCCTGGCGGTATGTTCTTGGTGAGGTTGCTCAGGAGGAACCGGCAAATGTTGAAGAGCGTCTCCGGCATGTGGGAACTGAAGGGCTCATCCTTAAGAAAAAAAATGCAAATGGAAAATAAAAGGATTATAAAAACAGATGCATCTCAGTTCAAAAAAAGAAATCCCCACCTGAATATTTCTTTTTCATTTAACCTTGACTTAAAGCATCCCAACCCTTTTGCTGTGCCTCACCCAACCTCACTGTACCCTACAGGGGAAAAACAGATTTGCTAAAGCAATCACTAACAGCACTTTATCCTGGAAGTTGATAGTTCAAATCTATAGTTCTTGCCCAGGGGGAGTTAAAGTGAGATATAGAGGGTTCCTGCTCTGGTTTGAATCACAGAGATGTCTCACTGCTGCAGGGGTGCGACCACAGCTGAGCGGAGGGCTAAAACAACAAACTGAGGACACTGACACAGGCCAGCTCACTCATATAGAGCTCATAACCAGGAATTACTTGTGTGTAAGTAAGTTAGGGCGGGGGGCTTGGAGAAGACCACTGATTAAGTAGTCATCATGATCAATCAAGCAGCTGGTTACCATGGTGAAGGGGTCAGAGAGGTTTGGATTGCGTAAAGAGCTCATCTATCAATCTGGGCAGCCATGTGCCATGTTCATCTGAAATTTCCTCCTGGTCAACTTTGAAGAGCATTCACAAAAAAAAGAAGAAAAAAAAAAGGCTAATAGCAGCGGTTTCTAAGAAGTTAAAGCTGATTAAATTCCTCCTCACTGGTCTTTAGCTTCAATTCTCTTTTGTTCACTCCACCTCTGCGCATACTTAAACTTCTCCTCTACTCTGACTCTATTTTCAGCTTGGCATAATCTTGCGGAGCCAGGCCTCCTTCTTGTCAAGGTAACAACAGTCTCAAGAAATTTGAGCACAAAAGTTGATTAGAAAGTGGGCAGAAATGCACGGGGGCTGTCAGTGTTCCTAAAAAAAACAGGAATGTGTCTCTGCCCAAACAGAAATCTGACCGCATAGTAGGTAATGTTTCAAGAGCTTTCAAACTGACAGCCAATCTTTGCTGGTCCGGTGATTTCTAAGACCTCCACCCACCTTTCTCTGGTCTGGATATTTAAGATTAGGATTGACAAAAGTAGCATGTTCTCACCGTGTAGCGCTGGATGGAGCGGTAGACGTGGTAAAGCTCAGCCAGGTGCTGAAAACGCTCAAACTTATTCAGCATTTCCTCCCTCTGCTCTTCACTTTCTGTTTTAGAAAAACACAGTAAATGATAAACAACCAATATGCAACAGGGCGTTCAGTAAAATGTATATTTTCATAGTTAAAAATAACTGTCAAAGAAAATTTGGTCTCACCTCTAGCAATGTCCAGACACTGCATTGACAGCATCCAATAATAGTACCCTGCATCATTGAACCTGTTCTCAACTACGGCGTTTTGGGTGAGCTGTTCCAAGACTTTCACAGCTTCATTTTGTCGCCCTGCTTTGTGAAATGCTAAAGAGTGAGAAAAGGGAGAAAGGAGAAAAAAAAAGAACAAGGTGAGGGACCGATCGTTATTTTATGTCCTTGAAAAACTGTTGAGTCTCGGGGCATCGCTGAATTTGAAGTGCCAATCGAGAACAAGCTCCTTTATTCATTTCTATGTGGGTGAGACCTTTGCGGCTAAGTTTTCGTTGTGTTCTTTGCTCTAAACTTTCAGATTTAATTTCACAATAGAACACTTTCTGTCTTTTAATTAGATTTTTGTGGCAATAGGAAGTGCTATTTGTTTTGGCGGTTCAACTCATGTCATGAAAGTGCTAACAGATGACAGAAAACTGCAATTACATCAGAGGCACCAACAAACAACTACAGGGTCTTATGTAACTCCATAAAGTCGCAGGCAAACAAGTGTAAGCATTTACACACAGAAACACATACTTATTAAACGCTAGGATGGTTCTGAAGCTATAGTTCCCCCTAATTTTCTCCATGTAATAACCACCATACGTCTTTTTAGTATGCAGTCTATCTTTATAGCCCTAATAAGCCTGAGCTCTATTCTTCATGTTTCTATCAGGGAGATAATTAGAAGCAGCTTTAGGGAGTCGACCCCTTCACTGACCCTTCCCCTGCAACCACAGCGGGGGTCAGGATATGTTAGCGGTAAATATTTATCAGTCTACCTAACCGGATGAAAACCACATTCAGCTGCTGCTGGTTAATGCTGGGAAGGAGAACACATCACTTTCTCTTTACAGAAACACAAAACATAAGCTGACAAATATGCAAAGTACAGCTGTGGTTCTGATTTTCTGTTCCCATACGAACAGAAACAATAAACATTGTGCTAGAATTGCAAATTTTAGATTTCTGGGTCGTTTTAGGATGGGTTTTATGTAAGCACACAGCATATTGTTACTTTATGTATCAAAGAAATTGGGCCAATCAAGTTGATGGCTCTATGTGGATGTAAATAAGTGAATCTTTACTTAAAGCTCCATGTGTGGAGATTTCGGTTGGTTAGAAGGCAGACTAAAATAAGATGTGCTGCCTTCATATGCAAAACAAAAGCAAACAAGAACATAAGCTAGAAAATTTATCTTTTCTACTCAGAGATTTTTAATGCTTTTACCTCTGCCAAGCAAGAGTCACGAGCTTAAGCAGAATAGTGTACAGATGGCTGTTTTATATTCCACAGCAATCGTTTTCAATTAGTGATACGTTTAGCTATTTAAAGAAGGCAGGATGAGACTTTTTCCCTTTGCAGAAAACCCGACCAGAGATAGAATTTACCATTTTGTCCACAGGGGGCGCCAAAATTAATACAAACTACAGGGTCCTCACAAAAGCTTTAAAGACCCACTCCGATGAAAATCACTTTTTTCTTTTTTTTTTACACGTTCATATAGCATTTTTCTGACGCTACAGGACAAGTATTTCTGCGTTCAAATTGCTGTGAGATTTCCTATGTCACAAATCCAAGCACTGAGCTATGCAGGCCAGACTCGGAGGAATAGAGAGGACGATTGCGGAACAAGCATGTGTGGTAGCGAATTGCAGTGCTTGTAAGAAAGATAATTATGATATTAGCTTACATCATAACCCCGAAGACATTAGTGTCCAAGAGCTGAATAGTTCCTATGTTACCTGCTTCTTCTACTACACCTGCAGTGTTAGGCTACAAGCTAGTGGAGTGTGCAGAGCAGCGCTGTCTCCGCCCACGATTCAGAGGCGAATTGCTAATGAGCTACTGGAGCTCTGCAGAAGAAAAGTCCTTGAAAATGACACAGACAATGTGATTTTGGCCAAAAACTTCATAATCACAATTTAAAGACCACTGATAACACTTAAAAAGTAGTAAAAAAAATACGATCGTAGTGGGACTAGAGTAATGAAAGCAACTCCTTATCCACAATATGAACAGGCTTGAGTTATCAGGATTTGAAGGCTTTAAATTAATGAAACTTGGAAACACAGCAACTTTAAAGACGTTTCAATCAAAACAAAAGACGATGAGGAGACAAAAAAGGGAAAGGCATGTAACAGACTCATTAGTAATGGTTGAAATACTGCAAACTCTCTAAAAACTCTTGATGAAGCCCCATTAACTTCAAAACCCAGCAGACCACCTCAGTCAGCGGTTAGAGTTAAACATTTGTGAAGCTGCTATTAAGAAGTGCTGTGGACAGGGGGGCAAAACCGAGCTCAATTACAAGTTACACAATATTGTGTCACGGCCTGACTAAAATACACTCAATCAGCAAAACGCATGACCATGAGCAAGCTCCAATACAATCAGGCCCGTTCAGTCATGTATCTCGTGTAGAGACAGGCAGAGGCAGATTATGTAGACGAGGAAATATGCCTGCTGAGATCATAATTATAAATCTATGAGCTGATTATAACTATGGTTACAGTTGGTAATCATCATCAGAGCCGCTTGTAGTTCTGGTGATTAGAGGCATGCATGCATGTCATTCAGTTAACAGGCAGCCCGGCTCTGTTCTGCTCCGCTCCAGCAAAGAGGATCATGTTTTACAGTGGATAGAGAGCATCTTAAGGAGGGAGTGAAAAAATGTCTGCGTCCAGAGTCAGCCGGGGGCTTTATCACTTCCATATGTAAACACTGGCAGTGGCTGCAGACTTTAATGTTCGCTGAAATAATCCTGAAAACACACACACACTCGGAAATAAAAAGATGAGTTGTGAAGACGTGATGCAGACTCACCTTTTTGTGCCTCTTCGAACCGATCGTTTTCAGCCAACCACTGAGCGTAAGGCACAAAGACGTTGTTTTTGAACTGGGGGTGCTTCTCCACCAATGAAAAGGCCTGAAAATTGAAAAACACGCATTACTTCCCGTCAAAACACAAGTCCAGCATTATTAATAAGTTTGGAACAAAGACAAGTTTATGAGCTAAGTTGATTTTACACTCAATTAGACTGCAGCTCTTACGCTGTTTGAATGACAGGATATAAATGGCTGTTATAGCACCCTGTGGACACACATTTGCCTGTCAAGGTGACTGATTAATCTAAATGTCCTGTAGTAAAACCTGAGCCAAGAAACACACACAGTACAGTAAAAGAGGAGAGGGTGTGTGTGTGTGTCCTCGGCCTGTGAGTAAAAAATCGTTTAAATAAATAAAAGGTTTTAGGAAAAAGAGAGTGAGCAGGGAATAGCATCCATATGGCCCATTCACAAGTCTAGTCTGAGCTCTATCCTGTCGCAGTACCTCCCACAGACAAGACATAAAACCCAACAGTTCTCTCATCTTTGCCTCCCTCTCTCTACTCTCTTTTTATTCCTCTCGGAGGATCAAATAAATATCGGGGAAGACTTCCTCAGACAAAACAGCACGACCATGTGATCTTTATAGGAGGTTCTGTTTTTGGCTCCTCTGTTTCAGCATTTAAATCAGCAATATGCATCTCTGTTACGCCTTAAACTCGATTACAGACTGCAGATGGATTAAAGAAATGAAATATTTTCTTCTTGTGTGTGTGTGCAGCATGATCAGCCCTGATGGAGGAATTTGATTGGAAGCAGAATAGAGCTTTAAGCTGATGCTCTTTCAGTGCTTTGTGCTTCTCACTCTCTAATCATCATGTGGGCATGGATTCAGAGAAATCCAAATCCGGATGATTAACTCCGGAGCGTGTGTATGGTTTAAGTTTCAGTGCATGAGGACATTAGGCAGACTCATTGTTTTATTGTTTGCATTCAGCTGCGCTGGCTTCAACAAATACAGGATACTCTTAGAGATTCCTGCTGGGACTAAGTAAGTCATGCACATCTTGTGATTTGTAGTGTGGGCTTCTGAGTTCTGCTGAAGTTTTTTGTTGGCTCTGTCCTATGAGGCTCACATTTATTTATGTGATTGTCTCCGGATACTATATATAGCACATATATATAAGCCATGATGAGTGGAGCAGGTGTGCCCCCATGTATAAGTATGTCAGACCTCTTCCCAGTGCCGGGTTTCCACATGCAGCTGCACTAGAGCCTGCAAGTCTCCCATCTTCGAATAAGTCTCGGAGGCGTAGCCATGGTGCTTCAGCTTCTCAAAGTAGAGGGCACACTTTGCCAGGGGTTCTCGTTCAGCCTTGTCCAACTTGCGAGCGATGTCAATCAGCCTGAACAAGAGGGGAGAGGAGCGATCACACACAAGAAAGGGCAAGTGCAGACAAACCATCGAGTAAAGTTCTGCCTGTGACCTCAAAAAATATTAAGGGTCAGTGGCTGGATCAGATTCAGGTGAAAGATCTCCCACTCTGCTCAGCTGTGGTGTTTGTTGTGCCGACACACTGCTAACTCCACGGGGAACTGTGAGCATGCACACAGGAGCTCGAATGGAGTTGGTGGAGAGCTGCAGCCCATCAGTTTTGTATCACACGCACTCATATCCCATGTTAAATTTACCTTCTAATAATCCCCTGCTTAAAAGACATGCTCTGTATATTAATCATTTCCTCTCTTTTACTTTTGAGGCAACAACGATTAAAATTTAAAGATTTCTCTCTAAACATCTTTGAGCCAATTTATGTCTGATCTGTTTTTATCAGAGAGAAACTTTTGGAGACCTAGTTTAAAAATATTCCAAACTGCATCTGCACACTCGCTGGAGAATCCACCAGGCTCCTGATGTTTTCCATATGACGTTTGTGTAAGTTGCATGCAGGACCATGACTCGCTTCCTGTCTTATGATATCACCAATCCTTGCTTGTAAGCGCAAATCTCTGACTCAGGGTGAGGGCAGAGATATTTCCTCCCCTCGGTAGATAAACATTAAATCGCTTTGCTACTCTGCATGCATATCAGTTTGCAAAAGATGAAAAACTGAAGTAATCTTGGAATAACCGGCAAATATTTTCACCGGAAAGGGACTGTCAATACGGCAAATTAGATGTCTACTACGAAAGAAGAATTATAAAACTTCAGGATTTGAATCAGAGTATTTGTCATATTTGCCTCTGTCCCCGGCCAATTCCTCACCACTGCTTTAAGTAAACACCGTATTTTTGTCATTCTACTGGCGTTATAGTATTGTGTGGGGTTCAATCAACGTCTTAGAGAAAAATGGAGCAAACTACACCACTGACAGTTAAATTGGGACATTTCAGACAGAGAGTGCAGCATTGAACATTTCCTACCACTTAACTGTCTTTTATTCAGTTACAGAGTAGAATATGTCTACATTAACTGTATTCAGAGGTGTACTCATTTTGCGACATCAAGAATACGGTTCAGGAAACTTAAAAGGGGAGTGAGTGTCTTCAATAGTAACCGACACCTACATGTCAGCCCATCCGTGTTCTCCAATAATGTCGATGGCTTTTAGATGTTCCCCTGCTGACAGGTACATCTCCGCCGCTGCCCGGGGCTCCTTACTGCTCTTAGCCCAGTCTGCCTGCTTGGTCATCAGGATCCGGGTGCTCTTAGGGTCTGTGGATCCCACAAACTCCTGCAAGAAAGGGTACATAGAACACACCAGTGGTGATTTTTTTTTTCTAGAAGGAAGAAGAGAAGTCAAGTTCAGACAGCCATAACTATGTGGGTCAAGGCCGACACAGGAGGAAGAGAGTCACACAAACACCCGTCTGCTGGAAGGTCTTTCCCTCCGGTGTCCATCCTACCTAAAACAAACAGCCTTTAGAGCCAGATGGCCTCACAGCCACATAAATATACAGTAGACACATCAAACACACATACAATCTGATACGCATGCACAAATATACATACCGAGTCATGGTTGTGTCGTCTGCTTCAGCATTGAGAATGTAATGCTGCTGATCAAAGTGTCCCCGCGTGTAAACATAATAAAGCATGAATTTGCCTCAACTCCCAATGACCCTCTCATCAAAGTACTCATGTAAGAACAGACGCCGGTGTTTTTTCTCTCCGTTTGAGCTCCATTTCCAACTGCTCAGCCATGTGTGTAGGTTACCTTTGTCTTGTACAGGGGATATGTATTTAAAAGCACAGTGTGTGTGTACTGATCAGATGATATATGTGGATATTCTAGTGATATATGAGGAGATGAAAGACAGACGGTAAAGAGGGCCGTTTGAGCACAGTGCAGGGCCCCAACTTGGCATAACTGTGCATGATGAGGAAAAACACATGTTCTCTACCCTTAGAACATGCTGCGAGTTTCAGGTTGTTCCCTCCATCATGATACAAATATACGGTTTACGCAGGGATGTGTTTTATGTCAATCACCTTGGCGTAGTCGAACATGCGCAGGTCGGTGTACATGCTAAGGGCTCTGGATTCATGACCGGTGCGTTTGTAGAGCTTGGCTGCCTCGTGGAATTTCCCCTGGTAGGCATAGACGTCTGCCAGGAACAGCTCATTGTCGTTCTCACCCCGCTTCTTCCTCTCCTGCAAATCAGTCAACACGATACACTGGCATGGGTGCGGATGGCAAACACTCACACGCATGTGCACACACAACGATAAGGCGCTTTGTTCACACCTTCAGTTGGTTCTGCATTGAAACCTTTTTCTTGTGAACTCAAATCTAACTCTTACAACATCACTCGAATAAAGTCAAATAAGAGTACTATCTACAGACCCTTTTAATATTCATATCAAAGAGCAAACATTGTGTAAAGGAAAAGAAAAACTGTCTTTAGTCACGAGCCAAAATGAAAAAAAAAAAATTGCCTCTGGACTTCATTCATATTATCAGGGAATTTAAAGTATGTGTGCTTTCTATTCATGTATGTCTGCTAGGTTGTGTGTGTGTGTGTGGACACAACCTTAAAAGGTCATGATACAAGATCCTGCTTTGTTGGACTACTTTTTTATAAGGTAACCTCAGGCAAAGCTGAGCAATAAAGTGTAGAATGTGATAAAAGTGTGATTGGCTAAGTGTCCCCTCAAGCCTCATCTAACCCCGCTTAGCTAGTGGCAAGAAAAACTCAACATAGAGAAGACAAAATATTACCTCAATGCTGTTGATGAGCTCCAGATAGCGCAGGTCCCTGATTCTGATGAAGGCCTGAAAAAATGTAAAGTCAAGAAATAATTCAAAAGGGATGGCTCTTCTGAACCAGATCTGTTTTCTGTTTTCTGTCGCAGTGTTGACATTTTAAAGGCGCGTCCTTCACATGTTTTAATTTGAATACTGCTTTATCTTTGGCTGCCTGGGTCATGTTGTAATCCTGTCAATGAAAGATGAGTGTTTGCTGGTGACCTCAGAGCACAAGTTAAAAGGTCTTTACATGTAGGGAAGTTACCGCTGTTTGTATGTTTTTAGTATTTCGTGACCGTAACAGAAGTAAACAGTGGGTCAGTGACACCAATCTTGATAACAGCAATCTGTGTGACCAACCTTCTTGGCGGTGTCGAAGTCGAGTCCCTCCAGGGCCTCTGTAGCCAAATCCCTCCAGTCACTGTCTGTCACACCTAGACAGGCAATCTGGTAGGCCTCCTTGAACATCTTCCTCTCCAGGTATTGGTACATTGGTGCAGACTGCAAAGAGCAATAACGCCACAATAAGAATAACAGCATACCTGACATTTAACACACACTTGATTCAATTATTAGAAAGTCAGTCGGCACCCCTTTTCACTCTTGAACTCGAGACATTTTCTAAAAGAATCAGGGCCTGATATTTCAAGGCACTTGCCCCTGACAGTGGGAGATAATCTGAGTCAAATGTGCTCGCAAAAAAGGAGCAAGGGGCAGAGGAGTGTGTGCAAGAGTAGAAGTATTCGATATTCTGTAATGATGACATTCTTATGACATGAAAAAGGACATATCTGTCATGTAAGCGCTGAACAATAAAGAGATAAAAACTGTGGAGCGCTGTTGACCAGGCCATGTTTGGTTCTGCCTCTTTCCTGAATGACTCCTTGGGTCAGACAGACAGGAGAAGGCCTGATTAGAAAAGTTCGCCATTTGCACTCAACTATGAAACCTGGAGAAGGACTGGGACCCGTATTTCAGACCTATCTCCCGCCCACTTCCCATATTGTAATTTCTCCTGAGAATCTCCCATAGTTTGCATGGTCCACGTTCATTCATGAATCGGATGAATTTGTCCAAAGTTGCCAGGTTTCCAGACAACTGAAGATTGTTCTGTGTTTCTGCTGAGCCTCACGGACACTGGATTGATACTTTTATTTTACAATTTGGGATGATTCAGGTCGGTTCAAGTTGTAAACTATATTTAAGCAGTGTTTGTTGATAGTCTCTCACCGTCTCAGAGTGATGTGTTCAGTGCAGCCTCAGATAAAAAAGTGCTGTATTGCACGCACAGATGTTCAGAGAGCTTCATACGGGAGAGTATGTAAAACATCTGAGGACTTTAACACTAATATGAGTGGACTAAATAAGTTCAAGGCATATCGTAGCTATTATTTTTTCATTACCAAAACAAAAAAGTGTGTAGCTTCACTTATACTTATTTGGATGAGCTATCTAAGTACAAATACTCTCATAATTAGCTCATATCCACCATACAAGGTAACCCCAAAACTGCCCGGCGTGCCCCGCAAAAATCACTCGGATTTTATAACCTAAATGTTGGCAGGTATGACTGGGGTATGCGTGTGTGAAAGGGGCTTATGAAAGTCATTTTTGTTTCAGCCTTACCACCACTACAACCAAAATCACTTAATCTGCACTAAAAAGGTCTTTCAAGACAGCACAGACCTGAGGCACCTCCACTGCAGACATGGAATAAACGTGGAGACAGAAGATCTTAGATCCATTGTAGCCGACCATGAAGCCTTGCATCTTTTGCTGATGTACAGGAAAGTTGCTAGCCTTGATGTTGAGGTAGCCGTTGCCAGAGAAGCACAGCATGTCCTCACACTGGGTGTTCCAGGCAACACTGTTAGCATTGGGCTCCTACAGAGAAGGCAGGAGAGAGCGGGGGCAGGTAATAGGGGAGAATGAGGAGGAGAATGAGGTGTAAGGGAGACTATGTGGCAAAGGCATGACATATCCAAAATTATACAAACATGCATGTCCTATTTAATATAACCTTAACGCTAACCTGGAAAAGCAGCTCTTTACTGTTGATGTCATACACAAGGAGAGTATTGTGCTCATCCACCACAGCCAGTTTGTTGCGGGAGGCGCTCATGTCCAAACATCGCACAGATGTAGACAGCTTCAGCAGCGTGATCGGAAACGGGTTGTCAACAAATATCTTCAGGATCTACATCACAAACAACAATCAAACAAGTAAAGCAAAATCAAATTACAGGATCAGTTATTTCAGGGTTAGTTTATGCAGGGTTTTTTTTTTCCCTCATACTCACAGCTCCATTCTTTAACCCGACTAGAAGGCCCTCCCTGCCTGGGGGACCACCGATCACTTTGATGTAGCGAATCAGAGACTCCATCACCCATTCTTTTTCCTTCACACTGGTGAAAGACATGCACTGGAGCCTCTTCTCCTGCAGGGCGGTGAAAAGTGCGGTAAGTATTACATCTAAGAAAGGACTCATGCAGTCTCTTAATCTCATCCTGTGTGCTATTTAAACGTTCTTGTAAAAGATCTAACAAATCTCAGCATGTTGTTTCTTTTAAAGGCTGCAAAGTGTGGCTTACTGTCAGACAGCAACGCCATAAAGGTAAACAATGATTTGACTTTGACACAGATGTACACAGCCCATACGATCACAGTCCATTTATATCACCTAAAAGTTGTCTGAGGATGAAACACGAGTATGCTTCCATGAGAGAGATCTGAAGCACCTCTGTCACACAGAGACAGATTTAAAGGGAAATAACCTCGATGTTATGGCTGCTCCTCCTCCCTACCACCCCCTGTCAAACAGACGCAGACGAGAAGCAGAGAGGAACCCCAAGGGACACCCACTGGTTCAACACACTAAGGTCCCTCCCCTTCATTCAACTGTCTTACTTTATCCAGTTTGAAGAGGGGTGGAAACAGGGAGAGGGGAAAAGAGCCTGCAGAGCACATGATCAGCCGGAGCCTTTTAGGAGCGAGGCAAAAACATCTGGGGAAGCGGGAATTCCAGGATAATATCCTTTTTCTCTGGATTGTTTGGGCAAGAACTGAGCAGCTAAACACCGTGCCTCCATATTGTGTGTCTTTTGAAAACCTGTCAAGTATACATCTGTGCTATTTATAGAATACAGAGTGTTACTGCAGGTCAGTCAAACTTATTCGGAAAATTGAAACTGAAGGAAATCTTCAGACGTGAATATCTTAGCAAAAACAAAAAAACTTTTAACAAGCAAATGTAACTATTTGTCTGACCTGACAGAGAATGATGTGCTGGGAGCAGACCACCAGCAAGTTGCATTCAAACTTCCTGCCGATCTTCTCTTTTATGCGATAGTGCATATCTGAGGAGTCATCTGAATAAAGCTCGTAGATGAGGATTTTCTCCGGCAGCTGGATGGCGAGACGGTTTCTGTAGATGGCAATCTTTTTCACCAGCTCACGACACTTGATCCTCACTTGAAAAAGAAGCAGATAAGTCAGGGGAGCAATGTTGGGTGTACGAGGAAATTCTCTCTTTCTGAATTGGCGACACTAAACTGTATGTCCAAATGTTATAAACTTAATAGCCAGTTGCTGAGGTAAAAAGTGCACCTTTTTGTTCGGTAATGAGGTGCTGGACGATTACATCAGTCATGCTGTCTCTGTAAGCATAGCGATCCTTGTAGAGGCCATGAACTGTACTGAAGATAAGTTGGTAGCAGGCAATAGTACCATCCTGGCAGCCCAGTACCTAGATAAGAGATAACAATGTAGCAGTACATCCTATTAACACCTCTAAGAAAAGACTGTGAGAGTGGGAAAATGTTCCTGTTGTCAAAGCATCTACACAGTGCAGCTGAGACAATCTGCCAATTCTTCCATACATCACCACTTTGAGTTAAGTATGGCAGGGGGCCGCTAAGGTGTTACTGTATGCATATATGTGCTATGATAACAAGAAAATATATTAAATCCTGTCCGACTGCAGGTCTTGACTTTTTAGTCTTTTGCCTCACCTTTTCCCAAACACACATATATGACGTTGTCTTGACAATATATGGACCCACCACAAAGTTGGAGTCAGGCTTAACCCGGCATGTCCACACCCAGGCATTCTGCTCTCCGATAGTTCCAAGCCGTACTCCATCTTTAGTGTAGAGGGAGGCCTGTTTATCAGAGCCGCCCATGACTATATACTCCCCCTTGGAGAAATAGCTGACGCAACATGGGTCATAGGTGAGGGTCCTGTCTTTTCCAATCTGAAAGAGACAAAGAGAGAAGAAGACATTAAACTGAGAATAAAAAGAGCATTCCTCATATTTATTGCCCAGAGGCCCGGGCCAATACTTCCCACTGTCTGGGGCTTAAACACATCAAAGTCCTCGGCACATTCAACTATCCCTTTGAGTGTTTGATGAAAAGAAAGGCTCTCTCTGATTTAAATGGCCTCTATTGTATAAATGTTCAAAGTGCATTTGCACAACACCATATTAATTCCCGAACTCAGCGCATCTGTTTCTCCTCACTCAGCTGTCTGACAATACAAAGTTATTTTCTTTCATTGCAAACAATCCCTGGTGTTGTAATCAAAAGTGAATGTTCACTGGTGGAGCTGAATAGACCAATGACAATATATGAGCCTAAGGCACAACGGCAGAGTAATGAACAGTGCATATTTGTCCATAATTACGGTATCGCCTACAGGGAATTTGGAGGGAAGGAGGGACAGTGAAAGGGCCATTTAGACATAGCAGGATCACTTCCAATGTACTGTTATGGTTTCATTAGAGCCTGACAGACTGATTACAACAGGAAACTCAGGTCTTAAAACCACTGAAGTGTTTGCAATATCATATATTTGGGGCAGCTAGACTGTGTCAAGTGTTCTTGTTTTTATTCCTACGGAGATTCGTATCACACACAGTGTAGTGAGCTGACAGTGTTTCAAAACGCTATTAGTGCTCTGGTATTTACCAGGCAAGTTAATGAGACAATCTTTATTTAGTCGCCGAAATGCCCTTTTCACAGTTTGGAAAGGCAGACGAGTTTATTTTATAGGAACATTTTCCAGAAGAACTGCTCATTTTATGTGTATGTGTACCAACAAAGCCAAGTTACTTTGTTAGTATCTTTACTTTGTTTTCAAGTAAAAAGCATCACAGATTAAGATACGGTTTTCTATCACAGAGATGTGCAAGAATTACCTGCTTTCCGCTAAGCTGATAGAATGACAGTTTCTGACCCCAGTCTGCCACAGCCAGAATGTCATTGTGCTCATCTCTGTGAAAACACAAAAATATTGATTTCAGATGTAAGTACCTCTGTAAACATATAGAACTTCAGCTGCTTCGGTTGTTGATGTAGAAATGATATCAAAACTGAGAGATTCATTTTCAGCTGAGGGAAACATGTTGGACGTCCTTTTTGTGATTTTAAGCATAGCTTTGCTTGTTGTACTCCTGTACACTGTAAACTGCATGAAAGGACAGAGACTGCATGCATTAACCTTTCTTACTGTCAGCAGCAGTATGTCTAGGTATGTATGCGTTTTAGCCTTTGGGCTGAGAAGGTCATGCCCTCGTCGAGCATCCATAAGCAATAAAAATAAATCCTCAACTGGGAAACTATTACCTGATGGACCTAATGCTTTGCCCCCCCCCCCCCCCCCCCCCCTCTCACTTGATCAACAACATTACATGAAGCAACTCAATAATGCTGTATATGGGGGAACATATAATTTCTCATCACTGCCCCCCTTCCTAAAGCTAGATTTTAAAGCTACTTTTGTCTGTCCTTTTCCCCCATATAACCTATCCAGTAGTCCTGTGAGTGGTCTAGGGCTGAGCTTCCTGCTTTGGCTGTAGGGGGCATCAAACTAGGGCGACAGCTTCTTCATCTTGTCATAATCCTCTTCCTCACTAAAAATGACTGGTTCCCTACTGCCCCCTCTTGGCCTTACACAGACAAGTCAAAAGGCAACACACTCTCATTCATAAACATTACTTAAAGTGTTTCTTCATGTATAGACAGCCCACAGGGAGCATATGTTCATTAAATTGAGTCGGCTGGTATAGGATTCACGATTACTTACTTGGATGGGTTCCAGGCTATAGACCATATAGGAGAGGAGGAGCCCCCTGGACGCTCAATCTTCACCTTTTCCTCTCCATTCTTGTTGCGAATACTCACCACTCCATTCATCATGCCAAGAGCAAGGTACTGGCCATCGTTTGTCCACCTTCAAACAAATGAAACCACAAATTTTATCAAAGTAAAAGTTATCAATGTTGCAAATGGTATGAAATAACAAAAATGAAAATTTAACTTACCCACAACATGTTATTTTGCTGCTCACTTTATGTTTATTCACAGATTTTTGCTCTGGAGACCACAGACCTGAGAACAGAAAGCATGTTGCTTGTCTCTTTTTAAAAAAATTTAAATTGTATATGAGTTTTGAAATTTATCCCTAATAATAAAGGTGAAATATAGACTGATACTCTTAGTTTGCTCACCAAAGTCACCAGAAGAACAGGACGCAAGTTGGTGAGTGACGGGGTTGTAAGCAACACACTGGATTGAGTCATTGTGACTACAGATGATAAAGAAAATGGGTTGGGGATCGCACACCATGAAAGACAACAATAAGTGTTAAGCTTGCGTAACACTTACGTGTATTTCAAAATACCCTCCAGTTTAGCAGTCCAGATGATGATGCTTTTGTCAGCCGACCCTGATGCAAACCTTTTTCCTGCAGAGTGCAGTGGTTAGTATATGAGCAACAGAAACATGTAATTGTATAAATGGAAAACCTGCTGCATACCATCTTTTGCATACGCGACACAGTACACTATATCTTTGTGTCCTTTTAAAGGGTTGACAATCGTCCCGTCTGCTGTTTCGTACACCTGTAACAAATTAACATTGGATCAATATCATTATGAAGAATGTACTCTTATCATTTTTGCCTTGACCTAAGTAAACAGCTAAACCTTACCAAGACACGAAGGCCTGCAGCAACGATAACTTGAGTTCCATCTGGCTTGAATGCAATGTCATAAACACTGTAAATAAGAACAATAGTTGTTATGCACAAAGCTGGTCCCCCTTTTCTCTTTGAGGCAATCTCTGACAATCCGACCTCACTAACTCCTGATCCCTCGCATCTTTAGGCTGGTCTTCAAAGGATCCTGACAAGCTCTCTCCACTCTTTGTCAAACTGCGGCCAAGTTCCACTCAATAATATTAGCTATCACTTGTCTCTTCCTTTCAGTCAATCAATCAATCAGTCTTTATTTGTATAGCACTTTTTATACACAAACAAAAACTTAAAAAGGACTTGATTTCCAGGAAACAGGAGTGTGCGTACTGAGGAAACGTCATTTTCAAACTCAAGATAAGGAAACACTTAAGGTTTAGGTTAAAATCTAAAAACAAAGCATAGAATGAAATTTAAGAAATAATAAATAAAATGAAATAAAACAACAGTAAAAGATACAAAATAAGAGCACCAAAATAGCTCAATAAAAGACGATCCTGTCATTAAATCTAGAAGAGATAAATGCTAAAACACAAAGTTAATGATATAAAATTAGTCATACACATTTCTTTCCAAGTTATAAATTAAATCTGTTTGTATTTTGAAACGGATCAGAGAAAAAAGTATAAACTGTCGCTCTTGAAAAACGTTACAGCAAAATACTTTAGCACAAGGTTCTTAGATGATGTCTGCAGTGATTTTTAACAAATAACTCAGTCCACAAAGCTGACAGCTCTGCAACGCACACACAAACACAAGAGGGCTTTATTAAAGGAAATGTGTTTTGGAAATTAAATGGCAGTTGCAATCATTTGGAGTTCCCTGCCCTGGCGGGAGTGGAACTCTGTATAACCCTACCGGCTTCGTTCCCTCCTTGCAGTTATTAATCTGTGCTAAATACATAAAATGAACAAATAAACAAATAAATACATTTGCACCATTTTGCATTGTTTTGCAGGAAGTAGACCATACAGGAAACCGTGTAACTGGCATACAAAGTGTTTACTTTTGATTCGACTGTCTTATATATCGGGCTGCCAGTAACTGTAGATAAAACTGTAATAACTGTAATATGCAGCAACTCAGCGATAGGAGGCTAGCTTAACATTACCGTTAGCTTTGACCGTGCTTTAACACGTATAACATTTAAAGGAGATATGCTTCAACATTAAAAGAGGTCCCTATTTTCATCAAATCCAATATTCAACAGATGTTCCACGCTTTGGTATTTCCGTCATTTATGGACGAACTGTGAACCACTGTTATGCTAATCCTAGCTAACGTTGATGGCTAACACTAGTTTACATAGCAACCGCCGTTGCTAACCACCTCGCGTTACATCCCTGCACAGCATAGATCGTAAACAAAAGCATGTAGAAGCTTACCACTGTTCCCGAACAGTATCTCTCCATGCCAAAACGGCTCTCATGTTCACCGTCGAATGGGATGAGTAGATGATTTTAAACAACAGGTTGTTGCTGCTTTCAGTCCCTTTTTTTATACTGATCCCCCGTTTTAACGGCTCGTTCCTACTGCGCAGACTCGGAGCAGTTCGACACTTCCTGTATTCAGAGGCAGCATGTTTGTATCTCTGTTGACACTCGAAAGTAACTGCGAATGAAGCGTCGAAAAACTGATTTTTCTTGCAAGACTGAGGAAGTTTGACAAGTATTGTGGTATGATGCTCGATTAAAGTAATAGTAGATAGGCTATAGGCTATATTGTTTAAGTTAAAGATAATAGACAGCATGAATGGCTGCTGATAATGGAGTAAAACTTAAGCAGCTCGACACAGATCCGAAGATCATCAGCCTCTATGATGACTCCTCTGCTTTCGCACCCACATCTGTGTCAGCCGGGCTCAAAAGCAACACATTTTCTGATCTGCATCCCTCCACTTGTGACATCCAGCTGGAGACAGATGGTGATATAAATAACCAGAGTTGCAAGGGCATGGATGATTCATGCCATATTTCCACAATGCCCCCTGGCTGGATCAGAGAAGTGAAGCAGAGGAAAGGAGGAAAGACAGCAGGGAGGCTGGACGTCTACATTACAAGGTAAGACAGTCTTTGTCAAATCACAAGTCATTTCATGATTAAGCACACAGATTCAGGTGGATCAGTGACTCATGGACATTTTTTGTTGCTGTTGTCCCCAAGTCCCCAAGGGTTGAAGTTCCGGTCAAAAGCATCCCTGCATGCTTTTCTGCTGAAAAATGGAGAATGTAATATAGACATGAACGTTTTTGAATTCTCTGCGATGAAAGATAAAGATGTCATCATGTCCCAAGTGGATCAAAAAAGAAGAAAGGCAAAGCATGCAGGTGAAAATCAGGAGACCAAGCAGGAGGACCAACCTCCAAGTGATTCAGAAACAGCCCCACCCTTCATCAGACACACTGAAGAGGATAAGGTGCAAAGCATAAAGGATAATAATGATAGCAGTTTGATCAAACAGTTAACACAGCATATTGATACAACCACTGACATTGTTGGATCTGCTGTAAATTCAAACACAGAGGAGGATTTAAGACCACACAGCAGCCTTCTAAAGGCAGGTTTGCTGAGAAAGAAGCTGCTCAGGTTATCTTCTCCCAGTAATCAACAAAACACTTCCATTACTCACAAGGACAATCAGAGAGACTCTCAGCCTTCAGTCCCAACCCTCACTGTTGAGCCTACCACTGAGAGTGAGAACAAGGGTGATGATGAGCAAGGAGAAGAGGAGATACAGATTCACAGTGAAGGTGACAACAAGCCTAATCCTGAACCTGAGGGTGATGCTGACAGTCAACAAGATGTGCGAGAGGAGGTGTTATTACCTGACATCAGTGGTGAGAGATGCGCACCAGTGAGAGAATCCCAGAATAGTAAGTATGATCTACACCATTTGATAGCTGATGAAATCTGCAGTTTCAGTCAGTTTACTCTGGATCTACCATTTTTTAAACACATTTTTGAATAACATATAATTGTAGCTTCATAAACTGTGCAGGACAACTTACATTTTGATACAATTTTGCTTTTAACGTGTTGGTTTTATATGCAGTCTCCAACTTCCTTCATAATTTTCCGTTTGAAGTATAGAAAATGCAAAACAACCAGATAAAGAAAGCAATATGAGGTCCACTGATGAGAAAAAAGCAGGGATGCAGATCTGAGATGGAATATAACAGCGAAAAAACTGTCATTTGTTACAGATAATATGATGTGCATTTAAGATGTTGAAGCCATTTCATACATCTTTACTGTGTAATGCAGAACATTTATTTATCCATCTCTAGTTTCAGACTCAGACAAAAATGCATAAGTAATAAGGGTTATTTATCCTACTCATATAAAGCAGATTGAACTGCTCTCCGTGTGAATAGTGCTCTGTAAATGACCTTGGCTTGCTTTAGAAATTTTTTGGACACAAACAGAAAAAAAATATTTTTATTTTGTCGTTCTCTTAAGAACTACTCTGTTTTAGTGGGTTTAGTACTCCCCATGCCCCTCCACTGCTTATGTACCATAAGTTTTACTTTCTTTCACACACATAAATATTTCTTGTCCACCTAGAGTCCAAGAGCTCAGACGACAAACGGAAAACCAGCCCTTATTTCAGCCGGAATCCCCTCAGAGATGGTAATGTTAAAATGACAGGAAAACTTTTTTTTCTATTCCTAAGTGAGACATAAAGTATAACTCCATATTTACTGTATGAAATAAAGTTGTGTGGGGCCTTAGCAGAGATTTACATTGTTTCTCCTCAGGCCTTAGCCCACCCAGGAGGAAGGTCTTTAAGAAGTGGACCCCCCCTCGCTCTCCTTTCAATCTTGTGCAGGAAACTCTTTTTCACGACCCCTGGAAGCTCCTGGTGGCTACGATTTTTCTGAACAAGACCAGCGGTACACAAGCACAATTTATTCCAGTGACTATCTGCTAGATTTTAAGTTAAACATTTTCTCCCTTTTAAATTCATTTAAATCTCATCCTCCAGGAAAAATGGCTATCCCGGTGCTGTGGCAATTCTTTGAGCGTTATCCTTCTGCAGAGGTAGCGCGGACAGCTGACTGGAAGCCCATGTCTGAGATGATGAAACCTCTAGGCCTCTATGAGCTGAGAGCCAAAATACTCATCCGGTTCTCAGGTAAATGTGCTGTATGAAGTGCTGCAGTTCCAGTTTAAAAACAGGGTAATTGTGTTCAAGTAAAATTGCACGATTTAATCAGAACATAAGAACAATACAAGAAGTCTGAAAAACTCATTTTTTCTGCTTGTATAGATGAGTATTTAACCAAACAGTGGCGCTATCCCATCGAGCTGCATGGTATTGGGAAGTATGGCAACGACTCCTACAGGATATTCTGTGTTGAAGAGTGGAGACAGGTAAGTGTGAGTGTTAAAGTGTGTTGATTTCTTTTGTAAATGGAATAACCTTTTATTTTTTCATTTTTCTACATCCTAGGTGACACCTGAGGACCACAAGTTGAACAAATACCATTCTTGGCTGTGGGAGAATCATGAAAAGCTTAAAATATAAAAATACAAACACCAGGATCTATAAAGAACACTTCCTGTAAAAGATAATCAGTGTAACACATAGTACCTTGGAAGTTAGTTTCAAGTTTTATGATGAACTGTCTGTGTTTAGCCTGGATCGCTCTAAAATTATGCTGTGTTCTTCCAAATATACCAGTGTTAGCCTCATTCAGGGAGTTTTATACGTTTAATAAAATCTTTTAAGTGGTTTAAAGTTGAAATCGTTCATGAGAAGATTATTCAGTTGGATTGACTTGACGTCTTGTCCCAGTCTGGAGACATCTTCTGACAGTATCTGGTTGGTCCTTGTCACAGGCTGATAATCTTTCCTTTTGAATGCACTGATGCATGCCTTGCCGCCATAAGCTGCAGCTTTTTCTTTTGTGGGGGGGTAACCTGATCCCCAAGGCAACTGTTGCCACCGCAAAACACTCAGTGAACGCACAGGCATGTCACAGTTTAATCTCTAACTAGCACAAGTTCGGTTATTTTGCTGTATTTGTATTATCATTGGTAATATTTACTGCCAATTGAGCTGCAACTTTAAGAAGCTCATTAATTGTGATATTTGGACATTTTCCACAAGGACGGGATTTTTATGGTGGAAGCAGCAAAGAAACAGCTTGAGTTACAAAATGAAACTTCGTAAGTGAACAGTTTGTTTTTCTATTTATTGTCTGTTTTAGTGTTACTGAAAAACATGCAAAACACGTGCTGTGATTGATTCTATCTCATTACTACTACAGCAGCCATCTCTATAGCTTCCACACCAGTGTATATTCCTCAAAACACACCTCCTGTCAGGAGGGGTCCCAGCCCGGTGGTCCCGCCCAGGACTTTTCCCATCATCTCAGACTCTGCTCGGCTGTGGACAAGCACTCAGGTGAGCAGAGATTCACTTGTACTTCATTCAACACTGACTGACTGTTTCCCTGTGTTTGTTTAAATAAATAGAAAATACTGTGAATATTTCCCCCCCAGCATATTCCAAGACTGAATCCCTTACATCCTCCTTTGGTTGTTAAACGCACTGTTAGTCTGGAGACACCAGCTGTTCACCACCACAACCACCAGAGGACTCTCATCATGCAGAGGAGAGAGCATTACAGGTAGAAACCTGCAGTACCTCCCTGTAATATCATTGCATCAGTTAGAGCTGCAGATACCACTGGTGTCTATGCTATGAGTTCTGGGTTCAAAATTACTGACATGTTGTCTTTTTTCGTCTCAGATATCATCAGGTGTGGCGGAAACCTTTTTATGGGACTAGTGTTGAGAGAGAAGAATACAGGTCGAACAATTAACACATAAACTTCATCTTTCTAATGTTACATGATTTCTTTTATTTTTAAAATCTTAAATGTGGATTGTATGACACACTTTGCCCAGTAACCAGTTCTTATCTTTTTTGGTGGTCATGCCATCACAGGAAGGAGTTGCGGGAGCACCTAAAGAAGCAGATAGAGGAGAAACGTGTGGCACTTAAGTTGCAGCTGATCAGTACAGTGAAGGAAGCAGAGTATGTAAAAGAAAGGGACTGCCTCGCCCTGTCCGGCGAAAGAGAGCAGAGGCTCCAGCACAGAAAAGCAATGACCGCATACAGAGATGAGAACAAGCGGGTAAGCTCCCTCACACTCATCCCCCCTGTTTCTGCTTTTGTGTTTGTGTTCTTTTCCAATGACGTCCTGAAAAAGCTTCGACATGCTGCTCTCGGGTTACAGTGTAGGGAGTGTTTGAGGTTTTACTCTCTTGTCTCTGTCTGTGTTCGCATGTGTGCGTGCAGCTAATGGAGCAGAGCTGGAGGGACAGAGCACTCACACGCTCCCGGGAGGCCCTGAAGGAGCGAGAGCTGCTGTGTCTTAACCCCATTAACTGGAGTGGAACACTGACATAGGCTGAACTTTCGCATCTCTGTCGAGCACTTGGGCATGCACAAATGTCAAAAAAATGTATGAAAATAAAAATGATATGCAACAGACTAAATCAGTCAACAATTTACAAATGTAGTTCAACTTTAAAGTTAATTATCCATCAAAGGAACAAAAGAGGGACATTTTTATGATTTATTTCAAGCTTGGAAGACTGTATTATTTTGCTGTATCTCTAGTACAATATCTTTTTCAGTCTTTCATGCCTTTTGAGAGGATACGATGGTGTGTTGTGTCAGAAGCTGGAAAGAGTGTGAGGAATGGTGTGCATCAAAGGGCTATAATCAAACCCCAAATTGTCTTAAATTCGGCAGGGAATTTATTCTAGAAACCAATGCTAGTGATGCTGCTGTCTGCGTGCGTGCATCACAGGCTGTTTTTGTTATTATTCTGTTAGAAAAATGATAGAATAGTAGAATAATAGAATAGCGATAGAACCTTCCAAAGTAATCATTGTTGTATATTTAGGACCACAATAAAGAAAAAGAAGTCCACAGGATTTTTTGTGTCATTTTAGTTGAAATGTGTGACTGCTGATATGCTGTTTACATCTCTGTGTGGCTTGGAACCTTTTTCATATCACGGCCCATCATTTATTTGGCATTTGAGTCAAAGACTACCATTTGATGATATTTAGCCTTTCAGACCCAAAATTAGAATATATTATAATCCTAAGTGGATATCAATTATTAATTTTTCCCCTAATATATCACAACTCACTATACTGACTTTTGATCAAAGCTTTTAATGTAAACCATTTCTATATATCATTTCTCTTGAGGTCAGGGGTTCAAGCCGAAGGTTTCAAACCTTACCCAGGTCAAAGTGAATTTTTAAGTCTAGTGTCTACAAAGGACAGTAAAACAGGAAACAAATGGGTTGCTTCTGTGTGTCCATGTGGCTCAGAGGATAAGGAGACTGACTGGCACTCTGGAGGTTGTGGGTTCAAGCCTCACCTTACCCGGGTCAAGGTGAATTTTGAAGTCTTGTGTCTACAAAGGACAGTCAAATAGGAGAAAACCAGATTTCTCCTGTGTGTCCACGTGGCTCAGAGGATAAGGAGACCGGCTGGCACTCCGGAGGTTGCAGGTTCAAGCCTTACCTTATCCCTGACAAATTTTAAAGTCCAGGAGCCAAAGTACCAAGATAAAAGGGCGCGAAGCTCATCCCAAAGTGCGGACGGTATCCGGTGGCGCTGGGGGTATGCAACTGACACCCAAATGCAATGTGTCAAGCGGGCAGCCCTAGTTCGATACCCACTCGACACGCAGGAGATCCTGAAGCAAATCCTGGGGAACCAGGCCCGGGGGGAGGTTTCCCCCCCGGTGTTTCCAGAGAGGTAAAACAGGGAGGTTATCTGGCAGGGAGTCAGAGGTGGCTGAAATTTTGAAGAAAGATGACAAACAAGAAAGAAAGAAAAGTAGTAGGCTATAAGACTATAATAGTCAGTCATCTTTAATATGTGACATATTAGATGACTATTGATGACTATAATATAGTCAGTCATCTATAATAATATATTATAGTCTAGATGACTATAATAAAGTCATCTTGATGACTAATACAGTCTATGATTATATTATATCAAAGTCATCATGATGATAATATAGACTCTATTAAAGTCATCATGACTAGATGTCATCTATATTATAATACAGATGACTATTAGTTGATATTATAGTCTTCTTGTAATCATATAGAAGACTATAATAGACTAAGATGATATTTAGATGACTAGTCTTATAGTCAACTTTCTTATATAGACGACTATAGTCGTAGTCTACTACTAATAGTAATCTATAATAGTCTTCTATATTATAGTCATCTTTCTTCTGACTATAAAAGTTATGATAGACTATTTCATAGTCATCAGTCACTAAACTTTTCTAGTTTTCTGTCATCTTTCTTCAAAATTTCAGCCACCTCTGACTTCCTGCCTGATAACACCCTCATTTTACCTCTCTGGAAACACCGGGGGGAACCCCCACCCCCCGGGCCTGGTTCCCCAGGATTTGCTTCAGGATCTCCTGCGTGTCGAGTGGGTATCGAACTAGGGCTGCCCGCCTGACCAGCATTTGGTATTTGGGTGTCAGTTGCATACCCCCAGCGCCACCGGATACCGTCCGCACTTGGGGATGAGCTTCGCGCCCTTTTATTTTGGAACTTTGGCTCTTCGACTTTTAAAATTGGTCCGCGACAAGGTTTGAACCTGCAACCTCCGGAGTCCCAGTCAGTCTCCTTATCCTCTGAGCTATGTGGACCTGCAGGAGTTTTCTGGTTTTCTCCTATTTAACTGACCTATTTTACACACTAGACTTTAAAATTCACCTTGACCTGGGTAAGGTAAGGCTTGAACCCACAACCCCTGGAGTGGCAGTCAGTCACCATATCCTCTGAGCCACATGGACACACAGGAGAAATCTGGTTTTCTCCTATTTGACTGTCCTTTGTAGACACAAGACTTCAAAATTCACCTTGACCCGGGTAAGGTGAGGCTTGAACCTGCAACCTCCGGAGTGCCAGTCAGTCTCCTTATCCTCTGAGCCGCATGGACACACAGAAGCAACCCATTTGTTTCCTGTTTTACTGTCCTTTATAGACACTAGACTTTAAAATTCACTTCACCCAGGATGAGGCTTCAAACCACAACCTCAGGAGTCCCAGTCAGTCTTCTTATCTTCTGAGCCACAGAGACACAATCTAAACCTGGTTAGGAACACTTTTTACCCTTTTTTATTTTAACACTAGCTGACAATAATTCACAGAGTACCGGATAAGGATCCACAACCTCAGGAGGAGACAGACGACTAAATCTTCGACCCACATGGACCACATGATCCTCATGAAGCCCAAAATTAACCTCAGGATTCCTTCATGTACCATCAATTTTAGTCCACTTCATAGCTCATCAAGAACTTTCCAGAGGAGCCTTAATCTTTGACATAAATAAGTAAAAAAAAAACATCAATGTGTCAGACTTTTTATTGCAAAGCAAACATTTATATTGTCTGTTGAATATGCAGAAAAATCTCCTGACAAGGAAAAAAAAAGACAGACAGCTAAGCGGTGCCTCCATGACATGATGCTACGATATATGCCAAAATGAGATTAAAACCAATTAAAAAAAATGCATGACAGTCCACAACAAATAACAGAAAATATGATCCAACATCTTTCCAATAAATATTGCTTTCAAAATAAATTATAGGCAACAGAAAATAGCTGCAATCATCAGATAAAAGCTGGTATTGACCTTAGCACATTCCCTCACAAAATCATGATGTGGTCAAAGTGGTTTCATGCCAAAGACGGTAAATAAATACATATCGTATAGTACCTTTAATTTCAAATCCTATTTCCATGCATTATTACTAAAAAGAATCATTCAGTAAGTTGGGAGGTAATAACTTATTCAGTGATCATGAATAACCAGTGTGTCAAAACAAGAACATCCCAGAGTTATGATCGAAGTTCCCTTATCTGTTCCTATGCCCCTTGTTAGAAGCTTAGGTCTCTCAGTAACCTCACACAGCCAACACCTGTCAGTCCATGGCATTTGCCTCAAAACAGTGATACAACAAAAAAACCTGATGGACACGATGACTGTAGTTTTTGATTGTGTGTCAGGAAATGACATCATTCTTCAACATCAGCGCCAAAAGAGACATCAAAATGCATAATAAGTTTTAACAATCAGTGATGGTCTTCATGTCACCCTTTGTGCCCAACAAAGTTGAGGTAGGGTATTCAGTTCAGTTTCTTTACATCAGTGCAGTGGTGCTTTGATATTCCTCTTCATGGCTTTATAGCCTTCAAGTTCTCACTTTTCCAGCATTATCCTAAAACACAAATGAGCCAAAGCCCTTTCAAGTAACTCCCCAATCCCCCCCCACAAATCCCTGAAAATCTAGCATTGTAGGAATATGTTCTTGCCCTTTTGAGAGGCTGGTTTTTGGACGTCTTTTCCCAAAACTGTGACCCATGATGACCTAGCGTCCTTTTAGAAATCCATCAAGCATATAGTCTCCCTTTTCTGTCAGCCAGTATCCTGCCATTGCAGCCACACCGCCGATAAAAATGGCTGTGAAAACCATATCACCTTTTGCAGCTAACGTAGCAAGGGCACAGATAACAACGCCGAAGAACATCTGTTGCAGGACAAGGACCTCGTCGTCTGTCATGTCATCAAATAGACCTTTTTCTGGATCAACTGAGGAGGTAGAGGAAAACAGACTTAAATGATAGGTCTGAGTCACATATATTTGTGTAATCCCTTTGAGAAATACTAACCAGGAGGCTTATTCTCCACACAAATGCTATCTCTTCGGATGAATCCTTCAGCACAGTCACAGTGGAAGGAGCCCTCCTCATTGATACAGGCTTCATTGAGACCCGGGCATGCTATTGCACGTTCGCTACATTCATCTACATCTGTGGGAGCGAGTGAGGAAAAAGAAAATCAGAGAAAGGTGCAGAAGTGTTGCAGAGAAGTTCAGCTGATTAGTGGTGCAGTCTTACCAAGACACTTCGCTCCTTTCAATTTGTACCCGCGTGCACATTTCTTACAGCGGGCAGGACCACTTCCCATGCAGCCGACACATGCCTGATCACAGCCTGGATACAAGGAAAAGAAAGTGAGTTATAACCTGTTATAAAATCAAAACATTCTGAAGACTGGTCTGGGTATTAATCTGGCATCAGCATTCAAACAGCAGCAGCAGCAACAGAGAGCCTACCTCTGCATTCATATGAACCATCAGTGTTGTGACAGTAGGTGTTGGAGGCACACCGGGCCAGCTCAGTGCCGCACTCGTCAATGTCTGAAAAACAGACAGGTTCAGTCAAGAAAACAGATGAAAAAAAAAGGACAAGACAAGAAACCAGAAACTGGAACGGAGTCAGTGACATGTTACCATATGACCTCTGAAGTCACACTCACCCACGCACTTGTTGTCATGGAGGATCCAGCCGGGTTTGCAGTCAAGGCATTTGTAGTCCTGAGGCCCTGAGCATTTCTTGCATGAGTGATAGCAAGCTAGGATGACAAACGAAAGATGGTGACGAGATCAGTTTTTGATTACTAGAGAGAAGTTCTGAAACCTGTAGAAGGTTAAACATGCACCTGCACAGGCTCCTGCGCTAACATTGGAGCTTTTCTCTCTGTAGTATCCATCAGCACAGCTCTGACACAGGCTTCCTGAGTACCCGGGATCACAGACGCACTCTCCATCTCCAAGGCGTGTCCCCTCTCCTTCACAGCGGCCCAGACCTCCACACACACCACCAGGGCCAGATGGACACTCTGTGTTGGATAAATAAGTCATTAATTTACTCAAACTGTTCAAAAACAGTGCTCTGAGTTAGCAATAACAACATCTTTATTACATCTCCCGGGGAAGCGTCTTTTTAATGTTGCATGTTTTTCATACCTTTGCAGTCAGGTCCGAAGTGTCCAGGTGGACAACAGAGTCTCAGCTGCTCTATGCACAGCCACTCAAACAAGTCTGGGGCTTCTTGCTGCCTACAGAACATACAAGGACGCATACGCACACATTAGCAAAACATTAAACAGCAGCTTTGGCCAATACAGTATCAGTCTTAGGATGATTAAAACTTCTTTATAAACAGGGTATCACAACTACCTGTGGAACCACCATGTCTCCACTTGATCCTCAATCTGCTCCAGCAGTCTGTTACATTCAAAATCTGTTTTCTCACAAGCAGCTTCTACAATCTCAAGGAGCCGAGTTTCACTGTAAAGAGAAGCAGCCATTAGATATTTAAAAAGCACTAAAAAAGAGAGACCGTCCCACCCCCACAGCCCACCTAAGATAGGCTGGAATCTTGTTCTGGTGCACTGTGGTTTCACTCCCCTGAGTGGACTGTATCATTTAAAATAGACTCTTACATAATTATTCATATAGTAGCTTTGCACACATGTTCAAGGAGGAGCTTCAGAAACTGGTGAACATTTACAATATGCATTAACTTACAAATTTTTAAAGTACCAAACCAAGCAGTAATTGCACTTCACCATTTTTCACTCAGCTCAATTGAGTGTATTTTTTTAAATCCTCTTACCTGCGTGCATACTTGGCCAACTTTTCTTCCTCCCAAGCAGTGTTACCTCCCCCAAAGTTCTTGTTTGCCGTTTTCTCCAAGCCCTGCAAGTATTTAAAGAAAAACCTTAGATTCAGCTCTACATAATAACTTGTCTCACAGTAGGAAACCTGGTTAACTCTACTACCTTGATGAAACTCTCGGTGAGTTTTCGGCAGGTCTGGCATGGTGCGGTCTGAACTCTCACCACAGAGAGCTCTGAGAAAAGCACCAGGGCAGGCAGGAATGGCCAGGCCCACCACATTATCCTTCAAAGTAAACACAAGCACAATAATAATTATAATGAATTTATTTACACAGCATCTTTCTAAAAGATATAATGAAATACCTAACGAATAACAATTACATCAAACAGCCTTAGAACAAGGCAGATAACAGCAATAAAAAGGCAAAAATCAGTTAAACAATTTTACCGAATAACAAAAACAATGATAAGTAAGATTGGATATTGCATTTGCTAATGCTGAAATAAAGTGCATTACAATATTCAAGTCTGGAAAAATAAACACATGGATGACTTTCTGAAAGTAGGCTGGGGACAGGAAAGGCCTTTATACATTATTAGATTGAACAACCAGCCTGGAGGGCAGATTACCAGAGTAGCTAGAAAAAGGGGTACAGTTTACAGTAAGTAATGGCAACTTTGGATTTGGAGCCATTCGGCTTAAAAAAATGTTTAAACATCCAATTCTTCATATCAGCAGACAGACCATAATATCAGAAACATCAGTGGAGCCAAGCTTTTAAAGAGTATAGCACTGAGTATCATCTGCATAGCAATCAAAGTCTGTACAGTGCATATGCAGGATTTGCCCTGGGGGAAGCACACAGTGAATACAAGGGGACTTTAGGGGACCCCACAAGAATAAGGAACATATGAGGAGGAGGCATTTCCACGAATAACTGAAAATAAAACTAGCTGACAGTAGGGCTGGGCGATAAAACGATAACAATATATATCGAAAAATAATTTCCCTTAAGATCTATATAAAACATGGTCAACATGCTTTTCGATAGTTCTGCCATGTTTCGGTAAACTATACGAAAACTATACGAAGCCAATGAAAAGGGGAGTTGCACTGTTGATGAGAAAAACAGAAAATAAGTGCTACCCCCGGCAGAACGGTAGATGAAGGCTCAACAGATGATGACATCGTCGACAACACTGGCACGAAAAAGGTCTGTGCTGTGGAGGTATTTTGTTTTTTTGAGGTCGGACATGAAGCAGAGTAATGTACACTGCAAATTATGTTGAGTACATGTTCTCGCAAAGTCAGGGAATACCTCAAATCTTTTTTACCATTGAAGCAGTGCCAGGCAAAGCGCAATGCAAAAGGTTACAAACCCCGGGCGGAGCAAGGAGCCCATGGTTCCCGTGCAGCTGAATGAGCAACGCCTTATGATAAAACGTAGAAAGAGACATGAAGACCTCACAGATGCAGTCGCTTCTTAAGACATGCCACCAATAAGCACTGTTTAATTTCTTTTTTTATAACGGGGTATAGTGCTGGGCGATAGGACGATAGATATCGTGGGCACGATAGAAAATGTCTATCGTGCCATTTTTATTTTTATCGTTTCGGGCGATAGGCTGTATTTTATCCATAGGGCTTGTGCCATCAGATGATTCACAGTAGCAACAACAATAATTGCACATTCATTAAGTGTATTTGGTGTCGAACGGGAAAGAAAACAATATTTTCTTACATAGAAAAGGATGCGTTGACATGTAGGCTTGCATTTCTCTTTCGATTTTGCGACATGACGCCGCTTTACGTGCCCTCTTTGTGTCCAGCGTCTCCCGCCGTTGCGGGTTACCTGAGTTACACACGTGAGGGGATCACTGTAAGCAGTGCTTAATTTGTGCCGGAGCAAGTCGGAGCGCGATCCGGGACCTCTTTTGATCGGATCCGGGACCTATTTCAGCCGTTCCGGCACCTGTTTCATCTGCTCCGGGACCTCCCCGGGATGACATTTTTCGGGAATTCCCGTGGGTCACGTGATTCCCGCGGGAATCCCACGGGATGGGAGTCATTTTTTAATTAATCCCTTGATCGGGACGGGACGAGAAAAAAGCAACGGGAGTGGGCAGGAGCGGGAACAACATTAAAAGATGATCATTTTCAGCCGTGTTAAACAACCAGATGAACAGGTGCGTCCATTTTTGTAGTCATCTCTCAGTGAGAGCCAACACTCTTGACCGCGCTAGCAACACAAAAGAACTACAACAATGGTTTGACTTCCTGTCAGCTGGGAGCGCGGCTGCGCATTTGTACCCTTCAAGCCAGCAGCGAGGAAACGTAATTTTGTGACATTCTGTAGTTTTTCAATCATTTCTGGAGTCGTGGCGAATCAAATCACCTTACCTGTCTGCCCCTGATGGGCGAATAAAGCGCTCGGATTCATGCTCGGGTCTTCCTACGTGCTTCAAGAGTAAAGTAAACAATGATGGAGGCAGAGAGCAGCTTTGGAGGAGAAACATCCAGCAGTGTGAACAACCTCTTCAAAAGAGCCCTAAAGACCTACCTTTTTAATAAAGCCTTTGGTTAGTTTTCCTCTATGCTTTATGCTTTTACTACCTTGCCTCTTACATTGCAACTCTATATTTTTTATTTTTTTTTAATCTTTTTTTTGTTATGCCAATTTGTGACTGTCATTCTATTGCTTTTTTTATTGTTGCTGCTCTTTTTTTACTGTGTACTGTAGCACTTTGAGATTTTTTTGTAAATGTAAAGTGCATTACAAATTAAATTTATTATTATTATTATTATTATTATTATTATTATTATTATTATTATGGAGTGCTTTGGCTCACACTATTGGCGTTTTCTGTGAGTGTTGCATAACTTTGGGTGAGCACAGACATGAACGCACTTCAGCCACGTATTTATTTATTCATTTTTCTAGTTTTAAGTGCTGGTCTTGTACTGGTACTGTACTAGTGCAGCTGTATACACTTAAATTTTTCATAGAACTGAAAGCATACCATAGCTATATCGTGATATATATCGTTATCGTGATATAAAATGATCCATATCGTGATATACATTTTTTTCCATATCGCCCAGCACTAACGGGGTATATATCAATATCAACGGACATGAGGAAAAACATATCGCGATAAACTGTTTTCCATATCGCCCAGCCCTAGCTGACAGACAGGAAATGAACCCCATCCAGGGTCACATCAGTCTCTCCACTGGAATATTTCAGAGTAGCTTAGATGGCTGATTAAGACACTCATAAGACTAGTAATACAGTAACTGGCAATCATTAAATTGAGTTAAACTTCCTGAAAAGCTTTACCTGTTATGCATCACTTGAGACATTATTATTATGAATTATGGTGTTCAGCATTTCATGGGGCACAGTAGGAGTATTAATAAACCCATTTTTCTTATCATTTATATGTTTGTGTGTTATTTTTTTGTTAAACTAGTTTACATTAACTGTTCTTTTATTTAAAAAGGCCTAAATATCCACATAATAGCCAGGTTGGGATGCTCTTCCATCAATGTTAGCTCAGCTGCCTCAGTATTAGCATCACCAAGATTAGCCAGCTAGGGTAAACAGTTAGCTGCTAACATGAGCTAACATTGTCTATCATGGTCCTCGGTTGGACCTTTAAAGCCGGCACGATTCAAAGAAGGTTAAAGAAGGTATCATCAAAATATTTTCAATATTAATGGGACATTTATTGAATCATTACTAGTTAAAAGTAGATAGCCGGGCTGTTTTATTAGCTAGTCTTACCTTATTGCGAAGCCACCGCGTCCGCTGCACCGCTAATGATGGTGAGTTTCCCCGCTGGTTATCACAGCACAGGCAGGCTTTCACATCCTGGGAAGCCCCCTCTGGAGCTCCAAGGGTGCCATGTTAATTAGTCTGAAAGCCACCGTGATGGTTAACCAGCTGGAGGAATCGCTAGCTAACAGTGGTGGTCATGCAGGCTGATGAGGACCTAGCCTTAGCTGAAATGAATCAATGAACAGCAGCTTCCAGTCGGTTCTCTGCTTTTCCATGCAGCAGCAGCTGTGTGAGCCTCACAGGAGGTCTTAACACCGCCCAACCCAGCTGGGATCTCTCTCTAACAATCAGCACAAGCACCAAACTGACACAGCTGGTCCCTATAGTAATTATGGATAACAAGTTTTTATAAAACACATAATCCGAGCACACTCTTTATATTTTATCTTATTTTTATTTCATTTTAAAACAGCAATGAGATGAATCTAATTTTATCATCATTATATATATTCATATTATTTGTTTTTTCCAGCACTTCTGTTTGTGTAAAAATTTAGCAAAAACTGTATACCTTATTTGCATTCTTCAATTTAAATTAAAAAAATATCATTACAAAAAAAAAAACAGCATTCCTCTCATGACCATTAATTATAATTACTTATATTCCTAATAAGGTTTTAATTAAAGTATGCTATTTTAACTTTTTTCTTTCAAGAATCTTTTTTATTTTATTTTATTTATTTTATCTTTATTTTTTCAATTTTTTGTGGGGGCTCAATATTTTATCATTACAAGTAGCCTATTGCTTAGAGAAATTACGTCTCTTTTGCCATTAAGGGATTTAAGATATCAGATATATCTGCTGTTTAGTTTCTTGCAATATTAAATGAATATTTGAAATTCTGTACTGGAATTCTGTTTAGGAAAAACTCTGATTTCAGATTGGATACAGGGATAGGGCTCTTAGTCCTTTTCTTAATTTCCATCACAGGTTTTTACTTCTTTCACCCCTTTTTTATATGGTAAAGAGCTTTTACTTATCTGTTCATTTAATATTATTTTCTTGTTGTAGTCTATCAGGTTTTACTCTTTCTTTTTACCATTTTTATCTCTATTTTTATCTCCAGTGTTTCCCAGAGGTTGCTCTTTCCTCACATAATGTCTCGGTGTCAGGCCATGTCTCTCTCACAATATATCTTAAATTCTCACACTGTGTGCGGTTGTGTGTGTGCATGTGTGGGTGAGTGAGGGTGGGTGTGTGCCTTTGTGTGCGTGTGGGTCCATGGGTGTGTGTGGGGGTGGGAGGGTTGGGTTTTTACTGTCGTTATTGTTGTTTTTAGCCCCTGTGAGGCACTTTGAATTGCATTTTTTGTATGAAAAGTGCCATACAAATAAAGTTGAATTTGAATTTGAACTGGGAGAATGATGTTTTTGATAGCTGGCATTGAAAGCAAATCTTTAGTTAGGTCCATATTGTATTAGAACCTTTGATTCGCAGTATATTACTAGCAGTTGAAATTATTTCCTTATGGATTGATGAGCCTATTAAGTATGTGAACAATCTACAATTATTATTAAACATTGATTACCACAGTAGATGGTTTGTATTTAAATAAATTATTTAAGCTTTTTAAAGCCTTTTAAAAAGTCAAATACAAAATTATTTTCAGAGCACATTTCATTTCATAGTAAAGAAAACAAGGTTAAAAATAACATTATAACAAACATAACATACATACAATATAAAGAGGTAATAAATATGTAAAAACATGAATTATAAGATACAAACAAAGTCTGAAAGTATCTTAGATCTTATAACAAACATCAAAGGAAGGAATAATACAGATGGTAACAGAAACTTCACCCCATTTCTCACAGTTCGAATTCTCACAGTTTGAATTGAAAGCAATAATACATCCAATGTCTTTTTGTCAAACTATAGCAAATATTTCTGACCAACAAATTATATTTTAAATACATTCAAAATATGTTAAATAATGTAGTGTCTGGTCAAGAGCAATAAGGGTGACCAAGATAATCAGCTTGGTAAGCAAACTGTGTAATAACTGAGTTATTCATTAAATTGTTTTGAAGTATGTGTCGTTTAATGCTGTGTGGTTTAATGTCTCTGGAGCAGAAATAGCCAGAGCAGTATAAAGCTAGATATTATGTTTTTTCTTGTAATTGACATATTTTTTCCACTTTCCTGAGAAAAAGAACGGAAGACACCTTTTCCACCAGCCAATAGGCTGGACTCAGCTGCAATGTGATTTTAAGTTACCTGAACTATCCTTAACTCATGACAGGCTCTTCAAGTCCAGCATCGCCTCCCATCCTCTTGCTGTCAGACCCAGTCCATTTCCTTGCCCTTATAGCTTGAGTCGGGGCTGGATGGAGGTGTAATAAGACATGGTTGCAGAGGAACTGTCTCTGCAGAGTCTTCTTCTCCAACCCCAACACAACTCTGGGACACCCCTGCAAGACGTAATACTGTAGTCCCTGCTGTGAACCCAGACAACCTTCGTGCCAGTGCTCCGGATGCCAACCTGAGCCCTCCCGCCCTTTTACGTCTGGCTGATGCTGTAGCCATTGGTCGAGACCCTGCCAGCTCAGTCAGAAAACCCAGGCTCTGAGAGGGGAGGCTGTAGACGTGAAGCCCACGGAAAAGTTCTGGTAGTGGTCCGAACCCACCTGGGGGCTCTGGTGGAAGTGATTCAAACTGCACCAACATGAACCGTTCACCAGCGCGACCCTGTAAATAGTCTGCTAGAATACAGCTCAGTGAAGCAGTGAAGACATCCATACCCTGAGAAGGAACACCGTTGTTTCCTTCTCCTCCAACTTCCTTCACGTCTCTGTCTCTCTCACAGCTACGAGCTCCCCATTCTTCAGCCCTGACCCAGGCAGTCTGTGTAAGGACCAGGACTACTTTGCCACCCTGTTTCTTCAGCCGGTTTAATCTTGAGTGGAGCCAGGGCACAGGACCCAAAACCCCAAGTTCAGATTGGCTCCACAGGTCTAAAGACACGCTGAAACCCAAGACCTGCAGGGACGAGCCCAGGTGACTCATCAGTTCTAGCAGAACTTGGTCATCATCAGGTGGGTACAGCAACACCACATGACCACCACCTACAGCACCTGAAACATGAAGAGATTAAGAGCCTGTTAAAAACTGAAACAGAATTATTATATTTTATGAAGCTGGATTAAAGACTGTTAAAATCATCTGTTATGTGTAAATACAGCAGGAAATAGCTTGCTTAGCTTAAGACAACATCCTTTAGACGAGACAGTAAACAAACATCCTCCTAATCTCCAAAAAGTTTCCACCAAAAGTTTATGAATCATAAAGATAGTTCTATTACGATTATAAAAAATTAAAGTGGGAATTGAAGGCTTTAAATTTCTCTTGAGGAGTATAAATAGCAGTAACTGCTGAGTTTGCAATCACAAGTAAAGGAGAATATTCAGGAAGAAGGGTAATACATTCAAGTCAAAATTTAAATAGGCTACAACAACACAAAATTGACTGAATCTTATCTTATCTTATCTTATGAATCTAAAATAAAAGTATAAAATGTGAAAAGGCTTTCTTGTACCTTTAACTTCATCTTCTTTCAACCACCTCCACACGTAGCCTGTAAGAGAAATTAAACACAGTGTTTATTTTTTGCAATGCTTTCAAAAATCAGTGACCTAAATCTTTAAAAAAAAAAACTGACCATGTGAGACCCCTTGTAGTAAATAGGCTCCTAGTATGATGATACAAATAAGAAGCAATGCAATGAGAAGTGGCACCACCCACCTCCATCGAGGTTCTGAAGAAAAAATAAATAAATAAATAAATAAATAAGCAAAAAAAAATATTTAAATAAAAGTATTATAGACTTCCTATAAAACATAATCTACAACAAAATCAGTCATGTTGTTTCAGTTGTTAATATTTTAACAGTGAAGATGTTTGACCTGTTTCTGGACAATAATTAACAGTCTTACTTGTAAATGGACAGTGGGGCTCCAGGTATGATTTCATTCCATGGATAGTTAACTAAGAAATGATTAGCAGAGTGAAGGTCAGTGAAGTGTTCAGAGAGGTAAACAGCAAAACATGTTTTACAAGTGTATGTAATGGATTGCAGACGAGAGGAATTACTACCTGTATGCAAAGCAGAGGATGTGATGATATGTTGAACTCTCCTGTTTTCTGAAAATGAAGAAATGACTGAATGAAAAAAATCATAAAAAGGAACCTAGGATTCATTAAAAGTTAATTATCTGGGTTAATCTACAAGGTTACTTTCCTTTCTTTATATCTAACAGAACCCAAGCTCTTCTCCCTACCCAGTGTCCCCTGCGTGTTGCCCTCCAGCCTGCATGTTCATGGGAGTGCAGTCTCTGTCTGAAGCCCATCACTTCCTCACAGTGGTCCCCAACCGGGTCCTTCATGCACGGCCACACTTCCGCCTCAAGCCAGCAGGGGGCAGTCACATTCCAGCTCAGCCCCACGACTCCCTCCCTCATCTGAGACTCAACCACAGACAGGGATACATTCTGCTGCATCTTCTCCATGGCGTCTGAAAAAAGATTTTGCTGTGCTGTTAAATAATTTCCCCACACATAAATCTCTTTCTCAAAGGTTGACCTTTATTTACCTTGTTCGTCTTTAAAAGGGCAGAATTCTCTTCGGAGTTCCTTTCCCTTCCACCACGACTAAAAGGAATTACAGGTATATTTCATTCCCCAAAGTTATTGATAGGTGTCTTTTCTTTTTAGTGAAATGAAATCAAAAGCTACCTGGAAGCACAGGCATGGTGCAACTGAGTGTGAAGGAATAGGAATTTCTGTCTTATCGGCAGGCTGCAAAAGGTTTAGCAGAAGTTAGAGATATAAATAAAGAGTATCTTCCTGAAAATCAGCATATTTTTTAATGAATAGTTTGCTGACTGACCCATCTCAGATGTTCCCCAAATACATTATTCCTAACCATGCAAAACATGATCTCCTCTTGTAAGCCATTGGTATCATTTTCAAGCTGGAGGAGAAACTCATGCCTCTTATGACCAGGCACAACTCGAAATCTGGGAGCTTGGACACACAAACACAAGATTAAGTTTCACTGAGATGTTTCACTTAATGAGTGAATATTACACTGCTCTGTGCATGCTTAGATTAGATTAGATTCAACTTTATTGTCATTGAACACAGTACAAGTACAGGGACAACGAAATGCAGTTTAGCATCTAACCAGAAGTGCAAGGTAGTAAAGTGCAAGGTATGTACATATGGGCAGTGCAGATATGACCTGAAAATACTATATGTATATGTGCAATGAAAATGCTAAAAATATATTCACAGTGTTGGTTACTGCAGGTATGAATAGGCTATACAAAAAAAATAAATATATATATATATATATATATATATATATATAATTATATATATGATCATATATACAGTATACTGATTAGTGCAGGTGTGAAAAAGAGAAAATGCTATTAAACAGTGGATGCGTTTAAGAATATAAACAGTAAGATATTTCGGAGTATGAGTAGAAATATGTACAGTTATCAAATAATAGTTGGATAAAATATGTATATACAGATACAGCGGAGTGTATGCTTCTGCATAGACACAACTGTAACAATTATACTTTGTTTTAATGCATCTAAAAAGATGAACTGTGTAAAATTTCACAGCTTCTCTTACCACCACAGTCCTTGACAGCCCTCTTTAGGTTCAAGGAGCAAACTGAAAGATAAGAGAAGGAGTGGTTCAGTGAAATGAGTCATCAAAAATTCAGTTTACGTAGTGTATGACTTTTTAGCTCACCTTGCTCTAGTGGTGGGATTGTAATATTTTGAACGTCGTCTGTGCCCTCTGAGTGTGATGATACACGGACACCAATGAGACTGCCAAATATCAGGTTCTTCAGCAGCAGCTGTGATGGAAAGAAATATAAGCCCAATATATTCATTCAAATCATTTAGCAAAATATTATCACCCAAAGAAAATTATGTTTGGGTATTTTGAAGCTGTAGATACTTTTTAGTTGAATGAAAGCAGACTTAGAGATAGAGTTGATGTGGGAACATTAATGATGATGCCCAGGTTGTCTATATCCAGAAAATTTCCAACCATCCTGAGCAGCACATTGAGGACCACAATCATGAGCTCAGTTTTACACAATATTGCCCATGGGTCAGCCCCCTTTAATAAGTTATATTATTGAGCATTTTTGCCTTTTTAGATGGTACAACTGAAGAGAGACATGGAGAGTGGGGATACATGGGGAGTACAGAGTGGGATAAAACATGCAACAAAGGGTTATGACCAGGAATCAAACCAGCAACACTGCAACACAGAATATTGCTTCTGTATGTTGGGGGCTTAGATTGCCAGGCCATTAGTGCTTGGGTTCAGCCATATTTTAGAGTCAAAACCTCACACAAAAGTTTTTGATATGAATATCTGAAGTTCAAATTTTTTCTTTGGTGTTACTTGCAGCTATTCAAACATCTGAAAAGTGGTTAGGTGGATGGAAAGTAACAAAACTGGACCCTGGTTGAGTTTTTTGGAGCCATTAGTCAAACATGAATACACTAAATGATATTTTTATGCTTATCCTGTATTTTGGGGTCATATAATAACTTGTTGTCTATTAAGTCAGTTCATAGTGGAGAAAAATCTCAAGATCTTCACCTTGACTGTGTGCTGTTGTGATGCTTGGTTTAAACTGGAATTTCTTGTTTTAATCGAAAGTGTCTTCAAACAGTCTAGGGATCCTGGGGAGCTGAGATGCACCACCACTGAAGCTGTTTCATACAGAGCAGAAGAAAATGGTAAAAATGTGATTGAATTAAAAAAAGATGATTAAATGACATAATCTGTGTCTTTTGGATTGTGTTCAGGGTATGCCTGTGTACCTCTTTCTGGATCACCGCTCCCCTCCCCTGATGAATTCCCACTGATGGTGCCGTCATCATTATCATGTTGACCAGATGCCTCAGAAATCTCCTTTGTCTCATTAGTGTCCACAACTTTATGTGTGATGTAATCCCAATCAGCCAGCAAGCCAGCAAACAAAAGACACATTGTTTTAAAACCACAGCAGCTGACTGGCTTATTTCCAGTTAAACAGCAATGAGGATGCAGGCAACAACTATTCAAGGAACTCTGTGACGGCACACTTAATCATTCATTCATTCTGATAAGGACTCAGTTTGACAGTCAAAGCAATCTGACCTTTATGACTACTTTACCTTGGATAGTTATTGTGATTTGAAGGCAGGGTTTACAGTCCTGTGTGTCAGAGCAGCACAGAAACACTTGAAGCTGCACATGGGTAACATTCACCGAATCGTCTGGATCAGGCAGACCAAACTGACAACCTGCTGAAGTAAGAGAGACTCAGCCACAGACAGAGAGCAGGACTACTCTTACAGGTGATTAGTATGATATAGGATGCACTTGTGTGGATCGTGTTGCTACCTGGGCTCTGGCAGGATAAACCCTGAAAAGAGAGAAGATAAAGTTAAAACCATTTTAGGTAACCCCACTCACACAGAATACGAGACAACGAGGCTCAAAAGCTGGGGACACGAGTTGTAGTTGTTGGAGGTGCACAGATCCCTTGCATGAGAAAGTATAGATAAGTTGTAATAAGTGGAATGAACTTCTCAGTAAGTAAAAACTTATTGGGATTGCTTCTCACTCCAATCCTCAAAGCCCAAAGTGAGCCAAAATCTTACATACATATAGTGTAGTATTTAATGCACTGTATTACTGTTCATTCAGTTCTTGACAGCATTTTTACCAAAGCACATTTTGCAGATAAACTTGCGTAACATTAGTAAATAAATTTAAAATTGAAGCCCATTTATTCACACTAATAATGTTTCTTCTTTACACATCCATCAACAGATTTTTAGGACTGCAAAAATCAAGATAATGCTAAAAAGGAAAAAATTACATTTTCTTTTTGCTATTGTGTTTGTAAGTTTTCATGGTGGAAGCATATTCAATCACTCTCTAAAAAAAGGAGAAGTAGAGTTAATGTGTTTTCATTTTCACTCACAATGGTAAATAAATAATGGACATTAAACTCTCATGTGTCCTGTGTCCTTTTTGAAATTTGTCCCTTAATTCATCCTTCAAAAAACAAAAGTCTGCATGGTGTATTTTGTCTCTATAAATGTGAGAATAAACAATATTAAAATTACAAAATATTACAAAATACTAAAAATTTTTGTTGCTTAGCTGTTATGTAAGAGAGAAAAATGCCACAGGAAGAAACATAAACTCATTCCCAGTTTAAAATCTGATTAGTTGTCAGAGTTAATGTTACATCTTTAAGATATCAATACATCAGCCTTCTTACCTGGCTGCAGGTGAGGTCAGGTGCGCTTCTGTCAATCATCTCAAGCGCTCTCGCGGCCATGAAGCTCAACAGAAACAGCGATAGGACAGAAACACGCGGAGCCATTTCACGGGGTCTCTCTCACTCCCCCCCAAAACACAACTAAAACCAGTCACCCTCAGGTCCTCCCAACAATGGTACACATGGCCGCCGAAATTCCTCTGCAGCAGCGCTGACCTCTGTCACATTAGCCAGCTCCCGAGACGCTCCTGGAGTATTTGATCCACAATGGACGGCTCGGGGAAGTGGGTGTGGCACAGCGCAGCGCCACCTGCTCAGGTGGGAAGAAGACAATTTGGCTTCTCATGATCGTTGACATTGATAAGTTGTTCTTGTTTTCAAAGACGCACGAATAGTTTTGGAGATTAGGTTAATCCACTTTGACACAGCAGTGTCAGTTTACTCAGAAAATTAGGGCCCCATTGTGCCAATACATCACCGTCACTACTTTCTGTGTAACATAAAAATCTTTGAGTTAGTGAGCAGTTGGGATAATAGTTTGCTTTAATAGGCATTGTGCCACCAGCTCCAAAGAAACGCACCCAGTTTCATTAGAAGAGCACTTGGTTTGGTAGGAATGTTTTCAGTTGGAGAGTTCAAGTTTAATCATTAACATTTCTCACTGAAGTGGGTCAGTTAAGTCCTCTGTTTTAGATTAAACTGTATGTCCTCGCTTATCAGCAGCAGCTACATTATAAAGTCTGGATAACCTAGCTGTGGTCTTACTGAACAGTGAGTTTTTTGTATAATTCAAATAGAAAACCGTTTTGTATCTCATATGTATGTGGCTGTTTTTATGATAGTCCAGCTGCTCAGGGATAAACTCGCAAATTTTGTGGTTCCGCTCTACTTCATGGCCAATCCCAGATCACAAAATGACTAATTAATCTTGGCACAAGTCGACTCAGACCGCCAGAGTTAAAATCAACATTTTTTATATTATTGTTTATGTTATTTTCTATCTTATCTTTTGGCATTTTAACCACACATCTATTCTTACCCTTTCGAAAAAGAGTTTGCTCATTGGAGATCCATTTTGCTGGCTCCCGACAATTTCCTCTCGTTATGTCTTCCAAGATCACTTTTGACATGATGCTGGTTAATAAATTAAACTGTTCCCCTCTCTATTTAACCCTCCTCCTGTGTTAGGGTCTGCACCGACCCCTTTTTGATTATAAATGCTTAAAAGAAACACTTCAATACGTTTTTTTTTGCATCAAGACTTTTTGACTTTGTCAGGAACATCTATGTCAACAAAATAAAAATAAAAAAATTAGATTTACTTTTATGGCACTTGTCATGTTAGGGTTGCTGTTGACCCGGTTAGATCAATATCTAATAATTAGAGCAAAAACTAAAATCACAAGTCCAACTGTCATGCACCGCACTGACAATCAGTTCCTCTTCTAATCATGTGAGACTTAGGAAATTCTCATTTTGCCTGTTTTACCTGCAGAAAAAACAACGTTGGGCATGTCCAGACATGTGAGATCAATTCAGTATAGATGTCTGTATGAGGGGTATACTGACAAAGGAAGGTCCAGAGGCCCACTACAAAAAATATTATAAGCAATATTTTCATGGATAACGAAGCCTAACAAGTTAACCTAGAGATGAGAACCAAATTGGATAATAGAGGATTGTTTTTAGTGTAATTTACAGCTGATTTAAGACACAGGTCAAAACCAACGTGGGCGCGTAGTAAAAGCGAACACAGTAGGAAGGTTAGAAAAATATCAGATAACATATTTTTGGGAACGAAACCTTTTTTTTTTTTTCTTGCATCCACCTCAACCTGTCTTGTTGTGACTGTAAACATAGATCCTCCCACATCATCTTCATGTATGTTTACACTTTGTAAAGTTATGTACTGCTTGCCCACGCTCAATAGCAGTGAATGTATTTTATGGACACATCTGTTGCTTGTCAATATTTATCATTTGTTGTTAAGATTTTTCCAACACTTTGAGAAAACATTGTTGTGTTTGGCGTCATAAAATTTTTTTTTACCTTAAATTTTAGGAACATAAATAAATAAATCTTCAAGCCTGATACAAACAAAAATTCCATTCATACTCAGGATCCCTGTAAGAGTTTCTAAGACAGCAGCAGTCACTTACTGAGCGTCATGTTTTAACAGTAAAATCTGACTCTTGGATCAATTCCACTAAGTGTGGTTTACTTCCTTTTCAATCCAGCTGAGCAGGTTGATCAGTCTGCCTTGAAAACCTTGACTCTAGAGTAGACAATGTTTTGGTCTGTTACTCATCTAACAAACAAGTTTGAGAAACCGCACAAGATTTTCTTAGATAAAGCTTTGAAACAAACACAGATTTCAGTCATGCACTTTTTTATAACACTAAAATAAATGTTTATTTGATCGCTGAAACAGTATGAACATATTAATGAAGATTTGCGAACATAAAACAAATATTTTCTCTAAGCTGCAACCAAATGTCTGCTGAGTAAAAAAGTACTGTTCACATGATACTGTTTACAAAAAGAAAGCTACTCTGGTTTTTGCTTTTACGAGGTAGTACATGAGCAAATATTTAATACTGGGGCTGCAAACAAACACATTCTGCAATCAAAAGAGTCGCTTGTTCGAGTGTAGAGGGATAATTATGTAAAGCACCTGGATGCACAACCACAAGGATCAACCGTCGAACAGTCAAGCCCCCTCCAGTTCGAGTCATTTCCTCTTTTCACCTGAATGCTTTAACTCTAGGGATCCTCGCACAGCTTTGCCACAACGCCTCTGTTAAAAAAGTCCTATGCAAATTATTTAGCAGTAAACAGCAGTCAAACAATTTGCCACCTGTGCTCTCAACACTTCCAAACACTGAATACACTCATGGAGAAACGGAGATCAAATTTGCATAGCAGTGGCATATTTGTCGGAGATAAGACAGGTGTTGATGAGGCTTTGATAAAGAAAGTGATACGAAAGATAAAAACACATAAGATGCATAATTTCTCTTCTTAATATGCAAAACAAGTGGTTGCATTTTTTGACATTATGCAACCAAGTGATGATTAGTTGTTTCAGAGCGGCTGGCCTTGAAGTGCTCTCAGTGTAACACTAGCTGCTGTGTCTCATAATGTATCAGGTGTCCAGCAAAACAAAAGTCTGTACCCGTCAGAAACTTGAGATTAAAGCACCTCTGCTCTCCATGGCGACACGTGGAGCGGCTCGTGCTCTTGTACAGTCCCAGACGATGCAATGTCAGCTTCCACAGGTAACTTGAGCCGACCGCGCGTCTTGTTTGACTTCATTTTTTGTGACGATCTGGCACTCTGCTCTTGCGTTTTTTTTCCTTGTGTCTGGAGCAGCACTGTCCGTAGCCTCTGAGCAAGTCTCTGTGCTTGCCATATCGACAGTATTTTAGAGAGGAGTCTGGGCCAGCAGTGCCACATGTCTTTCTTCATCTGTCTGCTCATCCCTCCCAGCTCCTGTATAAAGCCCCTGAAATCCTTGGGTAAACAGTACCGGGGGACTTCTCTGAAAGTCTTTGGGATGTCCCCTCTATGACAAAGTCCCTGGAAGTAGACAAGAGCGAGGCCCTGACCCTTGCTCCCTTGCAGCTCCCTTTCCAGGCAGGCCAGAGCAGCAGTAAACACTGGTGCTATCACAGTAGACGGCTCCTTCATGGAGTAGCAGTCTTTATCATCACATGGTTTAGAACAATCTTCCTTTCCAATGTCTCTCTCATCTTTGTGTTTATCGAGTCTCCTGTCTTGCCCCTGCCCCTCCTGTCTTTTAGCTGCCCTCGCCTCCCTCCACGTATCATAGCTCTTTTTTGCTTCAGGGCCCCATACAATCAGCACTTGTCCCTGCGCTTTGCGTACAGCTTCCCACTGTCCATACAGCCAGGGGAGTGGACCCAGATCTGCAACTCCAGTTCCAGCCCCAGCTTCCTTTTGAGAGTTTTGGGCCCACAGAGCCATGTGCACTGTGGCACTCAGTTCCCCCTGCAGGATTGAGGCTAAAGCACACACAGCAGAGATGTGAGCTGCCTGCTCTGATGAGCAGACCAGCAACACCGGCTTATGGATGGAGAGCCAACCTGAAAATACAGGAAGATATAAAAATATATTCATAATGCCTACACCAATAACAGCGATCAGTTAAAATCTAGCTACTTGAGGACATAGTATATAATTTTTCAGATATATTGAGCTTTGTCCTAGTACTTGATGTCCTGACTGAGCGTACCTGCGGCTCCTTTTTTGGTGACACGTTGTACGAAAATTCCCAGCATCACAGTAAAAACCACAACAATCAAAGCAGCAAAGGCACATACACCCCATCTGTTGTGCGTGTCTGAAAAAAACCCAGATAACAAATCGGTTTTATTGATGTGCATGTAAGTGCATGGACTTGTGAGCTAATGTTCAGATGTACAACTTTGTGTCTAACTTACAGTATGGACACAGAATCCGTCGACCGATAAGAGCAGGATGAGACTGCCACACCTGCAGAAAAGTAAAGTCAAAAAATGAGGACAGGGTAAAAGGCAACACACCACATACAGATGCACCTTCCACAGCATGTAGTTTACCTGCACACAAGGCTTCTCATCAGGGTACAGCAGAGGGACATGTGTCACTGTCTGAGTAGAGTTTGCTTCCTGGATTTAAGAAAGGAAAAAAAACAGTCCCCAAGTTCATATTTTTACTTCATTTCCTCTCATTTTTGCTCCTCACAAACCCGTACATATACTCACCATGGTTGCATTATGGACTTGGCCTATTGGTGTACATCCCCCTTCATGTAGGACACAGAATTGAGCTGAGAACTGCACTTGAGCTGTGGAAGTGAAATACAAATACACACTCTGCTTTCCTGCCTCAGTGTACACTTCCCATGAAGACTCATCTGTAAATGACAAGGGCAGAGAGGGTCAAGAAGGGAAAAGGCGGGTAAATTCAGATCTAATGCAGCTGGAAGCAAAAAAAATAAGACTCCTTGTTTTGCAGCTCGACTCACCAGACTTGAAAAGACAAGAGATATTGTGGCTGCCTTGTACAGAAAGCTGCAAATACAAAACATTCATGTAATTCTGTTACTTATATGACATATTGCAATGCACACACGTGTTTTATTCTCACCTGCACGCACATCTGAGGGTGTTTGTCAACAGCTGATATGTTGTATCTCTGTTATGGAGAAGAAAATTATCTTCAAAAGATCATTTTTTTCCATTTTAAAATTCAAAAACACAAAAAACAAAACTAACCAGGTTTCCATCTTTTGACTCTGGCAGAGAGAAGTTAAATACAGGTGTGCAGACGTGTTCATGCTGCCTCCAGCAGAGGGAGGCAGAGATCTGAAAGAAACTGGCCGGACACTTGGAGCTCCATTGAAGGTAGGACTTGTACGGTGTGAGTTTAGAGGACAGCCAAACATCGCTGACATCTATGGAGGCAATGCAGATACTGTTGTTAACAACAAAGTTCCTTCATAAAGGAACCCAGAGCCACATGTCTGGTACACGAACCAGTTTTGATTTCAAATCGTTTCGAAGCAGAGAGCAGGAAAACCAAACTCGTTACTTGTGTTAATACCATAGACTGTATATACTATGAACAAATTGGTTCCGCCTCCCGTCTGTATACGGATTTGAAGCCAAAAAGCTCTCGGTATTTTCAGGAATTTTCTTCATTTCCTGAAATCAGCGCTGCGCAGTAGCGTTTTGCGCATTCAGCGAGAGAGTCGCCGAGATGACGCTCGGCTTAAACAGCGTACCCCCCGGGTGAGCTACGCAATTCCTGAAAGCCAACAGGCTGTATCAGGTGTCAATCAAAGAAAAAATTAACCCCCTAATAACTTTTAAAAACCGAGCTTCACTGAAGAAAGAGGACTTGGGCACAAACCAGTCTTACTGTGACTACATGTCAACATCACAAGCAGCGGGCAGAAAAATTTATGTTCTGTGTAATAAATTTTTGCTGGCGGAGGCGGGATTTATGACCTATACTGCAGCCTGTCAACAGAGGGTGTTCACGGAGTGGCTTCACCAAGCGAGGAGGCAGACTCTGTCCATTCTTTATACAGTCTATGGTTAATACAAAGACTCAGTTTCTCCCAATTTTAAAACAATTTATGTAAATGAAAAAGATGTTAGTATGAAAAGTTGGTGAATAGGTCACTTTAACTCCTCTACCTGCTTATTAATCATGAACCTACAGCCAGGGGGGCTGTTAGGCTAACTTAGCAGGAAAACTGCAAATAGGGTAAAAAAAAAGTCAGCCTGTCTCTGCATGACAGGTGTCATATGAGGTTATGTGGTATCCTTTTCTTGGCAGGGAAAGCCACAACTTCCTTTAATCTCCTCTGATTTACTGTCAAGTGCAGAATGATGACAACACTCCAGGAAGTCACTTCTTCCAAATAAGAAAAAAAGTAGAGTCAATGACCTCCCCTCAAACCATAACTTGTCATTTTAACATTCCGGTTTTTGAGTCATCTAAAAGGAATAAATTAAAATATGTTATCTGTAAATCATTAAGCTTTCAGAGTGATGGTTGGTTGTATGTTTGATTTGAAGTATTTTATTTAAAGCTGATTATATAATCTTGAATTTGTTATTTTGGAAGAGAAACACAACCTGTATAAAGTTTATACAAAGAGCTGTTTGTTGTGTCCTGTGGGAAGTGACATTTACTCTAGAAGAACCAAATCACCTAGTTTTTGTAAACCTCCAGTATTACTGCTGTTATCAACTCTCCATTTACTCGCATAGTTTACAATCCTAGCAACTAATTAAGCTCATGTTAGGAGTTTTTTTGACAGAAACAAGATTGATGATTTTTATAAACGGTCATTTTTAATGACTGAAACCTGCGTGGGAGGGTAGGTGTCAGCCGAGCAGCTGGTTCAACATTTATCACATAAAATATTCATAAGGGATAATAATAAATTTGACAGACAAATGTCAGAATTATGAGAGGCCTTTTTGTGTCCCTTTAGCAAGATACGCAAAGACTGCTTTGTCCACAGGGGGGCGCCAATATTGACACAAATTGAAAGTTCCATAGCTTCTTTTGTACCTCTGCTGATTTAAAAAAAAAAAAAGCAATAATTAATTAAAATTAATTTTCATTTAATTAAATCTTGAAACCACCCAGCAAGAAGAGAGGAATTCTGAGTTACAATACAGATTATCCTGCTTGTAGATAAGAAACAGTGTTAACAACAAAAAAACTCTACAAGGTATTTAGAGTTTAATACGATTCTGACATGAATCACCCATCACACTTACCATCAAGGTTTTTACCCAGAAGTGGACACTTCATGTCTCGTTTTGGGTCTAGATGGGTGTAATATACCTGCCAATGTAGTCAAAACACACACGGGAGTCAAAGGCAAACTGATACAACAAAGTCATAATACTGCATGTAAATAAAATGCCACGTTATCAAATTACCTCCACACAGGAACAGGGCAGGAGGTAAGGGATTTTAAGAAGACCTGACTGAGACTGAGAAGGGTCAATCTAAAAAAAAAAAAGTATTAGCTTGTATCACTGATTAGCTTTCTTTCTTTGCTTAGCATACAAATTTCAGCAATTTATGTGCATACTATACTTACAGTGATTTGAGAAGATCTCCCATTAATGCAGCTGTTTAAATTTATTGAGTAACACCATCTGGCATGGACTTTGTGTCCAGGACCCACAGTGACATTGAAGGATTTAGATGACTGATTCACAGACACATTAAACTCTGGTATGAAATCTGAGTCCAACACAAACACATAAACAAAAGAATAAGATCATCACCCTTTGACAGGTCAAAACACGCTGGGGGAAACAAGCTGGCGAAAAAAAGGAGTGAGTTAGGCAGACAAATATGACGTTCATCATCTTAAAGATCATTTAATTCCCTTTGTGACGTATTTCTATCCAGATTTTTGAGGTAACATTGACCCCATTCACAAGGGTGGAGGACTCACTTGGTGTTTTGAAGACTATGTAAGCTGTGTGAGTCACGCCTTCTCAGTCCCCAGATCTCAAATGTAGGCTGAGTTATTCTGAAATACCGGTACTCCAGTTGACTGCTATGTCTAGAGCCTTTCAGTTTTTTGACTAATCCCATACATACATCACTGGGCAAAGTCAGAAGGGGTGGGTGGGGTCAAGTGTCTTGCACAAGGACACTTCAGCATGTGGATAGCTCTTGGACTGAACCCTGATCTTCCAATTGGGAGATGACCAACTCTATCTCTTAGCCACAGCTGCCCCTTGTTTTTAAATGTTTATGTTGCTCAATCCTGAAATACAACCTGACGTCAATGAAGGGAAACGACTATTGGTCAAGCTCTCTTTGTTTTAGTTTTGCTTTGTTTTCCACAATATTTCTCAATTCAAGCTGAGTGACTTGTTTGAGTTTAACATGGACAAAAGAGTATCATCAGCGTACCTAGATATCTATGTTCTGTTTACCCCACTGTCATCACACAAAATACAGAGTGTGGATGGACTCGAACCGCCAAGGGTTCAGTAGCAACCCTGATGGCAACCCCTACCCATTTTTAATGGCTTGGTTATATTTCTGTGAGTTATCATTTTGGTTGTAGAATTTGTATTTATTATCTTTACTTTATGAACTTATTGGTGGACTAAGTTCATAAAGTGTGTAAAGGTGATAGATACAAACCCAAATCCTTCTGAAACACTAAAAAAGCCAAACTTCCCTTTGTTTGTGCAAAATTCAGGGAAAAATATAAAGAAAGCAAATCCAATCAAGTTCAGCCAAAAAAGACAAAATGTAACTCAAACATGGACTGATACTTTTTATCCCACTACCTGGTATTGTGCAGCTGACGGTGCAGTTCCTTGAAGGTGAGCTGTACTTCACACAGACACTAGTTCCTCCAGCCTGGTCAATATCATCCATGTCAATATCAGTCTTATAAACAGGGGTAAAATTCTGTGCCGATTGCTGTGAGACAGAACTGGCACGCCTGACCCTAACTTGACGAAGATTGTTCTTGGCACACTAAAGAAAGGGAATAATAAGAGCAATGTGTAAATTCATAATAACATCAATTCAACAGTTTATAGTAAGTGCACGGGGAACTTACTCTCACTTTCTTCTTCTTCTTTTTCTTCTCACGATATATTATGCAATTTTCTGGTGAGATAATATTTATATTGGGATCCTTACTCGAATCTGTAAAAAACAAGAGGATATCTTTGAAGCTCCAGTGAGGAATTATCAGATTGTGTTGATGTTGTCGCCCCTATAAACGAACTGGCGTCCCTCTTCTCTTGGCTGATCTTGTTGCGTACACATGTAAGAACTGTTCTTCTAACACATAAAAATCTCACCCTGCTCCATTTTCAAACTGAAATATATCATTTTTAAGGTTTCATGCCATGGGAAAAGTAATCCAAGTCTGTTTAAGAAGCGTGCTGTTATTGAATTAGCTTGTTGTGGAAGTCTCATGTAATAATATTTAAAGTATAACAACCAATCTTTATGCTGATGGTCTAGAGTAGGGGTGGGCAATAAATTTTTACATGGGGCCAAATGAGAAACCTGAACTGTGTTGGAGGGACGAACTAACAATAACTTCAACTTCAAATCAGGGGGTTCACATACAGAAAAGCAAGCCTAAATGAGCAACTAGCCCAAAAAAAGCGCACCCCCGACTCATGAGTTTTACAGTTTTACAAGCGACTTCTGAGAGAAACAAGCCTAAAGTCTTTTATAAAGCAGACTTGGCAACTATGAGGCGTCCACATATATTTTGCTGATGTTTAAACTTGTCTCTGTTCACGAATAAAGATCTAGGATGTACGCACGTGCGTCCAAACGGAAATAAAACAATGGCTAGGTTTTCAAAATAAAAGCAACACACTTTCACAGCATGTTGATGATTTGATTGACGGATCTCACGAAGGGCAAGGCAAGGGCATCCAAAGGGCCGGATGTGTGCCCAGGTCTGGTCTAGAGTATCTAACATAGAGGCACAGTGTTTATTTTACTTTGTGTCAAAACCAGCTGAAAAAACGCTTACTAGAGCTTTACACATTTCAGCAGACCCACAGAAATGACAGGAGGATGTCAAGTCAGAACATGACTTTGCAAACTTTTTCCAATTCATACAATGAAAATGATGATGATAACACTCTTGGTTCCACCATTAAGATCTAGATCTAGAACAAACTGGACTGGCTGTTTAAATTTGATGTGTTTGAGCTTGCCAATTTAGTCTTATAGGAAGCCTAGACAAGATAGTCTTGTTAGCTAATGTCTTCATGTGTCACTCTATTGTTCGTTTTTTTTCTCTCCTGTTGTCTGACCCTGGACTGTGTGCATTTGTGCTGTCATGAATGCTCACGTAGGCTGGTAGGACATATTTATCAAACAACAGTAAAATAAAAATCCAAGTTTCAAACTTCCATACCCCAAGCCTTCTTCCAAACACTAACTGTGACATGTTCAGTGTACCGTCCTCTAGAGATATTTGGGGCTGAGGTCAGTTTGACAGGGCAGTCTCCGTCTACATAACCTGTTCAGAGAAAGTGTGTATTACTGGGATGGGACAAGTCAATGTATAGTTACTCAAATGGCGCAAGGTGCGCCATCGTGATTGGATAAATAGATAAAAGCGACTCACCACCTTGGAGAACCCTCTGGAGAAAAAGAGAAAGTCATACGAGGCGATCACAAATCGGCACATGTACAAGTTAACTATTTACAACAATCAGCCTAGAAATAATGTTGAACTAACCTGACATGTTGTGGTACATTCCAGCAGCTGCGTAAACACCGCGATGGCAATGACTACCCCCGCGGTGCAAAGACGCATACTTGACATTGACTTAAGTGAATGTAAGCATCATTAAAAAACAGGGTTTGGAGCCCTCATGGGTCCACAATTTCTCCTAGAAAAAGCGAAAACTTGTTAAGTGGAAAGAAAAGCCTCCACGTGCAGGGCAGGCACCGTGCATGGAGACTTTCTTGTAGGACTATCCGCCACCATGTAGCCTGCTCGTTTCGTTTCTCCACCCCTGCTTGATGACTAAACCATGTGGGCGTCTTCACAATGAAAACAAATGAATAATAGCAGCTACCTCAACTCCGCCTCCAACCACAGATTATGTTTGCAGGTGAAAGGACGGAGCTGAGAACTGATACAACCCCACTTTAACCCTTTTTAGGACGCTCTATAATGCTGAGGCGAGGAGTTCTCATGATACAAGTAGGCCAGCCTATAGATGTCATCTGTATCTGAAGAGCACACCAGCAGATACTTACAGCTACCAGGAAATGATGTCTCCCTCACAGAAATGAGTATCAACCACTATCCCTCTGATCTCAATCTCTGAGAAAGTTGCAACCCTGACTTTGGTTATGTGAACAAGTTTCTTTCTTAGTATTTCAAACTTAAAGAACAACAACAAAAAACTCTACTAGAAACAAAAACACCAAACAAAGTAATACATATGTACACCAAACAACTGTACATGTCAAAGATAAATTTACACAACATATGTATGCAGAAGCATAAGCGAACTAAGCGCCTGTCTAGGGCCCCATTGCCAATAGGGGACCCCAAGAGCGATCAAAATAACTAAATAAATAATAAAGATTTTTATTTTTTGCATGTATAAGTGATGCTTTCTGTATGATCAAATATATATGTATTATTGTAAAAATAAAGTAAAAACATTTTAGTGCTTCTGCTGATGTAGGTCTATGATTCTTACTGCTGATATGTCAAAGCTCTGCTACCGTTATGTGCCTTCTGCTGTGCAATGTGCACTGAGCATCCAAACAACAGGTAGTTTTAGGGCAAAACAATGTCGCAAAAAAGGACATATCCTTCAGGGGCAGAGAAAGGAAAGAGGAAGAGGAGAAAAAAAGGTAATTAGTGTTGTAATATTCAGAATTAAAATTACTTTGATGCAATCAAGCATGTTTGTTATAGAACCACATTTTTGTTAGTTTTCTTATATGAATCTTTTAATACTCCTCTATAGTTTGATTTAAATATTTTTATGTTAGTGGACACTTTAAAAGTGATATCCAGGCTGTTCCAGAGTTTATCACACACATACTTTTCAGAGCGGTATGGACAATCGGACAAATAAATTTATGTTCACCCCTTAGATTATAGCCCCCCTCTCTGGTTTTGGACATCCTTTGTATGTTACCAGGTTACTTTCTTTGTGCTGCTTTGTACAGCACTTATAAATTGACCATGACTATGATTTTAGAAAAAGAGGGCTGGTGCGTTTTTTGTATCCAGCATGATTTATGATCCGGGTAACTCTTTTTGGTAATACACATATCTTTTGTAGATAAGTCTTGTATGTGTTTCCCCAGATTTTAACACAGTAAGAGAGGTATGGCAGGATTATGGAGGAGTAAGGTTTTTTTTTGTAATAAATGCTTTGATTTGCTGATACTTCTTGAAATTTTTGAACACAGATATTTTATGTAAGGTTTCAAGCAGAGCTGATGATCAGTCAGAATGCCAGAGAACTTACTTTCATAGACCCTTTCAACAATACATTATGAATTAATAACTCCATGTTCAAATCAGATTTTCTATTTCCAAATAACATAAACTTTGTTTTACTTACATTAAGTGATAATTTGTTTCTGTCAAACCAGCATCTCAGTTTACTCAATTCATTCTGGACCAGTTAAAAGTCGAATTTATGTGACTCTTCATGTATGTATGATTCATGTTTGACCTAAACTAGACAGGAAAAGACAAGTGTTATACTCACGCTGGCCTGATCAGAATAAAAAAAAGAGGGTCAGAGTGCAGGACATGAAGCATGCAGCAAACTAAAATGCATGGTGTTACATTTTTAACACTAAAGGATGCCCTTAGTTGTTCCCATTTTTAGGTTAACTACTTACTTTTTTAGCATGTAGATACACTTTTGCTGCTTTCTAAGCTTTAAACTAACAGAGCAGGGAAATGACTGTGCTCCATTAAAGGGAACCTCCATTTAATCCTCCTGGGAAACTTTGGCGATTTTCAGATACTAAATTATAATTACACTGAAAGAACTACTTCTAATTTTTCAAGAGGAAATACAGTTCATGTGAAAGTTTAAATTGGAACAGAGCTCAAGCACATCTTCGGTGGAAAAAAATCGAGCCAGCTAAGGGACGCTGTCAACAGCGGTGTCATCCGCCCCTGATGCTTATCAGTTGTTTCCACCTCTGTCTTGCGAATCGCTCAGGCAGGAAACAAGGCGGCTTTACTCAGAGGAGAGAAGTTTTGGCAGTAAATCTGCCGACACAGACAGTGTGGTGAGTGGGTGTTTCTGTTGGGTGGGGGATCTTTATCAGGTGCGGGGAAACATCAGATCAAAAACCTTGATTTAAGCAGAAACTAAACGGAGAGAAACAACTAGGAAATTTGCATTAGTTGTTTGGAGAGTTATTTGTCATCAAATTCCCATGAGCTCATTTAGAAACTGATAATGTAAACAGTCAGTCCACCTTTGGAGATGTGTCAACGGCAGTTAAATGTGATATCATGTGGTGAACCAGAAAAGCGAGTGATTTTTCACAAAGTTTTGAGAAATCCTAAAACTTTTTAAGGTTTTATTAAGTTACAGTGAATTAAATGACTGAGATTTATCATTGAGGGGTCTTTTTTTTCCAAGTCTGGTGAAATTTAAACTGTTCCTTGACCTGCTGGTGTGTAAAGAAATCCACATACTATAGCTCCTATATGGGTCTGTTGTGAAATAATGGTCCTTTTGTTCCTCTCCAGCTTGTCCGACAAGTTAAACAAGAAAACAATAGATCTGCGTTTTAAATGCCATAAACGTTACCCAAGGGACATGCATTCAATTTCTGTTTGTAACTCCATCAGGAAGAGGTTATCTGCAAACTCTATTGACAACAACCTCATAAAGAAATCCTGCAAGTTTACCCGCCTTTCATGTGACGGGATTCTTGTTTAATGACTTCAAATCCATGAAATATACTTCCAAGTATTGTGCCCTATGCTAGATAAAAAGATCCGGTATATAAAAACATTACAGCATAATGAGCTCTTCTGAAGAAGTTCTTTGGAAGAGCTCAAAGGCGGGGTGTAGTTTTCTGGAGAATAACTGAGGGTATAAAAAAACACACGCAAGAGCAGTCTACTCATATGCCCACACACACACACACACACACACACACACACACACACACACACACACACACACACACACACACACACACACACACACACAGTGACCCACCAGTTTATAAAACTCAAGTTCAAAAATCTCAAATCCACACACACAGTGATCACAACCCACCAGTTTAAAAAACTCAAATCTTTTTTTATTAAACTTCTATTTTATGCAATCTGTTTATATAAAAGTTCTAAAGCCATCGGCCTGAGACTAAGACAGACAGTGAGGCAATCGTGTTTTTAGTTAAGTCGTCATTATTGGAGCGGCCTGAGTGCCACAGATGTGTGTCAACAAAACCATAAAAACAGGAGGCATGATGAGCTCAGACAAAAATAAAGGACTACACAGAGATGTCTTTTGCAGTCTGATGATAAGAAGTAGTCTGTGATAAAAACCGGCTGTGGACCTTGTTAATAATTAGGAGTGAACAGAATAAATAACATTGGATTGGTTGAGTCAGTCTCTCTTCGTGCCCAACTGGAAAATGACAGGACATTTGTATCATGGCGATTTCTTTTTTTCTGGGGAGTTGATGTGCTTGATCCTTGAAATTCACAGCTGTATCAACTGTGTGTTTTTGACATCCATTGCATGCGTTCCCCAGCTCAAATGTAAAATCTCGTGTTCAGGATGCAAAATGTGTTTCTGTAAACCATAATCTCCTTTGTTGTTAAACATATTGACCTCAGAAGAAGAATATTTGGATTTATGATTCTGAATGGAGCACATTTTCCCAAACATAATTATTAATATTCTTCTTTCAATTCTCTTAAATACAATATTTTACATGTCAGATTAAATACGGCTAACTGTGCATGAGTGTTTGTGTCTTGGGGCCCATGTAGTGGATCCTTTTTCCCCCCACTCTGTGGTACTGGCACGTTTTTTTTGTGTGTTTTGAAATGAAGGGTTGGGTTCTTGGTCGAGGGACTTTCACTCCACAACCCCTGCAGGGAGCACCACATTGAATGTGTGTGTGTGTAAAAGTGTGTTCAGTCACTGTCACTGGTCTCACTGCTGGGGTCTCCCTGCACCTTGCTGCGGTGCTGCATGGCACGGTGATAAGCCACCTGCACTGACTTGCGGATGTTGGATTTCCTTCCTTCTAGCATCTTCTCCTTGTCCAGCTCCTGGTCAACCCCGAGCGGTACCAGCTTGGAACGAGGAAGCCACTGCCTGGAGACACACAAACACACCCAAAAAAGTCACATAAAATGACTTATGAATCATGATTTATAAGATGCTGCTTATCGCTAACCAAATCAGCTGATTACTTATCATGGTTGTTCGCTAACTACTTCAACCCTAGTTCAAATCCTAACACTTACAGCTGTGTGTCAACTAGTTCCAAGAAGTTACAACATCAATCAACCGATTGAATGCAGTTCAGTGACCTATAACACATATTGTTTTTCCACTCTTATATTCATAACCACGTTTGCCCTACTTCTGCTTCATGTTCTGCCGTCTTGCACTGTAGCACAAGCATTACAGTTTCCTTTGAACTTCAGCCACAGCCTGTCTTATGTGCACACATCCAGTAACATAGGGAGCTTGTTTTGCTTGCGTCTGTTTTTTTTTTTTTACAGTTCTTCATCACTGTGGGGTGAAAAACAGAAACAATATGGAGTCAACAGAAGAGATGTGTGGAAAACACAACAACATAACTAACCAAGTTCTCTTGTTATCAAAGAAAAGGACCAGGAACAGGTGCTCCCTGGCTTCTTGCGTCATTTGCTCCCCTAGTTTCAGCACATCCAAAGGCGGGACAGGGATCGGTACGCCTCGGTGGAAAACTCCCTCTCTGGGCATCTTGGGGTCAATTATCTGCAGACGGTCAAAAGAAGGATTAGATACCTTCAATATCCTGAGGGATAGATTCTTCAAACTTACTGAAATCTGTAGATTTGATTTGTTCCTCACCAGAGCGGGATACGAAGGATATCCTCTGCACTTGGCCCACACCAGGTCCAGAGCTTCAAGAGAAGAATAGTCATCAGAAGTCATCCAGCATCCTGACCTGGCTCGACCGCGCACCACTGACGGTAAGGAGCACAGGAACAGGAAAACAGTCACCATTGTGCGACCTCATTTCCAACTAAAATAGGCCAGCGTCAAACTAAAAAGGGCCAAGAATCTAAAACAAACATCTCTGGCCCCAAAACTGGCAATTCAGTACTTGCCATTGTTATATTTACTTTTCAACGGGTAAAATATTTAAATTTTTTTATAGTTTTGGCTCAACGTGGTACGCTAAAATCTGACAAGATAATGAGTAGTTTTATTGTTAAGTAATTCTGCCACTGCGTGTTGTCCTGATAGTTTTTTTCTTTACTCAGCTTGAGGCAAAAAGTCACTGCCAAACTGCAGAGCGTGACGGAAAAGATCGTTTTGATTGGCACACGGTTTACCACAAGTGCCGTGAGAGAAAAGTTACGATCAGTCACAGATCGTTCGATAAACTGAATCAACGGTCTCACTCAGATTCAAATCATTTCAATGAAATGCGGTGTCTGTGCGCTCACACGAAAAGGAAGAGGTGCTGGTGGTGGTGTGTATGGGGTGTTTTGAGTTTGTGCTTACTGTGTGAAACACTCCGTGATCCCCCGACTGAGTAGGAATCATTCTCGGTGCCTGACGTCTCCTCACTGCTGTCCTCCTGGAAAGCGGAGCGGGAGAACGAGGTCTTTCCTCTGCCTTGCTTCGAGGGGGTCGTACTGAAAGAGACACAAATGTCAGCAAAATTATTTATATGCCAACGAGACAAGACCTTATTTGTACAGTTGTCCCCACAGTTCCCTTGTTTTTACATTTATTTTAGAGATGAACAAGAGGTTTTGATGGAAATGGAAAAGTTCGTTTGTAGACTAATCACCTTGTTCTGTCAGAGGCCGCACTGCTGCTGCTGCTGGTTGTGGACTCAGAGTCCGAGCTGGAACGAGGGAGACGAGTATCATTTCTGTACACGCGGAAGCTCTCGGTTACAGGCTGGTTTCCTCCATCAAAACCGTTACTTGGCAAGCCTGGAGAAAAGTGGAAAGAGAAGATGCGAGATATGAGTGCATGTAATTTAAAATACAGGAGTTTTAAAGTTCATCAAAGCTCATTTGTTTTTCTGTACCAGGGAGCAGGTCGTCATTTTCGCTGTCACTGTCAGAGGTGGAGCTGCTGTGGGGGCTGCGGGGCCTCTTCCTCTGCCTGTTGGAGGACAGCAGAGGAAGCTGAGGAGGACCTATGGGGCTTTGGCTTACACCTGCTCCTCCATAACCCGCATCTCTGTTCTTAGGGGGGCGTCCCGGCCTTTTAGGGGGGCCGGCCATTTTTTGGTTCTTCTTGGAGAAGAGGACAGAAGTCCGCCGGCCCACTTCGGGAGCGGAAGAAGACACACTGAGATCTTGAGGGAGAGAGGGTAAAACATGAAGAATGATTGATTAGATACTTTGTTTGATTTCTACTTTTATTGTTACATCCTGATGATTTTAAAACATGCACCTTTTCCACCAATCTCCTGACTGCTGCTTTCTCCACCTTCATCGAGGTGTCCTGCAGAAGAAGGGTGATGGGGAAGGGAAGAACTGCGGTCAACACCTCCCACAGACTCCCTCCCTCCCAGCCCTGAGCCGCCCTCCCGCTGGTGCGCGAGCTTCCTCTTGATGATGCTGATCTCCTTCCTCAGAGCTTTGGCTCGACGAGACTGACCGATGCTGTGCTTTCCTGAGCTGACCTCATCCAGGCGCGTCTGCAGATAATGCAGCTGCTCCTCCAGCGGCAGCCGGCGTCTGCTCTCTGACAGGACAAGGTCAAGGGGGAGTAGAGGGGGAGGAAACATAATAAAGATGTTACGAGATAATTGTGAAAGCTGTTAAATTTCTCTGGAAGTATGAGAGGGAGGGATGTGGGCCTTTCCTGTGATCACTGGCTGGAAACGTAAATCTATTTCTGTAGTGCTGATGTTTGCTGTACCAGACTGTGCATGTCTGAAACTTAACTGGCGTGAGGGCAAGATACCAGGAAGCCATGTAAGGAGAAAACCAGTTCATACAAGGAAAGAGTATCACTGATGACATCTTGACTGATTTAAATAACTCTAATGCACCACCTACTGGTCAAGATAGTTAACTGTAAAGATTATCATCGCTTCAATTTAAAGCTCCAGTGAGGAGTTTTCTGACACCAAAGGAAATGACTGAAACTTATATTAAGGACTTTCTATGATATCCAGGGCAAGTGAAATCCGAAAGCGACAAAACTGATGGTTTTTATAATGTAATTTTTAATGCCTGAAACTGGTGGGAGGGGATACGCAGCTGAGGAAACATGCTGCATTCGAGTTACCTCTGAAGTCAAATGTCGGCGCTGCAAATGACGTCACACCTGAGTTACCAGCGTTTCAGTTACCAAGTCGGAAAAAAGCTAAATCAGAGGCGGAAAAAAATGGCAATATCTACAAAAGAGGATGCTAAAATAACTTAAAAGAACTAAAATAACAAGCGCTGAAATGATGTAGCAATCTTGTTTTGAAATGATAAAAACAGCTGTTTTAATAATTTCCACAGAAATATTCAGAGTAAATGATACTTTAGTTTGTTAAAAGTCAGCAGGATGACCCTTTCGGTCAGAGGACACTATATTAATTCGACAGAGAACAAGATAAGCAAAGACTGCTTTGTCCACGGGGGGGGCTCCAAATTTATGTAAACCTTGAGTTCTTCACAAGGGCCTCATTTACTTAGTTTGCTAATCTCATATTTATAATGATGTCATTTTTCTGACCTTGTTATTTGATCCTATATTGGAGTAGATTTTATTTTCATGGCTCCTTTCCTTTCCTGTGATTGTTCTTAATGTATAATTTATCAGTAATCTGGTCTGAGTTTTTCTTTTTTCAAATACTGATCTGATGTTGATATTTGTACCTTTAGGGCCTAAAGTAAGAGAGCTTCTTACCATCCTCATTAGGTGACAGCAGACGTTCTCTTTCTCGATCTCTGTCCCTCTCCCGGTCTCGTTCCCTCTCCCGTTCCCGCTCCCTCTCTCTGTCTCTGTCTCTCTCTTGCTCACGTTGGCTGTCTGGACTCGGCTCCCTGGGGAGGTGCATGCCGGTCTCGTAGTCGAAGCCTATCCGTTCAGCTTGCCGCCTGGCAGTCCTTATGACGGCCCCGCCCATCTCTCTGAGCCGCAGAGCAGCGCGGTAGAAGACTGTGTCCTTAGCGTTGTACTTGAGGCAGTTGTTGACAATGAGGCCAAAATCGGCCTCAAAGGCCTCGAAGGTGAGGTAGCGGTGAGACTCCAGCAGGTTCCACATGGTCTGGAAGTCCATGGGGGTGTCGATGTGGTCCAGGTAGTCCGGTACCTTGATAGTAGAGGACAAATATAGAAGAATAATTCAAATTCTAAACTTTGGATGAGTAAAAAAGGAAATCTGGGTGTTGAAGAAAAACTACACTGATATTGAAAAAAGGTGAAGAGATCATACAGACTTATTTCATGTGTTTTTGTTTTTGAGTGCATGTTTTTACCTCCGCCAGCGGTACAGGCTCAGTGAAGAAGTTGTTTGTGTCTCTTTCCTGTAACTGTTCCAGCGTGCTCCTCAACAGCACCAGGAAGGGAGTCAGCTGCATCTCCAGCGCCATCTGCTGCACTTTAATCTGAAACCAGACGCATTCATAACTTTACACCTGCTCACTTTTTCTCATCTCAAACGCAATGAGACCTAATCTTAGCATGAGCTGAACAAATTTACAAAAACAGAACAAAAAGAAGACGGGGAAAAAAAATCTGAGAAGAGAGTGCCAGTTTTTTTTTTCTGTTAGTGTGTATGTCCAGAAGAGGGGTTTGGGTAATGATTAGGATGAGGGTTAGGGGCTGCAGAAGGAGTTTAAAATCAGCTCTCCAGTGCAGATGGTGTGGGGGAGATCATGGTGGTGATGAGGGGGATTTGTGAGATTATGTTTTTCTGGGTGATCCCCAACAGCAGCTACGTCAAGACCCTCAGGGGGGAATTTGCCAGTTAGAGATAGGGATGAACCGATACGATATTTGGATTGGATATCAGCTCCGATATTGACAATTTAACTGGATCGGATATCTGATGAATGACACTAATCCATCGATCCAGTCTTTTTTTCTTTTAATTCGTTTTTCTTCTAATACATGGAAGTCTTACTTCTTTTTGCTGTGTGCTAATGTGCAATTTGTACTTTGTTAATAAATGATATTAAGTAGATTTATGTCTGTGTTAATTTGCTACCCTTTTTTTTATTTTTTTAATTAATCTTTTTATTAGAGGTCAGGCCAAAAGTCATTCCACAACATTTAAATAGCATCAGAGAATACAGTCTCTCAATAAACAACAAACGTCATAAGGATAATTGCAGAGATGTCGTCCGCCAACCTCCCTTCGTTTTTCTTGTTTTTTAACAAATGATAAAAAAAAAAAAAAATAAAAAAAATATATATATATAAAAAAAGAAAACAAAATAAAAATATAATCCGACAAACACAAGATAATCTTATGTTAAACAATATAGAATGCAATTATCAGATAAGGGACTTTACCTTTTTTTTTTAACAAGGCTAATGTCAAGCCTGATGCCTTCACTCACAGGGCAAGGTATACAGTTCATTTATTCAACAGTAGTATTAGATCGGTATCGGATATCGGCCGATACGCTCAGCCCAGGTATCGGTATCGGATTGGATTGGAAAAAAAATTGGATCGGTGCATTTCTAGTTCGAGAACCTGGACAAAGTGTTGCCATTGGTTCTAATGATGAGGGCATAGTGTCACCCAGTACTCAGCAGTGTTTGTAGACAATCAGTTGTTCGGTGTATGAGATAACACCTGCAAATTAATCCAACATAGAGACACTTCCAGGACCAGAACTGTGTATGTGCACACTGAGTTGTGTGTGTGTTAGTTTTGACTGGAAAAAGTAGCTGATGTGTGTGATGTTGTGTTGTGTAGCAGCTGATTCTCAAAATGTCAAATGTATCAGAGCTTCCTCACAGCACTTTTAAATGGCACCTCCCACACCAGGAGGAACTGAGCGCAACAAACGGTTCTTAACTCTGAGAGAGCTGAAATGACTGAAAGACTGTATGGAAAACAAAAAAATAAATATATGCACAAAAGTTGTTGTTTTCTTTCCACACAAGCATCAAACAAATAAATCTCGTTTGTGTCTAACCGTCTCCCTCTTGAGTTTCTCCCTCTTGCGGATGAGCTCCACCAGAAGCCGCGCCCTCTCCAGGTCGTGTCTGAGCCTCTGCCACGCCTTCAGCTGTTCCTTCAGCGCCATTTGTTTCTCCTCGCTGTCCCTCTGCGGTGCCAACACCCACAAACCCAAAAAATCATGTTAGACAAAAATCATTCACAGATCAGAGAGACTTGAAGAATAAGCTGCTGCGCAATTTTAAAAGTTACCGGAGGGAGCTGTGACGGAGGTTGAGGAGGGAGTGGGTCAATATGTCGCTGTGACTGCAGGTGAGTTTGGAGCCGACGTAACAGAGGGACGCCGTTACGGCTTTGCCTTTTCAGGGTCCAGTAGCTGTGCAGTCGCTGCATAAACTGGCTCTTCCGAGGTACCGTCAAGTTACTGGTGATTTTGCTCAGCCTGAAGGAAACAAACAGATGTCGTATATGTAAAACTTCATTTTCCCGTTAGAAATTTGCAATACAGCACAGATGGGTTTGCGGTGAAGCAGCTTAAGGTGTCACCATGATGATTTTGTACCTGTGGGGAGGGATGCAGGGTACAGACACAACCGGTGCGGCAGCTCTTCTCTCAGCTAAGATCTTCCTCGCTCTTTTCATCTTCAGCCTTGACTTCGCCTTTGCCCTTTTGGCTCGCTCAGAACTCCAACCCTTGGAATCGTCGTCATGGCCAATGCTGGGCTCATCATCCTCCTCCAGCTCTCCCTCGCTGTGAGAAGAACCCATGCTGGCACCTCCGACTCCTCCCAAAGGTCTAGCCGACCCTGGTGGCGTGTGGATATCACAGTAAGCCGTTTTACGCACGCTGAATGAGGTGCCGTTAGCGCCGGTCTCTCTGACGGGCTCCATCTTCATATAGAGGCCGGCTTGCTGGGCACAGGTGACGTGGAAGGCGGTGTAACAGTTGGCTTTGTGACACTGGATGCAGGCGCCTGACCCGCGCTGCTTGCAAATGTAGCAGGTAAGCTTCCAGCGGGCGGGGGGAATGTGCTCGATGCTGTCAATCGGTTCCAGGAAGACTGTGTTCGCAAAGCAGACCTGAGGAAAGGCAGGAGAATTATTTCTATTCAAAAAACTAAAATAAGCATTTGGCTGGTACTGAGATAAAATACAGATGTTGTTATTACGGGTTTGAATTCTTGAAGGTGTGCTTCACATTTAACAGTGATGAGTAAACTAAGATATATGTGGAACCACATGCATTTGATACACAGAAAAACAAGCAACCAGAAAAAAAAAAGACAAAAAAGATGAAGTTTCTGTTTCAAATGTTTTCCTCAAATTCTTGGACTGTGAAATTAAGCTTTTTATACAGTCATGGAAAGTTGCACCCATGTCAGAAATTACGTTCACTTTGAATTTGAAGGAAAACGAGGTGTGCATCTCTGTCAAACACATCCTCTGGGTTCAATGGTTTACCTCTGGGATCCAGAGGGCACACACCACATGCGCCCAGCGTGCGTCGTCTGTCTGTTTAAAAGCACCTCCTTTGTTTGGACAGAGAGCACAGTCCACAGCTCTGCTCGGTGACTGCAGGCAGCGTCGACACAACCACTGTCCCTCTGGGATGTAGGGCACACCGTAGCACTCCTGATGCACAGCCAGGTTACACATGTCGCAGAACAGGATCACATTGCTGTTCTGACACTCCCCGTCATTACAGATGCAGCAGACAGCATCCTCGTCAATCAGGGTGCTGGGGTCAGCCTGGGAAACGAGACGGTGATGTGAGGTCTGTGACAGATGCATTTCAGCATGTTTCAGTGGTTGGAAGTTATTTTCTAAATTCTAATACCTTGTTGTGGCTTTCAAAGTAGGACTCCTTTTCCAAGCGGTCCATGAGGTACTCAAAGACCTCCTGGGGAATGGGCGTCACACCGTCTCGTCGCCGCTTGTCGTTCATGATGTCCAGCCAAATGTAATCTTCCTCGTCGATGTCGTATTCCACCTCCTCATCCAGCTCCTCCACGGACTTATCGATGTACCTAAGGAAAAGAGTGGGGTTGAGTTAAAAAAAGAGTAATCAAATGGGGGCATGGGACTGAGCACAAAACAATTCATGTTTTCCCGGACACAAGCACCACAATGAGCTGTAAAACTCCAAACAAACACACCTTCTGTATCATAATTAGATTAGATTTCTTGATGCAGACCTGTAGTAAGATGAAGGTCGAGGAGGGGCATCAGGTCTCTCTTGGTCCAGTTCTCTGAAGACCGCCTCAGGAAGTTTGACTGCAGGTCCAGATTGAGAGCTGTGGTGATGAGAAGAACCGTCCTTCTTCTTCTCCTTACTCTTATGCTTCCCAGACTTTGGGGTGGATTTGCCCCCATTAGAAGACGGGATATCCGAGCGGTCTTTGCTGCTGCCTCCTACCTCACTGCCTCCTCCATCATTACCGTTACACACACCTCCACCACCACCTCCAGTACCAGATGGTGGAGCATCATCTGCATCACTGTCCTCCTCTGATACCACATCAATGTTCTCAAAGATGCTAATGCGATGGATCCGCCCCTGGAGCTCCAACTCCACCATACGCTGTGCCTGGGCATACGTCATAGTCTCTCTGCCCGGGGAGTGAGAGTGCTCGGAGCGGTTTGGGCTTCCAGGAGTGTTCCCTTCCTGTCCAGGTCCTCCACCTACGTTACTTCCACCTTCGTCTGTATCCCCAGACCCAGCAAGTGAGGCACGAGGAGGCCGTCCCTTCCTCTTTTTCTGGGGTACAGTCTGTGCAGGGGTTGGGTTGTCATGGTCGTAGTGGTATAGGTGATACTCGATTCCACTGTAGCTCTTGTACACCTTACGGCAAGTCTCCACAGGGCACTCATACGGGGGCTTGGTTGCCCGCAGATTGTGACAAAAAGTCTTTACATCAAAGTCCAGCCCCATTGTGCCAACAGCCACTGCTGGGACAGATGCTGTTCAAGTTTACATCTGAAAAAGAAAAATGGAAAGGAGGATCAGTTCAAGAGATATCTTTGAGTGCTCATGATGTGTTTAATATACTGACTGGTCATAACATTGCCAACACCTAAGCAATCTAATGTAACCAATAAAATAGCTCTACTACAAACACTTCTTTTAATAAGCTTTAGAAACTTGTGGACATAATCAGACAGGTGATTGGTTACTTAACATTTATCATTAAAGACACAGTTGGTGGTGGTTAGGGCTGGGCGATAAAATGATAACGATATATATCGAAATTGAATTTCCCCCAGTATCGATATAAAACATGGGCAATATGCTTCTTGATAGTCGGCATTCTGCCATGTTTTGCTAGACTATATGAATAACCAGTGAATAGGGGAGTTGCTCTGGGTCCGCTTCACGATGGACTAATTGTGTGCTGAATTAGAACAAAGTGGTAAACAACTGCGTAGTAGCAGGCTGCAGCTACATGCAACCACAGTATTTGACAGGTGAAGCTGACAGCACTGTGGGTGAGAGAAAAAGAAAATGAGTGCTACACCTAGCAGAAATGAAGATGAAGGCTCAACAGATAGTGACATCGTCAACAACAAGTGGTGTGGGGGTATTTTGTTTTTTTTAGGTTGGACATGAAGCAGAGTAATGTGCACCGCAAATTATGTCGAGTACATGTTCTCGCAAAGTTGAGGAACACCTCACACCTTTTATTTAAGAGTAACGGAACATTTAAGATTCACAAGTGATTTTTTTAGATGCTGACATATATCGATATCGACTGATATGAAATAAATATAACGTTATAAACTTTATTCCATATCGCCCAGCCCTAATACTGGCCGGTCATAACATTGCCAACACCTGAGCAATCTAATGTAACCAATACAAAAGCTCTACCACAAACACTACTTTTGGGAAGTTTTAGAAACAGACAGTTTACTTCACATTTATCACTCAAGATACAGTTGACGGTGGTGTACTGGAATGTGTTATAAAGTGGACAAAATATAAGGAAAAGTTTTTACCAAACATAAAGCAAGCATGGCTTAAAACCCTAAAAATGTAGAAGCTTTACAAAGGTAGTATTCATGGGAGGGCTCTTGTATTGGGCCACATTAGATTGCCCAGTTGTGTACATTTCATTAATAAGAAATTACCTTCTTACCCTCAACTGACAGAGTTCGAGACAATAGTCCTGACAAGTCGTGCGTGGGCATTATGCACCTGTTATAGTGTAGTCACGTGACGATGCCCCAAATTCCCAATAGGAACTACACACATTCATTTTCAGATCCAAAATAACAGGTGCAATGTAAATCAACAAGTCTGCATTTGCTCTTTGTTGTAATAATATTTTTCTACATTCAGTGAAACTAACCGACAAACAGAAAGTGTGTGAGACAGTATTTTCAGGCTTGTTTACATCTCCTGAGTTGGAAACCATCCAGGTGAACACTGGTGCACAATTGGAAGCCGGGTTTGAATATAGGAGGGAACCCCGTGGGTTTTTAAGTCTTTTACTTGAGCTAATTTTATCCATAACATTTAGCAAAAGGCTTCCTCCTCGAACAATGAAAAAAAAAAACAGGAGCCTGACGCAGTTAGCCTGCAAGCTAATAGCAGCTATAGCTGTGTGGAGGCTAGCTACCCACACACAGAGAGAGAGAGAGAGAGAACACATTCACATAATGTACATTTGGGCTGGTTTAATTATTCAAAGATAATAAGTGGGTGTGTAAAGTTACACACAATGTTATCTGTCTGTGGCTTGGATGGCCATTCAACCCTCCAGTGTTTCCCTCCACAATGACCTCACACCGTGAATCCCAGACACTGTGCTGCAAATGCTGTTTAATACTCAACAGGAAGAGGTTAACACTCTACAAGAGCATGTCAGATCAGATCTATTATCAATTAAGGATTTCAGCTCAATATACCAATTTTTCCTCCATCTCTGAGGCAAAATAGGCTTCCCCTGAAATGTTGAAGATAGTCAGGCATCTTTGTGTTGCATTAGCACCTTGCTACTTTGTGCTTTTAGGATACACTAGATTACGAAGCTACAACAAAACTAAAGAATATTAAAAATTGAGGTTATAGTGACTAAAAGTGACCTATTTTTTCTCCAAGCCGTGTAACGCTGCAGATCTGTGAGCACTTACTACTCCACGTTCCTCAAGACTGCCCGCTTCGGAAACCGCACATCTCGGACGGGGTTGTTGATCGGTTCTTCAGTTCATCAGATAGTCGCGGATGAGTTCAGCAGTAATGTAGGTAACGGTGTTTTTAAGAGAAACAGTTTCATATCCCGATCATTTCATTGTGTAGGGAATAATTCAGGAACTCGGCTAAACAAAAGGGGGAACCGTTGCTGTAGCGTTGCGCCGCAGACTGCGGTCGGCATATTCGCCACACACAGCAGGGTCTATTATTTGGATTTCGGTGAAAATGGCGCCTTTATTTTCATTTTATACAACATTGTTTTACTGTAATTACTTTTAATCAATGTAATGATTTATTATCCGCACATTCTCTGGGAATAATCTCCAACGGGTGTATTCATTTGATGTGGCGAATCTGTGGTTCTGTTTCAAAGAGTTAGCATGAAAACCATATACAGTCTATGATGGAAAGATTTGATCTAGATTCAGTTATCAGTGGGATTTTAGTGGTAAAAGAAAGACTTGGTTAAAAATATAGGGTTAGGTAGGCTTGTTTAACTTTCAGACACCAAATTTGTTTAAAAAAAGAGTAACAGTTCATCCCAACCTTATGTATTTATTTGTTTTAATTGTCATCCCTTAAAAGTCAGGTATTCAGTGTTGCAAAAAGTAGGCCTAAAGGTTGTGAAATTTGATACTATAGGGCCCATAGACTGTGACAGATATTTGCCATGCTTTATAAACTGATTTTGACACACACAAAAATATCCTTAAAAGTTGCCTGCATATGTCCAACTTTTTCTTAAAGGTTGCCTAACTTAATCAAGTATGTTAAACCAGCCCCACCTGACCTCCTGACTAAAGTTTGTTCCAGCTTTCACATGATTTCGCCTAGCTGGATGAAACTAAAGGCTCAAGTTTTAGCTATTTATTCCCATTATTGAAGAGGTTTGAATGTAAAACAACTCATCCTCTAAAAAAAAGGTACATTAATGGCCAAAAAAAAAGAAAGAAAGAAACACTCAGTCTCCTCACCTTAATGTATCGTCCGTTCACAAATCTAAGTGTCAAAGCCATAATTTTATTAAAACAGTTTTGAGAAATCACTCATAGAAAAAAAAACAATGACACAAACACAAACCTCAAGCACAAAATAATATTTATTTCTCTCTCAACATACAGTCCGTGAATAGAGTGCAGCAGGGTAGGGTGGGGTAATGCAGTGGGACAATCAGCAGGCAGAAGCAATCCCACACAGTTTAAATACAAGCCTTTGACAATCGGAGCATATTCACCAGGGGGCATTGTTGTCTTCCAGAGAGAAGTGAGATGTTCAAAGGTAGAAGAAACGCTCCTCCTCTGTGCATCTCAGCTCTCCTTTTGATCACTGCATCCAAATGAATATGCAGACAATAGTTATTCCCTCGTCTGCTCACCAAGAGTTAGCAGAGAGGGAGGTGGAACAAAATATACCAGATACAAGTGACAGAGAACAGAAATCTCTTACTACTGGAAATATTTCACCAAAGCAGAAGACTCTGCATAATATCCTATAAAATTCCAATTCAAACCGAATTGATGGATTAATGTACATCAAAACAACCCCTCCACCTCCACTACCAACACCGCCATACACACATTTCACCATCAGACAAAAGAAAAAAAAAAGGTACAAATATATATAGTACAAGACAACTGTACAATTCACAGCTTGGCAGGATTGGGGTGCTAAAATCCTTCAAATGTGTTGTGGAGATGTGAAATTTCGGACCGCAGTAGCTGTTTTATTTATCTTTGCGTTGTGGAACATGAGTTGGCCATGCTTATCTGTGACTTGAAAAAGTACACACTATGAAACCAGATATACACAGTGTAGGAAACTGTTAAACATAGTTTAGGGAAACTATAAGTTGTGCAAATCTCCAGCATCAAGTATCATTTGAATTTTGCAATATTTACTGAAACAAAAAGGAAAAGAAGGCTGTTAAACACGTTTAAACTCCAACAAGGCAATAACACTGCTTCGTGAGCATTTCATTTGTTTATCTTCTTTGAGGAGTTTTTGTTTTTATTTTAAGTACCATTATCTGTGAATAGAATGCGAAACTGTACAGTGGAACCTCAGACAATAGCAGCATAAAAAAACTAAGCTTTACACATCAAATAACTTAAAAAGTCAGACCTAACTGGTGATTGCACATATTTTTACATACAGTGTATGCTGAGTAGTAGGAAAGCCAAGTTGAAAGAACATTAAGCAGTATTGACTTCAGAGTTGAGTTTGTGGTATGTATGTTTATACTTTGCCGGGTAACTTTTATCTGTTGCTTTGTGATTTTTTAAACTTTGTTCAACTTATCAGCTTGCTCCTGTTGCACACATTAGAGTTAAGGCTTGTGGCAAGGCCACGATCAAAGCTTTGTGGAGGGGTTAAATTGCACTTTAAAGCCTCAAGCCTTTCCATATTAATTGCTACATTCTGATCACTACCAGAGGCATAAACTGTAGAGAGAACTATAAGTATCTATGGCTCTGGACACTGCCTTTACTCCCAGCACAAGGCTACAACATTGCAAGCTCTTGTGCGGTTCAACACTCAAAAAGAGGCTGCGTCCAACCAAACCATTTGACCTGAAAAAGTGGATTTTGGCTGCTGGCATTTTTTTTTTCTTATCAGTCGCACATTAACCATTTGATTCTGCAAGGCAACGGCACATCTCACCACTATGGCATTCCACCTGTCACATGGGTGAAAAGTAAACAAGGGTTAAAAACATGATTTTATTAATTAAATAAGAGCATATACTTGTGTTAATAGTGCAGTACTGCAAGGGCATTCATATGTAAACGAAAAACAAAGTGTCTGTGATACATAAAAAAAAAAAAAAAAAAAAAAAAAAGGGACTGCACTCAAGCTACCATTCAATAAAATAACTTGGATGCAGACATGCTGTAGTTTCCCAAGGAAGAAAACCATCAATAAATCAATGTTCAAGGCACTACATTCCTTCGGATATCTTCATCATAAATACTGTCCTGTTACTGTATCTCAAACCACTGGTTTTTGGATTCCAATGTAGTGTTTAACATGTATGTAACAGAGAAAGGCAAAATCAGTGTGAACACTGCAGTAATACAGTAGTTCTAAAAAGATAAAAAGAAAAAAAGTGAAATACGATCTGTGACCACAGACTAAATGTCTTGTATGGCTAAGTTTAGTCAAGACCAAAGCCAAGAAGCACTGGGTATTCAGACATACACACTTAACATCGACCATAAAGTAAACCCTCATACATTCAAGCACACACTCACACACAAGAAACTACAGATATAGGTGTTGTACAAATGATACTAACACTCTGATGTTATTTACAAGGTCACATTATGTACACGTGTGGCCCTGGTGAACCAAAGCACAGCTGAGTAACAGATTAGGTAGTCCTAGTGGTTTTCAGACAGGGGCCGGTCTCGGGGTCGTGCATGGCCCGAGGGTAGCCTTGGATCCCTGGGTTTGCCATTGTGCCATAGAGCGTATTTCTTGAAGCACCGAGCAGGCCTACAGGACCCACTGACCCAACAGGGCTGGGCAAGCCAGGCCACTGCTGGGGGTAAAGAGGACCGGGTACCATCCCGCCGTAGGAGCCTGCTGGTGAAATGTACCCTGAAGGGAGCATTGCTGAGGAGTTGGGTGCTAGGGTAGTAGGCATACTGGGGCCTAAAGCAGCAGTCAGGGGGCAGGAGAGAGGTAAGTGGAACTTGGTGGAACCAACACGGCACTTCATCTGAAACAGAAGGAGGATTTGGTCAAAAAAAAAAAAAAAAGAGGATAACACCACATAACTAAAGCCATGTTTTCACCAGAAATATCCAGGTCCTTTCTGGACTAAATAATTCCTCCAGCCTTTTGCTGTTGTCATTTCCACAGAGTTCTTTAAAATGAGACAACTGAGTTTGACTGAGAAAAGTAGGGTGTAAACAGTACCAACTTTTTATCAATCAAAATTATCCCAGCTGCACATTTTCTATTTGAACTTATTTACTTATTACTTATAAATGAACAAAAATCACTTTTGTTCCAACCTATGTGCTCCGAGGTATATACTGTAAATTGTGCAATTCCCGACCCAGTGATTCTTCCACTTCAGAAAGCTGTAAAAAGTTCCTTTCATTAAGACACAGCTATCGATTACAGAACAGCACCACCATGACCCCTTTCTCATCCACTGCTTTAATTATCATCCGTTTCATACCTCGCATGTAGCTGCTCCCTTGGGTGACGCTCTGCCTTCCAGGTCCTGCTGCCGTCTCTGCTGTTTGATCTGGTTCAGGGAGAGCCGTGGCTGATTGGCCGCAGCTACAGTCTCCTTTGTCCAGTCGTCCACCAGCTTGTGAAGATCATCGGTGAATGTGCCTCTCTTGTTGTTGCTGTTGTTGGTCTGGACCTGAGCGAGCCGTGTGATTGGCTGAGGAGATGGTGAGGGCGTGGTTGTGGTGAGGGTCGGCTGTGTCTGACTGGCGGCAGTCGGAGTTGCGTTGGTGTTGAGAGAAGACCCTAAAAAGATACAAGGATGTTTAAAAATCGAGCCGTTTGAGGAACGCCAAGCCCCCTTCAAATCAATTGGCTGATGTATGGCAGTCGTTTTAGACACAATGAACCTATAATATCACCTTCATGAAAGCCAGCCTTTATATTACTGGGGTCAGGGTAAATATGTTTGTTTTTTACAACTTACTGACTCTGCACATAGTCTGCCAACAAAGCAGCCAAAGGATTGCAACATAAATGACTTTCATGAGTTATTATAGACAAATGACATGTTTGGTATGCAAGCAATGACAAATATTCTGCAATCAAGACATTGACACTGCCATGCAGAACACACACACAAATAAATAAAAAAGAAATAATAAAATATCTGTGGTGTTTCCACACTTTCATAAAAAACAACAACAACACATTTTTAGGTGACTGAGTAAAAAGGTAGAAAAATAAGAGCACATTCAAACAGGGAGGACTAAAATAGTTGAGACAGAGGTAAGAAAGACAGAGAGTAAGAAAGTAAATGAGATAGTTACTACTACTGCGATCTTTGCCTAGACATAGTCGTTTCAGAGTGGACCCTATAAGAAGGTAAAACAGCACAAGACAGAAACAGTTAGGCCAGGACACAATGCACACCACAAATATGTGGACAAGCTGCTTTAAAAGCACAATCAGCTATTAAAACAATTGGGGAAAGAGAGAGAGGAAAAGCAGGACAAGGGGGTTGAGAATCAGTGAGGAGGAAGAAAAGAGCCTACATGTTCTCTCTTAAGTGGAAAACTTCTGGAAAGCTGACTACAAGAATGGCGACCCTTATAAGACTGAGAAAGAAGAAGCCTTGATTGGGATGGTGCATTTTAATTGGTTTCATCATATGTTACGTTGCCTTGCGAGCCAGCCAAGAGAAAACTGTTTTCCTTTTTTTTTTTTCCAGACATTGAAGAAATTCTCTCACTTCAAAACTTTTCAAATGAAGTCAGATATTTAGCTTGTAAAATATAAAAAAATGACTTCTTGGATCATTAATCTAGAGAGAGAGACCATGACAAATATTAGTGTTTGCTAAAGTATGGAAGACTGGAGCCTGGATTAAAAGAGAGATCCCTTTGTCGAATGCTGTGAGAATGCCTGTGAAACAAAATGTGAAACCAAAATGAGGAGAAACCTCAAACTGAAAGAGCACACAGATACTAGCCGTAACTCATCAGAGTTCAAATTGGTTCAAATGCATGCAGGTAACTTAGGAGAGATGGAGGAAAGTAAAAAATAAGAAGTAATATTGATGATACAGCCCTTCATATGGCGGAGTAAGTCTCCATCAGTGCCCTGCTTGGCGCCTGCACCATGCACGTCTTCCTCGTCCAAATATGAGGGACAAAGAGAGCTCTCCTCTACCTCAGCAAGGGGCCTTGCTATCAGGAAAGGGTTGGAAGTGGGGGTTGCTGGGGTCTCAGTGTTAGTATGCAGAGGGTTACTGAGCTGGGCAAAGTGCCTGTACTTGGGAAATGTTATACAATTAAAATTAATGGTGGATGGAGACTCACAACAAATTGATGGTGTTGTATTCCTCTAACACATGTAAATACACAGACACACACACACTTGTTAAAGCTCTGTGTTCAGGCCCATGTTTGGACAGAACTAGCCCCATAATGCTCATGGGGTCTGTTTTTTTTTTTTAGCAGCCAGAAGCACTGCACAAAGCATTTGCATGAGGCGGAAGGGGTACTGTACCCAAAATGAATGGATATGAACGGAACTGAGATTTTGTGATTTATCGCCAGAGGTACGGCTAGATAAAGCCACAAGCACCCCGGGAACTGAGAGCCACACGCATGGATCAGGAAGAGGCTTACACACCTTGAAAATGTTTCCTTTTCAATCTTCATGCCAGGAGAGTGAATGTTTGACAGACTTCATGGGCCATTAATAAAACGACAGTCACTCCTTTTGTTCAATTTCATACTTCTTGCCTGATGGGGCAACCCTTGAGGCAAAACTGCATCATTTTGTACTCACAGACTAGGGTGCCAGTAATATGGTCGGTGCTGCAGGATAACGCACTGCCATTTTTACACCATAAAACTCTACAAGACAAAGCACACTGTTTATACTGTTTTTGCACAAGTATCTAAAGGACTGTCTAAAGGGGGAGCACTTGCAGTAACAGTATGCATGCATGTAGCAAATGAGTAATTACTCTGATCCTGCATTCATAATCAAAAAAGGAAGTCATTGTTACTTTTGCTTAAAATACAGAACAATAAAAAAGCCCCACACCTGCCTCGGTATGCCCGGCTAATTGAATTCACCTCAACAAGTTGTAACAGGAGTAGAATGAGTATTACAAAGACTGAGAACTACTAGTGCAGTCATCTGTAAATGCTGAATTTCTTAGATCAAACTTGTGGACTAAACCACCAGCTACACAGAGTTACTGTGTTGAGCGTTTTGAAGATGAAAAGGAAACAAATCCTGTTTAAAGAAGAAGTTGATTTTGGTGAAGCTGCTTCTGTTCGCTAGAGGCTCAGATGACTTGAAGATATCAGTCCTGAATATCAGCATTGTGTGTGTATGTGATGGATAACCCCTGGTGGTCAAATTGAAAAAAAAAAACAAAAAAACATAAAGAACGTAAGCTTAGAGGTCGTTGGGTGCGAGAGGTAGGGAAAGAAAATGGGTCATGTATGTAAGGTGGGGAGGCCTGTGAGGAGGGTGAATATAAGATCCACTGGATCACATTTGAACACAAAACATGTGGTTGATAAAAAAGAGAGAGCCAGGTAAATAAAGAGAGGATGGAAATATGAGTGAGGGGAAATAGAAAAGAACAAATACAAACAGATGGACAGAGACACAGGTCCACTGAGGAATCTAGTGCGTGGTTTGCTACTAGATTTATAGGTGACTCTCTCTGACGTTTGGTGGTAAACCGTCCAGCCTGCAAAAATGAATATAAGAGGGAAGAAGAGAAGAAACAAGAGAGACACTTTGTAAAAGTGCACACAGACTGGGGTGAGAAACCCCCACAATCAAAAGTACCAGAAATGGAGGCTAAGCAGAATTAAAGAATATGCAGTATCCGATTTTGATCAGTGGAAAATATAAGCCAATAATCACAACTGATAATACTGGGATTTATTAGGAGAGCAGAGGGAAAACACAAATTGGGGATTAATTGGTTTTGACTGTAGTAACTTTTGTCAATGAATTAAATAATTAAAGTTTATTTAATGGATCATAGAAAATTGTAAAATGTGTTTAAAGCTTCCGAAATAAGCATCTGTGTGTGCAAATGCTTTTGTAATGGCACAAAAACAGAAAAAGAGTAAAATAATGAAAAAGCACTCTAACATTTTTAAAATGAAAAAATCAAGTTTCAGATAAAAGTATAAAATGAAGAATTTTAAACCCCAAACAAAAGTTTTTAGAAAGTCAAGAACTCTACAGCTTTGTGCAGCTCATGAAAACAGATTTCTATCAGAAGTGAAACCAGTATAAAAATCTTTAAACTATAAACAAGGTAGACTGCAACATCCAGGAATTCATAAGGAAGACTGACATATTTACATAGAGAGCACTATAGAATATTGCGGGAAACAGTGCACCAAAAGAGTGTATTTTTATGATATGTCAGTGTTTTTTTTTTTTTTTTTTTAATACTACGAGACAAAATATGACGTTATAGGTAATCTAAGTACAAACAAAGTGGACCTGTCTGTGTCTCTAGTCCTTGAGAGTAAGACTCTCAGTCCAGATGGAGTCAAAATGTTGTCCTTGGACAGATTGAACAACATCTATAGCGTAGAGTTAGTTCAGTTTTGATGATGATATGTCCCATTCACACGCGCACACACATACTGGCATATTTAAAAGTTTAGTTTGTACCTTGTCCGGGGCCAGATTGGTTGGCTGTTCCATCACCGTGACGTCCAGCATAGATGTTGTCTGAGGAGAAAGAGCCCTTCAGAGAACAGGGCTGCTTGGTGTGGACCTGCTCTGGGGCGGAGTGGGGCTGACTGCTGGAGCTGGAGCTACCGCTGGAATGGGCGGAGCCATCTGACAGAACTGAGCTTTTAGCAGGGGAGCCGGATGAACTGGCACCACTGTCACCTTGATAGGAGGAAGAAAAAAAAAACGACAAAAGAAAAAGAGAAAAAACATTTTTTAGAGAGAGTGAGTCACAGCATGAATCACATTCCTACAGTTTTCTGAACATGACATCATTCTTTTGTTCTCTACTTGTGGACTTCAGACTGAAAAAAACTCCCATGCGCCCGTGCAATCATGAACCACTTATCACCCAACCATCGCAGCCTACACACCTTTCCTTTCTGTGGAGGTGTTGAGATTGTTTTTGAGCTGCTGCACCATCGGGTTGAGCAGCTTCCCAGCCTTCAGCTTCTGTTTACTGGCCCTGCGCCTGCGGCCGCTTGGGGGTGCAGCATGAAGTAGGCCAACATTGGGGGGCAGTGTTTTTCCCAGCTCCTTGTAAAGATGCTCGATCTCACTCCTCTGGAAAGCCTGCAGCTCAGAGATCTCCTTCATATGTCTGGTAAGAAGATTCAAAAAGAAGAGCGGGAGTTTAAGTCCAAGTATTTCTGACACGCCTCGATCTGCAGCTTTTTGTCATCTGTTGAAACTTCAAATGCAGACGACATAAATTAAATAGTATTGCTGCAAACATTACTAACTATGAGTAAGTTATTTCAGTATAATAGCTCGAGGTTGGAGGTGGATGTTAACTTACTTTTCTCTCAGTTTCTGTAGTTCTTTCTTCATATCAGCGTCCTCAAACTCTGAGTCGTTGTCGCTGCTGATGTAGGATGAATGCGCATGTCCTGCAGCAGGCGAGGGAGCATGACCATTCACCGCCATGGGAGGTCGGCTTGGTGACTCAGAGCTCTGCTCGCTTTTACTCCGACCAGACCGCCGCAGGAAGGCCACCGCTCTCTTCATGAGGTCGCTCCCGCTGTGCTCAGACAGGGCGTGAGCTGGGGGAGCAGGGTGGGCTGGCGGGAGGGCTATACTGCTGCTGTCCTCGTCTGCCGAGTCCGAATATAGGTGAGAGGACTGGTGGTGGTGGTGGTGGGTTGGAGTGTCGATTGTCTGGGCCCGGGGGATGTGGTGTGGGGTGACATCGGGGCTGGAAGCGGAGGTGACCCGGTAGAAGTTTGGCGGCGCGGAGAAACGGTTATTGCTGGGAGTTTTGGACGTTCCTGCATTCTCATTCTCAGCAGCAACAGATCCAGAGGACCTGCCCACAGCTGCACAGCCCTTCTCTTTCCTGCCCTGGCCCAGGAACTGGCTGTGAGACCCACCAGAACCACTAGAGGGTGCTGGGGAACTGAAGGCGCTGTGGCCTTTCTTGCTCTCCTCCAAACGACATACGACCTCAGGTGGAGTGGGGATAATCTGGAGGGGAGAGAAACCAAGATTAGAGTCAGTCGGTATCAGCTGATCATCTAATGCATTGCTTGAGTGAAAAACAACATAAACTGTAATATAATCAAATTTGTGCAAATGGCTTGTGAATTCTTACTTGAAAACGGCTTTTGGAGCTACATGATCCAGGGCCAGTGGTCCCATCTCGTCCGTTCAAAAGCCTGTTTGAAGCTAAACAACAAGAAAGAGTATTTTTACAAAACACATTACCCTCAAGTATCCTGCTTACTTATAGAGGTAAATAAAAAATATAATGTCTCCTACATGCAGTTCCAGAGTCACTCAACCCTCCGGCACTATCTGTGCGCTCAGGTATCTGGGGCTAAAAGACACAACGGGGAAAAGGTGTGTGTCAGAAATGTTCCAGCAATAAGAATACAAGAAAAATGATGAATCGATAAAATAGGCTTGATCAGCGAGGCAAGGCCAGCAGTTTTACTCTCCTGACCTCGGTTTTGTTTGATTGAGTCAGGACTTGATTTGTTTCAGGTAGCATGCAAGAACCCACAGAAACACACACACACACAAACACACAAAATGAGGCGGCAAAGGCGAGAGATTATGATGAATCATTGCGCCGACAGCAGTAATTTTGTTACCCTCCCCTTGCTCTTAACACAGTATTGGCCTTGATCTTTTCATCCAATCGTTAAATCAATAACAGTGCCGGGGAATGATTCAACAATCCTGCCATTAACGGAGCTGCTTCTCCTAAATGGTTGAAAGCTCAGATTTATTTCCCACTATCTCTCCCCCACACACGCACATAAATACACACAATATGTTTTACCAGTGGCTCTCCTTTCTTCTTTGTGAGTGCCCCCTCTGTGCTCTGGCCCTCTGACACTTGAGGTGTGGCGACTCCCTCTGTGCCAGAGGCCTGGGGCTCAGTCGAAGTGCTGGAGGGCTGAGAGGGAGCGTGTTCCTGGTACAATAAGTTTCTCAGCTTCTCATCTAAAGTCTTGATGGTGCGGTCGACAAATTCCACCCGTTTTGGTCCCTCGCTGTCTGACTCTCCTGGGCCTGCGCTCACTGGCTGCTGGAGGCTGGATGTCTGAGAGGTCTGGGGGGTCTGATGCGCTGGACTCTGTGGCTGGGGGGTGACTGTCCCAGGCTGTATGGGAGTGGCATAAGGTTGCTGCAGAACCACAGACTGATGGGAGGCAAGCTGAGGGGGAAGCTCTCCGGTCGGACTGGACTTCTGATTGGTTTGAACAGTTTGAGAGGGAGCCATGCCCCCAGTTGTTTTTTTATCGATAGCATTAACATCCAGAGAAACAGGTGGCATAATAGCACAGCAAGGCATGTCTGTTACCATAGAGACAGCAGAGATGCAGGGCTCTTCCACAGGAAGAGAGCTGTGATGGCCAGCGCCACCACCGGCAGCAGCAGCAGAGCCGTGTTTTGTACGAGAGGACTGAGGCTGCTGCATACGGGATTTATCAAGGGTTTGCTCTTGAGGTGTGACTGAAGTCTGGGCTGCAGGGGGCAGGGTGGAGGAGCTTGGCTGGGATGACAGAGATACAGATGGGGTGGTTGCTGCAGATGTGTTGCTGCTGGCCCTGACTGATGTGGACACCGACTTTTCAGATTCTGTAAAAATCAAAAGGTTAATTAGGAACAGAGGAGATTGAGAGTTGAAGAGCTGAGGCTTTGAGGAAAAAAGCGCCCGAGTTCTGCATGTGCCACGGTGTTACATCACTGCTTGTCTTCCCCCATCAGGCTGTCAGCTGGAGTATAAATCCTGCCCTTCGTTTTTGCCTAGAGCCACTGCAGAAGCACGCTTATGTAACTGACCCCAACGGATGAACCACACAGGCGCACTCTCTAATGCATGCACAGCAACTTTACCATCAGCAGCATCCCCCCACACGTTTTTCATTCTATTCTACAGAAAAAAAAATCCCTCCAGCAGGTAAAGAAAGCCATCTGTTAAAGCTCCCCACCGAGTAAAGAAAAGATACCACAACAGAAGCATCAATGTTAGTGTGTGTTTCTGAGTGTGCTGCGTACCCTTGGTGGTGGAGGTGTGAGATTCTGTCTTTTCTTTGTCTGATGTGGGGGTCTCAGCCACTGGACAGATGATGAACCAGCGCTTCCCAGTATGGAGGACTGTCAAGGGCAGAGAGAAAAAAAAACGCTTACTGTGGATGAATTCAATTCAGTCGAAGTGCCATAGGTAAAGACTGACCACTTTAATCTTCAACGTTTTGCCTCAGTATTGACCCTGATCAGCTACATTAAAGTGACCACTTACCTAAAGAACTGTCAACACACATGCGACTATGAAGCACTGTGTGTTCTGACACCTTTCTATGAGAAGCAGCATTAAATACTTTAGCAATCTGAGCTTCAGTAGCTCTTCTGATGGATCGGCACACATGGGTCAGCCCTTGCCCCTCAGATGCATCAATAAGCCTTGGCTGCCAGTGACCCTGTCAGCGGTATTTTTCCTTCAGGACACTTCTGGTAGGTACTGTCCATTGCAGATGGGAATCGCCAGACAAGAGCTGCCGTTTTGGAAATGCTCTGACCCAGTCTAGCTATCATAATCTTTTTTTAACATATCTCATCCATAATCAATAATCATTATTGATCACCTCACCTTTCAATGGTCATGAAATTCCAAGGGGTTTAAAGACTTACCATTCTGCTGGTACACCAGCTGTGGGCTGCTGGGTGCAGAAGTCTTCAATCCCTACAAGAAACAGGAGGATGTCAACTAAATCGGCATTTAAAGCTAAAGAGCTGAACCTTAGAGAGGAACTCAGATCTAAATTTTACAAAAGCAGAGATCATATGTGACAACTCTGCATGCTCAGGCATCGTGAGTGGCCTGTCAGGATGTTAGGGCAGGGACAGTAAGAGACCGACTGCAGCATCCCAACTATTAACTGTCAACAGTTCCTTTCTCACCTCTATTCCCAGTGTGCCTGCTCCATCACTCTGTTTGGGACTGCCTCCGTGGTCTGAGTTCCTCTCACCCTCGGTGTCCTCGCTGAGCATGTCCTCAGCCTTATCCACGATATCCTTCAGCTGTTCGATAAACACCTCTTTCTCTGATGGCAGTATGAAATCATTCTCAACCTGAAAATGCATTGAGGGGAAAAAAACAGCAGTGAGTCAAAGGGTTTAGCTTATCAACAATGTTTTAAATGTAAACGAAGTCAATCAAGCTCTCACACTACAAAATGTGACACTTTTTTTTTCTTCAGCTCACTTTTAGAGTGGGTATTTCAAATTATACTGCCCATTTTTTACACTGCGAGCTGATGGAGTCACACTATGAATATTCAGCAATCTCATCATTGCAGAATTGTTTAAGATTGAAGAAGAGAGTTGGAGCAGAGAGAGACAGACAGAATTTTTACTGCATTGCAGCTGAGCATCGCATCACAGGGAGTTTTCACAACTCAGAGCCATAAGGAGTACTTTAGTCAATACCCAGCTTACATTTCACTTCAAAGCCAAACAGAGGTGTCGGCCACTTTGTTCATAAACATACCATGTATGTGGCAATCTCTTCAGGTGCATCTCCATCCAGGTCAAACTTGAAAGTGACCATTTTGTGGTTGTGGGTTTCCAACTGACACTCCACCATCTTGTCCCCTGTGTTACAAACCTGTAACCAGAGCAGATATAATGACCACTTTGACCATCACTGCCTCACGTTTCAATTGAGGTCAAAGAGAAATATTCAGTTTGGTTACTCACATTGAGCATGTTGAGCTTTGGCCTGTTGATCTTTTCTTGACGAGAACGAGTGCGAGAGGACTTGCGATGGTGTTTGCGGACTTTTCCTTCACCTTTGCTCCCGTGCGTCCCCTCGTAGCCGTCACTCATCTCTTTTCCTGACGTGGCATCGGAGTTCAGACTTGGTTTGGTGAGAAAAGGACGGTATATGAATATTATTAACCTTGTTCAAGAACCTTGGATTTTTTTTATTCCCATTTTAATTTTTCATGTCACTGTTCGTCTAGGGATTTATGTCAAATAGGAAACATTTAAACTGATTCATAACTAGTTTATATTCATTAGAGTTACACCAACTGATTCTGTAAAGACAGCTGAAGAGAAATACGCCAGTACCTGTCATAGCTCTGTCCTCCACTGGCCTTCTCTGAGATTTGATCCTGCAGTCAGCACAAGCACAGACACAAATAACCAGAGAATAAATAAATGTAACTCACAGAGATCAAACAAATCATTTGATCATTTTACTTTTGGCAGGGGGGGGTGTGGAAATATTACGCATGTGAGCACTGGTATATATGCCAAGCTGAGTGAACAGAGTCAGTAATAAGTTGCAATGAATTTTACTGTGGCATCGGTTACCATACCTCTGTGTTAGCCTCAGCTGGGACCTGATTTGCAGCTCCTGGGAGGGTACTAAGTTGTTTTTGCTGAGTCAGACTGGAACTGGCAGACCCAGATGATGCTCTTTGAGAGTCAGAATGCTGCGGCACAGAAATCTGGCTCGGAACCTGATTCTGGGCCTGTGGGGGCAGCTGGCATTGGTTCTTGCTGTCCAGCTGGGCAGCGTTGGTGGCTGAGCCAGGGTCGGATCCATTCTGCATGGCCGAGGGGAAGACTGCGGGCTGGGTGAGCAGAGCAGAGGGGACGTGCTCGGGGTGGGGGGCTAGGACCTGCTACAAAAGAGAGGATAAAACATGAACGTCATCAACATCGAACTCAGAACAGAAACCGAACCCTTTGTTGATATTTTTAAATATTTATGTAATAATTTTGAGAAACTACTATTTATAAAACTCAGTTTTATATACGCCAACTTATAATTTTCAACAGGATATTCAACTAAAAATCTCGGATCAATTTGTCCTGCTTTTCATTCTGCTCTCTCTTATTAAATACACTAACTGGTCGATAGAAATAGCTGGTTTTAGTAAACCTATGTGGTCTACCCCTGGAAACCGTGTGAAAACTATATAAGCAGAGACATGAGTCATTTGTCAAGCTATATTTAATTAGTTTGATGTAAGAAAACCAAAGTTCCTAATTCTCTATACACAGAGAAATAGCACAGAGATTCTAAAAAAAACATGTTGTTGATGCAAACAAAGACTTGCAAGTATCATGACAGATATCATAACAAAGGCCCCAGTTCACACCCTCTTGGTAAACATCTGTACTCCATTGTAACCATCATAATTACCTGTTTTAGGGGCTGAGTGCTGCCATTTGTGGGAGGGTGTGTGTTCTGGGATATAGCCGTGTGTGTGTGTATGGGGTGGGTTGCCAAAGCTGGCATAAATGCAAGCTGTGATTGAGAGGTTTCAGGTTTAGCGCTCTGGTGCAGAGCAGCTGCGGGGTGGTGCTGGGGGGACGTGGGTCCCATCTTACCCAGCATGTGTGACGGTGAGGGGATGAGGGACACTGGGGCTGGTGAAACTAATGTGTTTTCAATATGCAAAGGGGAAAGAGGGGAGACAGAGGGGGTCAGAGGGAGTGTCTGTCCCGGGGTTAGGTACATGTGGTTAAAAGAAGGGGAGGTTGACGGGTGAGGGGCAGTGCAAGAGTGAGGGTAGGAGGTTTCACAGTCAGTCACAGCTGTCATCACCTGGACTGTGGGGTACTGTGAGGGAAACTGAGGTGGAAAAGAACAAAAAAAGGAAGAAGCAGAGGAAAATCAAATAATCTAGAGAACCAAGTTGAGACATGATCCAAATATAGTCCAAACTAGACAAAACTGTTGAACATACAACAACTCTGAAGTGTTTGTATGAGTTGCAAGAATAAGGAAACAAATGGGCGTTATCCAGTCGAGAAAGATTGCGTGAAAGCAGCTTGAAAAGAAGGGCAATACCTTGGATGACTGAGTTGCTGGTAGAGAGTTTGAAATCTGCAAAGGTTGAAGTTGTTGATGGGCAGCAGCCTGAGCAAGTGTCTGCTGGGGAGGATGTGCCTGAACTGGAAAATTGGAAGCTGACTGGTTTAGATTCGGCCCAGGGCCCTGTCCGTCTTGTCCGACCTGAGAAATGTTCTACAGAGGGACAAGAAGAGCAAGGGAGGAAAGAGAGGGGGGAGGGAGTTCAATAATGGAGGAGATTCTGGTTTCATCTCTCAGTCTGGAAATCTGTATTTCCTGCTATTGACCCAGATCAGAATAGCTCACAATTTCCATCCTGACCCTAAGCCTGGACTCAGTCTGAGACCGCTGCACATGCTGGAGCACTGTGTATCGCAGACACAGAGCACGCCAAGGAGGGCAGACGGATGCAGCAGCTAAAACCACTGTTATTGTTTTCATGACCGTTTCCATTATCTCTCTGTTGGCTCTTGTCCGGGGAAATTCCTGTTTATTGGACTGCCGTTTCTTTTTTTTTTTATTCAGCTAATGTCCACCAACACAGCTGCTTCCAATTCAGCCGCACTAAATCAAAACCAGGCACCAAATTATGAGCCGCTCCAACCCTAGCATAACCATTCATAACAAAATTAAGGTGTAGAAGTTAATTATTTCCTTTCCCCCTCCCACAGTAACAAAGTGTGTTTAGACAAAAACGTTCTACCTGATTCAGGAAAGCAGCAGCACAAAGATAGGGTTGAAACTGATGAGAAATAAAAACAGGGCAAGGTCAGAGGAAGAAAGACTATCAGCATGAACTCAAAACTGGGGGGGCACTTTGTATGAAGCCTCGCCGCCATACGCTGTATATTGATCATGACATTGTGCACTCACTTGGTTAGGTCCTTCATAGCTCTGTGGAGCAGTGGACTGTACAGCCGGGTACTGGCTATGACCAGATGCCGATTGGGTCTGCAGCAGACTGAGGGCAGAGTGGGCGTAGCTCTGGGAAGCAGCATCGAGTGGACCTGCAGTGGGGTAACTCTGGGTGACTGCAACCTGCACAGCTGGGGTCGATGTGGGATGAGCCTGAGAAGCTGGATTCTGGGCGTGCTGAACTGTAGACTGGGATACATCCTGGTTCTGTTTCAGCACTGCAGCCTGACTGGGCGTCTGCATGTGCTTCTGCAGAGGTGGGGTGTGTACTTGTTGCAGAGCGGGAGACTGATGACTCTGAGAGTGATGGGTGGGCTGTTGTGTCATATGTTGATGTACAGTATGTTGAGTTTCTTGGCTGTGCTGCCGCTGAGGCTGAATGAAAGCCTGCCCAGTGTGCTGTGTTCGTTGTATACTGGTCTGGGTATTTTGTGGTAAGGGCTGTTGGTGCTCTTGCTGAATGTGTATTTGTTGGTTGTAAAGTGCTGGTGTGGAAGAGCTCTGACCAGACTGCTGACTTGGCAGTTTGACTGTGGCTTGGATCTGTTGCAGTGCACCGGGAGCTTGTGCAGGATGACACTGGGCCGCAGCCACAGATGCAACAGCGAAGCTTTGTGCTGGCTGCTGCGTTGGCAGCGTGGTTGGTGCTGCAACAGCAGACTGTTGCTGAATTGAACAAGGGTATCCTGATGCGGACTGAGTCTGCTGCTGAGTTGGGGCCATAGAGTTCTGATAAGTTTGTTGGACATTCAATGGGCAAGTCAGTGAGTTTGCTGCGGCTGCCTGCTGCTGTTGATGGCCTTGTGGATGGTAGCTCTGTGCAACATGTTGTGGCACGGCTGATGCTGACAGACCTGTGACAGCCTGTGTCTGTTGCACACTTGGAGGTGCGAAGCCCGCAGCGCTGACTGACTGCTGGATGCTGAATGAACTTAGAGTGGTTGGATCTTGTGTGGGGGCACTTTGCTGGCCAGCATATGGAGCAGTAGGGTAGCTGTGTCCCGGCTGATGATACTGTAGCGTCGAGTGCACTGCTGTGCTAGAGGAGGGCAGGCCCTGCACAGACGGTTGATTCTGGTGACCTGGAGAACTATTCTGAGGACACAATAAAGAGAAATTTATATTAGAGTCTGCTGTGTGTAAAATCCCCAAAGTGTGCCCACTTCATGTCAAACAGGATGCAATTATAATGACAGGATGAGGGATAAAAATAAGTTAATAAAACATCTGTTTCAACAATGAGCAGGCGGTGACAGGTGGGTGCTAAAATAAGAACATAAATGAGAAATGGTTAAAGAGGCAGAGAGACCGAGATCAGACAGCTGCCCCTTCCCCTTCAATCAGAGGTCATCTTCCAAGACAAGCTAAGGAGCAAGACAGCCATTGCAATGGGCCAGCAAAGCAGAAAGGAAAACTGTTAAAGTCTAGGTCAGTTCTAGAGGGGGTTGTTAATCAGCAGGGAATAGAATCTGTTAAGAGATTGTGCCATTGTCCTCGGACAGAAGCAAGCGGATTATTTTGAAGGGACTGTCAGCTCTGTACGCCGATGCAGGCAGAAAGACTCGTACAGCGGACAGGATCTTAGACCGGCTCCATGCACAATAATGCTGTAACTGCTAAAGTCGGGCAGGAGTAAGTTAAGCAGGTGTTAAACCCAAACGGGTAACTAAAGCGACTTGACTGCTATTATGACCTACCACTCCCACAGCCCTGGTAACTTGCTTCTCCCCGGTATAGAATCTGTCTTCGCAGTCCTGAAGGGGCTCTTGTTCTGCAACTGAACTGCCAGTCAGGAGAAGACTCTTCAGGCCGCTGTCTCCATCACTGCAGGAAGGCCTGTGGGCTGCTTGGGCAGCTGTTGTCTGACAAGGGGCTGCTTTACGGCTTATTATCTTAAATAGGGACTGCTGGAGCAGTGAAAAGTCAGAGCAATCACTCGGGCCTTTCAGCCGCCCGTAACCAGGGGTGGTTTTTGTACCACCACAGAACGGATGTTGTCTTAAGTCACATGGACAGAAGTGTGCTGGCATGACAACAGAAGGCCGATGGTGACTACCATCTCGTGACCTTAGCAGAAGCAAAGAGAGACAGGCCTGGCACACTTGGCTTTGATGCACTGCAAAATGGTGATTGTGGTGGGAGGTCAAACTAAGAAGACTACTGAGGTCAGAGTGTCTGCGTCCACTTTGCACATTTAAGTTCTCACTCCTGACTTCTGATGATTGTCCGATGCTGGTGTCGCTAAGCCGTCGATACTCAGTATGGGGACAGACAGGAGAGATCTGTGGAAACGGCAGAGCACTTTGGGTGGGGAGCTCATCCATGGCCTCTGACTGAAGCTCAGAGAGGGTCAGAACCGACTGGTCCTCTGCTTCTATTGGGGTTAGACTCATTGATCTCTGAGAGTGAATGGACTTGGCGTTGAGTTGAGAAATATGGTTCGCCCTGTGAGTGTCAATAACGGGAGCGCTTCCTCTTCGGTTTGCTGCTCCCAAACAGTTCCTGAGCTCTGGGCTCAGCGTTGCCCCCCAAAGTTCACCCTTTTCACACGAGTGAGGTGGATCTGTCAGGACAGGGATACCACTCTGGCACTGATCAAAATGCAACCCAAAAGCAAAACACATGTTACTCAAAGTAAAGATCTGAAAACCAAATACAAAAAGGAAAACATATGATGAGATGAGGATGAGCATGCTTGCTTATTAAAGTCATACGCGTGTTATGTGCCTGAGTGTGTCAAAGTGGATGTTGTGCAGGTGGTTGTTGTTGCCAAGTGGGCATACAGTGCTTGTGTTTAGCATCAAGGTCACGAAAGCGTTGACTGCCTTCAGAAAGCATGTTTATTTTAATAAGTCGGAATGCACATGGCCCACCTGGGTGTGTACACTTGTGATACAGACCTGCTGTGTTGCCATAGTAATAGGCTCCAGCAGGGACTGGTAGAGGACACTCTGTTGGCTGCTGTGGGAGTCTGAGTACACAGTTGAGCCCATGCCACTGTCAAGTGTGCTGTCTGCTGCAAAGACATAAGAATCATGGGCTCATAAAAAAATCAAAGATGAAGATCATTACTGTCTGAGTCAGGAGGAGCAGATTTTCTTACATGTAACTGAGGTTGCACTGGCTGGTAGGTTATGAAGCCTGTTGTGCTGGTCTGCCTCTGGCTCTTCTGGTTCCAGTAGAAGTCTTCCTGCATGTGCCGCCCCAGCAGGGATTCCCTGACACGATGTCATCTGGGCCCTGTGTCCCCCCTCGCTTTGGTCCAGTGCGGCTGCGGCGGACACCGTTCTCTCTCTTCGCCATTTGATCAGGGCCACACGATCCCTGATCGACTTACCCACAGTCTTCGCATCACTCTCGTGGAAGAAGCCAGACTCCACCTGACAAAGAAGAGGAAAGAGTATAACTTCCAGGATATTTTTAGCGTGGAGCATGTGAGAGACGAGAGGGTGCATTAAAAATGGGAGTGTGCGAGGGGGAGAGAGAAGGAGCAAGTGAAGGAAGGAACAGAAATGCTATTTTAAGGGGGGGATCAGAGCTGTGGGAAGATGTTCCTTTTGTCAGCAACTTCGTTTGCTGTTCAAAACAGAGCTGTCTGGACTGTAACAATGATAAAGATGAGTCACAGTCCTAAAACCACATTTTAAATGTTATACATTGTTTAACCAAAATAGGAAAAGTGAAGTATATAAACTGGCGACAGAGCTGTAGCTCATTTCACACTTCTGAAAAACTGATACAATTGTCTGTTTGTCGAGAACTTATTCGAGTAAATGAGCAGTTACATGACATGGGAGCAGACTGGCTATAAAATCTCATTTCATGTCGACATGTTCTCTCTCACCCCAATGACAGCCATTACAGAGCGGCCTAAGAACTTTTTCAGAGCTTCACAGGCTGGTCAAGGCCAGCACAGCACACACCAATGGAGGGAGAGAAAAGAGAAAAAGGATGTGTGGGAGAGAGCGAGAGACAGAGAGCTTGGAACAAAGAAGGACGCTGTTGGAAACAAGAGATAGAAAAAGAAAAAGGCAAGGAGCGCAGGTTCTCACCAACTGTCCCACTTTCACTGATTAGTATTCAGAGTAACTTGGTAAGTAAATACTAGTCACTGTACACAACATACAAGTCAAGTGACAGATATTTAGACTTAGCTGACACAGCTCACTATCATGTCACACAGGCACACACTGTACATGTGCACAAATCTTTGTGAGATATCTGATAACACAGATACAGATGTTCCACAGCTCTATTGTCATGATAAACCCAACTAAAAAGTTTGTTTGAGGAAATTCTTTGATAACTCTGTAAAGAGGACTTCCTCAGAATTACCCTCCTGTTTTTGTTCTCTAATGCCCCTGCATCAGTTCAGAGCTGACTTAATTTCAAACTAAAATTTGTGAAAGAAGAAACTTGTAAAGATCATCTTGCAGCCTCGAGGTAAGGTGGAGCACTTTGATAGTGTCTCTTATTTCTGTCTCCCAAGAAATCATTCATGTTGGAACACAATCATACAATAAAAAAACTATTTAAATTTCTGGATATTATCACGGCCTTCACTCGAAAACAAGTCCTCCATAAACACCATCATACTAAACATTCACAGAGCGGCACTAAAATCCAACCAGAAAAACTGGAGAAAACTATGTAAACACTGAAAAAAAAAGCAAACACAAGCAGTGTTTTCCTGGAAAAGTAAAGCGAGATATCATCAGCAATCTGCATGTGAGAACATTCCCCCGATTAAGAGATACGGGCACTTGGAACTGTTAAGTGACCAGGAAAATGCATTACCACCATCACGGTGAAATTTACCCACTGATGAAAACGGAAATTTTCGTGACAAAGAAAAAGTGAATAACCCTCAATTATTCCAAAACTTATATCTTTATATTTCCACTGTTTGATAATGACTTCTCATTACCTTTGACTATTCACTCACCATTTCTTGTGCAACAACCTCAGGGACCTCTTTCTCCAGGTCAAACGTGAACTCAATGGCGCCGGTCTCTTTGTATTTGCCTTTCAGCTTCTTATGATCTTCCACCCATAGTTTTAGGGCGATTGATGCCTTTTTGCCATTATCTTCCTCGGCCAGCTCCACTCGCACCCCTGTGTCCTCAGCGAAGAAAGCGTGGTTCAGCAGGTCCTTAATGGTGTACCTAGGATACGAAACACCAAAGTCTAAGACTGTGGAGAAAATGATGTTTCCATACACTCATGCCACTCAGGAGAAGTGTACAACATTTGCAGATAAGTATCAATAAGATAAGCTGTACTCTCAGGGACATCTTGGCCAAGTACGCTATGTTATGTACGCATATTATACAAACACATGGTCTACCTGTGCTGCTGACTAACTCACTGAACCTGATAATGCTGGAGTAAAAAAAAGCCACCAGAAGCTAATTAAGGGCTATTTTCCTCTCTTTACACAAACTCACTGTGTCACGAAAATAAAAGACACCCTGCGGCTATGGTGGGAGACTGCAATGCTGCTGAGAGCCCAACTGTCAGCACCACTGCAATGAAGCAGGGGGGAAGTGAGGCAAGGCTTGAAAGATGAGAGGGCACCTTGTGGGCACTGTTGGCTGGACACCGGACAACGACAGCAACAGTCACTCACCGCTCCTCTTTCTTTTGGCAGATACACTCCCCAATAATCTCCTTGATTTCGGGATCCATGACCTTGTTGTAGCTGGCTGGTTTCACTCCCTGAGGAATGAGAAATAAAAACATAAAGCTGAAATCACAGCATAATGGGATACTGCGCTGATGAAAATAGGAAAGAGAAATACAAAAGAATGAGTGTGGTGGTGTTCATGGCATATCTTACTTTTTCCTCTTACACACACACACACATACACACACCCTGCAGGCTTGTTATCACTGATGTCGGATGGCAGCTGGTCAGTTAAAATTTATGTCATTTTTTAGAGGATTGCAAAAAGGGAGTAGCAGCCGAATAATTAAATGCAATGAATGTGCTCTGGTTCTTGATGGTACTCTGTTTGTAAACTAAAAAAGTCACAAAGCTGGTCTCAGAGCTTGCAGTCAATTAGTTGTTAAGAAAACCCAAAGCTTTTTGATGGACGGGGACAGCAGAAGTGATTGGAAATTTGCATTTTTATAGTGATTTCAACAAAGGGAGTTTGATACTGAATTTAATTGGTAGGAGTAATACTTCCTTTCTTTTTTGGGGGGAGACTTTTCTTAGCTTGGAACTCAGACCTTCTTCACCAATTATTTCTCCCTTCATTATGCTCCCCATAATGCAACATTATCTGTGATTTTGACTCAGTCTTGAGATTATTCATTCTTAGGAGTCCCTTTCTGCATCTGAGTAATAATGTTTATGCACCCTTTGGTTTATAATTTCTACAAATTATGCAGCTGCAAACTGTATGTGCTTAGGGAGTAGTATCAGGCTATCAGGATTTCTCTTTGATCAAACTCCTATTAATATCCCGCAGTGGTCCCTGCAGGCAAATCTAATATGCATACAGTAACAATACAGAGAGCAGTATTTAGAGACGGCTGCGTTGATGCTACCCATGCGCTGGTATGGGCACAGAGGGCTTCTCTTCTTTAACAGGAGGTGAAAGAGTCATCTTTCAGAGTCAAACCCTGCCAAGTCTCAGGAGCGGAAAATCAATACTTTTCATCAAATCAGGAAGTCCATCATGGCTTTAGACACCCCCTCTAGAAGTAAAAACAGTTTGCTGTGAGCTTGGGTATCTGAGGCCAGGCTCTGTGAAACAGAATGGAATACAGCCTTTAGGCTTTGTCTAAAAAACAAAGCAGGTTTGGACTCCCTCTGTGACACCATATGGCTCATTAGGTTTTTCACCCAAGAACTCAAGGATGAGGATGCATCAAGCTGAAAATACGGCTGATTTTGTATGATAGCTGCATCCCTGCAATCACAAACTCGCTGTATGTGCACTATAATGTGGAGCAGGACAATATCCAAAAACATGTTGGCACCTTTTCCAGGGTTGTTGGGCATAACCCTGTACGGCTACTAAGTCCCTGCTACAGGCAGACTCTCTTTTAAGCCATTTGCTGATACTTTTGGAGACAAAATTGGGCACTAACACATGAAAAGAATCAGAGGTGTATTTGCAAGCTTTTAGATAATCATTTTTAAATATTACTGGAATGAAAAGAACAGGATCAGGACTCACACTTGTGACTTTGCGGTAAATCTGAGCAGCATTCTGACACTCTGAGTAGGGGTATTCTGAGGTGGCCATCTCTAGCATACACATGCCAAAGGCGTACACATCAACAGCCTCATCGTAGTGTTCCTCATACATCTCTGGCGCCATAAACTCAGGGGTCCCTGAAAAGTAAAAAAGAGAGAGACTCACAGATAAATCAGTCACTTTTATAAACAAGCATTCGTCCGCAAAGAAACAATTTTAATGATTCCTACCGATGACACTCTTGGCGAAGGAAGCAGCTTTGAGAGTTGCCAGTCCTAGATCACCGATTTTGACAGAGCCTGTTGGTCCGGTGATAAAGATGTTATCACATTTGAGGTCCCTGTGGATGATAGGAGGGGTCCTTGTGTGGAGAAAGTGAAGGCCTTTCAGGATCTGTCTGCACCAGCTTCTCAGCACCTTGGGCTTCATGACCTTAAAACGCTTCAGATAGCTGTTGAAAGAAGAGGGACACATTAGCTGAAAATCACCAGTTGAAAACGGAACCTGCATCATGTGTTTTAAAAACTAGAATTTATAGATTATCCCTAAACCTTGTATTTGACAATATTTTCAATATCTTTACTCATTTGTACTCACGTTTTTAGCGTTCCTGACGTCATGAGTTCTGTTACTAACACGATGCACTTCTTTCCTTTCAAGGGTGACTCCCAGAAGTCATAGAAACGGACAATGTTGGGGTGTTGGAGACCCTTTAGCATCTCTGCTTCCTCCTTAAAGCGCTGACGTTCCACTTTAGACAGCTTACGATCCTAGAGAAGAAGCGACAGATGTAGAGGGGAGAAATATAATTAGTCCTGATGATAACATACTTATTTTATCATATGTGCACAGCCAGATGGCAGAGGCCGGCAGTTTGGAGGCACTTCACTGCAAAATTTAAATCATGCATACAGTATGTGGGGTTAGCGACAGTGTATACATCTCTAATTGGAGCATATGTATGTCAAAATGACTGTCAGCGGTTGTGTGTGGGTAGGATCCAGATCAGTGGTTTTCTCAAGTAGAAACAAGACTCAGCCTTAATAACACGAATGTCTTTGATATTCAAAGTTTATTTTAAGAATAGCGCGAGTCTTGTGATGTGACCACTCATTTGGTTCTGCAAGAATACATTCAAAGCATGACAACACAGGGACTCTTGAGGGAAAACCAGCCCACACATTAACATGGTCACACCCACTCCACAATGCAGCTAAAGGTTATGTGTCATCGATCTCCACCATCTTTCTCCATCTCCATCACTTGCTCGCTCACTCTCTCGTCTACTACCTTTACTCCTATCCCCCCCTCCCCCATATCTGCAATCTGTCTCCCTCTCTGCACCCCTTAACACCAGCCACTCCCTTCTCTGTATCCAAACATCTCTTGCACGCACACACACAAACACATCTTGGGAACCACTCTCTCTCTGTTCTCGATAAGGCGTACCCCGCTCTGACAGCACCTTGCTCTAGGTAAGTGTTTTGCTCACAGCGATTTCCCTTTTTTTATCCTCTGTAGCGTTGACTTACATAACACATACATGCACATACATCCAGCATGGAGTATGGACTGGGACCCCACCCCACCCCACAAAGAGATGGACAACACCTCTGATGGAATGCAATGAGCACAACCTAGCCAGATCTAATCCATTTAATTATTCACCCACAGTGGACTCCCAGTGAGATGAAACAGCAAGAGGAAATACAAAATCTGCCTTTGCAACCTAAAAATAAAAACAATGAAGCACAGTGCAATGTGATGCAATGTGTTAAAGAGTGGACCGGAAGGATGATAAAGCATCGCATGTGTGCGTGCCTGCGTGTGTGCATGTGTGAATGTGGCATATCAGGTTGTGTCTGTGCGTGAGCGTGAGCGAGTGTGTGTGTTTGGGGGGTGGGGATTTTCACTGCACTCTTCTAGCGGCCCATGAATAATTCAGTTCTGCAGAGAACCCTTTCTACTGAGGCAAGCTGAGCGATGGAAGCTGGGGCAGGGGCCGTCTAAGTTGGGCTGGGTTATCCCCAAATGCTCCTTGCTGGCACAAGAGCAGCACGTGGATCGCACTTCACCTGAAGCACAGGTCAAGAAGGGAGAGCGTGGGAGAAGACAGGGGGGAGCTAAAAGACATTTTAACCCACAGAATCAGACATCCACTCAGAAGTAAGATTATCAGAAAATAATAGAAATAGGAATAAAATAAAACAAACAGGAAATAAACAGGCACTACAGATTCTCTCCCTTTCTTTCTACTCATCGTTCCTCATCACATCCCCTCTCTTCACTTCTTCCTCTCTCATCTTTCAGGCATCTTGCCAAATCACCCTCTTAACCCCACAACTAAGTTCCCTGATTCCAATCACACTCCTGGCACATTCGCACATACACACACCATTTGTTCTCTTACACCTGTCTTGCCTCTCAGCAGACATTGGGTCTTGTGCATAATTCAGAGGCCACATGTAGGAGGTGTTTGTGCGCTGTATGATGGGATACACAGACAGACAGATACATATGCACACTGAGCCACAGGAAGAAAGGGACTCCCAGCACTCACACACACAGACACACGCGGCAAAACACGACCTAGAAGCATCGACATGAAATCTATTGTTGCTTTAGAGCAGTGGTTCTCAAGTCCAGTCCTCGAGGCCCACTGTCCTGCATGTTTTGGATGTTTCCCTGCTCCAACACACCTGATTCAAATGATCAGCTCGTTAGTAAGCCATTACAGAGGTTGATAACGAGCTGATCATTTGAATCAGGTGTGTTAGAGCAGGGAAACATCCAAAATATGCAGGACACTGGACCTTGAGGACTGGACTTGAGAACCACTGCTTTAGAGTAACGTTGAGGGATATGAGTTTATCATGAGTCGAACTCTCAATTATCTGACATTATAACATCCACAAATCCTGCAAAAAAATCCTCTACTGTTTGCATTAACTTATTCTTTCTGATGCTTATAAAGCCTGTGCTGAAAACATAAATTCATGCAAACATAAATTCATGAATTCAAGAAAAGCTTTAGCCATTTGCAGCACAGAAGAGGTTAAACATATAGAGAAAACCCCACAGTGGGCACAGCAGCACATAAACATTTATAGTGATGTTATGAGGAAGAGAAGGCAAGGCAAATTTATTTCTATAGCACTATTTATACACAAGGCAATTCAAAGTGCTTTAAAAGATGCAAGGAAATATATTGGAAATTAAAAAAGAGAGATTAAAACTATTTAAAATCAGTATGTTAAAAAAAAGAAAAGATTTAAAATCAGTATAACGTATATATTTTTTTTCGTCTGTTCTGAGGGAAACATGAACACGTGCCTCATTCTTGCAAGACATCACATATCTACTCTATGTGCTGACTTTGTAGTTGCACAGCTTTGGCAGCTCATACCTCAACACAAAAATATTTCAACAAAATAACATCCAAACATGGGGTCTCTGAAAGCTGCAAAGAACAGGTGACATGTTTTGATACTTGTGTCCTGGGAACTCGGCAGGCTAACACGCCATGTAATTTCAAAGGTATGTGTTCAAATCAAATTCCTGTTCTCATCACATGTCATCTTTGATACATACCGTCCACTTCAGAAGAATGTACCCTTTTTCCTGCAGTAATGGAGACCAGTTCAGCTTCATTACTTGAGGATCTATGGGCCTGTATGGGACTGAATTCCCAATTTGAAAGGCTCTTTGGTTTTATGTAAGAGCTCTTGCCGTCTACTTGTCATCAGATGTCATATCAAAAATCTGCAGTGTGTAATACTTTTCTATAGGTAGAACACAGACAGTACTAACCCTACCTTATTGCGGTATCTGAATTACACTGCTGCCATTTATTCGACAGAATGTACGGTATGTACGGCTAGATGGTATCACTCCAGCTGCCTTACAGCAGGCAAGGTAGTGAGCCAAGTCCACGCTGGAACTGCGACATTTACCTGAGCTCAGGTTCAACAATCCATTTTGAGTTTGCAAGTTTTAGATTAAAAGCTGCCAGGCCATTAGTTAACCCGTGAAATGTGAGTGTCCTAGAAAGTAAGACTTTGCCCTTTTAGAGGAGAGTGTGCCACATGTATAAAGGCCCTTTGCGATCCCCACTTCACTGTGCTTTCCTATTGACAAAGGCATGAGAAGCTCCAAAACAATGGAAAAATTAAAGAAAAAGCAAACATTGCAAGCTTTTCTGTATAATGTAGTCAGCATTACTAATGAAGCTTGATTATTTGCCTATCAGGCTCCTGCAGAGAGCTAAGAAAACACACACAACCCAACATAAATCTGCTAACAATGAGCCATGGGAGAAAAGCCGAGCAATATCGAGCTCTCCAAAAGACACAAGTTCTCGCATAGCAAAGAGCTCTGCAAGCGTTTTGATAGATTTATGATTAAATTGGAATTTCTGAAATAAACAGAGGTTTAATCAACGCAGAAAAATAAAGTGCCCTGCTCATAGCAACATCACAAAACTGAAATGGTGTGTACAAGCAAACTCCAAGCACAGAGCTGGTGAGCCACTAACAAAAAAATGACAAAACCACTTTTTTCAACTGATAACAAATACATATAGTGGAGTGCCACAAGGGACTATAGCAGGATAAGTGCCTTCTATTGATCAGCCTCCAACACAACCTTATTGCCCCTAGAAGAGGGGAAGATGCGGTGCTTAGGGGTGGAGAAGAGGCATTAATCTGAGGAACGTCTGACAGACTTTCAAGAATGAGCGATGGACGCTGAAGAGGTTCTCAAGCAGAGAGAAAAACTTTTTGACTTGGTAACCACTTTCTCAGGAGCAGAAAACTCAAGGGTAATATATTATTAACACCGACTCCCATCTGTCTTCAAACATTCTCACTCGCCCTCTCTCACACACACAGCAGCATCGCCGACAAATTGATTCAGAAATGCAAAAAAGGTCAGTCATGACATTTACCAAGATGGATTCTTCCCCACCATAAACTGAAATTAGATACCCAAATTAAGAGTGTGAATAGTCTTACATAAGGCTGTTGCATGGAGATGCACGGACAGATTTCAACAGGCCTCGAGATAGGAAATGGACCACAATACCACAAACATACCACTTTGTATCTAATTGGTTTTGATACTGGATACAATTTCAGGTATAAACAAAAGACAAGGGATTTCAATTTAAAATGAGTTTTTTTTAATCATTTGAATATAAAATTAAATAACATCTGTTTCTGTGTTGAGTTTGAAAACTATAAGAAAACTATGAGAAACCATCCTGCTCTTTTGGCACACTTACAAAAGTTTAAAATCTACTCTACGATGAAATAAAAGGTCCAGAGAGCAGCAAAGAGGCAGAGGAAACAGGTGTTCATTTCAGCTTTTGCCTCAGTGAGTTTTTAGAATAATCCACAGCCGACCTAAGTCGCTATATAATCATATTACCATGAGGGAAGTTGCCTCTGTAAAAATCAGTTCACCAGTAACTTCTAAACCAAGGAGGTAAGTCGGTAACATATTTCACCATTAGTTCTAGCTACAAACTCAAAACATTATCTTAGTCTCTCTCCTTCCACTGCTTTGTGATCCTAATTACAACCCCCTCCAATTAAAATGGCCGCATCATGATCCTTGGTTAACAAAGAACAGATTAGCATCATTTGGTCTTAGTTGCAATAGTGTGACAGGGATTAATATTCAAAGAACTTGTCAACAGCTTCGACTGTTAAAGCAGGACAGCTAAACTCAGAGTCCTTAATATGTGTGAAAACATTTGGCTAAGGCGATTAAGTAAGAAAATATTTCTTCTCAGGAAGTGCTTGTAAAACAAACCAAACAAACCAGACTCAGAAGAAAAACATTACGACATTAGAGAGAAATCTCTGAGGATCTGCAGCTAGCCACGCTGAAATCACAGAGCCACAACGGCCTTAGTGTAGTTTAGTAACACAACAATGAAAGCTTAATCTAATACTTTACTGACCCCATGCAAGACCACTCTTTCTACAGAGTCCAAAAAGAACTCCTGCTTCTTCCACCACTTTATAGATATTTTTTCGGGATCGACATAAGAAAGAATGCACAATTACTTCTCCACCCCACCACCATCTGCACCCATCCTTAATACAAGTCAGATGACTCTTGCAGGTCTTCAGCTGCTGTAACCAAAGCTGCTACAGGGCTAGCCATGAGCCAGCAGAGTCCTCACAGCTGAATGTTTGTCCCATCAGTCATGACGGCTGGACATTTTTTGCTCACAGCTTTGCACGACACTGCATTGACACGACTTCAGTGTTTCCCAATTTAACACGCACGCAGGATAAAAGAAAGCTTGTGCAAAGTTGCACGCTAGCACTCGGGTTGACAAGGTTTAATATGAAAAGTGAAGATTGCTGTAAGGGGAGAAGAAAGCAAATAATCTGCATGTAACACTCACTTCAAGGTGGGGCCTGAAAGACAGGAGTGTCTGAGATGACTAGCGGTGATAGTATGACAATAGCGATGATAACATCAGCAGTTGACCTGTGACTTCTCCAGTGTTTGGGTGATAAGAGAGCGGTGTACGCAGAATTTATGGAGGAGGAGATGCATGAAACAGGCACACACTTGTCAACCTTAGTAATCTGAAAACAGGAATAGCTACAGAGCATTATGTCACATATGCACCTCTGACCAAAATAAACAGTGAGTGGACCACAGTAGAAGCCACTTGTGTTTTTTTCCAGGGGTGTTTAAGTGTTTGAGTGTGTCTGGCTGATTATGACAGGGAGTTAGCCAATGTGGATAAAGGAATATAAACCGCCTGTAAACCTCTTTCCTGTCATTGACTAAATGCGTAGGGTGACGAACAAACTGTTCTTTGAGTCAGACACAAAGAAACAGAAAATTCTGATTACACACTCGCCTCCTCAAAAGACTAATGCTGCTTATGAAATAGCCATGACAACTGCAGATTTAGAGCATCGCTGTTTCGAGCCTGAACGACGGAGGTTTGAAGGCAAAACCCTCTTAAGAAAAACTATTTTAATTTGTCTTGGTTTACACTGATAATTATATAAAAGGGAACTCAGAATACACTATGGTAAAGCTCATGTAAAAGGTGGCTCTAATGAATGGAAAACACAATGGATATTTGTTCAGCTTAACGGTTAGTGAAAATGCATTTCTACTGAATGTAAAATCAACTCACATAAATCAAATAGCATTAAAATGTGCCCTAAACAGTATTTGGAGATTGTATTTTTCTGTTACTAATGCATTAATACATGGGTAATGGATATGTTAGTCCCAAGCAAATTAGGGCTGTAAATAACAGCAGTATTGATTAATGTGTTCATAACTTCATGTTCAAATTGCTTCATTAATCAAAGCATAAAATCAGGAAACATGGTAGTTGTAGCACTAAGTTATATGATGTCTTTGCTTTTTTTCCAAACAACTTTAACCCCTGGAAATGTAAAAAAAACAATAAACAAAAACCAGGGACAAGATGACAGGAAGAGAAGAATATTTTGCCTTTGTTTAATTTTGCTTCTGCTCTCTGACCTATTTGGTGTTGCTAGAAAAAGACAGCCAAGTGACGTCTCCATTTTATACAAAAAAAAACCTCTTAGGAAAACATAAAAGCAATTTACACATTAAACAATGTTCAGGACAAGCTGCTCAAACCCTAAAACAAGTGGCCCACCACTGTTGGAAAACAAGATTTTCTGGAAGCCTCTGTGTTCTTTTGTAACACACGTACTGTGAAAAGGGTCATTCACCCAGATTAACACAAGTTCCCTCACTTTACACTCCTCTTTTTTTTTATTTGTTTAACCAAATAGTTAGCGCAGCTATCAACAATGATGTAAACAGATCAACGAGCAGCGTGCCAAGATCAACAGAGGCCTATGGCACCCCGGAATGACTTTCATTTTATTCCAAACAGCCATATCATCTAGACACACAATAGGTAAAAAAATAAATATACATTATATACATTATGGACATCACCATTATCAATGAAGACAAAAATGTAGTAGTGGCATGTCACCGAGGGCACACTGGCATTGCGACCTGTGACACACTGCAGAACCACGAGCATCTGCTACTGAACTGAACTGAACTGAACTGGCATATTGCATATAGCCACTCTGCAGCATGCTGCAGAACTACAAGCACATGGTATATCCACTCTGTGGCATGCTGTGCCCACTTCCTAGAGCGTCCACTTTTCAATCTTATTGTCACATATCATTTGCCCTTAATAGTAAATCAGTGAAAGATTAGAAGCCCGTGTTTCATCAGCTTTTAATTTATTTCTAACAAGTCTTTTGAGACCACCAGAGAAAGCTGTAACTGGTGTGTCCTGGAGAATCTGAGAAGCGACAGCTGGTAGTGACATCTTCAACACACACTCCTTGCCCATTGTAAAAACCATACAGCAGCTCATACAGCCAACTACAAATAGCTGTGGTGCTATGATACCCAGGGTAGCAATTTCACCCCAGTTGCTCTGAACTTGAGACAAATATTCACAAATGTGCTCCACGCCAATGTAAATGACTTAAAGCCTAATGAAGCCCAAGCGGACTCATACTAGCCAGGAACGGAGAGCGGGTGCTAGGCAGTCATGCATATATGCCCCCTTTTCCCTGATGGTAAGAACTGAGACAAGGCACAAGAGAGTGGTGTGCTTGGTAGAGATGTCCTGAGCTGAACTGGGAAGCCTGGCCAAACCCCCCTCCCTCGACCATTTTATCGGCCGCTGCAGTGTGGGGGCACAGCGCCAGAGAGACAGCCTTGATTCAGCAAAATACCCTGACCCAGACTACACACAGCACAGGCAGAAACATAGAGAGGGTTTTCCCTCGTGGAGAATTTCAAGCAGCCATTAATGTCTACTAAAATCATCCAGTTTATCAGTAATCAGTTTTCAAGAACACTTGTAAAAAGATGATTTAAATTAGTCAGGTCTGACAAAAGACAGAATTTTAAATGACTGCTGCAGCAGGGCAGCTCTTTGGAAGAATACGCAAACATGCACCTCTATATTTTGGGATTCCTGGTTATATTCTAGCTGCGTATTCTTAAGCTATCTGTCATGTATAAACAGCAGCCTTTGAAACATTAGTGTAATGCAACCAACAGCATAAATTACATCTTCTACCACAACCCTAGGATTAAATCAGCAACTCCCTGCAGCAGGTGAAACCTAGATTCTTCCTAAACTTGGAAACTACAGAAAGTTTTTAATCAGCACTTTAAACTGGGCAAGGCGGCTGAATTTCTTCTCCTTGAAAATGATTATTAAACATTAACCCAATTTTGTAAGGAAGTTCATATTCTTGGAATCGCTTTGGCTTATTCTCTACCTGTATGTATATGATATAGCTCAAGATGGGTTCACAGCATCCTGCCACACAAATCTCAACTCCAGCAGTGATGTTACAAAGTTAATAGAAAACACTTAAAGAAAAGCTCTATTCATCAACCGAAAAGTCCTTGAATCTATAAGGCTTTATATGCTATGTGCTGCCAAACTGACAGAGTACAGTATGGATGTTTGTTCCTCCACTTATTACATAAATAGCTTAGTGATGCAGAGGTCATTCAGAGTGCGCATTTTTCAAAAGTAACCCTCGTATTCATACTACAGATCCTAAGCAGGAGGCCTCGAGAGGATGCAAAGGTACTCAAGGTTTTTCTTACAAATTACCATGTTGCATTCCAGTCGAGATTACCTTTCCACATGAGCTGTGTTGACACTTCCTCTTATTGGGGGAAAGGATGAGAGAGGCCTAAACTGCTTTTGATTCAATCAATATCAGTTTAAAGTTGGACTAAAGGAGTAGAAGAAGCTTTGCACCGATTCCCCAAATGACAGATCAGACTAGGATAATCAGGTGTTTTTTTCTACATGTTTTTAAATTAACACAGTTGTACTAAAAACCTCACTCATGTGTTCAAAAAGTGTTTCATTCTTTTCTCTTTGAATTTCCAATAACCATTCATTTTGATGAAAACACTTCTTTCAACAATGATGTGATTGTCTCTTGTGGATCAGACATTCTATCAAACAGCTATTTTTCAACAAGCCTATTTGTGCTGCTGTATACCACAGGCTAAACTCCTGGGGCTCTGACATACTTGTCCTCCTTTCCTCAGGCTCTTCCGTAGGCTGAGTGACACGGGAGCTCAGGCATGCCTGGAGATGAGGCGACTGACAAAGCATTGTTAGCTGCAGCCACTGGGTCTGACCGCTCCTGCTTCAATGGGCCTCTTAAACCAAATGGGCTGTAACGAATGACCCACTTGGGCATTTCCAACTTTGTTTTCCTTTTTCTGTCAAGAAAGTGTTGTTTTTAGCACTTTCCATTTCAATCCAAAAAGAGACACCCATGCACCATGCTTGGAAAAACAGGATGATCCTCAAATGTGGCAGAATGTGATCTACCATTACAGCAAAGTTCCATATTTGGAACCAAGATAGTGACTTAGTGACTCACGCTATCAAACATTTGCTGGGTCTGTTTGGTTCAAGAAGCTCAAATATGCAGCTAACACTCAGAGACAAGCGGCTTCGCATCACTGCCGTGAAATTATTTCCAGGACTACATTCACAAGCTGCGATCCAGATTAATCTACAGGACAACAAACTCTCTGCCAAATACCACAGAGAAGTCTTAGAAAAAAAGGTCTGAAGTAAACTGTGTCTGCAAGCGTGCACTCAGCATTCAACACTCTGATAAAAATCTATATACGCCACCACAATTAGAAGAAATTGGCAGAAACAAGGAGTTCTCAAAGCTAAAAAAAAACAGGGTTAGAACAGCAAACACTAGAAGTGTTTCCTCCCAACAAAGAAAAAATCTCACAACAGGCATCTTTCTCTCAGATTAACATCCATGCCTGAGCCAGGGCCATCTGTGTTATGCCAGCAGCCTGGCACGGAAAAAGAGATGTTGGGGAGATGGGGATGGGAGGAAATAAGGGGAGATAGAGGGGGAGGAAGAGAGGGAGAACGAATAAACATAGGAGCAGATTAAAATTTCTGGGCTAAAAAGCCATGTGACCAATGGAAGGAGGGGAAGACAGTGGAAAATCACAGAGTCATATCTCCTTCCCTCAGTCTTCCACAGGCAACGCTGCTGTCATTCTGAGCACTATGTAAATGTGACAAAAAAGGAAATAAATCTTCACTGCTTTGGCTTTGAATCTAAAGACTACTTGACATCTCTGCACGTGCTGTTGAACATGGCCAAGGTCATGTGTATGAATGTGGGCAGCACTAAACCACCTTTTTTTCCCCAACAACTCCTTCTAAGCCACAAAAGAACATTAAGCACGCTAAAGTATCCCACTGGAGCTACAAACGTTAAAATTCTCCTTCAGACTGTCTGTAAAACATCTCATTTGCTGCGCTACGATAAAAGGTCTGCAGGCTGAGCTTACTACACCTACTCAGATTAAAGACATGTTCAGTGTACAACATCACACACTGTTGTACAACGAGGCAACAATGAACCATTTCAGACTGGAGGCATTTCATTCTGTCTTTTTTTTTTTTCACTGGTAACAAACACTTTTATAGATCTATCATCATACGCAGTAGAATTCCAAAAATCTTGGGCTGCGTCTGAAATGGATCCCTAACCCCTATATAGGCGACTGTATGGGGGTTAGCGCCATTTTGAGGGGTGTCCAAAACCTGAGTGATCAATTCAAGTGCCGCATATAGGTGACTCAAAATTTCCCATAAAGCATTGCAAAATGTAGTGACCAACTCACTGGTGGTGAGCATCCCGTTATGCGCTGCTTCTTGCCATGTAGTGTCCGAAACCTCCGGTGATTGAGTTCACTACATAGTCAACTATATAGTGAAACCCCATATGGGGGTTAGGGGTTAGGGATTGAGTGATTCATTTTGGACACAGCCTTTGTCTCAATTCCTGGAATATTATTAACCCCATTTTTAATTCTAGAGAAATTAGATCAGCTGACTGACTGAATATGAAATATAATGTTTGGTTCAGGAAAATTCTGGATATCGATAAATACTGACAAATTATTTACGTTAAATTCTGCCAAAAAAAAATCTATCAAATGCTTGGAAAAATCTGCTGCAATGAACCAACTTTCATGATTTAACTCCTTTAGAGAAGGTAGTATTTATCAGTCTCAGATCACAAGCAGTGCAGGTACACAGAACAAGGCACCACATTAGACCTCAATGACCCAGATAAACAAAGTCTAAGTGGTTCTGTATTGCTCAGTGAGATAACAAACCAGAGTGCGCTCCTGTGAAACACACTGATCAGGTGAGAGTCATATCGGGTTTTATGCATGGCTTTGGACCAAAAATCAAAAGTATGCAAGTGTGACCACATGAGGACATAATTGTGACAAAAGGGACCATTGCAATTGTGATTTAGATCTTTCATTGACTGACTGTCCACTAGAGGGAGTTTTAATGTTTCACTGGGGGAGAATAAAATACAGCTGATTGCTTCCTGTTCCACATCCTGAGTCCATTGCAGCGCAACGTTGTGAGGTTGTGGGATTGCTCACTGCTACTATCAGCCTGCATGACATCACCATGCGAATGAAGTCATCATACATCCCAGCTTTGATATCTTTACTCGGTCCAGCCAATGGCGTGTTATCTTGAGAGCTCTCTGTTGGGCTTCAATGTGCCAATGCCAATGTGGAGACCTTTATTTCTTTAAGTAAGAATTACATGGTCTCTCAGGTGACCGAGCTGAATGTTGTCAGCAGCCTCTGGATAAATGTTCATTGAGCCTGCAGGACCCACACACAATTCCCAGCAGGCTACTGCACACATCAGCTGCTTCCTGTCTGCCTACCTCCTGTTGCACAGAAGGAGGGAGGTAGGAGGTGGGATTGCTCGGAAAACATGCGAGAAAACTGCTGGAACAGAGTGCACGTACGTGTCTCATGCACTGTCCTATCTAATTACAGCGCTCATTGTCACATGCTCATCAGCTGGGCAAATTACAATGGCAGAACTTAAGGTTGGTCAAAAAAAGTATTGGAAATTAATCCCTGGCAATTTAAATCTGAGCTGCGAAAGAATAACAAGTCATGGTTAGGGTTTTCTTTCTTTGGAGGGGCAAGTCATGCTTAGTGTAGGCCCCCTTAAGCCTCCTGGGAGAGAGATGGAGAGAGAGAGAGAATGAGAGATTATCCTTACTGCAGTCTCCAAAGGACGGAAATAATTAGTTAATACCTTTGCACAGTCTAAGCTGGAGATTTTCCTGTGTCTGTGTAATGCAAGACAAGATGGGCTCTTCCTATGCATTTACAAAACTGCTGATTGTGATACTTGACTGATGGTATGCATCTCAAAGTCAGCAGCTTATGCTTGTCAATCACTTTCCTTGTGTAAACCATTTAGAGTTTAGTGGTAACCCATTTGCAATTTAGCGGATTCTCTCACTCAACTCCGGCTGATTGATTGCTCCCTAAAGATGTCCCATTCATGCTATCATCACATGTGAAGCTTCTAACACCGAGAAGGGAGCTCCCAAAGGGGGCTTCCTGGAAGAATCAGGAATTTCTACACTGATGTATTGATATTGAAGCCCGCGCCCAACAACGTTAAGAATAGGAGTAACAAAAAGGATGGTGTGTGTGTGGATGCTTTGTTGTTAATTCGAAAGAGGGTTTTAGTACTTTACCTGCAGTTCACACCAGGCAACCTCCACCCAGGTCTCTGTATCCAGCCCCTTGTAGACAGTCTTGAAGGAACCTCTTCCTAACTCGATGTCAAACTTGAGGAATCTTCCTCCTGGAGATGTGGAGACCGCTTTCATCTCTGCCTCTTCCTCGTTCTCCTCACTTGCCGCCTTAATGTTGGCTCTTCCAGCATCATTGCACGTCAGATTTAAAGTATCCCCACCTTTTTCCTTCTCCTCATCAGCACTGGCGCTCTCGGTTGCACTGTCCTTATGCCCCCCTTGACTCTCAGTGCTTGAACCTTCTTGAATCCCACAACTAGCCCCTCGTGTCCTATCCACTATTGTTCTCAGGTTTATGTTCAAGATCTTACTCCTGTTGTCGCATTCAGGCGCTTCAAAGGTCTGCTCATCTGTGTCCGAGAACCATAAGCTCCTCCTAATGAATCTCTGGTAACCACTCTTCTGATAGCTAGAAGAAGGATATGCACTGGGGTCACTTCCACCTCTCACTAATGAGTCCACGATATTGACATTTCCATCACCCCTGGCCTCATACATATTTGTGGCCAGCTCACACTGAGAGTTGGGTACAGATGGATATTTCAGTTCTACGGAGTTGGAATTTGGCTCCGGCTCCATGGTGGTTTAAAGTTCTTTTACTTTGGTTTCCAGGTCATTCTTGCCATGGCTAGACTTGCCAAACTGCAGATCGAGAGATGAGTACCTGCAGCGCCCACTCGGTGACGCAGTTTGCCAGCAGAGGCCCCTAACAACACCAAGAGGGATGGCACAGAGCAGATTTCATTTGATATGAAGAGCTGCAAAAAAAAAATGATTCCAGTTAGTGAAACAACACCCAACATTTCCTCGAGTGTAAGATAATACTTCAGCTGCGTTAAAAATATGTAACATTTATGGATTTTAGTTATTTGAGAGTTCAAGGAAGTCAATAAAAGCAGGTGGCTGTAAATGCAAGTCCGCGAGTTTTAACACAGCAGAAGCCATTAACGACCAGGTGAACGGATTAGGAGGTTAATGAGCCGACGTTAAGTTTGGTATAACCGAACAAACGGCTGTTTAACGGTGCTAACTTGCATTTACATCTTACATAGATGGCTTTTCAAACACTGTATGAATTAAACAAAAAACGGGAGACGTGACTTACCTTGGTCAAAAGGCGAAGGAAACCGACTAAACACGCCGAGCTCGACCAAAACTCGTGCGAGCGATGAACGTTACAGGCAGACCTGGCAGGTCCAGAAAACTCGCTAACGTTAGCCGTTCGTCCACGGTTAAAATACGCCCTATCTGTATATCATCCCCATTTTCACACGCAGGGGCAACCAACACGGCCGCAAACAAAGTAAAATTCAACTCAAGTCTTTGCTCACTAAAAAAGGCTCCATTTGACATAAAAAGGCCGATATGTCGTGTTTATATCCTTTCAAGTCCTCGCATCCCTCTCCTCTTCGGTTGAAGCTGACGATGCCGAGTCTCTCCGTTGCCTGCTGAATGCGGAGCGTGGACTTAAAGACCCACTCGGGCCGCTCATACACACGAGAAATTTGAGTTCGCTCCGGTCGTCCCCTCGGCAATTAATTCACGCGGACAACTGTTTTGGCTTGTCATCGTCTCTCCTCCCCATTGCAGTTAATACAACAGCGAGGCACACAAATGTGTTTCCCATTCAGCTCGCTCGGTTCCACGCCCCTGGTAACGACTAGAGGGACTGTCCAATAATACGACACGCTGGGAGGACACCACAGAGAGCCCCATCATGCAGAGAGAATGACACATATCTCATGTGAAAAAATAAAGTGTGAAAGGCCAAACAGAATCCGTGTGCGCAGTTTGTCCACGCTCTTTAGATTTTATTCCCTCCAAAGAGCCTGTGAACGTCTGAAAAATCTCTTTCACGCCCTTCACTAACTCGTCCAATCACGTGTCTTTCTGCCCCTCACTCGCAGCTCAACAGCATACTATACATAACAGCAGGATTTTATAAATAAAGATATATACAGTAAATTGACTGTTCATACAAGTGGTGCTTTATCATATAGACTGAATAACTGCAGATCCTGTCTTCTTCCCCCCCACCACAAGACACTTGGAATCTCAATTTACCGGAGCTGCAGCGTGCAGCTGAGGCGCAGCAGCATACCTACATGGGCATATGGGAAAATGATGATCAGCAGCAGCAGCAGCAGCAACAGGGGAGGTGGGACTGAGGTAAGATATTTTAAGCCATTTTATTAAGACAAAGGGTATATTCTACAAAAAAAAAAACATTGCTTAGCTGCTTTTTTGTCTTTGTGAAATACAATATCTGCATGTAATGTATGATGCATAATTGTCAATTCCAAGAAATAAAAATTAAAAAGAGTCTGAATGCAACATTTTTCTGCTCACAGGTGGAATTTGCACACTTTCTGTCTTGCAAAAAAACTGGGTTAAAACTCAAACATTGGAAATCAACTTATCATATATCACTGAAGTTTTTTATTCAGTAATTTTTGTGAGCATCTGAAGAGCTGTATTTGGTCCATTTACATTCAAAAATATGAGTATATCCACCATGGCTCTCGCATTTTTCTGCCTTTTTTGGCCTCTAAGAGAGGAAACAAACATTTGAGTGATGTAACAGAGCAGATCACACACAAAATAGGACAATTGAAAAAAAAATAAACAGAATAATTTCTCTATGTTTGGTTTAACCATGCTGTTGGATCAGATGACAGTCTGGATCAGTTGAGGAGTGAGGCATTGTTGGCACCTGAGTGACCTTATAAATAATGAATGCGCTCCTTTGTTTCCACTTCAGTGGCCAAAATGAACACACAAACACTTGCACAGGCAGTTTTACTTTTACGTAATGTCACGGTGCTTTGTACCATGTCTTGATTGTTGCAGGACAGGGGATGTTTAATGCATTTTATGTGGCAATTGAAGTTGCCATTTGATTAGTAATTAAAATATCTGGTTGTGTGAAGATACATTCACATTTACAAGGCAAGGGAATGAGCTTTACTATGTTATTGCCCCGGTCACCGTCTTAATAGTGACAGTCGCATTAAGATTGATGTTGTAGTGTTTATTTAAGTGTTACACTCAGATAGATGTGTTAGTATGTTTCAGTGCGTGTTGGTGTTTGAGGAAGAAGCGAGGAGGAACAGAGAGAGAGGGACCCTGAATGGCAGCCAGAGATACTTCCTTGTGATTGTCAGAGCTCAGCCAACAGATGCAGATTGTAATACCCTCACGCTCAATAAAATGAGCAACTGGTCTGGTTTACAATGTGTCTCCTACCACTGCGAGCCAATAAGAAAAGGATCAATCCATGGTTTGTTTTGTGGGGGGTAGATCTCATCTGCTTTTAATACAGTAAAGCTACTTCTCTTGCAATGAAATCACATCCCATGTCAGATTTCAGTACATCTCCCAAGAAATTGATTCAGACTCTTTGCCTGATAATCATGACAACATTTTCCAGATTGAGAGAGTGTTTCATCCTCTGAGTGCCATGGTGGGATAGAACAGTTATGTTTGCTTTGCACTGTGTAAGGCTGTAAAACTAAAAGCCCTACAGAGAATCATGGAAATTAGATTTACAGTTCGGTCGATCCTCATCTGGAGGAGGGCCAGAGTTTGTGAGGTGAGCAAGAGAGGCAGGCTGCTGATAGGACATGATGGATGGAGAGCGGAGAAGTGCTGATGTATAAGAAAAAAAAACACAAAAAGGGGATGGGAAACACACACCCATGCAGTTCCAGATGCAAGTTCGTTTGCTTTTCATCATGACGCTGAACAGCAGCAGGTCCAGTTAACTAAATAATAAATGGAGGGTCTCAAGTGATGTCTTGCTTTGTTGCATAAAGCTTTCCACAGGCAGATCCAGTTCTATGAGGTATTAAAAAAAACATTGATGACATATTCTCACACTAACTGACAAGAAGGTCTTTCGCTTAGCTTTATGTGGGAAAATCGTGAAAACTTGGGATTACATGTGCAAGTTGAATGAGTTCACTTCTTTTGCTTGGATAAGAGCCAAAACTTCCGTTGGCCTCAGTGATGAAAGAACATTTTATGGTTCAACTAGGTTTACAGACTTAGGAATTTTGAGGTTTAAGCCTTTTCCAGAGGGAGGAGTTTTAAAGTTCGTAGTCCATTACATTGTGACTTGCTTAGAGGCACACGTAAAGACAGGTATTTATGATGGGACAAGACTAATGTGGGTGTAGAAGTTTTAAACAGCAGGCTGTTTTCATTGCCTTTTTTTTTACTTTTTCCACAGCAAAAACTCATGGTGAGTTTCACTCTTAAAGATAAGTGGGTTTTTGTCTCTAGCAACAACTTCAACAGAACAAGAAAACAGGAGTATCGCTGTGTCTGCAGACCAATACTAGCACAAACCAAAAGATCCTCTAAGTAGCTTTCACTTTCAAACGTACTTGCCATCTAACTTAATTTTGGTTTAACCAACAGTTGTATATTCAATCTGATTTTGCTGGAAGCAGGCTACATTTAATGTCTCTGTATAAATCTATCTGCTTCTAAATAACAAAGAGTTCTTCAACATTCAGATAACATTTCCATCCCTGACCCTCTTGTCTGCGACCTCTTTTATGTGTACTCTGAGTTTATTCCAAACTAAGAATAGAGTGGAAATAATTCAACACAAAAATAAGCATTGCAACCTTGGATACACGCAGGGTGATTGATGTAATGAGAGCCTTTTGTTTTAAAAAGGGGAAAGGTAACAATAGATCAGCAATGGCTGAAAGACTGACAAGTGCTTTGTCTCATGATGGTAAAACAAAAGGTGGTGTAAATATGCAGATGTGGGCTGTATTGGGAGTTTTTTCGTGTTGAGGTGTTACCAACATGAAAGCCTTATTCAGATGTCCTCCTGTATTAGTTATTTGCATGGATACTTTTGTTCTGCCTATCTCGTCTGCTTTGATTAGTATTTAGTCTTGACCTTGGATGTTCACACAAAGTTGTACAAGAAGAGTCCAAAAGCTTTTCTACATTTGCTGATGAATTTTGAATAAATCTCTTGCTCTGTGCTTTCTAGACATCCCGACTCCATCCAGAGATCTCACAACATTATCTCACTGTGGTGGCCTGTTGACTTGGGGATAAAGGCCTGTCCTAGAAAAGCCTGTGTCAAGCAGCATATTTGACCCTGACACCTCATGACAGCGTGCCATTTATGTTTAGCACGAATCACGGTCACACGGGACCTCAGAGAACCACATCCATTTTCCTGGAGGAATGTAGGGAAACATGTTTTGAAGAGCTGGTTAAGTCCTTGTTATGAGTCTTACTAGGAGGCTCCCACTGAAAAGGATTTTGTGAAAACCCATGAAGTTTTTTTTTTTTCTCCTGAAGATTTTCTGGATTTGGTTGGGATGTCTCAGCAGTGTTCACATAAAGCCATGCCAGATCATAAAATCTAAAATTATGAGTGGGCAGCCAGATGTAGATCTAGGCCAGTGACACATGTAAGCCACGACCTAAAGGCTTATTAAGAGAATTAATCATGGCTTGTCCAGTGGTGATCACAAGGCTGAAAAAAACTCATCAAAATAATTACTAAGTACAACCCCCACGACCACACCGTCTGTGCAGTTTGTACTTCCCCCTCGTACATCAACAACACCATGCCATGTGATTGTTGTGATTCTCCTAAAGACATTGTAATTCAGCTGTAGCTTGGCCTGTGGCAAATTAGAGGGTGCAGCTCTTCTTTTTCCTCTTTTTTTGTTTCAGCGCAGAGGGGAGACAGTTCATACCAGCTCTGTGGTTTGCTTAATCCCTGACAAACTGTGCTCCCTGCAGCAGCAGTAGGGGTGTGTTGTGAGAAAATAAGGAAAGCTTCAGTGCCTGGGAGGAGACTGTAAGCAAGTGCTGATTATTTCATGTTGAGTGCAAGTGCATGTGTGTTTGTGTTTGTGTGTGCAGATCTAGGCCTTGACTTTACCAGCCTTGAGTGACGGTGCTCAGATGTTGGCCAGGAAAGACTGAATAAAGAGTGTAAGTAGGAGGTCATTCAGCAGCAGGGCCTAAAGTGGAAAATGCTTCTTTAGTTATCTCTAGATTTTTACCTTGTGCTGACCCATTCTGTGTTTTATTTCAATGCGGGCAGAGTCCAACTGAATGGCACTCACACACTCTAAAAGAAAAAAATCCTGGCTACACTTCGGTTACGTAACCCTCACCCACACGAGGATCAATGGGTTGTGAATGTAACATCAAACTGAGTTCATTTTCTCACAGTTATCACCTGTTGGTTACTCCTGGAAGAGATGCCGCCTTAATACTCCTTCTCTTTTACTGAAGGAAAAAGAGCCTGACTTAACCAGGATTAATGAAGTTGGCTACAAAAGGTTGCTCTGGATCTTTTTGGTTCATTTACCCAATTTACTCTGTGATGCTGCTTGGAGACAGGGGCGCACACGGAGAAGGGCAATAGCATCGCTTTCTATACTAAAAACACAGAACAGCCAGTCAAACCCACAACTTGAATTTAAAAGTCAAATAAAATCAAAGGTGAGAGCATACAGCAATGCACAAGGTCAAATTTGTGTGGCGCTTAACACAGAAGAAAAAAACAGAGATCATTTGAAACCACAGCAAGTAGAAAGGCTCAAACGTCATCCATGATTTGTTTACGCTCCCTATATTTCAAGGCGCCTGTTACCGCTGTTGCCAGAGTCTCTTTGCTACACTAATGGCTTCTAGTTGTGCTAATTAGGTCAACACGAAAACCAGATCCTCAGCATCAATGCACAGGAAGCTCAAATATTACCGTTATCCTCATTAACATGCTGCCGCCTTGTTGCTCTGTAGGGACAACAAAACAGTGGCACAGAGCATGCACACTTTTCTGTTTATTTCCAGAAATTCGTCTTTTAGGCGTTATCTCAAAGCCGTAAACATTTTATCTCCATGCCAGATACTTGCTCTTTTTCCCCAGGCCTCTCATCCAGATGCTCAGCCCAGCAGCCCCGCCCCTCTGAACATGAACCACTATGCCAATAAGAAGAGTGCAGCAGAGAGCATGCTGGATGTGGCTCTGCTGATGGCCAACACCTCCCAGCTGAAAGCGGTGCTCGACCAGGGGGCTGACTTCTCCTTTTACACCCCCGTCATCACCCTGATCGGCATCTCCCTCTGTTTGCAGGTCACAGTCGGGGTCCTGCTTATCTTCATAGGTGAGAAAATAAACAGAGCCTGCTGAGACCTTTTGGTGTCTTTGTTGTCTGGTGAGCATCACAACCTTTGCTTGCCCTTTTTGAGTTTCTTCTCCTCCACCCTCTCTCCTCTGCAAAGTCAAGTCCACTGATTACTGACAAACAACTCATTACCCGCTAGCTGTTACCATGACAACCCGCCTGACTCCAGGTCAGGGGTCAATATGTTTTTGTGCTGCTGGGTGTCAGGGGGAAATTGTCAATACATCATTGAGCATGCTTTGTGTGTCTTCAAGTGAACAGCAAGAAAGGGAAAAAACGACACACAGGAGTGCCATCAAGTCACCTGACTAGAGATCTGAGGATTTTGGCTTTAAAAGCAAAATCTGGGGTTAAAAAAACAGGATCATAAAGATTGGAGGATGACCTAGGATAATATGTTTCTGTTCAGGTTGAACTGCTGTTCAATTTACTATGACTAAAAGCAGGTCAGTGCACTTTAGCCGGGTCACACTGACTCATTCCAGCTTTCACCAAGAGGAGTAAATAAAGAGGACATGTCAGTGTCCTTCCCTAAATACTACACTTGTGGTGCTTCATGTTTCCCTTTTTAGCTTCTGTGTCAGGAGTCATCTATTAAATAAAAGCAAAATACTTTGCAACAAATAATTGTTAAAAAAGTTACAGAGTCTTGACAAGTCTCTCAGTATAAACCCATTTTTATCCCTAAATGTCCCTTAAGGGGCTCCATAGTTATGCTACTTTTTACAGTCAAGAAAATATGCATTGCAATGGCATCTTTTAGATATTTTAGGTCCTGTATCCACCAATGGTTGTTTTTATGATAGCAGTCCTAAGTTTTTAAAAATCCTATTTATTCATTTATTTACTTTGTTTGTTTGTTTTGTTGCTGCAGTGACTGTGGTCTTACTCTTAAATGTTAAAAGTTGAAGTTTGTGTGCTAAGTGGAGAAAGGCTGTTATTAAATGGTGTACACGTGTGTGTAGGCCCACACACGTCATACCACCCCTGCATGAGTAAGTGCCCAAGTTTGACCTCCCTAGTCCAAAAAAGTCTGGTTTAATCATCTGCTTTGATCAGTATTTTAGTTTTAATCATAATGAATCAAGAAATGAAATGTTCTCATCTTTAGAAAAGAAAAAAATCCCATTAACTTTGATTCTCATAATGAATCATATTTCACATTGAAAATGGTTGTCTTTTGTTTTCTGTCTTCTAAAGCATCACGTGTCAAAGAAAAGGTCAGTCAGGATGTTAGTCATCACACTTTCATGAGGGCCGGACCCCCTCCTTCCCCCAAATCCCCTGTCTCCACCACCCTCTCTTACAACCCCCCACCCTTGGCCTCCGCCAGAATATCAAACACATCTCATTCTCGTCGCTCTTTTCATTCCTCTTCCTTCATTCTCTCTGAATTCCCTTAACCCTGCCGCCCTCTCCTCTCCCCTTGCTCACCCGCCCGCCTCCCCCAAATTCTCCCCTCCCTCCCTCCCTCCCTCCCTCTCCTGTGGATCCAGCTCTGTCTAATGGAGCCAGTAGTGCGTGATGTGAGTGGCCTACATACCATCACCACCACCACCCCCTCCAACCCCTGTCCACCCCAGCCCAGTCAGATCAGACACACACAGGCGGGGTCCTTACACTGCTTACTATTGGGTTATCTCCCATGAACACACACACACACACACTCACACACAAAGAGCCTGTAGAGCTTCAGCTGTAAATCACCTCCCCACTTACGAATACACACACACACGTGCAAACACACTCCCCTGATCACACCTTGATTTCAGCTTTATCTATCAGCTGGTCCATGTGATGATGATGATGATGATGATGACGATGACTTTATTAGTGTTTAAGTCATTAACAGAATTCGAATTATTTGTCATTTTTGGATCACAGGGCGGACACTAAATGACAGTTTAATACAGGAAATATAAGCCTCCCTTAAACAGCACACTCTTCTCTGCGTTGTTCTTTCGACTCACTCTGAATCACAAGTTTGTTGTCATATGAAAGGTTGTGCTATTGAAAATCTGACCCTTTATTGATTCTTCTTAAACTCATTTGACTTGCAGAAGAAGCAGCTTAAAATTCTGGTGAAATTTTGTGCAAAATTCTATTTTATTTGGTCTCTAAAGACAAAGAAATATTTGTTATCCTAACTTATTCCCCAGGTGACGCAGAGCCCAGAGGATTTGACCTTTTATTAAAACACTGATACAAAATTCCAATAACAGAAAACTGTGGCCATGTAGATTTGGAGGATTAAGGATGAACATTCCAGCTTTGTGGCATGAACAGTACTTTAACATCGCTGTTTACATGGCAAGTGAGCTCATCGATCAATACTGTATATTAGCGACAAAGGATTGTTGTAAAACAGGTACATTTGACTTTATTACTTGACATGAAAATGATTTTAATGGCAGTCTACAACCCTACATAGTACTTTTAAGACTGGAGGTATGCGTCATTTTTATTATCTGCATCACTCAGGCTTTTTCTTATCAGCCAGATGATAAAACCCTGTTGAGTGTATTTTTGTAGTTATTGTAAATGGCCTTGGCCAACAGATGCTCAAATAGAGCTTCAGTATCAACAAACATGACTTTCCATTTGACAGAGTGTCTCTAAAGTTTATTTTAGAAACTTTGCAGTCTTTTTAGAGGCATAAATGGGTTTAGAAAATCCAATTTATCAAACCGAACTCTAGATGTTTATGACGTCAATTTTGTGCTGTTGAAAGATAAAAAGAAAGTGATTCATACGAACCTTTTATCCCTGCAAGCCCTTTTCAGAATGTAACATTTTATTGACCTCATTTTTGGTGGGATCCCTCATGGACAGAAGTATGTATGGATTTATGGTTGTTAGTAAATCAGTGTATAGTGATTTGGCCAGAGTCCCAGGATACAGTAGACTGTTGTGTTTGATCAGACATTCACTGGGTGTGTGTTTGTGTGTGCGTCCTTGTTTTGCCCACAGTTCGATGGGACCTGAATGATGAGCAGAAACACTGGAGGCTGGACATTCTGGAGGATTTGGCCACATGCCTGGTTTTTATCATAGTGATTGTGAACATCTTTATAACAGCCCTTGGAGTTCACAGGCCCAAACACAGTGACTGAACAAGAACACTGGTATTATTTTTTATCTAATCACAAATATTTTCTCTCTTTGGCCACTTCTGGTTCTCTCCGAATAAACTTGTTTTTTTGTTTCCCGTCTCAATGTGCAGTGCGCTCCAAAGACATCCATGAAGTCAGCATTTTTCAATCCTCACCTCTCCTGAACTAAACCTTCACAATCTCCCTACCTGACCTACAAACACACTGACCTCTCCAGGCTCTCAGAGAATTTTCCACCGGAAAACAGCACAAAAACAAACGAATGAAAAAACCCAACAGCTGGCTCATTTGCCAGAAAATCATTGTCCTGCAAACTGCTGCAGGCATGCGGAGAAAAACAGAGTGAACAAGAGAGAAACGGCAGAAAAGACAATGGGGTCTGGTGCACAAACAACACAACATTTGTTTCTGATGGACAAACAGGAAAGTGGAGACAACAGCAGTCAAGCACATGTGACCTCATGCTGTCTGTCTCTCATTCTGCCCGGGAGTGACCTGAAGCACTGCTAGACAGCAAATGTATACAGTTATGCACACACACACACACACACAAGGGGAACAGGCTTCAATTTTTAATAACTTTGTGCAAGATGTCATGGTTCCTGTTCAGACAGACTGGGCCAGGAGATTTCAGGGGTCGGCTGAGGAAATGCACCCAGAATAGGGTGTGCCTCGTGAGTCAAAGCGCCTTTGGACTTTTGCTGGCTAAACTCAGCAACACATCAGTCCGCCACCACAGGCCACAAGCCTAACGTGAAATTAAAACAATGTTTGGTTGTGCCTCAACTCTCTGAGCAAAGCCAGAGAGTGTCTGTGGTTCCCCGGACCGACAGCTGATGAGTCAACCGACACAGCAGAGTCGAGCAGAACTGCTTGTTAAAATGTAGGCTCCTAATTAGATAGTGTTTCAGCCATGTCACCAAAACCCCAATTAGAGCAAATGCAAATCTTCAATGTGCAAACTGGAGCTGTTCAACCGAAGATGTTTCAACCTGTTTTACATCATCTCCGAAACATCTGAAGGATAATTTGACTGTTTTTTTGTGTAATTTCTGGAAAAGTTACAGTGACAAAGCACCTTCAAGATGACAAACTAACGTCACAATCTGATCCTCTTCCTCCTCCACAACTATCATTGGTAACCGTGGAAACAGGCCGACAAGCTGAGAGCCAGATTGATGACACACACAGCTCCACTCAAGGCAGATCTGCAGACTGATATAGATACATAATGTATGTCTGTGGCTCCCACTCCTCTGGCTTGATCTCAAAACTGGCACAGTGGGAGCCTCACTTCAGAAGACGCTGTTGATCAAGGAGGAGTTTCAGCTCATTTGTAGCAGCACTATTAATAGCTCTCAAGTGGGGATGATAGATACAAGCATTCAAACTGGACAATCACCCTGGTGACACTTCCAACCCCCTGTAGCACCTCCCCCTGCCTTCCACTTCTGCGACTGTCTTTGCAGAGGAGGCAGAAGTGGAAAAGTGCGGCTCATATCTCTGGAGATCAGATACCTGAGCTGTCCAGCAGAGCTGCACTGTATGTGAACTATCTTTGATGTGGCCTTTTTCCGACTGAGTCATCATCATAAGTAATACTTAAAAGGGCATCAGTATGATAGGGTAAAGTATGAAATGCATCTTGGGCAGTCAGCAGTATGCATTTAATTGAGATGACTTTATTCATTCAATCAATTTGATTGTCATTATTAATTTATGTTGGTTGTCTACTGCTCTCAATTGTCATTGTTATACTACACTAAAATATGCACCATGCTGGATCCTATGTTGGTGAACTCAACGGGGAAGCAGCGCCCTCTAGTGTTAATGTTGATGCAGAGGAATACAGTTGAAGTTATCTCCATTTCATGTCCCCAGAGTAACAGCTTGATCTAACAGCACAGTAAAAAGAGCTAGTCACTGTAAGAAACATGCAGTTCAGTACTTTTTAACAACAGTTTCAATTAGTCAACATTATTTATTGGTTATTTATGAATTAGTTTGTGATTGTAGCTGAAAAAAGATCAAAACTTTGAGTTGTGTGAAAAATATTTTGTGCTTTATTTGAGCAGTTAATATTAAATCCGTACATTCAAATGAATACTTTTTAGGTTACATGAATAGGTTTCTTATTGCATTGCAAAGACAGTTCTTCTTTGGTTTTGCAAACACTTATGGAGACATTTAAAAATCAAGATTTTTCTGTTGTACTAAATCGTATGAAAGTATGGATATTAAAATGTGTTTTAAAAATAATTTCTCACTCTTTGCATGTTAAATCCTCATGCAGAATGAGACCAGAGTTTTCCATTCTAACTGGTTCCATTGTGTATCAGCCCTTTATTCTTCCTGCTAATACTGTCAGTCGACTTTAGTGACATAATGTAAAGTAAAAGCCAGCATAGCTCAAGTCAGCTCACACCTGAGCAGAGGTCTAAGAAGCTTAGAGGGGAGTGAATATTCACATGATACACTGGAATTAAAACATACAGACAATAAACCTTGTATAAACAACATTATGTATTTATCATAGAAAAAAAACAGATTCCAGCTGTGAGAATTGCAGACAAAATGACTCCAAAACAAGTCAAGTACTATTAGGAAACATTTTTGGATTACAAAATTTCCATAGTTCTTCAAGTGTTTGAGTTTGGCACGGTTAAGTGGCAATTATAGTGGATTGATGTTCTTAAAGGGCGTGTTTGTTTTCTTTCATTTCAGCACCTTAATGGCCTCTTCTGCTCTGTTTCAGACCTCAGCATAGGAAATTAAAACATCTGTAGCGCCATTACTTAGTGCTGCTGCAGAACAGTGAAGAAAGGGACTGGTGCATCTCAACGAATCCCGCTCTGGGGGGACAGAGAGCCAAAAAAAATAGAGTTTTAGTTTCTAGAGGTTTAAATTTGAGGGTCTATAAGGATGAAGGGAGGATTATATAGGGAAAAATAAAGTTTGAAGGGGCTTTTGATGCTAATGTACACTTTCTATAATAGAGAAACATCACTCTGCAGGACTCACCTCCGTAATAGTAGAGCATTGCAACACCGACTAAAAAACTGAAACAGCTCAGGAAGAATACTGGTCCTACAGAGAAGAGAAGGAAAAATGTAAGCGACACTTAATCTACTATCTTTTTATAATACAATAGTGCAGAGTGGTGCAGAGTCTTCTCAGAAAATGAATGAAAAAAAGACAAAATGACTAACTGACTGACTTTGCTGTTTTCTTGTTGCACAATAACAATAAATACTTGAATCTTTAAGAATAAGTCTTTTTGTTTACAGTCATTACAAGGCATCATTTCTCTGCATGAATCACAAGTGGGGGGGTCACTGTGTGTTTCACTGCTTCACTCATGACCCATTTCCCTGCTGACACACCTTTGACCCAGTGGATGCAGCCGTGGCTGTTTAAAGGAATGCAGGACAGAGGAGTAGCTTTAGACAGGGGGGTTTACACGTGAGCTTAACTGACCCACAAAGCCAAAGCCCTGGATGCAATGGGATGATAAATGGTGAAGCAGTGCAGAGCAGAGGGGCCCACATAGTGATGTTGGGGGTTAAAAGGTTCAGCAGACAACTACATGTGCTGAAGAACAAAGCTTAGTTTGGCTTAACAGGCTTATTGGAGGATCAGTGTGGGGTGCAGAGGCACCCTGACACACATAAACTAGAAGACTGCATACTTTAATGTAACTGCCACAGTCATGTTTCTAAATTAAAACTGTTTTACATCTACAGTCTCAACATGTGTGCTGGACCATGGACTTTAAATCATTTTATGATGCACCACAGCATATCATATTCCAAACTTTAACACAAGTTTCAGGCTTAGAAATTGATCTCTATCACTTCTACCTAAGTTTTCTACTGTACAAAAACTGGGTCACCAAAGGCAATACATAGACAGAGACGGCTGACCCATTAAATTTCATTTCATAACCATTATAGCATCAAAGAAACACATTTCATGGCTGGGTTATGATCACATTATGGTTTAATTTTAATGGTCTGTAAATGGTTTTGAGCATAAGAGCCCTGCTGTCCTGGAGTAACTACAGTCTGTATAGAAACAATCATAGCTACATGATTATTGCTGGATGATTTATTGTATTTTTATTGTTTTTTCTGAAATAACATTTGCAAAATATCTAAATTTCTTGCAATATATTGGAAAAATGATTCTATATGAAGAAGTAGTGCTTTCTCTTGCAGCATATGCACAAATGTTACCTATTGCATGGAGGCCAAGATATGATAAAAAAAAAAAAGCTTTCACACTGTTTCGATGTAGTTAGATGAAACTATGCAAGCTATCAACTGACCTCAAATTAACTGGTTAAGAGAGGTTTAACTATGTGTAACAAAACAGCAGTTTTTACAGTTCTGTTTTGAATATTTTTAATGATTTAAGTTCTAATATGCACTTTGATTTGTGTTCATACTGTTCATATAAAGTATCGCTATCCTACATTGACTATTTTTCTCATATTCTGCAGGACTAACCATTTCCTTTGAAAAATATTTAGGAGAATCTCTTGGGATGACAGTTTTCAATGAGTTCAAAATTAATAGAATACAGCTGCAAAGAAGTGTTTTCAAAACCGTTCATAAACTTTATAATTTATAAAAAGGCGCCTGCAAATAAAATGTAGTATTATTATTATTGTTAGTAGTAGTAGTAGTAGTAGTAGTAACTTAATAATTCATAATTCAAAATTTGATTGACTTCTTACTATGAGGAATTACCCACCTTAATATGTTTGATCTATTCACAGTTCAATTTCGACACTACCTCAAAATGAAACTAACTATATGAACCATCCATGAGTGAGACACTGATTCAAACTATTCATGCATTTTAAATACTGTATGTACATAACCTCCAAAATAGCAGCTGTGGTCTTCACTATTACTCATATAATTCTGCTGTTATTTCACGTAAAATGATAACAAAAACGTAAAAGCACATTATGTGAATTGCTCTGTTGTCCTATTTTGTCATGTGAGATGTTGATTTAAATTCACCTCTGTCATTGAGCACATATCGGTCTTGGGGGTAGGCTGCATTGTAATCCCATTTCGGATCTGCCATGTCTAGAACAGAAAGTAAACACTGGTGAAACGGTAAATTTCACACTTGAAGTGACAGCATTTGTAATCCGAGATCCACCTCTTCACGTGGTGTGCGAGCAGCACAATTGCTTCTCTCTCCAACATTAATTGGATAAGCCTCCGAAAGGACAGATAGGGATATTACACAGCAGGGGACGTTCCATTAGTAGACCGTTAGTTAAAGAGATTTGCGTCATCACTATCTGACATGCTGGAGGAACTAAACGGTACCATTTAAAACATGAAAGAGGAATCAAGTGGCTTACTTTTGAGTTTATGAACTGGTGTTAGCAGATATAAGTATGACAACTAAAAAGACATTTCGTCTGTGAGTCTGCAGGACTACATCTTTAGTTAGCAATCTTCTCATGCCTGTACAGTGCTTTTACCTCTCTGGGAGACTCTGGTGGGTAGGCTGGTGTAGACATCCTCAGCATGGATGTGAAGTCCTCTGTAAAATTCATGGCAGGCATCCTCTCCCTTTATATACAGGTGTGTTATGAGCTCTGCTAACCGCACTTTGGTGGGTACACTCAGGTCCCTGAACTGCAGGGAGACATGCAGCAGTGAATCACTGCTCATATCTAAACGCTGTACTTCTAGTGTAAGTTTTCAGTCCATTAAATTTTTCAAGAGGGTAAACCTGTCATGTTGCGGTACATCAAATATATTTACCCCGTGGGCTTCTTTGTCGCTGAGTATCTGAGGGTAGATCCTGTTCAGCTGCAGCACCAGTCTATCGACCAGTTCAGTGTCCAGCCTATGATGTGAGCAGAGGAACTGTGCGTCCCTCTGGAGCTTCTTATGGCAACCATAAAAGTCTTGTCAAGGATGAACAACAGGCAGTATTACATTATATACAATTCAGACTTCACAAACACCTTTTACCTGACTGTGAAATCAAGAATCCAAAAGTGTGAGGGTAAGGTCAGTAACAGGTCACACTCCTGTACAATCGAATCCACTAGAAAAGCTCCAATTAAATACCTGCAGATTTAATGTCTAGCCTTAAGTAGTTTGTAAGTAAGCTGGTCCTGGCGTTGGTCCTGTACTTAAAATAAAAGTCTAAGAGGTTTATTTACTTCTTTATAAGATTGAAAAGCCTGTGCTTTCTACACTAGCAAAACTGCACATGAAGCAAAACTCGAGCGGAATGGCTCAATGCTGAAAGCACACGTTTTTGTTGCCAAGACTTTTTTCTTTTTCTCGGATGAGGCCTTGACAAAGCTGGACACATTGGAACAAAGCGAGGTGGACTACCTACACACTGATTTTGTAAGTAAATATTCAACAGAATAAAATTGCATGTACCTCTGCAACATATCTATCAGTTTTGTTCAACATGGGTGGGTTTGTGAGAGGTTGTGTTATTATTTAACTTGGATAATAAAGACAGATCCATCAACTTGGCTTCCTCAACTGATAACGTCCAAGTACTGATGAGTCAAAAATGCATAGTGTATACAGTAACTGGTTACCATAGCAACAACCTGACAACATTGGAGTACATTTTGTTCAACAAGAGGCACACCTCCCTGCGAAGCGCTTACTGTAAATAAACCAAAACAAGACAAAACATCTTACCCTTGATTCACAAACCTGTCATACTGACAAACGCACGGTGGGTTCTCCCTCAGACCGACAGCCTCTTCTTCCTGTTCCCTCCGGTGACTGTCTCTGAAGTCCCATTACATCAGCATACAGCGCCTCCCTGCGCCACATGAGGCCACAGGATTTACTTTAGCACCACATGGTCAGTATCAGTCCGCGTCTGTAGACCGATCTGACCGGATTAACAGGATCCGCTTTGGGCTGCACACACAGGACCACAGAGCTGTCAATAATAATAATGATAATAAATGAACTAATTTTTGCATTACTTTATTTTAGGAATTATATCTTTCAGGCCATCGACACATAGAAGATTATATGATTTCTTGTGCAAACAAATCATCACAATCAGAGTCACTGTGCTGCTGTATCATCGTGTTGGTCATTCATTTCTCAGAGGTAATTCAGTCACACACTTTAAAACTTTGCAAAACCGTCACTCTTTATCAGTAGAAATTTAAAATGATAAACTCTCACAGTTGTACTGACAAGAGATTTCCAGTCTCTCTTTTGGTCCAATAAGCTGGACTTTCCCTCAGATGAGTTTTTCAAACAACTTTCTCAGCTGCCAACAATATAAAATACTTAAAATAGCTTTTTCCCCTCAACAAAACAATCAATAGGTGCCTGTTTAAAGCTCAGTTCAGGGCATGAAAGGACCCCGACCTTAAAGTTTTGGGGAGCCTCATCAAACAAGCCTGGAGTCCTCACAGTGCAGTTGCATCTCTTCTCTGGCAGAGGGCAGTGTGCCATTACAGTTCACAGAAGGCACACAATGTCTGACAGATGCATAAATAGCCATTATACTCTGCAGGCATGGTAACTTGATAACGACCACTTCCTGAAGCCTCCACTGATGATGATGTCGTTATTAATAAGGTCTTTACAGATGAACTCATTTGCTGTCACACTGATATGACGCGAATGGAAAATTCTTTCTTCGTACTCCTCATGCTGGATTCTGTTTTAGGTCCTTGATGGGACGCCCATCTTGAGGAGTTACCTCCAGACAAACTGGCCTGATGTCCTCCATACTGCCTCAACAAACAAGGCCCTTCTTCAGGGGTCTGGTCAGAGTCTGGACTTGCACTTTCCAAAGAGGAACAAGGAGGTCTGACGTGTTGAGATGTTCGCCAAGAGATCTGTGCATATCCTGGATTTGGGGGTAGGAGAGGCTGATCATAGTCACAGCCTGGGAGAGCAGAAACCAGAGAAGAAGAGCCACAGGTGCTCTGCGACGGCTCATACATGTACTGTAGATGACATCTGTGGAGGAAAAAGGGGAAATAGGTAGTTTCATTCTCGATTTGACATTACTTTTTGAAATTTGCATTTGGCCAGTTCAGCCTTTTTCTCACCTGCAGGCTTGCATGTCATCACACAGGGTTGGTTCACTTGAAAGCAGCTTCTCCTGGGTGTTGTTGTTGTTGTTGTTCCAGCCTACATTACGGTGGGAGCTGCAATCCTCTGGTTGTTGGGGCTGCTCCTCAGTCTGCCACAACTCTGGATCCCTTTAAAGAATGAGGGTTCAACTCAATACACATAAAACTTTTACTTTTTCTGCAAAATACTGAAGAACTTCTTCACAGAAGTACAATTTTAGGATGCTTTCTCCACTCACTTCGATTTAGAGGATTTAGTTGGAGCTTTTTTCCCAGTATTTGACATGACTTGTTTTTTTAGAGATTATGATTCTGCAACAAAACATGACAAACCTACAAAAGATGAGCTTAACTTGGAGAGTAAACCCACTGCATCCCGCCTGAAAACTTATTTCACTCCTTAGCGTTTATCCCAGCATGAGAGTTGTGTGATCTCTCTTTGTCTGTTTTTTATTTCTTTTTTTTATTTCTATTATCTGTTTTTTTATTTGCTCTTAGTGTTTTTATTTTATTTTATTTCTACATTGTTTAATTTTAAAGTGTTTTTTATGTGATTTTTATTGATTCTTTTATTTAAACATTTCACTTTCTATGTCTTTTTTAACTTATTTTATTGCACTGTGCAGCACTTTGCTAAACTTAATTGTTTTTTTATATGTGTGCAATATAAATAAAGTGGATTGGATTGGATTGGATCCAGTCTTTCAGTGTTAACTTGTTTCTGTTTGTCTTGTATTCTACAGGGAGCTGCAAAATGGACAAACTACAAGTTCCCTTTTCATGCTTTTAATCAATTAGACAAAATATTGTTTTTCTTCTGGTGGGCTCCTGTTGTTTGTCTTCTGCACCACACACCATGACGCATGTATGGGTGACCAAAAATAAAAAAAACCTTCTGCCAATGGTTCCTCACTATCTCATGGGGATATGAGGGCTGGAAACAGGCAGAGATGTTAAGTAAAAATGAACAGCCACAGGAAGGAGAAATCTTCATGCTTTTACACGATGTGGGATTTAAGTACTTAAAATTCAGCAGCAACTTCTAAGGGTAGTGGGAGGAAGACGTGCCTTCAAAACATCCTCTAGAGCTCTAAGATACACATTAGACATTTTGGTGTGCTGAATATTAACATCATCATTTTCCCTACAAGAAACCTCACAGCATAACTTTAAATTAAAGACTTTTCAGGTACTTTAAGCAATGATAATGAGCATAGATAAAGTCTCTGAGCACTACTCCATATAGTGAATTCTGACTCACCTCTCCTCCTTTCCCTTTTTCTCCTCTTTGATGCAGTCAAGCAAACAACAGGTGATGAAGGCCATCGACATATAGAAGATTATACCCAGGCTTACAATAGACGCCAGCACAGCTACACGGAACCCAAAGTCCTCCAATCGAGTAAGAGCTGCAGGAGTCAGAGAAGAAGAGTATTGACTGATTTGTTGACATAAAAATCAGGCTTTAGAGATGATCTCTCATGATGCCATGCGACAAGATTGGAATCAGTCGTTCTATCGTGATGTTGAATAAAGATTCACTGATTGATTGATTGAAATATCCCTTTAAGTTGGCTTATTCCCTAGCATGTCTCTCTCTTGAATGTTCCCCACATTACTTATTGCATTACTCAAGCTGAGCCTAATAAAACCTTCTGTTTCTTCACCCCCATCGCCACTGTGTCTAACACATAATGTCTAATATATATTCCATCTCTTTATGAAAATAAGCTGACAGACAGTTCAGCAGAGTTTTTGCAGTTGATGCAAATTCTCCCAGTAGGGGCATCGAATCAGAACTTGGGTATTTTGGTTATTATGTGTGAACAGCTAGATGCACCAGGTAAAAAAAAAGGTGTGTCTTTTTTTATAAATATATTTCATCTCCCAAGTTAAAGTCTTACTTACGCATGCAGTCAATATTGCCCATCCATTCGGTGCTGTTAGACTGCTGTACACATGTCAGCTTATGACCGACCACTTTGTATTTGGCTGGACACTGCAGGGACATGACCGTGCCCACGTTGGTACCATTTCCATAGAGGATCCTAAAGGTGCCGAGGGCGGGTAATGGCCTGGGTGTGCACTGAGCCTGGGACTGACCTGAAAAAGAGATGTGCAAAACATTAACTGGGAAGAGATAGGCAATGCAGGAACTGGCTTAAAAAAACACCACCATGTAAAAGCCAGCTGCAACAAATTCTTACAGTATCAATGCAGGAAACATGATTTATCATGAAACAAAAGGCCCAAAGGAAACACAAGAGGCATCTGGAGCCATGCTAAACAACCGGTTATCACACAGCCCCTCACTGTCAGTCTGTCACTAATAACCTAAATGTAAGAGTTCATCATGACACAAGCTGTAGGAATGCAGACAAACACTGTGACATCAAATCCGTGATTTCCTACAGAACCAATCACATGATCCAGCTGAAGAGGTATCAGAAGCAGCTTGTTTGCACAGGGACACCTGCTTTTCATTTTCACTGAAACAATAGCTTGCAAGAAATGGGGGATTTTGCATTGATCTTCTTTGTTGCCATTAAACATCCAAGAATGTTAAGATGGGCTGTGCACTTCCAGTAAATCATGTGATGCACTTTTAACACCACAAGGGGCGTCAAAACTTTCTGAAAGTTTGAGGTTTTCTCAGAAGACAAGAGAGGGGGGAATCAGAGGACAAAGTTTGAAGATTTACACACGCTTCTGCACAGGTTTTCTACCGGCACTGGTGAAACGAATCACCTGGGGCTGTTTGCATCAATTCACAAGAGGTTTATGTAACCCAAGGACTTACCTCACTGAGAGAGCATTTCTTTATGTAACCTATCTCTCTTTGAGTAGCACGTGTTAAGTGTAGGGCTGCTCCAGCGTCAGTGTCTGACACCCATCTGTGCATTAGCACGATCAGTCTGGCCTTAAGCCACAAACATCTGCGTCCTGCTTTTACTTCCGTTTTTTATCTGACGCGCGATCTGCACTTAAAAATCGATTGCGCGTCCACTTTCGTTTTACGGTGAAGGGCTTCGACTCCTTGATGCATTCAGGTGCACCCGGAAAAAGTACAAACTTTTCACACAAGAACAAAATAAAAAACAAAAAACAACAACGACAACAACAACAAATAATAATAATAATAATAATAATAATAATAATAATAATAATAATAATAATAATAATAATAAATAAATAAATAAATAAAACAAAACAACAACAAAAAACCCAGCCTAAAAAAACAAACAAACAAAAAAAAGAAAAGAAACAGGAAAAATCTTTTTTTTTTTAAGACGAAGCCATGAAGAGGCACCATTGTTAGTTTCAGTCACTGACTGTATACACACACACACACACACACACACACACACACACACACACACACACACACACACACACATATATATACAGTATATATACAGCCTATGGTATTTGTATGATTTAAACATAAGAGAAATAATTTTAAATTATTTAAAGATGTAATTTCTAGCATGTTTAACCATTTGGTGGGAATACTTTGGTTAAATAAATCCATTTAAATTTTGAGTAAAAAGAGTTTATTCTATGGCTTTAATGTCTAATAACTAACAATTCTTTAACAAAACAAGTTGTAACTCTTTGCAGAGGAATCTCTATTGAATTAAATATTTTTGTTTGTTTGTTTGTGATGGCAGTACTCTCAATGTGACTTCAACATCTTATAGTCATAAAATGCAAGTGTTCAGAAGCTGGCTGTCATTATAGAGGTTCCCTAGGATGTGTCTGACAACAATGTGGTACATTTGTCTGCTATTTTATTTAGGCCTACATTTTTCAATAACTTACTTGAATTGTTGTGTGATGTAAGACACGTATTACACTACAGGAAACTGAGTGATCATGGGGGTATCCGGACGCTTGCTTGACAGTAATATGTTGGAATATTCCAATAACAACTTAATCTGAATCTATCTTGGAAAACCAGCACAGTATTAGGCAGAGCTTGCACCTTGAGAAACAGGAGCTAATTCATGAAAGGCTAACATGATGACACATATATGCATACCATCAAATAAATATTCAGAAAAACACATTTTCTAATAGAAAGGTAGGTGACTGGGTGCACTCAAACTCACCACGAACACCCTCATGGCACCCAAACGTTTTACCGTGGAAAGTAAAATAGACGCGCAATCGATTTTCAAGCGCAACTACATTTATCTGAAGTATAGATGGCGTGACAACAGTCTTAGGCTCGCCTCTTTTAAATAAACCTATGTGATCGAGAGGAAAGATGTGCATGAAGTTGTTCTATTTTGTCCAATAAGAAGAAAAAACGCGTACCCATGATGCATGGTGCAAAGAGTGCTTATCGATGACATTTGAATTTCACAGGTATCTGCCTATACCGTGATTAGTGAACGCATCACATTATAGTCCGTGGCTGTTTATCCTTCGGCTATAGTTCGGGAACAGAAATCGCTGCAAGTAGCCTCCAGTCCTGCTGTTTTACCCAAAGGGAAACTGCACAAAAGAAAATCAGAATTTGACTTCAGCACACGTTGATCTCTCCAAAAACCGAAGTAGTGATCTGACTTTGGGGGGTTCAGCTTTACATTCAAGTGCAAAGTTTAATTATTGGGTTAAATAAATACCCCATTCTAGTGTTGAACAAAATACTGAATAGACTGGAAAAAGGAGAGTGCCAAATCGTTCCGGACGCATCCACGAATATGAATCGTACACCTTTTGGCGGTTTGTTTCTGTCTTACCTGTATTACTCCAGTCATGTCCGTCATCTTTGTTGCTGAAATTGATCTTGGACACATCCGCTATTGAAGCTGTTGACATGGTGGAGCTTGACAAGTTGCCCCAAGTCCGCTGTCTGGTTGTGCGTAAAGACTGCGCAACGGTGCTCCTCTTCGCCCGGTAGCCTGCACGGCAAAAACCGTAAACTGGAATCCTGCGTGAGCCTCCCTGCGCGTTTTGAGTGCGCCCTTCTTCCCCAACGAAAGCAGCTTCTCGTGTACACAATCTTCCCACAATGCTTTTCTCACTGCAGCGCTCACTTCTTTCAGTGACACCGTTGGACAACGCGCTGGGGTGCGGCAGGCAGATGAACCTTTCATAAGAGGGCACAGAGAGATAAAGTGATCGGTCGAGACCTTGTCGACCAAAGCAGAAATGACCTTGTGGATTAAAGCATGTAAGGTCGATTTATATGCCACAGCTGCGTGCTGTGAGCTGAACGATGTAACCACAGCCGCAGTGATGCAGTGCACTCTGACTTTACAGTAACCTACAGTTCACATAGTTGTTTCCTCTAAAGTCTGCTGGTGCTTCTGAAAGTATCGAAACATGCAAAATAAAAAAAATGTACTGTGTCTAGCTCCTGATAGTTAATTGATCATTCAGGGGCAGAGCCAAGGGTGGCCAAACTGGGGTACTGCTCATAATTGATTCCCATCTATCACCACTGATCAGATTTTAATAACCAACATGAGAGTGTTAAAAGATGTTTCATTTCTGCATGTTTTGACTTTGAACTGAGTGGTAACACTTAAACTTGACTTGCTTAAATCCTTGAGGACTCAACGATCCACCAAAGTCACAATTTAAAGTACGAACAAGAGGAAAATTATTCCCTTTAACTGCAAAGAAAGCTGCTGGTGGACTGTTGCAACACAGCCGACTAAGTTTATCTAATTTAAGTACCACGTCTGGCCATTATGACTTACCATTTAGGGTGGCCAATGTGATTTCATAGGAGGCCACCTATTGTCCACTGAGATCCAACAACCTGTGTGTCCAATAAACAAAACTTGCTTATCTGAGAAGACATTTGCCAATCATGTCAAAGGAGAAAGGGCGTTTCTGAAACTGCACTGATGGAAAATGAGTCAGACCGATTCTGCATCAGAGTGCTGTTATGAAAGTGGGGGGTTCGCATGATTAACCTCACTGCAGGGATATTGTGCATGAAAATGTAACGTCTTAACTTCCCTTTCTGTTTTCATTTCACAGGTTAGCTTGACTTGAATCATTTAGTTGTTTGTGGCAGCTCTGGTAAAGAGTTAGTGGCCTAAGTCAAGCGAGAAACATCAGCTTGTTTTACCACATGATTTCACTCACACTCCAACAAAGAATTAAAAAATTTTATCAATGGTGAAACCCAAAACCTTCAATTTGAAATTGTAGAGACAGAAAATGTGTTGCACGTTTTACTGACAGAGAAAATCTACATGCAACATCTCATACACAGATACACAAAAACAAAAATAATGATTTTAAATGCTTAAAAGAAACATTTAAATTAGCTTTTTTTGCATCAAGACTTTTTGACTTTGTCAGGAACCTCTATTTAAAAAAATAAAAATAAAAAAATTAATATACTGACTACATTCTAAAATGCTCCTAATAAAATTATGGCACTTGTCGTGTTAGAGTCGCTGTTGACCCAGTTAGATCAATATCTAATAATTAGAGCAAAAACAAAAATCATATATGCACTGACAGTCACCACACTGACAGTCAGATCCTCTTCCAATCATGTGAGATTTAGTAAATTCTCATTTTGCCATTTTTTTCCTTGCACAAAAAAACACGTCGACATGTCCAGACATGTAAGATCAATTCAGTATAGTGTAATTTAAAGCTGATTGAAGAAACGGGTCAAAACCGACCCTTAACATGATGGGTGTGCAGTAAAAGCTAACACAGGAGGAAGGTTAAATGAGGGCAAGGTGAGGGGAGAAATGGACATGATACAGTGGCTGAGGGCATTTAGAGAAATTAGTTGCTTATTCTGTTTTCTCTTCTGTTGCTACAGCAACAGTTAATGTGGTCTGGCTTAGTCTAGGCGGGAACAGTTTGGACTCTGTGCCTCCCACCTAATCCTCTGCCCAGGCTCGAGTGCTCTGTACTCTGAACAAACCAACAGACAATGCAAAAGCTCACTAAATAACGCCTTTTGGATAAAAAGGAATAAAAGCAATATTGCGGATTTAACTTAGTAAAGATGAAGGGATGAAAAAGTGCAGGGTTGTGAAACAGAGAAGGTGACACAGGTAAGTCTGGTCATCTATGTGTGTCCGCACTGCCCCTGACACGCTTTGACACTGTGGTTCAGCAGGGGGGTCCACTTCATCACGCAGGTAATTAAGTAAAGCAGGAGGGCCCTGACAACTCCACCGCTCGAACCAGGCCACATATGGCTGCAGGTCTGGATGGAGGACACTGAAGGTGCTCTCTCTTAAGTGTCCTTGATAAGTTCCTACAGTGAGAAAAACAAACATGCAGTAGGATTTTAATGCAGACTGCTTTGCCAGACAGCACCAACTATGTGGGGCTATTATTTCATCCCTCTTTTATCCATTGTAGTGTGGATTACAGTTGTATGAGTCATGCAAAACCTGCACTAAAAACTCCATTATGGACTACTTAAAAAAGAAAATATGGAAAGCTTCCAGCTCACCCTATTCTCTCCTTCTTTTTCCCCCCACACAAACATAAACACACACCCGGTAATCACTTCATAACACTATCAATGCTCCTTTCTCTGTCTGCTGTGTCTGAAATCTCCAAACAAATCACTTGTTTGGGCTAGATTGTGGCCCCAGTGACTCAGCCGCTTCATAAATCTGAGACTCCACACACAAACACACACACATGAAGTGAGAGAGTGAGGAATAAAATAAAGAAGAGGCAGGAAATAGGTGACAGGTAAGAAGGATGAGACTGTGGCAGGAAATCGAGTTGATCAAGCATTTCTTTGTCCCCCAAACCCCCGCCTCCACAGATGAGCACGGCTTGCGGTGCATGGTGCTGCAGATGCACAGCAATTCCCCCTTACCCCAGGGGATGTAAGAAAACAGCCTCTGCAAACTTTTCTGCCTGTTTTGTTTTCTGTCTACACTTTCGTTTCATCTCATTTTCTATTTCCATAAATGATAGAGGATGTCCATCCCATCGCTGGGCTATTGAATCACTGAGCGGATTAAAGAATTAGATTCTGTTTTTGAACTAAATTTAGCTCATTGAAGTGAAACAGAAATCATAGAAAGAAACAATCATATAAGCTCTGTGATGCCTTTATTTTATTTTATTTTATTTAACATCATTTGGATTCCATCTTTCAAATCTTACTCTTATTGTATTCCATGAAAATATATCTTCCTTGGCTCGTCACCACAGCCTTAACCCACCATGCAGTTATTAAAGGAGACTGTGTATTCAAGTTTATTATTATTATTATTATTATTATTATTATTATTATTATTATTATTATTATTATTATTATTATTATTATTATTATTATTACCATCATCATCATCATTATTATTATTATTATTATTATTATTATTATTATTATCATCATCATGATTATCATCATCATCATCATTATTATTATTATTATTATTATCAAAACCAAATCTTCATTATGCAAACAGCCCATTTTAAGCTTTAAGTTAAGTTTACTTATTTTATATCACCAGGAATAAGTTATCACAAAAGTAAGTTTCATATATCCTCTGCAAAAGTACATCAGTACTGCTATCCCTATATCTGTTTTGGTGCCATCCTGGTTATATCTGGTCTTTCTTCATTTGTGTTTGCCAGTCTGCACACTACTCTAGATTGATTGATAAGTTTTTCAATCATAGCCCACTGGCAAAAACACCTATGAACTGCTTTCTCTTTTATCACTTTATTCTGTCCTCACTCTTCATCCTCACTGTTCTTAAAGACCTCTGTTTTCCTGCTCTCTTCACTTTTCTCTTCACCATTTGCATTTGGTAAATGTAAGAAGGACCCCTAACAAAGACTTGGTACTAGTTCCTGGAGAGAATCCTGAGTATCTATACATTTAATCAGACAGTTTTAGTTTTACTGTGAACGTAATAACTTAAAGAGGATATAAAACAAAGAAAAACATGCAAATTATTAATATTCAGTTCCACTTTCCCCCTCATTCTGATGCCCCTACCCTTTGATTGTGACTGCTGCTGCAACAACCAAATCTCCCCTTTAGGAAAGTATCATCTAATCTCATCTGTCACAAGGTAAAGCTAACAGAAGCAGGACTACGAGTGACAGTCCTGAAAACAGTACAAGCAAATCAACTAAAATCACAATGTCTACCTCACGACGAATAAGGAAGTAGTCAGAAAGTCACAAAAAATGCAGAGATTTGTCATAAACTTCTTGTGTGCCCATTGCAACACTGCTAGGGGCTCAAAATGTGATTGATTAAATTCTCTGTTGAAAGAATCTTCCCTCTTTTGACACACTCAGCAGATGTGTCCAGGCGGTCATCAGCCAGCTGTGAAATCTCATTGCTGCAATACTTTCACAATCCCCTGCATCCCTCCACCCAAAGGCCCAGTTTGTTTCATTACCCCTGTCACCAGTAAAAGAAGGAAATGTAGGAAAAAACACACACACGCAAAAGAAAAAAAAAAAGAGAGAGAGAAGCAGCCAGAGTAAGGAGTCAGTCATCAAAGTCTGCCAGTATGAGTGCTGCGACAGAGAGGACTCCTACCGAGGCACTGACAGAGAACAAGCAGCAGGGAGGCCAGATGGTGCTGGAGACCGAATGTAAAAGATGAGAATCTTGAGGGCGGAAGAAAGGGATGATGGGAAAATAAAATACTTGATAGAAATGGAGAAAATTGATGGCTAAACCTGGATATTTAAGTTAGAAAATGAAACGAAGGAAGCAAGAGATCCACTTATTCAATGTCTCAATGAAGTCACTCAGCTCTTCATCTGCTATGATTACACATGGAGTACCCCAAGGCTCAATTCTCGGCCCCTTTCTGTTCTCTCAGTATATGCTTACTCTATGTCATACCATCTGTCAACATACCATTTGTTATACCGACGACACTCAATTGCATCTTACCATAAAACCCTCAGAATGTACTACACAACAAATACCACATGACTGCGTGACTTTTGCTAGGAAATGATCTACCGCTTTCAGTTGAAACGGCTGAGACTGTTTTTTTTTTTGAATCCCTTCTTTAGACTTGTTCTACAAACTTGCCCTCATGGCTGATAAGTAACTCTATTCCAGTTTTGGTTGTGCATTTGTTTAATCTATTTTACTTTGTACTTTCTGTTTTTGGTCTGTATTGCCAGCTGTTCTGTATCTATATTTAGATTTATGCACGTCTTATGAAACCTCTGCTTTCCCGGTAATGTTTGCCCACATTAGAGTCTTGTTTTGCTGCATCTCATTTGACAGACTATTTCTATGCCATGCTGTGGTTGCAGTAATTCAAATTTACCCCCTGTTCCTTTAATTTTCCAACATTTAGATCATGCCGCATTAGTCCATACAAGCTGACGAGATGTTTCATGTTCTGCACGATGACATATTCAGGTTTTACAATGTCATCTGTTCACTCGGCCCCAGTCAGGTTTGGATTTCATCACTGGATATGCTCACTGGAGTCTTATTTTATCTACTGTTCCATAAAAATGCATGAAAATCAAAGTGTATTTACATATCTGACAGAACAAGACTAGAGTGAAGCCCTTGAGATTAAATTAGCATATTTAATTGAATATTAGAGAATGAACTGAGAAGCCACACTGTCCAGATGCCCTCATACGATTATAAGAAGTACATATAGGGATCAACCTTTGCTCTTCTGGATAACAGGATGATTAACTCTGAGTCCATTCTGGTTTTTCTCTTACTCAGAGCTCAAAGGTTTCTAATTAGCACATAATGAGAGGATGATCGCCTCTCTCAGGTGGCTCTAACCACAGATCTTATTTTTCTGCCTCCTCTCAGGCTGAGAATGAATCAAGAGAAGTGAATGATGACACCTCCAGAGATGCATTGTTGCTAGTACGTTAATTCATCATCATAAATCTTTTCACGCCCCTATATATTCTGTGATTAAATATTCCCAAGGGTGTAATGGGGATTTTTGTCTCAGCCAGCCAAGAGTGAGACACATTCAAACACCTGTGAAACTCCCAGATCTCTCTTGATACTGACAGAAACTCTCAAGTGCGTGCAGACGAGCAGAGTCAACAATGTCAGGAAACAGTTCTGACCACTTCCTCTACAGGAATGGAGAACTTGTTTCGCTTAGATGTATTTATGACTCTTCGTCAAATGCGTTATGATTTAATTTAAAGGAGATAGGTGTTACGGTTTATTCTTGTGGATTTGGTTTTCATGTTTGTGTATTCAGTTTGTCTATGATCCTATTCTCCTTGTGTTATTAGTGTTTTATTCTCAAGTTTAGTTTCACTGTTTCCCTTTTTATTTTGTAGTTCCTTCTCCTTGTATGTCTGGTTCAGTTTGACTTCCTGTGTCTGATTGTCTTACCTGTCTGTTGTTGCTCGTTACCTTGTATGTGGATAAAGTCCCTGTCTTCCCCTCCATCTTTGTTGGTTCATTGTTCATTGTCTATGCTTGTCCATGTGTTGACGCCATGCATGCCCTACCTCATGTCCTCGTGTTTTTCCCCAGTGCCTTTTTGTTTCTTTGTTTTGTCTGCTTCTGGTGTTTTGCACTTTTTTGTCACTTTCAAATGTATGTTTTTTCTTTCTGCCTTTAAAACTCTTGTTATTAAATCTTTTTTTTTTAGTCTGCATGCAGGTCCTCCCTTTTGTTTTTGTTCCACATGTGACAATAGATCCAAATGTAAGACAAGCAGATTTGAACATTTCACACATTTAGCTAAAATCTTTCCAAAAATGCACGATGATCACACTATGCAGTTATAAATTCAAAAGAGAGTAGACCTATATGTGTTTCCTACGGAGCAATAGACATCTAGTTTTCTTTTTAGACCAAATTTTAACAAGATCTAGATTTTGTATATTTTTAGACGAAATTTAGACATTGCATTGTAACCCATTATTTAATAACTATTTATTTCAAAAAGGAACTGTGAGTTGCAAAACTGATCTCCAAGTACTTAACCAAAATAATTAGGATGGCCATTGAGCAATATACAGTGTAGTATAGATATAGTCCAGATTTAGACTTGGTCTAAATTTAGAGGTCTAAAAAAACCTTTATTTTTTTTACCTGTGGTAGCCTGATTTTAGACCTGTCGTCTAGACTACATTTAGACGTCTATTAGACCAAAAAATGCTCATTGAGTCACAGACATATCACTCAGACTTTCAGTTTAACAGCATAGTACTGTATGAATCACAACATCTTTTTTATTGATGATATGCTCGACTGCTTTTCCACTGTGCACAATCCATATTTTAAAAAAACACTCATTGCTGACTTTGCTTACTTACAGTACAACAAGAATGAACTCTGAAGAATAAAAAAGAGGGAGAGGAGCAAGATTTCATAGCACGGTACATGAATATGAGTGAGTTTACATGCACAAATAGATCCAATGACAAGTTTTTTTTTTTTGCTACGTTTGCTTAAAGGCTGGTGCTGATAGGAGCAGGGTACAGGGGGCAAGGCAGAGTTAACAGCTTTACAGTACAGTACTTGGTTTCCATCACATCACCATGAGGAGGGAAGCAAGGAAGAAGAGGGGTAGAGTAATATGAAAGTGGTTTATTCAGCGTGTGTATAAGTGGAGATACTGAGGGATTGAGAGTTGATGCTGCATGATCCCATCCTGGCTGTGTTCTTTCAACTAGACTAATCACAGTAATGAAAGAGAGGAAATGTGCTGGATCAGTTTAAGAGAGCTCAAGAGTCCAAAGCGAGAGATGGAAGAAGGTTAATACCAATAAAGAGGAGAGGGTCTGTAATATGGGAGCTGACAGTGGGAGCATCAGGTGGCCAGCCACAAGCGTACACATCTCTGTGTCTTTTTAAGTTAAAACTTTTTTTTTCTCCTTACATCGCACTATAGTTTACATACTGTACATTACTCATTAATCTGCCACTGTGTCCCAGCAGGAGGGAGGTGGCACCAGGTTTTTTCTTACACTAACATTCAATACTTAATAAACACAGGAGTGGCCTCGCATTCAAACACACACTCACACACGTACTTTCACACAAATGGAAAAACAAACATATAAGATTTAATGCTTCACAACACGGTCGCATAATGTACAAGAAACTTCATCTTTAAAAAAAAAACCTTCTTCAGCTATTTTACAAATAAAATATTTAGTCCTCTCTGGTTGCTGAAAACACTGAAAATAATAAAACTATCGAACCACGTAAACATACATTTGTGGTTTGAATGTATAGTCCTTCTTGTTTTTGTGTGTTTGAGAAAGACAGAAAGGTGGAAACGAAGAGGAAGATGTAGCTTTGTGGTCATGACGTGAAGACTGAAGTGGTATAGGAAGGATTGAGTGGTCCTTTGGAGGGGGGAAAAAAAAAATAACAAAACTAAAAAGTGCCAAGGTAAAGTGAATTCAAGTAATGTGTGCTCTATACACAGGAGAGAAGGGGAAGGGGTGGGAGGGAGCCCTGTCGCCCCAACACAGCCGCTACTGGCTCTTCCTGTGTTCAGTCAGGCTGACCGACGTATCTGTGGGTGTTTCTCCGCGGGCTGCTTTCGAGAGAACCTCCTCCCACTTGGCTTGAAGTTTTGCATCTTGGGCACTTAAGAGCAAAGTTTGCTGGGTGTGACTGAGCTGCACGACATGTTTGACATCTGACTTATCCCCTGTTGAAGTCGGAACCACGCCCACCTCGAAACCAGGTAGAGGCACTGCCCGAGCACCCTTGGAGTCCTACAGACAAATAAAGTGAATATGTCAAATATACAGGAACAGAAAACAAACTGGTAACAGCAGAAAGTGATGGCTGTCTTTTCCGCTGCATGTATACTAAACCCTTCCCCCTGCTTCCTCCGGATAAACAGGGAATGCTTTCTCTCAACTCCCTTTTAATCCTAATCTTTGGAATGAAAGCTTTCTGCTGCAGGATTGAGATATTAGTCCTGGAATTGAAACTGGGAGAGGTTTTGTCAGGCGGACTCTCCTTCTGTGCCATCCACTATGAATCACAGCAAAAAGCTCCCAAATATGATTGGAATCTTTTTATTTTAGGCGAGCATGTAAACAAGCCAGTGAAAAGTCTGTCCAAGGGATGTTCTGAGTGGATTTAATCCTGCATTCAGAGCCAAGATTTCAAGGAACATGAAGTGTTCAATCTGATCGAGTGAAAACCAGGGCTTTGTCACATAGTGGAGCAGCATGTCTGACAACAACAGCAACAATACCTGAGGTCAGATTCTTTCTAACCCAGATTTGATTCACACAAAATGTTGTGCACTGGTGCTAAGCTACACAAAGGTCATCCCTCGTATGGAGGATGTGGGATAGGCAGGACTTATAGAGGAAAGTCCAGACATGTTGCAAGACGATCAGCTGACATAGAAAAGATGACTGGCTACATGTTCACCCTGATCAACTTGTACCAACAACAGTTTAGTCAGAAGAAGACATGAATCATGAAAGTACACAATCCTGAAAAAAAGGGATGTAGATAAAAATATCTATACGTGTGTGTTTGTGTTGAACTTGTACCTGTCCGTTACTCTGCAAGTACAACACCAGCGGCTCAGCCTTTGTGACAGCCACCCACATCTTTGTCCAGCTCTTCCCTTTCTCTTGCACTTGAAGTTGGCCACATATCAGACAGTTCTCTCCCGTTAGAGATGTCTGCCTCTAAAAAGGAAGTAAAAGTATTTGTAAGGAAGTAGATACACCATGATAAACGATGTGTTAAACCTCAGTAGCAGTGTGAGACAACCTGGTAGCCTCATGAATTTGAAATGACAGTGAGAAATGTTGACTGAATTTAACATACAGTTTCATTTTTGGCTTTAAAATGTATTTCTTATTTGAATTAGCTTGTAGTTAAATGCGTATCATGTAATTTTCTTATGAGAGAGGGGATCTCACAGTGTTCAAGATTATGTCATGACTCATCACAAAGTAGGGCACAATGAGATTTGTTTATATCAAGGTGTCCAAGCTCCTGCTGCCCTCTGTGTTAACCATGTGTGGCCTACAGCTCCCTCATGTGGTGAAAAATGTGCACTGCAGTGGAGCTTTTTCTTATTCAAATTGGGGGGAATCCTCACAAGGAAAAAAAGCGATGAACGGTGAACGAAATGTCAACAAAAATGTGTGTGAAAAGTCAAAGGTTTTTAGTATGACGACAATTTCTAACTGTCCCAAAAGGATCGAAAAGTTAAAGCTAAACTAATCTGATCTAACAGAATAGATTTTGCAGCACAAGCAGACACACAGCTGAGTCAGCTGCAAGTTAGGCTGCAGTCTAATTATAATGAACTTAACACTGTATAAATATATGTGTATATTTATAAACTATGAGTCATCTAAGAGGGATTCGTTTCTCAGTGAAACTCTTGTACAATTGAATATGTGCTTGTGTCTGTGTGCAGTAATGTATAGAAAGGTAACATTAGTATTCCACAGGTTATACAGGATACAGTCTTTTTAGCATGATTGTTTGTATACAGGGAGTTAAATCTTCCACTGTATGATCAAATGTAAATTTTTTAGAGTGTGTTCTTGTTTTTACTTGGTCTCACCTCAGGCCCTGCTTTCCTTCTCTGTTCACTAACACCCAAGTTCTCCAGGCTGAGGCTGGCTTCGAAACACTCCGGGCACACTCGGCTGGTTTTGTTGTCCAAGGTCTTTGAACACTTTGCACAGATGGCCTGCAGAAGGACGCAGAGAGACAGCATTAGAAGTCTGCTTTGTTGTGAACTCTCAATCATCCGAAAGACATGTTCCACTCGTTCCCTGACTTTTCTCTCCATCCCATCATCACTTCTACATGCAACCAAACTGTGCCCCTGCTGTCTCCTCTCCCATCTGTGCTCACCGCTCCACAGGACTTGCAGTGGTGTTTGCGCTTGGTGAAGTTGAAGCTCTCGTTGCAGCCTTTACACGTTTGCTTCTCTTTCTCCTTTTTCCGGGAACTTTTCTGGAAAATACACATGGAGGAGAAACAGTCATGTGTCAAAGCCTTTCGGCCTGGTCTGTTTCAGCACAAATGAACCAAAGGAATGTCTGAGAGCTCGTGTTGCTTCATCCTTTGTTTGCCTGGCTGTCTGTCTTCCATTTCACCTTCCTACTAACAAAGTCAAAGACAGAGACACCCACGCAGACACACAATCTGTCTCTGAGGACGACTATAACCACAGCAGTCACATTGTTTTGATAGAGGCATTGTGGGATGAAAAGTGAATTGCATTTATTATTATTTTTTCTACAGTAGCACTTTTTGCTTTCCTTTTTTGGATGTTAAAAGCAGATGGATCTCCTACTATTGTGAAACACTGTCATCATCACAGTTATCCAGCCTGAAATCACTACGAGTATGAACTGCAACAATATCTTTGCACATTGTTGGGTCATACTACCCCAGAGAGAAAGAGAGAGAGAGAGAGAGATTCAATAGATTTGTTTATTTGTTATGAGCATGTTAAACAAGGTCAACAATGCAATGAAATGCCCTGGATGAGAGGACCGCTCGACTCGAAGGAGTACAGATAAATAAGAACTGAGAGGAATACAATTATATAAGGATACAAAAAAATATTAAAGATGAATAGAAGTATAAGAGAAATATTTACAAAGTGCACAATCGATGAAGTAGGTGCTGAGTGTGGATGTATGAAATGGAGGATAAGTTGGTGGGATAAATGAGGTATGAAAATTGCCATATTGCATATGATAAACTAGAAAAGCACTTGGAGAGCGCAGACCTCCGCCAAGCAGCTCATGTCCCCCCTTAAACAAGAAATGCCCTGACCAGGATTCGAACCCAGGACCTTATGGTTGTGAAGCGACGATGCTTATCACTACACCACTGTGCCACTTATCTAACCCTCTGTGCCGCCCATTGGTTATCTTTCAGCATTGAAAATTCCAACGACACCCTTATTTTTCTGTGTTCTGGATCACAGTATCCAGAATTTTGTCCGGATCACCACCAAAATCTAATGGGATCCTCCTGGGGCTGAGTCGCACCTCTGGTGAAAATTTCAGGTCAATCCGTCTGTTACATTCTCCGTAAAGTTGCTAACAGACAAACAAACCAACGCTACCGAAAACATAACCTCCTTGGTGGAGGTAATAATGGTGTACGAATTGCTGTATTGCACATGGTATTGCACATCACAGATGATATTGCACAGTTAAGTGGGTTATTGCACAGAGTATTGTCCGGTGGTACTGTCAGGAGTTTAGTAAACAAACTGCATGTGGTTGGTAACTGTTCTTCAGTCTTTTGGTGTGCTGTTGGAAGACTCCTGTACCTGCCAGCACCATGTATACCAGAACTTTCTAAAGCTCTACAAACTCTCAAAAAGTATTTTTACATTTAAAGATTGTGTCTTACCCTTTCATGCAGTCTTTCACCATCTGAGTCGATGGATGTGTTGCTCCAGAGTCCCTGAGGGAGGAATAAGAGCTTTTAGCATGAGCAGCTGCTGCCTGCAGTGAGAGCATTTCACCACTAGGCGTCAGTCTGGACTTATAGATCGGGTCCTCTGACTTGTATGAAGTTGCATTTGGCCTGCATCCAACTCCAGCCAGACCAAAGTGGGTCAAAGCAGATTCATAAGACTTTTGTATACACTTTGACTCGGGCTTTCCCTATTAGGTCATGAGAGAGTTCTGGAAGAGGGGACGCACAGACGCTACGTGTTGCAACTGTCAGAGGTTGAAAGGAAGACAGAGCTTCTTTATATGTGTGATACTACTACTATATCCATAGATGGGGAGCTGTCCAGGCAGACAAAGACCAGATTATGACAGACTTGTTTGGTCTACCATTAGTCTCCCGTGATTCAATTCACCGGATGACTTTCTTATTGAATGATCGATGCAGTGACTGATGAAGGAGAGGGAGACTGACCGGTGATTCAGGGATGTGGTCATCTTCCCGGGAGAAGGAGCTGTTGAAAGCTTTGTTGAATGTTTCGCTGTTTTGTTTGTGCCGCTCGATAGTGGCCAGGATCACCTGAGGGAGGGAAAAATCACGGAGAAAGAGATGGATTATTGATCAGACACGTTTTCATTTCATGTTTTCTTAATAGCAGAATTGAAGCCGTTCTTTAAAATCTATTAAGTTTACTCTCCCCTCCCTCTGATGAGATCAACTCGCGCGTAAAACCACACGCATACCTCCCATAACCCTTTTGTGAAACACCCACCCGCTCTTCAATCCTGCGAAATGTTTTAATCAGCTTTCCCTTACTGTAATGGGCTAAATGAGCAATAATGAGGGGCTTTATTAGAGAATTTAATTCCCAAACACTCAGCGAGGGGAGGAAATCTTTGCTAATTCCATTTTCTAATAAAGCGGGACCACCACAGGCACCAAACACTGGATGAGGGCACGAGCGACTGGGGACTGTATGTCTGTATTTGAAGCGTGGGCGTGATCCTTACCTGAATCCAGTCTTCTTTTTCCTCAGCCGTCCTGTAAAACAAAAATAAAATGAACATTTACTAAAAATTAAACAATTCAAATATTAACACATGAAAAAGTGAAAACACGGTCAGTCTAAAATGAATAATCAAAGCCTCAGCTCACTCTTGTTTGGTTTTACAGCGCAGATAAAAAGCATGTGCAGCTTTTTAAATACAGGTAAGTAAAAGTAATAATAGTTCTTGGTCTGGCTGTTTACACCAGAAGCTAGTTTGTGAATGAGCTAACTGTAAATGCTAACTGTGGCTCTGCTCATAGGCATGGTACCCTCCTAGCAAGCTCATAAAACACAGCTTTATTATTCATATTGTGCAGTACTCAGTGTTTTGATCTCCCTTCACAGTAAAATTAAATGTCAAATCAAGTTTAAGGCCATAACAGCAGGTTTCGTTTCAATTGGTGTTTCTGTCTTACCTCGCCTGCAGCTCCAGTGATCGCTGTTTACCAATGATGGCAAACGTGTGAGGAAGATTCTGCTTCACATTTTCCTGCACCTGAGGTTCAAAAAGTGGAGGAAGATCACCGTGAGCCCACCAAAACAAACCAAAGAGCAGCAGAGAGAAGGAAAGATATCAGACAGAGCAAAAAGGAGGAGCAGGAGTTTACCTCCATGCCAGCGATGTCGATCCTCTCTCTTACGCTGAACTTCTGTCCCATCAGTCTGAGTTTAGGCACGCAGTATAGCACCATGTTGTTGAACTAGATCAGAAAATATCATAGTTACATTCACGAATCTTCTTCATTAGCGCGATATTTCACTCTTTATTTTAACACCTCTCCACTCTCACCAAGTAGAGGTATCGGTCTTGTGCTGTTCCGTTTTTGGCTGACATCTTCTTGATATGTCCTTCTTTGATAAGCTCATTGGCCGGGTTAACTATGTCCTCCTCTCCCCCGAGCCTCTCATAAACCTCCAGCAGCTTGTGCATTTTCTCCTGGAAACAGTGGGAGAGAAGAAGATGAGGAAACCAGACAGAAAAGACAGATGAAGCTGTGGCCTAAATTCCACCAGAGGGGGTGATTTCACTGTCAGCTAAGTCTCTTTCTCATTCATGGGGGTTTTCAAGCAAGGCAGCGAGCAGATATTATATTCCTGTATTGATTCAGAAACACATTTGTCTGCTAAAGTTGTTTCAAGGTTGAGAGAAATGTGAGTAACATAGCCAGACACAGGAAAAAGATGAGGAGGACGAGTGTTAAAAAGAGTCAGCCGGGCTTCCTCAAAGCTGCGAAACCCGAGGCAGGAAACAGCAACTTCCTGTCTGTGCTAATTCAAAATGTTCACTCCTCCAGACAAACTCTTGCAATGCTGCTGACTGACAGAACAGCATCAGCGACAATGAGATTGGGTAACGGATAAGCTGTTTTTTTTTTATAAAGCTCAATGAGACTGAGAGAAGGTGTCGAAAAGAGGCTAGAAAACAGTGATGTAGTGTTATGTAAAGTCTTACCATTTTCCTTATTGCCGCATTGGAATGGTTAGCTGCAGTAGAGATTAGCTCCAGTGCCTCTGTAATAAGAAATCAGACATATATTTTAGCGTTGAAGGGAAACTGTGTGATAAAAACAGAAAACTGTGACTGTAAATCAATCCAAAGAAAATGTCCAATACAAATTTAAAAGAATCGGACAAAGCGTGCGCTGTCTCATCATTAGACACACTGGCTGAGTTAGGCTGGCAGTTAGCCAGTAGTGAGTCTTGTGCTAATGCTTAGGAGCACCTGAGTCAGCCATCTTAATCATGGCCTACATACAACAGAGGAGACACACAGCCGCAGGAAATGAGGCCAAAACAACTGTGATAAACTGCATGTCAGCCGGAGCGGAGGAGAGAGAGAGAGAAAACCCCCCCTTAGACTCCAAACAACACAATGTGGTGAGGTTACATTCTCCGGGAAATGGACACAAGGATGTGGGAGGACATCATCACCACCATCACCATCATGTAAAATTCAATATGTGGTCAGAGAGGCTGTTGCACTGGATTGCAGTGTGCGTGAGATATGTCTGCAAATGTAAACTTCATAAAGTGTGAAAAGATGGATTTAAGAGTAGAAAAAAAAACGAGGAGATTTATAAGAGGTGCTGAGCCATAGCATGGACATTAAAGGTGCATTATGTGAATTAAGGTCATCTTTAACACAGTGCAAATATTGTGTGCAGGAAAAAAACAGAAGAACATGTGCTGGCTTGAATAAAGCTCCTTTGAATTAAAAGGTCAGCTAAGCCCCTCATCTCATACTCCACTGCCAAGAGTGAACAACTGTTTGCCCCCAACCTGCCCCCACTTCTCTCATGACATTTCTAAAATGTTCTATCTGGTGAGCCGAGGCACAAACTGAGACTCTACCAACTCCCTCAGCATCGGGGTTATCTCCATACATCTGTTCTTTATCTTAGTATGAGTTGATAAAATATAGAATTATTATAGAATTACAAAATTTTAACCGGGCACTTTTGAGCCAAAGAATCATACTATAATGTGAGTTAAATCTTATCAACCACTGTCATATTAACTCAGTGGTTCTCAAGTCCAGTCCCCGAGGCCCACTGTCCTGCATGTTTTGGATGTTTCCCTGCTCCAGCACACCTGATTCAAATGATCAGCTCGTTATCAAGCTCTGTAATGGCTTAATAACGAGCTGATCATTTGAATCAGGTGTGTTGGAGCAGGGAAACATCCAAAACATGCAGGGGGGGGGACCCATTCCTAATACTATTTTTGATTATTACAGTGAGTAGAAGACTTGTAAAACTTTTTCTTTATTTAATGTGGCGTTTTTTCAAATCAATTTAAAATCAACATCTAAAGAAAGGAAGTCAAACCATGAGACACTTTGTGAAATATCAGACCATTCACTCTGTACTGAGAAGTGCGCAATACTGTAGTTTGCAAAACCATCAATGGTGTAAGTTGGGAGATACCGGAGAGGTGCAACCTGCTGTGACAACAATAAACAATAACAAAGTGGTTAAAAATGTTTCAGTGTCTCACTTTCTGCGTCTTTTCTGTCCAAAGCATCATCAGGCAGCTTCTTCAGGTAGTCTTTGAGCAACAGCTCATAGCGAGGAATCCTTTGGACCGGCTCCAGCATGTGATGCTGCAACGTCAGGTTCCCACACACATCCTGTTTCTGTTGGCACAAACACAAAAACAAAGAACTGAGAAGTTGCTTCAGAGTTTTTAGTGAAGTTAGCAGTCATTTGATATACCAACAAAATATATACCTGAATGTTCTGGACTACACTCTTAAACTGTGACGACCTCTGGGTCCATGTGTTGACCAAGTCCATGGCTCGGTCGAAGTTCTTCACATATTCGCCGTACATCTTCATAAACGGAGCCAGTTTCTGGAGGATGTCTCCGATTCGAGGATTTGAGTCCCTAAAGAAAACAAAACAAACAAATGGATTAATGCAATTAGACAAACAAAGAAAGGCATATCTTTTATGAGTATCTGAGGATGGATATGACACGACAGGGCTACAACTTGATAAAACTTGATGTGACCTTGTAACCTTCTTTTAGATAATATACCATACTCTTTTAAAAAAATACAAAATACCTGGAAAAATGTTTCGTTAAACATCTTTAAATGTTTTATTTTAAAGTCTATGTTTATCTTTTTCTGAGGCTTAACTTTTAAAATGAAAGTGAACTGAGTCCATGCACAAGCTTTACAAGCTGAAGCAAAGAGACCCTTAGTATCAACATTGTCCTTCTTATTGATAAAAATGCATCTGTAAAAATTTTAGTTTAGGAGGAAATCATCATAAACTTCGCTCAGGTAAGTAAAGTGAGTTTCTATGTTTGAGGGTTTTCTCGAATGTTTCTTCAAAGACAAATCGTCTCAACTCACAGGCACTTCTTGGGGAATTTCAACAAAATAATCCTTTATAACTCATCTTCCGCTTGTGTGTACTCATCTTTTACTCTTTCATTTCTAGCCAAATAGGTTTTTTACAAAGACATCAATTATGTGACAGGTGATTTCCCAAAACACAGCCCTCTGGAGGAGTCATTTTCTGCTGAGGGTGGCAGATGTTGGCACAGTAATCCACAATAAAGGTAGATTTACCGCTTGTTCTGCACTCTGATACACAAAACACACATCACAGCAACTCGTCACAGCTGAAAATCTGGCAATAATGCCAACTGCTGACCACAACAGAGCCAAAGCATCCCTTCAACAACGTCACATTGGGTATTTTGGGTGTTTTTATATCTCACCATTCTCCAGTAATACGTGTCTTCAGCTCAGGAAGCAAGAACTTGTCATGGAAACAGTAGATGGAGGAGATGTTGGAGAAGATCCCTGTAATGACGTCCTGAGGGATTCCAGCCTCTGTGAGCTTAGTGCAAAATACCTGTGAAACACAACATTCGATCAGTCAAGAATGAGTTTAATGATCATGTTTAGTCTGCCTCGGCTTGTTTAGTAGTTGCATTTGATCAGTTTTGGTGTTGGAGGCTGTGCAGTAAAAACAGATTATATCATAGTGATGTCATCTGGGTCCTCTCAGCAGGGGGCAAATTAATCACAGGAAGTGTTTTACAAGACTCTAAGCGTGCAGTTGAAAGAGGAGACAGAAAGGCAGCGGATGTTTTTTTCAGATTAAATTATACCAGCTCCTGCTGATCAGCAGATCTTACAGTCTTTACTCTTGCAGTTCCCGTTAACTGTTCAAATTTTGTGACTCATATCGTGTCAGCCTGTTCGGATTCATCATAACTCATCTTGCTTCACCCATCCCTCACTTATCTTTGGCTTACTCGTCAGTCACGCTAACAGACTAGCACCCATATTTCCAAGGTAACCTGTGTCGTGTGAGATTGAGAACAGTGAAACAAAAACAGGAAGTTGAACTGTGAGGGTTCTCAGACTTCTGTAGCAAGTAAACCAGAGCTGTTTGGTGATAGGGCAACTTGATGTCTCTTAACCACATTAACTCAACAAAGAGGAAGATGACTGAACCACCAAGTTTAAATTCTCATCTCTAGAATAACAGCAATAACCGAATGGTGAAAGTGACAGATATTTAAGTTAAATTAGACTGATCAAGAGTTAAGTCCAATGGTTAATAGATGGTATTTAGAGCTAAATTTATTCACTGATAGGTAGAGACATGTGAGGTTGCAAAAATTTCAAGATTCCAAGAAAAAAAAAATAATCGAAAAAGCATCTTTGAGTGGTTGCTTAATCCTGATAACTCACAGCTCTTGTTTTAGTGATGCTAAACGAAACGTTTTAAAGTTTTCAGACACTTGATCTGATAAAACTTCTTATTTTTTATCTTTTTAAATTATTTTTTAACATTGAACAGGAAAGTGAACTTACAGTTCCTTCAGTACAAAAAAGAAGAAAACTTAGGAAAAACTAAGCTTGACTTAGCTGTGATATATGTACTGTTTCTAGTATCTATTCATTCAGTTAGGGGCATAACCTAACAAACAATGATGGTGATAGTACAAAAATACTAAAGACATAAACAAACAAAAAAATATATAAAAAGGTGATAAGAAAAAAAGTCAAACACGCAGGCAAAGAAAAGCAAAATAATTAACAATTATAATTCATGAACTTTGTATAATGTGGTTTCAAACAGGCCTATGCTAACGGCTATATTGAGTTTTAATGAGCTGTACATAAAAGTAGGCTGATCATTGGCTTTGGCTGATTATCTTTATCTGTCTTTTATTCTATACATGGATAAAATTGAGTTCTGTTTCTGTACAGTGCTGTTTTACCATGTGACAGAACAAATAAGGATAAAGTTTCTACTAATATATGAGAATTCTAATGGAGTACTAAGAGGAAACTGTCTCTTTGCAAACAGCAGAAGCTGGAGCCCAGACAGAGCTCTCTAATTATAAACCAGCTGAGAGTCAGAAAACACACATCTCTAATCCACGGGATTTACACACAAGTGTTTAAGATACCACTGTGAGGGTATAACACTGTATCACACCCCTACCAAATACACACCCACACACGCTCTCACACTATCAATACCTACCACCCTGCAGTCTTATCAAGCACAGGCACACTACGTCTAGTAAGTGCAACTTTGCTGCACGTGTTCAAACATAAATTGAGCCACATTCTCACACTTCTACAAGTAATTCAGTCAACTGAGGATGGTTGTGGTCTAGTGGATAACAGTGCCACAGTTTTAATCCAGCTCAGCCGTGATCTCAATCACTAAGACCACTGGCACACATACCAGATTGAAATCAGGACCAGAAGCATCCAAACACAATGTTAGATTCTCACATAGAATCAGACTGTTAGCGTTGAACTGACATGGAGTTTTCCATTCTTGGGAGAAAAATTGACAAATGTACAAACGCTGATCTGTTTATCGTTGTTACGTTTCATGATGTCCTTGTTGCCCACAAAATAGACATCTTAATACGGGGTCGTAATATTCCAGTCTTGTCTCGTAAATTGGTGTTTTTCTCTGGCCTGACTGTGTCTGGTATATGTGTGGTGGATGTGTCGCTTGTCTTGTATGCAAATTGAGTGTGCCATCGCATGCTCCGAATGGCTACTCTGGCAGCCAATTGGAGGCTAGTCCTCGTAGTACTTTTTCCTCGCTTTTCGCTCGGGTAAATTTCTCTTATTTTCCAAACTAAAACATGCCAGGTATGCTGTTACCTGGTCGAGGAGGTTGAGTCTTTTGACGTAGGCCTCTTCAGTCTGGAGCAGCTCTTTGGCGATGTTGAGGAGCTTCTGAGCCTCTGAGCACTGAAGAAAACAGACAGAAACCAACAATTATACCAAAGGAACTACAAGCAAAGCAAATATTCACTTACTGGTGCACATTATTATAAAACATGAAAAATCTTTTTGTTTCAGCATGCAAGTATGTCAAGGCAGGTAGGTGGCACATAAGGTTTCTAATCTTACAAGTTCACAGTCATGTTATTCTTCAGTAGCTAAAACACTTGTGTGAGATATCCAAGGATTATTGTTACACCAGTAAAGACAGAATCATATGCAAACATATTGAGGTATATTTTTATCTTTGAAATTTTTTTCTCAGCTGTGCAGTTAATGTGCGGTGTGGCCTATTTAAAGCTGCTGGCTGTTATCTATTTCTCTTTTCTTTGAGAAAACCAAGACTTCATTTGTCTTCTGTTTTCACTGTCAGCTCTGCAGTTCATCCTCATGAGGCAGAAGGCTGCCACATCCCCCCACAGACCCCACTGTGGATCCCTTAGATCAGTGGTTCTCAAGTCCAGTCCTCGAGGCCTACTGTCCTGCATGTTTTGGATGTTTCCCTGCTCCAACACACCTGATTCAAATGATCAGCTCGTTATTAAGCCATTCCAGAGCTTGATAACGAGCTAATCATTTGAATCAGGTGTTGGAGCAGGGAAACATCCAAAACATGAAGGACAGTGGGCCTCGAGGACTGGGCTTAGATGAAATAAAACTAATAAGATGAAATTTCACTTCAGCTCATTTCATTGACAATATCACACTATCACTGAAATTTCTTTCTTATTGAAGCATTGATCCTAAAATCATTTGCTTTATCCTCCTACACCTGATGTTTTTGTTACACAGAGGCCTTACAACAGTCCGACAAAACACTCAAATCCCAACATACTGATGCTGTCTGTAATAACATTGATCCAAACACAACAGATGAGTAAATAGTGTGTCCGTGAGGAGAATAATGGAGTTAAAATCTGCAAACAAGAGAACTACTAGAAATCATCTCTCTCTGTAATACTTGGGGTCAGTTATTGATTTGCACGCATCATAGAATAAACAGGGTTTCCTCATGCTGCTCTGTTCATTCATCATATAGAACTGTATTTGGATGTATTGTTACTCATGCATATGTCAGGCAGCTATCATGAATGCATATTTAGTTTTTGGATGACAAAACTTAGCTTGATGATGTAATATGATTAGCTTTATCAGGATTAGTTTGCCCAATAATACATATGGTTCACCAGATTAAACCATTGTATTTGCTGTTTTTTTAAGGACTTTGTTGACAACAGAGACAAAAAGAGGGTTATTATTACATATCACCAGTTTTCACAGCTGAATCAGACAACAGATGGCCCTGACCAAGGCTTCGTTTACATCATCCAAAAATGGAAAACTGTTTGCTGACTTTCACAAAGCTCTATTTCAGTTGCCGGTTAAGCTCAGCAGCCGTGGTTACTGAGAAAAGCTGCTTGAAGTTATATAAGAATTCGTACATGCTGTTGTGGTGAAAACGAAGATGTGTCTCTTTCCCTCATTGAGAACTCAGGTGCTCTAAAACATGTACGGTTAGGCGTCAAAACAATGTCTCTCTGATTACAATTGCTTCAGAGTCTATCATGACGATGCAGAGGACCAAATGTGGATTTCCAAACAGCTGTCCTCCACATCTCATACACACAACAGAAACAAGAGGATGAAACTTGCACCGCAGATTATAAACTGTATGAAAACCTAGCATTACCAAGCATTATCAAATCCCACTCGGCTGACTAAAAAGTGAACCAAAATTTTTCCATTGTTTGCAAAATGGATTGCAGCACAAACACAAAAAATTCAGCCTCCTGCGCTTTCGCAGTACAGCTCACTGAAAACCCACATCCCTTTGTGATAAAAATGTCATTATGTGGCTATCAACATGTCAGCTGTGTCACCAATACTCATAGTTATAGAAGCCCTCACATAACACATAACACACCCTTCCTCTCACAGCAGTGTTGGGATCAGGAAGCACTGGAGAGCAGAGATACCTTTCCCCAGAAGACTGTGGGCGTGGGCGGTCAGCAGAGGCCACGGCAGTTTGCAGTTTGTGTGATCGTGTGACATTTGTGCACACTGGGTGTGTTTTACAGCATTAAAACGTGCTGAGAGAGAACGCGACAATGAGGGCCGCACAATGAGGGCCGCACAATGAATTTCACTGTAAGTGCAGTGTGAGCTTTCAAAATAAACACATGAAACAAAAGTGAATTTATCACAACAGAAGTATTAGATTATTTGACGTTAACAAGCAAACTTCTCTATCAAGTATACCTGCTTTTTTCTCTATCTGGAGAAAAACTGTTTTGATGAAGCTAAAGATAGCTATCAGCTTTAGGCTCTATGTATTCAGAGAGAACATGTTGTTACTGAGCTACTGTGTGAAACATGAATAGGAGGTCAAGTTGTAGCAAATAGGCGCCCTCTAATATTTGCATCTTTATTCCAGCAATCACGCATACATCAATATTGCTATATGAAACTATGAAATTGTGAATCCTAATATTTTTCATGTTGTATAAATAAAAGACAATGATCATTTTTATTCCACATGGCTGCTTTTCTTCTCAGAGTCTGTCGTTCCCATTTTCTGTGTCTGGGAAATAAATCTTCTCTAACTCCAAAAACAGTTTCATCTTCTTTTCCCTTTCTTTGTCTTTACTTGCAGAATCTATTTTCTTAAATATGTTAATATGTTCAGACTCTGCTCTGAAGCTTTTCAACCTGAAATGTTGGATCTCCAAAAGAAACATTATCTGCACACACAGGCCAACAGCCTGTGCATTACTTGAGTTCACAGTGTTGTTTACAATCAATACTCAAATTGAAGGACAGGAACAAACTGAAACCTTAGCTAAGCTGTGGGCAGGATATCAGTCTCTGGATACTTTTATATAATATCTACGATAAGCTCCAGTTACGGCTTTAAAGCAGGTATTTGTCCTTTTATGTAATAGCAGAGCTTCTAAGATAAAGTCATTCACTTGTGACCGGTAAACTGAGGCTGTAACAGAGTGTAATGTTTCATGTGGAAGTACTCTTTGAAACTGTTCACCCAGGCTGAGATAATAATAGACACAAGCTACCTTTTTTCACAACATTAAAGGCAGACTGACTGTCTGAAATGAAGCTTGGCAGGATATGCTCAATTGCACATTCCTGAAAATCATGATGTAACATTAAAATTAAAAAGTGCTCCAGTGTGGTAAACAATTAAATGATGGTCTTTCAGTTTTATGACTTTAAGCATGGGAGGTACTCACTTTGTGCGCCTCTGAGTGTGCATCAGCCAGATAGCCTGTTTGTGTGTCTGTCAGGGAGTGTATTTCTCCACTGCTGCCCTCATCCAGGTCACTGTCCTCATCCTGAGTTGAGTCTCTCTTGTTGCCCAGGGTAACGCAGCAGGACACACTCTCTGTTTCTGTGACGCTGTCGTAATGATCCTCCTCGTCGATGGCGTCCTCGTTAGGGAACACCTCCCCCTCGGCGGTGCAGGACGGGCTGTCAATGCCGCTGTCCCGGTTAGGAATCTTCCCATTTTGCTCTAAAGAGTTCTGATTGTCCAGGAGCTCGTGGGAGGAGCCATTCTCCCGCTCCACAACATCAAGGCAACTGACGCCATCGTGCGTGATGTCACAGTCGTCCAGCGGGGCGTCGTCTGAGCTGTCCAGGTGTACAGAGGACAGGCGGGAAAGTTCAGACACTTCGTCAGTCCGTTCTGAGGTGCTAAGTGCAAGTTTGTCCACAGGGGAGGAGTCTCCTGCAACCTTCGCCGTGATGGTGTCCTGGCCGCAGGAGGAAGTGATGTCAGACGCAGGGTCCATTCTCAGACACAGGTGCAGCTGGGAGCGAGGGAGCACCCCCAGGATGGGCACCCTGGAAAAATCCATGAATATTAAATTGTGACTTCAAAGATAGTAATGTTCTGGAATGATCCTAGCTAAACCAACAGTGAATCGACCTCTTTAAAAGCCAAATTATGAATATGAAGGTCTTTGAATTTTAGTTTATATAATTAAACAGAAATATAAAGACATTCAATTCATAAAATTTCTTTTTGCACAGAGAATCATACATTTACTCAAAAATTTGAGGGCTTTACCTTGAATTTTCGAACCTCTCGATGAGCAGCCCAACTTTCTGCGCTTCTCTCTGTGGCTGCGCACCCACGCCAGGAGGAGTCACACTGGGCTTTGGTTTAGGTGGAGGAGGGGGAGCCGGCAATGGTCTGGAGGGTGCAGGAGGGATCCTCTTCGGTTTCTTATCTTGCCCGAGGGCGAGCAGGTGCGTTGGTTTAGGGGGCACTACAGGTACAGAAATCCAAATGCGTGGACAAAATATGAGAAGCAGAGAAGCACGAGACCGCAGACAGAGAACAAAAAGTATCAGGTAACGTGTAAAATCCCGAGAGAGAAAACCTCCATGGTGAAATCTTTCTGTAAAGGCGACCTGTTTGCTTGAAAAAGACAAAAATCCAAGGACAGACAAAATGAAGATAAAAACATGAAGCAGCAGAGTCGAGTTTGAACAACACTGAACCAAAGCTGTCAGCAACTTCCTTATTTCAAACAGGATGCTGAAATGAGTGAGTGCGGGCGTTAAAGTCACCACAGTTCCAGTTAGAACAAAAAAAAACACTACAGCAGACAGAGAAGTGACAAAACTGTCACTGCCTTAATGACCTCTGCAATCATGCATGCATGCACTCTATGAGCTGTTGTCTCTGTCACAGTCCAGTGTGTTTATTTGCATATATTTCATTTGCAGAAACTTTAATATCTGAAAGCAGGAAATGTGAGATGTTACAGACGTTAATTCAAGTACTTCCTCTGTCTGTGCGCGCGTCACTGATGGAAATAGAGATGCTGACTACACTTACAAAAATAAATAATGGGTCGCATATTAAAGGTGGCTAAATTTTACTACGAGTGAAGGGGGTTATATGTTTCAGTTTTGCAAATTTCACCAAAGATACAGAATTTTATTTATTTTTTTAATCTAAACTCCTGATTAAAACTCACTGCCAGAACTTCTTCTTAGCACAGTGTTTGATTATTCCTACAAACATTTTGGAGTAAAATAGGCTTTAGGGTTTTGCCTTGTTTTGGATGTTTCCCTGCTTCAACACACCTGATTCGAATGATCAGCTCGTTAGTAAGCCATTCCAGAACTTGATAATGAGCTGATCATTTGAATCAGGTGTGCTGGAGAAGGGAAACATACAAAACATGCAGGACTGCGGGGCTCGAGGACTGGATTTGAGAACCACTGCTTTAATGGATAAAAAATAAGGAAATACCTCCTAATTTTTTTTTTAATAAAAGATCTGAGGTAAATTTCAAACAATAGCTTAACTTGACCGTCTGTGCGTCTTCAGTGAGACAATCCACACATGCCCAGACTTCAGGTCCATACCCAGTTTAAATTAGAAAAAATAGGTGATGATACACGCAATATGAACAATGTGTCATCAAAAAAAAAAAAAAAAACATTCGATGGAGTTCTTTCGTTTTCATTCTGAAAAGCCGATTGCTCATACATTGCAAGTTTCAACTTGTTGGGAATGTTTTAAAAGCAACAAACAGCAATTATTGACCCTACAAGCAAGAGTTTGAGCACAGTCAGTCCCACGAGGATAAAATACGAAAATAGTAAACTAATGGGGGGCTGGTTTAGCTAAACTGTCGAGTCATACTTGCAGGTTCAAATCTAATGTTGCCTTTTAGTTACAAGAGCATAAACTTAATAAAAATGTAGGTGACTTTGTAACGGGCATGACGGTCAGCTGAATAGCTGTGAAGCTATCTGAATAACAGTGGGGCCAATTCTGCAGTGTCCTGCTCTATAATGTGTTCCCTAAACATAACACATGCTGTTCATATTTAGCATTCCTTAAATGATCTCCAGATATAAACACTTGGGATCTGCTGGCCTGCTTTAGAGCTGCAGCTTCCTCAGATGTGACCCACTGTGCTGTGTGAGAGCAGACACACTCAAACACACACACCATGTCAGGGACGACGGTGGAAATAAATGACGGTTTGATCCTGCTGCACCTGTCAGTCATAATGACAGACTCAATGTTGAAATCGTCCTTGAAGGGGTCACAGTTGATTTTTTTTTACCTTGAGGTTTCTGTGCAATCGGAGGTCTGGGTGAGGAGGAGGGCTGGGGTCGGGGTTTGATGGCGGGCCTGTCATGACATGGTCTGGGGGTCGGGATTTTCTTCACCAATTGTGGGGAGCACAGGTAGTCCACTGATCCACACTGGTACTGCAGAGAGGAGGCGGGCAGGTCTGCTGGAAAGAGACATGAAGAAAAACTATATCACATATTGATCCGTTTAATGAGATTCATCTAAAACACATGCCCAAAAATAAATTAAAAAACAGTTTAATCCGGTGACAGGGATGCAGTTCAGGGCAGTGATGGAGGTGAATAACCTTGAGCTTAGTGTGTGGTTCAGCGTGTCGCCCCCAGACAGAGGGGAGGACAACCACAGGAGGAAAGAACCTTTGCAGCATCGATCGTAATTTAAGGCCTGAGGCAGCAGGCAGTGAGCTGCAGAAAATGTGGTTTCTCTCTGACAGGCATTTATCAGACAGATTTAAGTTAATCCTCTCTTAATAGATTTTAGTCATAGTTAAAGTCTATAGTTTTAAACTGTCTAACCAACATTAAGCAGACAGAGGCACAAAACTATGCAAACTACAGCCACACATATCTGTCCCTTCAGGCTCATAAATTAAAATCCAGTCATCTCGACTCTTTCTCAAGCGGGCTACAGCCTCAAATTGCGCTGGGCCCTGCGCTGAGCTCTGGCACATCTAATTTGGTATTTTTTTTCCGGCATGCTGCAGGCAAAGGGAGGACAGCCAGTAATGAGTCCTGTTCGGCTGTCTGCCCCATGTGGTACGTTGCAGGCTTTCCCACCATCTCTGCATCTCAGAGGGATCAGAGCAGGCAGAGGGAAAAGAGATGCGAGCAGATCTCCTTACTAGTTGTATTTCCAGAAAGAGGAATCTGGATTTCTGTTGTGGTTTTTGGAAATACTACAAGCCTCTGTGTTCCTGCTAGCACAATCTCGAGATCAGAGATGACGAGCGGGTTGAGTCAGAGGGAAAAAGGGTGACCGACAGTATGATCAACTAGGCAGGCACGTCGTTTAGTCAAAGGACTGCCAAGTGGAGGACTCCTTGACCCAAGACTGGCCGGGGTCGCTCCTGGGAAAAACAAACAAGGCTTGAGGAGGGAGACAATATAAGGGCTAGTGGTACCTATGGAAACTCTGTGTAGTCATGGGTACCTGAGAGCAAAAGAGGCCCTCATATGAGACTGCCTCACACCAAACAGGGACTTGTCGACACAGCAGACAGAGGAGCTGACACAGACAGTTTTTCTTCATTAAAATCTTACAGACCGAGCAGAAAACAGCACAAAATATCATCCTCTGACATATTCAAATTAGCCGCCAGAACTGCTAATTAAGATCTCACAGTTGTTACTTTATCATCTTACTGGGTTTCTACTCAAAAGGTACATAAAAATCAAAATAAGAGTACAATAAAATCAATTCATTTGTAAGGATTATGAGTGGGTTAAAAAGCGTTACCTTGCCTCCAACTGTTCAGTTTCACATATCCAAAGTCCAAAGAGCAACCTTACTATAAAAAAAAAAAAAAAGTCTCCCACACAATCCGGTTCAAATCAAAACCAATCCCGCCCTCCCAGTTTGCTGAAATGTGTGTTTGCAGAGACAGAGACTAGTCTTTGTTGTACAAAAACCCACTCGAACGTACACATACACACACAAAAATAAATCCTTCAACGCTCACTCCTGTAGTTAACCCACACTAAAACTCACACACACTCATTTCTCCTTTCCCAGGTGTGTTTGAGGAGCTGCACCTGTCTCTTTTTTTTTTTTCACCTGCCAAACCTGATCCAAGCACCTCCTCCCGGGGCCAAAGTGCTGGCATGTCACCGGGGACCAGGTGATCCCAGTGTACTTTTATGACTCAGTAGTATCTATTGCTCATAACACAAGACTCATTTTACTTTGTTTTTTTCCCCCACTCTTTTAATGCTCATAGTGTTTAAAACAAGTGTACCACCTAATTGATTTTGGACTCAAAGGGAACCAGGATATGAGTGAAATATTATCATTGTGTAATCTGAGGAAGGCTTTTGTGAAAACACACATGAGAGCGCTGATCTAAGCTCATTAATTTCCTCTGCTCAGTTCCAGTTACTGAAGGATGGATGAATGGGACAATTAAACAGGAATTACACGTCTGAGGACATTATCACTGAAGCACCCTGTCATCTGTCGGGTACAATGACAACCATTTCCTGTTAGAAAAATTTGAGAAGCAATTAGTCTCCATGCAAGAGTGTAATTAAGCATTCCCAGTCATAAACAGTCCGTCTTTCCTGTTGGTTCATACTTGTGATGTAACTTTTAAGTCTCCATGAGAGTGGAGTAAACAGCAGTGAATATTTATTTTTGCAGGTAACCTGAAAGACAGCATTACAGTGGATTTCTTAACGTAAGGAAGAGATGCTACGTGCCTAACGCAAAGAAATATTCAGATACTTTCAGGTATTCGACTGGAGCACTTTCTATTCACTCAGTCTGTCAGAGTGACATGCACATGACCTGAACAAATCTCTACTGACAAAGTGCTGTCACAAGAGAGACACCTGAGGAATGTCCATCTTATGTCACACACATCTGCAGTGTTTATGTGTCTGCTTTTCAATGTTTTCAGATTTTTGCAGTGAAATCTTCTCAAAGAGTAGCCAACAATTTTTTTTTTTGAGTGAAATGAATGAAGCCTAAAAACATGTCTCCCTTTTATCAATCGGTTGAGTATCATTTACACTTTTTAGATACTAGTGCCACACCTGAGTTTCAGTACAAATACCAAAGCATGTTTTTCTTCACCCTGCATTAAGTACCAGGGTATTTTTTTGTCAAGCTGCACTCACCAAGGAGTTTGGCACAGAAGTATATTGTCACGCCGTCTAAATATGATCTGTAACTTCGGTAAGCTTTGGTACCAGGATGGCTTATAAACATTTAGACTTGTGTCAAAGTCCATATAATAAAATACTTTACACATTTTGCAATACATCCATTAGCTTCAGCTGTGTCGAGTTGAGCTAAATTAAGGTAGCCAGTTTGATCAAGCTTGTTAGCATGTTAGCATTAGCCTTGCTCATTTAACGAAGAAAGATATCTCTCAAATGTTAAAAAACATCACAACTGCCTGAAAATGTGCCTAGATTATAAAACTGAACTATACAAAAAAAGTTAAAAAAAAATTTAAAAAGAAAGAAAAAAAGAAGATTAGGAGAAGATAAAACTGCAAGAAATTGGGTAGAAAAAAATATGATTTTTGAAAAATACATGAAAATAATCTGAAGTACAAAACTACAGTTTGGCATCATGGACAATGCTTAATTTCGAGCTGGGTCTGCACTCGTCCTTTCTCCTTTTTTCCAAACACCCAAGTGACATCAACTCAAACGCATGATCTCAAGGAAAAAAAAAAAAGGGCACAAACCTGGCTACCTGTCAGTCACTGTCAGCCCGAGGCGACCCCCTCAGAGTCATTCATTACCCATCATCCCTTGTGTACAGTCCTCCTGCTCCAGTGCTGTCTGGAAGACAGATCACTCAGATTCTGCAGGGTCCCTCACTCTGACAGTCAGTCAGGTCTCCTACCCTCATAGCGACCCCGCCGATGAGGCTGAGATGACAATCCTGCACCCAACACTTCATCTGATTCACAATCCCAGGCGGGGACCTCGCTGAATTCCTTTGACAGTCTCTCTGAGGGTGCTCTCTCATTATTCCCATATCACTGCCAGATTTTCCAGAGTCTGTGCCTGGGTTTTAGCTGCTCTGCTCCTTTATTTTGAGTCTATCTTTTCACACTCGCTCCACAAATTAATCTTGGCTCTGCTGTCGCCTGAGTACCTGGGTGATTCGGTCATGAGTGGCAGTCTCTTAATTCACATTTCTTAACGGAGAAACCAAACAAAAAGAAGACAACTCCGATAAAACAAAGGTAGTAAGGAGGACAGGGAAGCCCACTACCATTATTTTTGACAGTATGTCATCTGCATCCTGTGTTCTCTCCTCCTATCACTCCTCTTCCCTACTGTGCAGCAGGAGACGGAAAGGCGTGGCGTGACCTTGATCAACTTTCTGATGCTATCGTGGTGTTTTAAACTTTGAGCAAAAATACATCACAATGACAGACACAGAAATGTAATCTATGGAGAGTAAAAGACAAGTCAGATAACAGCGTATAAAGTTGTAAAACCACATTTTGGCTCAAATTTGATTATCCCCCTATGTACATGGGTGGCAGGTTGGATTCCAGCCTGTGGCCCCTTTCCTGGATGTCACTCCCCTCTCTCTCTTCCAGCTTCCTGCTTCAGCCACTGTCCTATCCTTTTCAAAAACAAAAAGGCATAAAACCCCAATAAATGCAACACAAAACAGAGTCAGAGTTAGGGGTGGTATGACTGTAAGAAGATCAAACCATGAAGAAAGGATAAAAGCAGGAAATCAGTGACTACTTTTACAACAGCTGCTCCAGGATCGACAGTAAAAAAAAAAAAAGATCCTCATTCTCTGGCAAGTTTTCCTCAGGGTGTTGGTGCAGGCTCCAGCTCCCACTGGGTTTATTGACAAACTCAATGCAGAAGGATCAGCAGCTATCCAATCCTGTCCAGAAGCATCTGGCTCCAGATTACAAATCTCAGCACATCCGTGTCTTAATCCGTTATCATAATCATCTATGTTTATTTATGTGAAACTTTCTGCACAAGCTGGTTTAAGTGTCTGATGGTTCCTGAAGTTTTCTACCTCTCGTGGTTTTGCAGGGATGGACGGTAATGGAAGGGGAAGTCAAGTCATCATGTTAGGACTGTCCTCTTTCTGTAAACCAGGTCAGTGAGCACAGCAGGCACACTCATACGTCTCTCAAGATAAGTAGAAGGATTTCAACAACTCCCACAGATTACAACCAAAGCTGGACCGATACGGGATTTTTGAGACACATACTGATTTAAAGGGTTCTCCAAATCCCACCTCCAAAGAATTTTTTTTACCAAAACCTAAATTTTATTTTCCTTGACTTAACATTTGAACACAATATGATGATGCTATATTGACTAACATAACCTTTAAAACATCATATTGGAAACTTGTTTAAGTTTAGCACATGACGGCTAGCAGCAGCAGCAGCAACAAATGATGACAGAGCTTTTTTAACCCAAAGAAAGAGGATCTTGACATCTGTGATAAACTTAAATTGGCCGATCAATCAGTCAACCTCCAATTTAAAAAGAGATGATAGAAGATGACCCTCAGAGCTGTAGAAACAAATAGCTTTTCTAGATAGACTGAGGGCATGACAGAGGGAAAAACAGAGGGCAGAGCTATAAATGCTGTAAAAATAACACAGGCACATGTGCTTTTAGTTCACGAAATGATACACTGCAACTGTCAACAAGTGCAGAGAGTCTGACATAAACAAAGAGTGATGAGTTAATACCAGAGCGGAATCATCGCTGTGGAGTCCAAAATTAAATCAAGTCCTCTAGAGAGAAGTCTTTTTTTTCACTGTGCCCGAAGAGAACTGGAGAAGAGGCTATTGCTATGGCAACAATCACAATATATACCGCATCTATATAATATAGGTCACCATGATATATACAGAACTATCCATGCTTTTTGTGTGTATGACGACAGATTTCTTAATGATTTTCATGTATCAATTATTCAGAGAGTCTCCTCGCTGATGTGCTATAAATACAAGAGAAGAAATACCATCCAGCACTTAGCCACAGCCGATGAGTACAAAGGTGGTATAAAAAGATGCATATACAGTGGACAAGCACATGACAAGAGTCTATCAGCTGCAAACACACACAGTGTTTTTTCTTCAGACGGAAGCAAAACAGTGGCTAAGTTCTGACACATGCACTGACCTTTCACCTTTTCCATGCCGAATGACTCAAGTCCTTAATCATCAGCTGTGCAAGTCACGGAGGGACACTAAGGCTTTACAGTAAGTAACACAATGATATGAGAAACATGACAAGGGGATGATTAAAATTTCATGTTCGTCACACCAGCACATTGTACGCCGCACACTGGTCTCTCTGATGCACATCCCCCCCATCATCGCAAACCTCCGAGAGGATTTTTATGAGGCAAACGCGGAAAAATAAGCCTCTGTTCTTTTGGATGCAAGGCAGCAGAGTAGCCCAGAGCATTACTGTAAAGGAAGCAGCCCCAGATTGGCAATTAGGGCAACACACACATACACACGAATACACACACACACACAGATGAGAACAAGGGGGTTTACAAACTTGCCTGCGTAGATGACTGCCCATGTGTCCCAGAAACCACTGAAGCCTACTGTAGCTGCTCTCAATGGTTGCTTTCACTTACTATGTTGAAACCAAACTGGCCGGTGTACACAACAATCAAGGCGAAAGTAGGATAGTCTATCTTTTCCTCTCAATCCATTTTAAACCAACACACCTTTACCAGCAGAGGGATTTCTAACTACTGGTGCTGGAAAAAAATACTCTGGCTCTTTCCATCCCCACTGGGTGTGGGGGAGGTCCAAACAAACACGGGTCTGCTGCTCCATGAGTCACCAGCACCCAAAGGCTAAAAGAGAATTTTCAAAACTAATTTCAATCATTCCATATCCGGAGAGGAATGCGTTGCAATGAGAAGTGCAGCTAAATTAAATCTCCTGAATCAAGGCCTGTTCACCCCCCATCCTGACAAAGGGTCTCTGAGGTGTGAATGTATTGATTACTTTACCATATATTGACTGATGGATTAGACCATCCATACTGTGGAGGACAGGACCAGTTAAAAACCGGCCAGCCAGCTGTTGAAGGCACGGCTGAATGATCGCTGGCTGATTGATGACTTGGACACTAAGGGATGTTGTAAGCAGGAGCAGACCTCGCTCTACATTTATTAGGAGTTGTTCAGATTGGCTACTGATACAAGAATAACAAATGCTTGAGCTACAAACATATTTACAGCCTTTGCACCTACAGCACCATCACTAACAAGTCTCAAACTATTTTTGCACAGCTCCAAAAATAAATGATGGTTTCATGATGACATCAGGAACACAAACTGTAGAAAGCACGAACAAAGTCTCATGCAGAGGTCGGACTACAATTGATTGTTTTATCTTACGTAATTTGTCATAGTGCCACAACAACAAAGGCTACATCTGATGTGCCTCACCAGCTCCCAACAGAATACTGGTATGTTTCATATTTCTCTCTGCTTTCTACACCGGCGAGGTTGGCCGATAAGTGTGCAGAAAACTCTCCACGTGATAAAGTCGCAAGCGTAAATAAACCAAACAGAAATGCATAAAAAGAAAAGATGAAATCATCATGAATCAAAGAGACAGAGGAGAAGTTTTTGTCCGGCTCTTGCAACATCTCTGCCTTTATGATGGATCACTGTGGGGCTGTTTTTGACAAATACTGAGATACTGACAAAATGAATGTAGACAAGAAAAAGCAACACACTTCAGCAACCTGGTGAGTCATTGACATTTTACAACTTATCTAATGGATGAGGTTTGGAGACTTTACAAGCTTCAGTGTTTTGCATTTCTGCATTGGCTTCATCTTAAATCACTGGATGGTGCCACTTGAATAAACTTGCATTTGGAGCTTGAAAACATCAACATTTTATTTTTATTATACACCGGAAAAAAACGTACCAGAATAAACCACAACCTGTGCAGAATGTTGGGCTTCAATTTATAGAGTTACACCGATGATGCCACTCCATAAATGGTTAATATTACATGCCAAAGCTTCTTTTAATCTGTTTTGCAAATATGTAGTCTGAGTTCATCAGAGCCTACATTTAGTATATAAGCATATGGAAAGGCATATGCATTCATTGCTAAGCCACTTAACTTAATGGAGGCCCTTCTGCAGTACAAACCACAAAATTACTTTCACACTTTCCTCATGTCAACACTCTAACCATTACACTGTGATCATTATGTTTTATGTCGAGATGCAGAAAAAACAGTCAGTCGCTACCAGAAATCTCTGCCTGCCAAATTATTCCCTTTCCCAAATAAAAAAGCAAGCCATGCAGAGAGAACATTTCACAGGCAACCAAATCACACCTCTCATGGCCGCAGAATTACACCTCTGGAGGAGCCAAGGTTGGCTTTTTCCCAGTGGAACAACAAAAGGAAGTAGTGCATGCAGAGTAGGTCCACTGGATCCTTATTTTCCAGTGTCTAAATGCACATGTTTGTTGGAGATGGGATTGTTTTTGACACTTTTGTAAAAAGTACTGAAATTTTATTCATTCCCATTTTGAAAACTCTTTTAAAATTATAAAACTATCTTTATTTTTTTTTGCTTCATGGCCCCTAAAGCTTCCTCCATTCTCAGAAATGCATGGTGATACTGGGTGAGATGGAAGTGTGTCCACCGCACTCCCTGCATCTGTTCCAGGCAGGATGGATGTCAACGTGCAGAGGGGAGTGTCTTTATAAGGCTGCTGACAGTTAAAGGGTCCCACAGCGGGACCAGCCCCCATCCAGGTCAACGTGCTGCTCACTCCAGACCAGTTCAGTCCAGTCAGGTTGGTCTCGCGCAGAGAGGGTGTGTGGGTGTGAAGGGCCGAGTTGGTGAAAAGTAAAGGTTGGGGAACTGGGGGACTCTTCTCTCCTGCCACTGCTCCTCAGTGCTGATACAGGCTGGACTCACACCAACATCCACACACAGACTCAAAGGTCACTGTGCACTCAACACTGACAAGTCTTATTTGACGTAGGATTCGTTTTCAAAATGTCACTTAGCTTCTGAATGGCAGTGTCAGCAATGGGAGCTCTCCAGCAAGGAGCATCTGAGGCAAGCAACCCCTGACAGTCTGTCAAAGTTTATGCCCAAAGTGTCTGACATGCATCTACTGGTTTACAGTTTCTTCTCTGAATCACTCGGGTCTAAAAACCAAGGATACCTTTTAATGCCAAAGAGGGAGAGGACTTGATTTATATTTTATGCAGAAAGAACCTTTAATGGAAAGCATAAATCACAGCAACCTTTTCAAGCTGAGGTTTGCGGATGGCACCGTTAGCTGAGACAGGAGAGCAAGAAGCCAAGACATACCGAGCGCGCACATACACATGCACACATCACTGTACAAGGAGGGGGTCATTATAGAAGCCAGGTGTACTCTAGACAGACTAATAAAGGCTCCTATTTCCTCTCTAATGACTGCAGAATTTCCTCTTACAGCAGCTTACTGTGGTGCTCTGACACATGTTAGCATACCCACATAGGAGGACTGGCCAACATCAGTGTCAGAAGCACTTAGAAAAAATCTTTGACCTTCTTTACCTACATGAATTCACACTTAGCGAAATGCTCTCTTTCGGGGTTAAATCTGCAAACACAGCAGCCCACAAATGCATCTCATGCACCCATAACAGAGGCTTTTATCATGTCTTTAGTTTAGTGTTTTATGGTGTGAGTTAAAATGCAAAGGGATGCAAAGGACAGTTACTTAATCAACTTTTAAATTTAGTTTTATATTTACTGGTGGTCAAAGAATTAAATGCCCTTACTTGTCACTCAGTTAGTAATTTAAAACTTGGCTTACATTTTCTGGCTGTTATTGATAGTGACATAAAGTAAGATATTATGACAGAGTATGAGGGCCACATTAAGGAAAAAAAATAAGACCACGAGATTGAAGTCATTAATTTACAAGAATGAAGTCATTACTACCAAGAATAAAGTCGTCACAAATTGTGAGTATATTTACTTATAATAAATTGTTAATAAAGTCCTTATATTCTAACCTGCTGTTTAGGATGACAGCTGTTGAAATCAGAGCAATGGAGCATTTCGTGAAAATGTATTTCAATATACTTCACGAGTATCATAGGCTACGTTCACACTGCAGGTGATGATGCACAATTCTGATTTTTTGTTAAATCCGATCTTTTTGTGCGGTTGTTCACATTACAACAACAAATGCGGCATCTAATGTGAAAGGAATGCGTCCGTAAAGTGACCCGCACACGCACAAAGCACAAATTGCTTTTCGCGCCTGTTTATGACGTTTGTCACATATTGATGGCGTATAGGTCGGATGAACGAGAACTGAGAATCAGAAAATCAGAAAATGAGAATTGCACTGTTCACACTTACATGAAAAAATCAGATACGTGTCACATATGGTTAAAATATCAGAATTGACCTGCAGTGTGAACATACCCTTAATGATTTTATAACGACTTTATTCTCATTAGTAATGACTTAATTTTCATTAGTTATGACTTTATTTACATTAATAATGACTTTATTCTCGTAAATTAACGACTTTAATCTATAAGTCTTCATTTTTTTCTTAATGTGGCCCTAATACTCTGTCAAAAGATATAAACAAATTAGCACATAATTGTTTAGAATAAACCAATTTCTCAGAATTAATGTGTCAATGAAGCTCCACTCTCCCTGTAGAAGACGTAAAATATAGCTTATCTCTTATACAAAAAATGTATCCCATCATAATATAATCTTTATTTTCTAATAGGTGAATGACAAAAAACAGCCATACGATATAAAAACATATCATTTTTCACATGCCTGGTGGCTAAATCACAGCCCTGGTTGAGTTTCTATAGAATGAGCAGAGACCTACTGTTGCCTGCAGCTCTGCCCACCTGTCATCTATCACCTGTTACCTGCAACAGCTTGTCTCTCAAGGGGTCTGAAGGGCGAGGCGGGGAATAATGGAAGCGGGCCCAATTACATGTCTGTTGTTATTGCCGCTACTTGGTCAAGGATCCACCAGGGATGTGCAGAAAAAGCCTCAGGGTAAAAAAATGTTTCTATACATAGCTGAGGCGAAAAATATGCTGTGTGTACATATATTTTTAGAGAGCTGCTAATCCCCAGTCGGAGGAGTGAGAAAATATCTCTCCCTTTTCACTGTTTCACCTTTCCGCTATTTCTCTTCCTGAGAAAAACCAGTCAAGCATCATGAAGTGCAAAACTGAAAGATCACTAAGACCAGCTTACTGTTCTGAAATTTACCATTTATGGTAGCTTCCCAGTCACTGAAAGCAGCTCCATGTGTACACAGGTACTGACTTTCAACTTTACAAGCAGACATGAAAGTTTACCCCTGAAGTGAACATGGCAGGAAAGGATTATCCAGTCCAACATCCCTGAAGGAAAACATAACTCTTAGCAACAGCTTCAACGCTCACATGCACAAATACATGCAAACAAACTCATACACATGTGCTTGTTCTATATCCTCCAGCAGAAATTCACTACATATCTTGTTACTGGCTTGTGGGACCTATCCCTCACTCTCTTTGGAGCAGTAGGACACAAGTACAAAGACACTCCCAGCCTTCACACTGAAATCTTGTAAGCTTTGAAGTGAGCAGCAGCTGTAAAGCAGGAGACGACAACTATTAGTGGCTGGAGGAGGTCCAGTGAAAAGGATGCAAGGTATAACTCCACCTTGAATTCGCCGGGAGGGAAAGTGTTGTTTCTGAATGTGTGTTTGCGTGCTGTTTTTCGACTCCTCCTGTCTTATGCCAAAAATCTCATACAAAGACGACACGCATGCTTCACTGGAGACAAGAGAGCTCTTAACACTTTCCGACTGCTTGCACAGAGCCAATGGGGAAGTTAAAGGACACACGCACGCAACTCGGGCACGCAAAGACACACGCGATAGCAGAAAACAAAACACTTATGTCCTCTAATTGTCCGACCTGAAGAATGCCAGCAAAAGTTCAGGCTGAAAGTGTAACGTCAGTCGGGATGTGCTCTGTCAAGACCCCTGTGAGATAAGAAACAAAAAAACACTCTATCCCCTCCGCCTGCAGCTGTGTGTGCTCATCCATCTCCGTCTTATCACTTGACATTTCAATTTCTGCTCATCCTTTTAATTATGACGCCAATGCAAAAGGAAAAATGCAATCGCCAGCTTAAAGTGGAGGAAGACCCCTGGTGCCTTGAGTGGAGAGGAAGTTGTGGGTATAATTACCCCGTCGCTGGAGAGAGCTAATTGGGGTGACTGTTAAACACGGTATCTGCACGTGTGTGTTTTACTGTTCGTGTGTGTTATTTGGTCAGTGTCACCGCAAGTTCTCCATCGTCTCTGACCGACATAGCTCACTTCCTTCCTCCTGATTTAACCGAGGAATGAAAAAAATCCCCACATGCAAGACTTTAATGAGGATATAAGCACATGAAGTAGAAATACAATAAAAAAACACACACTGGTTACAGAGCATAAGACTCTTGTTTTAAAAGAAGCGTCTAATGTTAAACTAACGACTCCCACAGATTTGCTGCCCTCACAGTTACAGACCCACCCCTGTATTAAATACTTGTGGGCACAGTGGCTTTAAGACATCCTTTCCTTTGGCTTCCACCAAAAGTAAACCTGTCCAGACTCCGGAAAAAAAAGAAATGGGTGAAACATGACTCATTACTTTTTCCATAGCCAAGGGGCTGTAGCTTTTTCGCCCTTCACACAGGCTTACAGAGGGAGTCTTTGTGTGCTAGCCTTGAGCATAGGCAGTTTTAACATGGCAGCTTTAAAGTCAGAACAAGATTTTAGTGTTTACTGGTAGATCATGATCAGGAAGATTTCTTTTTTTAGGTTTATAATCCATTTTGTTTTGTTTTTAACTTTGGATTCAGGGCTGCCATTTAGTGTTTACTGATTTGATTCCTGGCAAGTTGTTCCATTTCTTACAAAGTGTTTTCTCTTTGACTTTGTCTGTCCTATGTCTTTGTAAAATTACCCTGCTTCAAGGACAGCAAGATTAGACATCCAGTACCAGCAAAGGCTTGATGATTCAGAGGTCACACTTTAATTACACTTAAAATAAATCCATCTAATGGTCATGATTACGTGGATATTTGAGAAGCCTGTTTCTACACTAATACTCCCACCAATCTAAGAGGATCAGACCGCTCTGACGCCAGTGAAGCCTGCGATGATCCAGGAAATGTAAGCAGCTGTGCAGCTGCACCACTTAGGCGTCATACTACAGAATATATGTCAAGCGGACCCCATGGCTGCTTGGCTCAGCATCATCGCATTGATCTGGGTCAAGAGGTCGTTGATTAGACCGAGTCTCGCAGTCTCTAGGGCGATGCCACAGTGTCTGACACACACTCAGATTCAGCTCAGCTCACACAGCTGCCGTGGGTCGTCATGGAAACACTCAGACTCCCCGCTCCTTAAGACAACTCCCCAGTCAGCTAAATTATAGTGTGCCAAAAAATCCTAAGAGACGGAATACAAACAGTGACATACCAGCGCTTTGTAAACCATTAAGCGGAAAAGTAGAGGTTTTAAAGTCTGTTAAGCTTCAACTCATCTTTGATTTCGTCATGGAGTGACATCATTGAGCTTGTGGCGCTCATCAATGTGCCACTCATGTTCAGTCACACTCCAGCTGCTCTTTCAGTGAGCGCATATTGATTTAAAGTTGTAAAACAGTCAGAGTAATACAGTCTGAGTGCTGTTTTTATCTGAGGAACAGCACAGGAGCGATGAACTGAAAACATTGGCACTGTTCGCCGCTCACTCTGTTACTCACCACACACATCAGTTCTTCAAGGAGCCACAGGGCTCAGCGCTCGCTCCTAATTACCAAGTGTAGTGTAGATGAAAGAGGGGAATATCCAAACAAACTCGAACCGAAGCAGACGTTTGCCGTACCCCTTTGGACATCCTCTGATAAACACCACAGGGAATCGGAGAAGCCAAGCAGCAGAAAATTGCCCCCGATGAACATCCTTAATAAAACATGCAGACTGGCATGTATATTTCAGAGGGCATCGAGAATTAGCCCACATTCAGCAGACAGCTGCGAGCTCACACACACACACACACCCAAACATAACCCAGACAGAGGTTTGCTTTAGAGGAAAACACATGCATTTTCTAAGTCAACAGCACCTGCTACACACACTCGTGAACGCGCTGATATACACGAGAATTAAAAACAAAGCGTGTTTTTACACACGGCTGCAGTGTTCCCATTTTGAGTGGTACGGACATATGCATTCACATTTATGATTTATGATGCTTGTAGCAGAATTGATAACTCACCAGCTCAGCTCAGTTTGCCATCTGCCTTTCACGATTTGAATCTCTGCCTCTGCGAATTCTTAGTTCCTCGCTGTGTGACACAAAAATTTGAAATAAAAAGCACAGCCCGATCTAGTCCATGTTTTTTCTCACTCTCAGCGAGTCGGCATGTGTCTGCACTGCTACTACTCCTGCTTCCCTCATCGACTCCCTCTAACCACGCTGCTTCCCTCTCTCTCCTCCTCCTCCTCCTCTTTCCCCTCCCCTCACCCTCTACAAACGCACCCTCCCTGCCCCAAAAAAAGAGCTCCTCCTCGCCGTCTCTCTCTCTCTCTCTGTCTCTCTCTTTCTCTTGCTCCCCGTCCTGATCCCCGCACAATTCAGAGCAGCCGACTAAACAATGCCTCCGCCGCCACTGCTCTGAAAGGAACCCAGGAACAGTTCTCAGCCGGCAATAATGCCGCCCAACTGTCACCATGGAAACTAATGACGGGCTGTGGGAGGGAGGAGGGAGGAAAAAATGGGGAGATGGAGAGGGAGGGGAGAGTTAAGTGAGAGAGTGGAGGAAGAGAAGAGGCTGAATGAAGGATGGGGGAAGTGTGTGTAAGTATCAGTGAGTGTGCCTGCTCAGTTGTTGCTCCTGTCTGTGTGTGAGTGTGAGGATACAAGTGAAGTACAGAGGGAGGACCGGAGGGAAATTCCTCAAGTATTAATTTGAGAGGTCGTGCAGAATAGTCATTTTCCACTTATTCAAATACATGTTTCTTTTGGGGCTTTTTATTTTCTTTTAAAATTCCTCAAACAATCTTTATTCAAGATTTTTTGCTGCCACTTTTAGTTGATTTCAAGTATTTCTCTTCTAAACTCCATGTCTTGCTTTGAATAGCTGAGAATTATGATGTTTTGATAGTTATGATGGTGCATTTGAAAGGACATGAAAATAAGTTTGAAACTGACTCTGACACCAAATATCTAATAGTAACATTCAGCCCTTTTATGGTGATCATGTTTTTGTTTTCAGCCACCGGTTGCAGGTCTGATGGACTTAAAATGACCAAATAAATGACCAAAAATGGCACCTTTGTTTTGATTTGTAAATATTCATTGTCGATTACCCATCCATTGATTATTTCACCTTCAGATGCGTCTAAAACTAATTTGCATTACTCAAGTGTAAAATATAAATATATGTACCCCCCGGGGAGCCACTTTACTACAAATCTCTGTGGAGTACATCCGTGTCTCTGTGCCACTTCCCCCCCACAGACGTGTGGATCACAAAGGCAGCCAGGATGACGCGCCCAAGCTGTTCCAACCCTCTTCATATGCACATATAATTACGACCCCCCCCTTTTCTCTTCATATCTCTCTCTGTCTCCCCTTTTTCTGCTCTATAGCCGGACTGACATGAATCTGAAAGACATGGTGACATTGCCCGACACCGGCTCTAAACCCACAAACGAATGCCGCTGATAACCATAGAAACACTGCAGGAATATCCTCGGATCCTAAAGGAAACAAGGCTTTAAAGCAGGGTGTGAGGAAAGGAGTGGAAGAGAGAGGGAATGCAAAAGGGGGGGATGGGTGGCTGACTTTCAATTTAGATTCAGGAAACGCAAGAGCTTTAAATTTCGAGGGGAGTTGGGTCCAGGTTCAAAACGAGTCCCGACTGATCCTTTATGCTGGACAATAAAACTAAGTACAGTGTGTCAACCTACAGCGTGGTTTTCTCGGCCACCTCTTGCTGACTCCATTGAAATTGTCAAGACAGTGAATTATGCATCAGACTGGCTGTGAGGAAACAGGTGACGCTCTCCTGGCAATAAAGCCGGCTGCTCAAGCCATCAGACCTGCTGAGGGGAAATATTCTTACATGGAGGAAGACGAGGTAGAGAGTCAGAGCAGCAGCAGCAACCCCGCAGGGCATCCAAAAAGAGGAAAACGAGTAAAAGCAATTTCAGGAAAGGAAAATAACCTCGCCTTTGTGGGTTATCTAATGAGGCATGGTGCTCATGCCCCCTCTTCACACTATAGAGAGGAATGTGAGCTCTGTCAGAGAGGAATGTCGAACCTCTCGCCATCTTTTCTGCCTCCTCTGAGCTAAAAGGGCAAAGCTTATATGCTCAAAATCAGCTTCAAAAGAGAGCTAGATTTCCACGTTGTAGTCTGGAATGAGCCCACAGAGAAGGAGATACGATCGCTGATTAAGATGAGGAAAAAGACCCACACTGGCACAGTCCCTCTGCCCCTCTGTCATCCTTGATCACTCTCTCTAATTACAACAAGGATCTCCGTCCATCTGTCTACTACCGACAAACTTTGTGTGATTATTTTCAGTCTCAGTCACACTAGTCTAAATCTTCCTGGCACTACTGACCTTAAGCAGGCATCTGTCACACATCTGCCCGATGGGATCACCAACCACACACACGCCCACACAAAAAAAACACACCCTTTAATCCACGTGTAACTCGCACCGTCTCATGAAGATGGAAAATACCAGTCACTGCCTGAAAAAACTGGTTCCTCTTCACAGAATTTAAGGTCAGCTCATGGTCTACAGTAAAGGTTATAAAGTGTACCTTATGCATGTTAAAAAATTAGGCATGCACCAAACTTTAATATGCAAATATGAGCCAAACTTTCCTCAAACATGATAAGTTTTTGTGTTTATTTATGATCAGGTTTTATTCCAAGTTTAGTTTTAAGAAGTAGTTTATAAAAAGGGGTTATAATGTCAAGATTGACAACTCTGATGATGAATGTCTCTCCAGCAGCAATCTGTGCACCAGATAGCAAACTTAAGGAGGAATATCAATTTAAAAAACACAATACTTACGCTGGAGTCACTGAACTCTAAACTTGAATTTTTGCGTCAAACAGACACAAGAATCGTTTTGCTGGTGATTCAATATGTGTCAAGGCTGTGGCGTTAATACTGTAGCCCCTCTACCTAATGTCCTCTGCAAAGACTGTGGCTCTAAAAATACATTGCTACTAAAATACGACATCAGTACCCACAGCAGAGTGCATTTTGGTTTTGGTTTTCTACAATGAGAGGATGTAAAGATGCAGCAACCATCTTTCTTACAGTTAATGGGTAAAACAAATATATAGAGTCCTTATGTTTCTTGTGTTTATCTTTACTATCCAAGGTTTATACTACACAGAAATGAAGCATATGACTCTGCAAATGTTGTTTCTGATATGCAAACATGGCATCAGTGCTGTTTGAGCATCTGCCCTTTCTGTTGCTATCAAAGAACGCTTTTCAATTTGATCCGCACAAACACACAAACAGGCTACATTTGTTCATCTAGTCCAGTACACCGAGGACTTAGCCCAGTTAGGATCAGAGGGGACTCGCTACAGATGTCTGCATTGATGAATAAGTCTCATTTAGATCAATCAGCGAGCTTGTGATGCCATGGCACACTTCGGTTTTTGGCTGCCTCCGTTAGCACCCCGAGGATGAAAGCAGGAAGAAGGACACTGGGCTGTTGTCATGGAAACAATTCACATTCCACAGCATGTTGACCGGACTCCAGGATTTTACCAAAAAAGCCTGCGCTGCACACAGAAAGACAACACAAGGCATGCAGATGAATAAATCTACCTCCTAGCAAGCACTCAGGATCACACACTAAGAAGATATGCACAAGTATAAGCTGGGAAAATGGACGTTTTTGAAGGTCTCAGAGTACCATCCAGACACAACATCGACACTAACCTAAGCACTCAGAGGTCAGAGAAGGACGCCCTACACACAGCTGTATTTTTCCACTGTTACTGACACACATTAATGTTGACTCACTGGGCTCACAGATCAGCTTTCTCCTCCGGGAGTTGCACTCTTGGAGATTCAATAGAGGGATCAATTAGAGCTTTCAGACGGAAATAAGGTGAGATTACGGTTATGAATGAAGACAGGTGATCTCATGAGTCAAACATAATTAGTTTGACTTCTCCGTTCATGAATAAAAAAAGCGTCGTTAATGGCTGTTCCCAAATATCCACCCTGGAATACTGACTCAGACATCCACCTTTAACTGAACTCCTCAAACATTGTCTGCTAAAAAAAATCAAAGAGACGTCTTAAATTACCCTAACAAGCACACTAACGTCCTTCCCATCTCAGAGTCAAAGCCTCTTTTTAAAGAGGGAGTCATTAATATTTCACCCAGAGGGGAATCTTTAATTCATTATTAATATTTAAACCTATCTGCTGGAGTAGAAGGGTCTTATCTGAATTACAAAGAGGCTGGAGCTGAGCATAATCCATGTATCTGTGTTACCCCCACACACACACACAACCAATAGAGAAGTGATGCTCTAGATCTGCTCTCCTACTTGACTAGAGAAGTGCCAGCTGCTACTGGTTTGATTTGGATGTTGTATTTCCACAAAAGTCCCATGCAGTCTGAGGGCAAAGGGGCCTGTCGCAGGGGAGAGGGTGGGTGCAAAGCATAAATAACAAGAGAAAAGATTTGCTCTTGGGGATAAGACGCTTAGCACCTATAAGGCAAATCAAAGTAAGGGGGCTGAGAAAAACAATCCGAAGAGTGGGCCTGTTTGTGGCAGAATGAGTGAAAAAGCATTTTTATCAGGGGTGGGAGGAAGTATCGAGATTTTTTGTTTTATAATTTTTAAATCTTTTTTTTTTAATGTTTTTTTTTCTTCAAATTTTAAGAAAAAATCTTACAAACTGACTTTTATTTGATGCGTATTTTTGGGGGAAATATGGTTTCTGGAATAGTCAGTAGACAATCATAATCATTCAACTGTTTCACTGGTGTTAAAAAATGCAGACTAAAAAGCGAGAAAATCAACAATATCCTAGAATCGAATCGGCATCCAAAAAATTGTAGAAGACTCGAATCGGGAGAAAAGCATATCGTACCAGCCCTAATTTCTTTTATCAATATTATTGATTAATTATCATTTGGTTATCATAGAAATTAATCACTTTGTCAGACTTTAAATCACATAAACTTAAGCAGAAGATTGACCCTCATGGAACTTGGTCACCTTCACAGTGATATATCAAAAGATATCTAGTCAATATAGCTGCAAAAAGCAGTTGATTTGGATGCTATTATCAGATAATTTGTTCCTTATATGTCTAACATTACAAACAAGACATTTATTGACATAAACTACATAGACGCTGCTGTTTTTTATCAGCTTAAACTCCTTCTTTGGTTCAATTAAGTGTTTTTTTCTTCATGTTCTTAGCATCAAAATATTACACATGCAGTTTATAAGGCTCTCAAACATCCCTCAAACATTGTTTCATCTGTTTTTTACATTGCTGTATCTATCAGACCAGAGGGGAAAAGTCAACTAAACCTGCGGTCAGCGTTTCAGTAAATATCTCTATGATCTCTCCCTGACAGTGCAAGTGAGCAGGAGTCCAGGAAACAGCAAAGCAATATTAAAACAGCCGACAATAAATTCAGTGGACATGTTATTTGGATTTTATCCCTGCAATGGGGTCAGGTTACATTTCTGTGTAAGGCAAAGACTTCCTGGAAGATGCATAATCGATTAACCTCGCATATTCTGTTTACTTGTTTTGGATGTTTTCGTATTTCACACAATGTTTTTGTGCTTGAACACCTTCAAAGAGCAGCATGAAGAACATCATAAGCCGGTGTTGGATGAAGTGTGATTTGTTTCCAAATGTGTCACAGTGTATTTCTCTCTTTTTACGATCTGGTTCTCTGTTTGGATCGTGTTTATGTCCTTGAGTTTGCTCCTGAAAGGTGTGATGATAGTGCTAATCCCCGTGATGGTTTGTTACTATTAAAGGTGTGACTGTAAATATACAGTATATGGGTGTGTGTGTGTGTGAGTGTGTGTCCACCCACAGTGGGTTCAGTCATCTGATGAGCTGCAGGCTCATCTCTCCCTACAGCGCCCAGATGGCCTGTGATTACACACGGCTCAGTAGAGATTACTGTGCATCAGAGATAGAGAAAGAGAAACAGAGAGGAAAAATAAATAGTTCAAATGAGGAAAAGTTGGCACCGGATGAGATGGTAATAGAAGATACATGTGGTCAAAGAAATAAAGCAAGAGGCTAACCTCATATGCATCTTTACCAGCACAGACACACAATCCTTTCACCTCCACATTTCTCCTTTTTTTGGATTTCTGCTTTCATACAGAGCAGGAAAAACTATAACCTGAGCGTATATGTGTTGTGTCATGATTAAGAGGGAGTTTGGGAGCCATAAGATGACGGATGGGGGAGATCTGCATGTGTTTGAGTGTGTGTGTGTGTGTGTGTGTTCCTTGCAGGGAACACACGAGGGCATTAGAAACCAGCAAGGCTATGACATGATGGATCGCACCCTGGCATGTATAGCACACCCAAAAGAGCTACATGAAAAATGATCAGCACTTCACTGAAATAACAATAGAGAGCCGTCTGTGTGTTTACCTGCAGGATTTAGTCCTCTGCGGGAAAATTAATTAAAAAAAAAAACTTACTTATTGTTCAGGAGCCTGACTGTATTAACCATAGCCTCATTAAAATAGAAGGGAATAATAGAAAACACAGCAACATACTTTTCCAAACAGTATCACAGCAAAAAGGGTTCAAATGACATCATCGAGGGTCACAGGCAGGTCGTAGGGAGACTTAATCGAGCCCCGAATCCGCTGATCATATGAGCACAATCATGGCTAAATAAAGTGGTATTTTATCAACATTTCCAGTATTATTTTGATAACACTTCATAATAATATATATATATTTAAACACACACAAGTTATAACATCAGTCAACTAGGTCAAAGCTTGATTAAGTCTCCTTATGACCTGTCTGTGACCCCCGTGACGCCATTTGAACGCTTTTATCGCACCCAAGGACTCCAGTTCTTATGTGTAGAAATCCGATTTGTATTTTTGACTGCTTGAAGACATAGTGTTAAGATTTATACCCCCATAAAAACTCTCATAATTCACTAACTCGTCTATACAAAACCATTTTATGGGGTACAAAGCATTTATTTGAGTGTTAAAGTTACACAGACTTTTGACAGCGATGGTACTCCATCTACTTTTAGCCAGTAGCCAACTGTTATCAGGAGGGACTTTAATTAGAATCAGTATCAGTAAGAAAAAAAGATAAGATAAGATGTTACTTTTAATAGTCGCATGGGGGGAAATTCCAAAAGTGAAAACAGACCATCACAAGGAGAAAAACAGAAAGAGTGAAGTTTCCAGTTGAGGATTTGTTCTGCCTGAGACTGCTGGAGAGTCAAATCGAGACGACCTTCTCTGATCATATTTCTTCTATAAGATAAAACCACGATGCAATCCATCACCGAGTGTTGCCTGGAGGAGAAAGCCCACCAGCTACTTATTGTTAAAAGCTGGAAGCTTGTTTGCGGTTATGAGTGATTTACCTTTAAGTGTATTGCTGGAAACTCTCCCGGCTGTCAAATAGATTAGAGGATGACGTGCGTCTGGCTGTTTTGTTTTTGTTTATCATCTGTGAATACAAACAGACACAGCAGCCGAGTCATGCTGCAGAAGGACCGTGCGTGCGTGTGTGTCTGTGTGTGTGTGTCCTCGCTTAATGAGACTCATCATTCAGCCTCGTAGAGCTGCATGTTTGATTGATAGCGGCGCAACACCACACACAACATGAGCTCCATATTTCATTCAATGATGATTTTGGAGGAGAAATTTTAGCTCTGGGCATGTGAGGAAGCAGACACAGACAGAGAGAGAGCTTTTTATGGGCTCAGCTGACACGCTCGCATGCACACACACACATGCATGCATTTAAACACAGATGCCAAGCGGCCTCAGGCAGTTAGTTGTTTTATTACATTCTGACCTTTCAGGATCGATGTAAATCTTCTGAAGTGCTTGTTAGTGGATTAGAGCCTTGACGTGAAGAGAAAGAAAAAAAAGCTGGGAGCCGGGAATGACTGTTTGAGGAAGATAATCCACAACGGACCACAGGAACAGGATCCATCTGTGTGGATGTAGCTCTCATCTCCTCATTAGGCACAGGGTGTTATGACTGTCCTGTGATGAGAGCTGGGGCTGCTGCAAGGCATTCTAGGCAAGGCAAGAGAGTGCAGCGGCCATAGAAACTTTGGGAAAGTTCAAGTCTTCAAATTAATCATCTTGACATGAGCCTCTGTCAAAGGGGAAAGTCATGAGGCTGTGTTGTTTTCTCTGCGGCTATCCGAGCTCCAAGTCAGAGTCAAGAGATCTTGCTCCCATAAATGCAGCTATCTTGTTTCACAGAGGCAGAGCAGTATAACATGACAAATGGCCAATGTGCAGTGGTGCAGGCTATAACGGGAGGAGAGAGGGGAGGCACAGAGGAGAGTCTGCCTGCTGTTGCCAGGGTGACCTTCAGTGCGAAGCACCCCGATGTCACACAAAATGAGAGCACGGCTCAGACGGATCTGTCTGGGAGTGAGGAGATAGTGAGGCTCTAAGCTGGCAAAGAGGGTGATAAGAGAGGTAGGAGCAGACACACATGCACACACTTACAGACTTGCAAAAAAAAATCAGCTCTATTTTTAAAGATTTTCAGGAACATCTGATCCAATTCTATTTCTATGTCGCATTTTGTACAAACATCAACTTTATGTGCTTTACAGACAGACCCATCATTACTCTGCCTAGCAGTTGCATGAGAAACTCCCCTTCAACAGGCAGAAACCTCAACCTGAACCAGAATTTTGGGCCTACAGCCTGACAGGTTTTGGTAACAGCACCAATAATAATGGTAAAAACTGGATACTAAGGAAAGACTGTGACCACTTCTAACTAAGATCAATGTAAAGTCCACAAGTGAGCTGTTATCAATGCTAACGCTTGGATCAAGGATCAATTTTTCTGTTCATTTATTTATTTATTAGTTTTTTTATTTTTCATAATCTCTTCATGCCTGTATGAGGTTAAACCATTTGACAGGAACAGTAAAGTCGACACAATCCTCTGTAGTAGAAATACATTTGTATCCATCTTTCCCACAGCTTAATCTCCTTACTGCTCCTCTAGATTTATAATACAAACCACCAGAATGGAAACTGCTGCTATGAACTACAATCCTACTGTAAATCTTCAGTAGATGTTTCTATAAATCCCCATGAAAAAAGCAACTCATAGCGTGCTGTCTCAACTACTATTTAAAAGAGGCGAATAGCATAACACTGCCATCTAGTGGTGAAATATCTGCAGCACATTCTGCATGGCGGAACAGAGATTCTTATGGAAACATGAGGGATAAAAAGAAAAACTACCAGTGATATGTCAGTATCCTTTTAATGTAATAAATCAGAGATGAGGGTTTATAGACGGTGGAGAGAAAGCTGCTCCTCCTGCGTTGTTTCATAAGTCAGCATTTTATGAGCGGCAATATAAGAGCTGAGATTTAGGGTGCCAGGGTGATGCTCAAGCATGGATAAATCTGCACTCAATATAAATCATAACACAAAGGTTTTTCCACTGACAGCAGCATGTGTCCTATTACCGTTGTAATACCACATGCTAACTCAGGCTAAGCAAAAACACACTTGTGGCAGAGGGGCTTTCTGAATGGGCAACTATAAATAGTATGCAATCCAGAGCAGAAAAGCTGCAGACAGAACAAGCAACACTCTAGAAATGCCTTAAATGAGTGTTCAACCGGCCGTGGAGGTAATCTCTGTCAGGCTAAATCTGGTAGTGGATGACAGAGCAAGGGTGAATAGAAAAAGGAAGAGTTTCCTGATGTCCATCGGACCTTAAGTCTGTGTCGAGCCCACCGTGAAGTTAAGGTTTGGTTAAATCTGGTTTAAATTTATCCTGGAACAATAATATACATAAGGAAAGAAACTAGGTGAGAGACATTAACAACAACATAAAGAGAGAGGCTGTGGGTGGGGGGACATGAGGGCACCCGGGGGAGCAAGCATGGAGAATTCAACACAGGTCGCCTTTGTTGGCAGCAATCAGCCAGACTAGGAAGACATTTACAACCTGTTTTATGGCCCTATCAGGTGAGTGAATGTGCACAGAGGAGGAGAGGAGTGTGTGGTGATTAGGATGACGGGAAGAACAGAGGAGGGTAAGTTCAGCTTAAAGAGATCCAGATATACAATCTCAAATCACACATGCAGCAGTCTGGGTCACTGCAGATCTGATCATACAGGCAGTATCAGATGAGGGATTGATTTTCGACCTTCCAGGAAGCTGCTGGTTTCATTTCACGCTGGTATAAAAATGCTCTTCCGGGTATATGAGATAACTAATCAATTATTTTGTCAGAGTTACATCATCAGCATGTGGAAAAACAGCTGCAAGCAAAGGCTGATCTAACAACCAACACTGCTGGTGTGTTCAAGGGCACTCGGACACACGGGAATCAACTTTTACTGTGTTGTTTTGGTTGTTAGCTGGTTTGTCAATCCTCAGCAGCTGACTCTCAAATCTCAGATGAGTGTCAGTCCTTGACAGTCTTTGCACCATTTTCTGCTTATAAACAAAAGGGCCAGATTGGTTTATGTTACCTTGACTGACAATAAAAATGAGAATTTGTAAATCACAGTGAGATTCATGGAACTACGAATGATGGATTTGTCAGTACTAGGGCTTTAAAACTATCAAGGCAAATTTGGACATTTTTCTCAATCATTAGACAGGGACATATGAAAGGCAGACAGGAAACAGGAAGAGAGCGTGAGGGATGACATGCAAGGAAGGTTACCATCTGGAGCTGAACGGTTGTGTCCAAGTGACCATGTGGCAAACCCCCTAACCATCAGGCTACTAAGGCTGTACAGACATTTAACCATCTAAAAGAAACTGTCAGGTTATTAACAAAAAATCTTGAAAATGATCCTGTAAAGAAAAGGGTTGCAGATGTCTTTGCATGAATTTTCCAAGTTGGAAACTTTCCATGGGAATTACCAGGAATATATGGGAATTAATGGGAATTAACAGGAATAAATCTGAAATTTACAAAATTGAAGGTTGGCCCTCAACAGGGAACTTTTTCTCTAACCATACAATAATTTATTGTCAAATATTTTGAAGACCACTGCAGTTGTTTAGCCAACTATATGTCTGTTCATGCCATTACATTTGTGTTTTTACAAGCTTTTTTTGTTATTTTATTCAACAGAAAAATGCCACGTTCACGTTCTAACGTGTGGACGCATTTCACACAAGCTAATGTTGAAGGAAAAATATTTACATTTATGTTTGGCTATGATACAGTTTGTTTAAATTACCCCAAGTTGCCAGTTGATATCCATATATTCCTCATAATTCTCAAAAATTCTCATAATTCCCAGTTTCCAAGGGAAAGTTTTCAATTTGGAATATTTCCCAAATTACTCAGCTTAACTTCCCATGGAAAGTTTCTGGAAATTTACCGGAAATATTCCACCTCTTTGCAATCCTAGTAAAAGGATAAAGCTGATGATGTTAATTTATCTATTTTAATAATGCATAAACATAATTTAACTCACAGCTTTCTTGCCTAAGGATTAAGTGACTGGACGTCCTAACACTGTATGGTTCCGTCCTTGTGAGTGTGCATGTAGATTACGGTATAACCATACGTATGTCCTTTATGCCGAGTCATTTGTTGTATGTTATATATTTCCCTGTTATATCTTGGCACTGAAGTTTGGACAGCTCACTCAACTTTCTCCCAACATGTCAAAGTACGTCTTCATTCCTCTTTCAGAATGCACTTGTGAAGCATGAAAAAAAGCATAAAATTATACATATTAATATTATCTAACTCAAGATAAATTTTCATCATTTTGAGTGTCTGCTGCCTCGAACCAAATCAAAGAGTTGTTATGCAGTAGACTCTGCTATGCTGGGGATCTCCAGCATATCAGCAGGAAAAATCAGTTTGTGATTTGATTAGTGGAAGAAGCATCTTTAGTTAGTCGATGGTTAAAAAAAGCTCTCTTTTATTACAGTTCATCACAGATCCTTTCTGTTTTCTGTAACTGCACAGCTGATTCTCTGGAAAGTATTCTGAAAATCCTCTAAATAAAGAATTTTAAAAAAGGACATGAACTTTAAGTGGGACTCATGATTCCAGTAAGCAAATCTATTACATAAAATTATCAGTGTGATTTTGATATTAGCTTAAGTCTTAGTGCAGAAGAGTGCTTTGGAAGAAGTATTATGATCAATTTTATGTTGCATAAAGTTAAGCAACTAAGTTCTCATTCAATGTTATGCAAGTTTTTTTAAACAATGCTGAGGGTCAATCGCAAAGCTGACACCATACCATGGTGGATTGTGTGTTTTGATTAATTGCAAGAGTAAGATCTGTGTGATTATTCAGTGGGGGGCTCTTATTTTGTAGGAGCTAGAGCAGAAGTGATGTGCCAACATGCTATTGACAGAGAGACTGACCACCACAATGTTTTCAGTCTAGTAATGGTTCATGCGTCAAGGGTTGGATGGAAAGACAGACAGTGGTGGAGGTTGGAAGAAAAAGGGAAAAGGTGGGTGGTATTTCAAAGACAAGACAGGGATGTTTACAACCTCAGAGCAACCTCAAGGTGCAAACCATTCTACATTTAATGGATAGAAGTTGGAATATTTTTATCCATGGAAAATAATATTTTGAGCAGGTGTACTTCCAGGAGCGATAGTGTATATATAAACCAAGAATAGTTTGATGCTCTTCCTTCGTCCTTTGAGCTGGCGGAGGGAGAGAAGGTGAGACTATGGATGAATTAAAGGAATGAATGATACTAACCTCATAATAGTAATGCTCTTGTTAGTCTCATTAATTTATGATTCTCATGCACTAATAATCATCAAAATGCAGAAATGAAATTTGTCTCAAAAGGGCGGCCAAAGGAAGAAGTGTCCATGCTGGGCTATATTTCACACCTTGCTTAAAATCTTGTCCCAGTCCTGCGCTGCCCCATGTGGAGAAAGTGATAACCTCTACATCTCTGCTTATCTTGTTTTGCAAGATGTTCAAATCCTGTTTTCTCACCATAAAATCTCATCCCTTATTCTTGAGTTTTGCCATAAAGCTATGAATTATGATGCTGATGCTCACCGTCTAACCTGGAGGTGACCTCCACTCCACCTGGCCCCCACCCAACCCCCTTTCTCCTCCTCGCTTCTCCATCCTCCCTCCCCCCTCTAGCTCCCCCTGCCTCACCCCAATGTGTACAGGAAGCTGAGATTCCTGCAAGCCTGCTCCTCTGATGATCAGAGAGGAAAAACACAATGCCTTCAGTGTGCTAGAAAGGAGCTCCACTCATAAAACACACACACTGACACACACACACACAAAGGGAAAGAAATAAAATGGAACATGCTTTTACTATTAAGGCTCAGTTTTTTTCTTTCCATATGACTTTCCCAGGAAAATCCCCCTCATCAGGGTAGGTCCGATCCAGACAGACAGCAGAGCGGAGAGACGACACAGATACAGACCTACACGCACACACATACACGCATACAGGGCTGTGGAGTAACTGACCTGAGACACAAACAAAGACTTTAAGCATGAGAAAGTCTTCTGAAGTAGGCCAACTCTTCTGATTTGAGTTTTTGTTTCCCCTTTTTTCCTTAAGGACGGCCTACAGAGAGTCAGTCAATGATCCTCAATGAGAACTCCCACTCACACTAACTTTTAAGTCCTTCAGACAAGCATCTGGATTACATACTGGTTCTTTTTTTAAGACAAAAGGGATGATATTAATTTGGTCTCATGGGGTAATGTTTAACATCTTACTTGCTGGCCCATAATTGGGGGACACCAAGTAATTCTGTCCATTTCTTGAATGCCTCAACAGTTGGTACCATTTAAGAAAACTAGGTCACTTCCGCCTTCTGTGTGTGTGTGTGTGTAAGTGGGTTTGTGTGTGTGTCAGCCAGACCCTACTATAAGCCAAAAGACCTCCAGTATAAACAAATTGTGCAGGAAGGACTACGGCTCTCAACAGAAACATCCTAATACCAAACAGTATTTGGCTCATAACTACAGTCGTCTTTGCTGTCACACTCCCTCTTATTATTCCAGTGCATACTTTCATCACGTTTTAGCATCACATGTTCGGCTCGGCTGTAAAGTTAAATTGTTTTGTGCCAAAAGGTGCCAAAGTCAGCTGCTGTCAATGTATGACTCAAGTTTTGAAAATGCCAGCATGTTGTGTTGCATCACAAGAATTCAAAGGCCGCCCTGCTTTGACTTTTGATACAGACTGTAGCGCAGATATTTGAGTCTTGAGGCACGGAAACAAACAAAAACAAAAAAAAAACACTGGCCATTTTTAGCCATTTTTAGTTATTTTGGGGATCTTAAAATAAGTTGAAGGTAAAAAAAACTTTGATCAAGACAGAATTTAAAAGTACAATATGCAACATTTCCTTATAAAAATTACAAAACCTATGATTTGTATATCATCCCAAATAACATTCCTAGAGAAATCCAAACCATTACTCAAGGTTGCTTTGGGGAGTTTGTGACTTTTATCTGAAATAAGTTACTGAGTGGTGAATTTGGGAACTTGGTGAGGATATAACAAGTTTGGATTTAAAGGGATATTCCAGCGTAAAATTAAGTTATGATCATAAATGTTCTCCCTTGAGCTGCGTCACCCCGCTGTGGTGATGGACTCGCTACAAACAAGCGGCTGCTGGAAGAGAGTGGGTGAGTTGTGTTTGGTCTCTTTGCTAAAAAAATAAGGCAAAGTTAAAAAGATGTTTGGTGGCTAGTGCTATAACTAGGACCCTGTTGTTGTTGAAGTTAGGTGCTGTTCTGAGCATTATTTGTGGCTATAGAGTGGCTTTTTGGTTGAGCATGTGGCTCCTCAGACCGCTGTGTATTGCTATCGTGCGGTCATTACTAAAGTTGATATAACTAGAGAAGCGGGTGGTCGGCAACATTCATCTCTCGAGAGGGTATCTAACTCGGTGTTACGGTGTGTTTGACCCTAACTTAATTTTACGCCAGAATATCTCTCTAACTGTCTGCAGCATTGTCTTCAGTCCATACATACCAGGGTTCATTATCATGACATTATACACATCAGATAGACTCAAACCATCATCAAAACACTCCATACCAATATAGTCAAAAATCAGTTCACTCTAAATCACACCAGGCTGCTTTTACCTGGAGTCTTGGCTATTTGCACACACTAAGTCAAGGCTTAATACCAGCGTCTCTAGCTGGCGTTGCAAGTTTTGGCCCTAACAGGAACTCATATGGTTGTGTGTCTTCCTGGGAAACACAGAAAACCAGAGGATATACCAGAGAGTGAAGTTTATGTAAGCGATATGACAAAGCTTTTGTGAATATGACCAAACGAAACACAAATTAAACTCAATTACATGACCTCAGCCTTGGACATAGTTTTCATCTCGGTCATGCAAATTTGTATGTCAAGAGAAGTGGTTTAACAATGAAGACAACAACACCCATGAAACCGCCACAACGTCATTAAATCAGGTCTTTTGTTGTTGTCTAAGACTAGACTAGTGGTATCGTCCGGAGTCAGGGTTAGGGTTCAGAGACTCCAAGCATCAAAAATAACATGTTGAGTCTTGAATCAAACTAAGAATCAGTCTATTCTAATATACTTTGACCTTTCCGAGGTAAAACCAGAGAGAAATAAATCACTGCTTAGTAAAATTCATTCACACTAAACGAAAAGAGAGGCAGATGTGCACTCACTTTTAAGAGTGAAAAGTCTTAAAAAATGAGGTAATTGCCTTTAATGTTAAACTTCATGAAACAGTTAGGAAGGTGTGGTGAAAAGTACTCTCAGTCAGTGTAACAATACCTCCTTTTACAGTTTCTAGAAGTAGACATTCACAATAGCTTCACAATTACATTCTGATGTAACAACAATTTTGCACACTTCAAAACACACCTTTCATAGCAGCGTGCTTGAAGTGACTCAAGAACCTGTTAAACAGGAGCGTCTGTATAACAACACATTTCATTCACTGTGACTTTGCTTCTTTTGAACGACATCAAAACAAACCAGTTTCAATTACACCCTGTGAGTGAAGGTGAAATGCATTCAACGCTGCGTGAAGCTTTCCCTTTACTCTGCACGTCTTCAGTGTGTGTCCTAACCTTGTGTACCACTGGCTGTACTCAAAGATGTAGGATATGTTTCTATCCACTGCCACTGTATAAAAAATTAAGCTAAAACAACCATCAAGACAGCAGGTGACATATAGTCTTTAACACAAACATTGCAATAACTTAAGATGATAGTTTCCGCCCAAAAGTTCAGAGTAAGAGTCTGAGATGGACTTCCTTTGGGCCTTGTAGTCTTCTGAAAAAGACCTTAAATAAAAGGGGTTAATGGCATCACAGCTTGTTGTACACACACACACATACTTCACACACAAACGCACACACAACTGCTGTGCCATCTTAGCAGAAGCCTTCGCAACAGCGGGACCCACACATGACCACCATTAGAAAAATCAATGTGACACTCTGGCAGGCTGGGAACAAGCCTGAAGCTTCTGAATGGCCTGGAACTGAGTCATGCTGTCTCTCTCACACACAGAGTAACAGGATGAGACAGAGAGATGGAAGAGGACAGAGGCAAACAGGATGTTAGAGATGGTAGCTCACGGGAATTCTCAAGAAGTTGGGTGGCTGGTCTGGTGGTCACCTTGAGGATGTTAACATCAAATTCTTCGAGTAGAAACTTTCTGGTTCTTTGTAGATTATACAAAATATATGGGGTCGGGTAGTTTGGCTTAGCGTAGTATAAAGACTCAAAATATGACAAAAACTAGACTGGATCTGTCCGAATAATCGTGATTAACAATCATGGTATCAATATTGATCAAAATACTTGGGATGATCACTCTATGTTTCATGTAGAAGGGAAAATTGTGAAAAAAAGATGCTTTGCACTTGTTTGCAGTGCTTGTTTTTGAGGCTATACAATAACCAATCAATCAATCAATCAATTGTATTTATAAGAATGAGAATAATAGAGAAAAGAACTTTATTGATCCCTGAAAGTAAATTCAATATTATATTATATTATATTATATTGTGTGTCCTGATGCAGCCCTTGAACCTTGAGTTGTGATGGCTAAGCTGCTGTGTGATACAGAGTCACTGCACCTTGCTTTTGTTCACCACAGAAACAGCACTAAAAGTCTAAAGATGTACACAGCAGCACCTGAACTTAAAAGTACTCAGCCCCTCAGCTGAAGTCTGAAATAACTGACATGCTTCATACAACCCACATCAGCAATGGTAATTTGAGATATACCGAGATCTTTTTCAAGTCCTAATACCACAACTTAGATGTTGAGTTTTGGCTGAAACTTGGTATAGTGTTTGAGTAAAGAGTTTTACTTTATGAGGAAAAGACTGGGATCATTCCTTCAAGTATATGGGATTAGCAACAACATGTAAACAAATGTGGCTGTCTTAAAATATGATTACTTTGTGAGCACTAAAAAAAAGGTGTGAAAGAATCTTTAACCTTTTTTTTTTTGCCCTCTGTAGGACTGTTTTTTTGCGAGCAGCTGGTGCAGCAGCTAACAGGAAATGACAACATTATTTTGCAAAAGTGCAAACACAGATCACCTGCCTGGCAAAAATAGATTTAGCAATGTCAGCCTGGCTTTTTGAAGCTCAATGAGGCAGTTGCCATTTAGGATATGCCAGACCAACTTGCAGACATTGCAGCCCAAATAATGCCATGAGCGTCATAGAGTGTGGTTTCCTACCAAACTAGCTCCAATGATACACTTTCTGTCCTCTCTTGGATCTCTGTGGATCCATGCATTAGCTTCCAGTTTTGAACATTGGAGGTTTCCACTTGTTTCAAAGATAGTAGGCACATTCACATTCACACAAACTAACAAGAAATGAATGGGACCAATAAACCGAAGACATTGGTTCAGGACTGGCAACACCCGGTCATGCTTTTGGTATTTTTATGCTGTAATTAATAACTGATAGTTATCTGGCATGTGTAAAGCAACCCATTCATGGTGGGAAGCAACACTAGATTAACCCTTTTAGTTCAAAATTCCTGTCCAGTTCATAAGTATTCCAGACATTGTGCCACCTGGATGATAGAGACCAACCATCATATTGAAAATCAGCTACTTTTTCCCACCAATGTCAACAGTTAACAAAGACTTGTCTGCATTATTTTCCCCATTAATTGAAGAAAAACTTATAAAAAGGCCATGCCAGCAGACTTATACCCATCGTCTAACTTCATTAAAGTCAGAATGAGGAAGGGCAGAGTCATGTGAGCTCAGAAAAGGAGGAATAAGAGGAGCCGGGCAGATAGTATTCTCACCGTCCTCCTCCCTCACTCCCTGGGCTCTGTGTTTATCTAACACAGAGGGGAGGTGTTTACATTGGCCTGGTTAAACACAGACAGGCCCAATAGCTTTTGTTAATAATAAATAACCTAAACAGCCCGCCGGGGCGACCATGCTGGAGTGTAGAGCTGGCACGCGTGGACCACCATTGTTTCCATGCATCTGTGGAGGAGACGTTTAACCACTCCAGATCGTATTCAGACTGTAAGGACGGAAAAGTTCATGTAGTTGGAAAACAGTTTCGAAGGATGGAGGTGGGACTCGAAGTTAGAGGAATGCTATCTGTTTCACTGCAGTTTATTTGTGATGTGGTTTGTTTTAAGTAGATCCTCCACTGATTTGATGAAAGCAGCATCAAACCTCTTTTTGACCCTCCCATCGTAAACACAAAAATAAGCATTAGGAGAGTGCACAGCCCGGTTTGCTTCCCATGTGGGAGGAACAAAGTTAAAAAAAGGGGGAAACTTATATATATTTCATCTGATAGCACTAGCAGGGAGCTTGAGTCTTATGTGTGTGAGTGTTTTTGGGGAGTGGGGAGGGGGGTAGATTGATCTTGGATAGTGTGGGAGAAAAAGAGGGAAGTGCAAAATAAGAGCACGGCCTTGGGAACGAATGCGTGTATGTGTGGGGGGAGAGAAATGATACACCGCTGGACTGCCGGAAAAGGAAAGCCAGCCAGAAGGCCGGCAGATCGATTCCTCCCCCGAGTCTCACAACAAACACCCTCTCTCTCTCCCTCTCTTTTTTTCCTTCTCCCTGCATAGCTCACCTCTGCTGCAGCCTGATATCGTCCCCATCAGCACTTCATCTCTATCACACTCTTACACCCTCCCCCCTTTCTTTGTCTGCATGCTGTAGCACTTTATTCCAAAGACCTCAGCTGTGAAAGATCTTAAGAAACAGACATTTTTTTTTTTTTTTGTCTATGGAGTTTGGTTCACACAGTAACTCATTGTGGTTATAAATGGAAAAGGGGTATCAAGCCAGACGCCCCAGATCTGTCATCTCCTCAAACACATAGCACATGAACAATGATGTGGACATGGCGATTACAGAATGCACGGTGGGTTTTTTTTACAAATAAAGAACAACAACACAAGGCCCCTCCTTTGTGGAGATTGTGGTGGAACAAAAGCTCAAGCGGAGAGATGCGTATTGTAATTAAAAATATCTCTGCAAGAGGAAACCACACAGTGACACATACTCTTCATCAAACACCTACATCCTCCAGGAGAGATGGGTACACAGAGATGTAGGCACTTTAAACACCATATCATCAGCTTTGAAGGATTTTTATGACCATACACTACACTAGAGAGGAAGATAATTCATTTATCTAGTTAGTGTTTGATTTCCAGTCATATAATCCACTCTCATAGATGACAAAGTGTGTGTTTTCGTGTGTGTGAGGGGGCCTGTGTCAGATTGGGGCACTTGTAAGGTCACCTCTCTCTACGCGTTTGGCACAGCTTGGCTCCACTTCTTGCCGTGTCAGCTCTCTACCATTAATGCTCCTTTGAAGACGAAACCCAAACGAGCAGAGAAAGCCAGATCTCTCCGTTTTGTTTTGGAGTTGACACAGGGCCCTTTCTCGCAGCTGTCTTTCTTGTTGACAGCTGGCTAAAGCATTTTGGAATTCAGATCCTGTGGGCAATGCAAGCCGTGGTTGTTTGGAAACAACTTGAGAAAAACCGCAGATAGTTCTGAAAGAAGACGCACAGCGAGACAAGACTTTGTGTTTAAGAGAGTCACTTACCAGTAGCTGAAACCCCCTGCATCTTGCACAAACTTCGTCCCCAGTCTTTCTCTGCTGAATCCGCACCTCGGGGAGAAACTGGCAACAGCGGCGACTAGTCTACTCCACTTCTTCTTCTTCTTCTTCAGAGACCCACTTTTTTTCCTCCCTGACGCGGAAAAATACAAACCCAAACTATGGACACTTCATGGTCACCAAATGGACATATCTGACCCGGGTCAATTTAATTTGCAGAATAAAAGCGGTGTAATCCGTCATGCAGTCCTCCTCTCTCCTCCCTCTTTCACAAACTCTTTCCTCTGTGAGCCGCTGCTGGAAAAAGAGAAAACGCGCGCTCCAAACGCAAGGCGCGCACACGAGAGCTCCATTCATTGAGCGTAATGCTAAATAGGAAGATAAGCACTGAACACAATATAAACCAGCTTTAAGAATGAATTTTAATTGTTCTGTACTTGGCTTTGAAACATTAACATACTGCATTTTTATTAGTTTTTTCTTGTACAATCTTCGTCTTTTGTCATTTAAGTTATACTCTCTCAGCAGTGACATGCCCCCAGGTCCAAAAGCATGACACGAGCCGTCACGTGTCACGCAGTCATGAATAGGATGAGCCCTATTTCAGGATGTATCTCTGCTTTGAAAGAGCTGCCTATTATTGGGGGGGTGAAAAGAGGACTAGCAGACGCTCTTCTCCTCTTCCTCGTCAGATCTCAGGCTTTCTCCTGATCTCCTCATTGATTCTGTTGAGTCCAAAGTCAGCTGCTGTCAGCTGTCTCTCTGAATCATGGCACACAGCAATAAGAAGCTGGCAGACTGAGAAAACAAAACTTGAATTTGCAGATTGTCAGTCTCAAAATGTAGATTCCTATCTTTGTGGTTGTCCTGAACATAAAAGTTCAGATTCTGAAAGTATCATAGAGTATTATATGTATATCGCTGTTTTAATAGATTAATGTAGTGGTGGTGAGTGACACTTATCTTTAATACTAATTTTGCCACTTTTTTGTATTAATAAGATATTTTCTTTTGATTTACTTCTTTACTTCTTTACATTCTGAATAATATACATATTGTTCGTCCAAAGTGTCATCAACGGTTCCACTATAGGACAAAACAAAGTAAGGGATGAGAGAAACAAGACAATCTACATCATTGTTTAAAATTTCAGGTATAATTTTGCACTTCTGCTTCCTTCCAAAATTATCTATCTTATCTTATAACACTCGAGATTTATATTAGCTCAGAGAAAATGACCTTTTCTGGGCCAGGAAATAATAGGGGACCTGACAAGCCCATTCTCACTTGCCTGAAACTGTGAGGCGTTACACAAGGAATCATCATATAATGTCAAATAAGCTGAGAGTTTATATGAACAGTTGTATACTCCTAGAAAAAATGACATACTGCCTAAGAAGACAGTACAACACCTTTTTGAAAATATGGCAGCCATATTTAGACCATACTCGATTTTCTCTTACACCAATATCTAAGTCAGTAATCTGTCATAATTTCATAATTTTGTTTGCTTGTTTTGTACATTTTACATATATGTATATAAAACTGAAAATAAAATGGTCAAAAAAAAAAAAAAAGGTCAGAGTCAGGCGTCTGCAGAATAAGATCTTTTGCTGATGAATCTTCTGCAAAAAGGTTTTGAATGTTTTAAAGTGACTTTAGGAAATGGCATACTTCATGAGTGCAGTTGAATTCTGCTCATGTCGGCTCATCATCCTCGAATATGATCGTGATTTAGATCCATTTCCAGGATTGTGACTCTGTACTCTTAATCTGAGTCTGTGCAGCCCCCCCTCTTCTTTTGGGAAACACGTGTCGACTCAGCCACGCATCATTAACCCTTTTTGTGGCTGCACGCTTTTCATCTGCCCCAGAACAACACAGACAACAGCAGGGTGTCTAATGATAATGGCTCCCTGTGCTGGCTGCTGACCACCTCAATGACCTGTACTCCTCTCTAATAAGCTGTATCCATAAATCACCTCAGCCCTTTTCTTCGACCAGCTGTGCTGCTATCAAATAAACTCCCAAACAAGACTCTCATGTAGCAGATGCAAACCCACAAAGCTCAAAGGACGTCCCCTTTCGCTCGGTTTTCTTTCTCTTCTCCAGAGTCTAAGAGGCTGAGTATTTTGTGGATGACTGAACTTGTTGTTTTTTTATACATATATATATATATATATAGACCAGAGGCCTGGAGCCCCTGTTAGTGCCTCTGAGTGCATGGAGCTGCCTGTCAGCCCGTCTGGGAGCAAGCTGGTCCACAGAAAGCAGACCACCAAACAGCCCTCTGGGATACATCCTCTCCTTCGCCTCCCTGGGGCGCCTTCTCTTATAGGCCCAGAAAACCGTAAAAACAGTATTCACACAAAGAGAGGAAAGAGGGAAAAGGAGCAGGAGGTTTTGTAAGGAAAAAGATGATTAAGAGAGTGTAAGGTGAGCATCCAAGCTGAAGTAAAGGTGTGAAAGTTGTCACAGATAAGTGTGAGATGAGCTTTCAAACCCTCACAGTGTAAATGCTCCAATCACAGGACTAATCACACTCAAGAAGAAGGTGCCAGTCAAAGTCATTCCCTCCTTTCCAGGTGCAAATTAAAGCCCCACACTGATTGAGTTAACACCTTTATGTGTTGACGCAGACAATACTGCGGTAGCCTGCATTCTTGAGGACTACACGAACAGTTTCAGGGAGATCTAACATGAGTCACAGGAGGGAGGACACTCACACCCTGAATCCAATGTCAAGACTCAGGAATGTTTAAATGCTTCATGAGGCACTCTCTGCAGGACGGAAATTTGTCCTCGGAGGTGTAATTCCCGCTCTGGTGGATCTGCTCAGAAATATGTGTGTGTTTGGAGAGATCTGTGTGAGGCTCGTGTGTGTGTGTGGTGTTGTTAAATCAGCTGAGCCTGCCTCTGTGTCCCTTCAGGCTCCACATGGATTCATCACATGACAGCTCAGCCTGATACGCATAAAGAGGAGTCTGTGTATGTGCAAACACACACGCTGACCCTCTTTTAAGGCCTGCAGCAGACCTTAAAATGACTTTTATTTTCAGAACTACACTCCCCATGTGGACTTCATTAACTGTATTACAGTGACCCCATGTGGTGGAATTTGATAACGCATCATCTTAGATTCTGCAACATCTGCTCTGCTGTTTAATTACAGCACCTGCATATTAATAAAGCAGCTCTGATGGCATGGAATGAGGCCCACTGACCCATATTTCCTCTGCCAGATGAGCCCATGCAGTGTGGAGAGGATATGAACGAGACAGGCACCAACAAAGGCTCCACTGTTCCTGGTGATGTCACTGCAATGACCTCTCCCCTCTGGCTCTCATTATTAATACTCTGTCACTGAAATTCAATCAAAGAGCCAGATGGTTAATGGCTGCAGTTGATTTAACATGCGAAGCAGAAATATTGTCTGAGTGGGTGACAAAGTGACTGGTCTGAGTATTTCCAGACTATTATTAACCATACATGGATGGTTTCATTGTATGACATTTAGTGAAGTGTCACAGAGGACATTGTTTAAAACCATTTTATGTACATTTATGAGGATTTTTTTGTCAATCAGTTAAAGGCGCTTTCAACTAATCTGTTTGATAAAGCTCCTTTTGCTCTTCATGAGGAGTTAAAGTCAACTTTTATTCATCTGGGACTCTGCAGAAACCAACAGAAAAGCAGTTTTTATTCAGGTAACATTATTGGAAGTATTGTCTCTAGACTGTTGAGGGGCTTTACCAAAAGTATAAGAAACCTGGTATGAGATGTGTCCTTGGACAAATAAAAATGGTTGTAGCAATCTTTAGAGGATATGGGAGAAAGATTTGTCTTGTGCACTGGATGAAAAAACTCCAACACTGAAGAACACATGAGAAGCCAGAGGCAAATTTATTCAGTATAAAATAATTCATAGATATTATTTGACACCATCAAGACTTAACAGAATGAGTTTAATTAATAATGATCTATGTTGGAAGTGTGGGGCAGAAAGTGGCACATTTATTCATACACTATGGGAATGTTCTAAGATCCTCCCCTTGTGGGAAAAAGTTTGAGACTATATGAGTAAATCATTAAACTACAAATTTCCCAGATCACCAAGATTATGTCTCCTTGGAGACAAAAGTATGGTGCCCCTGTTGAGTAAATACAGTTTTAGAATATTAAAAACTGGCCTAATAACATGTGCATGGACTATTCTGAGGTGTTGGAAGGAACTCCAAGCCCCTACACTAAGTATGTGGAAAACACAGACGATGGTGAAGATGAGAAGATATGAGGAGATGAGGGGGTTAAATTGTGAAAATGATATGATAAAAGAAAAATGGGATAGATTTGGTAGACAGATGTGTTAACTTCCTTGCCTTGCCAACCTACCTGCCTGTCTTATTTTTATTTCATTTTATTTATTTTCTTTTGTGTATTTATTCATTTCATTATTGTAACTATTTTTGACCTCCATTACATCTGTTGTGTTTGATGTTCGTTTGTCTGTTGCAAAATGGAAAAAATAATAAACTTTGAATTATAAAAAAAAAGTGTAAGAAACATTATAATTGTAATCATATTACACTGACTCCATCACTTCTATGTTTCACACATCTAGATTTGTGTTAATGTGATCCAAATCGGTGTAAAACTTATTCTTCTTGGCATTTTATGAATAAAACTTGATCAAGATTCAATTTACAGACTTTATTATTTGAGTAAATCTCAATTCGGGATTTCCAAGGGTGTCAATCTAAAGAAAAACGTCTTTCAACAATTCCTTTTTTATGGCTACAGTGTACATAGTTATGAAGCAACAACTTCAAATGCACTGTTTTCTCTACTTTAAAGGCTAGGATCAGGAAAAACCAGCAAACCCAGATCAGAGGACCTCTGAGTCCTTTGTTTAAGTCAGAGCTGAAATGCATAATGCAAAGAGTTTAAACTGTAATCTGTAATAGCAAACACACAAGGATGGATGTGACGTGAGATTTTTTTGGGAGGATTTTGTTAGAGGTAGCATTTTGGTTGGTGATTTAATGAAAAAGTTGCAGGTTTTCAGTGTAAATAAGACTCATGTACATATCTTTTTTTTAACTCCAAGTTTCTTTATCCTTTAATTTCTCTTTTGTATTTGTATCTATGCTGCTGTAATTTTTGGAATTTCCCCCTGTGGGACTAATAAAAGTTTTTCTTATCTTGAATGAACTCAGTGTTATATAAATATTTGAATGAATCAGTGATTCTCAGCCAAGATTATGTGCTCATTTCATGGTACTATTGGCCTTAAATGACACCTGATTTAAAAGCAGCTTTTAAAAGCTTTTTATTAGTGTGATTGTGCTTCAGTTTTAGCATTTAAAGAAGAAATGTGTCTGAATGTAGCATTAATTTAGTGCAGTGCCTGCCTCTGGAGCCAAGACAGGAAGTGCTGGGTGTACAAAAAGGTCAGAAGAAACTGGCTGTGAACTGTGTGTGGGTGTATCTCCAGAAGGCAGGGAGGAGAAGAGAGTGGAGGGAAAGATATGGGGAGACATGGGGAAAGGCTGAGCAGAAAGAAAGAGAGAGAGATGCAGAGAAAGAAAGAGGGAGGTTGGAGGGGTGGAAGGAGGGGGGGTGAGTAAGTGGTGGAAGTGTTTTTGTGCATTGTGTGAAATGCGATCATATCCTGGAGCTTTGCAGACAGCTGGGAAGTTCCCCTGCCGCTCACTTCCAGCTGGTTACACTCTGAGGAGACACAAGGCTGTTTCCTTCCCTGTTTAACCCTTTACCTGCTGCTGTGAGGAGGAGGAGGAGATGTAAATAACAACACAGAGACGCTTTGCAACTTAAGTCACATTTATTGATTTTAGCCAGTATGACTACCTTTACACAGAGAAACCGCCCTCCTACACCAGAAAACAAACAAAACACTTTTTTAGAGGATTAGTTCAGCAGTAATACATCAGACTTTGACTCATCCTTTCCTTTTTTTCTCATAATTTGTAAAGACCCTGACAAAAGTTTACATGTTTGTTTTCAATTCTGTGTAAAGGTCCCATAACTGAGAAACATGCATATGACATTTAGCCGTAATCAATATGCCACTAATCATAATGCACATTATTGATAAGAATACAGTACTGCATGACAATTCAAATAAATACCAACATACGGGTGAAGTCGTTATTCATATAAAGATATCAAACTCTCATTATGGATCAATACTGAAACACAATATGACAATATAAAGTTTGCACAGCTAATTTTTTATTATCACAATGCTATCGCTTCCAGCAAACAGAAAACCTTTTCTTTTTTTTAATGTAAAACAGCATCTGAATTGCACTTTAGTTTTTTTTAGCTTCTCGTCCATATTTGTAACTTTAACGCCTCAACAAACAAGCATTGGCTGTCATGGCACTATTCAAGCTTGTTGATGCTTATTTTTTGTTTTCTGTTTCCTGAAAACATGATGCTTAAAGATGATGTAAAAAAAAAAAAAAAAAAAAATATAAAAAAACGACAAAGAAAACTCAAATCAGACAAAAAAAAAAAAGAAAGAGAAAATGCGCTCTCTGCACATTTTTTCAACAATACTATTGATATCACATTACCTTCACCAAACAAAGCTAGAGATACGTAGATGTTTCCAATAGTACACTGATGCACCCCAACACATTACAGATGCTTGGAGCATTTTGTTCAATAACAGGAGGCCAAAGGGATTTCTTTTGGTTCCCAAAGTTTGATAAAAAACAACCTTTCAGTAATACCCCTGAATTTATTGAATGGATCACTGACCTGCAGAATTCAACACAATTTCAGTTTTATTGAGCTAATTTCAAAACTATCATCTCACTCATGCAGACAGGGGACAATTTCCCTTTGCACTTATTGCTGCTCACAGTCATTTTGAAACCCAAACGCCTCACCTATAAAAAAAAGAAAACATAAAATACTAGTCTAAGATTCTCCCTTGAAACAATGAAAGGCACTACTGGTCAGAAACGAAGAATTAAACAAACCAAAAAAGCAAAACCCGGCGCTAGCACGGACAGCCCGGACTACGTCTTCCTCAGTGACGGTTTGTCTTATTTCCCAGTCTTGATTCTTTTCAACCTAAACGGTGTACCAAGATTTGGCACGATAAACGAAGAGAGAATGAAACAATTCCAATTTGGAATTTAATTGTCGCACTTGCGGAGAATTCTGTAAGCCAGTGATCCCGTTTCAGTGGAACGCCCTCGGTAAGAAGTTAGGAAAAAGCATATCATATCACTCAAATTTTTCCCAAAACACTACTTACCTATTTGAGTCAGAGCGTTGTCAAGTTTCATTGTGTTATTTTGAACTATTCCTAGGAATAATAAATACATGAAAAAACCCCAGAATTTGATCACCCTGGATTTTTTTGTATAGAACATGGCAGTAGAACAAACATAAAGAAAACCAACAGCATAACATACGATGTAACAAAACAATTTAAGAATGATTATGTGATGGATAAACTCTGGAGGATAACGTCATAATTGTAGGTCTGTGGTTTGTGGAGCGGTTACTGGAGTAAATAGTTTCTGTTATTCAAGAGGATGTATAATCCTATTATCTATAACTCACAAACCATAGCACTACTACGCTTTCCTATAGGTTAATAATAGTCTGTTATAATCCTATATAATGAAAGTGCACAGATGAAAATAAAAACAATAAACAAAAATTAAAAACAAAAGATGAAACCAGACCAAACAGCTTGTTGATTTACATTGAGAAACAACCTGATGTCCTCTGGCTTGTCATTGGAGGGTGAGATTAGCCAATCTTAAACTCAGTTTCTTGGCTTTGTGAGAAATCGGCTTCCAGCAGCAGCAACAGAATGAAAAATTAGTGTTATCTCTAAGCAGGGCAGTTGATTGACTTTAAATCAGTGTTTTCTTTGAGATTTATTACTGTCTTCAAGTCAAGTCCAAATGGTCTATTAGTGCTAAATCTTTGCGGCGAGCTTGTGTCAATCAGGACCTTGTGTTGGTACTTCATCATCCGCGCAGAGCTACAGTATTTACTGCAAAATGGAGAAACAGACATATGATCTGGTTAGCATTTTTTCTCTGTTAAGACAGCGACTGTTAGCATGCTCTGAGTCCACAGAGACCAAGCGAGGCAGCGGCTGGAGTTAGTCGAAGCAACAGAAGCCATGTTAGGAGCCCTGAAGCAGCCGGCGGTTATTTTTAGTCATATCAGCACGGTTGATATGTTTCTGATGTCAAAGCAGATTCACCACAAACGCTCCTGTAGGTGCTGTTAGGAAGCCAGTGACTCACAAGAAACCAGAGAACCGAGTTAAAGCCGAATCCCACCACCCAGGTCAGAGGAGATCCGTGTTTCTCACATGACATGCAAGTTAATAAAAAAATGGGTCATGTTTTTTTTTGACATGCAGGCTTACAATGAATGAGAAACTATGTGATTCAAGTGGGGTTCAACTTAAAGGTGAAGTGAGAGGAGCCTGCAAGAAGAGGTAGGAGGATTTTTTTTTCTTCTTTTAAAGGTGGCATGTGGTTATGACACCACATTAAACCAGACATTGATTTCAAACTAGGCGGAGCAAAGTGGGAATTCATCTATCTAAGGTCACAATCACATCCTGGGTGTCTATCTACTGCTCGGTGAGTCCACAGAGCCTATACAAGAGGAAAGGTTAGGAGCTCAACTAATTTGAATCAATGTCCTCCGGTCCACCGAGCGGAGCGACCAGTTTTCAGTATTTCTTTTTCGTTTTTCCTCCAACATATACAAGAGTTTCTCCCTCAGGAAACCCCACACTCCTTTCTCCACAATATCTGAGTCAGCACTCAACCACACGTCTGGATTTTTTCTCCAGCACGTCTGGGTTTCTTATCTCCTCTCTCAGGAGCTGGTTTACTACATAAGTTGTTCTCTCCCTCGTCTACTCCTCACGCCTTTTCTCCGCAGTCAGCGCAAACTGATAGAAACTGAATATATCACACTTGTAAGTCAGGTGAATCTCGAACTTAAGAGTGATAAACCTCTACGGAGGTTGTTTTTTTTTTCTTCTTTTGCTCTAATGTGTACGATAGCCTCGTCTCCATGCTGTGTGCTCGAGCTTATGGATGCACACACAAGCAGGGTTGACCGCTGACATTGTTCCTTCTTCTTCACAGGAACAATTAAGTTTCCTCTCTTTACATTTGAGAGGAAAGAATACTGTAGTAGGATCCTGCAAGATTATAACCTGAACATGATCATATCAAGAATATAGAGTTTGATATATAGCTTAGGAGTAGTAGAAAATGCATCATTTGATTAATCTTGCAGGATTTCCTCACATCAACCCTGCTTTTAGCATCACAAAGCTTATGTGTCTATGATCCACAAGCAGTACATGGATTTATCAAACACAAGCCCCACTTATATTTTTCCTATTTGCGTAACGCTAGCTTGCAAAGGGGTTAAAGCTATTGTTGAAACTAAAACAGTACATAGTTTTGTCCTCACACACCTATAAACAAAAGAAATCGGCGACCCTCGATGTTACACGCACACGAGGGTCCTTCATTTGAACGCTCATTATCACACAGGCAAATATCGGGAGCACAACATACGTGAGGACGTTACCTGACAGAAATAGATAGAGAGCATTTTTTCCCCACAATTTCCTCTTTCTAGTTAAAGGGTGAGTGGTGATGCTGGGGGAGCAAGCTGCTGACAATCTAAAAAAAAAAGAGAGGAGGTGGTCGAGGGGACCAAGCGACATGACACGGATTAGAGACATGAGGAAAGGTTTTTCAGCCACGTAACCGCACAGAAACAACTCAGAAATGGAGAGAGGAGACAGAAAAAGGGGGGAGAGAAGGAAGAAACAGTGACAGTTTAAGCTGAGACACAAGGACAGGGCTTTACATCAACAGATAGATTTATATATAGATATATATATCAAGTGTTTGGGTCGACAGGCACTTTTGCCGAGTGGTCGGTTTAATTCCTTTTGTAGACTTATTATCCACACGTGTGGGTGCCGTTTTGATTTGTGCTCTTCTAGGATTTAAAAAATCATCTTCGATCAAAACTATATTGTATCTCTGTTCACAGTAATCATTAAATCCATTTTAAGAGAAGTCGGAACCTGAGGCACCTTTTTGCTGAAGTGCACTTAATTTGGGTGTGGAGATCGATTTGTCAAACTTTCTTTCTCTCTCTTAGAGTATGGCTCTGAAAGAATCCGCTGCGACGACAATGGGTCACACGGATTAGCCCTCCTGTGATTCACCAGACACCAAATAACTTCTCTTGACACAATGTAGAGCCCTGTTATACATCCTTTTTAACCACACACCTTACAATAATCATAAAAAAAATTATAATAATACAGTTAAAAAGCTCATAAGCGTTTCCAGCTGCAAAGCCATGCGATTCTACTGACCCTATAGTATTGGTGTGCTAGCATCACAGCTTATAAATGATCCTGAAATCAACACCTGCGGTCACAGGTGCTCCTTTTTTTTTTTTGCCCAAACTTTTCCACCAGATAACCAGCAGCCAGTCCACTTTTGTGATTTTGTGATTCTTTGTAGAAGCACACTGAGCTCCCTTAGCGACAAAGCTAAAGGAGATTGCATATTGAAGAGCCTTTTTTTTTTTTCCAAACAATGACCTGATTAGAGAGAGAGAGGGCCACTGGACACAGGTCAATCCTGGCGTCTATAAAGGAGCACCAATGCCAACAGACAGGCTGAAGAGCAGAGGATGTCATGTTTAGTCACAAGACTTGCACGACTGACATCCCCTTTACAAAGCCCCCATGCCCACAATGTGTTACTGTTACCAGGCAATACACTCAGGGGACCAGAACACACAAGCACAAAAGATGCCACCTTTTACATCATACGTACAGCACTATGACAGCGGAAAGAATAGACACTCCATAATATCCACAAAACCCCCAATATAACCAGGGCCCTATGATCCACATGCCGTATTTGTCTACTACAGTCCAGACGTCTAGTGCACACTGTACATACACCTGCATTCCCCTAAGCGTTTACACTAGCACACACGAGCAGCTGGTTAATCACACAGCAGTCCCTAGAGGAGCGCAGGCTGGCCAGGGAGCTAAGCGAGCAAGTGGGGCTCTTTAACACTAAGGCAGGGAGGGTTGGACCCTTCCCCTCTGTACACAGCAGTCCCTTGGACACTTCTCAGTCGCAGTAGATCTTGTACTTCTCGCTGCAAAAGACAACAGGGCCTCCCAGAATGCCATTGGGCATGGCATTGTTGGGCTCTGGACGGGTGGAGCCAGAGCAGGTGAGACTCTGACTTACGTGGGGGTTGTTGGAGGTGCCGTTGGCGGCTTTGCTGCGGGCCTTAGCGCGGCCGCTGCTTCCCCGGCGGGTCTGCTCGTGGTCGAACTCCAGGTCCTCCAGTCGCTGAGTCAGGGCCAGCTTCTGCTGGATGGCCATGCGCAGCAGGGAGTTGAGGGTCTTCTTCTCATCCTCTGCTGCGGCCAGCTGCCTCTGCATCTCGTCCAGCTGAGTGACGTACTCATCACAACTGGAGACAGACAGAGAGGGAAGAGAGTGATCAGTCAGGGATGTTATTTATTTTCCTTTTACATTTTTTTTTTCACAACTTAAATAAAAAATCAGTCAGGTAGGTTGTGAACTGGAGCAAGATATTTCACACCATCTATGTGTTCCTGTGTCATACCACAGGGGGGTGCTGCCATCTGAATTTGATACAAATGATACTTAAGACCCTGAGTTTCCTGAGCTTCCTGTCATTTAAATATGTATTTAATTCACTAAATCATATGCAAACCTCAGCAGCATAGTTAAACTAAAATAACACTCCAACAGACATAAGAACTGAGGGATTAAAGAGCTGAAGCTAAATCACTTGAACTTTCACCTAATTTCACTTTTTTCTATGCCTCCACCAGGTGGAGCTATTTACTCACATAGTACAGACCAGCTAACAGCAGCACATCTGAATTATTCACTCCTGTTTTCAACCACAAACTAAATATTTTTTACTGATTTGAAGAGATATTTAACCAGAAACAGAGACAACCTCCACCTTTATGTAGCTGACTTCAGCTGAACATACAAGGTTCCACTGAGCGCTGCAACCTTCTCCTCCCTTTCCCAAAGAAATGACTCCAGCTTTCAAGATCAACAGCCTATAAATGATTCATTTTTACCTTTAAATGCCATTGAATTGATTCATTCTTTGAATGAAATGTCAAAACAAGCTTAATGGATTTCAGAGACACCTGCAGCAGGCTAAGGTGACCATCCTTAAACAGGTGAGACATGTAAGTAAGTAAGCATGGGTGTGGTTTACAGCACGTCTGAATAATACGAGGATTTGAAGTGCAGCGGGCGTCAAGAATAGTTCACATACACAAGGGATGACAGCATTAACCCGGGGGGTCACTGAGATGATCCTCCTCTGTCACCTGAGGAACAGGCTGAGGAGGAGGAGGAGGAGGAGGAAGATGGAGATAAGGTAGAGAGTGATGTGGTTGAGTGCACCACATATCATCTCCTTTTTTCCAGTTGAAGGGAATCTACATCATTTTACCGCTCTCTATCATCTCCCATCTCGGTGCAAAATAGCACAACGTCAAGGATATACAGTATCACTCAGTTTCACCGGGTGGTGCACTGCGGCATTATCATCTCTCTCCCTGTGCCCTGGTGTGTGTGTGTGTGTGTGTGTGAGGGAGAGAGAGTGACTGGACAGGTATAAAAAGTAGGTCAACCTCAGAGATTCTGTCATTGGCTGTCCATAACTGTACTCTCCATCTGCTGTCCCTGTCCTCCTCTTCATTTGAAAGCATTCTCCTTCTTTTCTCCTTCACCAAACCTTTTCCCCTCTTTTATATCATCGCTCTCATTCATCTCCTTCAATTACTTCCTCTCCCCGGCTCTTATCTCTCCTCTCAAGCCTCTCTTTCTTTCACTGCTGCCTTGCTGCTGTCACCGTTTCTTTGCCTGCATCAGTCACTCACTCTCTCTCTCTCTCTCTCTCTCTCTCTCTCTCTTTCTCCATCTTGGTCTACCAACCTACTTTCTAAGTTGCTGACGAGGCAATTTAAGAGGCATTCTCCAGTAATGACTGACACACCTCTGTGAAGGGAGCGGTTGCTTATTTTGGTACGGCACGCCTCACTGTCCTCTTGTGCCACATGAAAAAGCACTCTGACAATATTAAGCTGGTACACAGCCTCACCCTGCTGTCTTTCTCCGTCAGCTCTTTAAAAAACAACTTTGTTTCCGAACACAAAAAACCTGTTCTCAAGCTCTTAAAGGAACAGAAAGACAATGCAGAATTTCTTCAAATTTGCAAGTAGTCATGAGACATCTAATGTTACTAATTTTATTATTCTGAAGAGGCTGCTTGAATTGCGCACTGTAAAAATTCTCCTTTAAATCAGAATTTCTCTCATTGATTGTTGCTCATTTTTCTGAAACATAAAGAGAATCTCTGAGTTGATTCACTCTGCAGTGATTTCGAGTAGGGGTGTCCCGATACAACTTTTTTACCTCCGATATGATACTGATATCGTCGCCTTAAGTATTGTCTGAAACAGATATTGATCCATCTTTTTCTGACTTAAATTGGAAAATACTGCCACAGGGCCAACATTACTCCTACTCCTTGGTACTTTGTCAGTACCTCAGTACAGTGATTCTCAAGTTCAGTCCTCGAGGCCCCCTGTCCTGCAGGTTTCGGATGTTCCCCTGCTCCAACACACCTGATTCAAATGATCAGCTCGTTAGTAAGCCATTCCAGAGCTTGATAACGAGCTGATCATTTGAATCAGGTGTGTTGTATGTTTTGGATGTTTCCCTGCTCCAACACACCTGATTCAAATGATCAGCTCGTTATCAAGCTCTGGAATGGCTTACTAACGAGCTGATCATTTGAATCAGGTGTGTTGGAGCAGGGAAACATTCAAAACATGCAGGACAGTGGGCCTCGCCGACTGGACTTGAGAACCACTGCCTTTGTACACCATGTTGTTGTCACATCACATGGGCTCTACATGCTGGATCTGGGTGCTGCTAGATAGAGGTACTGGAGCGGCGTCTGGAATGGACTGCTGATATCAGAGTGCTGATATCAGAGATTTTAGATTCGGGTCGATATAATCCGATATCCAAATTTTTTTGTTGATATCGGACAGATATCCGATATGAATATCGTATCAGGACACCCCTAATTTTAAGAACAAGTAAACAAGTTAAACTGTCTGACCACACTTGGAAATGTTTCCTTGTTTTTCTAAAAGTATGTTTTGAAAGGCAAAGTCTGAAACCAAAGAGCCCCAGCGCTGCAGATGTGTTTGATATGTGTGATGCTGCACGTGGATGTGCGCCACGTGAACCCCGAACCCTGCCAGACCACCATACAAACACAAACCATACCCTCCCCTCTTGTGTTTGCAGTTTGATTCCCAGTGGGACACACACCCAGACAAAAGGGATCAGTGCTGCTTCATTAAACCCAGTATGAGGTGAGGGGGGAGACGACTTGGGAGGGACAGAGGGAGGCTGGTGCGCCTTCAGACGGTTGCCACTCCTGCATGGGGGTTCGAGGGGGCGTGCATTTTTTCCCGGGAAAAAACAGAAGAGTCTATTCTAGGGACTAGACGGATACAATGGGAGCCTTTTTGGCCTGCTGACTGGGGGTGATGGGACAATAACCGAGGGGGGTCGAGAGGCGGCTGCTGGCCTTTAGATGATGAAAAGGCGTCATATTCACAGCAGTTGCTATCTTCTTTATCGCTGTGATTACTAACAGGAGTTAAAAACATTCATGGTTGTATTCAAAGTTTAATTATTGAAACATTCATGTAGATGTGGCTCACTAATCAATAACAGATCTAAAACAAAAACAAAAACAAAACCCTTTAAGCTGTAGTCTTGTCTGGAGCTTGATTGGTCATGGTGGTGGTTTTTTTGGGGGGGTTGTCATAGAGAAAGGGGAGGAGGAGGTAAAAACTGACAGAACTGAAAGATGGAGAGGGGATATAACAACAGCAGACCAAGACCAGCAGGATGATCCAGGGGATATGTGTGTGCAGAAAACGTGACTGGAGCTAATGGTTTGGCCGCTAATCAGTGTGAGCAGGAGCTGAGATCATGTCGGGGCATGTCTCAGGAATGTTGGAGGCAGGAGCTTACTGTTAACATGACACCGGAGACCGCAGCTGGAGGGGCGCACACATGCACAAAGAGACGGACACTTGGAAAGCACTGAACAAGTGTCGCTGTGATGAAATTCCCACGAATTAAACGCAATTGAAGAATCTTGAGAAGCTCTTAAATGTCAGAAGCGCAGACCACAGCTGAAGATCACACAAAGACCTCCACAATAACCTGGAGATTCTTACAATTCCACTCCATCTCTTCTCCCCTCAGCCCAAAGACCACACATTTGTATTTGAGAGTTTACACATCTAAAAAAAAAAAAATCTTTGTCAAAGTGCTGATTACCATAAAAAAAAGAAAAAGAAGTCTGTCAAATTAGGCTCCTGTAGTGGGCTTTAACTGAGAGAGCCTGCCTGCCCCTTTCCTCCCTTTCTTTTCCAGATGACTAGAGAACCGGGTGTTTGGCTGTGAGGAAGGACGGAAGGGGGGAACTGGGATACAAAAGAGGGGGGAGTGTGGGAAACCTTGCTCAGGCGAGTCCCCCAGCCTCTCAAAGAGTCCCCTGACCCAACTCTGCGCCGTATAGAACTGAATTTACATACCAATGCATGAATCCCATAAACCCAGAGAATGTAAATCATGCATTAAACATCAGAGCGGTGATATATAACTCAGATTGGGGTCTCAAGAACATCATAGACACAGGGAGTGGATGGCACACTGAAATGCAGCATAATAGACGTACAGACATAGAAACCTCACAGTAGCTCTGTTTTTTTTTGTCTGCAAAATGATCTCACACCTCCTCTGAACTCCTGTCACACTGAAAAGTGATACAACTTGCGCACCCCGCAGGGTAAAAAAATAACACCATTATTAGGAGCAAGCTCTGTTTCTCTCTTCGCCCTGGTTTCCTTTGGTCCAAATAGTTTAGTATTACACATCCATCCTCTGACCATCTGGCTCTGCAGCGTGCCAAAAACTCATGACAAGACACACTCTCTTGCATTTGCAGACGGAGACGATTTCCTCCTGTTACTAATTGATTAGAAACTGCAGGTATATGGAGTTAGTTCAGCGAGCTTGCTTCAAGGGGAAGCTATTGAATTACTGTATAGGTGAGGTGAGGGGAGCGGAGCTGCCCACACATTCCCTGCAGCCTCTGCAACCTTGCTTCTGTAATCCTGTCTACACCCCCCCCTCCACTCTACTCCTACTTCTTTTCTACCTCTTCTCCTTCTGCACAGCTTGAGCTTTGCTGTGGATTGCGGAGGAGTCTTAAATGCAGAGGGAAAGACTGTCTCAGCATCTCAGGGCAGCCATCTGGATATTTAGGGTAAGAGTGGGTACCGACATCTTGGAACTCTAAAAAGTGGAGCAACTACAAAACGGACTTGTGGAATCACTATTAAGACCTCAAATGTAGAAATAAACCTCTGCTTTGTCTAGGATTTCTTCATAGGAGGGAAAAAAATCATAACAAAATAGATAAACGGTGAGTTTGTGAGCACTTTATGTTATGGGGTGAATGTGTAATCCAGACCAAGATGAGGTAGGATTATGCACAGAACCTTTGACCGGCTTCTCTTTGGAATCAGGAAAGATTAGCGAGTGTGTCGGCTCATCTGTTACGCACACACTCACTAAATTGCTGGTCAAAAACACGACTTAAGTGACATATTTCTAACAGAGCTCAGATTACATACCTTCTGTGCCCTATAGCCGGTATCAATGCCAGGATCCCTTTCTGAGCGTGAGCGCCCAAAACAAACAATATCCTCTTTGAGCACGTCACGTTACAAAAATAGCACGGAGACAAAGCCAGCCCATGTGGTCAACATGGATTACATTATGATGATAATCTTGTTTGAAGATTACCTGCTTTTATTGTGGATTGTCTTCATATGGTGCTTGTGTAGTATTTTTGACAATAGGTCAAAGTCTGGTATGTTACTCTTTAAATTAATCTCCAGTAACAAAACAAACCAGCGTGAGCTGAATCAGTAAACAACAACAACAACTGCTTTCAGGACAAGTTTGGCATCCGTATGTTTTTATATCACAATGATGCTATTTGAAATTAATCCTTTTGATTTTAATATAGTTTGGCAGGCAGAAAGAGTGAATATAAACTCAAACTCAAGATCTACCTTTTTTATTTGGCTTTTAGTCAAATTTTGTTTTAATCTTTAATCTGCATTATGTGAAGTCTGTCAAATTTAAGTCCTGGAGTAACTATTTTGGGTTTTATTACCTCTTTTTTAATTGATTTTCTGTTCTTGTTGGATTTTAAGACTGTTAAATTTAATTAGCTTTATCACCTTTATTATATTTTATCATGGTTTTATTGTTTTAGTCCTATAGATCCAGTGTCTCCTCATTTTTTTAAAACTCAAAATAGTGTTTCCTCAGTCATCTGTGGCAAGTTGAAAAGTCCCTGTGGTCTTTTGTGTGTGCATGTGTGAGTGCTGTATGTGTAGAATAGAGGTTGGGAGGGTAGGTGGGGTTTGGTATTTGTATTTGTATTTATTTTAATTCATTGTTTTTATTATCCTGCTTGAATGGACAGCATTTTGTGCTACATTCTATGTATGAAAAGTGCTTTAAAGATAAAGTTTGATTGATAGATAGATAGATAGATTGATAGATTGATGATTGATTGATTGATATATTTGGCCATTGGTGTCCACTGAGCACAATTCTGTACAAATTTCTTACCGTGTGGCGAACATGGCCCGGAGAGAAGAAAAGGTGGCGGCATCTTCCTTCAGGGCTTTGAGCTCATTCCTCAGTTTCATCATGGTCTCGGTCACCATGGCCTTTTCATTCTCGTACTTGCTCTTCAGGTTGGCCAGAGCGACCTCAGCTGTCTGTTGGTGGATATCAAGAACAAAAAGGTCAGAACAGCTGGATGACAACAGGGCGTATTTCCTGTCACAAGAAGTTGGTTAATTAGTCACCGAGGTGGATCAGGAGGGTGTAGAAGCTATTGTTAGTTGTTGGTTTGAATGTGGGTGTGTGGTTTCATGTTTTTCTATGGTTACCACACACATTCTCTAAATGGCTGGAAGAGCAACTGCGCACACACTGTAACTCTGGGTTATGGTTCGTTTTGCTTTGGAGGCTGCTCTCCCATCCCAAGCGCACTGATACCCTGGACAGCTGTCCCCATAAGACTGCTGTCTCCTTCAGGGTTTGTTATGGATCTTATAGTCTACAAAACATTTGCTGCAACAGCTGAGAGGACCTGAAATAGCTGACACCCTCCTCCTCCTGTGCTTTTGTTTTCTAACAAAATCTGACAAATGTTAGTGAGACCAAAGCTTGCATTCAGGGGTTCGGATAAACTGACCTGCTTGTTGGCCTTGAGGACGGTCCTCAGGGTCGCGATCTGTTCCCTCTTGGTGCTGAGCAGAGATTTCAGTTTGAGGATCTCCTCCATGCAGGCTTCCTTGTCCTTGTCGGCGACGGTGCCGTACTCCAGAGAGGCCACCCTCTGGCGGGACAGCTCTGTGGTGCGGTCCACGGCTAGCTGCAGGTGCTTGATCTGATCTCTGATGATGGCCACCAGGTTGTAGATGTTCATTGGCTCGCGGCGGTGGTCGGACACAGGAGAAGGCAGAGAGGAGACTGGTGAGGGGGCTCCGTCGCTCAGGTCGGTCCTACCAGGCTCAGGGAAAAGGCCCTTGGTGAGCAGGATGGGAGAGCGGCGGCCACGGCCCTCTGGGCTGCTCCGACCGCCCTTACCTTCCTTGTAGAAGTCGAGCATGACGCGGTTTGGTGTCTCGTTGTTACACATGCAGACGTGGTTGTAGAGGGTAGCCAGCTCTTCACTGAAGGTGACCAGCTCGTCTTGCGCCACACTCAAACTACCCTGAGACTCTCCGGCCACGTCACTCACCTAGAGAACAAAGAAAAGCGCCATTTAGACAATTTTTAACCCACAACATCTTAAGTTAACATAATTAACTATTTGTCAAAATGCCCTGATAAAAAAACCTACCTTGCGCAGCTCTCTCTCAAGCTTGTTCTTCTCCTCTCTGTCCGACTGACTCGTCCTCTCCAAAGAGGCAAGCTTCTCCCCCAGCGTTGTGACGTCGTTCTCGAGACGGGTGCGCTCCTCATCATAGCGTGACTGACAGGCCTGGTATTCTGTCCTCAGAGTCTTCAGTTCTTCTTTCAGCTCTCCTGCCTCAGACACAGCAACCTGGCAAAGAAAGTTCAGGGTATAAAATACTCAGAAAAAGAAAAGACATATACCTAATTTTTCTACATTCACCACAAACTTTTAAAATACCTTGTACTTGCACTCCAGGATCTCAGGTCCGTTGATGTCAACCTCATAATAGTCTCCATCTTCATGGCTATCACGCTCTTTCTCGTTGTCCAAGGCAGACTGGCGCTCCTTGCTGGCCTGGAGCTTTCGGATGGCGTTTAGATTCTCGGTGAGGCGGCTGACCTTCTCCTGATGTTCCGACAGAGCGCCATTAGCCTGCTCCAGCTGCTTCTGGGAGTCCTGCAGGTTGGAGAGCAGGTTGACCTTCTCACGCTCCATCTGAAAGGGAAAGACAGGCAAAATGCATCACGGTCACCATCTTAAATGCACTTTCCTCTTATGGCTCTGATTTCACTGTCTTTGTAACATGAAGATGTGAAGGATTCTTGTCGAACAGATCGTATTAAATCAGTGGATTAACTCTCATGTGGCAACTCGACACACTCTCATCAGGCTTGTGTTGTGAGGTATGCGAGGCTCACTGCCCAGCAGCCCAGCATCAGCGTCAGGATGACCTTGGCAGTTTGCTGGATCGGGCTCAGCTTTGGCGCTGGCGGACACCCAGGGAGTGTCGTCTTACACACATGCACACAGCTGTGCTGATAAAAGCACTGAGTTATTTCAGAAGCTGATCTGTGAGTAATATGAAAGTGTCACAGTCATGCTCATATGGACACATTTTGTATTATGGCGGAGTAGATAAAGAAGATTAAGTTAAAAATAGGGACTGATAGCTTCTTGAATTACTGGCCATCCTTCTCCAGTAGGATAGGTCCAGGATTGATTGAGTGTCACTCTAATGGGATAAGATAATATATGAGAGAAACAGAGTGCAGCTAAATGATTAAAGAAAGCCTTTTGTTTCCTTTGCTCTGATTCCTGCCTGGAATCTATAGAATTGACTTAGCAGGATGCTTCAGTAGACGAGCCACTGAATCATATCAAACACAGCGGCTGTTTACATTCGCCTGATTGGAGTTGTTGGACGCCCGAGCAGGGAGGAACTGAGGTACCTTTACAGTCCAAACATTAATCCAGAAACCTTGTTTATCCTGATGAAGAGAAGAAAAAAAAAAAACCCTAATCCCTCAGACCTCAAAACAATCATTATCCACAGGTTTCAAGTGCTTTCTGGTTACCATGGTGCCCAGTCAGGCGTGGCTTTGGACTCATGGGGTGATGATCAAGCAGATGGCAAGTCCACTGGTGCCACCACCCGCTGCCTCATAGCTCAGCAGAGCCTGAGGAATGTGTGTGTGTGTGTGTGTGTGTGTGTGTGTGTGTGTGTGTGTGTGTCTCCCTGGATTAACTTTGCTAAAACAGCATTTAGATTCCCGCAGCAGCTTTAAGCTCAGTCCAAACACTTAACATATTCACCTAAGATTTCTCAATCCGTCTGTGTTTATCTTTATGTGATAATTATATTAAAAATGTTCTATGCACTATCGACTCTGACAAACCTGCATCAGCTGCTGTTTGAGCTTCTGGATCTCGGAGATGTTCAGTTCACTCAGCAGGTCGTCCACCAGGCTGGGCGCAGGACTGAATAGCTCCTCCTTTTTGGGCGTGGACACACAGTTGTCAAAGTTGATGGCGTTGGCGAGCTTGGTGAATCCATTTTCGAAACCGTGCAGAGCCTCGTCGTTGTTCGGCTCGGTCGACGCGTCCTCGCTGAACTTGAGACCATCCAGAGAAATGCTGAGAGGGCTGAAGGGGGGAAAAAGGCGTGTCATTACTCTTCTTACATTGTAGTGCATGTTAAATCAGGTCAGCACCTTTGTGTTCTTTTACCTGTGGTACAGAGTGTCCCCGATGTTCATGTAGTGGGACAGTTCTTTCCTCAGGGAGGCTTTTAGCTCACGCTCAGTCTTGATGGTCTCCAGTGCCTCGCTCAGTTGCCGCTCGGAGATCTCCTTCAGCCGGATCGCATCCTCCAGCTGACTGTTGAGGAACTGGGTGTCCTCCTCGAGACGGCGGATCTCATGCTTCAAGCCCTCAAACTCCACCTGGACAAAAACGAGGCGCAAACACCCTTTATAAGCTTTGAAATAAATATACCTCCAACTACTAGATCAAGCTGTGCGGCCGGTTCATGTGTGGCAGACAAGCCGGATAATAAAAGAGTGACATTTTTAATATCCTGTTCATTACGCTCTTAGTTATTTAATGCCTCTTTTTAATTGCTTTTAATCTAATTGGTTTTGGAAATCACTTCTTACTGGATGTCGACAAAGTAAAAAGCGGCTTTTGTTTGTTTCTTGCCCTCTTTGATGAATTTAAAAAGCCCAATCCAAAATGACAAGAGCCTACTGGGAGAATTAACAGCTCAGGCATTAAAGCCGGCATCAATTGGGGGAGAAAAAAAAAATCCTATTTGGAAATTCAGCTCTGTTTTATGTGTAATAGGGATTTTGTTCATTTCACGCGTTCGACTGAGCCCAGGAAGTGTGTGTTTCTTTTTTACCATGAAGTGTAAGAATCTCTGGTGTGAAGAAAGAGGGCTGTCGAGTGTTGGCAGCTCCAAGGGCTCCGACAAAAAGGCTGCAGCGTTTCTCTTTCTCTTTGAATGTTTTCATTATTGAAATTAAATCTGAATATTAAAGCACTTCTGCTCCTCTTGGCGGGTTAATCGCAGCAAGAGAGAAAGACACATCTGATGCGTGGGACGTCTCAAGTGTTGTAAAATAGTATAAAATGTGTGTGAGCTGAAACAAGCGGATGAAACCAGATGATTAGGTGCACCATGATAAAAAAAAGCAGCTGTGAGAAATGTACAGTGTGAAGTACTTGTTGTTTTTCTCCGCATGCTGTTGACAACTTCACACCTCGCACAATTCACATGATTTCAACTCGACACGTGAAGAGCTGCGGGCGATCCTCACCTGGCTCTGTTTGAGCACGGAGACCTGCTTCTGCAGCGAGATGTTCTCCTCCTCCAGCTCGGTGTAGTCCTGCAGCAGACGAGCCTCCAGGAGCTTGTACTCCTTGATGTCGTCACGCAGCTGATTCCTCTGGAGCTCCACCATCTGGCTGTTCTGTTGGGACAAACAAGGTTGGACAGAGGGAGAGCTGTCAGTGACTGCTATAACAATCTCGTTTGACTGAGAGATTGCGATTGATTGGATATCGTTGCTTCGGTGTAACTGTTTGTGTCAGGTTGGCTCTTAAACACTCTAAATCCTGCTAGATAAGAAAGGGCTCCCATCTGGCCAAACCCTGTGTGTGTGCATGTTTGAGTGTGTTTGGTGTGTGTGCTTGTCTGTGTTTGAGAGGGAAGGGCCAGGTGGCTCTCTGGGCAGTGGGCCACAAGTGTGCCGGCTTGCCAGCTCTGATAGTACCAGAGAGACTGAAGCCTACTTATCTCGCTAATGGCGACATGCATTCAATGACCGGGAGAACTGCAATGGTCTAATTTTGTGCGGAGAAGTAGATAGATTCGGCTTAATCCTGCACTCGGAGATTAATCAGAATAAACAAGGAAGTCAGACGTTGAATATGTGACACACAAAGAACATTTTTCCACATGCATGCATTCGTATTTTTCATGCATTGAAACGACTCCATCTTTCCTCCTGCAGCTGCCGCCTCAAAAATCTCTATTTTTAAAAGCTCTATCCACTTCCCTAAAGGGTTTTCACTGCCCTCCCACTTCTGCAGACGGGCTCATCCACAACATAAGAGGCCAGAAGTACATTCGAGTATTGAACACGTTAGTCGGCAAGCTCCTAGAGGAACAGCTAATAGCTCTGCAGTAAGAGGATACTCACTAAAGGAGGGCAGGCCTCACCCTCTTTGAGACAAGATAAAGGAATATGCTTGTGTGTGTGTGTGATGTAAGGGACAACAAGAAAGGCATAAGAACAGATCTCTGTGTACAGCACTGTTTGGACTGACCTTGTAAATGTTAATGCATGAGAGCAAGGATGACTGATGTGAAAGCCAAGTTTCAATGCACAGCTTGTGTTATCTCCTTAACAGCTGCAGACGAGTGAGTCAATATGTACATATCAGAGAGTGGCAGAATAAGGAGAGTCCTCGCATCTACTCTAAAGTGAAGATTAACATGTGTGTGTTTGTGATGCATGACTTTCCCCCCAGGAGAGTTGGCAGAGATGGCCTTACACCAGAGGGACAATTAGCGTCCCAATCCCCCTGCCAGGTGGCCCCTTCCTCTGATGCTGTCACCATGTGGTGACATTGCAATCCCTGCTTTAAGATCCTTTCAACGACTGGAGGAAATCAATCCAGGGAGGCTTTCGCTCTGTGGACTTCCTCATATCAACACACATGACTGATATGACCTTTTGAAATGGGGTAGTTAATAGGCTGGTGTTGACCGATATCCTGAATAGCTGGTTAGACACTCCTTTGAATACAAATTTTTAGCTTGTTTTATACTTATAATCTTTTCTTATTTAACCTTTTGGGCATTTTATTGATTTTATTGTTTTTCCTTTTTTAAAATTTTATCTTATTATCATTATTAATATCGTCTTTTTATATTTACTACCCTGTCTTCTGCTTTAAACCCCCCCTTTTTTGCATTTTCTTATTTTTTAACCCATCTTGTGTTTTTATTTTGGTCCTCCTGGGTTCTTGTATTGTCTGGGTCCCTTACGACAAATGAAACTTCAATTCTGAGGCCTCCTTTTAAATGAGTTTTTTTCTTTCATTTGTTTGGTAACACTTTACTTGACGCCCGTCTCTATAACGCAGTATGTTATGAGTATTGTTATAAAGACTTATGATAATTATTAAGTGTTTATAATGATAGTTATACAAGTTTATAAGCAAATTATAACACATCATGAATATATGTATAATGCATTATCTATGTGGGCATTATAAGTGAGTTTTTAACAGTTACAACACATTATAATACCTGATCTTGTAAGTCATGATAAAATACTTTATAATGTGTTATTATTGCTGTACAGCATTACGATCATTTATGAGTGTTCATAACTAGAGCTATACAGTGCTTTAATATCATTATAATACATTATACATATATTTATAATGTGTTATAGAATCAAGTTAAGTGTTACCATTTGTTTTTACTTCCATGTGCTTTATGACTGTTCGTCAAAGTGCTTTGTAAACTTCTGTTATTAAAAGTGCAATAAAAATAAAGTTATTCTTATTGTAGCTTACTGTTCATAACTGAGTACAGTGAAAGAGTAAAACAGCAAAAAGAGATTACATTTCACCCAAACGGTAAACTAAAATATCCCAGGAGACTCGTGCAAAAAGGAAAAGTAATTTGTTTCCTCTCTCTCTTTTTAGTTTGAACTTCTCATTTAGCTTACTGAGTCAGAATTTCCTGACAACAATTATGTTGCTAAATCCCGGCTGATGATGCGAACATGCTCCTCATTTCCTCTGTGTAATAATGAACCACTGTGAGCAGAGCTGAGTTAAAGCTGATGTTTGAAGGCACATTAATATTCAGCAGGGCTTTGCGCATGTCTAATGAGTGTGGGCGTTTGCTGATGTTAGTGCATTACTGCATAATGCATGAGCTTACGATACAGATCAGTCCTTACACTAAGCCTGCATACAGTGGGCCTGATGGCTGCAGATAGAAGTGGAATAATAAGGCTCAAATAAATAAAGAGATGGCATTGATAGGGTCAGCTACTCAACTGGTCAGCTTTGGAGTATCAAACAACATGCAGACACTCATTTTATCTGACTCAAAGTCTGGTATTATCATCTCATGGCTGGAGTAATCTCTTGTTTTTAACTCAACAGAGCAGCACCAGCTGCTTGTTCAGGTCGTTTCCTGCACAGGGTTATGTGCATCAGCTGGAGGGTCAGCGTTGTTTTACCCAAATGAATACAGACCACCACTGAACCTGATTAAGACCCTCCTCCGATCTGATTACGATGTATGGCAGAGCTTTGACCTTTCACCTTGCGTCACTGAACCCCTCAGAGACCGGAAAGGGGGCGGGGTTTTACTCCCCTGCTGTGCCATGGAAGATAATTTGAGTGAACTGGTCAGGATTTTGGTGACATTTGTTTTTGTTTAAGTGTGTGTGTGTGTGGGTGTGTTTGTAGCGCAGATTTTGTCACAGAGACACCTTTGATGACCACAGCCCTGTGTGTGGTAAGTGACAACCCCCCTGCCTGCTGTCACAACAGGTTACGGCTGGACAGCTGCTTGAAAACACCCACTCACAGTCACCACACACATACGGAGTGAAGTGTACCTCCCATGCTAGACCATAAACCTCCAGGATGAGCTTAATAAATGGGAAAAAAACACGCTCAGGATGATGAGGATGTGAGTATGCATGATGAAGCATCCCTGGAGTTTTCTGCTCTAATAAACCTCTCTCTGGGTCACATGGAGTCACACACACACGTCCGTTGAGTGGGTTTTCAACTGTGCATGAACTCTCATTTTCAACTCTTAAGCTGTCTTTTTACCGTTAAACTGCTTTTGGCAGCACAGTGTGGCTGAGCCAGCTTAAATCGCACTAAAGCTCAGTGCTCGGTAATTTCTCAATGTTTTTAAGCTACTAGAACCTCCACTTGGTGTCTAAGCCAGTGTGGCAAAGTTTTCAAGCTTAACACAAGTGTGGATTAGGGGCGTTTTAATACTTTATTAAAGGCTATGCTCTTTTTTTTTAATAACTTCAGGAAGTCCAGCTTGCATTTTTATAAAATACATTTTTATTTACTGGCATTTATCCTCATGGTTGGACTTTCTCAAAGTAAAACACAGACTTCCAGATGGCAGAATCCTGTATTATTGATATGTTGGTGCAGACTGGATGAGTTAAAATCTCTGCTCCATTTCACCTTCCATCCTGTTCACTTAGCATTCCAGTGAAATGCACATGCAATGGATTTCCCCCCTATTTTTATTCCAACAAAGTGCAGGTGATCCCTCGATGGTATGACAAAAATGCAGGTTGGAGCTTCTTTTTTTAACTTTCCTTTCACTGCTCTTGTTTTTAACACCACTGACCTCTTTTCTGCTGTTTCATCCCCTCTCTCCTCTGAATGTGTCTGTCTGCTTTTAGCGACCACGTTTCAGTCACAGCTAAATCCAAGCAGAACTTTTCAAACTCCAGAGAGCAAAAAAGAAAACTTTACATGTCCTGTCGGCTCTGCGGAACGCCAAGGTCACGTCAAACCCTGTTAAATCTAACTCTGCAGGGTCGTGCTCATCATGGGATTACCTTCAGGAGAGACGAGAAATGAATCATAGATGCAGTGCGGCCCAACCCCCCAATATAGCTTTAGACAGAGCGCAGGAATAATGAAGCTCAGGGGCCTACTGCTACTGTCAGAGTCAACAATGTGGGTAAAAGCAGATCTGCTTTTATCCTCCTCTTTGCTGGGAGCTGTTGTCTTCTATTCAGCCTCCTCAGACTCCATTATATAGAGGAGGAACACTCAAGGTTACACTTTTCTATGAGACAATTAAAAACTAAACTGTGAAAGGAACCTTGAGAGTGCAAGGCTGATGGTTGTTTCCCCCTGTGTGTGAAAATGGTGCGCCCACGGGGTCACAGTGTGACAGCCTGCACTTAACAGGGAATCTGTGCTTTTTGGGTCATTTGGACGAGAGTTGATAAATGTGTGCAGGAGCATGTTCATGCCCATTAGTTGAAAAGACTGTTTGACCTGTTTGTACGTGCTGCTGATTTATTAGGATCCATCGATCTGCTGCTGAAAGCCTCCATGGTGCTGTGAGCCCAGGACTTCGATCAATAACGACACACTTTCAGAGCCTCCCAAACACAAACCAATGACAAGTTTGTAACATGTATCCTGGAAAACACTCTTACAAAAGAGCTAAAAATAGTCATCAGTATGTGTGACAAGTATCTCATGGGGCAGTTGGCTGAGGTTAGAGCAAGATTAGGTGATGATGGATGTTGTGGTCAGATAACCTAGATATCTTCTGGTGGCTCTGAAGCTGGAAGGGGGAAAAAAAAAGGGAGCTTTGCACTTTTTCACTCCCTCTTCTGCTCATGCTCCCCTGAATCTCTAGTAGTCTAGTCTTCAAAGATGATTGTTGCAGCCACCATTTGTCTTGCTATACTCCCCCCCGCCCCTCTTTCCCAATCAGAGCCAGAGAGGAGCATCTGCCTCGGTATTGATGTCAAAAGGAATAATGGTGCAGACAGCCTCAATACCCAAAAGGCCTTTGGGGGTCTTCTTACATTAGCCTCACATGGGATGATAATAACAGGAAACAAAGAGCGACCTTCCTTGGATCTTTTTACCACTCCACTCTGACCTTTCAATAATCAAGGTAAAGGTTCAGCACTGCAAAGACAGCGCTCATGCTCCATCTGCTCCTGAAATCCTGCAGCCTTTCACTCCGATTCTTCAACAATGGCTGTCCTTCAAGTGCGATTCAATTTCCAGATGTGAATGTAGATACCTCCTTCTCCAAAATCTGTCACTTCTCTGTCAGCGGTTTAATCCAGCCAACAAAACAGCACTCCAATTAAGACCAGCGTTATTATCTGACAACTCCATCCACTGCCTCAATGAGGCGGAAAAAGCAATCATGTTTAACACTGAGGGGCTTCGACATTAAAGTGAGTACACACATTAATTTTAATGGTGGTTTTTTTTTTGTCAGAGATGGTTATAGGTGGAGGAAAGTGAATTATTTTTAGAGGGTTAGCTTCAAAATGAACGGACAGGAAGTGTTAATTAGAGATTGGTTGATTAATCGGTTGGCCAATTATCCCATCCTGAATAACACCATATCAAATTATAACAGTGAGAGGAGAGCAGGGAGAAGTATGGAGGAGGATTAGGGCCACATGAAGAGAAAAAAATGATTACAGGAAGGAGTTAAAGTTGAAATTTCGAGTTTAAAAACCAAAATTGTGTCAATAAGGTTGAATTTTTGAAAATGAAAATTAGTGAATTCGTGAATGTCGAATTTTTGAGATAAAAAAAATTAAAATTTCGAGATTAAACTTTAATCTCGAAATTTGGACTTCAATCTCAAAATGGAAATTTAAAAAATCATCCTCCTGTAATTATTCGTTTCTCTTCTTGTGGCCTTAATCCTCTTTTGTAGAGAAGAGCAGGAAGCAGATGTGTGGTCTTTTACATTAGACTGTAATGTGAACGAAAATGTAAAATTACACCTGACTTTTTTTTATCTTAACCCAAATATTCAGCCCGTTTTCTTTTTTGTTTGTTTTGTTTTTTTCCATATTTAATCATGGTGGATGGCTGGAAAGTCATCTAAAGTTTCTTCAGGCATATTTTATTGAGCCAAAAATTCTTCTGACTACATTTGTTTAAAAAATATTTACCCAAGTTCAGCGGTTTTGTGTCTTATTTGTACATTTTATAAATTGTGCCAAATGTAAAACTACCATCAATGTGATACAGGCATTATTAGCCTACCTGCTCTCCTAGTATAGGCCTTTTAAAAACTGATACCAGCAGACCACTGGTGTTAACATCATCCTGTGATAGTGATGCAAATGAGAAGAACGGGAATGACTGCCGGCAACAATCTGGTGACGCTGAGGTAGAAGAAACATGTTACACTTTCCAGGAGTTTTGATAGAGAGATAGCTAAAACTGAACAACACTGATAACATTTTTTGAGCATTTTATCTTCAGCTGTGCCTCATTATTTCCTCAGGCGCCGAGGATAACGGCAGCCATCACTGTGGGCACATTCTTCAGCAATGGGATTGAATTTAATGAAGTCATGCCTGTTAGAGTGCGCCTCCTCACAATGTGCCGGGCTCTTTATGGAGGTCTAATCCTGTAGACGACGCCATAGCGGTGAAATATGTCTTATCAGTGCTCTGGGCTAACATCGAGTCTTTGGCACTAGGGCCTGCCTGGGAGGCTGAAATGTGGTGGAAGCATCCAGCTGCAGTGCTGTAACTAAATAGTCGTGAATGAACTGGCCTGTGCTGACATAAAAGCCATTTCACACGCAGTGAAGCTTCCAGGTCCTCAGAAGATGACATAATCTAGTCATTGATTTTTGAACAACAGGCGGTGAAATTACATTTTGTAAGCCGTTCACGAGCTTTCCTTTGGCTGTGCTCACTCTGTGAAAGCTTTCAACCTAAATATGTCTCTGCTTTAGAGGAGAAATTTACTCACTTTCACACAAACACAAAAGGCAACAGTTACAGCCCAACTGTCAGCTGAATTCCATGATGAAATTGAGTCATTCAGTCGGCGTCCTGACTCAATATGATTAGCCATGCTGTCCCAGAAAAGCAGCAGCATCCACCGTTGGAGCTGTATTCTCTCTCATTAGGCCTTTCTCCTCCTCTAACGGATTTTAGACCTCCTTCTTTCGCTTCAGCACCATTCTCATCATCTCTCCGCACCCCTCCCCTCCGTTTTCTACTCCCTGCCTCAGCTTTTCAGCTAATTTGAAACCCAGGAGACAAAAGCTTTCTTTCAATCCCGTCAGTCTGGTCACAATGCCAGCCTCAGTGCCCAGGCTCCCTCCATTTGCCTGCCACACACACTCCTCCTCACACCCACAGAAGTACCATTAGAAGGGTGGCTTTATATCCAATGCATTGGGTGATTTTCACTCCAGGTCCTTTTATGCAGCCAATTAGAGCTGGCAGGAATTCACAATGCAGTATAATGGTGTTTATAAGAGGAATGGCACCTTTAGAGAGGCTTTCATGCAGGCCACCAGCGCAACATGAGTGTTATTGAAGCTGTAAATCATGTTTACAGGAAATAGTAGTTTGGTTTTAACTGAAATGCTACAATAGTGTTATTAAGACTCAAAACAGCTGGGTTATTACATCCAACAATCATATAGGAGCTGACTCTGTATCAAAACATGTCTGCAGAGGCACATCTGGCTTTAATAACACCCAACTTATACCAACTTAGAGATGCAGAGCTGAGCAGCGGCTGACCTAATTATAGGGGAATTTGGAGCTTTCCGGAACTTAAGTCGTTGTGAGGGACATGCCATTTTTAAGTCGTTTTCACTAATCTTGGTAAAAAACGCGGCTGACATCTGTCTCAAGCAGTGAGGCGCAGAAAACAAGCTGGAGAGTCCTCCTGCAGCTGTCTGCCAAAGACATTAAGACTCAGCCTGGAAGAAAAGGCCCCCTTTTTGACACTTACCAACCTGACCTGAAAAAAAAAAAATTGGCTGAATCAGCTGAGTGCTAACACAGGAAGAGACTTGAATACTTATGAGTTTAACCACCACTTTCAAAAGCTTTTTATCCGGAGAAGATGTGGAGAAAGGTGAAATGACTGCACACCAAGAGGTCAGGTGCACGGTGGAGGTATGTAGGAATTTTAAAACACATTAAAAGGAAGAAAAAAAGAAGCAACTTTAACACCACCTCTTTTACTATTCTTGCAGGAGGCTCTCCCCTGCCCTCCTGTCAGGTTCTATTCATCTCTTTTCACCCCTTTCTGTCTCCCCGTCTTTGTGTTAAACAGTCTCCCTCTCCCTGCACATCTCTCAGCCTGTAGTGTGTTTTCCAGCCTGTAGTGCTCTCCTGTTAATCCAATCTCCCCATCACCAGTTCCTCCACACATGCGTGCCCATTGGCAGAGACACTCAACCCACGCTCTGCACCCGACTCTTGTCTCCTTTAATGAGGTTAATTAGCTGCGACTGTATGTAAATGGCAGCAGTGGAGAGGTCAGACATTGTTGAAAGTGGGGCGCAGACTATAAAGGTTTTCTTTATGATAGTTGGGGAGAGCCTGTTGGAATGTGCAGAGAGGGCATGCTTTGATTTATGAAAATGGCTCAGTCATGAATAGGGATGTCCTGATATGATATTGATATCTGATATTGGTCCGATATCAGCAAAAAATCGAATGTTGGATTATATCGGCATGCATCTAAAATCTCTGATATCAGCACTCCGATACAGGCAGTCTATTCCAGACTCCAAGGAGTAGGAGTGATGTTGGCCCTGTGGCTGTATTTTTTATTAAAGTCTGAAAAAGACGTTGCAGCTGAGTGCAAAACTTGTCAAATTTGTGCTAATATCGGATCAATATCGATATTGGTATCGGCCAAGATTGAAGGCTACAATATCAGTATCGTATCGGAGGTTAAAAAGTTGTATCGGGACACCTCTAGTCATGAATCTGTTTGATAGAGATCTTGTCTGAGCTGATTTTGGATGAAAAGGCATGCCACTTCATCCACGGTTGGAGCAACAGGTTAATCATCATTGTCACGTAACTGTCCTCATGATTCTAAGAAATCTGTTTTCAATTCATAAACAATCATATCATCTTATGCAACAGCGCCTGTTTACCTTGGCCTCTGCTGTCTGTAATTATAACCCCACCTAGCCACACAGTACAGGTGGAGGGCATCAATTAAAGCTTGAAGGCAGGGTGTTGCTTCTTCTCGTCAGATTTCTCTTTGTCAATGGTTACGTGATAATTAAGCTTGTTTTAGCACGCAGCAAAACACAACAGCCATCGAGTCTTTCATCTGCCACCAACATAATTCAGGTTTGAACAGTTTTACTGAAAGACTCAGAGGCGAATGGGAATCTGCGAAATGATTAGGTGGCACTGCTTATGACTTTTAGACTTGTTGTCAACAAGGGCAATTCTTGTTTTTCTTCACGTAATGCGATAAAGTAATGAAATATGAACCATCATATGACTCGGGTTCCCCTCGGTTTGAAATTACAGCACTAGAGACTGATCAGAGATGGATGTCTGGGGATTTCTGCTGCTTCAGACATTAGACGATCACAAACACACAAAAGCTGCAAGCAAACAAGATCAGACAAAGCTCTCTGCTGCAGTTTTACAAATGAGTTCAACCGCAAGTGCTTCAAAGTTGGAAATTTCAAAGCTCTGACATGGGAGGAATACCATTACAGAAGACATCTTTTTCAAGGACTTGGAAGTTCTATTCCCTACTCAATATCAGGAGTAATTCCATGTTTCTCGTATGGGAATTCCCAAATCTCACCTCTCTCAACTCTTGGAAGATGGTGTTCAGGCGTTCGTTCTCAGACTGGGTGTTGGTGAGGATGTTGCGTGTCTGGCGGAGCTCGGTCTGCAGCTCCAGGACCCTCTGCTCGTAGTAGGCCTCCTTACAGGCCGATTCCTGGATCAGGGACTCCTCGCGGCTCTCTCCATCTGCTGCCACCTTCCTGTGGTTGGAGTAGGCTTGTCCAAAAGCCTGGAGAGACATTAAAGGAAGAAATTAGATTTTAATTGAAAGCTGGAGTATTAAAAAGTCATACCCGGTTTTATTTCCTTTAGAAGTCAGTGAGTAAATTCAGTGGATGAAGCATTTATTATTTTGTTTTTTTTGGCTACTGGCTATCCTTACTGTAAAGGCAAAGGTTTACTCTGTGATTTCTACTGTGGTTCAACTCGGGACTGCTCCATAGAGATAATCAGTTAGGCTCCATCTGGGCTGCATCATCCTGTCTTCCCCCTTGCCGCCCCATCCCCCATCCCATTCCTGCAGGATGTTGGCCTCCCTCGCACGTGCTCAGCAGTGACTCCACAGATGGGAAAACCACGCAGGAAAAGTAGAGCGAACGGACTAGAGTCTGGGTGATCATGAGACGCCCGTGCTCTAATGCTCTTAATACCTTCGGAGATCATGGCAGAGTGTGATGAAGTCAGCAGATGTATTTTGAGAATAAGTTTATAAAAATTAAATTACTACAAAAGAAGTACAGGCTTCTCTTCTGCTTTCTTTGCCACTGAAATGCTGAGAGAAGTCATGCAGAGTCACTTATCAGTATGAGGGCTATTAAAAGTGCTGCCCATGGTGCTGCTTTAATTTGACCTTAATTTGTTAGTGGCCTGCAAGCACCAAAATATGACAAGAGAAAAAAAGGAAAGACAACGTCAGTCCTTAACTGTAGCAGAATCTAGGTTAGGATACCCACAACCATCTCCAAATAATAACCCTCATGATTACAGATTTGATTTCCCATCCTGTCACTACCAGCAGGCTGATGGAAATTCTGATTCTCATCCCGCCTCACAGCTCGAGCGCGGGCGGTAATCTGAAATCACCTGAGGCACTGGTTCTGACCTTGTTTGCAGCTGCAGCGCGCTCTCTCTTCTCTCTGACCTGCTACCCCCTTCCATCTGCACGTGACTGGCTGCTGCAGGATTTTCTCTCTTTGACTGCGTATCGTATTAATCCCAGTAATTCCTTTAGAGAAAGGAAAATCTGGAAATTTGTAGTGGTCGCACTGACCTACTTGCGGGACTTAGTTGAATATTCAAAAACTAGTTCAATGGGTTACAGGAGTGCGTGACATCATGTCTCGTGCAAGCTGGCTTTAATATCTCGCACATCTCCAGGAATGATGGTGAACCAAACCGTGAGATAGTGATACTAAAAACATGTGTTTTCTTCAGCTGAGGTTATTTTTAGGTAGTATAGGCAACTTATCTGTGGACTACGAGGGCAAAATTCTGAGCAAGAACCACATTTTATCTTGGATCTAAACGTGGCTACATGAGAATGTCACAAGACTAGACGCCGCTGGCCTAGTAATCTACACGTGCCCCCTGTATACGAGGGTTAAGATCCTCACAGCTGGGGTTTGATTCCAACCTTTGGCCCCTTTACCATGTCACTCCACCACACTCTTGCTTCATTCCCTGCTCTGTACACTGTCCCATCCTCTCAGAATTCAAGTCTAAAATGTCTGAATGAATGTCTCTAAACTTATTTTGTTTTCATTAAGAAAGAATTGCTAATGTCTGAGACAATGCCTTAGAGCTGATTTTGATGGTTTCTCTCAAAGACAGTCAAAATAATTGCACTTATTCACTACAGATTATGCATCTCAACATCTTTTCAAGCAGGAAATTGATTTTTATCAGGAAAACTGATCATCTGATTCTCGACTGAAATGATACCTAGATAATCCTTCATATTTATGATGCGACAGTGGCCTTCATGGTCGAGAAGTTCCTGTTTTGCATGACAGGTATGATCCTCTATTTGTCAAGTTTTTGCACAACAGCTACTCTCCTTTTCATCTTCCAACAAGTGCATTTGCTTTACACAATTATGGGTAAATACTACACATCATACCTCTAACTGTACATGAGTTTAGTGTCGAACTGCTGCACAAGATCCATGCAAACATAAGTGACTCATTTCTGCTCGCCATAGACCTTTTTCACAGTACGTGGAAGTTAGCATTCTGCTCACTTCCGGTGTTAGCGAGTGGTGGAGCCACTTAGCATCGCCCATAGACGGCCATTCATTTTTCACAATATTAACAAGGTAATGTAAAATTGTATGCTTTGTGCTGTTTTACTAACTCGTGATCTTCATAATACTGTCCGGATTTTGTACTTTACTTTTCGGGAATTATGTTTAATAGGTCATTACTGAAGAGCAATGGTTACCATCATCAGAAAATTTCCAGACCTATTTAACATAATTCCCGAAAAGTAAAGTACAAAACCCGGACAGTATTATGAAGAACAGGAGTTAGTAAAACAGCACAAAGCATACAATTTTACATTCGCTTTAAAAAAAAACGAGTGGCGAGCTTGTTAATATCATGAAAAATGAATGGCCGTCTATGGGCGATGCCAAGTAGCTCCACCACACGCTAACACCGGAAGTGAGCAGAATGCTAACTTCCTCGTACTGTTAAAAATGGTCTATTAGGATGTGCGTCAAGTACCAAAGTTTAAGTAGCTTTTCACTGTCAGCAAATCTATCAATAAACAACTCAAGTCAGTGACTATGAACTCTGACTGTGGCTGTTGAATACCTCTCTCTCGTGTGTCAAAATCACAGGTCAACCAGCAGGAGACGCTTTTTTTAAATGAGAAAATCATTAACACAGACGGGATTAACCCAATCAGAAAACCAGGGTAATCTAATCACTGTAATCTTTGGGCATTGTGGATATGAAAAAAAGGGTTCATACAGTCAAATCTAAAAAGGATGACCCCTTAAACGTAGAGCAGAGCCCAAAAAGGAGAACCCACTGACCCCCATGGCCTTTAATCTGAGATCCCCAAGCGTGGTTTTAGGCTACTTTAAAACAGGGTACACACGCGACCAAGCTGACAATCCCACAGTAAGCTGCCCACCCAATTTATAATTCATCTTTAGCTTGCCATATGCTGCATTTTTATTATGTTGAATACTGGAGCACGGATTATTACTCTCTGTGAAGCTAATAAACAGCAGGTCTTTAGTCATTAGTGTGGTGTATGGACTGGATTTCCTCATAGATAGACGGCTGTGGCTAACATTGTGGAGCTAAACTCAGAAAAGTCAATAATTCACCAGCTTTAACCATCAACAAAATGAAATATGGGATTCCAGATGAGTTCAAGCGTTATGCGCTGAAGGGAGACACCCCTGCTGGGAAGGTCTTTATATCTGAGGCTGTCAGGCCGGGATCAAAGTACATAATGACTGCAGTAAAAAAGCACCATGTGACTGAGGAATTGATATAATGAGACGACTCACCTCTGATCTCACTTCTTTTTTCTTGGCTGTCAGAGTTATTTTCATCACTTCCTCCTAACATTAGTCTCACTGAAACTGTGCATCTTTTAAAAAAGTAGTCATCGTCACATGTAAACCCACAGAGCTGTAAATAGAGACTTTCGTGTGGGTGTATGAAGGCAAACTAATTTACAGAAGGACAAAGACAATAGCTTATTCAAAAACCTAGTTGCTGTGGTAATGGGGATCTATTTGACACTTAATCAGTTTATCTCTGAGCAAAACAAATGTTGCTAAGATAGTGTGTCCTTCGACACGTCTGCAGACCCGGTAGTTTGTGTTCAAAGCGTGCTTGAACATGGTGTTGTCATTGCTCTGCCCTGTAATCTCACAGCCGTTAGAGACAAAGTCCAATGATTAGAAGGTGAGAGCAATCGGGAACCAGTCAATCACATGCCTCTGCTCCGATCATCGCCTTTCAATAACAGACGAAAAAAAGCAGAATACTGGCTCATGTAGGCTACAGCTACATTTTACATGGTTAATCCAAACAGAGAGAATTTAGGTCAAAAGGTGCTCAAGCAGGAGAGTCCTTCTGCTCGTGTTTCTTTGATCTGAGGAGTCAAGAGCACCGGGGAGATGGGCTTTAGGTCTCGGAGAGGTAAACAGATCGATACAGCTGGTCTCAGAGGCCCGATGGAGCTGAAGGAAGCTAAATCTAAAATGCTATTTTCAGCTCCTATCCTACAGAAAAAAAAAGTGTTTTTTTGTTTGGTACAGAGTGAGCAGGAGAATTTTGCTCAGAGGACGTGATTATTGAAGACACTGGTTTGGAGTATAAATCCAGTGAGTATGATCAAGTTAGCACACACACCAACACACACTATCTATGCACAAGGCCTAGAGAATTTCAATCCATACAACTGAGTCCCATTTGACAATCCTGCCTTAGGAATAAAACCCAATTAGAAAAGTCTCCAGATTTAGATCGGATTCTTTTATCTCTGGTCCAGCTCTAATCATCTCACTGTTCTCAAGTTTCCCTTCAGCTCCCTGTGGTCTCACAGCCTGGATCTATTAGGAAAGTAAAGCTTGCTTAACAAAGACCTGGCAAAGAGGTAGAAATGAATGAAGAACTGAAAAGGGATAAAAGAGGAAGCAGCTTCAGCATTGCAGGAACGGACTGAGTTAAGAGTAGAAGAGTAGACCTGAGATGCCCAGAGATATAAAAAAATAAACTACTGGAAGAGGAAAAGCCCCAGAGAAAATCTGCCAGGGGCGTCCCATAAACAAACACTGAATCTGAGACATGATAACCGGTCTGGATGATGCCAGATAGGGCAAATCAGGGCATGCCTGCTCTGAACTGCTGCACAAGGAACCTCTAAGAGCAGAAATGTGACAGGAAAAAATGCATCTGGAGAGTCTTGTCGACCTGAGTGGGAGGCTGATGTCGCTCTCCAGCAGCATTCCTAGGCCATGACAGAAAGCCAGTGACCAACGCTGAACAATATAACCCTGTGTTGTTTCGATGAGTTCAGCGTGAGTGTTGAGGTTGACCCTGAATGCCAAAGCAGTTGTTTGAGCAACACTGAAGGCTGGTGGCTGTTAGTCATTGTAGGCGACTGCGGAGGAAGAGAGGTGGAGCTGGAAGAAGGGGGAAAAAAAAAAACAACCAACACTGAATGGATTCTCCAGCCTCGTGAAGCAAGGCTCACGTGGAAGCTTCAGTTTGCGATGATAAACAGAGACATCCTGCTTCTCCTCTCTTTTTATCTTCATCTCTCTATTCACAGGCCACAGCACAGCCAGAGACTTGGCTTTGCCTTGAGCTGTGTGCTGATTCTATATTTATCCGGCCACTATCAACTCTTGGTTACACAGATTTCTTCGGGCATGGAGTTAAAAAGCAGTGGCTTCCTGAAACACAAAAGTTGTGACCTAGAACTACTACACAACTCCAAAAGAAGCTCAGTGCGCTTGACTTTGTTTATTTTCCTCCATGACTTCATTGCCCACCGTGTTATTTCTGCTCTAACAGACCATATAAAGTGGTTTGCAGAGGAATCCAAATCATGTCACGTGGCAGAGTTTGTGTTTAGTTAACTTGTTTTAACTGGGAGAGTGTTGTTGGGGAGGAAAGGTTACTATGCCAAAGCCAGTGGTGCTTTTTTAATAAGTAACAGACAGGATAACTATTTACTTCAGACTTCACTCTCCAGAGGGGGAAGGGTGGAAATGCAAAAACAAGGATTTGCAATTTATCTGTGGTGGTTATGATTAACTCCTCACTGGTTGCAAATATCTCTGTCCTGCTTGAAAATCTCAGCAGCTTCAATTTGAATCATTTAAGTGGAAAAATTAAAAAAGGAGTCATTTTAATACGCAGGAAGAGAGAAAAAAAGTCGAATTTCACACAAGGAGAAAGATGTGAAATAAGGTGAGAAAATGCAAACGAGAAAGGCAAAGATATCAGCCAGAGCCCAGCCGCACTGATTCACTGTGAAGCCCAGCGCCCATAGCGTATTATTCAAACACAAGCCTGGACAATTTCACACACTCCACACACATCCCCTTCCCAATTTCCTGGTGTGCCCTGCAGTCAGCCAAACTGCTGCACCTGGTGCTTTAGCCGTGTTTCGGCTTGTTCTGCCCTCTGAGACCGAGGAAGAGGAGCGTGTTCAAAGCCTTGTAGGGGTTCCGGCAACACAGCATGCAACTTGTGTTTTCAACACACACGAGGGCCGCATTGCGTGCCAAAAGCAAGAGATACACTACAGAGAAAATAAGAAAAGCAAGGGTTAGGAAAACGAACCAATATGTATGCCAAAGACACATTTTCCCCCTAAAAATAAAAAATATAGGCCCTGAAGAAAACTGGCTGAGCATTATTCTGTCTGCGTGAGACTCCACGGGCGTAAACTTTCGAAATACAACTACAAAGAAAAGATGTGCCAGATTGTAGTTCTCCTGATGTGCAGGTTAAGACAAGGAGAGAGAAAACGCCAGAGGGGATGGAGCTACTGGGACAACGTACACTCGTACACTTAAAGAAAACACATGTACGCACACACATACACACACACACACAGGGAGAGTGTGAGCATGAGCGATGTACTAATCAGACTCATGAGGCCCTTAACACGTCTCAGAGAAAAAGTCGTCCTTCGCCATAAAAATATCAGAAACCCTTAATTGGGCCGCTGCAGCTGGTTGAAACTCTACACAGATTCTCCCAGCATACATCAGTGTATAATGATTAAGAGCTGGTTAGCGCTTTCATCAGATCTATCTGGGGAAAACTACATTTTATTCTGACTTCACAGTGGCCACTAATCTGAGGCCAGCATTAGAGATTCTGTGTGAAGTCTTTGGTCAGATCAGAGCTAATCTATATTCATCGTATGTCGACAAAGACGGGACTTCAGAGGGAATGTATGATCTCCTGTAGAAAGGTGAAACACCTGCAATAAGAAACAGTGGAGCCCTATGCTGCTATTACACTGTCTGTGTGAGGCTGAAGGCTCTGTGGACAGTGTGGGTGTTCACCAACTGGCTACCCTGTTATTACAGGTTGCAACAGTCATTATACCACCAAAGACAGCTAAAAAACCGGGTGTCTCAGAGCCGTTTATTTAGCCTTCAGTGTATATGAAAAATAAATCAGGGTTGGATTTTTGCATGTTACTGATCGGGGGATATAAGCAGAAGCTGCAGTTTTCACACCACTCTCGGCTAAGCTTAAAAACAAACCTCGCTCCTCTATCAACATTTACAGAATAAGCAAGTTTGGATGGGATGGGTTAAAGTATTTCCTGAGGTTTGTTTTGAATGGAATTACTGTTTTTCTTTCTCCCCTGTAAGCCACACACAAATAAATTATTTTCTCGTATAATTGGGGGATGAACCTCAAGGTATTTAACTCTACTTTTGTCCACAGAATTCAAACGAAGCAGTCAATTAATCACGAGGAAGCATCTGTTTATCCCTGGCTGTTTATCAGGTCTATTGTTCGGCTGCTAAATCTGCAACAGAATGGAGGAAAAAGCCGGTATCTCAAGGGAGTGCACAGATTCAATAGGCCTGATATATTACTCCATCATATCTGGGTTGGGTCTGTGTCTGGGCTGGAGACCGGGTTCTTTATCAGCCTTCATATCACCCAGTTTTCCATACCAGATCCAGCTCTTAAGCATTCACACCCTCAGTCATTTGCAATGCAAAGACTTTGCCTTATCTGCGCCTGCCGCCTGTAGTCATGCTGTCGCTTCCCCTTTCTGCCTGACACTACGCGTCTGGATTTGATCTCCCAGGTCCACGCGCCAGCACCCCAGGGGAACAGCCGTCGTTATGGTTACAATGCCAATTACAGTCGGGAGAATGGGAGGCGGTCAGTAGAGGCAGAGCAGGGGGATGCCACTGACACAGATGGCTGTTTCAGAGTAAGCACAGATTGCCCTCCTCCTCCTTTCTTTGGCGATGCTCCTCGCCTATCAGTGTCCCATCCCTCTCCAATTTCAGATTTGTTTGAACAAAGAACACGCTGGTCTGAGGTTACTTTGAAGTACTTTACTTTAGCTCTTTGCTATCTGGACAAGCGTGCAACTGAGTCACTTTGGAGTGGACACTGCTCCCTGGAGAAGTCAGTACACGTGACCCCCTCCTCGCTGAACAGCCTCTCGTTTACACTGACATAAATGACAGAAGAGGGGAGCAGCTGGGGCCACAGCTGGGGTGCACACATAAACACACATGGATTACTCTGACCCACACACACAAACACACCCACACACACACAAACGTGATTCTATTTCCCTACAAAGTCCAAGGTCAAAACTCCGAGAAGAAAGAAAGACGTGACATTAACATTGAATGCATTTGTTGGTTATGATGACAGCTAGTGTGGACAGTTTTATCAAACCCTCAGGCTGCTGTCATTCAAAGTTATTAATATGTTGCACACTTCCATTGTTCCCCTCATCATCATAAACCCTATTAGCGTTCAGACATGACTAATCAATCAGGATGACACACTGACAGGATGGGGGAGGGACTGCGGAAACTAAATACGCCTTATTCTAAAGGTTCTCAATCGATGTGCTTCAATGTTTCTCTTCAAATCTGTCTATTATCACCATTCTGGTCATGAACAGGGTACATCTTATCGTTCAGTCTCTTTTTTTATGTTGTATTTAACAAAAATCTGCGACTCTTAGTCCATTCACCCTCCAAAAACCAGACGACGGTCTCTTGGGCAAGTCCTGCCTTTCCTCCCAGCTACACAAAGAATAATGACCCCCCCTCCCCTGTTTGCAGTAATTAAATCCTGTAAGTGACTGAGTGTGCATGCGGTCTCTCAACTAGTGAGGTTAGATCCAGGGTCAGGGTGCAAGTCTCCATATGTGGCCATGTCACTTTGCAATGAATGAGAATAGGGCTTGGTATCCTTTCTTCCCCCACTGTGCACATAATAGATCATATCTGTGTGCGAAGAGGAAAACGAATGGATATGCAGCAGACATGTGAGTGCTCTGTATTCAGTGATAAGTTCTTTAATACACTCCTTAAAGTAAACAATCAGCTCTTACATCTCTCCAACAACAGAGCATTCAAGTCGGATAATAAATTAAAGATGAAAGATAAGCCAAAAACAATACCCCGCAGTCAAAGCCGAGTAAATACTGGAGCCCAGCCCACTGTTTTTAAAGGAGATACATATTTAAAAACAAGATAGCTGAATTTTCTGCATTTAAAGCACCAGCACTTGAACTGATTAAACCAGCTGATGGAGAAACCCCCATTCTTATCCCATCTAAAACAGAGTGAACTGGTTCCCACAGGAAACCAGGCATTGCCCGCTGCCCCTCCCATCCAAAACTCTCTCCCTTTCTCCGTCTCCTATCCCCATTTTTCAAGGACCCCTGAGAGACTGGCACACATCCAATTAAAACCCCTCCTCTGCTGGTTCTCCCTCAGCCCAAACTCTAATGTTGTTATTCATATAAAGGCAACCCCCTGCCAAACTATACAGCTCTGTCTTATTATCTCCCCTCCCTCTACACCATTTCCCTTCCCAATGCCTCCCTCTCCTCTCCCCTGTTCAGTCATGCCTGAGGGTTCCAAAGCGTGGGCTCCATGAGACTTGGTTGTGGCACGCAGTGACAGGGGGACCTAGACCCACTAGCCTATTTACAATAGGAGCCTGAGGAAGGAGGAGTGAAGGTGGCGGTGAATGGCTGTGGGCGCGTCTGAAGCGTGGAGTGAATGTAGACGTGCCACTGTGCCCTGATTGCACCATGGGGTTGCATTTAAAATGGACCCCTAGCTAAACGGGACAAGACAAGCCTTTGATATTGAGTCTGTTAATGTTTGAACAGACAGACTATTAAATCGAAGAGACTGTTCTATGAATTTGATTCATTTAGGTGAGACTGGCAGCAGCACTCTGTCAGTCTAGAGATAATTGATATCAGCGGACTATGTAGAATTTCAGAGGGGTGTGCCAGAGCATGCTCATGTAAACAGGACACTATGACTGTCTACATCTCATCCCCAATCTGATAAAACACAGGATGCCCTGGAACAAACTGCAGAGCGCAGGGAGAATCACACCCTTAATGTGTATGCATGGGGTAAGGTTGGAGTGCTGCCCATCTGTCCAACTGCGGCTACCACAAATGTATTCCTGCTCTTCATACATACTAATGAGAACGCTAAGTCACCCCCCATCTCGGATCCTTTTGTTTCTCTAACCTCAAACTTTTGGGACTGCTTTGGTATCAATTCGCATTTTCATGTCTTCTATTATTGTTTGGATAGACTGAGCTGATAGGTTGCCATTGGAAACTTGCGAATCCACCGCTAATGAGTTTAAAATGTCCCCACTGCATCAAGGTTGTGGAGTGCGCTGATGACTGAGCCAACTTTATTTTCTGATTCAGCATATTTTTCAACGCACACACCCACACTGTAAAACTAAGCATGCACAGCTTTTTTTAAGGTGCATACTGCAGCTAGATGCAAGCTCCCGGTCTTGTTGTTTATGGTATTGGCAAGAACATTGCAGGGAAATGCAGTATTCTGAGTGCTGATGATGATAACAAACCACAGTGAGGGTAAGCCCATTCCTCCTATTTAGAAAATATGGATTGTTGTGAATTAATGTATTTTTTCCTGTTGAAGTCAGGTGACAGAAGTGACCTGTCTGATGAACTTAATGTAGTCATTTCCTTTGATCCGCTCAGAGCATCCGGACACACACGGAGCGGCATTTCATATGCTTCCTTCTGACTATAAAAAGCAAAACTCCTCTCAAGTAAACAGGATGTAGCACGAGGGTCAGAGGAGGGTAATTTTGTCTTCATTTCAATAGGAGGAAGAGGATTTGATTTAGCAGGGTTTTGCTCCAACTCAGCAAGAGTCCATGTAGTTACAGGAAAACCATAGTCAAGATTTATTATCAAAACATGGAGCCATAAAGCTGAACTTTGTGGATCTTGCAGTTCTTCTTATCTGGGAATGTCAAAGTGCTTGTTATGTTGTTTTAAATCTTGTACAGAAACAAGAAAGGTCAGTTTGTGGACCTATAGATTCAATCCAAAACTCTAGAAATACTAGAAAGGAAGACCAAAAATCACTTTTTTAGGGCGTAAAGAAGAGTAAAATGTACGCTGGAGCGCAACCAAGCAATGATTCTACCAAGACAACTCAATGTATAGGAGAGGAGAATAAGAAGCCATTGTGTTACTTTTGCTCAGTCATGTCACATGGCAGCACAGTGGTGTCTTTGTTGACAGATTTTTATGTTTCTGGATGTTATAGGAGAAGGGAAACTGGACACTGGCTTTTCGCCTGAATGAAGCATGTTGTGTTGTCACAGGCACACCGCCATTACTATGACCTCATCCTCTGCTTTTAGCCTGGATGCCTGCCTGATCTGGTCCCGGTCTTTAGTAATTGGATTAAGACGGCCCAATCATGACCCTGACAGGCTACCATACAGCTGCCTTTGGTTAATGTAATGAAGAAATCCTTGTATCCTACTGTATTTTAGATGGACCACACACAGTTGTATGTATGATTAACAACAGCCAAGTAGAGCACAACCACATCGTAACTGCTTACTCACCTGTTATTAAATTTATGAGAACCGTTCATTGAGATAACCTGATAAAGCCACGCATGCTTAACGCTGCCAACAAGGGATTGTTCTGACGCTGACCTGATGACGCACAAAAAAACATCCTCAATGTTTTAATGGACCATCATAAAGCTCCTCTTCAAATAATGTTCATGATTCTGCCTTTGCAATTTCTTCTTGTAAATAATAACCAATTACACCCTAAGCAGTCATCGATTTTTGCCAACATTAATGTTCCTATTTTGACACTCTTTAGTGATGATAACAATGCTCTTACGCACAACTCTCTTCTTTCATTTCCTATTCTTATCTTCAGAGTTTATGTTTTACTTTTGTTGTGGAAGTCAGAGAGATAATTCATGAAAAAATCACCAATACACATTGTGAATTTAAAGGGTTGGCTCAAAACTGCCAAACTAACACAAATTCACACATGTGGCACAGCTAATATGTGTAGAAGACTTAAGTAGCGACTGAAGATGGAGCTTTGCCATTCAGGTAAATCTAAGAGGCAACAGCTAAAAGGCTAATCACTAAGAGCAATGAGCTCCATTCATTTTCTTTTTCTTTGTGTGTAAAGCTCCATTACCTTCAAGTCGTCACTTCTTTACGTCTTCGCTTTGTTAGATGACTGAAGGTGAGGTTGCTGCAGGTGCCGATACATTTTCCTTTCTCTCTTTCAGACACTTGAGATTGTTAAAGGAGTGTTGTTTTTCTCCTACCTTTGCTTCACAAGGATGGCAAACAGCTGCGCTGTCTTGATTCATATGTTTTGCCTGGGTTTGTTTGGGGTTCTCCAGGTTATTCTGGGTTTTTATCTTCATATGATGTTCTTGGTTTCTCAATGTTTGTTCTTATGTCAAAGGACTTTGTTTTTTTAAGTACTGCATAAATAAAGTTATTATGTTCTATATCTCAGAAATGTTAAATAAGTTGTCATTATGAGGGCATAATCAATGTGTCACTTTATCCAAAAATATTGTATCTGCTACTCCAAAAATCAGTTTTGTAAGCTTTATTGGTTAATACTACATTAATATTATGCTGGTACAACTTCACTGACTCTTTAAACAGCCTTCAGCTCAAGTTCTAGAGTAAATGTGGCATGTGCTTAATTCATGGACAGGTGCTGGTTGTAGTTTGTGCATCAGAGTTAAGGACAAAAGCTCTTACAGTCATTACGGATTAAAGGGGGGGTCATTTTACCTAAAACTGGGTTGAATAATTCTTTCATTACTTTGCGATACCATATGGTCATCCGTATGGGACACAGAAGGTAACATTAGCTTATCTGAGGAGATCTACTGATAGACCAGCCTGTTGTGACACGTAGGCTGTAGAGTGAAATACTGTATATACACTCTGTCATGACCTTAGTGGGTCTTAGAATAACTGGCATGTTTTTATTATGGTAGAGATTCATATCATGGAGGGGGAGCATGACAGAACTCAGTGAACAGGCTGCTCGGTTCAGCAGCCTTGCTAGTAGGCCACTGGGCCAGGTCAGGCGGGGACAGGGAGGACATTTTCCCAAGCGCACCTGGCAACCTCTGAGAAGTCTTACCCCAAAATGCCCCTACCTGTCCTCTGCTCTCCAGGCTGCCAAGTATGGTCAAGCCTGGCAGACTCCCAGGCGTCCGTAAGCCCTGCGCACAGTGATTCATCCTCTTAAGCACAGAGGGTAGGGGATTTTGGACTTTATTTAGTGCCATTTAGAAAAGATTACCCCTTAACTGCAGAGTTGAAAAACATAGAGGGTTGATCAGACCTCAAACAATGCTGAAAGCTTTGACATATGCTAGGTCATAGATAGAGGGAACAACTAAATACACACTGACAGCCCAGTGAAATAAGAGAATTACTGATACTTGAGAACAGCGTTTTTTCATGAGCCATTAAGATTGGTCAGGAGTTTTTGAAAAGCCTTAAAAGTGACTGAGTTCAAGGATTTGATGAAACACACTTCAGCTCAGTGTGACAATCCAATAATATGAGACTTACTTTATTTATGACTCTTCATATAAGGTACCAGATGGATTTTATGTCCTGCTCGTATTTTTTTACTGACATCCAATCAGCACCCAGCCCATTTAACACCACAGAAAGAGCTCAGTCACACTAGATATCATTGTTTAAGGACACTGGGATATATCCTTTAGTGATCTGCCATTTCAAAAAGGACAAAAGTGGCCAATCCTTTCATATGTATCCACAAAAGGGCGCCTCGCTCAATCTCTCCTTTGTCATACACTGTGTTCTGCTGGCATTTAACCCTCTCTTCGTCTGTGACACCCAAGACCTGTTAACCCCAGCTGGCTCAAACACACAAAGGGACAGCAAGCAGGACACAGAGAGTCCAGGTTTTACTGAGCTTAACAATATTTAGGGCCGTGATTGTGCGGGTTGAATTCCACCGAGCAGTTCACAACCACAGCTCCAATGATTGGAAAGTTGCAGGAGAAACGGCTGAAAAAGAAAGACTCTGGTGTGGCCTCAGCGGTGGAACATGGATCAGAGGAACTCTGGGCCTTGAGTAATGTGCTTTTGTCTTTTTGTATGCAGGAAAACAAAGAAACAGTATCTAAAATAAATGAATGAAATCAGTCGAGAGGTGTTTTGAGAGTAGTTTCTGCACAGAGAAGCTGGTATCATAGTGAAGCGCCTCATACTCAACTCAGCACGTTCCTCAGAGCAGCATTCACAGGTGCTGGTGTGGCAAATGAAGTCATCTGTGAGTGGCTTACCTTAAGAGTATCAACAACAGCTAAGGCAACACCAACCCGTGCTCTCACACTGCGGGAGTCTACTATAATGTAATTAGCTGCTTTAACTTGTGACTAGGACTGCACTCCTTTATCTGAATGATGGCTGGGCAAAGTCCCCGCATCTTCACAAGAGCTTAGTTTGCAAGATTGACTTTATCAGGGTACTGTTTTAAGAGTGATTGGCTTTATATAAGATGTAATAAATTGGTTTAAACTCTTTCTTGAGGTAAAACTTTGTATTTTAGGATAGATTTCTTGCCGTGTTACAAGAAGAAGCAGTGAGGCAGCTGGTAAAGTGGATTATATTTATCGTGGTGGAATGGGAAATTAAAAGGAAATCACGAAACATACACAGCAGTCTGTTCTCATTGCCTGCAGAAATAATGGATAGAGGATTATTTCACTGCCTGAGGGGGAGAGAGCTGAATGTGAAAGCCAAAAGGAAACCAGTCGGCCCTGCCCAAGCATCAAAAAATGTCTGTCAAAGTTAGATCTTACCATATAAGATATAAATCCAAACAAACATGAATATCATGTCAATACCATTTATGGTTATTTCCTGTAAGTATGTGTATATGTAAATCTAGCTGTATGATGCTTTACAAAGCTCCCCTAGCAGTCAGACCCGCTCAGACAGCAGCACCTGCTCAGAAAGCAATACGGCTGCTCAAATTGAGGCACAGAGCTGTGCCGTTACTAAGCAACAGCGGTGCAGAGAATTCCTCCATCTTCCTGCCTCAGGAGAGCATGTATGTGGGGGTGTGTGCAAGTGTGAATATTACTGCCCTGTCTGAGGGTAGGTGAGATTGTGAGGATTGTTTAAATGGCAGGGAGGAATTTGCACTGTGTCATGATGATTTCTGATTGTCTGTTTAACTCCAGCAGAGGAATAAAAAGCGCTCTTAAATCCTTATGAACACACATAAATTGGAGCCGTGTTCCATTGTGTTATGTTTCTGAACACTTCAAAGTTTGACAAGAGGTTTAAGGTCCCTGGAGAGCATCCAGTGTACTCTGCAAATCTCCCAGACGATCTATTTCAGTACGACTAAATCCGCGGGAAGACAAGGGACGTCCTAACATTGTCGCCTTAAGTGAGAACAGAAAACATGGCATTTACACCCGGACAGAAAAATAACTGCTGTTTTTAACAGCTGTAAACAAAGCTGGAATAATCATCTGACTTCAAGAACACAAATCAGACCCACAAAAGACGACTGTGTGGTTTCTATTTACCCTAACATGAAGATTCATCGACTTATATGGCAGGAAAGGAAATGCAGCTCCTTGATACAGTAGCTTGCCATGAGAGTTTCTCAAAAGACTATCAAGGGTGAGGAGTTTTCTGAGGAATGTGTTTGTTTTAGTGATCGCATCACATCACCCCTCATACAAACACTGAGTTGGGGGTTGGTGGAGGGACAAAGAAGCACAGCTATGTCCTCTCAAGGGTTAACATCTGACTAGTGATCTACAACCAGAATAACCCAACCCTGGGGCAGAAGAAAGAGCTTCTGCTGCAGCTTTGAGCAAACAATTGACGTTATTGCCCACACAGATGGATATTTGTATTCCATCGGGAGACAATAACACTCACAAACGAGAGCTTTAACTGCCGTGTTTTGAAATAGAATAGAGAGAAGACTCGGCAAATGTCCCAACATCTTGCATTCAGTTTGTCCCCACTTCTTTTCACTGGTTTTAGTTTGCTGCCATGGTTACTCTTCTAGAGCATTTCCAGCCTGTCTCTTCTGTCTCTTCTGTTCATGTTGTTTTTTTTCCCTGTCGTTCTCTTGTGGCAGAGCTATCCTGCCAAAGACATGCATGGGAAACTGAGCAGGAGTTGCTGAGACAGCCATGAGACCTCCTCCTTTCAGCAATAACAACAAGAGTGGGGCCACTGGAAGAAGGACGGAGGAGGAGAGGAAGAGGGAGAGCTGAAAACTTCTATTCTGAGACTTCCCACTGAAAGGCACCAAAACCCAAAGGAGAAACAAACAGATTTTTTGGCAAGGAAATAAGGGCTTTTCAATGATGTCAGATTGCTCAGCTCTTGCTTGTTTTTCCCTGTTCATTTAAAATTGCATCTGAGTTTGAAATGTACTTAAAAAAATGTGACTTGCCTTTGAGGAGGGAAGACAAAAGAAGAACCAACATTAGTAAGGGGAACATGAAAAATGAGCAAGAGGCACAGCTAGAATCTGCTCAATGGCTATATATGAGCACAGGGAGACTCCTAAGGCTGCAGCTGTTGATCAAATTATGTGCCAAATGTCACCATAACGTCACTCTTGACACCTTCTAGATCACGAGACCGTGATATAGTGCTGCTGGATCCTGGCCGCTCAACGGGGAAACACACATCCTTTATCTGACTCTGTAGCCCAGCTTGAACCGTCACTCTACATTCTTTCCATTCCCAAAGGGCTGTAACTTATTGGTTTCCTCTGCAAGTTGTTCATCCCTCTTTGGCTGTCTGAGCGGGAAGTTTCAAAATTCAAACTTACTCCCGCCCATTCCAACTAAACTAGTCATTCTTGTTCACAGAAGAGGCCAAGCTGAGATGTGGCAAGATATTTATGCCAAGGTTTTGATTCAGAATTTAAATATAATGGTAAATTAATACATCTAAAAGCATCTTTATCTCTTGGGAGGACAAACAGAACAAATTCAACACCAAAACATGTCACATTAAATACAGCAGATCACAGCATGCTCATATCTGTACAGGTTACACATCTTCTTGAGATTAAGTCAGGGGGTGGAAACACACAAGGCCATGGAAAGCTGAGAGCCAGACAGGGCTTTCTTGAAGAGGGGCATAAATAAATAAAATGCAGCAATGCAACGGGGGAAACCCTGATGGTGAAAGGGGGTGGGGTGGGGTGGGGTGTGGAGCAGGCTACAGAGGAAGCACTCCCTCTTCATACTGCAGTTTTGACCTTGTGGGATGAAAAGGCAGCAATTCATTTTTGGTACCTTCCTAAATGTCAAAGCAGACCCAGTCCTTCACCTTTGGGGTTGTAAATATACCACACAAATTTAAAGATTTCTAGAAAGTCGTTTTTAGTTGTATGAAGGGAGAAATCACAGAATAATAAATTTCAGGTGACTAGTTTTGAGGTTACTAGATTGATATACATATAAATAGATTAAATTTTTAGTATTACATACGTCTTTCAGCTGGTCTAGCTCCTGCCTGACGGTCTCGTACTCGATCTCCAGTTCATCATACTGCTGTTTGAGCTGCTGCTTCTCCTCCAGCACCACCAGCCCGTACTCCGCCGCCTGGATCTTCTCGTTGGTTGTCTCACTCAGCTCCCGGGCGAGACGCTCGATCTCAGCCCGCATCCACTCAGGACCGGCTTCGCGCAACAGCATTGCGTCGGGATAGCCCTGTTCTTCCACGGACATGGTCGGTACCGGTGATGATCAACTAACCTGCGCCAGCTGATCTGCGACAAGGGGGATGTTGGGGCGTCTTCAAGCGGTGTAACCTTGAGGCGGTTGCTTAAATTCGTCTATATTTAAATTGCATGATTGTTACGGTTGCTTTTCTCGTTGACGTTCGTGTCTCTTTGGTCATGTAGGTGACGATGTTTGATTACCTCCGACGGGGGAGCTCGCCGTTATCTCTTAGAAATGCTCCATCGTCAGTATGCTGCGTATCCCTCACCTCTCCCCCGGCTTGTTAGAGTGACAGAGCCGGAGCCAGAGAACCAACTGCCAAAAGAAGAAAAAAAAATATTAGCAACTTCCGCTTTTTACTTTCAAAGTACTACTGTGGACGAAACTAGCCCTAAAGAATATACTTGGTTTTGCTTTTATTGTTCTTGTTTTATATTCTTTGATATAAATAGAATATTCTATTGAATTAACGATGGTAATGATATGACATAAGTGGTGGTCCAGTTTAATGTGAAAGCTCACTTATTTTATTTTGAAGGCATCAACAGTCAACTTCCGGTATGCTAATGATATTGACACCGGCTTGTTTAAATCAGCTGAAAGGTCCGTTTGAAGAACTGCGAAACGTCGACGCAACCAGCTTGGTCGGCTGCCATAGGGCGGCAGTGCTTGTCGGGAAATGTAGTAATTACAGTTACAGAAGCGAAAGCGAGGAGTCCAATGTTAGCCGTGACCGGACTCATTACCCAGGAACCCTCAGTGGTTTGCTTATGTGGAGCACGGAAATCCTTGCACGGGCCCTTTGTTGCCATAGAAATGATACGTACAGAACGCTGCCGGTTGCTCACCGGCAGATGCCACATGCGTATCTACCGCCATCTGTCGGAAACATTACTCCTACCTTTGCTACTGATTATTGTTGGGAGGATTTCAGGACTGTATAATGTTTTTTTCTGACCTTGTCAAAAGAGAAACCTAAATGGTACAGGACCACTATTTAATAAAAGTTACACCTGTTATTTTCTACTATGAAGAATCCAAATGTTATCAAGCGTCTATTGTTACACTTGGAAATGTACTAAGTGTAGGTAATTTTGACATGCTTCGACTTCTTTTTCAATTTCTTTGTAGGCATATTTTCAGAATTTAATGAATAACAACCCCAAAAAATATGTGGTATACATTTAATGGCCTGATAATAACCAATACAAGGTTAGTCCCAGCTACACCATTAAGATCATCAAGGGCTTGGTATATCTTGGTCATATAACATTTAACACAACGCTTTTTCTGCATTACACAAAGCACTTTGGACCATTCCTGTACACTTTTGCTTGTACTCACTATATTTTTGATAATGTGTTAAAGCAACTTGTAGTGGGATTGCTTGTTTGGGGTTTAAAACACTCCTTACACGTCTTGGCTCTTGGTTTTCCACTCCCCTGTGTTTGTCACAGTGAGACTGATGAGATATGTCTGAGACCAGCCATGCCAGCGATTTACTCAGGTCTTTATCTCACAGTGTACACTACATGCCATTCATTTAACTCAGTACCTCACAGGCTCACAGGTTGTCTAGTGCCTGTTGCTCTCTTTTTCTGTCATGATGATGCTCCGAGTCCTTTCTTTTAAGGGCCACCAGTGCTGATCAGCTTGTGGATTAAGATAACAGACTAATTTTCCTGGATTTTATACAGAACAATCAAAGATCTTCAGTGCTGTGAGTATTTATGCAAATTACCCCAAAGCTATTAGCTACATGACCAAATTTTTGCTGACTTAAAAACATTCATACATTAGGTAGATTTACAAGTTAGATATAAAAAAAAACAGCTCCATTTTCATCATAATATAAACAGGGACATTGTGATGAGGATAACAATGGGCCTATAGGCAATCAGTCTTTCTAAATCCTAAAGATCATAGTCCAATCCCTTCACTGTAACTTAAATGTAATTAGCTTTAGCAAGGTGCAAGGTAAGCCAATCAGATTTTATTGACTTGCTTTGTCCGTAAAGTCCCACTATCTGTAACAGCAAGATGAAAGTTTAAGAGTGTTTTCAAATATCCTTTGAATTGTAAACAATCCCCTATACAACTTAATACAGACAATAAACAGGAAGAGCATTAATTAAATAGCACACATTATGAAAATCTGGTCTGGGGGAAATAGATATAATAAAGACAATTTGTGCAATAGCAGACATAATTTTACATGGGTCATTCCCCCTCAAAAGACACTGGGATGTCGCTAATGTATGACTTTTGGTTGAGTAGTGGGTGCTCTAATTTATTCCTGTACAGTAATAAGATTAGTAGTGTAATCCAGGAGGAGTCAGGAATAGCCTCCACTCCCCTCTAGAGCCACTGACATGAGCAACCTGTGCATGGAGGAAGTTACTGCAGACAGAATCGCCACTCCTTCCCACTAAGATTTTGATTTTAAATTAATTCCCACGCCTGATCGTCATCCTGGTGACATAAATGGCTATCTCCAAAGGAAGCCAAAGGATCCTGTGGGTTCTGGATCTGCTCCACCTCCCCTCAACAGGGATAATCTGAGACGAATCAAATCAAGGAAGACCACGGGATTGACTTTCCACAGAGCTGGAGAGGGAAAGACAACGTCAGAGCTGTGGAGATTGATGTCAGTGGATTTCAGTTTCTTATTTCTTTTTTATGTTGCTGCGTTGATTTTTAGATTAGTGACAGTCTTCAGCTGTAAGCTATTTCTAAGTTCTTAAAGTTGTATTGGTCTTGGTCTTAAGAAGTGAAATTCTTTCTATTATCTGATGAGCCACCAAGTGTAAACTACCAGCTAATGTTAGCAGCTTTTCTCATGGATTATGTCTGCTCTACACGTGACTGTTATGATTTTTTAAGCTTTGCTCTGATGCAAATGTTGATTTGTAATACGCTCTCTGTCAATGATCTATTCCTGTGTGCAAACTTAATGATCTTCAGTTTCAAATAGAGACTTTTTCAGTCCAACAAAACTCTGTTTACTTATGAGGTGCCTTCTCCAGATTGTGTGAGAACGCCGGTCATAATCCTGAATTTAAGGTTTACGATAAGACTTAGAGTATCAGTGATTCACAGAAACCACGGTAAGAAGTGTCTAAAAGAGTATTTGTGGCATTTGTATGTGCAGGCTCTGCTATGACTGTGGATGTCAGCCTGAGTGGTTATTCCTATGGCAAGCAATGCAAATACCAGAGGTGCGGCTCTGATGGAATACAGTAAGTACAAAATGCTTTTCATTCAATACTGAAATGTGTCTGTTAAGCATAAGGGAATGGTTTGGGGGACTGTTATGGCTATATACTACAGTATATACTACAGCTCTCCACGCCACCAAATTCCACATTAAAATATAATTAATTTGCTAGAAGTGTGGCTATTTTTACTGTAATGCTTTGATAACAGAGCTTGAATGCCAGATGAGGATTAGACACTTCTAAACTGAGTCTTAAACTCGCAATCTTCCATTTCCCAAGGATATGAACATTTTAATGTTTACTCTGCTATTAAAAAGAGTGTTAAAAAAATCTAAATGAATCTGTCGAACACTGTTTTCTCTTTTCTTTCTACCAATAACTCCAGTCAGAGCCCCCAGGGCCAAGTACACACTTGTAGGAGAAGCTATACGATATGTCATCCCTGCTCCTTTGCAATGCTCAATCGGTTGTGGAGGACAATCCTGCAAGTATGACAGCCCAGGTTACTGGAGGGATGACCAACAGGCTATTAAAGGCCTCTACTCATCATGGTACTCACGCCATGCTTTAGTAGATGTGATAGTTTGACAAGAATGTGAATTTCTATACTTCCTCTCAAATCATTTTGGTTGAACTTAGATGGACCAGAGTCATATAATATCTACTCTGCTATTTTTCTTAATATTTTTCCAGGGTTAGTGATCACCTTCTGGCTATGTCCAGACCATCAACAGAAACCATTGAGAAGTACAAGATCATTGATCAATTCAAAAGGTTTGTTCACTTTTTCCTATCAGTTGTTTCCAGATTAAGAGCAAACATAACCGAGAAGATGAGAGTAATGACTTGTTCATGCCTCTGTTTGTATGTGTGTGTGCTTGTTTCAAGGAGTGGTATTAAAACAGTGATCAACCTACAGATACCTGGTGAACATGCCAGCTGCGGAAACCCTCTGGAGCCAGAGAGTGGCTTCTCCTACCGTCCAGAGGTGTTCATGGAAAACAACAGTAAGTGCATTATGTAATATTTAAGCAATATCAACAGTGTCTGTAATTTGGAGGCCTGCATGCCCTCCAAATCACTTTCAAATTCAGTTGTCCATGCTTTTGCTAAGCGTCTCATGTAGGTTTAAGAGCAACATATGCTGCCAATGAGATAAAGACTTTCTCTAGGAAGACCTTCAGATTTTAGTGAGATAATGCAAAACCACATCATACACATATAACATGGCTCCATTGTGTAGGGGTCCAGGTTCTAAGCTGGCCTGCCTGCTCCCATTGAAAGCATGAAGGATATCATGAGATAAAAGCACAACAAAGAAGACCCTGAAAGTTGTTGCACATCACAGCCACTCCATTTTTACATTTAATTATGCTTTAAATTTATCTTGCTCTTTTCCCATCAGTTTACTTGGTCTAGAGTAGCTATTGTACAATTCTTGTTATACCTGTTTTACCTGCTGCTCAGATTTAAATCAAAACATTTCACTATTTTACCACCAGTCTACTTCTACAATTTTGGCTGGAATGACTACGGCGTGGCCAACCTCACCACTATGCTAGACATGGTGAAGGTCATGGCCTTTGCACTGCAAGAGGGGAAGATAGCGGTCCATTGTCACGCTGGTCTTGGAAGAACAGGTACATTTATAAGGACTTTGTATGTTTAAACATTTCATTTTAGTTTAAGCTGTCACTTTCTCACTTTGATAAACCATTTCCCCCTCATCCCTCAGGTGTGCTTTTAGCGTGCTTCCTGGCCTATGCCACCAGGATGACTGCCAACCAGGCTATTATGTATGTTCGAGCTAAACGCCCCAACTCCATCCAGACACGAGGGCAGCTGCATTGTGTCAGAGAGTTTGTCCAATTCCTCACCCCTTTAAGAAGTGTGTTTTCCTGTGCCGAGCCTCTTTCTAATCGTGTCACCCTGGCCCAGTACCTGAACCGCCAGAGACACATATTGCACGGCTATGAGAGAAAAGAGCTGAAAAACTTACCCAAAATTGTCCGGCTAGTATCCAGGCTGCTGCTGGACATTGCAGAGAATCGTCAGGTGATTGAGGAAGACATCCTGGAGGCCCCAGATATTCATGACTTAGAGATGACTCTCAGCATTATTGAGCAGATGGGTCCTGAAGTATTTGCTAGGGAACCCCGCTTACCAGGTACACCTACTTTACCAAGACATTTCAACGAGCCACCCATCTTCTATCACCGTAAAAGTCTGAGCTACAGTGAGTCTGACTTGAGACGGCTAGGCCCAGAACTCAACCTCCTCACACAGCCTCTCAGCTCGTTGTCACAGAGCACTATTGACACATCCAAGACCCCCTCGGAGACAACTTGCCCTTCGACAGAGATTCAGCGTTGGAATAGCAACCCATCTGACGTCTCACACAGCTCAACGGGCTCACTCTGGAAAGTCAAGAATGATCAAAACCAAAAAGATGGGGCAATCCTTGTGAGGAAAGTGACTCAGAAAAACATTCTACGTAGTGAGTCTGTGGGAAACAGTGAACCTACAAAACAGGGTAGCATGCTGTCTAGGTGGAAGGCCGAACAGAGGGAGGGACTGGCCATGAACGGGATGAAGTCTGATGGTAGACAAGAGGAGCAGTCAGAGGTACCCTTCATCACCCTGCAGTCAGAGTTGTCTCTGGAAAGCAGGAGGATGTTGGTGGCACAGGCCCTGGCAGTGGACCTTTTTCATGATGGGGACCAGGAACACAGGGGCAGAGTGTTGGCCTGGCAGGTAACTAATCCACAACAGTGATGAAGTAGTATAAGATATTGGCAAGGAGTCATTGGAAAAGCCTTAACTGTAACTTTCAATTCTTAAATGATATCCACTGCAAAGACACTCTTGGCTAAAATGTTGGTAATTCCCAACCACTTTTAGCTTTTTTGTCTTTTATCGCTACCGTCTAGAGTGAAAATATATATACAAATTGAAAGTGAAGGAACAGAACTAACCCCAAACCCAAGTACAATGATCAATGGTGTGACTGAGTTTAAAGTAAACTATACCTTAACTTTGGCAACACCTGATAATATTAGAAACAAACCTTCAGACCTTAATGCCAATGCAAAATGTTCATCAGTTACCATAGTGACAGATTGGGTCCCATTAAAAGTAGACAGTGTCTAACATGACTGCATGTGCATATACAGGCAGAACTGAACCAAGGCGGCGGCTGGGAGAGACTGTGCTCAGAGCGAGATCCTTTCATCCTCAGTGGTCTCATGTGGTCTTGGTTGGAGCAGCTCAAAGAGCCGGTCATCCCTATCCAAACAGCCAAAGCCCTGAACCCTTACAGCATAGATTCTCAAACCACCCTCAGCACACTCAACCAGGTCAGTGAACACTTTGCAGCACAGCAGTCATTAACTCAGATAATGAAGCTCACATTTACATATTCTGTATTTCTTTAAATTCCCTCCAGGATGCCAAAGAAACGTTAATGTGCATACTTGATTGTATGGCTCAAATGTTGACGATACCAGAAGAGGTTGAGAATGCATTCCTGAATCGTACCATCAAAGCTGTCACCTGGGTAAGAAAACAAATGCGGTATTTTGATAAAAGGATCTACCTAGTCATTGTTTTTTTGTTTCAACCTAAGAATCTTGTTTGCTTTTGAACAGTTGGAAATGGACTCAGAGGATGGAGGAAAACTATACGAATCCCTGACTTCAGTTCTACGGTGTGTCCTTATGGACATGAGATCTTTAGCCAGTGAAACAGATGAGACATACTTGTCTCCCGGCTCTTTAACATGAAAACTTTTATACATGAAGCACTGCCTGAACTCTTATACGAGGCCATGAAAGAGAAAAGACTGCTGTTGTGCCTTACATCAAAACTATGTCATATGTGATTTCAGTGCAAGCCGTATAAAAACATTAAGAATACATATATTTCTATCACTCATATAGGAAATACAATCTTCCGCATGTTCTCACTTTAATATCTAGTGAAGTATTGAAGAACAGGTGATACAAATATATTTTACATTACAGTATGCCTTAAAATCAGTGACAGTCATCACCAACATACCTCAGCTACCAATAGCTTAGTTATTAATCACGTACAGACTTATTCTTTCCTGGTTATGTTATGCTAACAGAGTATCATTGCCTTTTGCATAACAAATTTCTATTTAATCTGTATCATCAGTTACATTTTATGCTTTGTGTGTGTGTCTCCTGTTATCTGAAGGAGCTGCTCTTACCCTGCATGCAACCTGTAAGGGAGTAACTAGAAATCGTAAGAAGAAGGGAACAATCTGTCAGCAAAATTAAGAGATTTATTGACGGAAAAAGTAAAAAGGTCAGTCAGGACACGAAGTCTGACCATTATTACCCCAGCAGCATAAAAACACCCTCATTTAAAAGCAGTCCCTGTAGTATTAGTATTAGTTTAGTTATCTTGTGTGAGCTCGTGCACAAGTTGCCTGGAAGGTGAGAGCAAAAAAAAAAAAAAAAACACATTATGACACCAAAGCACTTCTCAGTTCTAAGTCTCACAGAAGACTATCCCAATGTACTGTAAACATATACGATGAACAGTGAATAATAAAATTCAATCTTCCTCTTTTCATCTGGTTGTGCAAACTTCATATTTAAGCACCTTTGTGTCCAGCAGCTCAGCTCAGCTAATGAAAGAATACGCTTTTAAGACATCTTTCCCATCCTTTCCTTCGGTAGATGCTACGATGCTGGAGTAGTCACAGATGACGTGTGTGAACCCTCTAGAAGACAGGAAACGAAGTGTAAATTAACAGGATCAGGAAATGACGGCATACCTCCGTATTCAGGCTAATGCATTACTGCTTAATTGAGGCAAACTTGGCTGCAAACACAGTACCTGGATACCGTGTGAGAGCCTCCCAGTAGATGGTATCTGCCTTCGAGGCTTAACCCATGGTCTCTGTCAGTCTTCCAAGTCAAAACTCGTAAAGAGAGGTCCTGAGATGCTGTCACCACACGGAAGCTATCCTGGAAATTTGAAGACAGCATAAACACTTTTTGCTGAGCTGGCATATTACGCCGTTAAACTTAGAACTCCAAAGCTGAAAAAGCAGATTACCACACATATAGACGTGATCGGCATAGTGTGGTCTTTAAAGCTAGCAAGCAGCGCTCCTTTCAGGGAGTAGACCATTAGCTCCTGGCCAGCCGCCAACACTAAGCAGTTGCTTTCCTTGGCCTCCAGAAGGAAGTTTGTGGACCTGGTGTTCAGGGTGAGAGGGAAGGACTCCACCTGCTGGACTATGATGAGAAGAGATGCAAAATAAGGACATCAGAAGAAGGAAAATACCATACTAGTGTATAAAATATAGACCCCTTGATGGTGAGCTGTGGTAACAATTTTCCAGTCCTCCCCCTTTTCCCTCAACCTTTTCAACTTTTGTCTATTTAAATGTGTTTCCTGGAGTATGCTCTTGTTAAATATGGTACGTTTATATAATAATTAACTGACTTATCGACGATCAATTTTATTCACTGGTTAAATAAAAGGCAGTGTTACATTTAGACTCAGTCTGCACATATCTCAGTCCTCACCCTGGATCTCTGACTTGTACTTGCTCTTTTTAATGCTGACATCAAACACAGTGAGGACTTTGTTGCTCTGGCTCTGGTTGTGGTGGATGATGGCCAGTCTGGCAGGCTGGGTGGGGATGAAGACAGCAGCCTGGCACCCTCTGACTGGCACAGACTGGCACAGAGGATCTTCATCCTCAGACGGAGAGGTCAAGCTCTCAGTGTAAATTACCTGCCAGCAACATTATTTTATGAAACGCGTACCCACGCTTACTTTTCTCGAGTGCGTCATTTGAAGCGAGGTGAAAGAAATCATATGAGGACAGAACAAAGCAGGAAACATAAACACGAAGTCAGGCAGTCAAACAAAGCGAGAAATACCTTTGCGCTTAAATCATCGTTGTCCTTGGTTCCAGCAATGATCCATTTCTTGTCAGGTGACACGAGCAAAGTGTTGACTTTAAAGGTGTCGCACACTTTTACACTGGACTTTTTGATCAGAGTTGTATCAGCTAGAGTGCAAACAGACCCCTGACTGGTTCCAACCTAAAAGACAGCATTATTTGAAAATCAATACTTTACTGTAGTTTATTTTAGCTATAAACCCCCTAAAATTAAGATGTTACTCACAGTCAGAAACCAACTATCGTCGATATTGTACTGCAGTAATGAACAGTGTGGAGATCCAGCACTGAAGGAGGCCACCTCCTGCCCTGTCTGACTCTGCCAGGTCTTAATGAGTCCTGTGGAGTCTGCTGTGATCACAACTTCACGCTGTTCGTCAGCAACAATTGCAGTCAAGGGATTCTGCACAGGACTACACCACAGGACATCACCCTGAGAGAAAAAAGCAGGTAAATGCCTCAGAGGGTGCATTTTAGTTCACTTAGTGTCCAGATTTTAATCAATAAAGGGTTTGGTTGGAAAACAGTAGACCGTAATTGCAACACATGATGTGGATTATTGTGGATTGATGATCTGGATTTGGTAAGGTGCATGCATTTAAAACACCAAAAACTAAATATATTACCTTTCTACTACCTTTTTGATATGACTATTAATCAATCAATTTTAATTTATAAAGAGCTTTTCATACAAAGAATGTAACGCTAAGTGCAGTACAGTTAATTTAAAAGAAAAACTATCCCATACACACACATGCCAACACACCCGCACACTAAGATGGTGGACATGAGGCTGAGTGCACATGAACCAGTTGAGAAAGTGCCATCAGCACCAGGAGCAGAGAGCCGCCCACAGCCACAGGACACCGACACAGGGCCAGAGTAGAGATGTGGCAGGCGCCAACCTCCACCAGGAACCCCGTTACCGGCCCCTGCAACCACAGACGACCACTGCTCCCGGTGCCGAGGGCTCCCTGAGAGGAAACACTGGGGGTCCTAAAAATGATAAAAGGATAAAAACAAGTAAAAACTAAAATGTGAATAAAACACAGACTCAAATTTAAAATCAGAAACCTAGTCTAACTAGAATAAATTGAGATAAAAAAGATAAATATTAATTAAAAGTTAAGCTAAAAAGGTGGGTCTTGAGCCTGCTCTTAAAAACATGAACGTTCTCTGCGGCCCTGAGGTCCTCTGGTAGGCTGTTCCATAGAGGAGGGCTGTAATACTGGAAAGACGCCTCGCTGTGGGTGAGGCCTTACATAATACAACACTGTATGTAGTCACACTAAGTCAAAATCTGTAATAGACTGGATGAATCTTAATTGATTGAATCATGCTTGAAGGGATATGTGCACTCATTTAAAAAGGAGTACAATTTTGGGTTATCTTCATGAATCATGAATGAAAATGGATGCAGCACTCTGGTTCTTGTTCACTTTAAAATAGATGATCATGTACTGACGGTGCTACACTCACATTCTGGGTGTTCCATGCTCGGACTGTACCATCAGAAGAGGCGCTGCAGATTGTGGCACTGCCGCTCCAGAGGTCAGGGCACAGAGCAGAGTTCCCCTTCAGGTACACCAACCCCACTACTCTGCCTGACAGACAGCATGTCCAAGAGAAAAACTGAAATGACAGACAAACTGAAACCCCACTGGAGATTTGAAAGAAGGTCAACTCACCTTTGTGTCCTCTGAGGCTCTTGCAGGTGTACCCTCCGCTCCGACCTTCTGACATCTTCGTCTCCAAGTGGCTACGCCTGAGAAAATATCTCTTCCATGAGTGATTCGCCTGTTCGCTTCCCAAGACAGAGAGGTTACAGAAAGTCCAGCGCTGCAGAGACATCCGCCTGAGGAGAACACAGATGTCAAGTCCAGTCCGACTTTGTCATTAGTACATGTAAATACCTTTCATGCAGTGGAAAGTGCTTAATACTAAACAAACAGACAGAAAAATCACCGCAATTAATAATGAAGAATAAAAAAAATATTGAAACAAGATAGAAATGAATAAAATACTATAAAAGAGATTAAATCAATGCATTAAAAATGATACAAAATTGAAATTCAATCATTTAAATGAGACTAAATAGATACTTTCAGGGGGGAAAAAGATATTTTGAAGAACAATAATGAAAATGTAAAGCAAATGTTCCTAATTGGAGCCAACTCTAAAGTTACAGTATATTATAAGTCTAAGTACTGCATTGAAAAACACTTATAACACACAAATGACTGTACAAAAGTAAAGAACTAGTTATTCACAACAGAGTATTTCTATGTGAGTATTTGTGGTCATGACAGTGTGATAATAAATGATAACTTAAAGCACTGAGGACTTACATTGCAGCTTGTAAGAATGGGGCATGTTTTAAACTGTATTTATAATTAACTTAGGGATCAATAATTTCTTATCTTATTACATAATGATTAATTCAAGTTTATGTGATCAGATTTACTCAGGTAACCTTATTTTTATTTGCAGTGGCCTGATAAAATTACACACTTTAAGTAAACTAAACCAGCTGTTGGACCAAAATTTGCTTAGTTTTCTTTTAGAATAAATGATCTTTATATTTCTCATATCTGCCAGATCTTTCTTTTGTTGACAGTAAAAAAAAAGGAATAAGTTTGATAAAAATAGTCAAAGCTCACCTCCATAACCACGGAGTTTCTGCAGCATCGTGCCAATCCTGTAAATTGGATTATTTTGATAATAAAATACGCCTTTTAATTCATAAAAATCAAGAATAGAGAGTTACTTCCGCGTGTTGGACACTCCTTTCTTACCTTACACACACAGGAAGCATTGGGCAAATCTTCCTCTGTCAGGAATGTAAAGATATGAATTAGACAATCCTGGATGAGATAGGGATGGTGAGGGTCCATACTGTCATCTAGAGTGTTTGCCCCCCTTCACTGCCTGCCTGTCTACCTGCTTTACAGAAAAAGAGAAAGTCGGACTTTAGGAAACCTACGGTAAGAAAACAGGGACAAACTGGATGTTTTATTTACTCCTCGGGCTGCAATGTCTTCACTACGCCACTAAATGTCGCCATTGTACAATGCAGGTGATCTGGATTGGAGCGGAGGCGCGCACTCCGGGTGCGTCATTACGCGTTAATTCCTCTCAAAAGTTAAGTTTATCATAATTTTTAATAACTAACAATGTGTTTACTTTGAGTTTTAATAAAATCAGACCTAATCCTGAAAGAAAGAACGAATTTTGGATAAATCACTTGTTAAATAATAGAGATGAGACGGAATCACTCCACAGGACTTGACTTGATTTAGTTGCCTAACAAATCAAATTAATGTTATAAAACACTTTTTTTTTTATTTTCAGTGTTTTAACTCTGTCTATCAGCAGCCTTTCAAGTTTATTTTTGGCAAGTGAAAAAAAAAGCCCATTGTGGATTTCACTGAAGCCCATCTGCGTAAAATAAACCAATAGAGACATTACTCCGCGCCCTGACCCACTTAACAACCAAATAAAAAAGCTTTTCCAATCAGTCAAGGTGAATCCACAGAAGGAGTGTGTATGTGTTTATGAATGTGTGTGCGTGTCTGTGTGTGTGAGTGTGTGTGTTGAGATTCAGCCCTGGCGGGATTCTTCAGCAGGGCCCCATCCTGTGAACACGCCCCAGATAGATGAGCCAGATATATAGCCAAGACCTGCGGGTAGCAGAGGAACTGTGAGAAAGAGATAACCGCACTTGTTCACCCCAAGGGTTACCTGTGACACCCTCGCAATGACAAGAGGGCCCAGCGAAAGGGGGGCCACATAAAGGGACTTTTGGATAATACCATAACCGGCAATTTGTAAAAGAAAAGTTCCTGTGCTTGTTCTGTTTTTATGCTTTTCGTCATTTTGGAGTTCCCTTGGAGTTACCTGTGCTGTGCTGTAATCGATCGGAGAATAAGCGAGCCGAGTTACTCATCAGCTCCACAGATCGGTGCATGAAACTGAGAGCCGGGCCGCAATGAGTCGGAGAACGAGACGCTGGATTTTAAGAGTTTTACTTTGTCTGGGGATTGTTTATCTGAAAATTGGGTGAGCTCGTTTGACTTCTCATTGGTTTGTTGCGGGTTACTTTGGAACACACAGAGAGAGAGAGAGACAACTTAAATACCTGACGATTAACAATGAGACTTTTTTTGGTCTGATGTTGATCCTTTAAAAGCTCCCATTGTTTGTCTTTTTCACTGGAAAGAGGAAGGTGATGTTATAAACGATAAATCCCATATCAGGAGAGAGCGTGTAGTTATCTCAGTGAAGACTGCGCTCTTATCATTTTAGTGAAATTTTACCTGTACCGGTGGTCAAATCTAATACCGGCACAACAATTTCAGTTGTTAAGCTTTGATTGAGCAATAATTTACAGAATTAGTCTGGTGGTGCGCATTAGGGCATACATAAATCTCATTTTAAGTAAAAGAAAAGCTCTAAAAATTGTATTATTGTGGTAAATCTGCCCACTTTGATCGATCCACATAACATGCTGTATAATGGGATAATCAGTGGATACATTTTGGATTTTAAAGATTATGAAAACTCTCAAAAAGCGAGAAGAACCTTTTAACCATCAACCAGAAAAGAAGAAGTTGATGGCTACATTTTCTCAGTCATGTCCATCTTCCATCCACAGTGGCTTCTCTTCGGTGGTGGCCCTAGGTGCGAGCATAATCTGTAACAAGATCCCCGGTTTGGCCCCCAGACAACGGATAATCTGCCAGAGTCGCCCCGATGCCATTATCGTCATCGGAGAGGGAGCCCAAATGGGCATCAACGAGTGTCAGTTTCAGTTCAGAAACGGCCGCTGGAACTGCTCTGCGCTGGGGGAGAGGACAGTCTTCGGAAAAGAGTTGAAAGTGGGTATGTTGCTGTCTGTTAACGTTTGTTTACCATTTGAAACATTTTGGTTTTCCAACAGCAAGCATCATGTGTCAATCAAGTCAAGCTTGCGTGCGTGTTTGTTGTGCGTAATGCGTAAAATGCGCACTGATTTTTTTCTCTATGATCTCCTTTAAGGTGGTCAATACCTAAAGTGATATGCATGAATAAACACTAACAAGAAGTTGAATCTTAAACTTTCACTTATTAATAAAAATGTATCAATTTGTCAAGTTATTACCCTGATACAAAACTTCTCCATACACTCTATGATCTCCAGTTGAACCTGCACTAAGCAAACGCACATGATCATCCATCCCCTGCATCATGAGCATCCCATAAGGTGCTGGCAGTGTCGTTTACATCAGGCCTAGTTTTCCCTCATTGAACTGGTCTTTTCTGAGTTTGTATAAGAGGTATCTGAAGCCAGCACAGTAACAAAGCTCTTGTGAATGTTTGCAGCCTTTCTTTTCAGCCACAGCAGAGTCTCTGGAGACACATTTTCACTGGTCTTTATCCTGCCTAGTGATGGGTGCTGTGGCTCCCACTGTAAGGACGTGGCTCTTACCACGGGTATAAGTTACAGTGTGGGCCAAAGCCAAGAGGGAAACGAGGCCTGAGAGGACTAAAATAGAGAAACAATCACCTTTTAATCACAGATTCTTATGCTGTGATGATAGTCACCTCTGAGGAGGGAATGAACTTGAGGAGATGCTGAAATTCTGCCTAAAGGATTGTGACTTGTTTGTTCGTTTTTATGACATGATAGGATGCATTTCAGACTGCTGGAGGAAGAGGATATTGATACCAGAAAGGCTAAATGAAGGATAATGAAATTTACCGAAAAAATTCTGTTTGAGATTGAAAATACAGGCTAGGCTTTGTCACAGTATTTGGACAAAAACTTGACATGATCCTTTTTTTATTTGAGCAAAAAAAGGATCCAAAAACCCTCCACACAATAGTCAGAATCTTGCACCAGCTGTTTGAGGCTTGCTGCTGTTGGGAAAAAAAGGGGGATTATCTCTTTTCACATCGTTGGAGTGAAAACAGTGCTGTTTGACAATCTGTTCCTTTATCAATGAGTAGTTTTAGCACATTGGAAGTCTCGCTCTGTGTTTCTAAAGCAGGAGTTGAAGTCTATGGCGCGGACAGGCGTATCAAATAGATTGGTTTCACTGATCAGATTAGTGCGGGAGGCTGATGGTTGTAAATGAGTGCTATTGTTGATGCCCAGGCAGAGGGAAGCTGCGTTGCTCGCGGTTGTTCTTAAAGAGCGAGGGAGAATGACCAGTGGGCTGACATAATGATGCAAGGTGCATCAGCTCTGAGCCGTAGCTTTGTGTGCTCTGTGTTTAACGCTGATTCATGCAGAAGTAACAGAGAACCAAATGTAGATCGTCTAGTTCAGCCTTTACAGGTTGGCTGAGTATTCAGTCGACTCTCCTGTTAATATCTTCCACCTCTCATTACACGCTTATGAAGAATTCATTCCATCTCTTCATGTGGTGAACCCATGCACTCACAACTGCAGGGGAAAAATTAACAACGGTGCAGTCAGAACTGGCTGCCTGCACAGACACACCTTCTTTTTTGGCTCAGAGCCCATCGAGTCTATAAAAACGTCCACATAATTGATGCCTCAATATGAGTTTTTTTTTTTTTTCTTTTTTTTTTTTTTTTTCAATGGCGTGGGCACATGTCCAAGATGTTTATCACAAAACATGGCGGCTTCACATAATGAACCGAGTGGCAGGAGGAAGCACAAACACGGTATCATGTTTGTTTTGAACAAACACAGACGAGAAGTTTATTTACACTCAGATATGATGGATGGGACAAGCGGGTGTTTCCTGTTTGCAGGAAGATGAATCACAGATCTGCAAATTAAACCCATGCTGCTTGTTGATCATGTTTATGAATATGCAGTTTCATTTGCATACTATTGTTTCACATTGTATAAAGTGGGAAAAGTACTGCCTTATTTATTTCGTATAAGGCTGTCTTTGTATTGTTCTTTTTAGCACTTTGCCTCAGAATCTGTCCTGTCAGATTAACCTTTAGTTATCCGTCGATATTTCCATGTGTGTGTGTGTCAATGATTTGTCAAGCCGGACTTGGGCTTGAGATTCTGATGTCATTGCCTTATGAGTTTACACAGTATGGGACACTTTCTGAGCGGATCAATAGCCCCTCCTTGACGACAACCCTCTTATTCATGCTGCTTTGTTGACTATACCGACAGCAGCCATTTTGGTTCACAGACAGGACAGTTTCCAGGTCAGGTTTCAAAACACTGCAGCCCTTGAGCGATGTGTCAGAAAGACTGTGATGCAAGCACACACACTGTTAATAATTTATCTTCTTTTCCTTATTTAATAATCCTGAAAGACCCTGACACTTTCTATTACAAACCTCTCAAAAACACTCAAGTGATCATCCTTTTTCCTTCATCCCCCCCTCAGGGAGCAAAGAAGCTGCCTTCACTTATGCCATCATCGCAGCCGGGGTGGCCCACGCCATCACAGCGGCCTGTACGCAAGGAAACCTGAGTGACTGTAGCTGTGACAAGGAGAAGCAGGGTTTCTACAGCAAAGATCAAGGATGGAAGTGGGGTGGCTGCTCCGCGGACATCAGCTACGGCCTGGGCTTCTCCAAAGTATTTATCGACGCTCGGGAGGTCAAACAGAACGCGAGGACTCTCATGAACCTCCATAATAATGAGGTGGGACGTAAGGTAAGTGACCAGCATAGGATGATACCTCTTTATTTTGCAACTAAATCTGATGATTAACTCGTCTAAAGCAGACCAGTCAGACCCTGGCACAATGTGGTGATGGTGCACCTTGCCAAGGATCTGGGCATTTGTGCCAAGACTGAACAAGCAGCAGAATAAAGGGTTTCTTTTAGAGGAAGGGCAGACTAAGTGGCAGGGTTTGATTACAGCCCAGATCTCTGCGCTGAAAACAGATTGACACTGTCTAAAAAGGCATTAGCCCTGTCCCTTCATGCTTTGCATCATTTGGACAGTATACAGTTACAGTTATGACAATACCCGCCCAAAGTTTATTTTTTAAAATATCATAAACCCACATAAGTCTGCCTGGACATGAGCCATAGGGAAGCTTTCTGTAAGGTTTGATAATTAGATGAGTAAAGCTAAAAGCAGTTCACCCCGCATACTAGAGCTGCACAGCAAATGGAAATTTCAGTGACTGTATCACAAAAAAATGTGAAAGATTATGATATGTAAACAAGCATTACTTTTAAAAGCCTGGGTATAATGGCTGTGCTCAAACCTCAAGCAAGCTATCAGCAACCCTAAGATGAGTTGGTGTGACAAAACTAAGTGGGCATTACCTTCCTATTGGCTCTATATCAAGAATTTAATGTCTTGTTACATGTTTCTGTTTTGACCGCAAGTTACAAAACATGACAACAGTAAAGATTTATACAAAGAAGAAAAGCTGTGACCTGCTCAGTCAAAGGCTTTTCTGCATGCAGGGCTGCAGAACCCCGCAGACTCACAAAGAGACTCCAGCGAGTCTAGAGGTTAGACATTGAGTGGAATGATGTGCCAAACAGCTAAAGTGAGGTTGGAGTTCGAGAAGAATAAAGAAGCAGCTTTGCCCAAGTTTACTCATGTCCCCCCTCTTTCTCTCTCCCTCTCTGGCTCACAGTGCCAAAGTTGCCTTATTCACACACTGACACGTCCATTCAAACGCTGAAAAGCCTTCCCCGCTCACAATCAAACCTAGTAGATCAATTCCTGTGTGTTTCAGGACTGGCTTATCTGGACTGCTATGCCTCCTTGGGAAAAAAAAAAGACCGCACTTGTGGATTCAAACTTTGCTCTGTTTTTGTTTCTCTCTCCTTCTTTCTGCCAATAAATAGCCTCTGTGTTTTGATAGCTAGCCCCCTCTCCCTTTCGTTATTTATGCTAATCAAAAGCAGTGACACCGAGCAGGAGCGCCCCGGTCAGAGACGTCCAGACAAAGGCTGTCACAAGTGTTAGTCACAGAACAACTGATGGATTAGAGAGCTGAAGCCAAGGGTTTTATGAAGTGGTTTGCTCGGGGAAAACGTTTTTTTTTTTTACTTTTCGGGTTCTTGTTCACACGGCTGTATTTGCGTTTTAGCATTTAAACAACACAGACACATACATATCCTGTCAAAGGATGATGCAGCAAACCAAACTCAGAGCATTAGAGCGAAAGGAAATCGCAATTGACCTTGTTGGCCGAGAAAATTCCAGTTTGAGTCAATGGCACTTCTCATTGTCATCAGTCGAGGGTTTAGCAGTAATCCTAGTCACTCGGCGCCTTGTACAGTCACTCTTGACATTTGTGTGTTGTGTGTGGAAACTACACACACAGAGTCTGAAACCTGATACATTATTTTGGCTTCTGTGTGTATGGTATCACACTGCTATGTGGTGGGGCTGTATCTAATCCCTTACTTTGCTGTATTGGATGATTACATTGTCATTAAGTTGCGCGTTTGTCATTTGCTGTGAGAAGGAAGGGCTGAGATTGGAGTGAAGACGGTCTAAAATACAGCAATACTCTCAAGAATAAAGCTAAATCCATTAAGAAAATTAAAACCTGTTCATAAATGCAAACAGTGAATTCATTATGTGGAACCTAACCTGTCATAAGAGTGTTATTGTTTTGTAGTTGTTGGTTGTTGCTGCGTTGCTAAGTTGTTTTTGTGTGTCTAGGTCTTAGAGAAGAACATGCGGCTGGAATGCAAGTGTCATGGCGTCTCGGGCTCCTGCACCACCAAAACCTGCTGGACTACACTTCCCAAGTTCCGCGAGCTGGGCTACATTCTCAAGGAGAAGTATGCCCATGCGGTGCACGTGGAACCGGTCAAAGCCAGCCGCAACAAGCGCCCGAAATTCCTCAAGATCAAGAAGCCTTATTCTTACCGGAAGCCCATGGATACAGACCTGGTGTACATAGACAAGTCCCCTAACTACTGCGAGGTGGACCCAGTGACGGGGAGTTTGGGGACACAGGGCAGGGTGTGTAACAAGACTATGATGCAGCACATCAGCGGCTGTGACCTGATGTGCTGCGGGAGAGGATACAACACACACCAGTACTCACGTGTGTGGCAGTGCAACTGCAAGTTCCTGTGGTGCTGCTATGTGAAATGCAACACATGCAGCGAGAGGACAGAGGTGTACACATGTAAATGAGAATATTTATTGGATGGCGTGTGCGTGCGTTGAGTGAGTGAGTGAGCGAGCGTGTGTGTGTCTTTGTGATGTCTGCCAGCATGTGGGTTCTTGTCTGTATGTTTTCATGGACAAACTGGAACTGTTCGACTTTACAAGAAGGCTGCTTTTACAGTCTTTTCATACACAAAGAGGAACTACTGTACTGTGTGTACACTAAGCTGAAGATGGAGCGTCATGAATCTTTATTTTTTGCACACAAAAATCTTCAAAACTTCTTGTGGACTGTTGTGTTCTTTGGGATGCAATGCCAAAAGTGAGACTAAAAAAGGGAAAAACTGCATCCTGGCCTGTTGGACTGAAGCAAAGTGTCAAGACTTCAAGCTACATGCACATGATGTGACATTAAGACAAAGGACCTGGCTAATGCTAATGAATTATGGTGGATGTGATTGCTGGGCAGGACACACTTCCGTAGTTCTCGCTCTGTGCACAAAAGACATGACACAGCCATTGGGAATATTTAACACTGTATTTAGAGAATGAAAATAATTAATATTAATTTATTCTATAAAAAACTACTGATTTTGTCCGCTATGGATAAAAAAATAACGAAGAGTTGGGAGGTTTTAGTTTGTTAAAGCAATCAGAACATATCCACGGTTAACACACTGGATTTGAATCTGCCTTGTGGTTTTTAGAATAACGTTGTTCCAGATGAAACTGCTGTGGGCTACTCATATTGACCTCCTGACCCGCTCATGAGTTTGTCTTCCTTCTATTTGCTGCTAGTCTCCACAATCCTACTTGTCGAGGTTGAAGGCTGTACGCTCTGCTGACCGCCTTCAATGGTATTGCTTACTTCAAGCCGATTTAGCTTAACAGGTCATACCCACTGATCAAAAACACAGGCACATTCACCACTTTTGGTAAATATTGGTAATAGAGTATATTTTGTAAAAGCCTATTTTTATATGAATGTCTTATTTATATCTTTTGCATATTCATTGACTCTGACATCTGTTTTTAAAACCCCTGTGAAAGAAAAAAAAAGCTGATAAATGTAAGTTGGCCCCTGCTGTCACTGCCATAGTTGTATATTGTACGTGATAGGAACTGTTTGTGTGTCTGTGCTCAAACATCTGTGTTTACTGCGTTTCATGACTACTACTGATGGAATACAGGAACAGAATAACACTAACAAAACTCAGTTTCCATTATTGCTTCATCATATATCAAGTTTTATTCTCAGGGAATGAGAAAAGAACAATCCTAACCCTCCTCCTGTGTTAGGGTCTGCACTGACCCATTTTTGATGCTTAAAAGAACCACTTAAATTAGCTTTTTTTGCATCAAGACTTTTTGACCTTGTTAGAAATCTCTATTTCAACAAACTAAAAATAAAAAAATTAAATTGACTCAATTATAAAATGCTCTTATTAAAATTATGACACTTGTGTTAGGGTCGTTGACCCGGTTAGATCAATATCTAATAATTAGAGTAAAAACTAAAATCGTAAGTGCACTGTCAGGCATCACACTGATAGTCAGATCCTCTTCCAATCATGTGAGATTTAGGAAATTCTCATTTTTCCACGTTTTTCTCTGCACAAAAAAAGTCGAGCATGTCCAGACATGTAAGATCAATTTAATATAGATGTCTGTATGAGGGTATACTGACAAAGAAAGGCCCAGAGGCCCACTACAAAAAATATTACAAACAATATTTTCATGGATAATGAAGCCTAACAAAGTAACCTAGAGATGAGAACCAAATTGGATTGGAAACAGGTCAAAACTGACCTTTAACATAGTGGGTGCATAGTAAAAGCTAACACAGGAGGAAGGTTGACTATTTAGGATTCAAGTTTGCATTGAGAAATTGTGTTTTTAAAGCTGTAATAATGGCTAAGTAAAAGTGCAAAAGTGACATAAAGTTTGACCAAAAGAAAAAAAGCATAGATCTTTACCATTTCTTGCTTTAAGACAAAGTAGAAGTGGAGTTTTTGAACTTTTCCAACATAAATTACAGTAGCTGCACACTTTAAAGGAATTAATTAACCATTAAGGCCATCATTTACGCCTCAAATGTACATAAAGATCTTTAATACATTGTGTTTGCATCATCATGACTCCATCCAAATGTCATAAAGCAAGGATAAATGTTCCCACATATAATAAGATCACCGTGGAGATATATCAGTTACTTTATTCTCCAGTAAAATGCGTGTGATATTCAGCGAGGGAAAGAGAGATGTCCATTCAGAGGGGAAAGTTACTCAACCTTAATTGAGGGCCCATCCTGCCGACTGGGAAGCCGTTGAATGTGTCACAGAAGAAAAAGTGTTTGTGCTCCTAATGGTGGGGTACCGCTGTAATTGATGAGACTGGCCAGGCAGACTGTCACGGAGATGACTTGCTCAGTCGGGGGAGTGGGAGCTGTCAGGTGATAGATGACTTGCACATCTGCTTCATTCACTCCTCGGCCACTAGTTGCTACAACAACTGCGGCGCGGCGGAGAAAATGCAGGGGCAGTCTCCAAGAGAGGCCGGCCGACGTGTCAGGGAAATGTTAACGATGTTAAAGCCCACAGTCGTTACAGATTCCACTCTCATCGGCCCTGGAAGTGCAGCAGGGAGACAGGCCTGAGGTGTTGACGGAAAACCTGCTCCCAATAATCTCCTGAGACTGACAAATGTTGCCTGTAAAGTTTTCACCTGTGACATATTTTAGAAAATTTCCACATGGGCATTTTCCTTGTAAAAAAAAAAAAAAAGAAATCCCTCTTTTTCCCTCTATGTCTCTTTAAAAAGCTGAAACACATGAGAATGCAGGTTTAATTTACAGTAGATTAGCTGTATCATGTGTCTCTGGCAGTGATAATCTTCCCAGAATAAAGAGAAAAGGGCGTGAAGGGGATAATAACAGAGGCTTGTCTGTGTCTGAGAAAGGCTTTCAGCTTTCATAATATTGATACAAAAGACTCACGCATAAGTAAAGGCAGCTGCTTCAAAAAAGCTTTGGTTAAAACTAAACTAGGGTTTTGTTTTAAGACTCTCATTACATTATCTCCTACAAAGGTTTCACTCATTTACTTTCACTTAATGTTACATTTAACAATGAAGTACAGAAACTTAATGTAGTAACCAGGGAACAAAAGAGGAACAAATGAGGAACTAACTGACAATTTCCATGCTGTAATTTGTATAGTTTAAACCAGAGTGAGGGAGTAGGTGGTAGCTGCCCTGTTTCCACAAAAGTATCCACAATAATGGATATATGAGATGGTCAAAAGTCAGCAGGAAGGAGTTTTTTTGTTTAAAGTCACTTCTAGAGTATATAGAGTACAACATAAGTAAAGATGGCTTTGTCCATAGGAGACGCCAAAATGGAACAAACTAAAAGTTCCGAACAGTAGCTTTATGGTTTCCTTAGTAGCTTTAAAATGTGTTTTGGGGTGTTGTTTGAGTTACATGAGTTAGTGTACTAACCCAGTCAGCTCTACTCCTATAATGAGAAACGACCAGGAGAACCATTAGGCAAGCTAGGCTACAGTTTTCTGCAGATATGGTCAAGTCTGCCACATAATTAAGCTAATTGTATAGACTCTGACCCAAGCATGACTTGTTTATAATAAATGAGAAACCTGTCTATCAAAAGTCAGAATGATATATATTTTTTCAGTAGAAGACACTACTTGTCCATGAAACTGATAAAATAAGCACAGGCTACTTTGTCCACAGGGGGCGCCCTAACTGGCCCAAACTCAAAATTCCTAATAGGAGCTTTAATATGTTTTTGTTTTATTACATCTTTAAAATATACTTAGTAGCACTTAACCAGTTTCATATCATTACATTTCTATTGCCAACTAATCCTTTTCTCTTATAGAGTCCAAAAGTGGTGCATTATAAATTAGGGTGACCACACGTCTTCTTTTACCTGGACATGTCCTTTTTTGGGGGGGCTGACTAGCCTTGTTCGGTTTTGTCCGGAGGGAGTTTATAAAATCCTTCAAATGTCCGCAGTTTTGTATGGAAGTTTTGAGTTTGTGTCGCGTAGACTTACTGAATTAGAAGCACATAAAAAACACCTGATCCAACCCGAAAAACTAAAAATTAACTACGCCCTACTCTGTGACTCCATCCCCGAGTAGTTGTGTCCTCTTTTTGGGAATTTAGAATACGGTCACCCTATTATAAACTAGGTCGTGATTACTTTATGAATACCACTAGACTAGTTAATGGTGGTGCACACATGGGCGGACAAACTCCAGTAAAAATAAGTGAACTACAAACTTTGTTTCCGGTTTACCACTCATCATTCTTTATTGTAAAGTTATCAGAGAAAGAGAGGTGAAACATCTTCGACAAAGGACAAATTCAAGGTTTAAGAGGATACTTGAGTGCGAAGGACACAAGATGTCCTTTAAGGTAGGACGTGTAGATTAAGCATGAGGATTAAAACTGCTGAACAACCTACAACACAACATGCCTTTAAAAAACTGCTGGTGGTTTAGCTTCTGTTGGAGATAATCCACCTGCAGTGTTTTCCAGTCAGGTGCAAAAACCCCACCACACAGAGACCACAGTAACTGAGTCAGGAGCACAAAACACCACCTTCTTTGATATGCTAGCTTATAAGTCAGACACCCTGCAGGATCACTGGGATGCTAATTATACTCTTAGCTGTGTTTCTCCATAAACAGGACCGGGCCCATGCCAAGATGTTCTGGGGTGTAATATCCATGTTGCTCTGAAGTGGGGTTGCGTTACCCTTTGGAGTTTTGTTTATAAAAACACACGCCACATAGACACACAAACACATGTTCTCAGCCATCACCTGCAGAAGTTGGAAATTGGTGGTAGCTGCAGATTTATGGTTGCTAGTCTGGCTCGCTCTCTGTGTTATTGCTGGAGACCTGCCACGGCTTCCCTATCTGCTCCCCTGACCTGTTACATCAAGACCGCCCAACCGTGTGCTTGAGCCAATGTTCAACATCACGCCAACAATAAAAAAC